ACAGGTACCCTTGTGCAAGGCCGTTACCTCCCATACCCTGGGGGCGCACAGACCATAAAGATATCATATCCCCACGCCCAGAACTAACCGGTCGTTCAGCAGAGTCACAGGCGAAGAGGAGGAATGGCTCAAAACTATACGAAGAAGAATAATAATTAGCAGACAGACTATTTACTACAGCGCCAAATGCGACTGGAATCCAAAACGGCTATATCCCTCTCCTCCACTTCCCTCGATCGAAAACTCTAGGAAGGACCCCACATTGATTTTCACTTCTGATTTTCTTACGAAATATCACAGAATCTTTGATCCACCCCCTAACATCTTTTTCGCGAAACGAAAGGGCTCGTCGGTTATACCCTTCCTGGTATTATTATGACGGCTCGGGGAAGCTCGAAGCATCATGGCTTGCATTCCGATGCATATCTACTGCATATGTATACGGACGCCTATGTACCGTATACCCATGTACCTCCCCACTGTGGGAGCTTATAAAAGGTACATCTGCAAGAAGCCCAAAGGGATCAATTGCATTGGCACGGAACATGTCAAAAACAAAAAAAAGAATTCAAAAAAATCCTACCTAATCAACTAGACCCCTTTAAGAGGAAGTCACGATATACGGTCCCGAGTTCACGACATACTGTACATACCTACCTATGCACATACTCCGTATCTACATACTTTTATCGCTTCTCACTTTTTCTCACTTCTCCGTCTACATACGCAGGATGCATAACCCGAATATCAAAAAGGTAGAGCGCTATCTCGACTCAAAACCCTCCTTACAAGGTTTGTGTGCTCGAAATATGTTGTGCTTTGTCTCAACGGCATCCCACGTTTCAAGTCTAGGCAAGAAAGAAAGGAAAGGACTTACACCAGGAACCCAAGGAAATGACCGGATCCGGCGATAGGGGCGCAGGATTCCTTGTACCCCCCTCTGCCTAGTATGTTTCGCTAACAGACGGGTCGACAGATAGGCCCCTACTAACTATACGAAGAGAGTTTAGCCATTGAAGATGGTTCAGGAGGAAACTAAACTAGGTTTTGGAACAAGGTCGAGGTCTCCTAACAAAAAAAATACAACGTGCATTGTGCAACGCAGTTTTGAGAGAAGTTACACCTTTTTTCCCTCTCCAATGCATTCTTCGGTTATTAAGGAAGACTTGGGTTAACGTCTTGTTGGTATTACTTTGAGGTTTTTGGATTCTGAGACGGTTGAGAAGCTGCATGCAAAGCTAGGGAGGTCTAGAATGTCCCGAGTCTTGGCTTTGGGGGAAGTAAGGAGGGGAAAGGGACCTTGAATTCTTGTGTGACCCTGTTTATACGTTTATTATATTATATTCCTTCTTTTCAAATTTCAGTTTATTTTATTTTATGATATCGGGATAACAGACCTGGATACGAGACAAATGGTAGACTAAGCTATCGTGAAAATCATTTTGTTGCATATTGTTTAACTTTTCAGAAGTGACGATACACGGCTCACGCCGGTATACACAGGTGGTCACAAGTTTATACGTGGGAGCTATATGGATAGTTAGCAAGATAACCTCCTGTTTCAGCATGCCGTTTACGTGCCTATTTACACTAGAGCTCGAGTACGACTACAACATACAACATTCTACATAGCATACCGTCTGCAGGACTAGTTCGAATATCCAACACCTACGACCTGTTGTAGAGCTCCATAAGCAAGCACCTGGGAATGAAACCGGCCAGAAGCTTAAACTAGACTAGGAGTCCTTATAGTTTGGCTATCCCACGAACGTCCGACGTCGAAATATAGTTTCCTACCCACTCACACACACACACCATATACGTACCCCTCCCTCCCGGAACTATACCCCTCAAGCCTGGTATCCAACATTGCGGGGTCATGTATTCAAAACAATGACATCTGCACGCATACTAACCCTTCTAACCCCAAAGAAATACTAATAGTACGAGAAAAGCTAATGCGAATTGAATATCAATTACTTAATGTAGTAGTTGGAACAGTGGTTAAGGACTTTAATCGTTCCCGATTCACGGCGACATAAAAGAAGGCTTGCATTAGTTGACTATCGTTATGCAGATACAGAGCCGCCGTCAGCCTGTTCGATTGGCTGGGGGAATGTACGACGTTGGCGTATCTGACCGGCTTAGGACGGAGATCTGGTAGACGCGGCTGGTGAATGTGGCTTCCGAGTTTCGCTGGATTTGGTAGAGACTAGAGGGGAAGGGAGATTGTGGTGTTTATGTGGGGCTGCCCGAGCGGTTACGGGGCTTGCTCATGTAATACCGTATACCGTGATGCCGGATCTGTCAAGTGGAGGTTTTGGGGGTGTCTTATACGGTTTACGGGATATTTAGAAGCCCGTGGCAGCGGGTTTCGGTGTGTAATCTATGACATGAGTGACGTTGGAGCTTGGAGATTGGCTTCGGAGAATTAATTCAATGTAGCCTTTTCTGAGCGGCAGCGACTGCGAATTGAGGAATATAGATATCTGGTGACGAGACAAGCTGTGATATGTTAAATTTTCTGTTTAATCTGGAGCATAACATGCACATATTGTTGCTTTCAGTCTTCTAGATGTCTTCTAGGTGTCAAGGATATAAAATTGATTCCCTATAAACTAATCTCATTGCTTTGAAAGGAATTTGTATAAGAAATCAGCAATAGAGACAACCGTATAGAACAGAACCGATCTGGTAATTCATCATTGCATATGAGTCCCGATGTTAAATTTGGACGAAAACCCCGTAAAACTAAACCGTAGAGGAGAGCACTACCATACTACCGATAAGGCGAACTACATCTTATAGAACCAAATATAACAAAAAAGCAGAAGGCCAAAGCCAAGCACATATCTGATCAGTTGTAAAGCTGGACCATAAGAGTCTGTGCGTGGAGGAGGAAGTAGTAGCATCGTACCCCTATTGTAAACTAAAAAAAAATCCATGATATGACGAAAGTCTCCAAGATTGATATCACCGTAGCGGTTGGGCGTTTTCGACTCTCGCAATGCGATAATTGGGCCACGCCAGGTAAAATGGGGTACATCCACGGACCGACTAACTGATGTGAAGACACTCCAATTGAGAGCTGAACCGTCTATCAGAAACGTCTCACGGTAGTAGATATGGATGGAACCACCTCTTGGCTTCCCTTTCCGGTGGCCACCGAGTATTCGATTCGTTAGAGGATTATGGTTGACTATTGAGGCTCTCATGAGGCCGTCTCCGATATAGTCTTTGACATCGCACACTTCGCCATTTCCGCCCGTTACCCGGCAGGGAACCCAGACCAACTGTGGCTTTTCCTCGCCTGGCGGGAAAAATATTGCCCTCTTGTGAGCGGGGGATGGACGAGGTTTTTGGTTTGCGAAGGATTCACAGAGTATTTGGTGACTGGCCTGGTCTCCGTCTCGGCAAGGTTTGGAACAATACCAGACGCTTCGACAATGATTGCAAATATTGGCGGGGCGTTTGTTGCACATTATACAGGCGTCATCGGGGTAGGCCTGGGGGCTTCAGGAAAGCTTGTTATTAGAATACTACCAAATGCTTGCAATTGGTGATCCAGTGTAACGGCCGTTGAGAGGGTTCAACTTACCCAAAAGGTAGGAGCGCGCTGTTCATTGTCGTTGATGTCGGTAGGATCAAATTGATTGTATGTACTTACTTGAAGAGATAAGTACTTATGTATGGATTTAATATATTTGACTTATAGCTTACTATTAAGAATTCGATAAGGTCTGGAGAAATAAATTGAAATTAGGCAAAGAAGTGAAATTAACTTCCACTACTCGATGGGGGAGGGGGGTGAAGCTTTATGTGGCTAGGTACTTAGTCAATTGATCAAAATTAGCTATAGATGCTATGGGAAAACATATGACGTTGAAGCTCTAAGTTATCAGGCAACATATGATGCCTACAGTTAACTCTTAGGTACGAAATTGGAGGTAAATTAAACGCCCGTGGAACGCGTGGAAGGGGCACAGCCTTAAGCCTTGTTGAAGTACATGTAAGTACATGTTAACTTCTAAGACCCGGGACAACTCACAGATTCGAATTCACTATCTCAAGACGACCTGATGCATGGTATTATCTCATAAACAAAATGCTCCCGTGTTCCAGCTGATAGGATCTCAATTGGTACTGGATTCTGGTCCCGTGCCTATGATAGTATTTGGGTGGTGTGGATCTTCTATTTCTAGACCTTAAGAATTAGCATTGAGATTTCAAAAGGTCTCGTATGTAGTATACGTAGTGATTTGTGATGACATGGATGAGTATATTGAATAGATTAACTGATCTAGGATATGACTAGAAGCCCAGTAAGAACAAGCCTTGGTTAACCCTGTTGCACCGTATCTCATTGCTCCCTATTGATTGGTCTCAATATCGATATCAATATCGATAGCCGTTGTATCAGATAGATAAATATGGGATGGCATCTAATTCATAGGTCTAAACCAAACGGCCCATTTCCGGGAGGATAAACTGTGCCGTTCTTGTATTTATATTGGATGGATAGGTTCCCTACGATTATTCTTGAATGTTTCCTTTGAATTGTTTTTTGTCACTTGATTAACTTATCTTAGGAATATAACAGAACTCGAGAAACGAAAGCAAGACGGCAGCAAAAGGACAAATACAAAAATGCACGAGGAAATCCACAGACTCCTGAAGAAGGACACCGAGGCAGAAATCGATGAGGGTGAAAAAAAAGCATACAGGAGAGTCTTTTGGAGGACACAGCGTAGGAGGCGAAGGAGCTTCGGGATATGAAATGGGACGCCAGAGGAGGGTGTCGTTAGGGATTAATAAAGGTAGTAAGCTTGTATCTCGAAAGGAAATAGAAAGAAAAAAAGGGAAACTGGATTTCGTGGTCCACCGTAGCTTTACTTTTTTTGGCTCCTATATCTTTTTTTTCTTGGTTTTTTTGCGACCCAGCAAGACTGAACTGAAAAAATGAAATGAAGACGCATAGAAGAACGTTCAAGGCTGTATCATCATTCGCTGAGATTTTTGAGAAACACATTAAGGATGCCGGCTTTGATGACCGAAAGATTGAAGAAGAAGTCGAAAGAGGAATAGGCGCGAATTGTTGGAAGTTGTTTCTTCATACGAAGATTGAGGATCGCGGACTTCGATGTCGGGAAAGTAGGTATCGCCATATCGCAGATGACGTATTGGAGAGTGACGTCGGCTTTTTCTGACGGCGTTCAATATAATAATTTATACAAGGAAGAAGGAAATCGAAAGAAAATATGGAAACGTCGTCGGCGTAAACGGGGCGTGTTTCACATGATAACACAGCAAGGATTGTTATTTGGCGGGGTATACGGGTCCTCCCCTTTGCCAACCTGCAGGTGCGAGATGTCTGGTTAGTCCGAAAGTAGCGAAAGGGAATGTGACGTTGCGCGAAAATCGCGATGTCAGGAACGGAGAGCCATGAAACTTATGTTTCGCGGTGGGAGAAAGAGATAGACTTACTTGACCCCAAGTCGCCGGTACCATGAAATCCTTTGTTGTTTTGGTATAGTTGATCATCCTAGTGCACCAAAACACGTTAGATAAGGGGAATGTCTAAAGAAAGTCGCGAGAGACAGGGTATTTCCGGAGGTTATACGTACGAAGAGCAAGCCTCGCTGACCTTTACTCTCGGTCTTTCCAAGTCTTCCCGTAGACGAGCGTTTAGTTCTGTCAGCCTCCTCAACTTCAACTCTTGCATGGACCCCTTCTTCTCTCTTGCCGGCTCTCGGGCACCTGCTTGGTTGTGAACGGCCATTATGTCGGATTCGGTCGCGAGTTTAGAAGAGTCGGAAGAAAATTCGTGACGCGAATCGAGAGAAAAAGACGAATTCTCAGTGATCGGAAGTGACTGGGGACAGAGGGGGGATGAATGGGATGGGGATGCGATGGAGAAAGATTGAGCGATGATAGATTCGGATGATGGATTAGGATGGGATGGGTTGGGTTGGATTGATGGGAGGGAACCGGAAGTGTGGGCTGGCTGGGTGAGCGTTGGAAGGGGGGGAAGACCAAGCGAGAGAAGGAAAATGTGTTGTTGGTATTGCTATTACGTGCGAATAGGAGAACCCCCAAGTGTTACTTGAGTAAGTGTATGCAAGATTTGGATATATAAAAAGAGTATATCCCCGAGTTCCGTCGACGAAGGAATGAATCAGATTGGATATCGTCGGGTTGTCTATCATGAAAAGAAGAGGGAAAGAAATGGAAAAACTATTCAGAGAGAAAAGAGGAAATTGAACAGCCGAAAATCCGCTTTTTTCGCTCGAACTTACTAACGCGATTATTGAGCGAGCAGGGGCAGCCGAGATTAAAAAGCAGCTGAAAGACCGGCCTCAGACTGGCACTACCCGGCACCATTGACCCCTTTTACGAACACACTAATACATCTATGCAGTCCCGTGTATGCACTTGTCCCAGTTTCGAGTCCTCCCCAGCCTCATATCCGTTCCCATTAAGGGGGCTCCAGCGCAGGAGGCAGAAACATCACCCAAAACACTCCCCGATAAGATCTTTCCCCCATGCACAAACGTTGGGATCCGATCCTTGGGCCCATGCCAATTGGGATTCTGGCTGTCCGAGCGCACTATAATTCTGTGATGTGACTGGCTCATGGCTTCTTGATGGCTGCTTTTCTTCTGGGATGCACTGGCCAAAAAAGTCGCCAGGGATACGGATATGTCCTCGCTTCGCAAAGGCATTATCATCATCATTTCGGATTTCGGATTTTCGTGGACGTGGATATTAAAGAGGAAATTGAACGAACTTATGCTTATGCGGCATCTGGGAAACTCATTGGGAACGAAAACGGCCAGTATCTTAACATTCGCGCCACGACCACACCGGTCAGGCGTAGAGAATGTAATGTATGAATTCAACTGAATGCACCAAAATTATATTAACCCAGCATAGGATATGGATACGTAACGGCTGTGTTACCGAACCACATCTAGCCAGACGGGGAAACAAATCAATGTGCGGCACGGCACTCCGGAACATCTGCAGCCTCATGGATTTAGAGGCTTCGAAGGAATGATAAAATCTCCGAAAGACTGTTTCGAAACGATCGCCTTATTTGAGAATCCTTGTTAAAGCCCTCTCTTGATATCTCTTTTTTATCACTATTTATCTCACTACCTTCGATATGTTCTATTATTCGACATGTTACTATGTTCCGCTAGGATCCTAGTGGGTTTTCTAGGTTTGGTTTACGAGACAACAAAGGATCTGAAAATGCATATGCACAATCCTTTGGCATGCACTTTTGCAACTTCAAAGGCAAACCTGACGGCTTGACTCGGAAACCTGAACATAAAATTCAGTAATTAGGAAACTCCGTCCGTTGAAGGAGATCTGTGAACATTATCCGGCACCCAGCTGCACCGTACGAAGAGATCGGGGAAATAGTGCAGCGAAGAATTCTCTCCGCTTCAAGCAACTTCATATTTCGATGACACTAATATAAAATACAGTCAGCGGGACGCAGAAGTTAACGCTGGGAGGTGGTTAGATATATGTCGGGGCCAAAGTTACATGTTCAACTCTTGGGCCCGGGTTCTTACCTAGGCCTCACTAGGATATATATTTTTGCGAAGTCTGGTTTGAGACAAGATAGATATATTTAAAAAGGACCAACGGTAAAGTATCCGGCCTACACGAGCGTCTAGAAACATACAATACTAGTTCTATTTTGGACTACAGTGACGTTTTTAGCTATTGATTTCGGAATATCGAACAAGGATCACTACTGGGCTAGAGAATGGGGGAAGTTTACAGGAGGAGCGAAGACTTGGAGAGAAGCCCAAAACTAATGGTGCAGCAATACATAAGCTAGCCATCTTGCCAGCTATCATAGCGTCCTTTTTATTTGAAAGAAGGGGTCTAGTATTTGGAACTTGTTCTTTTTAGGTAGAATTATGATTCTAGCGACCTTAGCTGTTGGGTTGAATTCTTCGTTAAGAAGTATATGGCCCTCACTAGTAGCATACGTAGTACTAGGGCAAGATGTCCTGAATTATATATATGTAATACTATTGGCACTTACTCAACGGCAGTAACTCCAGCAGCGATATGGGGTGGTCCGTGGATTGAGGCCGCTCTTGGAAATAATGATATCATGATACGGGGAAGCACTTAGGGAGTTGACGATATTAATGTGGCACTGTAGTACTGGGTGAAAAGGAATACTAGCCATACGGTTAAGAATTGTTGTATAGAGCTAGACAGGATCCATTACTAGTAGTGTGTGACCAAGTCGGCTGACAAGATACAGAAATCAAGAACATAAAATGCGGCGGGGTTGGACGGACAGTACTCTGATGGAGCTTGGGGGCTTTGGTTTGGGTGGCGTTGTTAATGTTGGATTTTTCGGTAGCGCTATGGCCTCCAGAGTTCCATTGTATAGCGACTTCCTTCAGTGTGGTACCTACCAAGCAAGAAGCTGTGTGGATTATACTATACCTCCAGGGAAATGCGAAAGGAAAAGAAGGAAAGTGAAAAAGGCCCTGTAGACTTCTCAATTGCCTTTCCAAATATCTTTTCGACAGGCATAACCCTATCAAGCACCGATATACCTATATACCATTGCATGAGTTCATCAAAGGCCTTAAGGGGTTTTACTTATTAGCATTATCTTCAGAACTGAACTTATTGTACGTACGGGGGGATACGTTTGAATAACATAAAACCCTGACATTCGGGCCCACCGCACTAGCTTGGTTTCTGGGGAGTCTACGGAAAAGCCTTTCCCTAATGCTTTAAACCAATCATCCTACACGGAATGGGGTATGTACATACAAGAAATCACTTCTAACTTCGCGAGCTTCGTGCGGGGACAGTCTAGTGATTCCCTTCGTGGTGCAGGATTACGGGCCCCCAAACCCACTACATGCAATATCAGAGAGATGTTATCGTTTAGCTAATTTAATAAGGTTACACGTACTACGTCTTACTCTGAGGTAGCCATCCTAGATCTAGGTATTGGATCGCGACGGTTCAGATTGTCCAACTCCTTTGCCACGAATAAAGCTCTCGGGGGGCTCTTCAATTGTTCAGCTGAAGTGAAAGTACAATTTTTTTTTGACTGGCTGGTTGAATTGAGTGATGAAACTGCCACCTCTAGATATGTAGAATTTATGCCATTGCGGCCTTGAGATATCGATGTCAGATAGCTAGGGGGTACGGGATTATGATGATACAGCTCTCGGGTAGGGTGTCCTCCTCAAGGGCAATGTACAATAGCAGGGGGTCCAATGATTATATGATTCCATAGCTAAACGGAAATGTTAAACTATGGCAATTAGGTCGAATGAAAGTGAATGCATATTGGTTGAAAAGCGTTAACTGCTGAAGGCCTTCTGCTACTTGACACCGCGAGGAGAAAACTAATATTTAGTTGCCTTCTTTCCCTCTTCGAATCATCAAGGTATGCAAAATAAAAACCCAGATCTAAAAAAGAAGCAAACTGCTCCTAGCTAAATTATAAACTTCCTTTCCAATATATACATATTGAAATTCAAAAAAAAAACTCTTGCGGAAACTCAAATTAATTACAAAAAAGGCAGAGGAAACTACACCAATTGCAATAGAAGTAAGCAGACAATCTATCACATTAATGCTTATTTTCTGTAGGAAGATAGAATTTTAGAATGGCTTTAGACTACAACCTTGCTATGGAATAGGCCGTGAGACCCTTTCCCAAACCCAATGATAAATAAATTTCGAGAAGCGGAGGGAACTGTATACTTACAATCGTATTAGGGTGGCCTTGTTGATTTCAGGTTTGGCGAGGGCGCATGAGGAGGGGGTATTGGGGGACATCGAAAGCTATGCTGTAAGTCGTGTGCTCGCTAGCTCGAGGCAACTAGCAATTCCCCGCAGTTTGTACCCCTGCAGATCTAACAGCTAAGATATCGCTTCTTTAGTTAGAACGGTGTATATGGTCTGGAGGCAAGACGTATATAAGATTAAGACTTTAGACGTAGGAGAGACCGTGGAAGTTTCGGAAGAAAAGGTTACTAAATTGGAACCGATTCGAATCATGAGTAAATCTAGGCATAGCTATAGGTTTAGATCTTAAAGGTGGTAATTGGGGGCTCATAGATTACCCGAGGCATGCATCACGAGCCGAATCTGAATGCATTCGAATGTACTCATGTCAACCAAGACGTTGTCGAATACAAGGGGGTTTTATGGCTTACGGGGTTACCAGTATACTTTAAACAGCTTCACATAGAACGGAGCATTCATTAAGATCCATATATGTATATGACTAAATTGGAAAAGCTGTATATATAAATCATTTGAACTTGATATGGACGCCCCGATGCACCTTGTATTATCGGTATCTCAAAGGCTATGCTAATTCAGAAGCTCTGGTATGGCAAACCTCGAGAATGGGGGGCTAGTACTGGTAAATTTTCTAGAGACGGGAAAGTGTAACTAACATTGGGCCCGCTTCGTGGGCTGACGCGGCGATACAAATTCATTTTCAATTATAATGCATTATATTTATAAAGCTTAGTAGAATTCAAGGTCTCAAGGGTTTTTCGCTCATGAGCTTTCAAAGCTTGCGTCGACCTTATATTTTACCTCGACACAATACTTTAACTATACTATTATTAATTATAACACTTTAAGTCCCTCAAACATCACGTGGCCATGGGCCCGTAGGAAGTTTAGGCCTCGAAGGAGGCTTGATTGCGCATCCCCTGCTCCTCCTTTCACACCTAGGGGTATTGGCCTCTAATCAATTGTTAGAATCTCGGCCCACCCGTCGAAACTAGACTATTGTTGGCATAAAATCAATCGATCTAGATGTTTCATTAGGTACTGTTTATAATTTGATTATAGCCTCGAGCAACATGAAACGAGAATAAGCAGTCTTCAATGATAATATTTCGGCCCATTCCAATTTTGAACACTAAGGAATTCAATTGTTTTTTCTCGATAGGCTTCACTTCCCTCAGCTATATATCATTCTCTAGTTCTGTAACTGCACTCGATAGCCTAGTAGAGGTCGTTCCTCGGATTCAGTGGAATCTCGGCCGGAACCTACATATTTTCTCAGATTCTGGATTTCTTGTAAATTGCGGAAGCAAGAAGGATGCGGAACAACCCCTCTGCGGGTATCCATAGTTTGCATCGCTAAGGTATTTTCCCATATATTTTACCAGGGAAACAAATTATGTTTATTTTCGGCCCGAAAAGTTGGATCGAAAGTCGATGGGACATGTACGCATTCCGTCATTGGTTTCTGGGTTAGATAGAGGTTATGGAATCAAGCTTAGTGCAACATTGTTGGGTGTGGGTTATTACCATCTTTAAAGATAAAGTGATACCCTAGGATTTTAGGTGGACCCTTTCCTTTCTCCGACAATGGTCGATCGCTGATGTATTGCTTCTCTGATGAGAGGGTTTTGTATAATGAAAATCATCCACCGGGTATATATCTATATATATTCGTGTTGACGGTGCAGTTCTAGCAAATCTGATTAACGTTAGCCTGGGCTTACAGATACTGTTAAAGTATAGTCCCCAAAATAAGGGAACATGGTCGCCCTATTTGGGGAGAGATATAATATGCTCAAAGAGGCTATTGGTTGCCTTTGCGAAGCATGGCTTTATATTTGTGGTTGGTTAGGAGTTCGGTCGTCGTTTTTGGTATCGCTGATCGTCATATCGATGCTCAGGAATGCAACCGACATTGCATTGATTGAATATAGATGTATTCCATTTCCAGAATTTCCGTAAGTTTGGCTACAAATGAGTCGAATAAGCCGTCGAGTCTAATTTCTCTACGTGAAGGTTTAAATTGATATCTTGGAACTAGGCCGGCTATGCATACTAATATATGAATCGAATAGTCGTTGTGAATAGAATGTGTTGTTGTGTTGCAGTGTGTTGGTTTGTCGGCTCTTGTGCGTTGTGTTATCGATAAGTGGGGGGTTTCTGGCTCTCCAAAAAATTCGGGGTCTTAGCCCTCTGAAAACTGAAAGAGGAAAATTTCAACTTCGCCTGAACTCCAACATCTACACATCACACCCTCGAAGTAGTCTCCACCAACGGGCTGATTGGATCCCTTGTCCCCAGCATCCGTCGACTCTTCATCTACCAGCTGCAAGCTAGCTTCCGACCTCCCCTGTTAGCTTGCATCTCGTCTCCGGACCCGACAAATTTTCTCCTCATCCGACAGCTTCTCCAACAGCTAAAACAACCAACATGCCTCCCGTACCGCACGCAAAACCCGAGAATGTGCTCAAGGTTAGCTTCGATACTACCCCTGCAACATCGAAAGACGGCCTAAATATCTTTTTACAAGCTGCTGGGAGATGGATATGTGCTCTTCGACAGCTGCTGACCCCTGGTTTTTGATGTATAGAGAGCTCAAGAGCTCATCGCGGTCAACCAAAGTGCCGCCGCTCTTCAAATCCTACACGAACATATAACCTCGAAGCGATCGAGGAATACCCCTATCGCGTCTCTGGAACCTGTTATTCTCCTTTTCATCGACCTCTGTGTCGAGCTACGGAAAGGTAAAACTGCCAAAGATGGCCTCTACCAATATAAAAACATCGCCCAAAATACAACGGTCCAGACCATTGAGGTATGATTCAAGCTTTCGCGTCCCTTATAAAATCGTAAATCGGTATCTAATACGTGTTTCTAGATGGTTCTGCGTACCTTCATCGAGAAGTCGGAGGCGAAGGTTACCGACGCGCAAAAGCTCGCTGAGACAAGCTTGGGAGATGTAGAGGACCTTGAAGCTACCGAGACACCTGAATCTCTTCTGATGGCTACTGTCTCCGGCGAGCAAACCAAGGACCGAACCGATAGGAAATATGTCACACCATGGCTCAAGTTCTTGTGGGAGACATACAGAACCATCCTTGATATTCTCCGGAACAATGCTCGGTTGGAGATTATGTACCAACAAACTGCGTCCCAAGCCTTCCAGTTCTGTCTCAAGTACACTCGCAAGACAGAATTCCGTCGTCTTTGCGAACTTCTCCGAAACCATCTTCAGAATGCAAGCAAGTATAGTGCACAAATGCATGCAATTAATCTTAATGACCCGGATACTTTGCAAAGACACCTCGACACTCGATTCCAACAACTTAATGCTGCCGTTGAGCTCGAATTGTGGCAAGAAGCCTTCCGCTCCGTTGAGGACATCCATAACCTCCTGACACTTAGCAAGCGCCCTGCAAAGCCGATTATGATGGCAAATTACTACGAGAAGCTAACACGCATCTTCCGAACTTCTGAGAACCACCTTTTCCACGCTGCAGCTTGGAACCGCTATCATAATTTGTTGCGGTCAAGCGCTGCTGCTGTGCAGGCGGGTTCCGTCACCAAGAAGGACCACCCCGTTACTAATGACGCGGAATTCTCTCGTGTGGCATCATTCGTTATTTTGTCGGCCCTCTCTATCCCAGTTATAAGCACCGCTAGGAGCAGAGGTGGGTTGACTGACGTCGAAGAAGCAAACAAGCGGACTAGGAGCTCGCGCTTGACAAACCTGCTTGGCTTGACTAATGCACCAACTCGATCTGGGTTGTTCAAGGATATTCTTGCTCGTGGGCTCCTTAAGAGGGCCAGGCCAGAAATCCGCGACCTTTACACGATCCTCGAAGTTGACTTCCATCCATTAAGCATCTGTAAGAAGATCGCTCCTATTCTCACCCAAATTGGTGATGACGAGGAAATGAAGCGATATGTTGCTCCGCTCCAGCAAGTCATTCTCACCCGTCTCTTCCAACAATTGTCCCAAGTCTACGACACTGTTCAGATGGACTTTGTATACAAACTCGTCACGTTCCCAGCTCCCTTTGAGATTGAGGCGAACACAATCGAAAAGTTCATCATGAATGGTTGCAAGAAGGGAGACCTTGCTATCCGTATTGATCATGCTACCGGATCACTTACCTTCGAGTCCGACATTTTCTCTTCGGTCAAATCTCTTCCAATTGGCACCACCAGCACACCCGACAAAGATACAGGTGTCCAACGTCTCCAGAGTACCCCACAAGAAATTGTCCGAACTCAACTTTCCCGACTTGCAAAGACACTTTACCTCACCTGCTGCTATGTCGACCCAAGTTTCGTCGAACAGAAGCAGCGCGACAAGGCCGAAGCTCTCGCGCGTGCCGAAGTCGGAGCCAAGAAAGAACACGAAGATACACTCAAACGTCGCGAAGTCATCGAACAGCGCAAAGAAGCACAAGAAAATGCTGCTGCTAACCTTCAGAAAGAAGAATCACGACTACGTGCTTTGCGTGACCGACACCGCGAAGAAGCTGAGCAACTCCGGCTTGAGGAAGAGAAGAAGAAGCGTGACCAGGAACGACAAGAGAAAGAGCGTGAAAGGATTCTCATTATGGAATTCTGGAAACAAGTTACTTCAATGGGTCTCACAGAGGCTGAATTCCGTGCTCAAGTCAAAGAAATCGGTCTTGATTTGCCCGAGAACGTCTCTACCCTCGATAACAACTTCATCCGCAAGGTCAAGATCGCCATGATGGAGAAGGAAAAGAAGGAGACCAACGAGAAGTTGCGCGTGACTAGCAAGCGCATTGACCATCTCGAGAGAGCTTACCGCAAGGAAGAAATTGCTCTTCTTGCTCAAGATTATGACGCCCAGAGGAAGAACGATTTGGATGCTCACAATGAGAAGGTTGCGCAGTTCTTGGCTGAGCATAAACAGAAGCATGAGGAAAATGTTGCTTTGAAGAAACGCCTTAGCCGACTCGTTGGCCATTACGAGACGTTCAGAGATGATGTTCGCTCTAGGCGTTCTGAAGAGTTCGAGGCTAGACGTAAGAAGGCTGAACAACAACTTCAAGTTGAAATGGATAAGAGACGTAAGCAGGTCCGCGAAGCTAAAGAGAAGAAGAGACGTGAAGAGGAAGAGGCAGAACGCCGCAGAATCGAGGAGGAGGAACGCTTGCTTAAGGAAGAAGAAGAGAGGATTGCCAAGGAAGAAGAAGAGGCAAAGAAACGAGAAGAGGCACGCAAAGAGCAAGAACAACGACGAAAGTATGCTATTTATTGCCGAACACCGATCTATTATTCAATATTCTAACCCATTTGTTTTTTTAGGGAACGAGAGGAAGCCGCTGCGAAACAGCGCGAGCGCGAGGAACAGGCAGAGCTTCGTGCCGAGGAACGACGACGAGAAAGAGCCGCCGCCGCCACCGCTCCTGCTCCTGCTCCTGCTCGTGAACGTGCCCCTCCACCAGTTCAACCTGAGGCTCCGAAGGAGGAATTCCGAGCTACCAGGGTTCCAGTTGTTGCGGGTACTGGTGGTTGGAGAGAACGTATGGCCGCTAAACAGGCTGCCGAGGCCGCTGCCACTGCGGAGGGTGCCGAATCACCTGCCGGTACTAACGGTGACAATGCCGCGCCTGCACCTCCTCCAACTGAACCAACTGCCGCCCCCGCTGAAGAAAGAAAGCCAGGCGCATACCGTCCCGGCGCTTTCCGCAAGCAAGGTATCAATGAGAATGCCATGTCGGCTGAAGAAGCTTCCCGCGAATCCCGTGGTACTCGTGAAGAACGTGAACCCCGTGAAGTACGAGAGGGAGAAGCGCCCAGTGGTCAACAGAGTCGTGCTGGCAACTGGGGCCGGAATCCACGCGCTGAAGGTGAAGGCGGTGAAGGAAAGTATCAAGCCCGTGGAGCACCCCGCGAAGGTGGTGAAGGCGGTGAACGGAAATGGCAACCTCGTCCGCGCGAAGGTGGTGAGGGTGGCGAGCAAAAATGGCAACCTCGTCGACGCGAGGGCGGTGAAGGACAGGAAGGTGAGCGACGTGAGCGACGTGAAGGAGAAAACAACGATGGAAAGTACCGCCCGGGCGCTTACCGTGGACGTGGCGGCGGTAATATGGGTGACCGAAGTGGAAGCGGTCGTGATGATGGTCGAACTGGCAGTGGCCGTGGTGGAGAAATGGGTAACAGAAGCGACAGCCGCCGTGGAGCTGATAAACCTGCTGGTGAGCGCGCCGCTGGCGGCAGCTGGAGGTAGTCTTCTTTCTTCCAGTGTTTTTCTGCGGCCGAAAGCCCAACTTTCTCGCTGGCTAGCACTTCGTACCACTTTGCAAGGCGTATATCCCTTCTTATTTTTTATATCATGCTTCCTCAACATGTGGCCCATATATTCCTCTTCCCCGCAAATCCCTGATACAGGCCTGGTCATTTCTTTGGCCTAACCCAACCTGAACAGGCATCATTCCCCTTCTCTTCCGACACGAGGGATACTCACAACCCACGTGCACTGATATGGGCACCTGTTTTTATGCTCTGGTTCGCTTTTACGTTTTTAATCCGCATTTCATCTTTGTTAGCCCTCCTCCAAGGCTCTACCTGTTTCACTTCTTTACTTTGTCCTGGAGTTTCTTCTTTTCGAAATTTTCTCTGTTCATGTTATGATCTACGAATGGCTCCATGGTCTGGTCCGTGGCGCCTCGACGAACAAAAGCTTTGAATGCATCATGTATGGTCGATAAAAGGGAAGGGAGGTGTGAATGAAATGCATTATACATATAAACCGTTCCCTGTAGATACATACTTACTTAAGTAAGATGTAGTACTAAGTACTAGTATATATGACTTATGGTTTATAGTTTAGTGGTGCTGTAGCGTGGGGGCGGGAAGCTGCATTCGATGTTGTACAGTACATAAAGGGCCTGCTGACCCCGCCGTGGTCAGGTATAAGCTTTTTGTAGCGCCCGCGTACCTGAAACCAGAGGTAAGGTAAATGCCTAGCTGCCTAGAAGCGATGTCATCGATGTTAATTCTTGGTCTTTTTCTTTATCTCTGATAAAAGTTAATCAATCAATCAATCGATCAATCACTATTGTCCTTCAAATTTCGGCGTTGCATTGTGGTGTTTCGCTCCGTACGCTAACGCTTGCTTCTTTTGGTGAATTCCAGCACACCTAAATCCAGCGCGAGCTTGGTCCAAATAGGTTCTTTCCGGCAACCAACCAACAATACTTTCATGTTCGCTATTTCCTTCGACACCTCATCTTCAACCTATCGCCCTTCGTATATAAATCCGCCCGCGTCTTCACCATTGTCAAGAAAGCAAGATCCGCGCCCGTTTTCGTTACATAATCCCCGAGGCTGGTCGGGATCATCCTCAATGGCGTTCAATACTGGCGGGGCTCACGCCCTTGGTGCGCCGTCGACAGAATATGCTAGTATTAGCTTAGATACGGAAATGTTGGATGAAGATGAGGTTATGGCCATGGGAGAGGTACGGGGCCATCCATCTCACCCTTTTTATCCTCTTAATTTTCAACTACGAGAGTGCTAGTGGGGATCGCGGACTTTTTTTTTTTCCCTGGCTCGCTAGCGTTTGAAGGACTAGAGTTAAGCTAACAGTGACGAAATGTAGACATCAGGACCAGCGGACTTTACATTAGAAACACCCGTGGACACCGAACCGGCACCAGAAAATGTCATTTCGAATAAAGTTCACCTCAGGGGTTTGGACAGCATGTCCTCGGATGATGTCAAGAACTGGATTGCAGGGCACTTTCCGGAACCAACTGTCGAGAAACTGGAGTGGATTGATGACACAAGTTTAAACCTGGTGTATAAAGATGAAGAGACGGCTTTGGCGGCGTTGAATGCGTTAAGTACCAATATTGGACGGAGTTCGAGGCCTTGGGAGTTAAGAGAGGCGAATAATAGTGAAGCTTTTCCATTGGCGAGGTTGGACATTAGATTGGCTTTTGTGACGGATAAGAAGGAGGTTTGTGGAGACTTGTACAAGATATGATTTGTGGAAAAGGCTAATGATATTTCCCCCTTTGGTATAACTAGAGAGGAGCGCGGGAACGAAGTCGATACTACTTGTTCCATCCGGAGGAAGATAGAGTTGAACAGCAGGAGAAGAAGAAAAGGGAACAAGAGAAGGAGCGACGGGAACGAAAAGAATATCGGAGGAGAGACTACGACGAGAGATATCGATCCGAATCTCGTGGTGAAGACCGGGAATGGAACGATAGAAGGCGAAGCAGATCAAGATACGATGAAGAGGATTCCCGTCGACGGGAGCCATTGGAGTTATTTCCAACTGGAGGAACAGCGGAAAGGCGTGGTGGTCGACGGTCAAGGTCAAGGTCACCGGTTGAATTATTCCCCGCGAAGGCAAAGAATGCTAGTATCGAGCTCTTCCCGGAAGCCACACCGAATGATGGCATGGAGTTGTTCCCGGAGAAGGCCAAAAACGCGAGCGTTGAGCTGTTCCCTGGCAGGAACGAAAATTCGGGGAGGAGAAGAGAGGCGAGCCCGAGTGGGCAGAGGAATGATACGCCACCTAGGACATTGTTTTCTATCGATGATCCGGTGGAGATGCCCAAGAGAGGGCAAAGCCCACAGAGGCAGAGAAGGGAAAGGGAAAGACCGAGGGATACGGGACGAACAATTGAGTTATTCCCCGACAGAACGGATAAGCCTAGATCTTTGGCGGACCGAATGGACAATCCTAGGAGTGCTACGAGGCCTTCAAAACATGATGATATGAATATGGGCGATAGTGGATTGTCAATTCGCGGTTCTGCTGGCGGAGGAATTAGTATTCGCGGTGCAGCTAGAGGTGCCGGGCATTCGAATGCTGGGATCGAATTGCTGCCAGACAAGGCCTCTAACAGTCTATTCAATCGAATCAGTGAACCAACAGGCAGTAGGCGGGGCGCAAGGAGGCAGAAGGCGGAAGATATGTTTGGCTAAGTCAAGGATATCTTCTGAAGATTTAATCTTAGCTAGTTCAGCCTGTCTGCAGCCCCAGATATCTCTTTTATTGCACTAGGGAGGTTAGTAGCCTGGCGTTTATCGCACAATTAACAGGCACCGAATCTAGAGTAAAGAGGACTCTCTTCTATTTTTTTTTGATTTCCTTTCTTTTGATCTTTTGATCTTTTTTGATCTTTTGATCTTTTGTGAAGATATATGCCGGGTACCTAAGCAGAATTTGAAGGGAGCCAGTCTGAGCTCAGCTTGCTCAACCCAGGGCATCTCGAACAGTCGGCTTCCTTCCACATATGCGTATCTAGCATGATTATATGCCATTCTGTATACTAAATACTATGCGGACACAGCCACAAATTTGAAGAAGCTCTCGCAAGAGTCATTCATGTAGTTTCGATACATTGTTGACACCGTAGTACTTTTATATGGTGGACAGCCTGACGTAGTTGTGTTGGCTAGGGATGATGTTGTTTATGTGGCTCTAACTGCGACGACGAATAGCTACCTCTCCCCACCACGCTGCCCACGGAAACTTTCTGCGATAAACGAGGCTTATTTGTACCGGTACCTCGAGCTTGAACTACTGTTATTTGGACCGAGCTGTGGTGTTTCTGTCTATTTCCAGCAAAGTGGTTCGGGATCTTGTTATATTGTGGACAGAAGCCCTCCAAATTTTCGGCGTCGTCAGTTGCACCACCCTCTGTTGACCTCATTCATATATCAAAGCTTCAACACGCACCCCACCGACTCTCTCTCTTATCCTTCTTCTATCCGTACCACATCATCGCCACCAACCAACCACGCCCTCTCCTAATCATCGCATACTCGACAATCGCATCGATAAGCTTCGGATAGGGCCAGGATGGATATCGAAGCTATCAAGGAAGCTTGGGCGCAGCAGGAAGAGCAGGATGGTGCTCGCTTAAGGTGCGTGTGTCTCCTGCGTGAGATATATAACTGTCTACAGACGACATGTATCTTGGATCTTCAAATTTCCCGTCACGCTGACATTGTCGGTCCTTTCTACTAGTTGGAATATCTTCCCAGGGTCCCGACTTGAGGCAAGCAGACTTGTCGTCCCTATCGGTGTCCTCTACACTCCCTTGAAAGAGAAGGCAGACCAGAACTATATCGTCCACTATGAACCTGTCACATGCAGAAGCCCGTGTCGGGGTGTTCTTAACCCTTACTGGTAAGCCATTGCTCGATCTATCACCTATATTTTCAGTCTCAAGTTATAATAGCTGATTGTAGCTCTTACTATATAGCCAAGTCGACACTCGCGCAAAGCTTTGGATATGCCCGTTCTGTCTCAATCGCAACCAGTTCCCGCCTCACTACAAGGATATCTCCAATAACTCTTACCCTCCCGAACTCCTCCCCCAGTTTTCAACCATTGAATATGCTCTTGCGAGACCGGCTCCGGCCCCTCCAATCTTCTTGTTCGTCGTCGATACTTGCCAGGAGGAAGATAGCTTGAAGGCACTCAAGGACTCTATCATTGTCAGCTTGAGCATGTTGCCACCTACCTCCCTTGTTGGTTTGATTACATACGGAACAATGGTATGGATGCCTCGAAAATCGTATGGATTGTTTGAAGCATCATTATTTTAATACGGTTTATCATAGGCCCAAGTTCACGAGCTCGGATATAACGAATGCCCCAAATCCTATGTATTCAGAGGAACCAAGGAATACTCCGCCAAAACTGTGCAAGAAATGCTCGGAATCATCAATCCCGGCCTTCGACCCCAGCAACCACTGCCACAAGGTCAACGCCCGCCACCTCAAATGGGTGCTGGTGCTCGTTTCCTGCTCCCTGTTGCGGCTTGTGAATTCCAGCTCACAAACGTTCTCGAGCAACTCCAAAAGGATCCCTGGTCCGTCGCCAATGATAAACGCCCTCTAAGGTGTACCGGTGTTGCCCTGAGTGTCGCTGTAGGATTATTGGAGTCGTCTTTCGCCAATACCGGAGCGAGAATTATGTTGTTTTCTGGCGGACCTGGAACCGAAGGCCCCGGTATGGTCGTTGGACCTGAATTGAGGGAGCCCATTAGATCCCACCACGACATTGAACGGGATAACATCAAGTACTATAAGAAGGCAATGAAGGCAAGTCAGCCTGATAGATATGTTCTCGATGGAAACGGCAACTAACAAAAATCAATAGTTTTATGACGGCCTTGCGAAACGAACTGCGCACAATGGCCACATCATTGATATATTTGCTGGTTGTCTTGATCAGGTCGGGTTATTGGAGATGAAGGGTCTCTCAAATTATACCGGTGGACATATGATCTTGACCGACAGTTTCAAATCTTCAATGTTCAAGCAGAGTTTCATCAAGGTTTTCGACAAGGATGCTAACGAAAACCTGCAGATGGGTTTCAATGCTTCACTCGAAGTCCTCACCACCAAGGAGCTAAAAATCACCGGCTTGATCGGACACGCCATCTCCCTCAACAAGAAATCAACCTCCGTTGGTGAGACTGAGTGTGGTATTGGAAACACATGCTCGTGGAAACTGTGTGGTATTACGCCTACTTCTACCGTCGCCACATACTTTGAGGTCGCGGGTCAAGCTGGCCCACCAGCCCACCAACAAGTTCCACAGAAAGGGTTAATCCAGTTCTTGACTTACTACCAACATTCTTCAGGCCAATACCACCTTCGTGTTACAACTATCGCCAGAGATGTCAGTGCTCCAACCGGTGACCCAGCTGCTATCGGACATTCCTTCGACCAAGAAACTGCTGCTGTTCTTATGGCTAGAATAGCTGTCTTCAAGGCCGAGGTTGATGATGGCCCAGATGTGCTACGTTGGGTTGATCGAATGCTCATCAGGTTGTGTTCGCGATTCGCGGAATACCGAAAAGATGATCCGACTTCCTTCCGTCTTGAGAAGAACTTCTCGCTTTACCCACAGTTTATGTTCCATCTTCGACGCAGTCAGTTCTTGCAGGTTTTCAACAACTCGCCTGACGAGACTGCGTTTTACCGACATATTTTGAATAGAGAAGATTGTAGCAACTCGCTTGTGATGATTCAGCCGACTTTGGATACGTACACTTTCGACCAGCCGTCACAGCCTGTACTGCTTGACTCTACTAGCATACAACCTACCCATATTTTGTTGTTGGATACTTTCTTCCATATCTTGATTTTCCATGGCGAAACTATTGCCGAGTGGAGAAAAGCAGGGTACCAAGACCAAGAGGGATATGAGAACTTTAAGGAGCTACTACAGCAACCGAAGGACGATGCTCGCGTAAGTCCCCCCATGCAGTAAGGTTGAAAATAGGCCCAAAGGTGAGTTACTGAGCAGGATATTTTACGTGATAGGATCTCATTCAAGACCGTTTCCCTCTTCCACGTTTCATCGTTTGTGACGCTGGTGGGTCTCAAGCTCGTTTCTTGCTGAGCAAGTTGAACCCGTCGACGACGCATACAACTGGAGCATACGGTGGTGGTACTCAAAACGCGCAGACAATCTTCACCGACGACGTGTCGCTACAAACATTCATGGAGCACTTGATGAAGTAGGTCCACATATCATCCATCATTTCATGTGGGAGGTGTTAACATATAATTCTCTAGACTGGCTGTCACCGGTACGAATTGAACGCATTCGGCAATCCTGGCACATGTGTAGTTTTTAAGCTAACCTTGGTCTTTCTTCTTTTTCCTCTTTTCGTTGGTTCAAGAAAAGGCGTAAATCAGTGAATAAGCTGTCTTTTAGTAATTTGTTCCTTCGTTACCACGCACCGGCTTTCCTTGACTCTGGGCTTAGGCTCTGGCCCAAACTCGAACTTTGACCTGGACTTTGACATTGGCTTGGGTGTTGGATTCAAACACTGGAAGTTGGTACTTGGGGTATCGCAGGGACCTGGCATTTATTTCTTGGACAAAATTCTTTCAGCCGAGTTTCATTATCTTTTGCATTCGTGTGTCTTTATTATTGTCTACAGAAGCTTGTCGAATCTTGAATTTATTAGTAATGGGGGACAATCACTATAGTATATAGCTAAGTAAGTAAGTGCTCAGGTGCTTGCCTCTAGGTTTACTCATTTTGGCTACGAACCACCCAATATATTGGGTGGTTTTTGTAGAGGCGGTAGTGTTGTATTTTGTCGATCAACACAACTCTGTGAAATCGGCATCTCATGCAAGGGGTTCAATAGATCTAACTTCGACATTTTATTCCGGCCTCAGGTATCTAAGTCCCGATGTATCGGTAATTAGGTATTGTGAATTTATTCTCTAGATGAAGAACTTCAATTACCACGATTGTAGTGCGAAATCGTGTTTGCATTTAATTGCAAGCCAAAAAGTGTGAACATACACGTGAAGGATTGGGCCATATGTACGGCACAGCAACCTCGTTTCGTCTCGAACCCTCGCCTCGCTGGCCAATGCAGCTGCGTGGCATACCGACTCACAAGTTGCATAGAACGCGCGCTAGCAGCCTGTCCCACTAATAGTTTATGGTCATTTTTTGTGGGGCTGGCTGTATTATATGATGCCTGAATTTTAACGAAATTCTGGTATTTAAGAGCTGAGATTTTCCCTGGAGAGATCTCGTGTGTTACGAGGATGTCGTCTGATCACTTTTTGACGATTTACGGACGAGGCTGTTATATTTCGTTTTGCTTACTTTATTTTTATTTTTATTTTTTATTTTTTATCTTTTAAAGTATATCGTTAATCTCGGCCGCTGATGAGGTTCGACTCAAGAGGCGAGGCTGTTAAATTTATAAATGTTACGCAGGGCTGATATACATACCTAAGATCCATGGCGCTTAGCGGTTGACTGTCCTAACTTTTGCTTACCGGCTTCTAGCGATTAATATTAACCAGGCATAGTTCTTTTCATTATTTGAGAAGAACAAGAAGGAAAGGTCGCCATTAAAAGTACTAATAGATTAAATAGACTATGCTATGGACAAATAAGTAGCAATGCAGGACCACTACGCTATTCTCGGTATTTCCAGAACGGCGACGGGAGAAGAAATCAGGCTGGCATATAGGGTGGCAGCTCTGAGAACACATCCAGACAAAAATAGGGGTTCTGAAACAGCGACTGACGAGTTTAAAAAGGTATGGTCCATATATATTGTATTGAAGTATTTTCTTTAGAACGGTAGACATTTTCTTTGAGCCGTTTATACATATTTGGATATCAGTTGCTGAGTAAAAGCTTTTGTTTCCCCTCTCTTACGAGAATAGGTCAATGCAGCATACGAATGTCTCTCTGACTCGCTAAAGCGAAGCGCTTATGATCGTACATACAAACCGGCTGCTTCTCCGTTTAACAAACCGTTTACGAATACCTCCTCCTCGTCATCGTCTAGACCGAGCTATAATACCACTAACTCTTCCTCATCCTCTTCGTATTCTTCCTACGACCCGAGAAACTACGCTACACCGTCAGATATCCTACAAGAGGAGGTCAAATTAACCCAGAAATGGCGTTCCCATAATCTTCAAAAGATGGGTATGGAAACCCGGAAAAAAATGTACAATGATATGAAAGAAAAAATTGCCGAGCTGAAGAGGCAAATGGAACAAGTTCGTGAAGAGATGAAAAGGCGAGAAGAAGAGAAGAAGTGGAAGACTACACGTACTTGGATTGGAGGGTGGGTGTGGGGGGATGTAGTCCTACCGGAAGAAGAGGTTAGACGGTATGAGGAAGCGGATCGTGAGAGTTTGATGAAACTCACTAGTTTGAGGGTTAAAATTGCTAAAGAAGAGACTGAGTTTGGACGTATGGGAGATTATCCAAGCCAGTGGGAAGAATGGGAGAGACAAGATATTATTCGACAACGAGAGGAGAGTGCCCTGAAGGCTAAAAAGGAGCGGAGGAAGAAGGCTGATCTAGAAGAAGCAAGAAAGAAGGCAGCGCAAGAACAGCGAGAGAAAGAAAGAAAAGCCAGGGAGGCGGCTGAGCAAGAACAGCGAGAGAGGGAGAGGAAGGCTAAAGAGGCGGCTGAGAAACTAAGAGAGGCGGCGAGAAAGGCTAGAGAGGCCGCAGAGAAAGCTCGAAAGGATCAAGAAGAAGCTGAGGCCCGGGCTTGGGCTGAAGAGGTCCGGAAGTCCCAGGAAAGGGCACAGAGGGCCCGAGAAGAGCGTCGTAAAAGAGCCCAAGAGGCAAAAAGAGCCCAAGAGGCACAGAGAGCCCAAGAAGAACGTCGTAAAAAAGCTGAAGAGGAGAACGCGAAAGCCTGGGCAGAATATTGGAGAAGGGAAGAGGCCGAGAATCGACGACGAGAAGCCCAGGAAGAGCATCGTAAAAAAGAGGAAGAGCGCCGTAAAAAAGAAGAAGAAGCTGAAAGGTTTCGTAAAGCTGAAGAAGCTCTAGAGAAACAATACCAAGAATATGTACGAGGGCGGGAGCGAGCTCGAGAAGAGGCTCGGAAAAAGGCCCGACAAGAAACACATGTACCGGCCAACCTCGACGAGCAGCCAGATAAGAAGACACCGACACACGAAGGGCTCGACGAATTTTTAAAACGGATGGAGAAGCGGTACCATCAGCAGCAGCAGCAACAAGAAGAGCAGGGGCAACAGCAGGGGCAACAGCAGGGGCAACAGCAGGGACAACAGCAGAATCAGAAACAGCAGGATCAGAGAGCCAAAGGGAATCCGGGGCCATCTCGAGGCGCACAAACCCGACGACCCCGAAGGACCCCAAACCCATCATCGTCATCATCACAGCCTCAAACCGCCTGCTCTCATCAAGGATACTGGTCAAAGATTAATATTTCTTCCGAGGATTGTACGGGCTGCAATAAAAATTACAAGAGTTTTATTTTCGAATGTCCCGGATGCCAAACTAGGACATGTGCTAGTTGTCGAGACAGACTTAAAGGAAAGACGACGACCCCGAAAGCAAGAAACAACGGTAGGAGAGCGGGGGGAGTTAAGTAGGGAAACTTATGGCTCTAAATTATCTTGGTAGCAACTTTTCTTCAAAAGTTATTGGGAAATATCGGAATCTTTTCATGCAAACTCCTCCAGCCCAGGCTCATGATTGCATGCTTCATTGAAGACTCGTCAAGTTTGCAAATCATATGTACACGCATATATGCATATGCGGACACTACATAGGTACATCCCCAAGCCGACTAAATTGGGGTTTCTTTAGTCTTTTTTTCTTTTCCTGCGACCAATTATTTGATGTTATAAACTTATTAGCGTGTATTTGAGCTAGCATTTTAGCGATATATATAAGTAGTTACTAGTACACAGGTTACGTGTATGTCTTCAGAAATGTTAGACCCGCAGTATACAGCAGCGAAAGTGTCTAAGTTAACTTCTTGATAACATACGTAAATATAATATTAAGTATCGATTGTATGAATATAAATGCCCACGTATACGTATGTAACTTCCAAGTCGCAGCCGCGTATGCTAGTTAAACAACCTGCCAAATATAATTCACCAGTACAGAAAGTGATATTATAGAATATAATAGAACCGGTAGCCTGATCATGATCATGGCCGTATGACTAATTGCCGCGGCTTCTGTTGTGTGTAACTTCTGAAATGGTCGCGCAAAAGGTTCACTGTCCGGTATTGGCAGTTACGACAAGGTTTTTTATACGTCAACGATTGCTTTGAAATCAATAAGGCCCTCCTAATGAAATAGTATATATTGACCGACTGTTATCTCCATATCGATATAGTTTATTCTCCCTCTAACTCTTCGGTAATCGTCGAATTAAGAAGGTCGCCAAAAAGAAAAAAAAGAAGTCTTTTTATCCACGAAGAACTAGCACCAAAAGAAGAAAGCCTGAGGCTTTGGAGACACAGGGAATTGAACCCGGGACCTCATCCAGACTGTAGGATTATATCCCACGCTAAGGAAGCGCTCTACCAACTGAGCTATATCCCCCAACTTGCGACACATCGTCTTCAGCAGGCAAACTCGAACCCGAGATCGTTCCGTCCGCACCCTGTTGTCGAAGTTTTTCAGACAGTCGGCCCGAAGTCCTCCCAATCGAATCTTACCTGGCCGTTTTATCCCACAACAACACAGAAAGCATTGTGAACGTTCGAACGTTTATAGCCGTTTTAACCGAAGTCCAAGCTAAGCTAAGCCCCGAGCCTCAAGCTTCAAACTGGCATCTAAAATCATTCCCCGCGTTCTGAAAAATACCTTCAAGAGGGTATCAGAACCGAAGATGCATCCGAATTTTACCATAATATCTGGCGGACAAACTGGACCTGATACTGCTGCCCTCAGAATCGCAGTATCTCACCGGGTACCATACGATGGCTTCGTCCCTCACGGGTTTATCAACGAAAGAGGTCGTATCTCTGAAGAATTCATATCGTCACCTTACGGTAGCCTGCGGGAAACTCGGTCCTCAGGGTCAGCAGAGCGGACGAAGCTAAATACCGAGGAAGCCGATGGGATATTAACTTTATCCTTTTGTAAGGAAGAGGATATGGCAAATGTTTCTGCGGGCACTGAGATTGGCGTTGAAGTTGGGAAGGATCAGAAGAAGGATATGTACTTTGTGAACTTAAGGAAGTTTAGGGAGGAAGGGGGAGGGGAAAGAGAAGTCGATGCTGTTATTAGGTGGCTCGATGAGACGAATGTTGAGAGGTGCGCGATAGGGGGCCCGAGGGAAAGTGAAGAGCCCGGTTTAGAAAAGGAAAGTGAAGAGTTTTTGAATAGAATATTGGAGAAAGTTAAGGCGAGGGGGTGGAGGAGTATTAGATTTGGGGGTGGGCCACCGGTAGAAAGGGTCGGGCCGTTCTTGAAGGATAATAGATGGACATCATGATTGGCTACTGTCAGTCATCGAATCCACATACATCTCAATAAAGGAGCGTCTCTTTATCAATACATAGTATTCAAGAATAAGATTATTTGGGGCAGTGCAGAACGGATTGTATCTAGAAGGCTTTAGAACGTAGTTGTATCGGTTTTTTATAAAGTTAACTACCGGAGCGCTCGAAATTTTTTACGTAGATTTGTATAAAAACAAACTATCATCAACAAGGAATATAATTCAAATTCTAGAAAAATACTGAAAAAGAAACAAAGAGAATTGAAGGGACGTCTATTTCCTAACACCTAATCTTCTCTCAATCTCCTCGCAGACGGCTTCAGTAACTTGAATTGTTGTCGCATTTCCACCTAAATCCACGGTCTTAACTCCCTTCTCACAGACCTGCTCGACGCATTCCATCAATGTATTACTTGCATCTTCTTCTCCTAGCCAGGCTAACATCTCTGCGGCGGTCCAAAAGGTAGCGACAGGGTTGGCAATACCTTTTCCAGTAATGTCAAAAGCCGAACCATGAATAGGCTCAAACATGCTAGGATTCTTCCTTGTCGGGTCAAGATTTGACGTTGGAGCAATACCTATTGATCCAGCCAGTGCCGCAGCAAGATCGGATAAGATATCAGCGTGCTGTACACAGATAAAGTTAGCATATATAACACCTTTTAGATTGAAAAAAAAAAAAAAAAGGGGACACTGAATAAGACTTACTAGATTGGAGGCAACAATGGTATCAAGCGTCTCCGGTTTCAGCGTCATTCTCACGGTCATAGCATCAACCAACATCTTATCATAGGTAACATCTGGGAAATCCTTGGCTACCAGCTCAGCAACCTCGTCCCAGAGAACCATGCCATTTCTCTGGGCATTACTCTTCGTTACAACCGTCAGGAGTTTCCTAGGGCGAGAGCGTGCTGTTTCGAATGCAAACCGTATCAACCTTTCCACGGCATGCCTGGTGAAGATAGCGACTTCAGTAGCAACCTCCCAAAGTTGACCTATATGGGAACGACCACCTTGGCCAGCATATTCTCCCTCAGAGTTTTCCCTAACAATAACCCAGTTTAAATCACCAGGGTTGCAATTTCTCAATGGAGACTGTGTTCCCTTAAAAATCTTTGTGGGTCGGACATTGGCATATTGCTGAAACGGCTGGCAAATAGCCAATCGTAACCCCCATAGAGATATATGATCTGGGACATTAGGTGCACCGACGGCACCGAAAAGAATTGCATCAAATTCTTTTAGACGCTCGAGACCACCGTCCGGGATATATTTCCCAGTTTTGAGGTAAAGGTTCGAACTCCAATTGAAATGTTCAAATTCAAGGTTAAATGTGTAGAGGGCTTTAGTGAGGCATTTGAGAACGGTAATGCCGGCTTCCACGACTTCCGGCCCGATTCCGTCGGCTGGGATGGAAGCGATCTTGTAAGTGGGTCGGCCTCGATTGGCTGTTGGCGACATCTTGGCTGTTTTAGGTAGCCGAAGGTTCAGGATATATAAGTCGGCGTGGAAATGGTTGAAATTATTTATAACAGCGCAGGATATCAAATATTTGGTATCAATGGAAGATGGAGGATTGAATGGTGATTTGATGAGCCAAGAAGAACACCCTCCTCCGAGTCCCCATCTTTATAGCTTTTAAAATGTTTTCCATCGTGGAGTAAAGTTCCTTGAATTGCGAGGTTTGAGGATAATCTTGCGGAGAAACACTTTTCCGCATGAAAATGCAACACTCTTAACCACCAATTGGCGGCTTCGGTCCGAAGAGGCTATGTATTTTGATATCTCTTTTACTTTTTTCAATTACATTTGATGACCAATATTTCGCGATTTTGACAACAATATATTGACTTTCCTAAGGCTTGAGACTCCTTTTTTTGCTAAGACATCATCAATTAAAGTCCTTGTAAGGCTTAATCGCGCCGCCACAGCTGCTCTAACTGGGTGCCCCCTCCCTAACTCCCGGCTTCACGATGGCGACGGTAGAGCTCGAGGTTGAACGAGTGCTCCAACTCATTCTTCCTCGTATCAAAAGTCATATTTCAGCGCCTCCATCGATTTTCGAAAAAGGCTCGTACCAGCGACCATTCAAACTCGCCGTCACGGGGCTTCAAGGCAGCGGGAAATCCACATGGAGCGCGGGAATCGTCGACGCGATCAATAAAACAGGACTGAAAGCGAAAACACTATCACTAGACGACTTGTACCTGCCACACGAGGGGTTAGTAGCCGTCCGTGAGTCCAACCCCGGAAATAGACTCGTAAGAACACGGGGGCAGCCGGGGACACATGATTTAGAGCTTGCAAAATGGTTTTTTGAACAATTCGACCAGCCGACGACGGGGGAGAAGCTCTTTCCAATATTCGACAAGAGCAAATTTGGTGGAGAGGGCGATAGATTACCAAAGTCAGAGTGGCATAGTTCGGAACCTCGGGAGGTTGTTGATGTCCTGGTTTTCGAAGGATGGTGTATGGGATTCCAAGCGGTGTCGGAGATAGCGCTGCGAACAGCCTGGGAAGAAGCACGAACGGTAGTGGCCGCATCTACTGATGATGCGGATATAAAACTTCCAATAAGGACTATTGCGAATCATGAACTCGAACATTTGAACTTTATCAACCAGAGACTAGGCGAATATAACGACATGTTTATGGGGCCACAACACTGGGATTATTTGGTTCATCTTGATACAGACGATCTAAGAAACGTCTATGCTTGGCGGTTAGAACAAGAAGCTTGGCTGTGGAAACTTAAGGGCACGGGGATGTCAGATGAAGCGGTGATAGAATTCAGTAGGTCTTCGAGAACTATTTTATGCGGTTTGCCACTGACAACGTTTATCATCATACTAGTTAAAGGATACATGCCCGCCTACGAGTTGTACCTCGGGAATCTAAGGCAAGGGTTCTTCCAGGCGCTTGGGGAGAGAAAAACGAATTGTCAGTTGAGTATGAAGCTAGATTCTGCGCGGAGGATAGTAGAGATACGGGAATTTTAAATTTGGGTCTATAGTCTTAGTTTTATCAAGGTAGAACCGATACACAAAAGGCTTCTAATTGTATGCTTAGTGATATTATATGTTAATATTATCAGATCGCCTATCTATATTCCTGAGAACTCAAGTAGTTGATTCCAATTAGATACGAATATGCCGACGAAAATTTCTGTCGGCTCCTGTTAAATGGGTTTGACTCGAAAAATTGTTATGGGATTAAAACCAGCCGGAATTTTGATCTAGCACTCTTTGTACACCCTCTGAGACTGTATATTTTTTTGTTGCTTGTAAATCCGTTTGCGAATTTCGAGAGTAAGATTGTCCGCTGTCAGCTGCCGCTACTTGAGTCGGAATTCCTGTAGATTGTGTATATGGGTCGTTCAGCTGGCTTGGCACAATTGGCGGATAGCTAACAATCGAAGAGCCGCTCGTAGAAGGTCTGGAGTAAAGTTTCGCCGCATAGTTCCCGGCAAAATCTATAGGCAAAGATCCACTATTTTGACTTGTAGGGAAGTATGCGTGGGGTTCCAGGGGCACGGCAGGTTGGATTGTGTGACCAATATGCCCATGTATACTTCGGCTGCGCTGATCAGACATTTGGTTGTTCGATGAACCCGGTACTTGAGATCCGGTATCGGTTCCAAAACTCGATTCTAGGGATGCATGGCTCGAATTATCATCCAGAGCGTCTTCAAATGCCGCAATTGGTGATAATGACAGTGCTCGTGTGCGTTCTTCCGGCTCTTCGGCCATAACTCTTCGAGCCTTGGGTGGTCGGGGAGAAGGCGGCTGTTGCTTCTTTGACCACCATGAAAATACCTCCGCCATTGAACTAATTGGCCACCGTTGCCATTCGTCTTGCTGTTCACGCTTTTCCGCCGATGTATCTGGTGTCCTCCCGCCTTTTATCCCTTTATGGTTTAAAGATGATAGTTCAAGATAGTCAAGAGCCTTTTGTTTTTTGAGATCTATTACTTGATCATTCATAGTTTCTAGATAGTTCGGAGAGGGCTGCCGTATTGTAATTGAATGAACTGGTGCCAATTCGAGAATTAAAGAAATCGAAAGTGACAATGCTGCCTCTGTGTCAGCTAGTCTCTGTTCCAGAGCTATCAGGTAGCCCGATGGTAATCCGCGTGGGTTAGGTCTCAGATAATGACAAGCCGACGGAGTGCGTGTGCACATCGAGCAAAATGGGCTGTGTATGTGGGATACATTGGGTTAGGATGTAATCAGTAATAATGGGACGGAATGAATTACCTAGCACCATCACACTGTGATAATTTCGGGATATATGTTAGCCACTATTGAATAGTTCATAAAGTGATACTAGGGCTTGTATTCGTGAATTTGGCTACGGAAGAAAAACACACTGACATGGCCACCAAATTGGGCGATGCTTTTTGGGAATAAACGAATGAAAAAGGCCCGTGGGTATGAGTTTGGCTTACCTTCCTTTTCTTCCTTTTGCATGGTTCGCAAGCAGTCGTTAATCTCGGCGCGCTTCTCTGCTGCATCTTTCAAATCCGGTTTACCGAAAAATTTCACCGTTCGACAATGGTACAAGCGGACTTTCTTTCTTTGTTTACGCTACCCCGTATTTCGAAATTCGCCTGCAGGCAAGTGAAATGTCTAGTGCTGTTAGAAATTGGAATTCGTCTACAAAGTTAGTATTACAGTTATTAGTAATTTGTGGAGAAAACTAAGAAACAGTAGAGGAGAAACGTTCTCCGCATAGCCTGTGGCGAAAAGCTGGGGAACGAAGCGGCTGAATCTTTATCCGCACACAAACCTGGGTGATAAAATGGGCCTAAGATCCCTGGATGGTGACACCGCAGCACCGCCCAATCTAGCAAGTCCACCTGCGATATACCACAACAACGCACCTCCTGTTAGATTTTTTCAGATTTTTATCGGTCAATATGGCAAACTTGACTTCTGTTGAGAGAAACGAGAAAAAAGACGAAGTAGAGTGTATTGAGAGTATTAATGGGCAGAAAGAAGTTCCTAATAATGATCAGAGGGACCATTTTGGGTCAGCATTGGAAAGAGGCCCCGCTGAAAATGCTCTCGTCCGAAAACTGGATTGGAGGATCATGCCTACTTTGTGGGTTATGTATTTCCTCAACTATGTAAGTTGCTGACATCGGCCCCCTTTAGTGGCAGTATATCCTAACAGTATTCGTGTCTCTACAGCTGGATCGGAATGCGATTACGTCGGCACGACTGAACAATTTAGAAAGCGATCTCGGACTTGTTGGTAACCAGTACAACACCTGTATTTCTATTCTCTTCGTAGGGTAAGTGAAAGCTACAGTGACCAGTTCTTAGGATTATATAAGTGCTGATGAAGTACGATAGCTATTTATTGATGCAGATCCCATCCAATATGATTATGTCGTCCAAGAAGATCCCGCCGTCCAAGTACATGGCCTCCTGTATGGCCGCTTGGGCGATTGTATCTGCCTGGTGAGTAGCCTTATCTCATTCAGTTATAATAAAATCGAAAAATAATATTAAGATATTCTTAGCACAGCTCTTGCAAAAGACTATAAGGGCTTAGTGACCGTTAGATTCCTGCTTGGTGTCACAGAAGCCCCCTTCTACCCTGGCGCTCTCTACCTTCTTTCGGTATTCTACACCAGAAAGGAGATCGCTACCAGAGTAGCTATCCTCTATGCCGGAAATATTCTTGCTTCTTCATTTGCCGGCTTGATTGCTGCCGCTACTTTTGAGACATTGGATGGCGCACACGGGGTTCAGGGCTGGAAATGGCTGTTCATCATTGAAGGGTCCGTGACTTTCGGCGTCGCTATAATCGCCGCATTTCTCCTACCCGACCAACCCGAAACAACCACATGGCTTACTCAAACGGAACGAGAGCTAGCCGTTCAAAGGATCGAAATAGACACTGCCGAATTAACTGACGACACTAAGCCAATGGAGGGTCTGATTGCAGCTATCAAAGACCCGCGAATGTACCTCTTCGTTTTCATGCAAAACATGCATTTATCCGCCTGCTCATTTAACAATTTCTTCCCCACTGTCGTCGGAACTCTTGGCTTCAGTCGAACGATTACATTACTTCTGACTTGTCCGCCATATCTTGTTTCGGCATTTGTTGGTTGGGGTGTTGGTGTTTCATCCGGCAAGTTCAATGAGCGGACTTGGCACATTACGTTGTCGATGGGCGCAGCACTCGTTGGGTTCATTATTGCCTGCACAACCCTGAATACCGCGGCACGCTATATCGCTTGTTTTATGTTCGCTTCAGGGGCCTATGCTGTTAATGGAGTGATATTGGGATGGGTCACCGCCACATGCGGACAAACGAAACAGAAGAAAGGCAGTGCTTTGTCTTTGGTTAATGTCGTTGCAAATGCTTCATATATCTATACAGCGTACTTGTATCCCAAGAGCCACGGGCCACGTTATCTTCCAGCTATGTCTGCCAATGCCGCATTTGCATTTGCGACGATTGCATCTGCTTGGGCTATGAGGGTTTGGTTGAAGGCAGAAAATAGGAAGATCCAGAGGAGTGGGCTGAGCAACGAAGCCGTTGCCTTATTTGCCTACTAGAATACCAATCTACAAGTTAGCTCTATCAAAAGCATGAGAAGGGTTTGTAGTTAGGAGTGTATATCAAGAATGATCTTTCATCGGTACCGCGGTGTTAAACGACCTTGCGCATATCAATATCAAACACAATTATGTATTACGAATATATTTACTGCTAGTTTACAGGCCGGTCGCCTCTCGCTTTGAATAACAGGTGATTTATTCAGCATGTCAGCTACTTGAAATTTATTGGAAGACTGACCTTGTCAATAATTATATAACCAATTGATTGAATTTGTTGAAACAAAATTGAAGCCACCCATATACCCTAGAAGGGGCGATGCAATGAATGTGGGTTAACTATTCGATTTGTCAAGTTACATCGCATTGGGTCGTTGCCTAGGCCGCGAATACGCGTAAAAACGGGAAACTCTAGATCCGACCTCGCAGGTCGTTATAGAGCTACTTCCGCGAACCAGGTAATAAAAAGGGTTTCGAATGCAGCTGCAGGCCGGGAGACATTGACCCCGATTCACCGTTTAAAGCTCCACAACGGTATCCTGGAAGGGCGCAGCCATTATTTCAATAATTTCCTTTTCAGTGTTGATCTCCTTAACGGGAAAGTGGGTCGTTTTGCGTCGGAGAAATAAACCTGGGTCCTATACCTATGGAAAGTGCGTTTTCAATTGGGGCCTTTGTTGAAATTCGATTCAAAGAATTTTAGAGAGTTGAGCTATAGCTATATCCCAAGTTTTATATGTATATGCGTATCTCTAGTCCGCATTTTTTTTTTCGAAAGTTCCCACCTTCCCTCTCATCAGATTTATAAATATTATTTCAACTCTGATCTGCCAATCATATGCCCGAAAGTACTCTACCCAGAGACACTTAATTAGCACAATCACTTGAGGGAAATTTTCTTACATCAATGATTGACAAGCCTTAGACCACTGCAGCAGCTCTACATATCACCCTACACACCCGCTTCGACCATACGGGGGCACAATTGGAGTCAGGGCAAAAAAGTTAACAACGCTAGTTTTATGCTCATCTTCCAGATACTTTCGCGCTTTTACTATTAGATTGAGGTTCATCGTAGCCCAAGGTTTCTTATTCTAATAGGTTAAGTTACAATATCAACGTTCATGCGTGTCCGTTGCTTAGACGCGGATTAAGTTGACATATTTAGTACAAAATTATCTTGTTGCATTTTAGGGTACCTACTCCGCATTAGGATAACTCGAAACCTCACTTTAAGTATTAACTTCCATAAACGGAAACCCAATTCCCGAATTAGGTACATGCTTAAGAATAAAACGATGACCCAACACATGAAATTCGCTTGCCCGCAATGCTCAGCTGATCAGGAGGAGAGGTTACACAAACGGTGGCCCAGGCTCAGTATCATAGAAATAGAATGATTCTTCATTCCCCATATTCATTCGTAAGCTGTTAAAGAGTGCATCTGCGTTGAACTCTGATGTAGCTCTCAAGTCAACTGACGAACCAGGTTGCCCAGGGAAAAAGTTCAAAGACTGGTCATCGAGTAGATTTGGAACGTCAAGGAGCCAGAGCACTTGGTTTTCATCCAGGGACCCTTGACTCGGAGAAGGTGCGACAGGTTGATTCGTATCTATTTCAAATTCGGATCTAGGCTGGCCAGATAGGGCAAATTCAGAGTTTCCCGCCGTATTTGCGACATTGGATTGTGTAGAGTAGGGCATAGGGGCACCAGATTCTATGGCAGTCATTGAGGGTGAGGCAGCTCGGTTTTCGATATCTGTCCTACCGGACTCTGGAACTACATCGGTTCGCTTTCGCTTTCCCAGCAGTGCGCCTGAGGTGGATGTGGTGTTGGAAAACCCTCGTTTTCTGCACATTAATTGGAATAAGGCTCGGAGGGCAACTTCACACGCCTTCGGTTTACCAGGGAGTCTGAGTGAAAGATGTTCGAGAATTGACCAAGTTGACTGAATATCCCTAAAAATAATAAAGATTTCGTTCAGCAACCCTAGGCGTTTTTACAGCTATAGACTGGAAGCATATATATCCTACCTATTAGCAGAGTCGAGAGCAACGCCACCTTCGAATGCGGCAAATATTACTACAAGACCACTCATCCATATCGTTGAAAGCATAACATGCCATAGCATAGGATACTCGACCTTTCCCTCTCCTGATTTGTAGCGAGAAAGATACCGTTTTGTTAACGATATTATCGCTCTTGCTGATGAAAGACAGGTGAGAATTGCGACTGGGTATGTTTCGTTTGTGGTCTTTGCTGATAATGCTGGACGATGCATTAACAGTAGCAATTCGTGGTATTTTATCTGGAATATGAGTCGATGTGCCGGCGTGATCACTGTGGGCTTCTCGTTTAGGGTTGAGGAATTCCTCGGGCCGTCTAAGTCATCATCGTCGCCAAAGGCAACAGTAGTAAAGTCTTGCACTTCGTTTCGCCACTTTAGGATATCAACGTGGACATTTCGGAGGGCTTGCTCTGAATCTGCGGTTCGATGGAGCATGCATTTATTACTGATTTCCATTAAGCGGCCTTTGATACCCGAATACTTTGAAAGTAATATCAATGGGATCAATCTGGTGTCTTCTAAAGGTCTGTTAGGCGGAATTTCAGATAAGAGCTAGCTTAGAGGGCGAACATAACATACGAGCAGCATCCTCCTCGGCTACCTTCTCTTCCGGCGGTCTATGAATCTCATCATTTGGAAGACAGACATCAACATCTTCGTCCCTAATTCCCAATGGAAGCCCAAGTGCCTGGCAGAGATACCTGTCGAGATTGTATATTGTCCAAAAAATGCGCCGACGAATCAATATCTCGGTTTCTCCGAACGAGAGGCGATATCTACAGGGGCAGCGGTGGAGACCTAAATCAAAAGCCATCCGTACAATCCAACCGCCCAGTCGAGAAGCCGACCGAAGTTCCATAATTGATATCATAAAGACCTGAGCACTGATCATCCCCTGGAGCGAGTTCAGGCCATTATCACCGAGAAGAGGGTGTATACTAGAGCTACAATCTTCCAACGACCTGAACACCAGGCAAGAGGGCAGAGGGGTAATAATTGCATCAGCTCCAGGCATTTGCCTTTTATCGAGTAGCGATATAGACAGAATAGAACGAATGCATACCGACTGTGGTGTCCGGTAATCCAGTGTCTTTCGTGAACAAACATCCTCCAATGTTTGGAGTAGAGTTTCGGCTTGGAGGAATGGTAGAAGACAATGCCATCCTCGAATGTAAGTACTTGAAATCAGAGCGACCAAGTCGTCAAAAGAGGGCCATGCCGCATCCACTGTACTAGTAACCTCCGTCGCATGCCAAATGCATCCACTAAAATCGCCAGCTTTCTCATCCTCACCAGGAATAAACCGAAGATTTACTGCTGGTGCAGAAGTAAGATTTTCGGACGTTCCCGCCTTTGCAATGGCGTCGCATACGGTTCTCAGGAAGTAAATACCACTAGAGCTACCAGCGAATCGTGACGAACTTCTAATAGACCCAAGCTCTTGGGATCGCTGCCCACGACCATGCTCAGATACAGAATGGAAGGCATCGGAAGGACTCCGCGCAAACGCGTCACCAACGTCGTCGTTTTCCGCGGTTCTTGAAGCCGGTGTATTTTCAGGGGCGGTGTCCGGCAGCGCCATGATACCTGGCTATGTCAACAGAGACTACATGCGTCTTGGTTAACGAAAGGATTCTCGATTGGTTAAGAAGAGCGCGATACGCCTGATCATTGGATTGTGATACAAAAGACGAGCTAGCCTCATATCATATCATGCGACAGGCGCAATGCAATGCAACACAGGCCGGCGTACATATTTTTGCCAAGGCGGCTGAACTCTGACCCAAACCCATGGCTCAAAAAGAACTCTGCGCATCTGAACTCTTCCAAACGGCCTAAACAAAACCACATATTACAGGAAAATATGGTCCCATGGACTCTGCTTGTGTCGCTTCATGGGACCTACCAGCCTGGGCCCTAAGGTTTTATTCCTTTTTTGTGGGGTCGGATATGCCTGATAGCTTGCTGCAGGCACGGAGTTGTGGCAGAGCAGATTGCAACCAGGTCAACACTTCTTTTTGTCTCATCCCAACTTGGATTTCGATATCAAACAATAGACATTGTTAAAACGAGCGTAGAACAATCATCCTTCCACAACAGGATGATTTTCGAACAAATTTGTTGGATACTAAGATTTGGATTCGAGAGGGGTGACCTAAAGATAGAAGGGTCTGGTCTCGTTCTCCGACGTCACAAAGGGAGAGAGAGTGCATCGATCGAGCGCGCGGTTGAACCAGACGTTGGATTTTTAAACAGGCGCGGGACCGGCTTATGCATCTAGACATCATTTCTAAAAGTCCGTTTTCATGCCTGATGGCTCGAAACAGGTTTCCCAAAATATCTACGTCTTTTTATGTATCTACATTCGAGTTCCATACGATAAAGAGCTAATATTATTGGCCGGAACCTATAGCCTCCCTTCAGACCCTGGCAAGTTGGAGGAGCCCCTCGTTCCAGAGTGCAAGCGTCGGCCCAATGAGCAGCCGGTTCAAGCAAGGTCCGGAAATAATTGAGGGAGCTGAAAGACGGTTTCGGGGGTCTTGCTTCTGTCAAGGTAGTCAGGGAAATATGTGATACTGCTGTACTAATGGAGGGTCACAAAAAGTCGTAAGACACCTAGCTTTGACAACACACCCTCCGCTCGGAATCTCGAGAGAAAATCGCTTCATGCGAGCTGCAAGGATTGCGTACATATACGGACGGCATGGAGGTCGAACCGTTCTACCCACTTGCAGGGGTGGATTCCGAATATCCACTCTGAATTCTTCCAGATATGACTACAAACGTCTCTGAACAAGAAGCCGCCACGTCGTTTAAGTGAAAAAGCACAGGATGCAAGAAGACATGCATGGCCGCCGCTTACTAGAGCCGAGGCCTCTAGTGCGCCTTCGTGTAATTCCATATGTACTCTTTGGCTTTTCATGCGAGAGGAAGGTAGGTGCATACGAAAGAGCCCGTAGCGCGGGATTATCCAACCAATGTCAGAATTTATTTCCAACAAATCTGTCATGATGATGACTTAAAAGATGATCGGTCGATTGTCATGTACATATCGACCCAAAACGGAGAATACAAGGTCAGAATTAAAGGTGTGGCTACTTTGATGGTGGGCACATGGTCGTGGTGTCTATAAATGTCGTCTAGTTAATTAGTGTGGATGAACTAGCGAGCATTGGGGGGCATGCAACATGCATGACGGGGATGGACAAAGGCGGCCACCATACAATCCCGAAATTTCAACCTTCTTTTTATCAGAATACGATTCGACGCATGTACGCATGCAAAAAAGCCCATACGAATTTTTGTCACGTTTAATTAGGAAAGCCAAGGTGGTAAGTACTGACAGACCCGCGCAGTTCTGTGTATGTTTGTAGCGTTGTCAGTTGCATTTTGGGTCGTACAGAATACCCAAAGTAAGCTGCGCTTCCAGTTCCACGCCTTGACCGGCCCGCGACTAGATAACTTTTTGTATTATCGTTTTTCAGCCTTATCCAGCGCCAACTATATCAAAGCCGCGAAAGGGCTCTGAATCAAACTTATGATCTGTCTTTGGTACCGCGAACGTTTAACATCTTAATGCCTAACGTAGCTAACAAATATTCGACTTGAAGCTCCGGCACCGGGTGCAAAGCCGAGGCGACAAAGCCGGCTCAACGGCCGACAAGAACCTACTTCATATCCTTGCAATGGCTGGCAGAAATCATTTCGTTCAGAAGAGTCGCATGTAACTCTCGCTAAAACTAGCCCAACCTGGGCCCTTGTGAACGACTAACAGGGATGCATCGTTGGCGGGCCAGGCGGTACAGCTTCGTATTTGGCCATGCACCAGCGCCCACCGATCCCGACATTTTGGTTCAACTATCCCCTCAGTTTCATTGCTCTGGTCTCGACTCTCATCCGTTTCCCCCTCTCGCTCCCTCCCTTTTTGAATTCGCCTTTTCGTTTCTTTTCTCGGAATCGCACGGGGTATTTTTGACCAATCATTTATTTGAGCCAGGCACAGATCATGCATCCAAAATTACGACAGCATGGAGCACTGCACTGTCAACATCACCATATGAGGTACTTCTCAGTCTACGATAGACAGGGAGGTATGGACTGAACATTCGAATCGGGTAGAATATAGTACCATTCAGGTATAGTGTCGAAAAAAAGAGGCAACCTTCTTAGATTGCCATCTAGCGCCCTGGAAAAAATGAATCCCTACATAGTATAAACGAAGTATCCTGAATGGAATATCACGCCCCTAGTACAGGGTATTGTCGACATATCGTCCGATGCAGCATTGACCCTCCCCCAAGCAGTTTTCCAGCCGGCTGCCCACCACTTCGCAGGCATCGCAAAGGCGACACCGCAGTGGAACCCACAAACGCCAAGTCCCCAATCGCAATTACACACTAGCAAGTGGGGAGATATGGACCATATCACCCAGTAAGCGGCTATTACCGCTCTTTCGGGTCACGTTTAGGCAGGTTTTGGTTAGCCAGTTGAATGGGCTTCTAGGACCACAAGAATCCAACGTGAGATTATTAGGCCAAACCGATAAGCCCTGATCGGTAAGCTCACTAAGGCGAGGAACGAAAAAGCTACACTCGATATTCCGCCATTATCTCCCCTTTTTTTCCTTTTTTCCTTCCACTTCCTCGATTTTTGGTTACTTTGCCACGGCTTTATAAAAACAGCGTCTCTGCCATAATTCGGCATGCAGATTAATAGTCAAGCCGCTCCATTGCAGACCAAATGTGTGAATATCAACTTTTTTAACCACAATATCATGTGTAGTTGCGGCTTAGTTGTATTCCAGGCGGCATAGCGTCTGTTTTTTGCTTCTCGCGCCGTGGGTCTCATGTATCCATAATGTATGCACATGGGTCTTCCTATAACTGACGCTTTGAACGCATGTCACCCCCATGATCGTTCATGCAGGCGGATCAGGGTTATATCAATTCCAGACATTAGTAACGCTCAAGGCGCAGGCGTGCCAGTGTGGGACGGGGTGGTGACCTAGGCGGGATTGCGCAGGCAGAAGGTAAAGGAAAAGCCAACATCTTTGGTTAAAAGTTGGCGGGTGGCCGCTAACCCATCCGCTCTGGAATTCTCAAGACCCACACACGCCTGTCGAGAAACATACAACTGTGTCTCTCTTCTTTCTTCTCTTCTCTACCCTTTTCAGTTATTTTTTTGCTATTCTATTGTAGTTATATGTTTTTTTTCGTCTAGCACTTTTTAAATTTTCACTTTATATTTTATAATATATTTTATTTCACTATACGTCGAGCAAGATGCCTTTCATGTTAGCTCCATACAATTCTCAGATGAGACTGGGTATGTTATAACAATATGACATGTTGCCTTCAGAATTCTCCTTCCAGTTTCTTGCATGCTGGATTTCCAACAACATACGAAGTTGCTGTCTGAAAGTGTACACGTGCTGATTTTTTTATTTCCTACTTCTAAGGCCAAGGGTACTATATTTCTCTTCTCGGACTTTGACGATTCACTTCACATAGCTAGAGTGATTACTATACTAATACAACCCCCACAATATCTCCAGATACAACTCCTTTACTCAGCAAATATGCATCGACAGCGCCGTCATTATAGATCCCAAAAAAGCGGAAGATGGACTCAAGCGTGGAGGAGTTACCATGAGGGATATCACCACAGCTATGCGCCCTCCGGATACCGGAAGGGCAGGCGCGACTGGCAGATCCGATACACCAACTCCTGGTCTCAAACGGTACATCAAACCTCGTGCTGGATCAGAATCGTCTAGTTCCGGCTCCCGAAATATCAACCGTGTAAAAAGTCCACCGCCCGCCATGCAAGCTTTTGGCGGTAGCGGTCTTTCGCAATCAATCCTGGAAGGGTATAGTAGGCCTAGTCTTTCCTCGGAGTCACTGAGTGAAATGACGGAACCGGCGCTCTTATCCCCACCGGGTTCTTGGAGGGATAGGGAGAAGCATAATCGGTCTCCCTTTTCTGAAAGTTCGATTTCATCCGTGGAGTCGAGGAGAAGAAAAGGGAAGGGCATCATTGCTGGGTCCACTGCTGCTCCTAGTTCAGTATATAGTCAGGCCTCAATGGCAAGAGACCCAAAAAAGGGGCCATCATCGCCGACTTCTTCGATGTACTCGACTCAAGATGAAAGCGACCCAAATTTCGGCTTTGCTAAGTTAAAGATACGACACGGTGAGCCTATTACTCGAAGAGACTGGGGCTCTGCGAGTGATGTGTCAGTACCTGGGCAAGTGAGTAAATCACAAGAACACATTTCCTAATTGCATATTGGCGGATAAATGAGCTTATGGATTCGAATTTTATAGGACGTTCGGTTCGTGGCACGGTTCGTGAACAACTTGAGGTATGATATCCCGGCAGGTCTATGATCTATACAGTCTATTCGTCTAACAATTTGTTCTTATTACAGTGACATCACGGAAGACATGAACATATCTGCCGCTAGAACAATCAAACGAGGTCGAATCGACGGTCTAGGCGGTGACTCCTTCATCGACGTCGAGAAGTTCAAAGAGGCCGACCTCAACTTCTACATCCGCGTGCGAGTCACTAATCATAAAATCGACGTCAAGGACGCCTTGCAGTTTAATCCCGAATGGATTATTATCGAGCACGAGTTTACAGAATGTTTCGGTGATACATTTATTTCTGGTGCGCGCATGCACAATCCGAACTTTGTCAAGCTTTCTGAAAGGTGCTGACGTGTTGAGCTATTGTACAGGTTTCATTGATGGCGGAGAGTTTAATGCTTTACTTAGTATACGGGTTCTTAATAAAACGAAGGTGAAAGATATAGAAGCTGGGTAGGTCCCTATCCGCACCTGGCCAAAGCCCTCTGTCAGGATACTAACACTCCTGTCCAGTGTAAAAGCTGCTTTTGGAAACAGTCTTTTCAACTTGGATACAGCTGGCAAAGATGAATGGGAAAAAAGAGACATCGATAATAGCTGCGAAATCAACGTATCCGCAATATGGTCAGGAAACGGGCGCATAAAGTCGAGTTAGTTACCACCTATTCCTATCACTCCATTAACGTTTAACAAGAGCTCATGGTTTTTTATAGGCGAGAAGCAATGGCCGATACATAGCTTAATGGAAGCAGCTGCAAATTTCCCCGACCTTGTTGCCACTGAACCACATCGAACATAGTATGGATAGACCAATACCAATAAATTAGACTTGAAGTCATGAATGGGGTGTTAGGAAAAGAAATAGCTAACTGAGTGTTTGCGTTTGGACAGTGCTATTCTTACCTCTTATCCTTACCTACGGAGTTTTTACAAAGATGGAGAGCTCCAAATACCTCTTGCGCCTTACGGTTATGCAATTCAACGAACAAGGGCCCTACTCGATGCTTATCTCGACTATAAAAGTGTATGGCTATTTTTAGTACCCTTTGAATTATTTTCTAGCGCTTCTACTAAAACATATACATCTATATATTCAATAGTTAAGACAAAGGTTGGATGAAGATATCGCAGACATACAAAACGGGGACAAAGTTTTCCAATCGAAAGAATATTTCCGACGTCCGAGCGTACACCTCCGTCGAGACATTGCCTCTGCTGAAGATGATTCCAAATTCGCGCCTACAGTCGGGGAACTTGACCAAGCTATCAAGGCCGCAACTTCCCAGATGAAGAGTATTATGGAAGAAGTGAATATTCTTGTTAAGGCTCCGGGAACAGCAATAGAGATAGGGAAGACTACATTCCAACATCCTGATATCTTTCGAAGTCGATTACCGGTAGGGAATAGAACTTAAAACGAAATCAAAGTTTCGAGTAGTACTAAGTAGCTAACAATGCGGTTTTAGAAATTGCTGCCCAAATTAGCGAAAGATATCATTGCCCGATCTGCAGTTGTCGTTCAGGCCGATCAATCCCTCTACTTGGTTTCAAGCGGAGGTAGCAAAGCTAATATGATGAGCGGCAAGTTCGTCCCGCGGACGGAGGAGTTAGAGAACTATCACTATGCTGGGAGTTACAGCTTCGTGGTGAGTATTTTGATACAGATCCTCTTTGCTTGGATGACTAGCTAAGGCTAAAGTATTCTTGTAGAGGAGTGCGGTCCAAGAATCTAGTCACATTGCCAAGAGAGTCCGTAACGAAACCCAAGACCAACTACCACCGAGGATATTCACTGGAATCAGGCAACTCATTGCTTTCTCAGAAGCCTTTACAGATCCGAGCCTGAGGTTTAGGATCTATAGTACTAATGAGACGGCGAGGGGGTTTGATTGTTGTTTCCACGACTGGTCGGACAGACAGATAACAAGGTCAGACTACTATAATATCCGACATAGTAAAAAATCCTCAAGAGCTAATAGGTTATTATATATACAGTGGTACATTCGATGTACTTGCGGTCAACCGTTCCGATCCCAATTTCCTAACAGGCGCTGTTGAAGGCCGTGGCGTCCAGGAATGGTCTATTGTCTTCTCAAGAGCGTTCAGAAGGGCCCCAGAGATTGTTATCTGGCTTACAGGGGTGGATATCAATAAAACACCGGAACCAGCCGTCGATCTTGAAGTCCGTGCCGTTACTACTAAGGGGTTTAGGTTCCTACCAAAGATACCTAACCCAGAAACATGGGTTTCCTTCTCCTGGGTGGCATATAACCCAGATGCCGGGGGAATTATTAGTGGGTTTTTAGAGTTTGGAAGTAGGAAGCATGATTACGGAGACAGCGGGAGGGTAGAGTTCCCACCCGGAGCCTTTAGTCAGAGACCAAGGGTTTTAGCAGCATTGCATGGGTTCGCATTTTTCCCCATGACGGAAGATGAACAATCAGATGTGAAAACTAATGCGAAGGGAGTGGTGGATACTATTGCGAAGGGAGAGATAGATCTCGAGATTGGAAAAACTACTATGGATGGATTTAATTGGGGGTTTAGAGCGGCTGTGCCGAAAGGGTGTAAGGTTGTCATGCAGTGGATGGCAGTGGCTTGACAGAATACCTTACACTTTCAAAACTCGGATTCTTTAGGGACATTTATTTTAACTATACGACAGTTACGAACGGCTATTGCAACGGAACGGACCGGCATCGGCATATATAGAAAGGGATATATTAAAAAGTTCATATAGGGTATTGCATTGGGTTAACGGTTGATTGCTTTTTTTTTCTTGTCTAGCTTTTATCATAATTACCGGTATCTTATATCAAACGGTTTGCAGTTCCTTGTACACATTTACCTCTTTATTTTTATTTTTTTAATTGTTTATTTTGTTACACTAGAACTCTAAAGATAGTTTCCATGAGAAGAGTCACGAATGCCAATGCACTTTTGTTTCACCAATATGCAATGTCCTTTGATTCGCGGAGTGATATTTGTATGAACAAGGCTGGTGTGTTGGATTTTATGTGTTGCAGGCAGCTTTGAAGCCAAGCGAGCTTATAAGGATCACCCCGCCCGCGAGGCCGCGAGGCTCTTCAAGTTGGGAACTGGATTGATTGATTGATTCCTGCAGGATTCCTGCAGTGAATTGCATTGGATGACTTGAGCTGGATAGAGAGATCCTTCTCGACACTAAGTAACTAGTTAACCAAACCCCAGTACCAGGCTAAGGCTTTCAGGCAAGCACGGACTTAGTTAGCATGAAGTACACATGTACAAAGTACCAAGTGGCGATGGTGGGGGAGAGCAGGGTTGTTTCGTTCAGCTTAGCTTTCTTTGGTGGGGCACAGATTGCCATCAAAGTTGGCTGTAGAAATTTCGATGGGCTTCCATCGAAACTCAAAGAAAGAAAATGGGAGCAACACCACCACCACGAAATTTTCACCGCGTTCATTCATAAATTCTGTTCTCCTCCTCTCCAATCTATTTCTTCTTTTCTCCTCTTCTTCCCATCACTTTCAATTCTCTCGCCTGCACTGCATCTCATCATCTCCAACCTCCTCACCTTCATCTTCATCTTGATATTACTCTCTCAAAGATTCCCTCTCTTCTTCACGTGTGTGTACTTTGCTCGTCGAAGACCATACTTGCTATAATATACCCCTCTTCAGATACCCTATTACCCCTCATACCCACACATTAACCTCACAAGATGTCGGAAACCTTCGAATTCCAGGCTGAGATCTCTCAGTTGCTCGGCCTTATCATCAACACCGTCTATTCTAACAAAGAGAGTAAGTTCTAAATCCTATTCGTTCGCTAGATCGTATTATGTAGCCTAGTAGCTATCCTTTATTATATATGGCAAATACTAACAGTCTACTATAGTCTTCCTAAGAGAACTCATCTCCAACGCCTCCGATGCCCTTGACAAGATTAGATATACCGCTTTGTCGGATCCCTCCGTCCTTGATTCGGAGAAGGACCTCAAGATCTCTATCATCCCAGACAAGGAGGCCAAGACATTAACCCTCATCGATACTGGTATCGGTATGACCAAGGCTGATCTCATCAACAACCTTGGTACAATCGCCAGATCCGGTACCAAGCAGTTCATGGAAGCTCTCTCCGCTGGAGCTGATGTTTCCATGATTGGTCAATTCGGTGTTGGTTTCTACTCTGCTTACCTCGTTGCCGACAAGGTTGTTGTTCACTCGAAACACAATGATGATGAGCAATACGTCTGGGAATCCAGCGCTGGTGGTTCCTTCACCGTCACCCACGATGAGGGCCCTAAGCTCGGTCGTGGTACCAAGCTCGTTCTCCACATGAAGGAGGACCAGCTTGACTACCTCAACGAGGCCCGTATCAAGGAGGTCGTCAAGAAGCACAGCGAGTTCATCTCCTACCCCATCTACCTCCACGTCAGCAAGGAGGTTGAGACCGAAGTCCCAGATGAGGAAGCCGAGACCGTTGAGGAGGGTGACGAGAAGAAGCCCAAGATCGAGGAGGTCGATGATGACGAGGAAGAAAAGAAGGCCAAGACTAAGAAGGTCAAGGAGACTAAGGTCGAGGAAGAAGAGCTCAACAAGACCAAGCCAATCTGGACCAGAAACCCTACCGATATTAGCACTGAAGAATATGCTTCATTCTACAAGAGCTTGTCCAACGACTGGGAGGATCACCTTGCCGTCAAGCACTTCTCCGTCGAGGGTCAGCTCGAATTCCGTGCCATCCTCTTCGTTCCAAAGCGTGCTCCTTTCGATCTCTTCGAGACCAAGCGCTCTAAGAACAACATCAAGTTGTACGTTCGACGTGTCTTCATCACTGATGACTGCACCGACATCATCCCAGAATGGCTTGGATTCGTCAAGGGTGTCGTCGACTCTGAGGATCTCCCACTCAACTTGTCCCGTGAGACTCTCCAGCAAAACAAGATCATGAAGGTCATCAAGAAGAACATCATCAAGAAGACTCTTGAGATGTTCAATGAGATTGCCGAGGACCGCGAGCAATTCGACAAGTTCTACACCGCCTTCAGCAAGAACATCAAGTTGGGTATCCACGAGGACTCCCAGAACAGAAACCTCCTCGCCAAGCTCCTCCGATTCAACTCCACCAAGTCCGGCGATGAGCTCACCTCCCTCACTGACTACATCACCCGCATGCCCGAGCACCAGAAGAACATGTACTACATCACCGGCGAGTCCCTCAAGGCCGTCCAGAAGTCTCCATTCTTGGATGCTCTCAAGGCCAAGGGCTTCGAAGTCCTCATGCTCGTTGACCCCATTGATGAGTATGCCATGACCCAGCTCAAGGAATTCGACGGCAAGAAGTTGGTCGACATCACCAAGGACTTCGAGCTTGAGGAGACCGAAGAAGAGAAGAAGCAGCGTGAGGAGGAAGTTAAGGAGTACGAATCTCTTGCCAAGTCCCTCAAGGAGGTCTTGGGTGAGAAGGTTGAGAAGGTTGTTGTCAGCCACAAGCTCGTTGACTCCCCATGTGCTATCCGTACCGGCCAATTCGGTTGGTCTGCCAATATGGAGCGTATCATGAAGTCTCAAGCTCTCCGTGATACTTCCATGAGCTCTTACATGGCCTCCAAGAAGACCTTCGAGATCTCCCCCAAGTCTCCAATCATCAAGGCTCTCAAGGCCAAGGTTGAGGATGAGGGTGCCTCCCGCTCTGTCTCTGATCTTACAACCTTGTTGTACGAAACCGCTCTCTTGACCTCCGGATTCTCGCTTGAGGAGCCATCCAGCTTCGCTCAGCGCATCAACAGACTCGTTTCTTTGGGTCTCCAGATCGACGAGGCTGAGCCAATCGCTGAGGACGAGAAGGAAGCCGAGAAGGCTGCCACCGAGACTGTTGAGTCTAGCATGGAGGAGGTCGACTAAATTTTGACGTCATCCAATCTTTTTGTTTCTCTCTGTCTCTCTCTCTCTCTCTCTCTCTCTTGTTCTATCTCTTAATGATTCATGGATTCCCCCTTTTTCCTTTATCTTTGTTTCCTTAGACGCTTTGATTTTTCCCATTTTAATTTGCTTGCTATCATAATTCTTTTCACAATGGCGAACGGGGAAAAAAAAGTGAACATCCTTTTTCTCGGATATTTCCTTTATTACTTTTTGTTATTTTCGGACACTGTTCTTGTTTCTGACCCGGTCATGTCTGACATCGTTGGGATGACAGAGGAGGAGGAGAAGGAGTAGGAGGATAAACCCGATTTGTTCTTCTTTCCTTTTTTCTTTCTTTCTGTTCGTCTGTTAGTGCAACATGTAATCTAGACGAAAACTTTAGCTCTTATAAATGGAATGCTTGTTTTCAGACCATACACCTGGTTCCTTTTAACAGTAAATGAAGATTAATAATAGTAAATATTGTACAACCACTCACGAGGGTGGACAAATCGCTAATGATCTCTAGAAAGTATCCTACAAGGTCCTGATGCTAACAAACCACCAAAGAAAGAAAAAAGAAAGAAAAATTAGAAGCCTTTGACGCCAGTGACACCTATTTAAACTCGCACATTCTAGGAACTATGACAACCAACTCTCTGTTACAGTCACTATTCCATCATTTCTTCGTCGGCATCCATTTCTAGTATCTCCTTGACACCCTGAGCAGCTTCATCGACCGCACCTAGGCGCTTCTCTAGTGTCGCAATTAGCTGTTTCATTTCTGCCTGTTGCTCCTCTCGCCGTTTAATCAATGCATCTATTGAAGATTGCTGTGCTTGTTTTAAGGACTCGAGCCTGGCAGATTGTAGTTTGAGAATAGGGTGTAGGTGCGACATATAGAGGTCTTCGGGCGTAAAGTTGTGTATCGGTAGTGGTAGAGAAGCACCGGATTTATTCGCTTCTTCTCCTGCTACTTTTCCTTCTCTTTCTTCAGGTTTCTTGACTCCTACTTCTGTTGAGCTTGCTTCTGCGGGTTTTTCTTCTGACTGGGGTTTATCGGTTCCATTTTCTTTGTCTACGGGTGTAGGTTTTGGAGGGGGGTCCATGGGTAAGGGAGGTTGGGGGTTTTCTTCAAGAAATCGAGCTTTACGAGTTTGTGCTTCGGATATTAGGATGTCCAGGTTATCGAGGGAAGCTAGTAACTTCCTGGAGGATATCATATCTTGGAAGTTTTTCTATTTTTTATAAAAATTAGTATTTTTGTCGAATAAGAGAGAGCATCAACATAAAATGGTAGTTAAGTCACATACCCTAACATTCAACTCGTAGATTTCGCAAAACTTCTTTCTAACTTCCTTCATCTGCTCCGGACGTCTAACTGTAGGTGTAGGGAAACATTTGTTCCATGCTTCGGGTGTTATACCGGATAACGAGGCCTTTAAAGATTTCTCGAAGACTTTATCGAGGAGGGGAGCTCGGATACGTTTGTGGACTGTGATGGGGGCTTCTGATACTTCGAGTATGGGTTTGGTCGAAGGTTTAGCTTGTGGAGCAGCAACAACAGTCGCAGCAGTCGCAGTAGTCGCAGAAGGTGGAGGAGGAGGAGGAGGGGGCATTTCTTCGGCTTTTGTACGATCTTTATCTACAGAACGGCGGGTGGTTCGTGTCATCGTGAGTGGAGTATGATGTCGTCAAGGGGGGAGTAGCGCTGCTGCTATCATCAATGAAGCTGCCTTGTGGATGCGAAGCTATGGAAGACGCGTTTGTTTGTTGTATCTGGCGGGGGCGGCTGTGCGTCTAACACAACTGTGGCGGCTAGCGAAAAAATCAGAGTACAAAAACACCACCAGAGTTTTTTTCTTCCTTTGTTTTCTTCTCTCTTTTCTCTTTTTCCTCTTCACAAACAACTCCGACAGCGTGGGTGTTCATCACCTACAAACTCTACCATTGTGAGATCTCCCTTGCGGAACTCATGCCATAGCTGTTTTTCTTATATACAAATACATTTTGTGTATAGATTTTTCGGAGGAGATTGAGAGAAAACCCATGAGCTGGGCGCCCGAGTTTGATTTTCTTTTGGCGGAGAGGTTTCTCGTTTTGAGGACTTCTTTTGCTGTATATCTTTCAAGCTGAGAATTTGGGAATCAGCAGCGGTTACATGTCGTTCTAGATGAGAATATTGTAGACTGTAGAATGTAGATGAATGTGTAGTGTGTAATATACATCGCCACTTTTGAGGCTCCGTCGACGGTGGTGATAGATATCACCAGCCACAGTCAATCATATTAACAAAGTGTGGCTGTGGTGGCGACAACGCGATGAGGGTCTGCAAAGAAATGGCTTTTGGGTTTGTCGCGTCTTCCAACAAGCTCTGCTGTCAGGCTCCGTTTTATAAAGCTCCCCATTGCTATTCCCCGTCGCCACTGACACGGACACTCACAATCCTTTCGCTTTCCCCGTCCCCCCTCACGACAATTTACCCACCTACCAGGAGCTAAGGTGGCATTATTACCATACGCTTTTATCATCATCAGCCAGTCAGGAATCACCGCCAACAGCCTTCTTCTGCTTCACTATCATCGCCATGCCAGATCAGGAAACGTTTGAAAATATCTACAAGGATCTCTCAAAGGAGAGTGGAAGATGTCGTTTCGCAAAGGGTGGTATGGGATGGAAACCCGCTGGCGGCTCGACGTGGACCTTGAATAGTAATGAATTTCAGGGTGCGACGTGCCACTGGTCTCGAGCCGCGAGGGGTTATGAATGCAAGATTTATCTGAAGCTGAAGAATGAGATTATGCAACTTGATGGATTTGAGCAAACTGTGGGTGGATTCTTCCCCACTCTACCCTTTTTTCCTCTTTTTTCCATATAGAAGAAGAAAAAGAAAGATGCTAACGGATAGATGGATGGATGTGTAATCTAGGACTTCGACCGCCTGAAAGACATCCTCAAACATTCGTATAATGCCGTTCTCGAAAATAGAGAACATTCGTTGAAAGGTTGGAATTGGGGGAAAGCCGAATTTCACAAGAAGGAACTGTTCTTCAATGTCAACAATAAACCGGCCTTCGAAATCCCGTTCGATGAGATCTCAAACTCGAATCTGGCTGGAAAGGCTGAAGTTGCGATTGAATTCGCAGACAAGTCCGATCTGGAGGCTAATGCCAGTGGGAAGAAGAACAAGAAGGTTTTCGCCGGTGTCGATCAGCTGATGGAGATGAGGTTCTATATTCCGGGAATGCCAGAGAAGGGTGACGGTGATGATGAGGATAATGAGTCTAAGGCTGGATCTGAAGACGAAGCCGACGACGATGGTGAAGGAAAGAAAAAGAAGGAGGCAAGGACGGCCGCTGAGGTGTTTTATGATACGTTGGTTACAAAGGCAGATATCGGTGATGTCGCTGGAGATTCCTTTGCCATCTTTCCATCTATTCTCTTCCTTACCCCTCGGTATGATTCTCTCATATTATTTAACTCCTCGCAAGGATTCTAACTAACAATTCGATCAGTGGTCGTTATGATGTCGATATGTACGAGGCATCCTTCCGCCTTCGTGGCAAGACTTACGACTACAAGATTCCCTACGAAAACGTCAAGAAATTTTTCCTCCTCCCGAAACCTGGTGATATGCATCATCTCCTCGTCCTAGGTCTCGAACCCGCTCTCCAACAGGGTCAAACCAAATACCCATTCTTGGTTCTCCAATTCCAACAAGACGAAGAGCTCACCTGTGACCTTAACATCAGCGAGGCTGATCTTGAAAACAAATTCCAAAACCGCCTCCAAATGCACTATGAAAACTCAGCACATCTTGTCCTTTCGTCGATATTTAAGGGCGTCACGGGGAAGAAGATGACTACTCCTTCGAAAGATTTCACTTCGTACAACCAACAGTATGGTGTCAAGTGTTCATTGAAAGCGAACGAGGGTAATCTCTTCTTTCTCGATAAGGCGCTCCTTTTTGTGCCCAAACCGGCTATCTACGTTAGTTTTGACCATGTGCAGTTTGTTACTCTCAGTCGGTAAGCTATCTTCCACAGAAATATCCACTCGAGGGTATGGAAAAATTAATGAATACGGTGGTTCCGCAGATTGGGTGGACAGGTTTCCGCGTCGCGTACATTCGATGTTACTGTCAAAATGAGCTCCGGCAGCGAACACCAGTTCAACAATATCAACCGAGAGGAGCAGGCTTCGCTCGAAAACTTTTTCAAGGCTAGAGGGGTTAAGATCAAGAATGATCTAGTGGAGGACGTACGTGTATCTGGCCACTATTCCAAACCCCCAGAATCGACTTTTGCGAGTTGTTTTTTTGTGATAGAATGAATGGCTAATTGGTGTGGTCACAGACGAGCTTACTCCGTACCGCTTTGGACGATGAAATGGGTGATGACGATGACATGGAGGTCTCCCGTGTCGACAGAGGCAGCGCTGATGAGGATGATGAGAGTGGTATGCTCTTCCCTTATGAACTATCTATGCTTATAAACTCCCTTTCTAACATTTGAAACACAGTCGACGAGGATTTCGAGGCAGAATCAGAGAGTGATGTTGCTGAGGAATACGACTCTAATCACGAAAGCAGCGGCAGCGGATCTGAAGACGAGGCTGGCGGAGCTAACAATGACGATGATGACGATGATGATATGGAAGTGGATGAAGAAAGCGAGGAAGACCAGAGGCCGGTTAAGAAGAAGGCGAAGACGACCAAGTAAAAACTGACTTTAAAAGTTCATGTTGTTTTGGCCCTGTTTTACGTTTTTCTTGATGATATAACCGATTTTTATTTCCTCCCTCCCTTTTTTTCTCTCTTCTCTTGCTCTATGGAAGAAGGTACTTAGATGATGTTTATTTGAGACGACGTGACAAGAACGAATCCGATTGATATGGTTTAATCGGGTATCTTAATAGTAAATAATGGGTACAAAAGATACAAAAGTTGTAGGAGCCTAGCTATAGTCCCAGATAACTAAAGCTATAATGTAGACCTCTTACATGCATACCTCTCAGATACTTGTATATCTAGATACCCCTTAATCTGGTATCCTGAATAGAGGGGCGCTCCTTCCGTACCAGTTCTTCGACAAAAAAGGGTCTAAAAACGGCCGTCATAGTGATATAACAATATCAATACAGCTGTTTTCCTAAAGAGCCATTAGGATATCGAACTTCAAGTACTAGTCTATATGCATAATATGTATATCCAGAACTCGTATTTATTTCTACTTAAGAAAAAATAGCTATCAGACCAACGAGACCATATGCATACCGGAACGGTATGAAGCCAACAAAGCTATTCTGATACATAGATAGACAGACTATCCATCGACCACCGTACGCCTTTAAGATGAGACCTTAGATAGATACTTAGATATATATGTAAGCACATCCTACGGATAGTCTCGTATTTGCAGACGCAGTCCACAACAAGTCCTACAGAAATGTCCAGGTGGTCGGAATTAACCAATCCCAGATCTTGCGAATCTCCAAGGTCAATTTTTGATCCTTCAGCTCCATTTTTTTTCCTCCAAAGGAAGTTGAAATCTGTTCTAAGCGGCCTAGATATTTAAAAAATGAGATTCTAGGTGCTAGAACCATTATAAATATCTGTTTTAAACTCACAAAATCCACCGGTCTAGCCGCACGAAGCTTCAGACAACGTCATAGACATTTCCAGAACCGTCCACGTGACTTTTTTGGATATCAAAAATCCCGTCAAAGCTGCGTAAAAATTCCAAGGCAAGGGGGAAAAAAAGAGCCAAGACTAGAGGTTCTTTTTCACGTGACCATTTTGAGGTTCAGGATGGATATGGGGGTAGGAGACTGGGTGTTTACTAATTTACTAAGGGTAGCCTCGAGACCAGGCCGCAGGAAAAGGGCAGGTTACTGAGGGGGGGGGGGGGGGGGGGTATCGGGTGGGCATACTGCATGCTACTGTTGTCTGGTGGATATGAATCGTTTTGGGATAAGATTTGCAAAAGGCTTGGGTAACTAATGGATTTGAAGATTGACCTAAGTGCATGTGTGTACGTTCCTACTTCTCTAGTTATCACATCACATATGTGCACTAGTGATTTATGCCATTTGGTATATATAGCTATTGATAGTTATCAGCACGAGACAAGCTAGTTATCAGTATCCCTAGCGGAGCTCGAAACCGCCCGCAGTTGACCCCGCATTTTAGTTGATTGCATGTAATCCCTAGTCATGACTAGTACGTAAGTACATGTCACTCGTACGAAGGATATCTTTTTAAAAAGAATTTAAATATTAATATTTCGGAAACAAATTATATTTTTGTTTAAACCCTTTCGTCATCAGGAGGATTTTCAAACCCGGCCGTGGTACCCACACATATATATGACGACAAGGGGTTTTCTTCGCCAGTCCGAGTCCCCGATTATCCTCCCCCCGCTAGCGCTATAGCTATAGAGTTGTGCTGTGGTAAAGTTTATTTTCAGTTATTTAAGTTCGCACCCGGACCAGCTACCTAGGTTGTATAGTTGGTTTGAGCTCAAGAAGGATGCTTTTGTTTGTCCCTCGTCGTGGGTGGAGAAATAAAATGTTATCCATAGTAGAACAAATGTTTAATAGTGGATTGTTCACGGAGTCTCCCTTCCCTATAGCATTACAATGGGGTAGTTTCAACTTATTGAGTAATAGCCAATTGATATTTAGTAAATTTATAAAGTTGTGGCGGCGGCGCTGGTCTTAGGACCGGTTAGCGATGTTGTAATATAGTACAGGCTAATTTCGTTAATTAATATAGTAGGGCGGGGAAAGGGAAAAAAGCGTAGGTCATGAGGACGAGTTAATGCCGCTTTTTGATTTTCTTCTTGTGAAAATATTAATATATACCTACAATATACATATGAATGCCTGAGCTCGTCTTGCTTTCTGGAGTCTGGGGTAAACTTTTTTCTTGTTGATACTGTTTTGTGCCAATATCACGATTACGACTGCGAATTTCTATTTCTCTATCTCACTGATATCATGGAAACAAATTTTCTCTATTTTAATTTCTGAAACGGCTAGGGTGTAAATTTTACTTCATGTATACGGACTTCATATAGTCCTACAGAATTAAAAATTACTTGTAGTTTCTAGTAGACCCTATAATATAGATAGTACCTAATATGCTTAGCCATATAGTAGAGGTTGTATATCAAATGCAAACATCGGATGACAAGACTCCCACACGATCTACCCCAAAAAAGCCGGAGGAGTGCCCTTTATGTCAAAATTCCCTCCCGATTCCCCTAGCCTTGCGATTTGCCCACCAAAAAAAAATTATAATTTTTAACAAAAAGCCATTATAGGGTGATTGCGTTGACTGTTGTAGTTTTCTATGGTGTGGGTCCCTGACGGGTGTTCGGATACGTCAGGGGAATAGATGCCGGAGGATATTTCGATCGTAAAACCAAGTTTACCTAACGCCCTTTTGTGTGTGGGTTTGGTGGGTGTGGGAATAAAACAACTGTCACGCCAGCCAGCTAACATTTAGGTCCCGCTTTTTTTTTCTGTTTCAAAGTTTTTTTTCTTTCCTTCTTCTTTAACTAGCTCAGGTTTTGTGTGCAAAGGTATGCAATGCGGGGCATTGCTACATGCTATAGAAGCTAGTATCGGATCGATCGATGGGAGCTCGTAAAATGGCTTGATGCATGTGATGTCTAAAAGAAAAATGTTATTTTGAATTTCCAAGATTTTGATTTGGCGTGGCCATGTCAGCCTTTCTTGATTTCAACCGAATTTAGAGTACGTAAGAGAAACTACAGATAAAAAAATCAAAAAAAATTGGTGATGTGGGAAAAAAAGTTCGTATTGCTTTCGATAGCTAGGGTACATTGCATTGAGCAATCAGCAAGCAAGTTGGCCCTAGACAGGTAATTGTAAGGACATGGCAGCTGGGTGAGCTTAGCTGGAGGTCGTAAGCTCTTCTGGACCAGCTTCAGCTCTTAATCTCAGCTTCAGAGCTGATCTGGCCAATGCCAATCTATTTTTCTGACCCCTTCGCGAAATTTCGAAGGATCTAGCAGGATTAAAATTCAAACGCAGGAACCCAGAATAAGAATAAGAAACGAAATCACTTGCATGAAGCGGTTGCATCCGGAGACGAAGAAAGCCGAGGGGTGTTCTGAAGCATCTAGAAAATCTCGAGAAGAAAAGAAACCCGACTATCAAACGAGCAAACCAACAAACCAGAGCTCCTCCGCGAATCAAACTTCGTGGACTGCCGCCCTATCGAATAATATCTGTTACTTCGCACTCGAAACATCGTCTCGACTGAGCGTTTATGGGAAGCTATTCTAATCGAGCTAAGGTAATCGCAATTGCAAATCTGAATTTCCCTCATCCGCTTGGAAGTTTGTTTAGAGCAAACACGGTGGTCGTCACCTTGCAGACGCCATCGGCTAGCCTTTCGGTGACGGTCAGGACACCCAAATGGTTAGTTGCAATTCCCCACATAACCACACATTTTTTTTCAGAAAGAATCCCTTCTAGAATTCTGTTTACCGGTATCTTCTCCCGACATTCATTTTCTTTTCAGAGGTTTTCGTGATAACTTCCTTTGCGGAATCCAAGGCAAACGTGCTTGCCAACGAGTTTTCGAGCTGCCCATGTGCCCTATTTCGGCAAGTCCCGAGATCTCGCCAGGCTCTGGGCATTGCCTTGATTCGAACATATATCTAAACATTTGGTGTCAGCTGTAAGGAACCTAAACCTGACTAGATCCTCAGCGATTGAAACATGGGGAAAGTCGAACTAGTATCGACAAGCCTTCCGGCAGGGCTCCGACTATGGTGGAGTATGGGTGGAAATCGTCAGATCAACAGCCTAACTTAGTACCTAGATATCAGATACCCTGATTGCACAATTGATAGCTGCCTAAACGTCACAACGGGCAGTGTAGGATTAGGAAATGGAAAGCAGATAGTCCAGATAGGCTATATCCCCCCCGTATCGAACTTTGATGTTTGCCCATATGTAATGCAAGGTGCGAAGAGGGAAAATACTCAAAGAATCAGGTCAGCTCGGGTCCCACCAAACCCCGCTTCGTAATATATACGCGAGATGTAAGGTGGTTGAGATAGCCGGGGCGAAGCAAGTCAAGGAAGGCGGGACTTCGGAATTTACTATAATGGATTCCTTCGACTCGAGGCCGCTTGGAAGGCGAGGAAGTAGCTAGCGATCGGTAGTTCTTCCTCGCTCTTTCGATGCCCACATGGCATATGCAACTCGAGTCTGTGGGTTCCTGTGTCAGAGGACGACGTGCAGAGAGTATGCAAGGACACGACAGCCCCCTTCTGTGCCGAAGCATTCTGGAGTTATAATGTTGCTGTAAGTACAATTCTAAAAGGTTGGACAGGCTCGAATCATGAAAGCGTTCTTGAGTTAGGTTGATTGTTTAATGTGTATGTGCCACGACGTTGCGTATCCTTTAGTTGTTAGTTATTTTTTTTTACATACCTGGTCGGTTTGAAGTTTAAGTTAAATTAACAGGTTGGCTGGTTTATGCGATACACTGAGATCGGATGATTGTACAAACACACAAAGTTATTGGTCTAACCTTTTAAAAAACCGGAGATATTGAGCGCCAGACGTTTTTGAGGTTTGACTGTTGGGTTCGAATGTATGTGTAGAGTGCTATGTCGGCTTAAGTCCATCGATGCGAGGGCAGGGTGTCGATCTCGTTTCGTCCTTGCATAAGCCTAGGAGAGTCGAGTCCCGCATCACCGGAGAAGCCCTAGAGTGCCCACAAACTAAGCCAGTGGTACCTAGTACCTAGTACCTCACAAATAGTAATGAGAGTGAGAGTGAGAGTGAGAGTAAAGGTATGTTTGTCATATTTGTGATTATCTCAACCTGATGCACATATGTTCCAACTCGACTCGATAACTTTTGTAGGATTTCCGAAGCAAGGAGACTGCATCGAGCTCTCGCACACTTTAGGTCTCCTTGCAATGATTACTCGATTAATTAGGACTTCATTGATTGTTTTGCCTGATTTGATATTCAATTCTACACTTGATGATATCAAATATCCCAAGATTGCCTTAAATCCATTCACAATTGGTTCCAGCGAGGAACAATAGCAATGTGGATCCCAAATCCTCCAGGGGAAACTTCTGGGCAACACAAAACCGGTGGGTACACAAACGTTTGGAAATGTTCCTATTCGGGCAAATCACCAGAAAACTTCCAGAATATTTCCTATTCGGATAATATTACCATGTCGGTGAGGGTTTTCCCTGTCACGTTGTACAACTCGAGCGAGACACGGTCTTACAGCACACGACGAACACTGCAGCACCAGGCACTACACCTTGGCGCCGACAGCTATTTGGTCAAAGGACGACCCTAAGAAAGCTGGGGGAGTACAGGTACGAATGCAGGAGTACATACAACTAGCACTGCGCTGCACGGCACTGTCTTCTTCTCTCGTGCTTTATCAAGTGATGATTAGGACTCCATCCATCTGCGTGTACGTAACTACAATACAGGATCATTCTTCGAGTCACACACAGAGCTCCATAGAATGGTTCGATGCCGTTCGCCTATGTGCAGATGTCAACGAACAGGTCCCCATCTCCTGGTCGGGTCCTGCCAAATCTCTGGTAATGTGACACCAGAAAATCATATGAACCAGGTTTACGTATGTAGCCAGGCTCTTATATAGGACACTTCATGGACAACGCTCTGGGTAAGGTGCATAACGTTGAACCTGAAACGTGCCCTGCTCAAGGGGTTCTTTTTCGTGAACGCACGGGAAACAAAAAAAATGTTGAACAAAAGCCTCAATTCTTTTATCACCTGTTTTCTTTCATTCCCCAGAAAAACCTGCTGGCAATATCCGACTAGCCTATTCCAGGTGGGCCCTTCAAATAGCCGTTATGGTAATTTTGCCGTTCTTAAATTTGCAATAACATAGCGCCAGCTAAGAGCCTCGTCTAGTTGAGAGGTTTTGGGTTGGGGGGAAGGGCTGCCTATTGGCTCTGGAAAGACCAGCGAGGATGACGAGACCCGGGCCATGAGTGAGCACAAATCTATCGAACCGTGGTCTTGCAGTTGAGGCTAGAAAATAGTGGAGAATGGAGGGAGAAGGAACAATGAAGGGACCGATAAAGTTGGACAACGCCCGTGCAGCTCGCGATCCATCTTCCGATTTGTGGGGGTCAGCTCGAGGTCTCCACAATTGCACAATTGCCGGCATACAGTGCTGGTTGCTAAGTTATTCGTAAACTTGACTCTCAGGATAAGAAGATTCATAGCCACTGCGATCATCGTCGCGAGACAAAGATAAAAAGATCTTGAGGCCGCGGGAACTATAAAATGTGGCGTGTATGTAACCATTCACCTCCTTTTGTGAACGGTCTTTGGCGAATGGCTTCGCCAAGGCCGAAATTTCAGGTACCAAAGTTTTCCTTCAGGGAATTACCAGGCTTCCTACGAACAAGGAATCTCGAGTAAGAAAATAGGCCTTTAATGCGGCAGCCGCTGTTGTGAGGAGATTTATGCAACCTGCAAACAGTGATTTTCCAACCCAATTGCCAACAATCTCCTCGGTTCGATTCACAAGTCTACACGACCTATCGACGGCCAGAATGACATCCGCCAGCTGGCGGGTATCCTGAATAGGATGCAAACCAACGTAAGACATTAACAATTAGCAAATCGTCTTTTTCGAATTTTGACAAGTGTTGAGGGGGGAAAGTTTCATGTTTTTGCCGAAACCGGGGATTGAATCTCAAACAGATGATATTGATAATGACGACAACAAAGACAGTCATTTGACGATAAGAATAGCCAGATATTTAGTTTCAAACGAAGGGCCCTAGGGATGAATCTGACGTCTAGAGGCGAGCCAATAATGAAAAATATAAATCAGAATTTTTAGAAGCAAAATTTTAAAAGCTAAAACATTTAGCATTATTGATGTCCCCTGGTTTATAAGATTTATTTTTTCGCGAGAGTGTTTTAGCTTTTGGGTCTTCTCCATTCAGACCGATTAGCAGCACACCCTCACGGGGTGCGGCGAAAGAGTTCTGATTGGAAAGCTTCATCGACGTTGTCTTTTCAGGGCCAGAACACCAGTTTATTGCCAGTCGCTTTTCCGCTTTCGTACCCAACGGCGACAAACATGCAGTGATGTTGGGGCGTTGCGAGTCGGATCTCTGGCAAAGGGCGCAAATGTCCGAGGGCAACGATGCAAAGCCAAGGCGGGGGTGGAAGTCCCGTGCTCGATGGAGGAAAGGAGGGCAAAACCTTAAGCAAGACGGCCGCGGTACCAGTAGTATACTAACGGTGGGCGACGGTTGGCTGCGGTGCGCATTAGCATAATATCCCAGAACATCAAAAATTATATCTCGACTTTCGATTCAACACCCGATATATGATTATGAATACGAGGTCAAAGGGCGTGAAGAATTATTCTGCACAGACCATGTCGGTTCTGGACGCAGCAGGGCCTTTGATATGTGATAACCATTGGCCCCAGTCGACCCAGGTCAATGGCAACCCTATACCATCGCAATAAAACTGAAAAGATCCCATGTAACCGGCATGGCCATGCTGACAGCCAGCAGATAACTCCAGGCACAGCAGATAGTGGCCAGCACACACACCCATGGCAGATGGGAGGGCGCCCTTAAGGGAAGTATCAAGCGACATCTGATCCAAAAGTAAAAGTATTTGGTAAGGAGCAGAGACAAGTTGACCTGAAGCGTTTACACATGCGAATGCTCTGCGGCTAAAGGGAACCAGCCAATGGCCCAAGAAGTACCTGTCAAGACGAAGGTACTTGTTTCCAAGTCGCAGCGTGTGCATGATCGAGGACTGTTTGCTGGGCCTTAACAATTTTACCCCCGTCGACTCGAGGAACCCTCAGCACACCATCCCTTTGGATACATTGGCCTCCGGTTGTATGCACTGGACTGGCGGTCCAGCCAGAATTAACAATGGGGAATTAAGGTGTAGTGAAGCAAAACTCGATGGTTCGATTGCTTTTTCCTGCCCTGTTCCTACTTGATCCTGTCCCCTTTGAATTCAAGTCGTTAGAGCTAAAAGATTCAGAAAAAAGAAATTAAACTTAGTAAAAAGCACATACGCACACTAACCTTTGACCCCATGCCACCCTTTACGGACGGTCAAGTTAATATTGCTGGTCCTGGTTGGCCTGTACCTGAACAACCCAAAGCGAAAGGTGGTGTTAGATGGAGACATAGGAAGCCTGGTCATTATTAACCTTCTTGTGATCCATATAACCTACGGCCATCCCCTCCTCCTTCTGCGACAGCCGTTTTTAAGGCTGTGCTCGATTTTAGACATTACAAGCCAGATTTTCCGGAGTCTCTGATAGCTTTATTTCTCCTAGGTATATTGAGCAAGGGGAGCTAGCAAGGAAGGGGCCGAATCCTTTATTACTCAAACTACATATCCTCCTCAATCTTTTTTTTCTAATTTATTTTCTTTTCTTCGGAATCATCCATTCGGCATTTATTCATCTGCATCGTGCATATATTATATTATCTCTTGACGAATTTTCTTCACACTGCTCTCTGATTTGACCAAACCTGCGGCATATCCTAGGCTTCAACTGCTTCATCATTTTATTCCGGCTTGGTTTCTTGTTGCTGTTATTTTCTTTATTTCCAAAGTTTTAGGCACTGAGAGTTTTGGGATTTCAGCTTTGACCTCAACAACGGGTATTGTATTGTTTTGTGTGTTTCAATGTCTGGTGCTTGGGCGACAATTTTCTTATAACCACAACCACTACAACAAACAGAACTGGAACTAAACTCCAAAAGACGTTCCTGGTTTCTTACTATTTTATCCTTTGACCTTTTCCCTTCAACGTCACCATCAACCTAAGTTCCGACAATGCCGTTCTTTTCATCCTCTTCGACATCGGTTAATGAGATAGTTGGGAGCCATGGAGGCAGCTACAGTCGCAAGGATTCAAAACCAGCTCCTCTTAAGAAAAAGGATGCGGCACGAATGAGACAACTGAGAAGGTCTATAACCGACTATACGATCCCACCTCCGAGTCCCAGCTACCAGAATTCGTTTCCAAATGCTTCGCTATCCCAGTTGGATACGTCGTTGCCGCCTCCTACCTATGCAGAGCTCGACGAGGTTCGGTTACCGCTACCAAGGTTTAAGGTTACACCACGGCCCGAGGAAGGAAGAGAGATTTTACCTTCATACAAATGCAGCTTAATGAAGGAGGCTATTTTTGAGAGGAAGATCGAAATGGAATCCCCATTCGAGAGATCTGGTGATAGTATGTCTTCTGTCCTTGTTTGCAAAGACTGGTGGCAAATATATGTACTAACAAATATACACAGGGAAATGGACAAAAGTCTTCTGTGTTTTGAACAATACAGTCCTGAATCTTCACAAAGTCAAACGGACAGCAATGATCCCGAGACCGGATCCATTGGAGGAGGATCCAGATGACCCAACTGGATATGCACCTGGCCCGTTGATCAAGTCTTTCACACTTCAGCACGCAGAAGTCGGAGCAGCAAGCGACTACAAAAAAAAGAGCTATGTTATCCGCGTCAGAGCCGAGACACAGCAGTTCCTTCTTGCTTGCAAGACCGTGGAAACTTTCTTCGGCTGGCTGGAGGCTTTGAGCTCTGGAATTAACGTTGCTCTTCCCCTGGAAGAAAGGGCTCTGCCCAAATACCAGACTATCCCACGCAGACGCAGAAGAAGACATAGGACACAAGAGACAGCGGTTCAGGATGTTGTTCAACAACAGGAGGAGATCATTCGACGACATTATCCACAGCTTCTTCTGAGCGATGATGTCCCCGACATCGGATTCGTCGAAATTGATCCAACACTCGACCCTAATGACCGACCGGCAACTAGTGGCGGGTTGGATGCCATTGATGAGCATGGTCATAGTTCAGACTTAGAGGAGGGCCTTCAACCATCCGGTATCGCAACTCCGGTCTCACATCTGGAATCCCATAATGGAAGCCTTGTGGACCTTGGTTCCCTTCGCATTTCTGCAGAGCAAGGCCAGGATGTTGAACACAATGGCGAGATCCATGGCGAGAGCAACGAAGGCAGTCGCACATGGTACAGCAGCCGACCGTCTACCGCCGCCACCACTGGACCTAGCAACCCCTTCGCCAACCGTGGTCATCTTGCCGGTTTCGCTAAGAACACCACCGCTTCCGTCCATGAAGGCCAGACTCGTAAATGGCGTGGAGGCCCTCCAGCAACTAGGGAGCAGCATCTTCGATTTGCGAAGCGGTGCATGTCTGTTCTCAATGCCAACACTCCTCGTCAGAGCAACTTTGTCATCGAGAAGGGCATCCGATATGAAATCGTTCCGGGACAATACAAGATGATCCCAGACGGTCGTATCACCCTTCCCTCGTACCAAAATCACAAGCCGCATGTCTACGCCCAGGCTGCATTAATTGACCTATAGTCTAGGTGGTTGGTGATAGCTGCGGCCTCAGGGACTCTATCTCACATTCCGGCCTTCTAGCGAGACCTTGAAATACAGCCTTGACAGCCCACGCGACTTGAAAAATACAGACTTTTTCTATTTCACGATAGTCTGATCAAGATCGTATATTTTTTTATTTTATTTTTTTTTGCCTAAGTTTTCTTTCCCGCTTCACTCTGAGCATACTCTAGCGAGCAGTTGCATCTCGTTTCTCCACTACATTTCCATACATTTCACGGCGTTCATTCACAAAAAATGCAGATTTTTGCTTCTCTAGATCTAAGATACCACTGGGCTTCCTTGCATTTGTTTTTCGTCTTATTTTAGTCTACATGATTTTTCGTCTTCTCAATTTCTGTTTAATCGTTTGCTTTCCCAACATAGACACTCATTTTCAACCTTTTCATTACATCAATTCTGCTTGTTCAGCTCACGCCACCAAAATGCATTGCAATGGAATTCAAAAGTACTGTTAGCAATCGGTCACTTATTTTTGGTGCATCACATTCATTTTTATTTCCTTTGTTTTGACAGTTTGCTCTAGGTTTGCCAGGGAGGATTTGTTTCTGTTATACTACACTATATATACGGCACAAGTAGGCCTTCCTAACTTGTCCCGGAACCCAGCCGGCAGCTGCTCTACTAAATAATGAATATATATATACATTCCATGAATAAATGATGATAATCTCGTAGCCCTTAACGTTACAACGCGTAAAGCCTATTTCCCCCTTTTTCTATACTTGGTTACGAAGATGGTTCACCATTTGGAACTGGGTTCTGGGTATCTTCAATTTCTGCTGTGGCCACAGATTGCTCCAACTTGCTAACTTCGTTGTCACGAACCTCATTGCTGGGTATTGCCTCGCTGGCGGCCTCAGATTTGTCATATCTTTTCCGCCCAATCCGTCGCATGATAAGATAGAACCCGCCTCCGACTGTCCTCTCCCCGGTCTTCGGCCTACACACCATTTCCCATTCGGCTGTAGCCCTTTTAGTCTGATCTTCTTTGGCAACTGCATCCTCGTTTGCTGTGGTCTCAGTTTCACCATCCTCCGAGGACCGCTGAGAGGAGGCAGACTTGTGAGATTTGTTTGCCTTAACTCGACTTCTGACCAGAGCAGGCCGGACATCCCAAACTCTTGCGCCAGCACCACCAACTCCGTTTCCAAACTCAAGTACCTTCTCCACTAGGAATGGAAGCCGGTTTAACTTCACATGCTCAACTACCGCAGAAATCTGTGTTATTGATGGGGCCCAATATCCTAGAATAGCTCCTAGATGCATATTTTCCTGGAGCAGGGGTAGTAACGGCCGGATTTCCGGTAAATCAAGGACACAGGCGGATAACAGTGAAGGTTTTGCTGATCCTGTGGCTAGTTGATCGGTTAATGATGTTTCTTGGGTGGTACTTTCTTCAGATGTACTTTCAACGGCTGGTACTTCCGAAGCCTCAGGACTTGGTAGCCGTGCTCTTAGCCATGCCTCCACGTCATCGTTATAGAATTTAACACCTGGCCCGTCGTAGATCCCTCGTCGGAATCCTTTTAGTAGCTTCATGGCAGCCTCGTGGACTTTTCTATCTTTCTCCACCGAATGTAGAATTGAAACTGGGTTTTCTTTGCCCAGATGACCAGCGTAGAGCGCTCTTGCGAGATGTAGTGTTAACGACCCATGACCCGTTCCCGCCTCTAAGACTTCAAGTGGACCATTTTCAGGATCTACCTCAGCTGATACATGAAGGTCGAGAGACTGAACAATTGCAGCGGCATCAGCGGGGTAGATCGGTGTAACTATCCTATTTGACAAGACAATATATTCCTCCATTGTAGGGAAGGTTATGAGGTATTCGGCACCTGTAAAGTTTACGTTAGAGCAAACAAAGAAATGCATAAGTAATGCAACACTAGAAATAAGATCATCGAAGCGCTGGTCTTTTGCTAGCCTCGGGCCCTCGGGGTGTAGGGTATATATTGCATGCATACAAGCTGTGTTTCAGGATTATGCAGGAAAGGAAAGGTAGATGTATATTGGTCGCCCAAGCGATGTATATACGATTCGACATACCTGTATTTGTTTTAACGACATCACGGACTCGGCGGCCGATAAGGCTATCATGGGAAAAGTTCCCCTTGTGGGTAACATTCACTTTCCCGGGTTTTATATTGGGAATAAAGACGGAGTCTCTGGCTAAAGAGGCTGATGACCGTGGTTTGAGGTATACACAATCATTTTCTGTGTAATAACTTAGTCTTCATTCGGTAACCTCTTTTCGTATATAATGATATTAATAAAAAATTGCACACCTTTGGTTGTTCTTGCATTTGAATTCATATGCCGTCTGGGCCCATGAAATGTAATGGGGTATTGGTACTGCCCCCATGATGTGGTAACGATCCGGCTGGACCGCTGGCGGAGTCCGTTCATTTTCTTTTGGATTTATAGCTTTGCTAGATTAATTCTTAGAAAGACTGACTATAATATATACTTTCAGAGTTATCGTGGGAGGTAATTGGGTCTATAGTGCATATATTATCTCAAGTAAAGTATGTCTATCTGGGTTTTGAAGAGTTCGAGATGGAAGTTGTAATTAGTTGTGTTGCGTTGCATCTTGAAAATTTTGAAGTTGTGGTTTTCGTACGCGAAAACGGCCTGGCTTGTTTGGCAGCTCTTGGCTTATCGACAGGATCACGTCCTCCCCACCTTAACCGCCAAACTCATCGCCTCGGACGCGTCTACCCATACCCATCCCGACCACCGGAAATAAAGTGCTGCATCTCCGACTCTATTATTGGCTCCTACTGGATCGCACTCTCTCGACCGTCTGTTGAATGCGATATTGGGACCATCGAAGTTACCTATTGCGATATTAAGCAACAATCCCTGAAGCTAGTGCTTCAGTCATAACACATCAATATGGGGAAGCTTAAGCGCTTAGAGCTCAACAGTACGTCTTGAGGACCTATTTTCTAGAAGGCTAAAGAAAAGATTGTTGGCTAATTAGAAGCGCGAGTTTTATAGACTTCAAGTCTTACAAAGGACATCAAAAGATCGAGTTTGGTGAATCGTACTTTACAAGTATCATTGGTCCCAATGGATCCGGAAAATCGAATTCGTATGCAAGAGCTTCCTTGGATGATATGCCAACTGGGATAGTGGAACTAATGCTTGCTGGGTGTGTAGCATGGACGCCATTTCTTTCGTCCTCGGAATTAAATCCGCTCAACTCCGATCTGCCTCTCTAAAGGACCTTGTCTACCGCGGCCGAGTCCTCAAGCAAAATAAAGTTAACGGAACGATACACCCAGATACAAATGGCGAAGACTCTCTTCTTGTCGAGGATATTGCAGATGCTAGTGCGTCGCAGGCCGACCCTAAAACTGCATGGGTGATGGCCGTCTACGAAGATGACGATGGAGAAGAGCATCATTGGAAGCGATTGATCAGTTCCTCCGGCGCTAGCGAATACAGGATCAACAACAGGGTTGTTACGGCGGCGGAGTACAATGCAGCACTTGAGAAAGAGAATATTTTGATCAAGGCCAGGAATTTCTTGGTTTTCCAGGGTGATGTCGAAGCTGTGGCATCGCAATCACCAAAGGATCTTACCCGATTAATCGAACAAATCAGTGGATCGTTAGAGTGGAAATCTGAATACGAGCGCTTGAAGATTGAACAGGATCGGGCTATAGAACACTCGAACGCCAACCTCAACAAGCGACGTGGTATCAATGCCGAAATCAAGCAATATCAAGAGCAAAAACGGGAAGCCGAGAATTACGAACGGAAGGCAAATGAGAAGGACCAAGCGATCATTACACATGTCCTTTGGAAATTATTTCATTTCCAGAAGACGATGGAGGATAATAAAGCCAAAATCGCGCAGCAACAAGCAGAAATGCGACTTCTCAAGCATTCGTATGAGAAAGACAACAAAGTTTACGAGCAAGCGAGAGCAGCCCAAGCAGTGGCTAGTCGAACTATGTCTAAAAAGGAAAAGGAAATCAAGAAGAAGGAGGCCGCAATTGAAGATAAGGAGGTTTCCCTTTTGCCAGTCGACGAAAAGATCAAAGCAGCTCAGGGGAAGGTCCAAGCTGCGGAAAACCGTATCAGGGAAATAAATCGGGATCATGACAACCAGAAGACGTCGATGGAGGATTATAATAGGCAAATCAAAATAGTCAAAACTGCCCAAGCCAAGTTTGAGGCTGATCAAGCGAAAGCAGCAGCTCAGTCTGGTGTCGCGCTTTCGAGTAAAGATCTTGCCGAATACGCTAAGCTTCGTGAACAGTTCAGTACTAAGGCCGGAGCCGAAAACATGAAGCTGGAGGGTCTAGAGCGTGAGGCCAAAACTGAGACCGAGACACTCGAAGCGCTACGGAACAAGGTCGCCGGTCACGAACGACGACTTGAGGCAGCTAATAGTGAGCTCCAATCCATGAAAGCGAATTTCGAGGACGTCGACAACGAGTTCGAAACCGCCAACCAGGAAGTCCACCAGAAGAAGAAGGAGCTCAAGCTTCTCAACGACGAACGTGCCAAGACTCAACAGGCTAAAATGAAGCTCGAGAGCCAGCTACAAGAAGCACTCAAGAAACTTCACGAGCTTGATGATGGCAGGAAGCAGAACGAAAAAGAAATTAAGATGCGCGAGACAGTTGCCACTCTGAAACGTCTGAATCCTGGCGTTAAGGGAAGGATCTCGGACCTCTGCAAGCCTAAGTTGAAAAAATATCAGGATGCGGTCTCCACAGCTCTGGGCAGACACTTTGATGCCATTGCTGTTGACAATGAGAAGACTGCTCATGAATGCATACGATATCTCAAGGAACACCGAGTTGCTGTCGCTACGTTCATTCCCATGGAAACGATTGTGAATAAGCCACTCAACTCCAGTCTCAAGGGTATGCATAGAGGTATGCGCATGGCAATCGACACAATCGATTATGACCCATCCGTAGAGAGGGCTATGCTCTATGCTTGTGGAAACACTGTTGTTTGTGAGACGATTGAAGTAGCTAAGTACATCTGTTATGAAAAGAAAGTTGAAGTTAAAGCGGTTACCCTAGATGGTACTGTCATTCACAAGGGTGGTATGATGACCGGTGGTCGGGTTGATAAGAAAAATGCTCGACGCTGGGATGAAACAGAAGCCGATGGGTTTAGAAAGTTGGTCGAGGAACTGAAAACCAAGATCCAGGACCTAGATAGGGCCTCTTACCGTCCGGAGGAAGAGAGTCTACGAAATGATTACGATCGACTTGAGAAGAAATTGAGCGGCCTACGAGAGGAACGGGATTTCGTAAAGAACCAAGTGGATGATAAGACCAAATTCGTTAGCCACCTGGAGAAGGAACTGAGCGGTCTCAGACCCGAACTCAATAATGCTGAGAAGACGGTTGATGGCCTTGAGCGACAGATCGAAAAGCTTCGAGCAGGAATCCATCGTGTCCAAGACGGTATCTTTAAAGATTTCTGCAAGAAAGCAGGCCTTGAGAACATTCGATCCTATGAAGAGACACAGGGCTCTTTGGAAGCTACAGCCGCCCAGAAGCGCCTAGAATTCAATTCTCAACTGAAAAAGCTGACGACACAGCTACAATTTGAGAAGGATCGTATCGCCAATACGCAGACTCGGCTCGCTTCCCTCGAAGGCCAAGTTAAGACAGCTGAGAAAAGGATCAAAGAGTTTGAGAAAGAGAAGGCTGAAGTTACTGAAGAGCTGGAAGTACTGAACGAAGAGCTTGAAGCCCTCAAAGAGGACTTTGAGGCCGCCTCAGGCGAAATCCAAGAACTTGCGGAGAAGGTTGCAGCTGCCAAGCGCGACGTTTCGAAGCGAAGCAAAGAGATGGAGAATGTTGGGAAGATTGTCACACAATTAGAGAGTGATATTGAACGAACATCTACTAATCGGTACGCGTTGCTAAGGCGATGTAAGCTAGAGGAGATTAACATTCCCCTCACAGCTGAGTCGGAAGCGTTGGATGCCGTTCCCATCGAGGATGCTCTCGCCCCACAAGCGGACCCCGATGCTATGGATGTTGATGAGGATCCACACACTGGAACCACTGGTGCCGTTGAAATCGAAGATTTTGGCGTCGTTGTCGATTTCTCAAACCTAGACGAGGATCTCCAAACCAGTGGTGACGACCGTACCGAGGAGGATTTGCTCGACCGGGTTAAAACAATCGAAAGCGAGCTCGAGAAGCTTTCTCCTAACTCCAAGGCGGTCGAACGTCTTGCTGGGGTTGAAGACCGGCTCCAGGAAACTGAAAAGGAGTTCGAGAAGAGTAGACGAGATGCTAAGGCTGCGAAAGATCGGTTCCTGGCCGTCAAAGAAAAGAGGTAAGGTTAAATTTACTAGATTTCCGGATCCTCTGCTAATATTTTTCTTAGGACACAATTGTTTAATAAGGCATTTAGCCACATCTCAGATCAAATTGGAAAAGTCTACAAAGATCTGACCAAGAGCAAAACCTTTCCTCTTGGTGGCACAGCGTGAGTACTTCTTCTGCCATAAACCCAGTGATTCATAGCTAACACTTTCCCCCTCATCCCTCAGCTACTTGGATGTAGAGGATCAGGACGAGCCATATCTCGATGGAATCAAATACCACGCCATGCCTCCCATGAAACGCTTCAGAGATATGGAGCATCTCTCTGGTGGTGAGAAGACAATGGCGGCACTAGCATTGCTTTTCGCCATTCACTCCTATCAATCATCTCCATTCTTTGTTCTCGATGAAGTTGACGCTGCCTTGGACAATGCCAACGTCCAAAAGATCGCCAATTATATTTGCAACAACTGTGGGCCTGGTTTCCAATTTATTGTTATCAGTTTGAAAACTGGGTTATTCCAACAGAGCCAGGCTTTGGTGGGTATTTATAGAGACCAGGTTGAGAACTCGAGTAAGAGTTTGACATTGGATGTAAGTCTGCCCCGCTGCATAACAGTTTTAGATTTTTGTAGTTTACTAACCTGTTAAAATTTAGCTACGAAAATATGTTGAGGCTTAATTACGACGATTTGAAACCCAGGACGGGTTGATTGATACGTTCTATGCACATATTTTGTTTTCCTTTGGTCATGCTGAAATTAATAATGCCTTTTCCTAATTCTCCAGCTGGAGTGTTTCGGTTTCACTGTTATTTCTATTCTATGGTTTGCTTCCTGTGCGAACGTCTAAATGTAGACTTTTTTTTTTTGTTTTCTGAGGGCGTTAGCCAAACTTTTTTTCACGCTCTATGCGATTTCATTTTACTTTCAAATCATGGCTACGAAGATGCAGGAAGGATACTTTCTGCAGATCCGAAATACGACGATATTCCTTGATGAAGGATTGACCTAAACTCCATACTACAGTAGGCTCAATTGATCAAAGACGAATCGCCGAAACTTAAGACGGGATGATAAACATGGATGAATTGATGAGCCGTAATGCACGCTCAAATCAGACATTTCTTCCCCAATGGGTTCATAAATACCTAGGTACTTTACTTGTACCTATGTGAAAGGCCGGGTGACTTTCTCAACTTCTTTTCCAAACTAACTAAACTACGACATCTGCATTCTTACTCGATACCTCTTCGAATCGAATTAACACCCACCGGCTCTCGTATATTACATTAAGCATCATGTTCGCACCTTACGTACCGGTGGGACCCGGGTTACCCGCTTACATAACCGATGACCCAGATAGTTATACATCTGAACGGTTCTCAAGTCCAGAGGCCAGAGATCGAGGTCGGGATGTGCCGCAACAAAAAACCAGAACGTCGAAAACGTCCTCAGCGCGCCCCGATCGTGATCCGGACCTGCCCCCATCGATGTGCCCACCAGATGAACAGCCAAAAACGATTTGGCAGAGAGCTCTTGTGGAAGGGGCGTATCTCAAGGATTCACTTTGTCTTGTGAGTTACCTATTGACTCGATTTACGCTATGGATTCGAGATTAGCAGCTCTGTTAGGTAGTCTATATCCTTGACTAACAGGCCCTCTCTCTTTCTTTTGTTCCCGAGCGTGTATATGTACAGCTGTCCGGTATTTCCACTTGCAGATCCCAACTCTATCGCAGGTACAGATTATGGGGATTTTGTAGAAGAGAAGCTATACTCGCGACTCGAGGTCTAAGACCTTTCAGATACTGTCAAAAATGTAAGAAGAAGCACTGGACGAAGAAATGCAAAAAATCCGACAAAGTGATGGACATACTAAAGGACCCGGCGGATGAGCTTGGAGTCTTTGCGGAGTTACAAAGTGGGGATTATTCCAGGTCGGAGCGTTTGAGCACTACCGTGGAAGCAAAGGGGCCTAAACTTTGGAAAAAATTCGGATCGATCGAGAATATCTGGTCTTCATTCAAGCCGAAACGTTCAAGTAATGTTGAAGAGTACCCGTCTTGCTTCTAGATTTGTCTTCATTACAAAACAATCAATAGGGGAGCTATGGACGGGAGTTGGATCCGGAACTGTCTGGTCGTTTTTCTATGAATGGGAAGAACAATTAGCTGTAAGGTTTGTGTCTACGGGTATTTACTCTACTATTACTGTTAGGTAGTAAGTATAAGCTTATCGTGTTTGGGAATTGGGAGCACTGATTTGTTTTTTTGGACTGTCTATATTCATCTCTCCTCGTTCCTGGGCTGGACCCCCTTCTTGTTTCATAAACATTCTTGCCTTCGACGAAATAATTATATACAAAAAAGTCCGCCTCTCTATTTAAGATCTGCCGCCTCGTGAACGATTCCTCATTTATATCCAGAATCTTGGTATGTGCGTTATACTCCCAGTCCTCCACGAAATTATAAGGAGCATTGAGCGAATGCTCTGGAAAAGAAAATCGAGTATGCTTGGGTTGAGAAGTTGAAAGAAAATGGAGAAGGAGGGGGGAGTGAGAGGAGCAGTAAAATAAATGAAGAAGAAAAAAGTACACGAAGAAGAGAAAGTGAAGCGAGATGTGAAGGAAGTCATCGAAGTTGAGGTTGAGGTTGAGGTTCAGGTTGAAGAGAAGAGATAAGCCGGGAGGTCCTAAAAATAACGGTTAGTCACCTTAGTTCACCTGCCAGAAACTAGAGAGATCGGGTTTCGTACTTACCGCAGAGAGCTTCTAAAGGCAAGCTAGTGTTTCATCGATCTAAAGCAAAGGAAATGCGGCTGTCAGCTTAGTGATGGGCCTCTGCTATTGGCCCTAACCGCTCAATACTTGTCCCGTCGCCAGCTCAGTACCTCCTATCCTGGACCTCGATCTTGCATCTCAAACACAAAAGTGTGTTGCAACCCTTACACTCGAAGGTGAAGTCTGGCTGGTAAGCCTTGCATTTCGCACACTTCTGCCAGTTCTTCTCTTGCTTCGTAAATACTCCAGTGTGGAAGCACATGGAGCCCTCGGCGTGGTTTATAAGGTCGGTAACGAATTTCGGTGTCAACTCTCCCGGCCTGCCAGGTGCCTTTTGGTTAAGTTCTCGGTACCTGGCTTCTTTTTCCCCGAGACCAGCTAGGTGACGGTGGAGGTCCCAAAAGTTTAGATTGGCAGCTTCCTTGGTAGCTGCAGAAGGAGCTTCAGGTGGGACAGAAGTTGACGAAGAGGCCGCTTTCTTAGAAGTATCGTCCGATGATTCCTGGCAAGCAGACGAGATCGATTGCTGGGCAGGTTGTGGAGAGGCCTCTTTCAAACCCGCAGCGGTTGCCGTTTCCGTGGACTGGCTTGAGAGAACCTCTCGGGGAGGTTGGCTTTTGACGCCAGGCCGCACCACAATCTCGTCGAAGTCGAGAAGCAGAAGCTCCTCCTTCTTCTTCTTCTTCCTCTTCTTCTTCTCCTCCTGTGGAGGATCGTAAAGATCGAGGAGGAGGAGCTCCTCTTCTTCTTCTCGGGATTGGTATGCCATCTTTAAGGTAGGGTAGGGAGGATGTTGTGGAGATGTCTGGCTAGTGGTGGGCGACACTGGAAGAAATATTTTATTTCTTCCAACTCGCCCGGGGGATCCTAAATAAATAGGAAGTCCCCTAATGGCACGGTAGCCCCAGCGTAGTTCTTGGACATGACGCTACCACCTGGGTAGGAGGAGCAGTCGCGCGGCCAGAAGGCCAGCGCGGATGTTGAAGTGCACCGCAACCTCCATGGAGATACAAACAACTCAAAAGTATGAGCATATGTCGTATATATTGACCGAATTTTGGGCTAGATGTACATACAGCCTTGTGGCAACCTAACCTAGAGAAGCTTCCAAAGCATTCCCAGGAAGGGACACAAGGCATGGCCTATGGTAAGTCCTGGATATACATTGGGCCCGGCTCAGAGCCCGGAGGCTCACCGCTATATTAACCTCTTTATCATTTGGTCTCATGGCAGAGTACGTCGGCTTCGATCCAACATCTTCTCTTTTATCTGACTTCAGGGGCCGAGTTTCAACTAATAGAATCATATCAGATACGAGATTACCAAAAGGATGGCAGACTTCTTCGGTCTATTGAGACCGTACTCGCGAAGAGCCATATGGGCTTAAGAGAGTTAGAACTCACCGCAAAACTGCACCTTGTGCCATTTCAGACGAAAACCGGAACGTTCCCACTTTTCGAAATAACGTGTCGATATCGATATCCATTTAAACCGGATCGCATCAGTTGGTTCAAGGGTGCCTTGACGTTGAGCTTTGTAGGTGGGAAATGAAGATGCAAGGAAAGACAAAGGGTTGGTGGAATATGAAAGGCTGTGGAGCAATGGTAGCAGTTCATCTATTCTCAGCAGAAAATATATTTGCTTGCGTTGGTTCTGTTAAAGTTTTGAGTCACACAGGACTGCAGGGATCCTGGTTTTGGTGATATTCGAGGACGTGTACATGTGCACATATATGTGTAGGTGTATGTATGCGCAGGGCCGGCTCAGCTCTAGATTTGAAACGTCAGCGAATATCAAATCGAGACTAAGGACAGATAGGCCGAATATATTAATACCATTATGCTAACTTAAATTTTAATATCAAAGACATGGCGCCGGCTTGGAGGCGAGGTTCTATATATATAGATCTATCTAGTAGTGTAAATCCGCTATCGTTATACCTTATAAACTGTCTCGTCCTGGTTTACGAGATAAGTGCAGACCCTTTCCTATAGACTGTGGAAATTAAAATCGTGGTAACTCCTTTCCAATACAAACGCTTATTGTCTACCTCCTCATAACTGAATCCAAAGATACGTAGACTGACAGTTAGTATATATCGGATCATAATGGGGAAATTCAACTTGGACACTTGGGTACGTCTTTAGCCAACTAATATAATACTAACATTAGAATAATTCATCGTTAATTACAATTATCTTTACCGCCGCGAAATTGAATATTAATTCTTGGGCCATAAGGCAATAGTACTTCGCCAAACAGGAATAATCATAAGTCTGACCCAGATCAAGAAAGGAAAATGAACTATGCATAAATGAACAGTAAACGCCTCTCAACTCAGGTGCTCATGATCATGAAACTCGTTAACAAATTACAAATCTTTCTGTATTTTTTTTTTTTTTTGAGCCTCCCATAATGTGTATTAAATATTTCCTATTGGTATTTGTTTTCCATTTCCTGTCGAAGGTTGGACGGGGGTCTTCGTTGGGGGTGATGTTGAGGTGGATGTTGAGGTTGTCGGTGCAGTTGAATTGTACGGCTTCAGGCCAAGCTTCACCACCAGATCATACAGCCGGTAGTCGCATTTTGGGGTCACCCAGTCATCCTGAACCAAAGCATATGTCTCCGTCTCATTCCCTTGTGGCTTCCTCGGATTAATAGCCCAATACCCCCAGTCCGCATCCATTTCCTCTAGAAAATTCATCAAGTTCGTCCAGTAGTTCACATCTCCAGTATTTGGCACATCGGGTGCTCCAAATTCCCCAACCCAAACAGGTGCAATATTCTCTTCCAAAAGAAATCCCCAGTTGTCGTACATATCGTACGCAAAGCTTGCGTAATCTCGTGACCAATAGGGTCCCTTTAGCAAGGACCCCCAGCCGGACCATCCGTAGACGTGCGCAGAATATACAACACGGTGTGGGATAGGTAAGCTTATAGGTCGAGATCTGACACCCTGTAAATAGTTCGCGGAAGCGACTCCTTCGACAAACATCAGCCAGTTAGGTTGCAAAGCGTGCAGTCTATTAGCTGCCTTTTCGGCGGCCGTGGCCCAGGATGGCCAGAGCATTTTCCCCAGCGGAGACCGGTTTTCGTTCCTCAAATCGGCACCAATCACGAGTGGGTTGTCAACGTAATTCCGCATGACCTTCTCCCAGTTTTGGATCCACTGTTCTTCGGTCTGGGAGATTCGACAAACTTTTCCAAGATAGTCATTCGCCCAGGTGGCATCGCAGAGATTTGCGTCACAGCACCAGCGGGCTTGAGTGATATGGTTGTTGACTATTACGGCGATTCCTTCGTCTGTAAGAGATTTTACTACCGCGTCGAAGATATCTAGGGCTTTGACGGTGAGTGTACTGTTGTTCTCTTTGTCCCCAGCGCCCACATCTTGAGTACTCGTTGAATCCAGTGCGTGCTGTGCGTTTTCACCCTCCAGCCCTCCAGCCTCTTTCCTTTTCCAAGAGGTAAGATCCGGATTTTTCGACCAAAATTTCTCTGGGACGTCGGGGTTCGTGAGAACCAGTTCGTCAGAGTACGGAAGTCTCACACTATTGAACCCCATCTCTCTGATCGTAGCTGCGATCTCATTCCTGTGTTTGACATCCAGCCCCCCTGGGACGAAATCCTCATCACTCGCACCATACCAGTTGATACTCATTAACTTCACCTTTTCACCTGCAGAATCTATAATGTTGCGTCCCTGAGTCCTCAAAGGAAGCTTGAACAGTTGAGGCTTTTTTTCGAGTCCATTTGCTGTCATATTCGGCCTTCCAGGACAGTGTAATTTCAAAGCAATTTCCTTCGGGGTCGGATAACTGTCGAGGGAAGCGTAGAAGTAATTTTGATGTAAGATATTTCTGTATAATAGGTATGGAACAAGACCGGCTACGAAGAGAGCTGAGATTGCGAGGAGGATACCAAAGCGTCTGGTCGTCATCACGGGATGAACCGCCTCCTGCGGTGGCTCGACATTCATAGTTGTTGGAAATGGGTTTGAAGGTGAGGAATTTGAATAGGAGGATATTTTATAAGATTCGTGGCTGTCGACATATGTGGTTTATATGCAAATGTGTGTTGTCAGAAGCTGTGGGTGAGGAAATAATGCAAAGATGAGGAAGAGATCTTGATATTGAAGTATATATGTATTTTTTAGACTAAAGGGACATCCACACCGCCCGATTACATAAAACTTGAAGCAAAATTTGAGGAAGAAGGTATTTTTCTTTTCTTTTCGTGGGCACGCGAGTCGTTAAAATAAGAAACTGGGGCAAGCCGAACGCCGGTTCCAAGTTTTCTTTTAAAAAAAAACTGGGAAGGACGCAGGTTAACTCCAGCAAACGTTATTCGTAAGTTGAGAGTATGTTCCGCGTGAATCCGCTTGGTCAGCCGGCCCTCGTACCTTAGCTGACCTGATCCTTCCTCTGGTTCCCTTTTTTAACTGCGAACGAGTAAGTTGACATTGGTGTGTGTAACAGGCAATTATTCCTTTGCAAATTCCAACAAAACGGTTTGCAAACATTAATTAATGGCATTTTCCTCGTCTAAGCTTTAATTCTGCGTCTCTTCCCGGTTCCAGTTTGTAACATTATCCATTACATATTAAGATTCTAGTTAAAACAACGTTAAAGACAGGATATGCAACTTGCAATGAAATCTATTCACTCCCCTCCCTATGATGTTTGTGTATGGCTAAAAACGAATTCCTATAGTTAATAGTTGGCATCCGAACTCCAGATTAAGATGATATATATTAGGAGAACGAGCAATGATCAGAATCGAATCCACTCCGGGCCAGGTGGTTAGGAGTATAAACCAAAACGTAAAAAAAAGAAAGAAAGAAAAGAAAGAAAGTGCCCCGCTAAGCGTAATGGGAAAAAAAATTTCAGATGCATGCCAATGCTGACACGGGTCGCGGCACGAGAGAGAAGCCGACCGCCGAGGGCAAGATAACTAAAAAGGGATATCGATTGACGTTATGGTGGTTCAAATAGGAAATAATAGTGAAAAGTGTTGCGCGGCCGTTGTTGGATTTTGGTCAGACAGCCAGAAGTGTTGCGTTGTCGTTGTTCGGAGTGTTACACATCCGAACTCTGCCGGCTCGATCAGCCCAGCTGCGCCCAGAACAAAGGGATAGCAGCAGCTATGTATCTATTAAGTGCCGAAGCTTCCATTTCCCTCCCTTAAAGCCCCGGACACACCCATATTGGGTATTTTGGTTTCTTTTTTTTTTTTTCAACTGCCACTTTAAAGACGCCCCTCTTCCATTCGGACGACTTGTTCGACAATTATTCGTTTCGGCTTCGCACTGACTTTGTAGTTCAGATCAACAGACCAAAAATGCGAGAAGGCGGCATGCAACAATGGGAGACCACCAAAAATAAGACCCGCGACCGGAAAAATCACATAGTCCAACCAAGTAAGAGGGGACCACGGATCTCTCCGACTGATCTGGTCTTCGATGTCCCGGTACAAGCCAGACTTCTTCAGTGCTGCTGTTCTTATGTCAACACAAACTTTGTGGTAACGTTCATAGCAGAAGAAGAAGTAGAAGAGCATGGTGAGGAAACCGAAGGTTCTCAGATATGCCATGACATCCATGGATAGCTGCACCCACCGACTGACAGCTGTCGACGGGTTGATGGCGAGATAAACCGACGAAGTGATCAAGATCATAAAGAGGTGGGCTGGGAGAAAGTGAGCTTCGAAAATGCGGGTTAACAGGTCAATGTTACGGAGTGTCAGCTTGTTTCCTTCTTCGATTTGAACTCTGAAGAAGGAGAACTTGGCTCCTAGTGAAATGTTGGCGTGGCTGTCGTAGCAAAGGTTATTGACACGCTCGCTTGTCCCGAGCTGGGACCATTGCTGAATTGCAAATCCGGTATCGAGGCAGCCCCACATATGGCGGAGGGCCTGCTGGTATCGAGCTCGAATGCCGTCGAACCAGCCCCAGACGCCCTTCATTCCGCTAGCAACATTGCAGTGGCTTGCTGGACTGGCAACGCATTCAATATTGAGCTTTCCATTCATGAGGAAATACGACTTGAGCATCATATGCATATCTTCACCAATGGCTTCCGGACCGGTGTCCCATCCCTTGACAAGATCGACAACAGGGAGAGTGAGAGTGTATACAGAAGTTGGGATGGCAATGGTATCGATCCTAGGGGTGATTTGGAAGCAGGACAGGCCAGCACCACACCACATGAGGTCTGCGACGCGAACGAAACGGGGAACTTGGTGGGCATTGCGATCAAAGATGATTGGGGGCATGTATAGGGTCATGTCGAGAGAGTCGTCCTCCAGAGCGTTCTCAATGTGGCGGCGGGTGATTATATCGAAGTAAGTGCTGAGCAGATGTGTGTCACCTAGCAATAGCTTATTGTCAATAATAGCTAACTTTAAAAAATTACAGGGAAACAGCACTCACTGTCCATAACTGTCAACAGAATATGTTCCCAGTTTGGTCTGTCCGTGTACTTTTCCAAGAACCTTTGAGCTGCCCAACCAACGTTGCTGCTTTTTCCGGGAGCCTCGCCGTCAATTGATGCGGGGTGAAGGGTGAACTGCATGTCGAGGAAGCGTTCGCCAAACATGGCAATCAATTTCGTCGCGACGGTCTTAGCATTCGGGTCTCTTTCTTCCATAGCAAGGCAAACCTGCAACGAGAATGGTCAGCAAATACGACTTCACATGCACATAATTTTTTAGTATGGGAGCCTACATCATAGTGGCTCCGGGCCGACTGATGGCTTGCGAGGACCTTGAGAGTATCCTCTAGCACCTGGATATCCTCCTTGTAGCTAGGAATGATGATACTATGTACGACGTCGGGTTCCAAGGGTGCACGGGCCCTGAGTTGGTGATACTTCATAAACCCATTTTGCTCGGTGGAATCCTCGTCGTCTTCTTCTTTCTGGAAGACGGTCTTGGTAGGCCGATGGGTAGTATTGGCACGGAGAATCTCCCCGGAGGCTTTCCATACACGCCATGATAGACGAAGTGGGAAGAATGTTGCGAGCAGGTGGAGGAAGAGGCCCCAACTGACGAAGATTACTTGTGCAACGACGAGGTACTGGCCAGCGATAAACTTTGTGGGGGAGGTCCCAAACCATAGAGTTTGGATAATTCCCAAAGCGAATTCAGCCAGTATCAGAAGACTGATAATTGAAAGGCCGGGGAGGCATCTGATGATCCAACTAGGCAAAGGCATAGTTGAAAGAGCGAAGAGGAACTAGAAGGATGAAGCGAGGTCGGTGTATACGAGTCAGTCGGTAAAGAAAAATAAGGGTACACAGAAAGAAAAAAAATAATGAAAAAGAGATGAGCCAAAGGTATGGCAATAATAAAGAGGGGGTGAGAGGATATATAAGAGGCGGGCGAGTAAGAGTGGTAAGAGGAGACCCTGGATCAGAAATAAAAGGGTGTAACTGTTTATTGTCTCCGTTGAGGGCTGGACTAGAGCTGGATTCTGGCCTGCAGAGGGAAGTATAAATTGGCGAAAATAACTGAAGAAAGTAAGGAATTCGGTTCGGAAAGCATCAATTATATTGACCATGGTCTACTGGCTTTCTTTCACATTCGATAAGCTATTCCCCCTCCGCGCCTCCTCTGTTCCACTTTGCAACGCTTGTCATGGGAAAGCCTCGATGCTGAGCATGTGGTTCATACAATAAGGTATGGCTGTTCTACCCGTCTCCAACTCGAGCAGCTCCTCCGCTCCTCCTAATATCGTCTCCTCTCATCCTGCTGAGATAATAAGTATTTGCGATCTTAAGTAATGGGTGTAATACCAGGGAGGACACCAGCTGAGGTGCAGTTGAGAGGCGGCCATTCTTTTGGGTGTTGCAATAGCACGACGAGAACTAATCAATCCATGATGCACCTGGCGCAGCGGATAATTCTGATTGGCTAATTTAGACGTTCGCCATGGGAGGTCCCATGAGGCCTGTAGGTCCCCACTTCCTTTCTTTCCACCGCTAGCGATTGTGCTGTTACTTCAAACTTTTTTTTCTCTTCCAGCCAAATCCCTCAGAAATGTCACTTTTCGAGGGAATCTTTGGATGAGATAAGCTCGTGGGGTTCACTTTGCACTGCGAAGGACCCTGTCATCTTGGCCCCGTGATTGAACGACAACTGTCGACATGCATTGCATTACTGCGAACATCCCATTTTTATTTTAGTTTCAACAAAGCTTCTATAAGATGACATGATAGGATTTATTTTTTTATGGTTTTGTATTTTCTTTATTGCATATTCTCAAGAAGATACAGAAGCGAATCACATCTGGTCTCGAGGCTAAATTGCATGTATCTTTCGAATAAGGAAAGAAAATACTCGGAGTATTGGCGTTCACTGCGCATTTCTTGGGGCTGTGCTTCTTTCATCTTAGCTCCGGCGAGCCTCAGAAGCAACCCTCTGACACCTCTGCAGAAAGCTTCAAACATAGCCGAACCTGGACCGTTTTTAAGGTCGTATTCAACTTCTACTAACGGCAGTTCTAGAAGACGATGCATCCGAGAAAACTCCATCTCCCACGAAGACTTTAACTGTCATGCTAATGTTTGTTCGTCAAACAACACCGTCTACAATTGCAACTCCAAGGTACGTGCATACATCCAGACAATGGTATGACTGTTAGCTAGGTATTTTCCTGCCCGACGGGAAGCATATCTGACAACCTTGCTTGGCTACCCTCAAAAAAATAAAAAATAAGAAATAAAAGAAATAAAAAAAGCGAGTAGGCAAGTTACATTAAAGGGGGGCGCTCACTCGAATCTGAGGGCTGAAAGATAGTTTCACCGAATGAATACCAAACTCTTTCCCGCGTCGAATCAGAGCCCGAGCCGGGAGGCCCTGCCAGCAATTATTCCATCGGGATATGCCTTTTCGCATTTCATAATACGATCTATCTCTCCGAGGGAAAACCTACAATGAAGTTGTCGTCAGCTCACATTATTTCTCGAAAACCCGAGCGGAACTTCTTTAATGCGCAGTAACATCGGGCAAAAAACCAAGACAATTTTGTTTCGCTTCGTCTAGGGCCGTAGCGGAAGGTATGATCCCGCCTGTTTTTTGCCCTTCATACTTTGGGGGCACACGACAGTGAAACTATTCCATTGTACCGATTTCGACTATAGTTTCCAATTGTTCATTGTTCTTCGAATACGAACTGTTCGATTGAACGCCACCGACATTACGCAATCAAGTCTAGGTATTCCATCAATACCTCGAGTCGACGAGTCTGCCTCGTTTTCCTCGCTCGTGGCCGATTTCTAAATATGTCTACGGGACAGGGTCCCTTTTCAGACCAATTTCTTACATATCTACCTTACCTACCAGGAAAAAAACTTTTCCGCGCATTACATACAGATATCGGTACGATTTCCCGTGGGGAGGAACGCACGTACTGACATACGTTACAATGGGTATATAAGTAACACTGTGCCCTGCGTTCAAATACAAGCTTTTAGCCGACACCCCAGCACACCTAACTTTTAGATCGATGCAACCGGTCAGGGGCTTCGAGGTCAAGCTTTTGCCTTGCCATGTGTCCAACCTTGGTTAATTGTTCTCTGGAAGCATTCCTCCACATTCGCTCTGCGAAGAAAGAACGCACCTAAGATTTCCAGATCTTACCAGCACGGGATAGTGATTAATTGAATAAGAGCGAAGGTTGGAAGTTTTTTTTTAAGAAAAGATTGACCATTGAGGAGGGTCCGAAGATGCAAGATCGGTTGTGCCAAGCTATTCAATATCGGGCCTGCCGCGTCTGTTTCTTGTCTTCAATTTCAGGGATATCATTTTTGAGCGGGAACCACCAATCGTAGGTTGCACAAAAAAAGGAACCCCTCGAGACCTCACGGGCCTTTTTGCAGAGTTGAAGCACACATACTTTCGAATTATAGATTACTGACCGCCAAGTCAATACTTTGCATATATGAATGTGTATTTGAGCTCGCCAATTCGCTGTCTCCGATAAGATATTTGTTACGGAACTTGGACCGAACCAATGGGGAGGAGCTCCGAAGCGAATACCTGACTAAGGATACAACAAGCCACAACACGAGCGAGAAGTTAGATTTATCAACTAGGCATTCATGTGCGTCTATTAATATTAATTGCAGAAATGATGATTTATCCACTTTTGGTCGTAAAACTGCGACTCGGCGTAAGACTGCAATTTTTTGGTTTAGGATCGCGATGTATAATTTTTCCAAATTCAATTTGACCGTTCTAGGTTGGTGTTTTAAATTTCGGCGAGCGAAAGGATTATATCTTACGCCGCCACCACTGGACCATTAGAAAAAAAAACCCTAGTCGTGCATCGATCGCGACCGGTCGTTCGGAAATAAACGATGCACATTCTTTCTTGGTGCATATTCATTATATACGCCCTTGACAGGATCTACGCGATTTAGCGATCCGAGTCCCACTAGGTGAGGAAGGTTCTCGCACGCGACATCTGATCACGATAGTCCTTCAGCTGATAAGCACGATGAAACTCTTAAATTATTTTTTCTTGTTCGCTCTCCATTCGCGCTTCTTCAGGATTCAATATAAGATCACATTCTACAAGTAATTAAGGAGGGTTACATGTGCAAGCCACGGAAGGTTGTCACTTAATCGCTATTTTCTTGAGGTTTACTACGTATGCCCCTTGAGCGATTAGGGATCTAGGAAGTCCCCTGAGTTCGTTAGATGTTGTCAACCTAGGTTACTAGTTTTTTTGTTATTGCCGAATTTCAGGAGGCTTACTTTCTATACTATTTTCAAATTATTGAACGAAGTATTATTATTACAGCAACAAAATTGGCCGAATAGCCAAGTCGATACACCAGTTACTTGTGACCATGTGCTTGTTAATTAATGGGTGCTTCAGTGCTAGCATTAAGGCCTGCATGGTAAACTAGGGAAGATCGAGACCACCTCGTTCACACTAACCCTAGGAGTCATCATTCCAATATTGGACCCTTCCCTTCGCCCTTTTGAATACTAAAAATTTAGAAACATGGGGAAGGAATCTAGATCAAAAATACCAAGGCATGGCAGATTCGTGGCGGTTGGGCACTCGCTAGATATCCCGAAGTCTAGCTGCCAACAGCGGAAATACATTCTACCGCATCAGAGTGTTGGCTTTATAGTTACAACCAGCCCGATGGGTCACCTTGGTCTCGTTGGGTCACCTCTGCATTTTAGTACATGGGGGCAGAAACTGCTGGGGGCGTTGCGGGTATACAAACACCCGCAACTAGGGGTGGTATGAGTCCCAAACTATAGGCATATCTTGCTCCTACATATTATAAGAGAATGGTGAATGTAAGAATTAGAAAGAAAAGTGTAACGAGTGTACTTCTATAAGTCTATGAACCAAACAGGAAACGCTTGCCACAGGAATGCAACAGTTGCTGTTTATACCGCTCTAACAGTTCCTACTCTATCCTCAATACGAGAATACTCTATACTGTGATAACCCCCCTTTCTATCCCAACAGATCTCCCAAGCAATCCAAGTACACATCAGGGCCCTCACCAATTTCACCAGCTTTCAGAATATCCTCCTCCTTGCTCACACCCGTCAAAACAGCGAGTGTTCCCTTCAACCCAGCTTTAAGTCCAAATTGTATATCGGTGTTCAACCTATCTCCGACCATACACGCCTTACTCTTGTCCAACGAGTACTTCTGCTCAATACTGTCCATCATAGCTTGACTCGGCTTCCCGAAGGCGATAGGTGTACGACCAGTCATAAGGGTCAATGGAGCAGCACAGGTTCCAGCACCGGGTAACAGCTTTCCATGCGTGGGGAACGTGGAGTCGATATTCGTGGCGAAGAAATGGACATTAGGATCTTGGAGGTAACCACCCGCAATAGCAAACTTTGCGTAACTGATCTTGCGATCCAGACCGGTGACTACGGCCCAAACTGACGGGTCCGGACCAACATGTTCTGCTACATCTTCTTCGGGGAAAGGGAGTGGCGCCGATCCACCGAAGTATGAGATTCCTTCGGCGGCTAGCTCGTGTTCAATACCTTCTTCTCCAATGACGAAGACTCTCTTTCCCGGGGGGATCTTGTAGACTCGAGAGATTGCAATTGCGGTGGAGTAAGAGGAGCCGAATACTTCGTCTACCAGTACCGGAATGCCGAATTGTGCAAATTTCTTGCTATAGGCTTCTCGGGATTTTGAAGAGTTGTTGGTTACGAAGACAAGCTTCTTGCCTAATATAATGATGGCGTTGGCGATAATGTAAGTAACATACTCATGAATAAACTTTATATATATCCCGAGCCTTTCGGTTTCAGAAAAAAAAAAAAAGCTAACCTTTGTTCCGAAGCATTTCTAGCGTCTCGACGACTTTCGGGAGAAGGACATTTCCTTGCCATAGGACACCATCGCAATCGAATAGAAAGTACTACCATACCCGGTTAATATAATGTCTTGATTGCGATAATATTATCCTACCGATATCGTCCGGTGGGGTTTACATGTTATTCGGTGCTTACATCAAACTGATCGATGAATGCATCGATTTCTTGCTTCTTCCCGGTAAGCTTGCGCGGGGCAGCACGGGCTGCGGTATTCACTTCAGACCCCATGGTTCAATGAGAACGGAAAGGATATTAATAAAGCGGATAATTTGCCGTGGTATTGTAACCAATAGATCTTGGGGAGGGGGGGGGACTTTGCAGCTGCGAACAATGGATGTCCCAAAGCAGGTCCTAGTTGTTATTGGAAGATATTTGGTGTTGAAGGTGTTGGGAATCTGCAGCGTTGTCGGAGCATCAGAGTGAGTAGGTCTGTCTTATATAAGCAAAACGTTTCAACAACGGAGAGTCATTTTCCATGGCGACATTTTTAATTTGCCAATGCTTGGAACTGTTCCCCGCTCAGGTTACACAGTATTAGATTTGACCCTCAAATATAGCTGATATAATAGCTAGATATCGAAACGCCCACAAGTCGTTATAGATATTGTTATAGATATATCAGTATGTTGGGCAAATGAATCCTATACTCGGTCGGTTACCTATTGGAACGGAGTTTATGATGTTCACTCGGACCGAGCGGAGGTAAGATTGGGATTGTAGTTCAGGGGTAGAACGTTTCTTTCGCACTCCCAAAATCTCCATTCGGGGATTTGAGTCGAAACTTCTGTGACTAGAAAAGGTCCCCGGTTCAAATCCGGGCAATTCCACTTCTTCATTTTTTTTTGTTTCATTTTATTTTTGTTTCTTGAGTTCTCTTCGTAGACTTTTTTAATTGATCTTTTTTTTTGGGCCTCTTGCTACCTTCGTCATCGTAGACGAACATGCCAAACCTCCTTATATCTTCCGTGTTGGTTGTGTTGGATATTGGTTCTGTAGACGTCAATGGATAAATTCACAGTTTAGTTACGAGACTGAGATAAATTAATGTTGAGACTAGATATGTTAGGATATGAAATTGCTATTATAGTATATCTTATACACTAGATTAATCGATTATGGATGTATAATTTAGCAATTAGATTAGCATTGCAAGTAGACTACTTTATAAACCGATTTAAATCCAAGTTATCAGCCTGAAGATGATAAGCTTCCAACTTTATTGATGTCCGTATATCTAAACCCCCCTTCTTCATATATCTGTCAAAATAAACATCTATTCTGTCCTATTTGGTGATCTTATAACTTATTAGAATTACTCCTCAGCCAATATTCATCCCCCCCTCCAGTGCAATAAAACCTCCACCCCGCCGCATGCATCCTCCCCACACCGATATCCCCCCTCACCACCTTCAATCCCTTATTCTTCTCAATCAATCCATCAACCCACCCTTCCGGTCCATCATACCCTCCAAACCTAAAACTCTTCAACCCCTCCACCGCCACCTCCTCCAAGTCCAACCCCCACCCATCACTACTCTCCCAATCCCCGCATCTATCATCAAAATACTCAATCGTCAAATCCTCCACCCCAATTAATGGTTGCTTCGCAAATTCCTTATACCAAGCATCCGAAAACGGTCCCGTGAAGCTTAATATCCTAACACTCGGTGGAGGTATAATAAACCACGAATGATGGAATATAACACCACAAGTAACCAATGTTTCTAATTTTTCCAACCCCAAGATTGTTGTTTGAAGTCGTTCTAACTCTTCTCTTATAATTTCAATATCAAAAATCTCGTATTGTGGGTTACTAGCCGAATTTCGTAATAGACTTTCAAGTCTTAGAACCTTGAGCCGTGGCGCTCTGGATAGTGTTTTTATCAAATGCTCTATCTCGGGTTTTGCGTTCCCGGTTTCGGTGGTTAATCCTAGCTTTTCTGCTTCCCTTTCTAGGCCGTCTACCCAGACGTTTCGAATGCTGAATTGGACGTCTAAATGAGTGAGGATCCCTGGGTTGATACGTGACAGTAGAGAATACTCCGGACGGAATTCTCTATTTAGAGCACTGGCTGTAAGTTTGAGAGCCACGGAAACTGAGGTGTCTGGATCGGATTCAAATCGTTTTTCTAGGGCCTCTCGAATCTTTTCGATATCTTGAGAGACTGTATGCATGTAAGTAGTTAGGAACTGTACTGTAATATGTATATAAAAAGATGTATATTTATAGAGAAGAGAAGAAGAAAGAAGAAAAATGCACCTACCAACATCCTGAAGATTCAAAAACACCCTCCTGAGTCCAGGAAGCTCCCTATTCTCAACCATCCTCCCAAAAGTCAAAGAAATCTCCTTAAATTTCGCATGATATCGATACCTCCCATTGAGACTAAAATGGAACAAAAACTCATGAATAACCAAACTCCTAGTATATCGCAAGCTATCCATTACGTCAATCCCTTTCTCCTTCCCGTTGTTAATAGTCGCCAACAGCCTCGAAGTCTTCTCGGGATTAATCCTGATATGAAAATCATCACCAACCCCCAGGGGCCGCGGGAGCATCATCCCTCTATTTTCGAACACATTACGGCTAACGCCGAAGTGTAGTTCTGAGTATAATTGTTGGTGGGCGACTGAAGATAGGGTTTTGCAGGTTAGGAGGAGGGAGAAGAGGTCGTTGAGTGATAGATGTAAGGTGATTAGGAAATGGATTTCCGTGGGGATGTCTATTAGCTTTTTATTAGGCTTTGTGGACATTTTCTTCTCCTTCTTTTACCTCTGAGGCTGAATGCAATGGTTTTCTTGAATTCTTCTTCTTCTTTTTGATATCCGAGTTGATTCTCGTAGGTCGTTTATATAGGCCTCGGCATGCATTACCTCGTCCTTATCTCGTGCCCGCGGGAACCCGACGAATTGCGAATCGACAAGACAACCACCAAACAACACAAACTCCCAACCCGCCGTTCCCACTTTCCAACAAACTGCCAACATCCCTGGTCTCATTGGCCACTTCCCCCTTCCTCAGACATTTTATATGTATAAAAGGTATAAAAATATAAAATCCATAAAATGATACCGATATAACTCTCCCACTACACCTTTAATTCCATCCCCTTAATAACAAAAAAAGGCCCCAAATGCTCCTCCGCATCCCCTACACAACCCCCCTCCCTTCCTTCCCCGCAATCCCCTCGACAGCAACAACCCTCCAAACCGCCATCACCGCCGTTTCAAACTTCCTCCTGAACACCCGATCAACTCTCGTCCTATCCGGAGCCGGAATATCCGTCGCATCCGGTTTACCTGATTACAGGGGGCCCCAGGGGACATATACTTTGAATAAAGAGTATAGACCTATATTCTATGGAGATTTTGTGCATAAAGATGCTATGAGACGACGGTATTGGGCTCGTAGCTTTTTGGGGTGGAAGGGGGTGGAGAGGGTTAGGCCGAATAAGGCGCATGTGACGGTTGGGAGGTTGTGGGAAGGGGGGTGGATTGGGGGGGCTATTACGCAGAGTATGTTTCTTCTTCTTTCTTTTTTTTAAAAAAATTTATGCATTTTCCCAGAATGATATATATATTTTACATGCATATATACATATATGTTGATATGAAAGTGAAGAGGAAGAAGAATGCTATGATAAAGAAGGGAGTTGAATATATATACTAAGAAAACGGGATGCTTCTGAAATATATAGATGTAGACTCCCTCCACACGATGTCCCACCCGGACATGCCAATAACAAACCTTCACGGTCTATTATCGACGGTATTATGTTTAACCTGCCGTACCCATTCCGAAAGGCCTCCGTTTCAAAAGGAGTTACATAGGTTAAACCCCACATGGTCGGAGTTTTTGGAAAAAATGCGTTCCACGCCGGATATGCCTATAAAGAGGGGTCCGGACGGTGATATCGAAGTCCCCGGTGTTAAATACGAAAGTTTCAGATACCCGCCTTGTCAGACATGTTTGAAGAACTCGACTTTTCACGGGATGATACGGATTGATGGTGATGGTGCTATGAAAAGGATTGAAGGGGATGGGAATGTTCCGGGGATAGTTAAGCCGACTTTGGTTTTCTTTGGGGAGAATTTGAGGGATGAGATAAAGAAGGAGGCGGAAGGGAAAGTGGATGCTGCGGATTCGGTTTTGGTCATCGGGAGCAGTTTGGCCACTTATTCGGCTTGGAGGTTGGTTAAAAGGGCGAAAGATCAGGGGAAGAAAGTCGCTATAGTTAATCTGGGAGGGGTAAGGGGTGAAGACGCCTTTTGGGATGACGGTGAAGGGAAGGTAGCCGCAAAGTACAGGCTGGGAGATGGCACGGATGGTGTTAGGGTGGAGTTTGACGCTGGAGATGTTTTGGAAGGAGCATTAAACATTCTCGAACGGATCGACGGTAAAAGAGCGAATCGAAAGGTGCCTCTTGATAGTTTAGGAGCTAGTCGTCGGGATATTGAGCTTAGAGAAATCGAAATGTATGCCCCCTAGCGGTATCTGTGGTAAAGATTTACTAATACTGTCATGCATAGCGCAACCACGAAGTAGAACCCTACAACGAGGGATAGTCAACAGAGTGTCTGCTGGTCTACCGTTGTTGTGTACATAGAACTACACCTTTTATATTTGCATGTAATATACGAATAGAATGTATTATTGATAGAATGCAATATTCATACTGCTAGGCGAATGATCAAAGCTAAACGAAATCGCACTAAGCAGCATTTAGAACGCTATTCTTGTGGGAGCTTGGTAGTTCAAACAACAGGTAGAGGAGTAGAGTTTGTTGGAGCCAGCTCGAACAGGGTAAGGGAAGTGACGGTAGGTGTGCATCCATTCATTTAGGGACAAGGAGTTGGTCAATTTGCTAAAAAGACGAAAAGTTCGCGATAAGAGACATTTAGTGATCTGTGGGGGAAACAAACAAGAAACCAAATGGTACGCCCGGGGTCCCCCTCTTCCAGGCTCCTCGAACGCCAATAACTAGACAAAGAAAATTTCCAAAACAAAAAATACAGAACAAATTGTGGTTCAATCAGTGCTCTATCAAGAAAGCTGCAGGATCATTGTCGTAAAGCGTGAATGTTGTTCAGTAAACTTCCTTGGCCATTCCTCCTCGTTCAACGGCCATCCAGTTCTCGTCCTCGGTATGGTCATGCTCATCAAGTTCCGACCAGCGATCACTTTCCTCGGCTTCGGTCTCTGACGGGGCGCTGATGGTACCAAAATCATCAGCCATACTATCACCCATCCCAGTCGAGATGTAAGACTGAGAGATATCCGATTGGCTGATACTGAGCCCACCGCCATGAGATGGCTTCTCCCGACGTGGGTTAGCGCCCGACGTCTGAAGGGCGTAGGCCGAAAGGTTGATGGCAGATCCTTTCTTGGGTGTTGCAGGTTCCAAGACTGGGGAAGATGGAATAGAGGCCGAATCCAAATCATCATTAACAAGAACTGCATCGTCCGCGCCATCCGTTTGAAGGGCTTTCGAGATCTTAACCTTTTCGTTCTTGTCGCCCCGGGTTCCTCGAATGGTCTTCTTCCCATCAGCAACATTCTTCTCAATTTCATCCAGTTTCATAAATCCAGTAGCCTTCGAAACGTCATCAATCTCCTTGCTGATGTCATCCTTTGGCGGTTGTGGCTCTTTGGAGGTGTTATATGGGAGAAGCTTGACAGGAGGTCCGTAGAGCGGGTTCTCCTTCCCATTCTCAATGAACTCTAGGGTAACAATGCCCCAGTCAACATTCAACGAATTCCTCCACGCAATCTCAGAGCGCGGAGTGGTCTTTTCCAAGTTCTGAAGGATAGTATCACTCAGAGTTATTTTCCCAGAACCACTCAGTTTCCTCTGTGGCTGCTTATCCTCAGAATCATCCGGGTCATCCTTGAAAAAACGATTCTCAACGACCGTCTCCTCACCATCCGCACCAACTTCGACCGTCTTCGTGATAGCTGCGTTCTCCTTCTTCAATTTCTCTTCTCTCCTTGATTTTCCCCTCTCTTGCATCTCAAACCCACTACGACGTGGTGTATCGCTCCTCCACTTCAAAGTCAACATTTCGACCAATTCTTCTGATCCCTTCTCTAACCTTTCGACCTTCTGAATTCTGACCCATGATTTGAATTTGAACAGTTTTGACCTGTACTGGTGTTCCTCTTCGAACAATGGGATTTCCATGTGCTCAAGAAGAGGGTTGATCTCATTTCCTTGGGAGGCATTATCAAAGATTAATTCCAAGTTCGACTTGACAAAGATTTTGGGTGGGTACTGAGGGTGTTGATTCCTGAAAATGAGTATGTAAGCGAGTTCTTTATGGTTGTTGATGGACGGATTGATTGTTCCGCCGTGGACGACACCGAAGTGCTTGTAGATCTCAGAGGCAGTGAAGGTTTTCCTCTGAAACGGCTTCTTTTCCGGAACGACTTCGGGAGTCGTCATTTTTAAGGTAGCAGCGGCAGATGCTGAGAGATCGGGGAGTTTGTGTCGAAGGTGCGGTGGAATGTATGCTGATTTAGACCCAGAGAGATTAGATGATTCTGGGGTAGAGGTTACAGCATCGGTGGATCCTGCTGTTGAATCAACGGTTGGGAATGTGGCTTCAGAAGACATTCTTGTAGAGCGTGCGTCTCGAGGGATTAAAAAACCCCGTCCGATACTAGAAGAATGTCGAGATCGGGAATTTCCGTAGGTAATGCAGACCAGAGGGTGGGAAAGATGCAGGAATGATGAGATACCGAAGAATCGGCTGCAAGGAGAGATGAGCAAGCAGGCCACCCTTAACTAAGCTGCCTCGTATCAATGGATGAATCAACGATGGTGTGGTTTCGCTTGTCAAACGCTGCATGCAGATAGCGATTACAACATCAAAGAGAACCACACCACAGAGATATGTTGACGATGTAGGAAAGGATTGGTAGATTGATTGATGGATAATATTTTCGGCAGTTTGGGAGAAGCAGGGCTGATGGGAAGGGAAGATGGTGAATGAGCCAGATGGTAGATAATAATTAAAGATCTACTGCTTGAGTACTTAGGTGAAAGTCAAGATAGAGGCCGAAGTGGAGGAGAAAGAAAGAAAGAGAGGAAGAAAGAGAGAGAGAGAGAGAGCAGTAATAACTTAAGGTAGGATCGAGACAGCTAGAAGAAGCTATAGGTACACTAGGTACCTACGGAGCTACGGAGCACATACACGGGAGATTGGAGCCAACAGAACAGACATGCCTATTGTTATTCCGATTACATGGCATGTTGGCGCTGTTGGGAAGCACTAAACTGCAGAGCACCATGCTTCGTGCAGGAAACCCCTGCTGCTTCATGCGGGCAGATATCGATAACGACCACCCTTGCAGTGGCACTTCAAATGTATGTCTGTAAGTACCCAACAGCTTCCAGCTATTATTCTATTCCCAGCTAGCACTAGTGGCATGCCAACTACTTATAATTATATTAAGTAAGTCTGATAGCTATCAGGAGCTCGGGAGCAGAAAATGTTTGAATTGGAAGTTGGTTCTATTTGATAGAGGAGATTAAGATACAATACAGGGCGAAGGTGAGAGACAACATTCTTCTGACTTCTGACTGATCCAGAAATCGAATACCGAAGATAGTAGAAGAGAAAGAAAAACAGAGGGAAAAAGAAACACCGATCCCATGATTGGATTAACAGGCTAGTGGGGAATACAAGGCAGAGTAACGTAAAACTAGAAGAACAAGATATCATATATCAACCAACTCCGGCACCTCTCGCAATGAAACATTCACAGGCATATGCATCGTAATACAAAAAAAAATTATCAGATTGCGGGGGGGGGGGAAGAAGTAAATCGCAAGGCTAAACCAGAATCACGTCATCCAATTACAAGGGAAGCCCGGAAAGAAAGAAAGAACGAAAGTATGGTTCAATTGAACAGTGGAGGTAAGAAGGAAGGGAAATATAAAGGAGGATAGCTTGGACTCTAAACGAGTGTCGGCTTCCCAAGAGTATAGCTGACGGTCGCCAATGCACTGAGTCCATCGCTTTGGCTAGCCTTGTGTCCCTTCGCAAATCGATTCTGGCTATGAGGCATTACTGATATTTAAAGCCCGAGCTTCTGCATCCAAGCCGGCGTAGCTCCAAAAAGATACTTGACCACGAAAACTGCAACTACACCCACTACCCCTGCGGTGCCTGTAATCTGCACAACCAGGTAAGCTCCTCTCCTAGCTTGCTGATTAAGTCGGAGCCAGCCAATGGGATCTCTCCTATCCAAGCCTCCAACTATCATCCCTCCTTTTCCGAATCGGACGATCGGTTCTACCGACATTGTCTCTCCAGCATTTGTTTTGACAAGCATCTTGCCCGTCCTATCCACTGGTACTAGACTTCCATCAACAACACATTCACCCAGCTTTTCGGTCAGCCAAATAGCCCGATCCCCCTTTGCCAGTCGTTCAAATCGCTCTTTCTCTGATTTGATCGACTTTTGAAGGTCTGCAGCCCACTTGGCAAGGTGAAGTTGAGCCATATGCTCTTCCCGCCTCGTATGGTCAGCTACCCTAGCTAAAACGAAGGAGCTGGCTGTCCCGCTGCTGGCTGTTCCAACACCCGTACCAGATAACGGTATCAAACTACTATGTGGAGACCGAGATCGAATAAGCTGGGTTGAAGCCGATGGGTTGGGGATAATACTGGGATTAAGGGCGGGGTGCTTCGCTTTCCAGGCCAGAAATTTTTTGGTGCTGCTATGGCGTAGCCAGGCCGTATGATCGGGGTCGAACAAATGGTTAACAAGCTCATCGAGCTCGCTCGTGGCTAGCGGAGGGATGTATTCCGGGCTCATCAAAATACTTGCATCCATACTTTCATCCACTGTTTGAGCCGAGGACGTAGTAAACGGCGGGCACGACGGCAACCCTCGAGCGACATCGTCCGCCGATTTTCCAAACAAAAAGCCACGGATCCCAGCATTCCTAAGATCATTGAGGATTGATAGTTTGAGTTCTGTAGCCTGAGACGGTGTCAATGTATCTGATTTGGCAATTACAGGATGCACATTTGTCAACGCAGAGAGTTTACGGATAAAGTCAATATCCACGGGCTTGAGACCTAATGTGTTATGAAGGTCAGCATGTCTCTCTCTAGGGAGAATCGATAATATGTGTATTCTTACGATGTAAAATAACGTAGAGGACAACGTCAACCTGAGGTGAACCATTCCCAGTGAGGAAGGATAGCAAATCACCTTCACTACCGGTCATAATTGATGTTGTCCGCTCTAGCTGCTTCTCGACGTATTTAACCACGGGGTCAATGCATTCAGAGTACTAAAAAAACGCGTCAGTGTACATTTCAACTTCAGTGTGACAATAAAGAACGTAACATACCGAGGTTCCAGCCCCATACCCAGGTGTATCGACGAAACACACATTTCTTTCTAGTACTGTCTCCCCCGTGCTTTTCCTCCTTCTCAACACCCTGCTATCCTCGAAGTCACTCCACCATGTGGGATAAGGCTTGGTACTGGCATATATCTCAGTCAAGCTATTGGTAGTTCCTGTAGTCTCCTTGCCTCCATAGAAGGAAGACGTAACAGAACTACTTGGTGTAGTGTATACCCAAGGATCAACATGGACTATATCCTCATTCGCCTGTATTATTGATTTAATCAATGAAGTCTTCCCGATTCCGGAGTCACCAGCAACCAAGATCTTTAGGCGACCGATATCATTCCCACGGGAGGTAAAGGGCCGCCGACTAGGCATTTTGATGGTTGGCATAATAAACTGTGTCGACAAAGTAGAAGAGTCGAGGCTTTCAACAACAGTGGGATCCTGGAGATCCACATTCTTCCCTTTACCAAGCTTCCGTTCCAAGAGCAGATTTTCACCGTCGTTTAAGAAATCAGATAAGCTCTTAGAACTAGTATTTCGAGTACCTGCGAGGGAGAGGGATGGAAGCGGTGGGCCGGGGGAGTAGTTTCGCAGTAATGGCTTGTAGGGAGATCCTGGGGGTAAAGTATCTGTGATAGATAACGGAAAGGAAGCATTCGATGACCTCTCTACATCTTCGTCATCGGATACAGGTTCTGATTCTAGTCCTCCCATCATAGGCCTTTCACAATCACTCTCTAGCTCCTCTTCTCGCAATGGTTCCGGGTTTGGCGACATGGGAAAAGGTGGAGCTAGTATTGGTATCGGTTTGGGGGTATCAGGAGTAAGCGTATCCTCCCGGTCTTTGGCAGATAATCTCCGTCGTCGGGAGTGTGGACTTTCAGCTTCATTATTATTGCTAGTAAACGAGGTACGCCTGGGATGGGATGTAGGGGGTGGCTGAGAACCAGAAGTAGAAGATGAGACATTCGACATGGTAGCTTCGTTGGCGAGAAAGTACGTCATCATCGAAGGAGAAGCTGCAGCGGTGTTTAAACTTCCGCTGAGACTATCGCTGGGGCCAGAGCCGGGAGAGAGGTCAGCACCAGACGATTTCCTGGACCTGCCAGTCAGAAGGTCGCCAGATGCTGGTCGCATCGCTTCAACAAAAGAATCCGCCTATAGAGCTTGTCGATATCGAGTTTCTCCAGGTATGCTACCAATGTGTCGTGCAGGTGTAGGCACCCTACGAGGAAACCAAAACAAACGGTAGAATAAAGCTTATTGAAGCTGATGAAACGGACTTCGAGATTTTGAAATCAACGGCCAATCAACAATAGGTCTATGGTATCCCATAGATAAGTAAGTTGGATCCTGGGGAACGACAGGCCGGGTTCGGTCTAGAATGGGAGATAGGATCTTGGCGCAGAGTATCGAGAAGGTATTCGTGCGCTTATTAATCGATCGTGGCCTCAAAACAAGCAGCGCTATCAGCTAGAACGTGTCAGACGAGATGTTTACAACCGAATAATTAATAAGGGTGACAATCTATTTGGATGGCAAGAGGGGTCGAAAGCTTTCTTACAGAATGGCTCCCGGCTAAAACGGAGTTTGACGTGGACAGGCTGGCCGGCCAAGGTCGAGCAGCTCGATTTGATAGTTCGATGCTTTGAGACGGATCCTAAGCCAACTTGCTATAACCTAGGTAGTCCAGTCCACAACCAAGGACAAAGGACGTGGATACGAGTGATGATAGAATCAAAGTAAGCAAGTATATAATTAAGTTAATAAGTACTTAAGTGGCGAAAGCACTTGGTTGTATCCCTGATGGCTGCGACGTGTGCGATCGAGGACTCCTTAAGGATGAATGCGAATGGGGTTTGGTTGGGGCAGGTGGTAGTGTGAGCAGGCTGAGAGGGAGATAGTTCGAAGGGGACGCTGGTCAGCTGGGCACGCACCGCGGACAAGAACGTCGAGCCGCACCGCACAGCACAGCGCGGAAATTACCTAAATACTTGACTTTAAGAAGTTTCGATAGATTCTCTTAGAAAAGTATCCGCTGAAGTATATAGTATTTACCTACTTCGCGATATAAAATAAGGAGTATCGATATCACATACGGTATCGTTGTGGGTATTTTAATTTAGCTATTTAGGTACTTAGTACCTGAGAACATTGGTTCACCCCCACCCCGCAAGGCCAAGGCAGTCCTGTGGATACGTCCCTGGCTTTGTTTGACAACCGCCTGATTATGCCGTCATCGCGCTTCCATTTCACTCATCTCGATGGTACGTACTGCAAGTAGTTATGTAGAGTCGATGGCCGAGTGGGTCCGGCAGATCCGATGCATGTTTGAGGTTCCGATGTTCAAATAATAAATCTACACAGTGGGTTTATAGATACATCTGATGTAAACCTTGGGCGAATTTCTTTACATATGAACGTTATAAACTAGCTTGATCGTACACGAGGCCGATGATGCTATGATATCGATAGCAATAGCTATCAATATATAGTATCCATTAATATAATATATTCTAGGGTTGGCTGCGCTTCAGAACTCAACCAGTTATCGATATCATACGAAATTAATAACATTAAAACTAACATTTCCAGATAATGAACTCCTATCCCGTCAATATACCAAAGCATCATGTCATAATCAATCAATCAATCAATCAATCAATATCCATTTAGCGGCCGACCATCCAGCTGGTGTACCGCTGCCCTTGATTCCAACTCCCACGTCTGCTGCCCCAGTTGACCTGGCCCCGGCTGCAAAGCACCAGCCGGTAACTCGCTAGCCATATCAGCCCTGCGAATATTAATCTGATCCGCAGATGCCTCAGCCGGCATCTTATTCTCAGTATAAAACTCAGCCGGCCCTGAAGGTACCGGAGGCGGTAACACTGGTACATCACCATAAGCATAACTTCCTTTCCTTCTGCTCTTCCAAACCCATACAAATGCGCCTAGGATAAGTAGCACTACAACCGCTACACCGGCTCCTATCCCGGCCTTCGCGCCAGTAGATAACCCTCCTCCTTCCTCCCCTTTATTGCTATCGCTAGTATTCGACGGTTGGTTATCCGTCTGTGTCTGACTAACCGAAGAACCACCAGTATTGGAGCGAGAACTGGAAGGACGGTCGACAGATCTCCAATTCAATTGGAAAAGTGGGGCGAAGAATGTTTGGGTCGATATTGTTACCACGTCGGTTCTGCGCAGTCTACCAGTAACTTCTGTGGATGTGACGGTTGCCGGGATGATGAATTCCGTAGGCAACCTTGCGAAGTCGCTGCATACGACGCCATCGAAGGTTGTGGATGTGGCCGTTACGACACAAGTTTGTCCCCTCGGGGCCTGTTGACAGAAGAAGCCACTATATAGTACGTATGAAGAGTACTTCGTTAGCATAAGGTGTAGACCCATTGATCATTCATTCTAGTCGTAGATTTGACAAAAACATTCGAATGAATACATCACAATCCCGGGGATTGATGTGAAGTATATATCAATATCAAATTCCTCCTACCTTGGACAACAACCAATAGCAGTTTCCCCCGTCGTAACAGGAAACTGGAACTGGAAATTCCCTTCCCCCCCAAAAGTCGTCGAACAAGCAGGCGTATTCCCATAAGGACACACCAATCCAGGCGAATATAGACCAAACCCATTCAGCGCGTCAGGAGTACTCAAAACAGACGCTCCCGCCGTCCACGACGGCCAACAGAACGACTGATCGATCGCGCCGATGCCGCTGATACATGTTTGTGCCTGCCAAGCGACGCAAGCAGATTCCCTAGGACAGTAGATAGCAGGTATCGTACAACTCGGATCCGGTGTAAAAGTTGTAGTCAGTGGACCGAGAACATTGCGAGTTACTGTCGGCGTCGACGACATGGTGGATTAAACGCTCGGGTAGGTCGGTGGGTACTATGAAGGGTTAGAAATTCCATGATTCGATTTTTGTAAAAACCCGACTTTAGGGGGGGAGAAGGGACTGGCGCTACTGGGATAATTAAATAGGTAGATAACTAACCCCTCCTCATTGCGTTCATGCATATTCATGTTCACATTCACCTAGCCTCGAATCCGGCGGCTCGAGACTAACGTTCACCCATCAATTACAATATTGTTGCAATCTAATTATAAATTGGCCATTATTGTTACACCGGGAGGCTGTCGCTGGCTAAATTCTGACTATTTCTGAGCATTACACAGGTTTCAATTGTAATTAATCCAAAGAACTTCGACCATTTCCATCACCTTCGGGAGTCGGCTGGTTCTGCACATTTTATGAATATCGGAACCAGGTTGTTCTCGTTCCCAGACGTCACGGAAGAGGGGAGCGGCCGGGTCCAGATATGCAGATACGAAAAAATTGCAATGCTATTGGTAGGGAAAAACTCTTGTTGCCGCCCGTATATACCACCTGGTCAAGCAAGGGTGAACCTGCATAACATGCACCGCGATATATATTGCATTGTCTGTACAGGTCAAGTATCGGCGTATCTGAGAAATTAGGTATATATCATTAGTGAAATTTCGAAAAATGAAGATTGCATACATGAATAAAATGAATACAAAGGCCTGGCTTGCCGGATATGAAATAGCATCGAAATCGATATGAAAATGCTCCAAAGGACTTGGGTTCAAATTTCTCTCTGCCTAGCTAAATTTTACATCGCCCTCCAAACAACTACAAATCAAAGCTTTAAAGAAGGCTTGATAAAACAATCTGGGGAACAGAAAGCTTCATGAATCCAAGGAAAACGAAGATAATATAATATATGTTTTAAGAAACCCCCGGGCCACTTTTTTCAAATATCGGGGCCCGATGGGGTTTGTTCGTTCAAGAACAGAAAAACTTTTTAAAAAAGAGGTCAAAAACAGGTGCCACTATCACCACACCCCCAGAATAAAAGTTACAAGAAACGAAAAGGGACCAAGCGGAAGAAGAAGCTATGGACATTGAAGGTAGACTATGACAATGCACAGAGAAAAATCAGCATGTCAGAAAATGTAAAGGGTCGCTTTAAAACGAATACATTATAGCAAAAACGGACGGGAAGAAACGACATAAAAACGTGGCCCCATAAAATGCATGAACCGTTTACACCGATGAAGCCCATGAGAAGGTGAAGAAAATATGAAATAAAGTAAAGAGCAGTCATAAAAGTAGTTTGGTGGTTAGACGAGCGGTGGATGGCAATCTCCTAAAAGACTGCAAGAGATAAGAGGGGCGAAACTTTTGAACGAAAGCAGTTAGGAAAAAAAAATGTAAACGAAAAAAAATCACGCCCTTATGTTAGTCGGATGAGGTTGAGGTGTTATGGAGTGAAAGAAAGTAGCAGGGTCGTTACTTTGCGCGGGTCTGTCTATCGAGACGCTAGTTCGAAGACGCCGCAGCACCGCCCCTGCCACCGCGAGGATACTGCCCTCCTCCACGAACATTCCCGCCTTGTCCACGTCCGCCACCAATGCTGTTGCGATTAGTATCGAATCGGTCTCGATCGCCTGGGCCGCGCTGAGAACCTCCTCGGCTGCCCTGGCGTTCGCCGCCTCGAAGGTTGGAACCACCGCCACGTGGGCCTCCGTAGTTCGCTGGCCTTGGTCGACGCTCTTCGACATAGATGATCTGACCGTTGATGCGGTGTGGGTTCTCCTTGGCAGCTGCAAGGAGGGCCGCTCCGTCGGCGAACTCAACAAATGCACATTTCTATTCACACATATTAGCGAGCATTCAAAAACAGGGTCCTTGAAGAAATTGGAAATCATACTCTCTCAAGGACAATTTCAACGTTGTTGACAGTTCCAAACTTTTCAAGCGCTGCCTTGAGGTCTTTATGCGAGACTTTCTCATTCACGTTTTTGACATAGGCAGATCCGGCATTTTGCGCGGCACCAGACATGGAAACTGGACGGTTCTGTCGTCGAGGTTCGGTCGTTTGCCAGCCGCTATTGGCTTGGGAAGACGGACCAGGAACTGTGGTTGAAGCAGATGGGGTTGGAGCAGGAGCATTGGTGTTGGTGTTGGCAGCGGGAGTGTTGGTGGGAGGTGCAGCTGGTGCGACAGGTTGGATGGCAATCGGGGCAGTTGGGGCAGCAGGTGTTTTCGACGCCAAAAGGGCAGCCCAACTAGCTGGCTTAGCTGGCTTTGGTGGTTCCTGTGGAACTGGTGGAGGGGCCTGGGGGGTTTCCTTGACGGGCTCGGTCACGGCAGGGGGGGCTTCAGGAGTGGGTTCTGGTTCAGAGGTTTCTGGTTGCGGGGTAGGAATAACTGGGACGGCAGGAACAACAGGAACAGCAGGAATGACTGGGGCAACAGCTGCAGGTTCTTCAACCTTCTCAGCCTCTGGCTCGACAGGAGCTTCCTCAATCTTCTCAGTCTCTTCCTTAACCTCCTCCTCCTTAACTTCCTCCTTGACCTCTTCCTTCTCTACAACTGGAACTGGCTCGGGTTCCTCGGGCTCCTCCTTGGCCTCAACTTCAGGCTCCTTTTCTTCAGCAACAGGTTCCGCCTCTGGGGCTGGCTCGACTGGGGCTTCCACGGTTTCCTCTGGCACAGCTTCAGCAGTCTCCTCCTCCTCTTCCTCCTTGAGGTATCGGAAGATATCATTGAGAACAAAGTAGCCTCGGGGGTTGGTCTGTTCGGCAAGGAAAAAGGTTTGGGCAAAGCGCTGGCTAGATTCGGAGTTGTTGATCATATCTCCAAGGACCTGGACGATAATACCACTTTCCAAACTGCCCTGAGAATCCACATTGGTGACTCTCACCTTGCAGTCATTGAAAGCAAGCTGTTTGATACGCTCAGATATTTCCTAATTGCCGCAAGGCACATGTTAGCATAAAGGACAAAGTCGACTTCTTATGATGGATTGGATTATACTGACATTGCGTCCGTGGGAAACAGCAACGTTTTCACCCTCGATACCCCAAACAAAAGAGGATTTCTTTTGATAAAATAACTGAGCAAGTAGGGTTAGCACGTAAGTCATTGCAGGAGCAAACGATGATGATAAGACTCACGTGTAAACGCTCGGGTGATCCATTAAGCGTAGTGTAATAAGATTCAACAAACCACCAACCGATCTCCTTTGGGCTCGAGGTAGACTGCTGGGTAGTAGGAGGAGGGTTGCCATTAGCCGTGGCAGTAGAAGTAAAAACTTCAGAGGCACCGTTAAGTGTAGTAGACGACATTATAGTTATAAGTGTAGGAAGTGAGGGAAAGCCGGCCTGAGGTTGGATGAGGTTGTGAAGATCTTGATATACCGAAGAAGAAGAAAGAAAAGGTTAGACACAAGTCATGATACTACGATACTTCTATTCCTATAGTACCACGGAAAGCGAAAAAGGATTTATAAAGAGAGTATGAGGAGCTTACTTTGGTTCAGACAAGAAGCCTGTGATGTGGGGGTTCCCGAGAGCAGAAGATGGATGTGATAAGATATGAATGATAATACCTTTGTAGATATACTTCAGAACAAACAAATGAATGAACTGAAGATTTGCTATAAAAGAAAATCGGGAACAGAAGAGAAAAAAATAAGTTGACGTGCGTTGAAAGGAAGATGGGTATAAAAGCAACAGCAACGGATAAGAGAAAGAGACAACGGAGAAAGAAGCAAGAGTCTGTACAAAAGACGAAGGAGATAGAGTTGGATGAGAGGGATGTAATGAGAAGAGTCGGAGGTTTGGTTGAAGATACCTGATTACGGCAGATCGAGACGCGAGGTGATGATAGTGGGGGTGATGATAGTGGTGAGGTTGAGGTGATGATTGTGGTGGAGTGGATGGAAATGGTGGAATGAAATGGGTGATGTTGTTTTGTGGAGGAAAAGTTTCAGGCACAAAAAAAAAGAGGAGGAATTTTCTGTGCGTGCCGTGTTGCTTGAGATTCCCCACAATCGACATCCAATGTAAAGTATCACATCAATCTTACGAGACCACATCAATCGTATATTTTATATACTATATACCTGACTACAACAGCCAACAGTCAACAGCTCCGCCGAATGCAATCAAGGTCCGTTATATTCAAACAATCAAGTACTTGGGACAAAGGCACAGCGAGATTCTTTGTTCCGGCTTCGACTTTTCAATTGTCGTGTTTCTTTTCTTTCAACGTGCAAACGGGAGATGCTGGAATGCAAGTGCGGAAAGTAGGGTTTGCCTACAGACTAACCACAATGATTGCTTGACAGGTTTTTTTTTTTTTTTCCTAACACCCTTCCCCTTGCCGCCCGATGACAATTCACAATCCAGGGACTTGGCCATAGGTCAGAAGATTCGATGATATTTACAACTATGTACTTGTACAAAGAAGCAAATGCTTACATAACCTCGGGAAAGAAACATCATCGCACCAGCCCTGCAGACGGATACGGATCGTATCTGACGTTGCAACCTTGATATTGGTTGCATATGCTTATCGATACGCACATGTCAAGGCATTGCTTCAATTGCCTAGAACAGCAAAATGAGGAATCCCCGTGTGATGGCCAACATGAAGGAAGAGCTCTGCAGTCACAGACGATGGCCTAGTTGGAATGCTTTTGGCGGGTACTAATGTGAGAAAGAAGCACGCCGGTGCCCTTGTCACTATGTACAGGAACTCTAAGTAAACGATGGATTGCCGTTTATACAAAGATGGACTAGCCTCGACACGTCCGTTCAACGGGGAAGAGGCCACTAGAATGTGGTTTTATAGGGCTGAAATTCGATGTCTTTGATGCATAAAACGTCCGGTCGGGGACTGGAGAGTACATATACCCCTACCGATGGTGTGTCTGCCTAAGTATCTACTTCAAAGATGACAATACAAGACCATGAATCGAATCGTCGAGAATGGAACGAAGAATATTCGCTGGTATATATGATAAGGCCTCGTAACATAACTAACCTAACAAGACCAAATAAAACATACAAGACCCAAGGCGCAAAAGAAATGCAAAAAATTAACCATGACATGCTGGGGACCGAAAGCGTGCGAGCGAGGGAATATATCAAAATGTGAAGGAAAAAACAAAAAACGGACGACAGGAACACCCTCCCGAAAATATACCGATGACCCAGAACATAGAAACTTCAAAAACCCAATCCATAATTTTTAGCCTTTGGTTCCTGAATGAAAAAAAGACTTTCCGATTGTCTCGTTCAAAACGTGGCAGCCGATTAAACTTTGTCCAACTATAGTGCCTCCCCAAAAGCCGCCGAGATAGAGGTAAGTGTGGTATCCCACTCTCCCAACAGAGTCCCAGACTCTGTAGGTCGCGGTGGGATCGATGGTATGGTTTGACATCAAGGTCGCTTCCCTAGGTCAGGCAAAATGTCCTTCACTGGAGGACCTTCTTTTTCCTAAAGACAGCATCCTGTCCAGTCATTCTCCTTCCCAATGCCCTCTCAAGTTTTGCGCCTAATGCGAGTTTTCCCAATTCACCACCCTTTTGTTCAGTCAAGACGAATCGTTGTTCTTGAAGACGTGGGACATCGAGTTTGTGGAGGCAGTTTGTGATTTCTAGGATACCAGCTTCTCGGCTGTATTGCGATGGTGTAACCGACTGAGCACTGCTGGAAACAGCGGAGAGAGTCGAGGCTCTCCTCTTCGCTTTCTCGGACATCATCTGTTTTTGCTGCTATCATGATATCATTAGTATGACGTTGGCGGAAATTTACTCGGCTTAGTTGAGATTAACTGCGAAACGGGACGGAAACAAAAAAAACAAAAAAGGGAACAAAGCGACGTAGAATAATAAACATAAATACTGGCGCGAGCAGACACAACGACGCCTATATACCGCGAGATTTCATGGTATTCTATAGTCTTTTTATGAGTATCAAAAGGGGGAGATGGTGTATCCTTACAGCGAGAATTGGGCGGTCAGAATCTAGGGAGGTAGTCATTTTTTGGGGGGTTTTGTTAGGTCGCAGGATCGTGTCAAACAATCGGTTGTATTAGGCTATTAGGATTTATAGGGATTTGACGGATAGAATCGCGATTCGCAACGGTATACGTATAATCGGATGAACGGAGTATATAGTAATTCTTATACCAAGAAGAGATATCCAAGATGGGATGGGAAGGAAGGTGAGGAGGTTTTAAAAGGTCAGGAAGCTGGGCTGGGGCCCAGGACAAATATAAACCTTAGTTCGCATGGCAGCAAGCAAGCCCCGGCCGGATGATTAGGGGTGGGACACACCAAAAAAATGATCCAATATGCTGATTTCCGAACGGACTAGGCTGAGTCGCAGTCCGACAAACTTCTGGACATTGGCCTCAGAAGAAAAGCGCAAACCGGGGCTAACCATGATGATGAAACAGCAGGAGGGGTGTTTTGGGCCACACCACATGGCAAACATGTGAGCTCGGTTTGCAGAGCCAAATTTACCCTCGAACGTGGCATTTATTACCTGCATGATGAAAAGGTTAAAGGTCGGCTTCGAAGGGAAGTATTGCTAGAATGGAGACAAGGAGAGGGCGGGAAAGTCGCGCTGTCTCGACATATACAGTAATGCTCGTCAAACCCACACCTCCATCACAAAAGCTGGTTGAACAAGGATGAAAACTTTCTGGCGGCCTGAGCCCCCTCAAAATCGATCGACCATTTTGTCAGGATAAAGGGCCGTGAAAGCAAGCGAGAATGGTTTAAAAGGGCTGCATTTTAGTGGAAAGGCATCTCTTCGAGTGGTTCAGAAAAAGCGAGAGTAGTAGTGATTATCGAGCGCAATTTCTGCGCGCGGTTGTTGTAAGATTGAATGGATTCCGAAGAAACAGTCGACTATCATATCAGAGTATGGAGGGTTAATTCGTAATGCCTGCTCGATGATTTTATTTTTATTTTTTTTGCTTTGCTTATGAGTTAGAAGCTCAGCGGTATGTGGGCCTCGACCAGGCTAGGCCATGAACTGTGATTGCTACATCTGTAACACTGCTTTAGTTGTCAAGGCCATTTCCGTCGCAGCCACAGTCAGAACCCTCATAAAAGATACTTAAAACGGGAGGTCCTCGGTGACGATGTTTCCCCAGAATTTGATAATACAAGAAGGGTTTAAGAAAGATAAGGTGATGCACAGAGTCCCGTAACTAACGAACCCCATGTAGTTAAGTTTGGTGGTTTTGACATTTCTCCTCTTCCAAAGGGGTAACAGCAAGGGCCAACCACGTGGAGAACAGACGACAAGTGACGGAAGGAACCGACATGCAGCCTGCAGAAATTCGAGCTTACAGGACCGTTTGTCCAACCGTTTCCGACGCAGCCCAAGATGAGAGCCTGTGTTGATCGAATGCCCGAATAGGAGTTGTGGAATTATACTGGTTCCTCTCCACGCCGTGAGAAAACCGTTCTCTGGCTGAAATGAAAGCGCTGATCACGAGGTTCCGACTTAGTTGTTTCTATTATATTGAGCAACCCGGTTTCCTGACAGAGCCTAGTTAGATCAGAGGGTTCTTAAGATCAAAACTCTTTCCACTCTCGCGATCGAGATTTCGAAAATTGGTAGTTTCTGGGGTCCATTGGATATTTTGTCCAACCTCTAATCGAGATTTTGTGTAATGTCGGCATATACATTTAAACTCGGATCGAGATGTAACAACACGGTGATTCCTGTTTAGCTTAACGAGCTGAAGAGTAGTGTAAACCTCCACGACATTAACGTCAAATTCCAAGGCAAATACCGAAATCACTATAGATATCTCAAAAAAAAAAAAAAAAAGTTTAGCTGTGTTTAAAGCAAGGGTGTTTATTCTAGCCACCAAACGAATGCCGCTGAATCGACTGGAGAGTATCAAGGTGAAAGGATAACGTAAGTAACTTACCTACAAAAAGCTACACCCTGCGAGCGGTATATCTACCGGCATATACCGTATTCATGCGGGTGCATGCATTATACTGCCGTCCAGGAAGGAAAGGGGGACGAATAGTCTGGGGAGGAACGAAGATGGTACTACACAAAGATATTGGAATAGATAGGGTAATAGGTTATAACTATATCGTCGCCGGTTCGTCCCGACGTTTGGTGCAACACAAAACAACTCGGCACATTGTGCACTCAGACTCGCATGTAATAGATAGTAGAGATGTTAGAGGCGCATCAACCAGAAACTGATATTGAACTCAAGCTGGGCTCGAGAATATTATTCTGGAACAGGCTATAAGGTATCGGTTCTTCTTCCCATCGGCCTGAATCCAGCTGGCAGGACATCTGACCTCACCGTTGACGCTAAACGGTTTTGGGAGCTACGGTTTGCACTTCAGGTCCCAGAATTGAAGGCAGCAACATTTGGATATGCACAATAATGGTGGCTTAGACCTTCTGGCGACATTATGTCTGTCCATGGTAAACCTAGAATTCTCAACCTCATATTGTTTTTTCACAATCTCGCAACTGATAAGGATCACATAATTTGCTGTCACATTGCAGATGCAGTCTTCCAATTCGCTAACCCCACACTCCTCGAGTCTCTTATCAGGTTTTCGTCGAGGGTACCTGCATGAGGGTTGTCTTGGAATGGATCCGAGGTCATAGGCGAAAGGAGTGGTGTGAATTAATCCCAATTGACAGGTTCCTACTTTACATCGTATAGTATATCAATCATTGCATTGAGCCCTCTTCATGTATTAGCAAGATCTTAAGAGCTAGTGCGGGCTTCGTACTTCAGATAAGTCTCGCTTCTGATCATCCAAGGCTGCCAGATCCCCACCTGCAAGATGCATGTGCATATCGTCCATGGATCTAGCTACATATTTATTGTCCACTACTATACTCTGTATGATATCTTCATCAATTGAGTCATCTGACTCCTTTGTTACTGCGTTGGGATGGAGATTTATATCAGATGCGAACGTTCGAACTCTCAACCACGGCACCTCGGATGTCCAAGGAAACCTCAAATGATAATGGACCCCCAAGCTAGTTTGCTGACATAGATATCCCACATACCCCATACCCCATACCCAGTACTAGTTTTGTATCTACCATGTATGTTGGTCTGATAGCAAAGCTGGAGGATAAAGAAAGGAGGAAGAAAAAAAACCCTAGCGTTATAGCTCGAAGTCTATTGGGTACCAGATCAGCTTCCATGAAATATGTATGCACGTTCTAACCATGTAAATACGTGTCTCTCAGGCACCGGTTTCTGATGCCCCTCTTGTTGGTATCAGATTCTCAGAGAGAAGAAAAATCAAATACGAGAGCGAAACGGCAAACCAAAACGAACATACAGTCTAATCAGCGCGGAATCGAATGCAATAATGGGGCCATCTGCATTACTGGGTAGGCACCCAATTTTGTGAGCGTCGAGTATCCACGTACCGGCTCCAACGGACCATAAGATGCATCAGGCTTCCCTTTGACGATAGAAAGAAAAATTTTTTTTTTCTCTTGTCAATCGATTGTAATGTCGCCCGAGACGAGATTGCTTCCTCATGCTATGATCTTTTTGACTGAGAGCCTTGAAACATTGGTGTGGCAGTGTCCCCACCTGGAATTGCGAGTACTATGCACCATCGGCATGCATCGTGGTCGATGAGGCTTGTGGAGGAAAATTTTTTTGCTGCACCAGCCACTTAATGCCACGGTACCGGAGGTTCTAGCCTTTCAGGGTTCCCGAGCCCAGGGTTCCAGGCCTGGTATTGGTTGGGAATCGGCCCCAGGAACCAGATATGTCTTGACTGGTGGTGAGCTAGTTATCCCTAGTTAGCTGTCAGTGATGGTCGAACTTTATATTCGAACTACCTTTGGAAGAATTCTATGGGGTTTCCATGACTAATTTCGAGCTCGAATGCGTATGGTTAAAGAGCAATTGTCTTATACGCCCCGCGGATATCGATACGGGACCGACTAACCGCCACGAATGATCTCGATTAGTAGATACCGGCCCATCAGGCTAGAAGAAATTTAGATCCAGTGTCGATTTATAATTCTTATAAAAGACCAGAATTAATCAAAAAGGAGTTTAGAATAGGGCAAATCACGGGCCAAGAGGAGGTCATTGCAACCTCATTGATGCCTGTTTAGAGTTATCAGCCTGCGAGCCCTCCTGCAGCCCTCCTGCAGCCGCCGTGGGTACTTGTCGTTGCCGGTGGATATAGATGGTAGGTGAGCACTTACAGACCTCATTTATGTTATGATATCGGGTTGAGAAAGCGACATTAGCATGCTGTAATGGAGTGCTAATGTCCGTAATGGGGCCTGCACCCGTGACTGTTTGAAATTTGACCGAGCCCTGGTCTTGAAATGAAAACTTCTGAACCGGTTCCTCGTTACACCGGCCAGACACTACCAGACAGTATTATGCCGGTATGCAAACATAGTTGCGTGTATGTGCCGTATAGTATTGTATCTTATGCATTCGATTCGAGTCAAGCATCCCCTCCATCTGCAACGTCAACCTAGCACCTCGCTCCTGATCTATTGGCCGAGCCCCTCCCAGGCCCCCCTCACTGATCGTCGGAGTGTCGAAGTTTCGGTATATCTCCAGACGCGAAAAAACGTCATGAATCGTGAGAAGCCAAGAAGATGGAGCATCGACTACCCGGATCTGGGACTCTCCCAAATCTGGGAAACGAAGAAAAGATGCATTAGGAAGTCTGTGATTGCTGGGCTGCCCAGCAGCAAATGAACCGCAGCCACTAGACTGGTTGAAGAAGGTTCGGCGAAACGCGGGAGTCCTCGTCCCCCCATGCCCTCAGGATCTAGTGCTCACACCAAGAGTTCCTTTCTCGGTTCAAAGCTTAAGGAATGACCACGGCCGCTAGTGACATGCAGGTTCAAGGTTTGGATTTGAGAATACCCCATACCACCTCTGTCAAAGCCATAAGAAACTCTAACGCAATGGAAACAGGAATTTGGGGGTACATCGATGCTTGTACGCTATAATTTTTGTGCTCGCCTCCCGAATAAGGACGTCCCCCCCGCTCAAGACATCCTTTTTCCGATTCGACAAATTTCTCCCGACGAGGGAGACCGGCACCAAGTCCTAACTGTGGAATTCCATGAGAAGGGCACGAATAGGAAAAAAAATAAAATAAAAAGAACAGGCTTTTTGTGGGCGAATCTTTGGTGAAGCCTTGTGCCCCGGGAGAACCACCTGGCCCTGTCAAGGAAAAAGCATAGCTGCTACACTGCACCGGACAGGCCAGCCAGGAGCCAGTCATCCATCTCCATAATAACAATAATAATATCCTGAGCTGGGAGTAGGCAAATGGTGCTTCGTTCCAGACGTTTCACTGCCAGAATAGTCTTTTTTTTTTCCAGTCGTTTTCAGTTGCCTGCCTTATTCAATCTCCTACCGCTCATTTTTATAACCACATGCATATATCCAGCAGTAGCCCCTTCACAGTCGAAATCGCGATCCCTTTTTCTTCTTGCTTTTTGATCTCTGTCGACTATGCTTCTTCGGCTCTAGACTACTAAAGTCATAGTTATCATAGTTCTTATTATTGGATACTCAACAATAGGCTGTTGACTCCAAACATACTACCTGCTACTACTCCTCGACGCTATACCTTCTGAATTACGTTTACGTACGACGGAAATAAGTACTTCAATACTTCCTGTTACCTTTTACACACTTCACTCGTACTCAATACACCCTTCATTCTCTACACGGGGCCAAAAATAACAGGCTGTATTGGATGGTTGCGGTCCGGCCAGCCAGCTGCAAGATTTCAAGCACAGAACACAGAAACCCAGCATTTACCTATCGCTAAAGACCGAGGAATTTCCTGTCTGTTATCGCCAGCAAGCTGCTAACATTAGACGACATCATACCACCACCACCATACTACTACTACTTACCTAATATTATATACCTCAGCTACGCAGATCCGTCTACAGGCTTCAAAACTTCAATCGTCGACGTTCAGTCCCCCTCTTATTTCATCTCAGCCTCGGGATTTTTGGCCCATGACATCTCAATATCACTAAATAGCGTCGTTTCGCCCTGTTTCGGAGACTGTTAACCACAACCAGCCATATCCTGTCCAGCTGTCAATTTAACCTTCTTCTCTCCCAACTGTTAGTTTTTTTTTTTTTTTTTTTAGCCGGCGACGACAAAGCTCCTAAACTAAATCTAAGACACCAGCCGCCCTTGAGCCTTCCAACCTACCAAGAAAATCAATAACTTGTTCGACCCGGCGTTTGCTTTGATGATTCTACATTCAACAACCCACGGCAGGAGACCGAATTCTCAAAACCTACCGATAGACATCACTAGTTCCGAGATTGGCAGGCTGACTCCCTTAGTCGGCCAGCGGGGCTTCACCATGAGCAGCAACGTCAACCCGGCCTTGTGGCCCAATGGAATACCCGACGGGGATGAGGAGTTTGCGGATTTTCTCGATCTGGGAGATTTTGGGATAAATTTCGGCCAGTTTGGAATGGACATCGATGGTACTCAGCAGCAGCAAGCACAACAAGATGAGTCCCAGCAGGACCAGCAGGGCCAGCAAGGCGGTGGTGGGAACGATATCACGATGGAGGACTTTTCGAATATGCAGCGGAACTTCACAGCGACTACCCAACCTTCGCAACACACGCCACATCTCCAGGTTCAACGACAACAGTTGACGGGCCAAAACCTGGGACTGGCTACGGTTTTTGAACACCAACACCCACAACAGAGCCTATACGGTAGGGCCATAATACCTCCGACGCCTTCGAGCATGGAGCTCCACGCGGGTGCCCATAGTATGACCAACTTTCTAGAACAAGGGAACATATATCAGAACATGGGTGCTGATCCTGTGAGTGCCTCTGATATTCATTCCCGTCGTAATCTTTTCATTCGAAAGTACCGTGATTGCTGATTTCGATCTTCATGATGTCGCTGTAGATGGTTTTTACACCTTTGGGGACGCCTGCGGTCACACCGCTAGATACATCTTTTAGAGTGCCTGAGTATAGTGTATCCGGTGCTTATTTTAGCCCGTTAACATCGCCTGCTCTTGATGCTCAGGCTTTGGGTTATATGCAAAGGAAACTGCCAAAATCGCCCGTTGAGCCAGCGGAACCAAGTAATCTGAATCCAAAGAAAACTACCGTGAGGAGGAAATCTGTCACAGGACGGGCACCAGCTCGGGTGGTTCGTCAATCTCCTAGTATGAAGCCACAGCCAGGAAGACGGAAACCTGCCCCGTCAGTGCCGTCGCTCGAGTTGACAGATGCTGCTATGGCAGAGATTACGTCGCAATCGCCGAGGACACCGGTGACACGAAGAGGTGGCCTAAAAATCCCGGCAGACTATCATATCTCATCAAGTAGAGATAGTTCGTCGGCAGATTCGATATCTCCAGAACCATTGTCTGAAAGTTTGATGCCGCCCCCGCCTGCTCCAAGTTCTGGTCATGCAAGGTCGCCTTTGATTCCTGCCCTGCAAAACCAGGAGGCAAATCTACCGAACCTGCAACCTGGACCATCCGCCTTATCCGTAAACCACGAGGCCTTGCCGGCCCAGAAGACCAAAGGTGGAAAACCGGCAACCCCCGCATCTTTGATGAATATGCCGAAAGGCATTGCTCCTAAAGGATCACAGGAACTGCTGCAGGCGACACTCATCCCGAGCATTCCGGAAAATAGACCAGCTTCTGGAGCAACAAGTCCTTTGGATGAACAGATGACCCCACGGTTGTCAGCTATCCAAAGATCGTCCGCAAATGTCACACCTAGCTCCTCCCCAATGATAGAGCCGAAACCGGCAGGATCTGATAGTCGTCCACCATCCGGGAGTCTCAAGGCCCGAAAAGATCCAAAGGGGCATTCGAAGCGTAGCTCGATAAGTGCAAGCCCGGCCCTACAACCACGGATTTCACCTAGTATCAAACCTCTACTTCCCGAAGGTAAGCTTCTGATTGTTCCAAAAATTGTCTACCTACCACACGACACCGAGACATGCATATACGAGGAGACCCCCCCACTCGATGCAGGGGAATAAAAAATCTCGTCTTCCCCATGATCATCCGCTAACGATTTCTGCTGTCCGAACAGGTCTATCCGCGTCCCAATCTGCGCTCATCCTTGCCTCCAAATCAAATTACGAACACATTGTTTCTGGAAATCATAGTCAGCTGGGTTTGTCATATCCAGAACATCTTGCCACCAACCTCACCCATAAACGTACTTCGCATAAGATTGCCGAACAAGGCAGGCGAAATCGGATTAATAATGCCCTGGCCGAAATTGCTTCACTCCTACCCCGGAAAGCCCCAGAGAAAATCAGCGATGCCGCGAATAACGCCCAACCCGGTAGCAAGGCTAGCACTGTCGAACTTGCGATCGAATATATCAAAGAGTTGAAGACTACTCTAGACGAAACTACATCCAAGCTCGCCCAAGTTGAGGCTGAATTAGCGGCTCTGAAGATTGAGAAGGGAATCCCACTGGATCAGCCCAATGCCTCGGTTGACAAGGGGACGATCGAAGACAAGACAGACACGTCTTTGGCAGATGCATGACTTTGAGCACCTCGACCAGAAAGGATGGTAGCAAAGCTTACTTTTATTTCCTCCCAAGTTTTTTCTCTTTGATGCATACCCCTGTTTCTTCTCTTTTCTCATGCCATGCCGAAGCAATTATTGATGACAGCCTCTGACCCTTTTCGTTGTTTTTTATTTAACTTGCGCATATACACACATACAGATGATATCCCAAGACGCTTGTTGGTTTGTTCTCGTTTCATATCTCTTCGGTAATGCTGTTGGATCGAAAATGGATTGATACTTTTTTTGGCAGGAACGACTAAAAGCTTGTGTATAGTACCTGATTTCTTTCGATTTTTAGTCGTTTTGTGTTTTCGGTTTTTCTTATATCGTGGGTCCGAGAATAGCCTTTGCTTTGAGCCCTTGCCTTCTTAGTAGGGCTATTAATACTTGTATATATGATCATCTAGCTTCTCCATAACCTTCTGGCGAGCCAGAAGCGCCTTTTTCTTCTCTTTCTTCTCTTTCTTGTCAAAACGGGTCGTTAATGTGGATCTGGGGGTGGAGCGGGACCCAAGTAGCCTTATGATATTTCACAGTCTCATGTTATAATGGTGGATCGATAGTTTACATTTCACACGATTGAAACGAATAAAATACCAATATCAAATCATCTACGAATCTTGGCCCATGAGGGCTCCACTTTTTTATCCTGTTATAATGTATCTCATACGTAACCAACTAGAACGAGGCGTCTGAACTCTGCCATTTCTCTTTCGAAGAATTGCATTTTACCGTCGGTTCCGATTTATTTGCTCTCCTTCAGAATACCATATCGCATTTTCTTTGAATTTCCTAGCTTGAAGTTCTATTTATTGGGGTTTGCCGTTGATGCCGCTGGCCTATCAAGATGCCTCAATTACCACGTGCGGGATAATACACAGTTTCAACCGGCACTTTAGTACCTTTCTTCCCTTAGAATTCTGGGGCTACAAAACTTGGCTTAGCTGGGTTAATTTCTAAAGCAACTAAAATGCAGATGATAACTCTTTTTTCGAAACCGAATCAGAATTTTCTTGTGGATTTCTGTTCTTTCTCCTTCTATTCTTGTTTTGTCCAAAGCATTTGCTGCATGCAATTGAGAATTTACATCATCCACGGATCGAATTTTTTTTCGAAACTCGACGCACATACGTACATACGACTGACTATCCCTTTTGAAAGAAAATTTTTGCTCCCCCTAGCTAGCCAGGACTCAATTTCCGACACTGGTGAAGGAAAGATGAAATGCAACGACGCCCGGGAAGAATAGTCTAGAAGAAGACATGAAATGGAAGACATTTACTCGGGATGCCCGGAGAAGGCCTCTCCTCTGGCTCGGGGCGGCGGCGGGCTCAGCCTCGAACATTATTTCTTGCTCACCCGTACTCATCTGATCACTTCTTTGGACATACGACCGATAGCCAACCATTTACGATACGCATGACGCCCTCTCAGTAAAGAAACAATCTAGGCAGACGTTTAAATATCTTGTCGAAAAAATTTTTCAATCCCATGGCCATGGCACCGCTCACCATGCCCAGCTGATTATTTTTTTCTTTCTTTCTTCCGCTCGGAGCCTGGCTCTTCCGTCTTGGAACATGGTTGCCACCAGGTTACTTTCGAATTTCGTCTCCGACATCTTTTTGCCCGCTGCCTTGATCGATGCGATGAGAAGGACTTTCCGTTGCCGATGTATCGTTTCTTCTTTAGGATCTACTTCGACACCCCGCTGCGATCCATTCTGTCAGTATCATCACCACCATGACGACAACAATGCTTTCGGTCTTATTGTCGTTGCCATCTTCACCTACTACGACCCTATGACCTGGCCGACTTACGAACCCCCTTTATGCACCTAACTTAAGGCGTTGAAGTTCGATCACAACGGACTCTAATAAATGATTAGTATTGCTATGCCTTCTTCAGTTATATTCCTTAGGGTTTATTTTCGACTTTGTCTTCTCCAGCGATCGATATCGATCGATGGTTAATCGTACAATTGTTCAAATAACAGATAATATTATATTATCTCTTTCTATCAATTAACCCCTTTCCGACAAAACATGATCGCCGCCCGGTATACATCTGACGAAATCTCCCGACGAAATCTCTAAAGTTAAAGATATATCTCTCGGCAGACTACCCGCTCATCAATCCACTATCAGATGGGTTTTCACATTCTAACTTCATTATTTACGGATTTATAGTCTTGTCGTTTTTCATTTATTTCTCGCTTCAGACCCAGAAGACGCTCAGAAATTAACAGCACGTTTAGGGGCTGGTGATAATATAATCTCACTACATCTAATACACTTATTCTCCAACCTTCACTAACTTTTACTATCCGAAAGACTGGAATATATTTACACAATTGAGTCAACTGATCAAACTAAATATATCTAACAACTTTTCGATCACAGTCAATCACCATTTCGATATCAATAGACATATTCCACAACACTTTCTACGCTCCAAAATCCAACAATTTCTATCGTCAATCTTATATGCACATCTCCCACGAACTGCCAGTTTTACTGAACCACACTCGCCAAAGAATTCAGCCAAAAGAACAAAACCAAGCAAGCATCAACAAGAAAAATGGCACATCAAACAAAAATGAACACCCTGTCATCTCGCCATTATCACCTGCAGTCAAAAAAATACTCTCCAGCATCTACTCAAATATATGCATACGTTACTTTGTGTTACCAAATTAGCCGTCCAACAAGGAAGGGACGTCGGACGTCAAAAGAAGGCTTGCAGAAACCAACCACAGAAAAAAGAAAGAAAGAAAGAAAGAAACACATGCAGAACATTTTAATCGACCCTACCAGAATCGCTAGGGAAAAATACGGGGAACCTCGGAAGGGACATCTATTCGCTCATTTATTTCTTTTTCAAAAAAAAAAACAAGCAATAATTCGTCCAAGGGGAAGAAAGGGTCAAGCGAATCTCTTGGAGGGTGGTGTGTCGTGTGCCATCTTTTTTAGGTCCCTCGGTTGTGTGACGGAACGGCCCCAGATTTTTTTTTTCCCCTACGTAACTACGGGTACCGCCCAGGATGCATTTAAGATGGGGCCGGGGGAAACTTCTTTCCCCTCGCCCTTCCAAACGGCCAGGTCAAGTCAGGTCAGGCCTCCCATTTCACGGGCTGCCCCGGAAGGGGGAGGGTATTGGTGCATGATCTTCACCCGGATATGGCAGCTGTGTGAAGCTTCAACAAACGGGGTGGCGATTCGATTGTCAGGGGGAAATTCCTTGTGAAGCGGATGTATGTGTGTGGGGGGATATAGTGGGGGATACTGCGGCTGCTTATTCAGACGTCAGGTATTTGTGTCATGCAGCAGCGCACCCCGCTTCAAGTTATGAGGGTGCAAGAACGCGAGATTTATATCAATTGCCGCATGAAGTATTCAACAAGGCGCGGCAGATGGAACGGGATGGTGGAGTTGAAATCCCCCCCCAGACTAATATCTGTTTAAGATGGAGGGCTGCAGGTTGAAACCAACTGTAAAAGAGGGTAACCGAATCGCTACAGCTGCTTAAAATATACAAGAAAATACACAAGAAAGAACGAAAGAAAGAAAACCAAGGTATCGACACAGAGACCCAAGGACGACAAGACATATCTCGACTCCCTGAACCAGTATCTCGCGTCCACCTGACTGCTATCAAGTGGATGATAGTACTACTGATATCAACTCAGCCACCATCTAGCTGTAATTCTACGGAAGATCACTTTTCTAGAAACGGCATCTTGATAAACGGCATCGGCAGATAAAACCATCTCAGATTAGCTGGAGTTAAAGAACAATAAGCTGGTCTCACTCGCCTAGTTCGACAAAAGCTCACACGACACTTTTTTAAGTTACCTTTGCAATCATTTTTTTTTTTGAAAGATAACTTTTTAAGGTTGCACAACAGCATAAGATGAGGGAAATACTTACAATCGAAGTATCTATCCAGACCCGTCTAACACCAACCTTCTAGAAATCGACAAAAAGACAGAAAAAAACAAAAAAAAAAATCATCTTAACATCCCGTCCTGCTTCTCTACCTACCGGATAATTTGCTAATCATAATCAATTATATCCTTTTCTACAAACTAACTTATGCAGAATAACGGCCGGTTCAGAAAACTCCAAATCAATTGGCCAATTCATAATCATAATGCAGTTCCCAACTGCAATAAAACGGCTTAGCTAAAACGAAATACTTGCATATATTACTTACTTACTTACCTATAATACCTGCAAGATGCAAGACAATTAGCCTTAATTCGAAGAAAACTTTAACGAAATTTCGAAAGAAAAAAAAGGCTGATCGTTTAGTCTGTGTGTCATATATTGTGTTCGACTGTGAGGGGGTACATATTCGAATGTACCCCCCCTTATACTCCCCGGAGTGCCCACGTATGTGTCCATACCTGAGCACAAGGCCCAAGGGAATCTTTAACACCCAGTAAGCCAGGTATACATATATATATATATATATGCCCCCGAGGGTCACAAATACATAAAGCTACCGGGTTGACTCTACTCTTCTGAGCCCCCAGATGCTGTGGCTGGAGAGTTAGCTTACACCAGCTAGCTGTCTTATGGACTACTTACGTATCCCACTCCTTGGTTTTTAGAATAAGGCAAAAGAAGTCTATTCTATGATAAATATCGAGGAAGAGCCCAATATTACAGTACTATTATATCAATTAAGCTTAAGACAAGCTCCTCGAGCTAGCTCAAAGAAGATAACAAACTTATATATAAAGAGTAGAGATATATAGCACTATAGCATATCCAGATATATCATTATCTACATACAAACCTAACCTGAACTGAATCAAGACTGCATGCATAGAAAATCTAGAGAACAAAGAGCATTCAAACTTGAGTACTTCACAAAAAATACCTTAACACGATTTCACAGTGGCAATATAAAAAAGAAAAGCTATGTCAAAAGCACGAGACTAGTCAAAAGTAATTGTTATAAAAAAGAGTAGTTCCATTTCATTTATTTTCGTTTCCCTCAAAGCCCCCCCCCCCATTCGAATTCCGCTCCCACCAAACAAACAAAAAAATACTGTCTGAAGCTAGATAACACCACGATTTCCATCTTGTATACATCCCACCCTCCAATCTCCACGATTTCCATTCCAGTTTTTTTCAAAAAAAAGAGAAAAAAAGAAAAGCACAATATGAACCCGAAGAAATGAGAAAGAAACAGAGTATTAAAACTAAATTACAAGAAGAAAAGAAGGGTTGAAAATAGAATGGAAAGAAAAAGTACAATGGGTTTTGTGTTTTATTCCTTTTGACTGTTGGAAATGAGGATCGTAGAGTTGGATTTTTCTCAAACGTAACCATTGACACATTCTCGAATTGAAACTCGTAGAACGTTGTCAGAGGTACACTTGAGAGGGAACAGAGAGATGAATAGCGGGGAATCCAACAGGAAAAAGAAGTGTGTGGGAGGGCGATTCCGACAGAGAAAGAAGGGGGTTTAAGGGAAACGAAAAGAGGAACTAGAGGAGCCCCGCCATATAGACGAAGCCCACGAGGCCACACATAACCTGTAAAAAGAGAAAGAAGAAAGAGAAACCAGTTGTGCAAATGCCCTCCACCGTTGAATGCTTGAAATGCTGCAGATAGAAAAGCAAAAGAAGAAAGAAAAAAAAGAAGAGTTTTTGGTTTCGCCGGATAACGCCGTGTCGTTAAGAAAGGGACCCGATATTAGACAGAGAACAAGAGGGAAGAAAAGAAACAAAAAGCGCAGATACGAACTCCGAGGTGGATGAAGAAAGAGAATTATAGTAAGACAGAGGCAAGAAAGGGACCGGGTCGTTAAAGTCGTTAATTGTATGTGTCGTTAAAAGGAGATATGAAAGGATAAAAGGAGAAAGAGAAAAGACTGCGAAGTCCTGTCGTTATAAAAGTGTCTGTACCGCTAGCGTTGCAAGTGTTGTGGTGCCAGTCGTGATTTCATATGTTCATAAAGGTCGTGATAGAGGGTAAAGTAGGAAAAGGCTTCGGAGAGTAGCTCAACGGATTTGATCCATTCCATCGAGAAGACTCAGCGTGCGAGTCTTTGTCTTATCCTTGGTGAAGCAATTCCAGAACCGAAGGGTTTCGTCACCGGCACCAGTGACGATGACTTGACCATCCGGGCTCATAGCAAGATACAATACCCTGTAAGTATGACCAGTGAGAGAAACGACTTGCTGCATGCTAGGATACTTCCAAACGACAATCTGATTTTGAGAGTATCCATGAGTGGAGACGATCTCGTTCGAGTTCTTTGACCAGGCAAGGTTGCAGACCTGAGAGCCAGTATCGATCTCATTGGTGGCAACCCCACGGAGCGTGTCCCAGAACTTGATACGGCGATCGGCAGTACCACCACCGGAAGCAAGGGTGCCACGGGCGTGAGGAGACCAAGCAATTGCCTTAACGGCAGCTGTATGTTCATTAAATTTGTACAGTGGGGAAGTGTTGGTTTTGTCCCAGACATAAAGGCGATTGTCGTTACCACCGGAGGCAAGTTGGTTGTCATCTGGGTTCCACTTAAGACCACAGACCTCTTGCTTGTGACCAACCAGTCGAGCCATGAATTGGTCCGGAGTACGAACGTCGCGGTGATAAATGGTTCGATCTCGCGAGCCTGAAGTGAGAATATGCTCATTCCATGCCAATGCACCTGCCATGATATCAACATAATGTTCTAATAATGATGGAAGGGGAATTGTAACTTACCAACACGCATTGTGTGTCCAGTCATGGTTCGAAGCCTACGGCATCGCTCGGCATCCCAGATCTGGACAAAGCCTTTATTGGTGCCAATGGCAACATGAGATCCCTGTAAATTCGTTAGTATCAAACTCGTGCAAAAACAGCAGGGAAACGACGGTGACACTTACACGCTGGATCCATGAGACACTGGTGACAAGATCTTCACCAAGATCACAAAGTTTTGTAACACGACCAGAAACCGAGTTCCACATGTAGACTGAGCTTCCTAGTCCGACACCAAGAATATTGGTGCTACCCCAATCAACAAGATTGAGATAGAAGTCGTCGGCCAAGTCTGGAGCATCAAGGACCTTGTATGGGACCTTAGAGACAGTGCGAACTTGCCTTCGGGGGGAGAGAAGCATCCTCTGGGAATCATAGCGGATGGGGGAAAGAGAGTAGATGTCAGCTCGGGGATCCATATGGCGTCTGCCAGTAGACCTGTTCGAAACTGGAGAGCCATATGAGAGGATGTTGGAAGAACGAGGTGTTTGTGGGATATCAAAGTCCACCGCACGTGTGCTCTGGTGGATAGAAGGAGGAGTGGCAACAATGGACCTCTCCGTATAATTTGTGATTTCCCTACTATCTGGAGCTTGCGGGATAGTTGGGAATATTTCACTTTTAAGAACAGACTGATATGTTCTATCCGCTTGTTCCTCTATGTGGTTGTTAGCATGTTACTTTTCCAATCGGTATTTTGGGGGGGGCCGGGGCGAGGCTGCTTGTTGTTGTCCGTTTTGGACCACCTCAAACGAAACGAGAACGAACAAAGGCACAGACAGACAGCATCAACCATCAAACGACGCGTCTCATCCTTCGTCTTCGTCCGTTCTTCCTCTTCTGCCTCACTAAAAAGGAATATTAGACTTACTTTGCTGGTGATTCAACTCTCCATTTGGAGCTCTCTTTCGAGGCTTGGAGGGAGTGGAAGGGGATCCGATGGCTGTGGCCAGATTGAAGGCTGCTTGGATATCAACATCTCTCGATGGGATATATCTATATGGTTTTTTTCGAATCCTCGTTAGCGCTACTGATACCCCACACATTTACTAACCGAAAATGAGAGATAGGAGCAGGGACGCCACTAAGCTCGCGATACGAGCTCTTACTCAACCCCTACCCCTATCTCCACCCCTCTTGGGATACGGGAAAAAAAAGAGAGAAATGCAGGGGAATATCGTACCTATCGCCATACACCTTAATTCTCTTACGGGATGGGGGAGTGGCAGCCGGCGTTGAGGCAACTTGATTAAGTCTGCTCATCAACTCGTCTGAATCCAGATCGGATCGATCACCACGAGGAGTGGTTTTTGTGGGAGTTTTTGGGACGACCCCGGCAGAGCGTCGAACACGACGGTCGAACTCCGCACTAGCCATGTTTGGAGAGATAGAGGGGAAGATATGGGTTATATAGGAGAAGAGGGAGAGTGGGAAGAATACAGTAAAGGGGAGGGTGTGAGGGAAGAAAGAGCCTTGCAGACTCTATTTCCTCTTTGTGGGACAGGCCTAGGAGATGATATCACAAAGACCTGTCACAGGAAGGAGAGAATAATGTTGATGATGATGTTGACTATCATATGTTAGCAATTCACCACCAACAGCCACACAGACAGGCGGGCAGACATGTGAAGAGACTCACAGGGAAGGACGAAGAGCCGAAGGAAGAAGGAAGGAAAAACGGTATTGGTCGAGCTAGCGATTCAACACCGAATGGAGTAATATGTTACCCGGAGGAAATCGAACAGAGGTCGGATGGGGTAGTGGTGAAGATGGTCGATGATGATGTTGTCGAGGTTGATGGTGATGGTGATGGTGGTGGCGGTGATCGAGGTGGAGAGTGAGGGTGGGTTGGTCGGATTATTGGAAAGTTTTTTGTTTGTTGATTAGAATTTATGACAGAGTTACGATCGGATTGATTGGACGACGACGATGATGCAACTGAAGTCAAGTGTCGGATGATAAGGAAACGCTGAGATTGATTTCAAGTTGGAAGTTGAGGGGTGAGTGGTCGCTATGATGATAATGATGATGATGATATAGTAAAAGTGGAAGTAGTCTGTAACTGGAATGATGATGGGAAGGGAGGCAGGGCTGTCAGGGCACTACTAGTAAAGAGCGTAGCCATCAAACACACAGCAGACAAGACTTATATAAGATCCTTCTAATTTATATAAGTAAGTATCCGAAGGCGGAGTGGAGGGGAAGAAGAGGGGGAGGGAAGAAAAGAAAAGGGAAGAAAAGCGGTGAAGCTAGGAATTGGGCGGAGATGCTGGTGGTATAATGGGACGTAGAGAGGAGCGATGAGTTGAGTTTAAAGGTGGTTGGCCATGAAACCTGGGAAAACGTAAACATAGCGAAATTACCCAAACAGGAAAATGGCCGCTATGATTAGCTCCAATCAGAGTCCCCGTCACAACAACAACAACAATAACAACACTCGCAACACAATCCGTCCAATCCCAATGCAGTCTCACAGGACTGCTTGACTACAAGGTGGGGTTTGGGTTTACCGACCGACCGACCGACCGACGAGCGGGATGCTGTGGCAGCAGCCCTGCCAACCTCCTTGTTTACTTTTGCTCTACACACTCCCCCAACTACTATGTACATACACCACAGTAGACGACAGAGGTGGTACTGCTGTTTCTGCAAGGGACGACCAATAATAGTGTCGACTTCCGTCTTAGGCAATTGAAGACGTCGACTTTAAATATATACACAACACGACCCCCCCGCGATGTTCTACTTTTATATTCCCAATCCAGACAAAAATAACCTCCAACATCTCCCCCCCCTTATTGTCCCCACTAACTACACTATTTTCTCCTCTAGTACTCTCTGGTAATCCTCTATCGATAGGAAGAGGCTTAACAGGCACTTACAGGGAGCGGGATGCTCAATCCTCTTACCCACGCGTATTCCCTAAACTGTCCCCTCCGCGCGTAAAGTGTATCATCCTCACATAGTCCTGTCCTATTATTATGTACATTACCTACATATTGCATGTACATATCCCCGTCGCCCTATTCCGATTTCCCCCCCCTCTTTCTTGCCATGTATTGGCAACTGTTCTGTTCCAAAAGGGAATTCCCAAACCAAAACATGACAAAAAAAAAAAAAAAAAAAAGGTGGGGAAATTTACTCCTAACGAGGACGGAGAGCGGTTAAAAACCACGTTTGAAAGGGCAAAGCAAAGAATGATAAGAGGATCGATTTCTATTTGAGGAATTAAGTGTTGGACCCTTCCCCTGGTCCAACCCCACATCAACGCACACTTTACCACATCATATCGTACTTAAACCGTGACAACCATCCCTACATACTACTATCATAACCCCCCCAGTCCAATACCAAGCCTGACAATATCAAAGATACAAACTTTCCTAAAGATGGCGTCATCCACTTCTAAAGCCTTTGCCCAGGGTCTCATCGACTTTATCAACGTTTCTCCAACTCGTATGTCTCTCGTAGATACATGCACACCCATGTATGGCCAGTATTGAATCGATATCTAACGAAGGACGTGTACAACAGCATTCCACGCCGTCGACGCCGCGAAGAAGGCGCTTCTTAAAGCTGGATTTAGTGAGATCAAGGTTCATACCCTCTCCCATATTTAAATATGCATATAGTCCAGTAGATTTCTAACGTCTAAGAATTAAAAAGGAACGAGATGCATGGGGTGGTAAAGTTCTCAGCGGTGGGAAGTACTTCCTCACCAGGAACGGATCCTCGATTATCGCTTTCGCTGTTGGAAAACTGTGGAAGGTATATATATCCCTTAGGGAGAAAAATCATAACTAAATAACTTTGTGAAGAGAAAAGAAGTGCTAATCTGGTATTAATAGCCCGGTAACCCAATGTCCATTGTCGGCGCTCACACAGACTCCTGCGCTCTCCGATTAAAACCCGTATCCAAGCGAACGACCGAAGGAAATACTTTTATGCAGGTTGGCGTCGAAAGTTATGGTGGTGGATTATGGCATACTTGTTAGAATTTTCCTCTACAATACTTTTGAAGGAATGGAGAGTCTAACGGGGGTGGTGGTAACGGTAGGGTTCGATAGAGATTTGAGTATGGCCGGAAGAGCCATGGTCCGACAGAAAGACGGAAATATCGTTTCGAAGTTGGTTAAAATCGATAAGCCAAGTTCGTTACAACCTTTTATTTGTGAGGATTCATAGCTTAGGTTATGGGGCTAATGTTTGGGATAGTCCTTCGGGTGCCAACCCTCGCCATCCACCTCGACCGACAAGAAAAATTCGAATTCAACAAGGAAACCCAATTGTTCCCCATCCTCGGTCTCATTTCTGCCGAACTAAATAAGGACGGACCAACCGCCGCACCAGAGGGAGATGAAAAGAAACAGAACACAGAAGAGGAGAAGGTCGAAAAGCCGTTTTCACCACTATCCGCCATTACGGAACGTCACCACCCAGCGGTCGTCAAGTTGATTTCAGAAGCTACTGAGTCCCAACCAGAAGATGTATTGGACTTTGAGATGTTGCTTTATGATACCCAGCCCGGTACTTTGGGTGGGTTGAATGAGGAGTTTATCTTCTCTGCTAGACTTGATAACTTGGTACTTCATCCATCTGCCCGGTTTTCTTTGATGGAAACCACGCTAATTGGAGTGTAGGGCATGACATACTGCTCCATAGAGAGTTTGATCGCCTCCGTCGAAGCAGACGACGCCTTGGACCAAGAACAGGGCATCCGTATAATCGCCTGCTTCGATCACGAAGAAATCGGTTCCCAAACCGCACAGGGAGCAGACTCGAACCTTCTACCAGCGGTGTAAGTCTCAACCTATCCCTTACATATTCCAATCGCAGAAACCCTCTTTTTCAAGGGATCGAAAAAAGAACAGAGAGAAAGAAGAAAGAAACTAAACGATAAAATAGAGTCCGCCGCCTCTCCGTCCTCTCCGGCGACAAAGACTACGACTTCGCATCCGTCTCCTCCTCCACCTCCCAAGCCTCCACAACAGACCACCTCTTCTCCCCCACAACAACCTACTTCGAAGAATCTCTTATCAAATCCTTCCTAATCTCCGCCGACATGGCACACTCCGTCCACCCAAATTACCCCGGAAAATACGAATCCCACCATCGACCGGAGATGAACAAGGGAACCGTTATCAAGATCAATGCAAATGCTAGGTATGCTACTAACTCTCCGGGAATAGTCTTGGTTCAGGAGTGTGCTAGAGATGCCGGGGTGCCGTTACAATTGTTCGTGGTTAGAAATGATAGCAGCTGTGGAAGTACCATTGGACCCATGTTGAGTGCGCAGATGGGGATGAGGACGTTGGATTTGGGGAATGCGCAGTTGAGTATGCATAGTATTCGAGAGACTGGGTGAGTTAAATCCTATTTGCTTTATCTTCATATAAAAGGGTTTGCTAATGATATAATGATGGGGGGGTTTTAGTGGTGCACACGACGTCGAACATGCGATCAAGTTATTCAAGGCGTTCTTCCAGAAGTATACGGCTTTGGAACCTACGATCTTTGTTTAGATTTGACATATATATGCATATCTATAATTTTCAAAGAACGATGTATTAAAATCTTTGTATTAGAAGGAGTACAGACTGACTACCTAAACGAATGATGGGCCATTTTCTTGACAGACAAAAAGGAATCCGACCCGCTATACCAATACCCTCATGTAAACCTTTCCTACCAATAACCATAAACTCCAGTAACGAATAGTCTCGAAGGTTAGACAGTACGTAAAAGCAACGATAAAAGAATCATAAAAGATAGAGATAGAAGAGAGCAGGAAGGCAGGGGGGAAGAGTCTAAACAGCCCACCAGCACTCAACCTCACACCTCTCAACCTCACACCTCCAACCGGGGAAACGCGCCTTGATAATCACTCTGATCTCATCCCCACCCTTCAACTCCCTCACAAACTCCCCATTCCTTTCATGTCTACCGCCTTTCTCCCAAGCGGCAGCATCTTTAATCTCCCCGTTCTCATCAACCACCCCATCTTCCCACTTATCCGCATGATCCTCACCAAGTTTATCTTCATCCCACCTCCAAACGATCTCATAATCCGTCTCATCACTCTCAGCATGTTTATTCCTCTGCAATAAACTTTCACAAACCATATACATCCCCTTTTCATCATCGCCTTCCTGCTTTTCCTCATTCACCTCTCTTTTCCTCCAAACCTCCACATCCAACCAACTCCAACAACCCTTAAAACTTCCATAAAAGCTTCCATAACTACTCCACCCTTGATCGTAACTTTTAAACCTAAACACCAACTTCCTAACCCTCCCTCTTCTACCACCAGCACCTTCCTTACCACCTTTACCGGCTGTATCCTTTTCTACAGCTTTGAAATCGGGAATGTGGGCTGTTAGGTATATTTTGTCGCCATCGAAGACGGAGAGGTGTTCTGTTTCAGAACCGATGATTTCGTGAGGGAAGTATTCTGCTCGATCGAGGATTTCGGAGATTAATTCTGGGGGAACCTTTTCGGATAAGAGCTCTGTGGCGGCTTGGGCGTCTGATTCGGAGGTTGGGGTCATTATTGGATGTTCTATTATTGAGAAATCTGATTTATCGTCGTCTTCGTCGTCTTCTTCTTCCTCCTCGTCTTTACCGTCCTGGTTTTGGTTGTTATTGTTGTTATTCTGTGCCCTCTTCTGAGAAGCAATACTTTTATTCTTCTTCTCGTTCGTACCGGAGAACGAAGGTGTCCCTTCTAGACCTTCAGTTGGTGGAGGGTTTGTGTTTAAAGAACCGACGGGGACGATGCGGGATAGATCCAGACCCGGGGCTTTGTTGTAATCTGGTTTGCCGTCACGGTTTTTGGGGATGGGGAGTTGGATTATGGGACCTGGACGGCCGTGGGATGGGTCGTGGTTCAGAGGGGCTTGAGGGATTGGATTACCACGGATCGGGGGGAGGTTATGGTTGTTTGACATGATGAGCTTGGGAGGGGATGGAGGGGTTTTATTTAGTCTAATTTTTTTGAAGGGAGGGAGGGGGGTTTCTTTCTAAGGTATTGTATTATATTGTATTGTAATAGAAATAGAAAATAGATAGAAGTGTAACGTTGTAGATGTGTGTTTCTTTAGATTTTAGTTCTTTTGTAATAGTCGTATCCTACCAAAAAAGGTATCATGGCAAAGATGAATAAAGGTAGGTAGGTAGGTAGGATGGAAGTATGAAGTGAGGGGTAAAATGGATGCATGCATCGATATCTCCACGGATGGCCTTAAAGCTTAAACTTCTGCACTGGGGATGGCCTGAACATAATGACGTCATACATACGGACCATGATCATGGGGGAAAAAATCAATCCCCCTGACGTACTTTACACGTTATGTATACACACCCTCACTCACACTCACATACTCACACATGTAACCGAAAGCGTTAACATAACTACTAATCAAACTGCCGCGCCGACTTCTGGCTTCTCCTTTGCACTGGAAATCTACCGAAGTACCTGTCCAGGTAGTTACCCCCTACATTTACGTAGTGTGTAAGTACCTCCTTATGTACTTACTTATATGTAAGGACCCTGGATTCGGGGAATACGGGATCTAAGGTACCAAGGTCTAGGATAATCCCCCCCAAGCCTCAGATCCACTTTAGATCCCACCTGCCTCCCCATCAGCCCCAGTGGCGAGTATGTATACATAGTATATATAGCAATTACATAATTCAATCCAAGTTTTCCCCCTTCTATTCGCTGGCAAAATATCCAAAAAAAAAAAAAAAGGAACTCGTCAATGGGTTATTATGCACTGCATACGTGGTCACCATGCTAAAGTAAGCCAGTACTTACATACCTCTCCTCCTTGGGATGGAAAATCCTCACTAGCTAGTTTACGGCAGGAAGGTCACAAAAGATCTAGATCACACAGGAAAAAAGGACCCAAAAGGTAAAATTATTGTAACCGCCTGATTATTCAAGGCCGGCTAGGAATTTGTATTTGATTTTTGGTGTTCTGTCGATATAGTTAAAAAAAAGGACCTATACACAAGTTTTTTTTCTTTGCTATACAGTTGATCTCCTTCTCCCTTGAGTAGAAAGGGGGAGATGCTAGTGTGAAGTATCACACTGACGAGAATAGTGGGAGGGCGAAACAGCGACGCATTATAAGGAAGAGACAAAAGGAAGATAAAGCTGTAAATGCCACCCAGACGAAGCGAAACGAAAAAAAAATGAAAACTCCAAAGCCATATGATGAAATAGAAGGATAAGAAGAAGAAGCGAAAAAGCGAAGGATTAAAAGGAGTTTAAAAAGGCGGTAAGAATGAAGAAAACGAGAAAACAAAGAAAATGGGGTCTATGGGGTAATCGTTGAAGCGAAGGTGAACAAAGTTCCAGGGGTATAATGCTGGAGATCTTTCATCATGAGGGAACAAAAAAAAAAAAAAACGGGGAAGCGGAATAAAAGGGACAAGAACAAGTCGAGACGGAACAAAAGTATACACAATGAAGAAGGAAATTCGTGAAAAGGATATGTAAAAAGTAGAAGAAATGAAGAACGCCATTCCGTGATCATCAGGTGCAAGACTTTCAAAAAAGCAGCTTCAACGGTAGTAAAACAATCATTGACCCTCCCAATCGTGAATGCAGTGGTATGGAAAGAAGAAATAAGAAAGGCAATGTGAAGAAAAAAGAAGAAGTGAAATTATTAGAAATGTTGTAGCAGAAAAGCAAGAACGACTTGGATGTTTAAAAAGACAACATCCACTTGGGTGCTGGGTTGGCACCGACACGTTCTCTCCCCATGATACCAATCTCTCTCATCTTCTCAACACCTTCACCGGCCTCGGCCTTGTACTCCCGGCGTCCGTAGACGTTTTCACGACGACGCATTCGCTTCGACTCGAGGCCCTTGACAATATCAAGAACGCATCGCTTGCGGAAGGGAATGGCTTTGGACGGCTTGGGAGAGGTGGAGGACAGACAATGCTTCCTTCGAGAGTAAAGTCCGTGTCGAGGAAGAGAAGTGGAGCGAGCAAGGGAAACTCGGTTGGCCTGGAGGTCGAAGCGAAGTCTGCCCGTCCGACCTTGCGGTGGGGGTGACTTAGCGGTAAATGAAGGACGTCTCTTGCCGGGTGACATAGCACGGGACCCACGGCGAGACATCGGAGGAGGAGATCGGAGACGACGGTTCGGCGTGGGGGAGCGAACGCTGACATTAGAACCACGGCGACGGCGGGCCGGGCGTTCGGCTTCTTCATCTTCCCCTTCCTCATCGTCATCTTCTCCACCTTCAGGGAAGCTGGGGTCGATGTCTTGAGGACGGACAACCTTGTTCATTGATTTTCGGTCTTCTATACAAGAAAGATAGAAGTCCTCGAGGACCTTGTCTTCGTCGAAGGTTCCGGGAACAAAGTCGGTGCTGTCTGGAAGCTCAGGGGTGCTTGGGCGAATCGGTCGGGCGTGAATGTGCTTCTCACGTTGGAAGGAGCATAGGCCAGATTTGCGGTCGTGGACAGAGGCAAGAGAAGAGTCCGAGGAGTTACGGCAGCAGCTGGGACGATCAGCTTTGCGATCAGGAATGGCAGTGCCAACTCTCGGAACGAAGGCATCATCCTCGTTGTCAGACTCGGCGAGGCCTTCTTCATCTTCATCGTCGTTGCCATTGTTGTCGGAGTCGCTCCAAAGGTCATCGTCATCGTCGTAGTCGTCGTCCTCTTCGTCTTCCTTGTAACCATCATCTTCCTCATCGTCATCTTCGAAGTCAAGGTTGTCGTTGTCCTCATCGTCATCTTCATTGTTCTCATCTTCCTCGACCTCCTCGCTGAGTTTTCGGATCTGCTTCTCCTTTTCCAAGAGACAGTCGACCTTGATAAGACGAGGTGGGAATTGAGGAGCGTTCATCCAAGATTGAACAGACTCATCGACGGAGCTAGCGAATTCGTAGAAGCGTGGAATGCTGTTGGCGGAAGAAACGCTGCTAATAAGAGGAGAAGCCTTGCATGGGATGGCTTTATGGCGCTCATCAATGATAGTGGCACCAGAGTCACGTCGATGGTGGTGGTGGTGAGCGTTGGGATGCAAGTGAGTAGCATTGAGAACTGGAGAGCGATGGGCGAATTTGCTCTGTGGAGGAGGGGGAGATCCAGCCCTCTTGGGGGCCTTGCACTCGTCCTTGACGTTGCAAGCGAATTTGAGGGTGGTACGTCTGACGGGAGTCGGCTCCTCGATGGCTTGAGGTTTTGGGTTTTCGGAGTTCTGACGGGAAACGGGAGTGGGACATGCGAAGGTGATACAACGTTTCCGACCGAGGGCCGCAGTGACCTCATTAGGGTCAGCTTGAACGGTAGACTTGTGGAGCTCGTCGTCGCTGTGGGTCTTGATGGCGACGGTATCCCTGATCGGGAGGACGAAGACCGGGGCGTTTCTAGGGCTAGGAGAGCTCAATTCAGAACTGGAGGAATCGTCACCGGCGTCGCTAGTGAGGTCGGCAGTGGAAGGCATGCTCGCGCTACTAATGGTAGAAGTAGTGGACATTCCACGTCTTGGCGCTCTAAATGCGACACGAGAGTAGATTGAGGGAGCATTATCAGCAGAGTGAGGTTCGGAATCGCTGATGATTGCGCGGGTGAGAAGAGAGTCGACTTTATTGGAGCGACGAGGATTGACGGTTTGTTTCTTGTACATGTTTTCTTGGAATTGCAACTTGCCGACGGCGGACAAGTTGCAGTTACAATTGTCGGAAGGTTCGTCGGGTTCAGCAGCGACCTCCTCGTCAGGAGTGGAGAGCTGGTTTGGAGTAGAAGTGATGATGATAGAGGAAGTCATGTTGACGAGGTCCTTGTAGGGCATAGTTGTTTTATTTTGGGGACTGGTCGATGAGATATTAAGGTGGTGGTGGTTGGTTTCGATTGATTCGAGCTAGGAATCGAATCAAAACGACAGACACAGTCTGAAGGTTTGAATGTCGATGTTTAAGAAGAGAAGAAGAAGAAGAGGAGGAGGAGGAGGAGGAGGAAGTAGTATAAAATAGTAGTGGTAGTAGTAGATGAGAGAGGAGAAGTCAATCACAGAAGATTGAAGAAGAAGAAGAGGTGAGGAATAGGAGGGAGGGGAGTTGAGGCTATAAGACTAAACAATGCATGATGAACAAGAGAAGATGGAAAGATCTGTTCGACGATATGCAGCTAAGCCTGGCAGGTGAACACGACTGACAACTGTTAGCCTATACTCTCTCTCTTTCTTTATTATATAAGATCAGGGTTACAAGAGGTATAAGAGGTACAGGGGTAGGAGTCTCTTATATGAATAAGGAAGAGGCAAAAGGAGGAGTTCGAGGGGGGTGGATGGAGGGATGAGAGGAGAAGAGCATAAAAATGCTTGGAAAATGCTTGGATGTATGATGATGAAGAGGATGCAGCGATGGACCATAAACTAGCCGGATTGAAAGGGAAAGATTGAACATACTTCTTTTTTATCCCCTTCGGGTTTCGAATTAAAATAGATATAGCTCTTGTCGTTTTCTTTTTTATTGTCGTGTGGTCGTGATAGCGGTCGTAGATAAGCAAGTACTTAGTAGTTGATGGGTGGTGGGAAGTGCGGGAAGATTAGAATATAAAATAAAATAAAAGAAAGTCAGCCAGAGTGGTTGAGTTGAGCGAGGAAGAGAGAAGGGAGAGAAGGGAGAAGAGCCAGAATGAGAGGGAAACCGCAGGGCTTAATATTGTGTGGTAGTTACTATGTAAGTAAGTAGGTAGGTAGTAGTCTCCCCAACAGAGCTTAAGCCGCCCGGTCGGTCGCTTGGTCGGTCGGTCTGTCAGTCTGTCGCTTTGGAACAAGACAGCCCCAGCCAGTAACCATGTTCTACCATACGGTCCGGGATGGATGGCTGAACAGAGAAAGGTAAGGCTGGCTGGCTGGCTGCAATACAATCACACTTATTAACACAGGGACCCTTCTTGGTCTTCCTCTTCCTGAGGACTTGCATTGCATACAGCTGGAACCGGATCCAATCTGTAATAATAATAATAATAATAATGTCCCTTCGAAGGGACAGCCGAAGCAGGCGCACGGAAATTGACATTCAATTCAGTTCGATTCGATTCAATTCAGAGCTCTCTTACATTACACCAGCGTCTATCAACCAGGGCAGGAATACGCTGCCGTTTCACTTCTTCTTTCTTTCTTTCTTTGTTCCCTTCTTTCTTCCTTTGTAGTATTCTATTTTTTGACATTTTTCTTTTTCTTTTCTTTTCTTTTCTTTTCTTCTTTGTTATACTACACAGGTACCACCATGTACATTACATTACATACAATTACTTACATACACACAAATCACGGACATGTCAGGTTTCTTTTTTCTTCCTCTCCCCAGCCTTACAGACCATCTAACCTATCTAAAGTGTGTGTGCGTGTGTATCTATCTATCTAACATATTTCTTGAATATATCCTAAAACACATAAATGAAAAAAAATAAAATCAAATTCTATTCTGTTGGCGGTATGGCATATGGGTTTGACCGAGAGACATCGAGTCAAAAAAAAAAAACTTCTCTCCATTCTTGTTCCCGTCCAAGAAGAAAATTTTATCATGAGAAAATTCAACAGAAAAAAAAAAACCTTCTTAGCTAGTTAGCTAAGTTAGCTAATAGGTAAGTAAGTATTTACTTTACTTGCTACCCGGCCTGGAAATTACTAACGGGATAGCTGACTAACTGACTAACTAACCGCCTTTCATTCAAATTTTTTTATCAAACGTTAAACGGAAGTCAGTCAAATCACCCAGAAATTACGAGATGGCCAGCGAAAACTCTCGGAGCTCATACTCAAAATTCTCAGGGGAGAAAGAAAAAAAAAATGTGACTACGGCTCCCGGCTTTCCCAACTAACAGGTAACTAACCAAAACCCACAGCCACTAGCTTACCGGCCGGGTCTGCCCCCAAAATACACACACGCACGAGAGACAAAATGAGGCAGCTCGTCAGATTGGCACGCGAACCGAGACGTCCCGGTTTTTGTGTCCTTTTTGTCGTTCGTGTGGTGTGTATGAAAGGGAAGCTATTCCTATTATCGTAACATCAGCCACGGGTTGTACCTTTTCACCCTCTTGAGTAATTATGAGCTGTCACTTATCTTCAGCTTCGTCATATTCATTCATCCATCCATCCATGTTCCTTTCTTCTCCTACTAAAATGCTACCGTTCCCATGTATGTAGGTGAAGAATGTGGACCTGCAAGCCATACTTTCCGTAAGCCGAACTTCCCTCGGTTTCGCCACCCCGCGCCGCAAAGTAAAACTAAAACTTAAACAAAAATCAAAAGAAAAAAATTAAAAACCAATTGCCGTGGACGTCCGTGGGGAGAGGAACAGCCATGATATAAAATACTCTGGGAGAAGGGAAAAAAAACTCAAAAACGAAAGCTTGTTCCTGACGACGTACCTTTCCTTCATCCTTGTAACCGATACAAGTAAACATGACATTTGCATACGTCGTCAGTCTTCGGCTGTCAATGGAGTATAATAATAATAACGAAAGAAAAGAAGCGTCGCTTCGCAATTATGCACGGTAAGGTTGCGTACATGTCAGGTCGGCCACTCCTTCTGCAAGCCTGCCTGCCTGCCCGGCCGTGTATGTAAGTACCGTGTATACACCGCCAGTAACATATCTGTACAAAAAATCAGGGAACAGTTTTCTTCTTGTCGACTGAAATCCCCGTTCGTGCATATTTGGCTTCTGTCGTCGATATTAATATTTTATTCTGATATGATAATCCAGACAAGCATTTCTAGCAGCCAGCCATATGCCGTGCTTCCCCAGCTTGCCGTTAACGTTGCGCGAGCATGCTGTGTATCTTAATTATAACCCTCCTTAATAGAGGAGTTATTCCGGTCTTCCTTACGTATATTACATATATTACTTACTTACATATAACGTCTTCATATCGATCAGGTCAATTAATCCATACACCAGCTTAACCTTATAATTACCTAACTACCACACCAAAGGGGCATTGAAAATGAAACTTATGAAGATCACATCTCCGACGTCATAGATCCCTCCTACTCCTGCCGAGCAGCCGCAATTCGGTCCGTTTGACTAGAGAATAAAAGTCTCATAGTAAAACCGGGCGTATATAAATATAAATTAAAGATCGTCCTGTCCAGCGCATAGCGAAATATTCTCATTACGACATCCGGCAGCCCATAGCTCTGTTTCATATTGAACAACAAAATCAATTAGCTTGCTTTTCTTAGCTTCTTCTTCTTTTTTCCTTTTGTTTTTTTGGTCGCATTCCGTTCAGCCAGAAGGGTTCGACTAAAAAGTTAGCGGGGGAATGGAAACTTCCAACTTGCTACTTACTTCCTTAGCTTACTATGTAGTATACGTAGCTGGTAGTTTAATTATAAAGGTGCATGTTGGGTTTTTTTGGAGATTGTCCTTCACATGTTCATCTATTAATCCCTCTTACCCACCCCGAGTGAGGTCTTTCATTGTCAATGTCAACGATTGGATGTATATTAGAAGTAAACCAACTAATGCGTGTTTCACCACGTATCATATCATTTGTTGGTATTTAATATATTCGCTTTGCGGGGTAAATTCATTTTTCGATGGATAACCTGGAATGCACATGGCAAAGGTTCATCTCACAATGATATCAATGTGGCACGCTCTCGCATGAAAGGAAGTCCTCCGAAGCTTAAGGGGGGGTTCCAACCCGTTTACTATTCGTTGGATTTTTTTTAAACTACTAGTACTGCTATAAAACATAAAATATGTATGGGGTTTCGTTGTTTCTTTTTAACGCGCAAGTAGTATGTACTGACATTACAGGGAACAAAAAACGTGGCACGTGGCCAGCTGTGCAATGCAAAAGGTAGTTTATATTTGCTAAAAACGCTGACATTGGACGAAAATTCGAAAGAATTGTCGCCGAAGGACAAAGGCCAGAATCATGGTTTTTGGGATTATAGCGAATGAAAATGGTGGATTTGGGGATGTCTGTACTTGACATACATACATAAATATATCTTGTGATCACGCTTCCAACGCCCCCCGCCATGCAAACTCCTGCTTTAATTCCTTCGAATTAGAATGGTTGTTGTTCTTTTCTTTCTTTCTTCGCTTTCCAATTGGCACGGACTAAAAACCTTTAGCTTAGCCCCTCAGCTGTCGTCGATGGCTATTTGCCAAAATCCCCCTTCTCGATCATGAATGGCCAGGCAGGATGAAAGGCGGTCTTCTGATTGTTGGAAAACAGAACAAACCAGACCCTCAAACCCCGTTCGATGAGCCCCAACTGCATTGAGATAAGTATCTTCTTTGGTCGTTTCTGATCAACTTACGGTAGGTCCAAGCCCCCCTCCCCTCCTTCTGCCATCTACAAGTGGGGATGTCGATGCCTTTTCGTGGTACTGCATGCATTAGCTCGAACAGGGTCTTGTGAACCATAATAACTCTAAATTACTTCTTTTCTCCAAATTCCGAATGGAAGTCGCGGCACACAGGATTCATTGTAACGTGCTTTTGGGAAACTAGACGACGTCGAATTACGGGAGATACTTTTGAGTACCTTCCCTGACTTGAATTAACCTACTTACACTACTCTTACCACCCGGTTCTTTTTCATTTTCTTACCACACCACTACCACACCGCACATCAGAAGGATACTCTTTAGTTTTCGTCCGAAGTTCTCGTGCTAGAACCTTAAGAAGATTAGTCGATCGACTCGTCGCGCTCACGAGTTCTGGGTAGTTTACCATATGTGGCTTCCGTACCATTACATACGTGGGAAGTTAACTGCAAACGAGAATAAGGTCACCGGTACCGTCTTAAAATTTAAAGACTAATCCATGCAGCAGTCGAGAGACTATAACGTCAGCGGACATGTGCTCTATTCCCTTTTCTATTCATATACTTAATCAATCGTCTACAGAGCTCTTTCTTGCCCCGCGCGGTCTTTGGGAGGAATATATACTATCTTAAGATCTTATGGGATTGACATGTTTACTGTAACTTTTGCGACGGGATATGCGGGGTAAATTAGATTAGTTGGAGGATTACTAGCACACTCAGACAGACACGTCCCGGCCGGCCCATGGTCTGGTCCCTTACCCACCACACACGCTACACGTTGTAGATTATCGTACGGTACGGTATCTCAAGAAAGTACCAAAGGTACCTCTCGACCGACCGACCTATGCGAAATAAAAAAGAAAGATCGTGATGGTCTACGAATATCCGATCCTTTCCCCCCGTTTCACCTCATACACGTACATACACATATTACATGATCAGGCAAAAAAGAAAAACACTAGTATAGTTAACGTAGAATTACTGTCGGCAGACCGGTCAGGACAGTACAGGATGATTTTTCTTTTTGAACCCGAAAGAATGCCTACCAAGTACTTACTTACTGATTTACGCGCATTGTACATACTTTTATGACCTGTCACATTTTTTGTTAAAAAAAATTGACATATGAACCTCGGGTTTTTACCCGTAGACTCCCTAGGTAGCTAGGCAAGGTATGTAGGTAGCCTTTTTTGGGGTTCTCGTAACATTCGAGGCCCTGCCGATGCCGACATAGTACGTACATACGTATAGATTATGAAACCACATTCTTTTCCCCCCACGTACTCACGAGATTAGTGAGAGAGAGAGAAGGGAGATTACGGAGTATGTATGGTGGAATGGGTGGGAACGGTTGGTATCAAAAAGCACCCGAACCCGAACGATGGTAAGACCAGCCGGCCGATGAACGGCGGGGGGGGAGGGAGAAGGGAGCGCGTAAGCATACATACATACATCTTAGGCGTTCAATTATCGGAGTTGTTCTTTTGAACACTAAGAAAACTACCCACACCTATGAATTCGATGACATGGTTCGTCCAAATTGCAAAACGCTGTGGGTATGTATGCATTGTTTGTATGTTTTATTATACCGCTTCGCTTTTTCTTTACAGAGAGTTTTGCAGGCCAGGTGGGGGAGAATAGTTACTTGGGTTAGTTATCCCTAGCCTGTTGGATGTACTCTTCCTGCTTCCCCGAAAAACGAACCCGCCAGTTTGGCTCCAATTAAGCCTACCTATCATTATTAGATGTTGACGCCCTTGGTATTTTTTGCCCTTTTCTAACTAAGTATGTACTTACTTACTTACCTCTCCTTGGTTTTGCGATAGGTATGTAGGAGCGATCGTTCGTACATACATACTACATACATATGGTACTTTACTTTTTATGCAGGTTGTTTTGTTCCGGCGCGGCAGGTTTGCCCTTTTCTTTACCTTTTACTCGACCTGAGTAAAAGGGACTAGACCCGGGATGGAACAGAACGAAAGGCGATAGGATAACGGCAGGACTATCTTAACGTCCCGGCTTCCCCGTAATCCGTTAAAGTTTCAGGAATTTAGACGAAGAAGGAGGATGGAAAAGAAGAAAGAGCGCCTGAAGTCAGGAAGGAGGAAGAGGATCAGCGGGAAGGACCCTGAGCTCGCCGGGTTCTGGATTTGATCTTCATCTCTTCTAAGCTTGAATTCTTCCCCCATATTTTTTTGTTATTTGTTTTTTTCTTTCTTTCTTTCTTTCCTTTTACTTGATGGAAAGCTGGGATATGTATTTCTATTCCGCGATTACTAGCACGGTACATGTCTATATTCGCGAGAGAACAAGGTAATAAACCCCCATCCCGTTTTATCACGCGGGTACAACGTCCAAGATTCAAAAATTCGAGGCGGACATTGTACTTACAATGTACAGATATTGACCTGCCCGGCTTTTTTTGGTCTTTTGCCTGCATTTAGTCGGCCTGTCGACTTTCTCATGCATGCGGCCTTCTTTGGAAAATGCATGGACCAGCTTTTGTTTCCCCCTCCCTCCCTCCCTTTGACTTATTCAGCTATGTACGATGGTTGTATGTATATCTGTATGTAAGTAATGTACGATAGACATGTGTGCATGTACATAGTACCTTTGGTACCCCTGTCCTTGCTGGTATACTCTTGGGGATATGCTTGATTTCTCTTTCTCTCTCTTTTTTTATGTACTTTCCCTTGCGATTGCGACACACACACATACATACACACACACTTTTGGCATTTTTTGCGGCGGCATTCGCGAATTTCGACACTTTCGATATATACTTAAGTACTTAGGTATGATGGGGTAAGGTTACTTTGAAACGTAATCTTGTGGAATTTCGTGATTACGGCTGATAAAGATCGAACGTTCGCGGATTTTTCTCTCTAGATGTTCCTTTGAGGATTTGGGGGGTTCTATGGTCAGAGGGTCCCCCCACGGTTTACCTTTTCCTGTCATGTCAATTGTATAGACTTTTTGATTTGTGCTATGTCGCACCGTTGGAAGCCTTCTTCTAATTCTTCTAAAAAAAAAGTAATTTATAAGTATATTTGATTTGGAATGCGGGATTCTGATCACAAGAATGTGAAAAAGAGAGTTTCGTTTTTGATGGTTATCCATTTTTCGTGTATTCCCGTGACTTTTATAAAGGACTTTTTGGTGGTAGCCTCAGGGCCTCGTTCGCGTCGGATGGATGCACTGCATTGCAGAGGTTGGTTAAGTAGTAAGTAGGTTTTTGGTTCCTGATCGATCGATGCCGTCGACTTTTTAAGTAAAGTTTATTTTTTGTAGAAAAAAGGTTACATCATCTAAAAATTGCTGTAAATTAATGTCGATGTCGATGTCTTTTTTCGCAACTGATAGCTTTGGATGTTTGAAGCATCTCAGAATGGCAGACTTTGACCAATCAGAGAAGACGAGTTTGTGGTTTTTGTTGCTTAGATGTGGCGTTGATCGAATGTGGCTGGTGAATTAGCTCGTCGCGTGGCTCGACTGCGCTCACTTTACGCGTGCTTTTTTTGGTGGGAGCTTTGAAAGCTTGTTGATATCTTCAACTTCCAACGATCATTAGGTATTAGCTTTGGCTTCGATACGTACACGATAGTTACCATTGTATCTGCCCATACATTACTACACTACGATTCTTCGACTTCCTCTCGATAGAATATTTAAAACCTGCAGCTATCTTCAGCAATTGAAATTGGAAATCGAAAATCGAATCACAGAAAGAGGGAAAAGAGAAGGATGCTAGGTCGCGATGCTATCCGGCAGAAGAAAAGAGAGGATCGTAAAGCGGCGTACGGGAATAAGCTAGATGCTACATCATCATCATATCCAAACAAGGGTTCGGGATTACCCTACCCTCATCGTTTAAACTTCTATACCGACCCTCCAAAGGATGAAGTTTCGCTCGAGGAGTTTGAACAATGGGCTATCGATCGGTTGAAAGGTATTTCTATTTCTCTCTTTCACATTTTCTCAATTGCTACCTTTATCCACAATATAATATCATAATGGAATATAAAAATACTAATTTATATAAAAAACAAATTAGTACTCGGAGAAATCGAAACCTGTCAATTCCGCAATAACACCCCTACAGAAATCGACACCACCCTACGAAAACTCCTCGACAAATACCTCCCCTTAAACTCCAACTCCTCAATCCCGGAAAGCGAACGTTCGAATCCTAGAAGATTCTTGGGTTTAACAAATGAACGTAAAAAGGACCATTACAGCCACTTCATCCTCCGTCTTGCATTCGCAAGATCGGATGATCTTAGGAGAAGATTCACAACGACAGAAAGTATATTATTCCGTCATAGGTTTACTACGGATAATACGATCGAACGGGCGGAGTTTATGGATTCTTTGCAGTTGAATTCTGAGGTTGTGGGGGAGGCTGAGAAGGTTTCGTTGGCGGAGGAGTTGAAGGCAGTTTTGATCAGTGGCAGTAAAATGCCGGCTGAGAAGGCGAGGCAGATGTTCGAACAGGAACAATATTTGAAGGTGGATTGGGATAGGGTGTCGGATTTGGTGGAAGGGAGGAAGGTGTTCTTGAGGAGGGGGTATGCTTATGTACCCAATAGTATGCTGTTGAGTTTGGTCATGGCGGAGTTTTCGAAGAGGTTGGATGAGTCGTTGATAGTATGTTATTCAATTCCTTCTTTCCTTCTCCCTCGTCAGGTGTGATATATTGAAGATAAAGATGGGGAATAAGGATGGGATGGCTAATCATAATATCATTTAAACTACAGAAAACAGCGCGCTACCTCCCACACCTCGACGAAGACGACCGACTAATCCCCATCCTCAACCACCTCTCCAAAGGTTTCACAGCCCCCGAATACACCTCTTCAACCTCCTTAGCCTCCCTCTCCGGCGAAGCCATCACCGCCTCCCAAATCGACAACCTCTCCTCCCACTTCCCCCTCTGCATGAAAAACCTCCACGCCTCCCTCCGACGCGACAAACATCTCCGCCACTTCGGTCGTCTCCAATACGGTCTCTTCCTAAAAGGTCTAGGCCTCTCCATCGACGAAGCCCTAATCTTCTGGCGTCAATCATTCTCAAAATTCACAGACGACCAATTCAGCAAAGAATACAGATACAACATCAGACATTCGTACGGTCTTCAAGGTGCCGGGAGGAATTATAAACCATACAGTTGTCAACAGATACTTATGGAACATCCACCGGGTGCGGGGGATAGTCACGGATGTCCTTATAGACATTTTTCGATCGAGAATTTGACGGTGGCGATGGGGAGGTTGATGGGGGTGGAGGATAGGAGTGTGGTTAATGGGGTTAAACAGGATGTGGAGGCTAAGAAGTATCATTTGGCTTGTAATAGGGTTTTTGAGTATTTGCATGAGAAGGAGTTGAAGAAGAAGGAGGGAGGGGCAGGGAAGGAGACTATTACGCATCCTAATGAGTATTTTGATAGGAGTTGGGGGTTGAAGAATCCTGGGAAGAGAGGTGGGGATGGGTCGGAGGTGCAGGTTAAGGATGAGGATGTGACGATGACATGAATACCTTTTTTTTCCCTCTTTATATTTGTTTATTCTTTTTTTTCTTTGGATTCTTAAATCTTGTGAGGGAGTAGTATTCTGCCCTCCCTTTTGTGTTATAAGAGAAGAGCATGCCCTATTTATTTCTTTGAGAAGTCATGCGGTTAGAGCGGCGTTACGAAAGTTTTATAAATATAATATAATCAATCCATGGCCCCCGGTCTATGCTTTTTTTGTAACAATGTGAAGGAAACAGAGATATTCCCGCTTCTTCTTCTTCTTCATACAACATTTCATTATACGTTATACCTTATTCAAATTTCTGTATGTACACACACGTCTTATAGTACCTTCTCATCCTGCTCCAACGAAAACTTAACCTTCGCCAAAAAGAACTCAGCCCGATCCCTATCAATCGCCGGAACCTTCACTTTAAACTCCTGTAACCCAGAAGAACACGAAGGAGAAGAAGAAACACTCCTTGGTTTCGAAATCCCGATGATTTCATCGAACAAATCCGCCACAACAGGTGTCTGAGGAACCGGTTTAAATTCCGATGTTTTAACAGAATACTTCGGTTCCCTCCTTATCGACGGTAAACCCAATATCTCATCAAACAACTCGCCAGGTGTAGCCGGTATCTTCGACGGCGGAAGTCCAGAGTTTGCCAGTTCTACTGCTTTTGCGATTGTTGTTTCTACCGGAATTTGTGTGGTATTTAACTTCGCAAGGGAGATTGGGATCGAGACTTCTATTTCTTCCAACGGGTTTGGTTTTTTGATTTGCTTTTGTTGTTGTTGATCTTCTTGTTTCTTTGATGGTGGGGAGGATTGTTTCTTCGGGGTGACGTTTGAGAGGTCTAGTTTTGAGAGTTTGGAGATATCGCTGGCGAGGGATTTTGGTTTGTTCTTATCGATCTTGCCGAGGTGGGCTAGGATGTCGCCTTTTAGAACTCTTCCTTGGGGACCTGTGCCGTTTATGTCGGACATTTGGAGGCCGTTGGTGTGTAGGAGGTGGACTAGACCGGGTGTTGGGATGAAGGGGTTCTTGCGGGGTTTATGGGGTGTAGGGGTGGATTCTTGGGGTTGGGATTGGTCTTGAGAAGAAGAAGAGGAGGAGGAAGAAGAAGGGGTTGGTTCTTGTTTTGGAGGGGATGGAGGTGGTGGTGATGAGGATTCTTGTGGAATGATTGAAGGGGATTCTGGAGGGATTTCGAGGGTGGAGATGTCGTCTTCTATATCTGCTAGAACACCGATACGGGTGCCGACTTGGACGGCGTCTTTGCTCGCTTTGACCTATTTTTTTATTTTATATGCAGCAGTTAGAATATAATGTTTAATGAATAGTATGGTAGAGAGAGTTCGAGGAGAGGTATACAAATATCTTTGCGAGGATACCGTCGTCTTGGGCTTCGACGTCCATTTGCGCCTTATCGGTTTCGACTTCGAGGATGACATCCCCTGCTGCGAATTTGTCGCCTACAAAACAAAAAAGTTCTTAGCATTATATATATATAAAGAATAAATAGGGTTTTATGTGCGCACCTTCATTGATCCTCCAAGAGGTAATGGTACCTTCCATCATGGTGGGCGACAGCGCTGGCATATTGAAGTTATGGGCTTTGAGGTCGCGGGTTGTGGATGAGATTCCTGGTGGCCGCACATTGTTAGTAAATGAATATATTTTTAAGTAAGTTATAAGTAATTAATTGATTAATTGTCAATTGAAGTTTAAAAAAGTTTGAAGTTTGTAGATGTAAGGATGTGGGTGAGGTCTGAAATTAGGTAAGATACTAACTAACCTCTCGCGGCCACCGTTCTCCAGGAATACCCAGGCCTCAAAAGCCGCTTCGACGATCGGAGAGCGGAGGACATTGTTGATGTCATTGCTTTTCCTTCGGTATCGTTCCTCCCCTGTTCGATGCTTTTCTTCTTGCTCCCGGAAAAGAGTGAAGACGGAGGAAGGAGGAGGAAGAAAGAGAGCGATCGAGGTTTTTTTTTTTTGTTAGAGGAAGACGTGGAGGGAATTGAAGGAAGTGACGTTTAGAGTTGGTTGGTTGATTGATTGGTGGTGGGTGTCAAGTTAATTGGGAGGAAGTCGGGCCGGGTAATTTGGCAGCAGGCTGTTTTGTTGGGATTGGATAACGCCGGTTCGGGATTTTGGGATACGTTTGGGGTTGTTTCGGCATGCCGAGATTTCGTCAGAGGCATCCGATGGTATTCTACTAAAGATATCGATGATATCATCATGTTGGTTATATCGAATGAATGGATAGATAGATAGATAGATTGCTTCGAAATGGAAACGCCGCCCAGAATATTATAAAACTACTATAGATACTTAGATAGATACTTAGATAGATAGATCGATGTGTATGTATGAAAAACTCCCACCCAGCCCGACCTGACCTGACCCATTAACCTGTCCACTCCATTGAAAGACCCGATAAACAAAGAGACCCATATCAAAAAAGAGAAACCCATGACAAGAGAGATATGTATAACAAAAACAAATCGTAGTAAGGGATAATTAGGTGGTCGTAATATATATATATGTAGAATCTACGTGCTCCTCTTGACACCCCACCACGCCCCGATCTCGATACACTCCCCACCACTCAAACCCCTATTTTGGTGGAAATTCAGCATCAGATCTCTAAACCACCAATCCCAATCTTCCTGCGGTATCTTGTTGGATTGTCTTAAAACCGGTTCTAGATTCCGTATTAAACTTGTGAATGTCTGTCTAGCAAGAATCCTTAGACCTCTTGCATCGTCTGATACAAACATCTCCATGCTACCCTTTCGCTCCCTTGGTTCGCTTTCTATACTTCTTGTTTCCGTGTCGTTAGAGATATTATTCGTTACAGTTGCGGCCTGAGGGGCGGATTTGCTGCTTTCTGTTGACCGTCGGGGTTCCATCATTGATGTTAATGACGTAAGGGATCTGTTTTCTAGAGTTCCCGTAACCAATGATAACGGTTTCCCTTCCCAATGTGGATTGTCTAGCGGTAGTGCGTATCGTCGGTTCCTTATATGTTTCAATGACTTCTCCATCGCCATGGTAGACTGTTGGCTCGTGCATGGCATGGTGGGTAGATGCTTGGTGCCTAGAAAATGACTGATCCATCTGTTGTAGTCTTGAATGTATGAATTCTCGGATTTGTGGTTGAATCTTGTGGATGCCGTCATGGGATATGCCCCGCTCCTGGACGAAGGCGGGATGCTGGAAGGCGATAGACAGCGTATTGTGTGGTCGGAACATTGTACTTCGAGGATGCCACCGACTCTTAGGACTCTAAGGTATTCTTCCAGCAATGCCTCCGAGCTCCGGAGGTCTTGAGGGCAGCATAATGTCATCTCCCGTACCATTATATAATCAAACTCTCCCGTAGCAAAGGGGAGAGGTAGGTTGAGTATATTATGTTTGACAAAACGAAAATTGACACCCATCATATCTGGACAATTACGGACGATATCCAAACCCGTGAATTGGACGTTTGGTTTCCCTCTGGCGGCGAATTCGTCGGACATGCTGGCTATCCATAATCCACTACCACAACCGACGTCGAGGACTTTAGATGGGATGTCTTCGAATCTGGGAAATTCGGCGGCATGGATGGTACCGAAGACTTCATTGAAGATGTGGTGGATTAGGTTTTGGCGGTTGACTTCCTGTTGGTCGCAGGGGAGAGGGTAGGGGATTGATTCGTCGCCGGCATAGCGTCTGTTTTTTTTGTAGTGATAATTCGGGTGGACGGGACGGCCCATGAAATACTTTTGAGGCTCCTTTTTGGCAGCCAAAGGTATCGCACCAGGCGCAGTTATAGTTGAAGTCGAAGTCAGAGTGGGAGAGAGGGGCAAGATGCCGTCCGGGAGGGTGGTGAGAGGAACCGGGACGAGTCGCTCACGATGGGCAGCTGGTCTTTGGTATTGAAAGGCGGGGGAGAGGCCGGGTTCCATCATCTTTGCGATGCAGGTGGACTTGTCGAGATATTGGGTGGATGGGCAGGTATATATGAAGCCTATATTGGAAAGTTAGGATACCCCGATGCACATTCCAACTGAGCACGAGGAGGATGGAGAAACATACCGGAGAAATCCATTTAGTTTAAATAGAAATGAGGGTTAAACCCGGGAGTCATTCTATTATATACTATGATATACTATCGTAATAAGATCATGAATGGATGAATTAATTTGGATCTGAACTTGGAAACTTGGGGCTTGGTTAGTGCCGGTGTTAGTGATGCAGATGTGGAGTGGGAGAGGGGAGCGTGGGCAGGTGGCGTTCCCAGGATCGGACTGGCCAAACAGTGCACGGCCGGCTGCTTCGATGTCAGCCCGACATTCTATAGCAGACCATGTATATCACCAGGAAGATTATAGTTTTACGAAGAGAGGAATAAAAAAAAGGTATTCAGGCGATGTTTCGAGCGATGCAAGTTTTTTTTTTTTCTTTCTAGAATTCTCTCTGAGTTATTTTTTTTTTTTAGGGGGAGAGATATCATATGTAGAAGTGGATTTAACCAGCGGCTGCAGACCCGCATATGCCATGCCATGCCGTGCTGTACATGTATCTATCGTATCGTATCATATCATACCATCGTATCGGTGCATTTGGTACCTGCTTGTGTGTATATGTCAGCTTGCTTCGGGTCATGCATCTCGACGTATTCGTATGCTTACTTATATTACAGATGATACCTTATTATTTTTCTTTCTTTCGAAGAGAATATATACTTAAGTAAGTAAGTAAGTACCTAGGTCAGTCTATACACTTTGTAGCTCTGTCTATTCATTTTTAATCGATATATAAGTACTATATATCGATATTTAATAAAGGCAAGCAAGTACTACTTAGCTTAGCTAGGAGATATCTATAGGTACGAGTACTAAGCCAGGAACCGTTTTGAATCCTTGGCTTGTATTTGTTCGGTCAATCTCGAACCCGAGAGCCCGCTTTTATAATATAAATTTACTAAGTACATTACAGACATTACATACTACATGTATGTACATACACTTTCTGTTACTCAAGTCGCTAGAGAACAGTTTTCGTCGATGCATTCCTCTGCAAACATGATTACGAGATAATATTATAGAATCGGTACAATACATATACATGGATCTCAAAAGGGGTTTATATGGTGAGGAGGGAGACAGAGAGAGACAGAGAGCATTCCACATGTGCGGGAATCCATATCTTATAAACACATATACCAGACACTATATACTTACTCATTCACCCTCGAATCAAACCTAAGTTATTAATTAAGAGAACTAAATCTATCTGGCCTGTTAGATCGTGCCATGTATGCCATATTGTGTATTATAATTATATGTTATGTAGTATTGGTATTGGTATTTGGCATTGAGGTTCATATTCGGATTGGTATTGGGGTTGGTATGTCATGGCACGGCATGGCATTAATATTAGTACCTTATATTTATACGTACAGCTTCTTCTTCTTCTTCTTTTCCCCCTCCTCCTCATTCCCCCCTTCTCATTCTCCGTGACCGTAATAAAGATCGATACCAAGTAAGTAAGTAAGTATTTACTTAAGTACTACTTATAGTAGTTAGTAGCTAGCTGTGATAGAAATAGTATAATAAGTAACACGACCAATGGAATTGAGACTAAAATATTAATTGTGATTGATCGTTCGATTCGAGGTAACGTTGGCAGCAACACCACCGGCAACAGCAACAGCAACACACCCACCCACCACACACACACACACCTCCTCTCCTCTGCCTCTCTGCCTCTCTGTCTGTCTGTCTGTCTATTCGTGGTTCTATTCCAACCTCGTTTCAACATCAACATCAACCTCAAACCTCAAATCCCAAACCTTCCTAACATCAACTATCCCCCTCACCATCATCGGAAGCTATCCATCCATCGTCTCCATAACCATCACCATCACCGTAACCATCGAGGTCTATTCTTTCCTCTCCCGACTTCCTCTCCTGGTCTCGTCTCGTCTCCGCTCGAACATTAAACGAGGTACTTACATACTACCTACATACATCCTTCCTATACGTCGAGTGAGTTTCCCCTTTTCGTCCCTCCTTCCGTATGGAATTGTTCCTCGTCCTGTCCTTGTATGCATGCATGCCCGTTTGTCTTTCCGTCTTTCTGTCTGTCTATCTATCTGCAGCTGTTCTGTTTGTCCATCCGGTCAGGGTACCGGTGCTTGCTTGCTTGCTTGCTGCTGCCGCTGCCGCCGCTGCTTCTTATTTCTGCTCGCCTGCTGGTCGTTAGATGCAATTTGATGTATGGATGGGTGGAGGTTTGTTTGATGGAAGGTTAATCCAGACCAACTTGCATGGTTAGCCGGGGTGCATGGGGTCCTTTGGGTCCTCTGGGTCCTTTGGGTCCTTTCTTCGCCAATTCCTTCTCAATTCCACTTGCCATGCTTTGCTCTGCTTTGCTCTGTATCGATCCTCCCTCGCACCCTCCTTCATGGCATTTTGTACATACATACATACTACATACAGCATGCATACATACCATACCGTACCCACCACATCTATCCATCCAAATTCAGACCTCAACATCTCGTGAGATATCAGAGGGAAGACTTCACACATGTGATTTGGAGGTCATATAGCTTCGTTTGTTCGTTGCTTTTGCTCCGTCGGTACTCCTTCATATGTACTCGTACTCGTTACTGATCTTGAATCTTTTGATCCCCGTTTACCAGATTCGATTCCCCACCTCGAAACCACCCTCGAACCGGTCACTTCCTCTAGTTCCCCCCTTCCTTCCCCACGCCTCGGTACTAACGTAAGCAATCCCGCTCCATTGCCCTTTTATCATATCGTCTTCTGCTTCATCACATTCATCACATTTTGTCTCATATCGTTCCCCTTCCTCTTCCCCCCTCTCTCCCGCCAACATGTCGTCTTTCTCCTACTCTCCTACTCCATCTTCGTCTTGAAGGAAAAAAAAAAAAAAAAAAAAAAAAAAAAAGCCTTTGACTGAAATTTTCAATCCTGTTCTCTCTCTAGAAAAGAAAACTTGAAAAACAAAAAACAAAAAAAAGCTTCTCACACCCTCTTTCTCCGAATCTAAATTCCAATCAATCCCGACCTATTCTCTCCATCGATAGAGACGCAAACTATTCCTGGTGATTGTGTAGTAGTGGTAGCAGCAGCAGCAGCAACAGAAACAGCAGCAGTATCAGTAGTATACATGAAGAAGGACCGCGGGAGGCTCGGTATACACACCCTTCCTTCTCCCATTTGACTTTTCTCCTCCTCTTCCTCCGCCCCCTCCTCCAATCTGAAACCCGCTTTTTGCTGACTTTCTTCACTCTCGCCCTGTCATATCCTTGTGCTTCCATTGTTTTAACACACAGACACCAACATAACCTAGCCTCCCACTCAGTCGCATAACCGGATTCTGTACACCGTGTGATGTCTGAGAGTCAAGTCTACCAACACTACCAGACAAGAAACTTCATTCCATTCCGTCTAGGCAGGGGATCTTCTCCTCGACCTAATGACACCCCGTCGCCTTCTCGATCCCCCGCCCCCCAGTCTCCAGGTTCCTTCGGCATGTATAGCCAACCACCCCAGCAAGCCCAAGGGCATCCTCACATGCTCATGAACGCCGCCGGACAACCTCACACACGATATATGCAAAAAAACATCGCCCAGGCTTTTCAGGCTCAACACCAACATCATCAACCGCTCCACCAACCCCAGCAACCTTCCCAGCTCTCTGACAGGGTTCTTGCTCATCCAGGTGCCAATAACTCTCAAAATGGACTTTCGGGACATCAGCATACCTATTCAGGTGGGACAATTGGAGGAACCGGGTTCACAGGCCAGCAGCAACAGCAGCAGCAACATTTGACCAACGGCGTCGCGTCATCCGTCCAAACGAATGCAAATGTATCCGGTCATTGGGAAAAGCAACTGCAACTCGCTCAGATCTCTCGCCAGAGCGGCTCACCCCACCATCAGGCTCGAGTGGCCGCGACAAAGACAAAGACTGGCGTTGGAGCTAAGGGAGCTTCGACAGTGCTGACGACGGCGGAGGACAACGAGGATGAAGGGTCGAATGGTGCTAATGAGAACGAAAAACGTCCGATACAACAGCGGAAGCTCACGGAGAAAGACAAGCGTCAGGAATGGTTCGCATTAGACTTTGGTGGCCAAGGACTCCGAGCTCTTGCCGAGAATCTCTTCAACTACACATTCTTAGACAAGCTCTATATCAATCATAACCAATTGAAGTCGCTACCTTCGTCTATCGGAAAACTAAAGCTATTGACATACCTGGACGCCTCCAGCAACCAGCTGACGGAAATCCCGGCAGAGATTGGAATGCTGACAAATCTGAAAACTCTCCTCCTTTTCGACAACCACATCCAAAACTTGCCCGGTGAGATGGGGACGCTTTTCCAGCTTGAGATTCTTGGTGTCGAAGGAAACCCTCTGAAAGAAACTTTGCGCTCCAAGATCGCAACAGATGGAACGTCTGCCCTGATCAACTACCTGCTAGAGAGCAGCCAAAGTAAGCTTTCTTTTCTATCCCTTATTTTAAACTCGAGAAAATATCGTATACCTGAAGGATAGATATACAAAGGGATCGAAAAGCAATACTAACTTATGGGGGGGTGAACTAGTTGAACTACCGGACCCTGCGAGAGAATGGAACGTATTAGACGGATCGACACTCGAAGGGAAGCCATCGACCGAAGGAGATCCTCACAAATTCAGCATCATTTCTTATAACATCCTCTGTGAGAAGTACGCGACACCACAGGCTTATGGATACGTACCTTCTTGGGCTTTGGCTTGGGATTATCGAAAGAGCCTCATCAGCAATGACATCCTGAGCAGCAATGCGGATATCGTCTGCTTGCAAGAAGTCGACCTCAACAACTTTGAAGATTATTTGAGTCCAACCATGGCCTACCAAGACTACAAGGGTGTCATTTTCCAGAAGACACGAGCACGCAACTTCGGGGCCCAGGAGACCCGCCAAGTCGATGGCTGTGCCATTTTCTGGAAGACGACAAAATTCAACATATTGGATAAACAAGTTATTAACTTCCAACAGCTTGCGATTAATCGTCCGGATATGAAAAAGGCCACAGATATCTTCAACCGAGTCATGCCCAGAGACGATGTTGCTACTATAATCTATTTAGAGAACAAGCTCACAGGAGGTCGCATGATTGTTGCGAATGCTCATCTGTTCTGGAACCCTGTATTTGAGGACGTCAAACTTATTCAAACCGCCGTACTGATGGAGGAACTGGGCAAGCTAGCTAATAAATACGTTGCCAACCCTCCACCATCCAAGATCCAAAAGGTTGAAGGGCAAGAGGAAATCCCGGAGGTCAAATATCCCAATGGCGCCAGCATCCCGCTGGTGGTTTGTGGTGATTTCAATTCGCTGGGTGATAGCGGTGTATACGAACTTATAACAAAGGGAGCAATCGATGCGCATCACCCAACACTGGGAGGAAGGGATTACGGACCTTATAGCGAGGAAGGTATATCGCATCCGTTCAACTTAAAATCGGCCTACTCGATTTTCCCTGATTTCCCGTTCACGAATTACACACCTGGCTTCAATGGAGTGATCGATTACATTTGGTATTCGAGCAATTGCATGCAGGTAACGGGTCTGCTGGGCGAGGTTGATAAGGAGTACATGAGTAAAGTGGCAGGCTTCCCGAACGTCCACTTCCCTAGCGAGTAAGTGCTAACTGGATTCCTCTTGAACATCAAATTGGCCTATGTAATTGAGAATTTTGAGCTAACCCACTTCTTCCCCCCAATTAGCCATCTCATGATACAGGCCGAATTCTATATGAAACCACCTAGAAAGGAGGTGCAAAAGCCGCCGCCTCCAGACTTTGGAGCCACTTCCTCCCGCAAGTAGGCGAATAGTTACACAACACCAACTTTCCTTTTCAAGTAGGACCAAGTCATTACACTTAGGACAAGTAGCGGAAAGATACCCATTTCCGACACAGTTCTCCGCTTGTATAGTATTCACCTTCGATTCTTTTTACTCCCTAGCAAGTTATAGCTTGGCTCAAAAGATGGGGTTGGTGGGTTCGTGACGGTAGATGGCGCGTGAATTTATGTTATATGCGGCGGGCATAGAAGATTGGTTATGTTTCTTGCATCTACTTTTCGACTAATGCTGGTCTATTAACATAATGTCCGTCACAAGATATCCCTCGGTACTGGCGTGGGCCTAGTTGTTAATGCGTTCGCCCTACTTTTGGCGAGTTCTAGCTGCATACTTACTCGTGCATTTTTTTATTTTATTTAAGGTATTTCCTGTCAGCTTTTTTGTATACCATGTGTGTTATGTGCCATGCCGGCCTTTGCCTTCGTTTCGTCCCCTTTTGTCCTCTTTACGCTCCCGGTATATAATGTTTCCCTTCTCATGCATGTTCAACCTCTCCTCCCTTTGCTCCTCCGTCTCGCTCAGTCCCTTCTATGAAATCTTCGTTTTCATGTTTTCCTTTTTTTTTCCTTCGTGGGTCTTCTTTGGGTATCGCGTGGAGTATAAAATCCGTCTTTTCCCCTCTGGTTCCTCGAAATTTCCTTCCCGTCAACCTCCCATAAACCTGTGCACCTATTGGAGAACCCCTCACGATCTTCGCTTTTCTAGCTTAGGTCCTAGGATCCCAAAGCTCTCATTCCTCTCTTCATTTCCTCTCTTCCCTTGTTATCTTCTACTGTAAGCTCTTCTTTTTGGATGCTAGTTTCCCGTCTATTTCCTTTTCGTATTCTTCCTTTTATGTTAACCTTTCCCGTTTTGTGTTCGTCTCTCGTTTTGTGCGGTACGGCGTCGGAATGGAATATAATATATTTTCCAACAGATAAATTGCTTAGCTCTAAGTAGTCGTAGATTTATGAGGTCGGTCCGTGATCTCAATGGTGGTTGCATGATTATAAGCGTGGTTAGACATATGGTATGCTATCATCAGTTGTATACTATGTAAGCGCAGTGGGTGTTGGGTGAGCGATGCCAAGGAAAGGTACGCAATGTCAAGAGAACTGACGGCGACAGCGGGTACAGTTCAACTGCTTGCATCATTTCTCTCTATCTAATACCCATCCACCCATTCACCCCCCCTTCTTACGACGACGACAACATTAAAGCTCCTGGAGGCTCGAAGAACCATTTGTTTTCCTTGGAATAGAGCTTCGCCATGAGTGGAGGTTTCGACGGACTCGATTTAAACTCGCCCTGGGATGACCAGCCGTCCAGCGGCATCCATGCTGATGCTGCACCAACTTCACAGCCTAAGCTTGGTACGATGGGGAAACACCCCCTGATCACTTGAAGAGTGATAAATATAGCTAACCAAGTCGATATTTATACTATTATAGACGATGTAGCAGGGGAAACACAAGCTGCCGCTGCCGCTATCTCTCCATCTGCCCCCGCCGCCATTACAACATCGATACCCACCAGGGTCGTCCCTTCGAAGACCAGAGGTCCACCTCGTCGAGGCGGAGGGACTGTCGCTAAACTCGAGGCTGTAGATGACTCCTTCAATCCGCTCGGTCCGCTCGGTGGTAGCGATGATACCGAAGAACCTATTACCTCCCCTCTAGGGCTCTCAGCGGAGCTACCCCCTCAACCACCAACCAAGGAGCCTGGCTCCCGAGGTGCTAGGAGTGTTAGCACCGCATCCGTACCTAGTACAAGGGACCTTATGGAGAGTGTCAATTTAGAAGATGAGGACGAGGATGATGGGTTGATGGGAAGGAAGCCAAGGCAGCCACCACCGGTTCCCGCTACACCCACTAGGGATACTAGCAGAGTTATCCCACCTAGTGTACCTATTGAGCTAGCTGCCAAACCAACTTTTGACATTCAGGTTGGGGATCCGCACAAAGTCGGTGATTTGACAAGTGCACATATCGTTTATCAGGTTTCTACCAAGGTATTACTGCATTCACAAGGAAAATTTATTGAGGGGGACTTAATAATGATAAGAAGGAATTTTACTAACACTGTGGGCAGACTTCATCTAAAGCTTACAAAGTCCCGGAATTCACGGTTAGTCGAAGGTATAGAGACTTCCTTTGGCTCTACAATGCACTTATCGTGAGCAATCCTGGTATTATCGTCCCGCCACCACCGGAGAAGCAGCAGCTTGGACGATTTGACCAAGATTTTGTTGAATCGCGTAGAGCTGCGCTGGAACGTATGCTTAACAAGATTGCTTTGCACCCGGTATTACAGCAAGATGGGGATCTCAAGATCTTTTTAGAGTCCGAATCTTTTACGGTGGATATTAAGCAGAAGGAGAGACAGACTGTTAGTGCAGAGACTGGAGGCGGTGGATTATTCGGGTTTGGAGTTGGAGGGGCGTTTTCCACGGCTCAGAAGTTTGTGGAGACAGATGAATGGTTCTTGGATCGAAAGGCATATCTTGATGCTCTTGATCTTCAGCTGAAGAATTTGATGAAGTCGATCGATACGGTTATTAAGCAGCGAAAGGAGTTGGCAGAATCGGCGAACGAGTTTGGAAACTCACTACATGCTCTTTCAGCTGTGGAGTTGAGCAATAATCTTTCCTCGCCTTTGGCTTCTTTAGCAGACCTGCAAATACGGCTGAGGGAGCTGTATGACCGTCAAGCGCAACAGGATGTGCTTACCCTTGGAATCACAGTTGACGAATATATTCGACTGATAGGGTCTGTGAAGTTGGCTTTCCAGCAGCGACAAAAGGCTTTCCATTCATGGCATGCGGCGGAATCAGAGACGCAGAAGAAGAGGTCCACTTATGAGAAGTTGCAGAGGCAAGGAAAGACACAAGGTGATAGGTTGAATCAAATGCAGGCTGAAGTTGCAGATTCGGAGAAGAAGCTGCACCAAGCGAGAGTTTTGTTCGATGAGATGGGCAGGTTGATGAAGAACGAATTGGAGAGATTTGAGAAGGAGAAGGTGGAGGATTTTAAGAGTGGGGTTGAGACATTCCTGGAGAGTGCGGTGGAGGCGCAGAAGGAGGTATTCCCCCCCCCTCATCACAATTATACCATCTTTGTTCAGACAAATAAATTGGAAACAGAATTTACTAACTTTTGGGACGTTTGTTATAGGTTATTGAGTTATGGGAGACGTATCTACTTCAATTGGACAGGGAGATCGCAGAGGATGAGAGTTTGGCGGAGGTAAAGAACCTTAGGATCGATGCGCAGGAGAACATTCCTACGTCACCAGCGACTCCGGATACAGCAGCGGCGACAGCGTCTGAAGAGCAGTGAACGATTTGACCGCTTTCATGCATATTAAAACGAAGCCGAAGCATTAAGGCAGCAAGTATATTGAGCGTATCATAATGGTTAATACTACTTTTTTTAAATTTCTTTCCCTTATTTATCTTGATATCACCCCGCCTCTTATGTAAGATATACAACGAAATCACCGTCAAATAGTGGCAAGCTGCAACAGCAATTTATGCAGTCCTCCCCGCTTGACGGGTGCATCGAGAAGGGTTTAGGCCACCAGTTAGCGCGGTGTTTGACGGCTGATATCGAAACATCTGCTGCAGCCGACAGAGCGAGCTCGTTTGGGATATAGACAGCATGCCATCGGATATGTCCACGTGCGTCTTCTCTGTGTCCGTCTTCCCCTCTGTCCCTGCCTATTTCCCTCCGCTCTTCTCGATTTTGTGAAAGTGAAAGTACCGCATTCAACATATATAAGTATAATTTATACATCTGTAACCCTGTAAAAAAATTAATAAAAGAAAGAAAAAAATGATAAAGCTATGAGGAATGCAGGTGTGAGGTGTGCATTGCCTGATGATATAGCCATAATCCAATCAGCAGTCTTGTTGACTTGCAGATGTCTTGTGTCTTGCCATGAATTGTCTTTTCTGGAAGGCAAAGTTCAGAGGCTTTCTAGAAAATCTGCGGGCGGTCTGGCGAGCATAAAATTATTTTTTGTGACCTCAACCACCACCACCAATACTCACCACAACTCCCTTCCTGCAGGATTCATCCCATCTCCCACCTTCATCAACCTCCTTGATAGAACTACTCTTTCCATTGACCTCGTGATCTGAATCCTTCCACCAAATATCCAGTTACCCGTGACCGGTTCCTGAAATTTGTGATCCGTATTTTAACTGCTACGAGCTTGCAAAGGTGGCTACTGTCCGAGCTGTCCAAATCGCGCACCTGCTAGCTCGCCGGCGGTAGCAGCCGCCAAATATCGTCCCTTTCCCTCCTTCTGGGATACTCCTCTGAGATTTGAAGTCATGGAGCAACAGGTGAATACTCTAGCTACTCGTATTTTTTGTCCCTTTTGAATCCATCGTCGTTGTCGCCGTGCCCTTGAAAGCCTTCTCTAACAAGATCTTTTTTCTCTCTTTCCTTTGTCGCTAGGTCGAACAAGCCGTCCAAATCGTCTACAATCCGGCGGGCACCAACCAGGACTTAGTGCGACAGGTGTGCAAAAATTCTTCCACCCTCAAGGCTCGATAATTTAGGCATATGCGAATCGATACCTTTTCCTTTCCCCGATGGCGTTTTACTCGAAGACGCATGCCCAGCAAAATCTACTATATTAGACTGCATAGAATTAAGTAACTAAAACGACGTCGTTTTACGTAACAGGCTCTCGAATTCCTCAACCGTGTCAAAGATTCTCCAGAAGGATGGACAATCTGCCTTTCCTTATTCACCAGGCTTCCCAGGCCCGACGATGCCGTCCGCCTCTTCGCTCTCGAAGTTGTCAATATCGCCGTTAAAACCCGTGCGCCGGAACTTGGTCTGCAAAACCTTATGTTCCTCAAGGACAACCTTATGAACTACTTACGGCGAAACTACCAACCCAGCGCCGACTCGCAACCGGACAATCCTGCCCTTCAAGGGAAACTGATACAAACTATTACAATCCTTTTTACGGTTCTATACACCACTTCTTGGACAACATTCTTTGACGAACTATTGGCTTTAACGATGACGGTCCCCAGAGAAAACGGCGGTAACGGGCAGATGGACAATCTCCCCGGAATTGTGATCTATCTCAGAGTTATGACCGACATTCACGACGAAATTGCCGAAACGACATTCTACAGAACAACAGAACAAGCGAAGAAGAATACAGTTATCAAAGACTACATCAGAGACCACGATATGCAGAAGCTCGTCACAACCTGGCAGGAGATATTGACTCAATGGAGAAATGTGAATGCTGAAGTGGTCGAAAGGGTACTCCATGTATTCGCCAAGTGGGTCAGTTGGATTGATATCTCACTCGTGGTCAACAATCACTTCTTAGGGCATCTATCAGATTTGTTACAGGGAAGCGGCAGTGGGCCAGAGGTTACGAAGAGGAGAAAGGCAGCTACAGTGACATTAGGAGAAATCGCGGGCAAGGGAATGAAGCCGGACGAGAAGCTTGAGCTTATTGGATTTCTTAGGTTGACAGATGTTGTCAAGACGCTTATTTCGTTACCGGAGATGAGGAGCGATGCCGACGCCGATGAGGATATAGATTTCGCTGAAGCTGTTGGCGCCTTAGTCAATAAAATTGTCCAGGATTTGGTTCTCATGTTGAATGGCGTAAGTTGCCTTTTTTATCAAAGATTTGATCGAAACAGGAACCGAACTGATGTGCTAACGGCTTGCAAATATAGGACACTGGACTCAGTCCGGATGGTCGACAAACGGCTGAAAACTTTCTTTCGCAATGGGTCCCGTTTCTCCTTGTTATCTTCCGACACGAATATGACGACGTCTCCATACTTGTCCACCCTGCCCTTTCGGATTTGCTATCATATCTACGAAAAGAGAAGAAGACTACCAATACGCTACTCCCCATGCACCACGTTATGCTAGAACCGATCTTAGAAGCTGTCGTTCGGAAGATGAAGTTTGACGATGATCTTGACTGGGAAGAAACAGATCCTCACATGGAAGCTGAATTTCAAGAATTGAGAAAAAAAATCAAGAGCTTGCAGGATGCGCTTGCGTCGACGGATATTGATCTTTACTGCTCGGCGATCTCGGTACTAGTGGTGAATACGTTGGAAAGGTGCAGACAAGGGTCGATAAACTGGAGAGATTTGGAGCTTGCGCTTTATCAGATGTTTTTGTTTGGTGAGGTTGCGGTCAAGGCTAATGGGCTCTATCTTGAGGGCCGGCCTAACGGGGTTGCAGCAGAGGCGTTGGTTGTTATGATGGCGAAGATGATGGAATTAGGTGAGAATTCTAACGCAAATCAGGGATAAGTTCTTTGCTAATTAAATTCGCAGGACCGAGCATATACACTCATCCTTCCACTAGATTATTATACATCGAGAACGTTGTGAGATACTCGCCTTTCTTCGAGCACAGGAAAGACTTTGTTCCTCCGGCATTAGAGATGTTTATTCAGTGTACGCATGACAGCAATCTCAAAGTGAAGACGAGAGCATGGTATCTTTTCTTGAGAGTAATCAAACTTTTACGGGTCGATATCAGCGGTGTGGCATCGCAGGTCATCAACAGCATCCAGGATTTATTAGTAATCAAGGCCAATATTGGCACCGATCCCGGTGATGAAGATGAGATCTCATCGGACGATGAATCCCCTGCAGATGCTGTCTTTAATAGTCAGATATACTTGTTTGAGGCGATTGGCTCGATTTCTTCCTCATCAAGTCTTTCAGTTGCAGACCAAAAGACTGTCCTACATACGATCCTTAGTCCGTTATTTTCGGATGTAGAAGCTAATCTAGAAGCTGCAAAGCGAAATGATCAACTCGCTGTTGTTCAGATCCATCATAACATCATGGCGATGGGGCAATTTGCGAAGGGGTTTGCAGACGGGCTTAAGATACAGGGTCCTACGTCGGAGGATAGATCCTTGACTACTGAGTTTCAGGCAACGGCGGAAGGTATTGTTAGTGCTCTGGAAAACCTTAAAACTTCGAAACAGGTTCGAGAGGCTGCTGGGTTTGCGTTCGCGCGAATGGTCGGTGTATTGGGGCTTTCTATTTTGGGGCTACTGCCTAGGTGGATTGAGGGATTGTTGGCCGAGAATCCCTCGAAAGGAGAGCTTTCGATCTTTTTGAGGTTGCTCGATCAATTGATTCATGGGTTTAAGGTAAGAATAGCAATTGTACGGTGGATGGTCAGATTGGGATGGCTTAGATTTACTAATTTGGGATTTTTGATGAAAAACTATAGAAAGATATGTCTGATTACCTTGACCGCCTACTTACACCTCTGTGTAGCAAAGTGTTCCAGATTGCTACTCGACCTACAACCGGAACCGACGACCAACTTGAAACCGGGGAACTCAAGCGTGAATACCTCACTTTCTTGTTGACAATCTTGAACAGTGATCTTTCGGAGATTTTTATGAGTTCTAGTATGTCCTCTCTTAATCTCAGTGCAAATCTGGTGGTGACGCCACATGCTAATACCCTGAAAAAGTAAACCAACCGAATTTCCAAGATCTTTTAAAGACGGTAGAGCACTTCGCAAAAGATATATCAGATCCACATGCAGAGCGTATGGCCATCTCCTTGATGGCTCGCATGTCGTCCGTTTGGGGTGGACCGGAAATCCCAGAGACCATACTTCCAGAAGATAAGAAGAAGAACCCACAGCCAGCCCAGAAGAATGTTCCACAGGAGCCAGTTCCTGGGTTTGACAGGTTCATGATCACCTTCTCTGAGATCTGTTGGGAGGTTCCTGCAAACCCTGCCTTCGATGCGAAGGATGCCCAGGGGAGATTGGTTCTTGGGGAAGTTGCTACGCTTCAGAAGGTGATTTATGGGAGGACAGGAACGAACTTCGTAACGTATGCCGTCTTATTCCTCTTTCTTCGTTTTTAAAGAGGTGAAGGAAATGTCTAATACCAACTGGTGTCACAGATACCTCCAAGGAACATTTTTCCCTTCGATCAATTTCCCAGAACACGCCGCTTTGGAGTATTTATCAGCATTGCAGCAGCTGGACCATAAGAAATTCAAGAAGTTCTTCCAGGTACGAATGATATCTAACATTCTAACTTAAAGTTCTCGTTTCTAATGACAATTTCTAAAATTTGTATAGAATTTCGTGACACAATCCGTCGGTGGTTGAAGTCCATAGGAAGGGTCTTTATTTTTTGCATTTGGGTACTACTTTTATTCGTTTTATTTATCATTTTCCCCCCTTTTTTTGCAGAAGAACCAAAAATCCAGCGAAGCAGACCGAATTATTTATCCAAGTGTTTGTTTCCATGCCTCAAAGGGTAGAGGAGAGGAGAGGGCAGGAGAGGGAGCTATGTGTCCCTCCAGAGCTATATCTACCTTTGTTTTCTTTCTCTTCTTCTGTGTATCATCTTTTCCCTTTCTTCTTTGTTCTTTATTAGGTATTTTCCAAAATCATGATTCTGGGGTAGACCGGGGAAACCAAAAATATCATTTCCTTTTCAAGCCTTTCTTCTTTTCTCATTTTCCTTCACTCAGTCTATTTTTTATCCTATCCCTTTTCTATTTCTTATTACTTTCGGGATTGTCTTTCTTTTTCCCTCTTTTCTCTCAGTATACCTTTTTTCTTTTCTCTCTCACTTTATTCTCCTATTATCTTCTGGTGACGCAGCATTTAGATTTCTGTCTTTTGTTTTTTTATCTTTTTTTTTTGGCAAGATGCTCTTTTTTTGGCCGCTATAGACGTATTACTAGGAATATCTGATCGGTGCTACTGTTCTTACTATCAATTAATTGCTACGCTTATTTAATCCTATCCTTCGTAGGTTCTAGGAGTAGATATACATATTGATTACACCTATTATTTAGGTATTAGTTGGTCATCTTTTACGCTCGCAGACCTCGAAGCTTCAAGTATGTATCCTCTACATCCATCATAACTAAAACGTTCAATTTGAGACACATGCAAACTTAACCGTGATCATACATGAGATTCCAACACCCTGCTTTCATCTACGCCTCGTGGTCTCAAGGCTAGTTCCAACAGGTAGGTTAACGGTTTCTGCATGCGTGTGAAGAAAAATTCCCGCAGGACTGGTTTGTGAGGCAGAAAGAGTCTGGAGCTATAGCTATAGGTTGTCTCGTACCGGGACCCGGAAGAGCTATAGGGCTGTAGTAGCTTAATTAATTGAACCGAGGTGACTAAAGAGTCATGTCTATTATATATACTGTGCCGACAAATGGGGTGTTATTATTACGGCAGGGCTACGGTATCAATACGATTAATCGTAGCACTACTGAAATAAACCGGTATTTTAGCCCTCAATACGCATTAGAATATTTTCTATAATTGGTATTGCACTGGTATTCAAAATACACCCCATGCCGGCACAGTAATTACTTACTTAATGATGATTATCGAAATCCAGTTAGCTACTGTGCTAGAAAAGTGATGTGAATTCGAATTGTTAGTAAATTTTCACCTCTATACACAATATTGTAAATCGTATTGAATATCATAATATTGTATTATATTATATTATATATAACGAAAATAACTGTGCTAATACGGGATCAAGAAACCCCCTCCTTCTGGCACAGTAAGTAGATATAGATATAACTAAAATTCTCCTTTTGGGTGAGTAATATCAGATCTTCTGGACGATACATGGCTGAAACAGAGGAGGGAAAGTGTAATGAACCTTTCCTCGAGATCTCCCGTAGGGAGAGATCTAGAGTTGGATGTATATATTCTAATCCAACGTTCCCATATTATATTATAGAAAGTCAACTAAATTATAAATTTAAAACATTCAAACAGGTATTCCTTGCTTGCTATCTAGTACATTATAGTACATTATAGTATTGTATTGTATTGTATTGTATCATGCACTATGCCTTTCTTCCTTTTTCCTTGCCTTTTTCTTTTCACTTTCTCTCTTTCTCTTTTTTTTTTTTTTTTTTTTTGGCACCAACCAAATTCCTAAAACATGTCAACCAACTATAAGGTTTCGCAAATTTTTTAAAATCAGGCGCAGTATAAATTTACTTGTCTACTATATAATTAGGTATAAGTTAGGCAATTACATACATCCACAGATACAGCAACTAGAAGCATCCATGCATGAAACCGGTTATACTATCGATATTCCAAGGATCTGTCCGTCTCGTGTCTAGATATATAGGTGCCGCATAACAGAAGGCATGTTATGATATCAAATACCGAAGAGGCACCTAGGGCACGATATTGTAAGTTTTGAGTCTCGTAGGAACCGAAGAAGAAGGTGGGGGGCGAGGAGGCTTTTCAACCGCGACTTGTCCACAACTTTTTTTTTTCTTCTGATATTTCATATTGCAATTGATTTGGAGATCTAGAACTAACAAATATGTGCCTTATAGATATGATACCCTGTGTACATAGCTTCGCGGCCAAACATAGACATCAACAATACTAGGGTGCGTGTCCATACGCATTTGCCTTGTTCTTATGGATATTGATATTTAGGAAATTGAAAAATCGGAGTTTGTGTGGGGCGGGGGTTTCTTCTTCTCTTTCTTCTCCTTCTCCTTCTCCTCTTCTTTCTTTCTTCTAAAATTTCGTCTACAAAAGATTTTGAGTTTAATTTTAAATTCTAAATTATTATTATTATTATTATTATTATTATCATTTTTTAAAATAAATTATTAATATAAAGGAATTAATTTGTCTGAATATATATATATATATATACATACATACGTACATACATACATACATACATACATACGTTATCTAGATGCTTCTCTCCAAGGCTCTTCTGGTGTTTAGCTGCATACCATTTTTGGAGGCATTGGTAACACCGCCTGTACGGGGGAAAGGACCTCCAGAATTATATAATACTCCCTCTAGCAATATTACCAGCACCGGCAATCAGACAGTATGGCAGCGGCAGCAGCAGAAAGTGGAGGAGAAGGAGGAGAAGGAGGAGAACCAAATAAACTCAACCGTCATCACACCCTCCCACGAATCCCCTAAACCACTACCACCAGATGACGATACCTCACTAGGATTCAGTACCAGAGCAATCAGCAGCAGAATATTCTACGGCTGGATAAGATTTTGTCCAGAAATGGAATATGTAATTAACCAAATGGACCCAGACTCCAACGTCTATCCTCGATTGGGGCCGGCCTCATACAACAGGCGCCCAGACCCAAGAGTACGACCCGGTCCTACATTCACACGCATGCAACGCCAAAGAAGCCTCTGCGCCTATTGCGACTGCACCGAGCAAGGAGATCTAGTCACAACTCCGAGAATCCCTCCTACCACCACCGCCCATTGTTCGGTCGATTATATCCTCCAACGATGTAAACTCTGGTATAATTGTGTCTGTCAGATTATTATGCGCGACCCAAAGTATGACCCGGATACCACCATTGAGGAATATCAGGATGCTTTGAATCGGGTACCCTTTTGGGCGAAGGCTCAGAATCCGGCGTGGAGGTGGACGCCGAGGAATGCGGGTGGTTTTAGTATGACTTGGGAAGGCCTTGGGACGGAGTCTACCGTCCCTTGGTTGATAGAGGAAACTGAGCGGGAATTGGTCCCCGGAACGAAGGAACCGTATTATTTGGAGGGACCGGATCAGAGGGACCCGAACCAAAAGGACTTGAGTTGGTTGAGGGGCCCGCTTTCGGGGTATGGAGGTTTAAGGTCTGGAAATTATAAAAAGCGATCTATTACGGGAGAAGAAGTAAAAGAAGGAGGTAAACAGACATCTTCAACAGAACAGGATTGAAGATTTTAGTCACAGTCTCGTTTTTGGCTCTAGCTATATTATCCTTACTATGCCTGCGTAGATAATTTTTGTTCATTCAACAAGGTCGCGAAATTTGTTATTTAGTATTTGTTTCAATTTATATTCATCCAGTTTAACATGGAATACATCAGTAATCTTCAGACAGAATCCACTAGAGACAAGATCTTATAATTCACAATCGATATATTCCACGCCGGTACAGGTGAAAAATGCAACATCAAAAGTGTGTTGACAGAGACGTCCAAGTTAAGTTAGCCAGCGTAGGCGAGAAGTATTTCTAGCTCCGAAATTCCTAAGTAATTGTAAGCCCCCCCCCCCCCCCCGGATTATATCAATATAATCTCATAATTGCACACTCGTACTTCCCCCCCCCCCTCTTCTCTTCCATATATATCCTTTCCTAATAGTCCACTCCATATGACCATCCATCACACCCACCATCCATAGTTACCGTGAATAAATTTTATATAGGTATCCCGCACAATCTCACACTCTCATATCCAAACTCGTCCAATCTTTCCCCCCATCATCCATTCATTCATTCATCCTTTTCCCTTTTTTTTCCCGTTATTTTTCAACTTAAACTCTCCATATCCCGCCGTTTCCACCTTTCAAAAAAGACAAAGTAATAAAAAAAAACAGTAATAACACAAAAAGAGGTATGACAGAAGAGAAGAAAATAGATCACAAAAGGAGTAGAGAAGAGAGGGGAGAGAAGAGAGAAAAGACAAGATAAGATGAGACGAGAAAAGAAGGAAAAGTCATTCTGGTAATACATATATTCGATTCAATTTGATATTAAAACAGAAAAAAAGAAGAAGAAAAAGGTAGATCGTCGTATAAAAAAAAGGACCCACCATCTCGAGCTCTCTCGACCTTGATATCAATCTTAAAGCCACCCCCTCCCCACCTCCATCTTCACCATCCACCCAACCCCCGTTAACACGTTACACCGAAATATAGAAAATACATGTTGAAAAAAGCCACCCCGTAAACATAAAACCATAAATTAAAAATAAAATGATGAAAAAAAAGATGAAAAAAAACTCCAATCCGTCTTTCCTTTCAATATGAGGGTTTTCTCCATGGTATATGTGTTACTGAAACAAAAAAGAAACAAAAAAGAAAAATAAAAAGTGGAGTTATGTTAGCACGCACTATAGTATATATATATGTCAAACTTGGAGTCTCTGTGGAAATTTGTCGGGTATCGTGCAAGAGACATCATTCATTGTGGGATATAAAAAAAAATGGGTGAGAGAGAGGAAAAACACATCAATGACGCCAAAAATAACATGAAATTTGTGGGTGGGGTATGTAACGTTCTTAGATTTCTTGTTCTCCTGGGACTCAAAGGGTATAGGTGGGAGGTCTATAAAAATGGGAAGATAAGGAAAAGGACATCCACGGTAACAAAATAAAGAAATAAAATAAAAAGAGATATGCAAGATCCATCTCGGACTGTTGGGGAATAATGCTTAAGGTAGGTATTGAAATATAGAAAGGGAAAAAGAAAGTTGAATTTATCACAAAAAGAACGCCCCGGTTCATGCCAAAATACACCCAGTAATTATTTGATAAAAAAAGAAAAAGAACTTCCAGATGACATGCAGCCGAATAAAACATCAAGCGCAAAAGCGAAAGGGAGCAAAAAGTATTAAACAGACAGGGTAGAAACGAACGCTGCCAAGTTGAGTGACGCATGGGAAGTAGAAGAAGAAACCAGTAGATTTGCGTGTCTCTCTTTATGAGAACGACTAGACCACAAAACCATTGAGAAAAGAAGATGAAAGCCGATAATTTCGGGAGAAGGGGGGTTTAAAGCCGTGGAAAAGCAAAAGAAGGCCAAAGAGGAAAGAAATACAAGAGGCTTAGCTCTACTGTTTCCTCTTGTTCTCATCCAAAACTTCGGCTCCTTCCTCAAAGAAGCCTTCGTCGCCGAAGGCATTGGCTGGTGGATCCACGCGCTTGCTGCCCTTCTTCTTCTTCTTCCCCCCAACTCCAGCGGTGACCTTCGTTGGCTTTGGGAGAGTATTGATCGAAGATGCTGACGGAATCTCGTATATCATCGGCTCCTCGACAACCTCCGAGATCTGAGGTGGGGTGGAGATGCGAGAAGTTCTAGATCTAGACGGCTTTGGGAGTTGCAGCAGCTGCTGCTGCTGACGTTCCTCAAATCTCATGCCGCTCTCCATAGCCTCGACCAAACCATCGCTACTCTCCACGAATTCCACATCGCCTTTAGCGAAACCAATGTCCAGTTTTTCAAAGGGAATGTTTCTACCGAAAACCCAAACAGTGTCGTTGGATGGAGCAATATTGAGGTGCCAAGTAGCACTAGCGGCAATGGAGTTTTCTTCCTTAAAAACTGAAAGGGTAACATGTCGGTCAGAGTGGATTGGAGGGTATGGAGGGTTGGTATCAATCTCAGCGTAGGAAAGTGGTGTATCGATATGTTCCTTTTGCAGATCTTTATTTTTGGAGGTAGGTGGAGGAGCGGGGAGTTTTCCGCCCCAGTATCCTGGCAGTACCGTTGGCTCGGTCTTTGTATTTTCTTCACCAACTGAAATTGGAGAAGTGGGTTCCTCCTCATCTTCCAGAGGTTCCGGAATACCGGTGGGGACACCCTCCGGCAAACCTGGGAGCTCGTACTCCAACCAGCCGTTGGTGACAACACCACCGTCATGGGACGACGATTTTCTTCTAGCAACTGTAGAGGTCTTGCTCTCATAGATCCTCAGGGTCCCGCCTCCGATCATTGCGACATAACCATACTCTTTCCCACCAAGGAACTTGACAAATCCCATTCCTGGGGTTCCAGGCCCGTATGGGAGGGAAACTCGATGAAGTGTAGCATTCGCTTGTGGTGCGGAGTTGCTGCTACTTCCAAGCGTACTGTCCTTTCCAGTACTCGTGCCATAGCCATTAGCGCTGCCGCTGGAGCTTCTTCTCCTCCGGCGGGCAGCAACAACGAGAGGTTGGGCGTTCGTCAACAGATTTGCAGCGGCTTGTCCGGCCGAGCTGACCATACCGCTAACTCCACCTTGTTGAGGTTTTGGTTGTGGGATGGATCGCTTTGGTGGCGGCCATTGGTAAGCGTTGCCGGGCATGTCATAAAAGTGAACAGTTCCTTTCTCGGTGACGATGGCGAGTTTGTCTCCCTTCGGAGCTGACCAAACCACATCGATGACGTGTGCAACCGTCATACGGGTAAACCTGGCAATTTGTCTGACATGCCTACCTGCATGATGCCCGTTTGCGAGCCTACCGTTGACGGCAATAGCAGAAGCATCGGCGGCGCTGGGGCTAGATTTCCCGCCTTTTGATTGAGCGTTTGCAGATACAGGTGGTTGATGCATAGCCTTTAGCAAATCCCAAACATGAACCACATCTCCCTTGTTGCTAACAACTAACAAAGCCATCCCGCCGGGTGCAAAGGAAAGGAAACTGGCTCCCTGTAAAGGCTGGAACGTAGTCTGGGGGGTCAGGGGCTCGTTCTTCTGACTCTGAGCCATGCCCTTACCAAGATCCATAATCGAGATAACGACAGACTCCGAAGAATTAGAAATAGCAAGACCAGAATTGTTCCCGTTACCCTGGTATCCGTTCTTTCCAGGGGATATGCCGCTACCAGGGCCAAGAGATGCAAGTTCCCGCTCCCGGTCCCGCATCTCCTGGACCTGCATGCCTAGCGCACTAACACCATTGCTACCTGCAGGATTAGGACCAATCTTAACGCCAGCTCCCGGCGGGCTGTTGCCGTTACTATTGCTAGCACTATTGTACCCGTTCCAATAATTCTTCATGGCACGGATTCCTTGTTCTCCCATCCACTTGGCGCCCCGGATGACCTCTTGTGTAACCTCTCTGGCAACACGATTAAGCATCGGCTCGTCTTCAGGGACGTCGACATACGTATTGGCTTGTGGTTGTGGGACTGCTGGATTTGGCAAATGTGGTGCGCCGATTGCAGTTCCCCCGACGGGGGGAAGAGGTGTGCCCATTCTCAAAGCCTGAGCGCTGGGTGAAGGAGGACAGTAGGCTAACCACCTGCCCTCGAGGGAAAAGATCGGCAAACCAGCTTTAACACTTGGCAGGTTCTCGCTGCCATATTCAGCGTTGAAGCTCCCAGAAGAGCTACCTCTGCCCTCTACGTATATGTTCGTCCAGACTTTGCCCCAACAGTGCCATGATCGGTCGTCAACTACTCCAGATCGTCTCTTGCGTGTTCCAGCGGGTTTGGAGTCCGCGAACAAGAAGACTTCACCGGTTCCCGCGATTCCCACGGCGACAATATTTCCGGTACCGCCGATGTTTGAAACTTCGACCCGGATTCCGAGAGGTGCAGGAATACCATTTACACCAACTGGGATGTATGGCGACTTGTACAACGTAGCTACGTGAGTTCTTCGTGACAGCGAGTATATTTCTACGGATGTTTGATACTCTTCTGCCTGGTGTCTCGGAAGCTGGTCCGCAGACCTATTTGAAGCAGCACTCGTCGGCCTCGAATTTTCCGACGGAGTCGGTGATCCGTCCTCGTTTTCGTCATCCACGTGTTTTGGGACAACAGGTGAGTGCATAACGAGGCAGATCAGTGGGCGTAAGTGTGCGTTGGGGTCGTCTCGGCGAGGCGTGGGTAGAATCTACGAAATGACGTCATTAGTATCATGTACCCCCCAAAAAAGTCACTAAACCAGATGCAGCTACACAATATCATCTGTTTCTTACCTTAGCACCGATAACAGTTCCTGGCAAACCACTCATCCTTGCAAGAAGCTCTACGACACCTCTTCCAACCTTCCAAACATCAACACCGCCGTCCCAGCCCAAACAAACAACGTCAGTTCCAACGACGCCATTCCCCGAAGCTTTCTGAGCTGATTCCGATCCAATAATCCCTTCGAGATCATCTAGTATATCAAACGAAAATGCCCATCCGCCATCTCCGGGTTTCAGATGTCCCGAATGTGCCGGTGGCCGCGGTCCACCTCTTCCAGACAGATGGCTCGGGGTCGGACTAGTAGCGTACACGCTAGTACCCCTCTGATCTGGGAACGAAGGGTAGGAGGAGCCATGATGCTGTAAGGCCCGTCCACCGAGACCCGTTGGCGGACTTATCGCACGAGGTGTCCCACCGCCAACACCACCGGGTATTTGGGAATGGTAAGATCTGGGGAAGGAGTTTGGGATCGAGATATGATTCTGGGGGTTACCGTACTCCCCTGCTGGTCCGTGGAGGTTTGGGGATGTACTTAAATGTTGTGGCGATACGGACGGGGGAGGAGAGTTACCCAGAAGGTTGAAGGGGAGAGAGGAGGCGGTTGTGAATGCGGAGAGTAACGGAGATGTAGTCTTCTGTTGGGCCTGCTGCGGCTGGACCTGGGGGGGGAAGGTTCTATTACTGTCGTCCTCGGAGCGGCGCGGTTTGCGACGAGGCATGAGGTTAGCTTTGATTTTGGTTTATCCTTAATCGGATATGAACACTGAAGCTATAGCTAGCTTGTATATAAGGGAAATATCCCCCTCGAGGAGGGTTATCGGAGTGAATTGAACGATTTCAGGGAACAACGATGACAGTGCTGGTGCAGATAACGGTGATGACTACCACAACAGAAAAGAAGAAAAGAGGTTGCAAATTACGGGATGTGTATCTTCGAAAAAAAAAAAAAAAGACTACCAAGGAGGAATCGGAACTTGGCTTCTCCTTCTCCTTCTTTGACAAGGGAAATTTTAAAAAGGATATTTGTGGATATGGAGATTTGGGGTTTAAAGAGCGAAGCGGGATGAAAGCAGCGTTGAGGTAGAGCGAGTTTCAAGCAGCAATGTGTCTCAAAGCGTCAACGTCGAGCGATGTGTTGGGATGAGGTCAGATGCGTTGTGATCAACAGGCAGGGAGGGCAGGGCAACTCGGGGGCAGACGCAGTATCGATGGGACCTTTGTATATAAATGCCGTCGACAGAGAGAAGAGCATGACGCTGACGGCATGATATATAAAGGCCTCAAGAACATGGACATGGGCACCCAAAAATGGCCCTGTCGGGTGCCTGCTTTCTGCCTCTTGTTCCTGCTCCGTGCCTGGGAAGGGTTGGTCTGGGTCTGTCATTCGCCGCTAAGGTTGCGTACTGCCTACATGGAGGTAGCATCAGATGACTCAAGCAGAACTTCAAGCTAAGGGGGTTAGGCTAGCTAGCCTCCATGCTACGTAAGTAAGTCGGTACCACCACCACTTCACTTCACTTCTTCTTTGAGAAGAGTGATGTGATTGATAGTTAGCTCGAACCGAAGCTTGGTGGCTTGCTTGCCGACTTTAGTGTACCTAAGCACTTAGGGGGCAACCTTTTTCTGTTGTGAATGTAGGTGGTAACTTGCAGCTTCAAGGGAACAGATAAGAGACCCACGGCGACAAGCCGAATGATGTAACAGCGAAGCAACAAGATCGGCCAAAAATGGAGAAAGCTAAGGGGGCCAGGCACTAGCACCAGTAGTAGCAGTGGTAACTACTACTTGCTATTACAAGTGTCCGTAGGTGGTGAAAGGGATAATAACAAATATAGTATGTAGTAATGATACAATTATGATTCGTTATGAAACAGTAAAAAAAAACGAATTGTTACTTACAATTCTCTAGGGTATATCTTAAACCTCCCACCGATCAAACTCTTACTATCAACGTTCCCGTTGTTATTGCTATTGTTATTGCTATTGCCGTTACTGTTACCACCGGTCTGACCACTACTAGGTCCAAAGCGATCGAGATTTTGCGCTTGGGCTCTTTGATAGAGAGATTGGCGTTGGACGGCTTGCTGCTGATAGGTGTTATTATAGGGGGATGCGGGATTCGGGGCGTCAAAGGAGGGAGGTGCTGGCATTAAGTCGGCACGGGGCACTTGACGAGAGGCCAAATTCACTGGTTGTTCTTGGTTTTCTAGATCTACTCGTTCCCTACGAGCTACTCTCCTAGATTATTGCTGAAGCTCTAGCAATATACTCGGGGAGGAGACGGGTGAATGGGAGAGCGAATCGGGTGAATATGGATAGATGCAATGTAATGTAATGTAATGTATGGGGGGGATACGCTGGTCGTCCGTCCGTACGTTTGGCTCGATTAGCTGCTAGTCTAAACTAGCTGGCGATTCGGTTCAGTCGTTGGGATTTCGTTGGATCGTTTCGTTCCGAAAAATAAAAAGAGTTCAGTTTCGGTTGGATGGATTCTTGGTGATTCTTTTTGGAAATTTGATTTAGAAAGATATTGAGTAGAAGAAGAAGAAGAAGAAGAAGAAGAAGAAGAGGAAGAAGAAGAAGAAGGAGGTAGCAGGAGTGATATGATATGATATAAGAAGAGGAAGAGGTTCGGGATGGATGGAGAGTGTGTATGTGGTGCACTAACCGCTCCCAGTCAAGTATCCTTAGGAACCTGGCCTGGCCTGGTAACTTAGTTAGTAACTGAGGACTAAGTAACTATCCGAGACGAGAAGATTCGATTGATCGGATTGGCCGCCCAACGACGCTGCGGTGCAGACGGAATCTAATACAATTAAGGCACAGCTGCCATCAATCAATCAATCGACCTATCAACAAAGTGGCGCTGTTGAAGGATTCGATGCGGATGGTGTAGTATAATATAATATAATATATTAGTCCACACTTGTGTTTTCGATATATAGAATTAACAGGCACGATAAACCCAGCGGTCAAAGAGTAGCGCCTAGTAGTTGTTGTAGTTATTGATGATAATGATGATGATGGTAATGAATGAGTGAATGGATGAATGAATGATACGATGAGAAGACACAGACAGAGACAGAAGTAAAACGGGGGGGTTGGCCATCCTTCGGCCGGCTGCGACTACTCCTTCCTCGTCTATCCCTCTATTCTTCTATATGCTTCTGTATACTATACAACCCCATAATATTACTATTCATTATCACTAAATACCTAAACCTCATATACAGAAAGTACACACCGTCACTGTCACAATCACAGAGGAGAACTGAGAGAGAGACACAGAGAGAGAGAGGTTCCTTTCAAGAATGGTATACTTTCTAGCAGAGTGAGTGGGTGACTGAGTGAGTGAATGAACGAATGAGGGGAAATTGCGATCCATATCCATATCCCGTTCAGATTCGATTCCCCCCCACCCGATGAGAACACCAACCAGACCCACCCAATAAGACGGTACCCCTCGTCCCACGCACAGCATGCCCATGCCGCCCGCGTCGGGGATATATTCTCAGCTATCCTGCTATCTATCTGTGGTCTCTGAAGTAATAGCAGTAGCAGTATGTGGTGTCGATATTCCTGCATCGTCGGGAATGCAATCCACACCCACACGCTGCACCGGCAATCCCATTACATACCGGTTACATCAATACAGTACGTATCCTTATGTAAGTACAACATTTCCAATTCACAAAGTATTTCCCTTTGTTGGGAATCAAAAAACCCCGAATGATTCAAAATATATCAAACAGTACGTGCGTATACAGATAACAGTCATCATAATCGAATGAGCTGTTTTTTTCTCTGCTTGCGATTCCACATCGCATTCGGCAAAAAACAGTCGTTTCTTCCCGTTATCGTCTTTTTTCTTCTTCGTCCAACCCCCAGTATACCTCCCTAAGTATTCTAATAGCCTTTTCCGTTTTCTTTCTCTTTCGGCTTTTAAATTTTGGGTCTTCTGTTTTATCGCTTCGCATGCGTATCGTTTCTCGGGTTCCCTTAACATCCACTAGCTACAGCTGGGCTCTGCATGCACATGCCATGTATGTATGGATTCCATCATGTTATGTATGTACGATGTATGTCTGAGTACCTACGTAAGGACTTATATGTATGTATGTATGCCGGTATGGGAACCTTATGTATGTACGAGGGGGACAGTTTAAGTTCTCTAATCCGTTGGGACCTGTTGAGATCCACCTTGGCCAGGCCACGGTTCACATTCAATGTTCGCTGTACAGCTAATCTAGCTAATCTAGCTAATCTAGCTTACTATAGTACTAGTTAAGTACTTAGGTAGGTTGCTCCCATGCAGCTGCTGCCGCTGCTGTAAACATTTATATATAAAGTACTCTGCATTAGTCCCTCAACGCCATTTGCATTCCGTATTCAATCGATCGATTGATTAATTCTCATCCGAAAGATAGGTAAAGTAATACTTATATATAGATAGTAATATTATAATTACTTGCTTAGTAAGTGCTTTTTAGGCTTAGTAGGAATAGTTGATTGGAAAGGAAAGATAGTAAAAAAAACAGAAGATATTTTTGGTTTCTCTTGCTCACAATCAACAGACGCTGTTTTTAATCGAAAAAAAAAAGAAGGCTAGGATAAGAATAATAATTAATCGGGAAGTAAGAAAAAAAGCGAAGGAGAAAGAAAGAAAAACGAAACTAAACACCCATGAATCACAATAGAAGTTCGAACACAGGAAGAGAGGAAGAGGAGGGGGGTGGAAAGACGCAAGAACCCGATACCGATCCCGACGAGCATAAAAGTATCGAACAGCGAAGTAGGTAAGAGTCAAAACAACCCCACCATTCCATCCCGTCCGTTTCCTGTCGTCCTTCGTCACACAATAGCTGTTCGAAGGAAAGAAGAAGAAACCAAAATACCTGCGGAAAGGCGGGGGGACAAAAAAAAACGGTCGACAAGGACGGGGGCCCTATTTATGTATGACTGTACTACTTCCCCCAACCTATTTCTCTTCCGCGATATTCAGCCCGCTCAGCGCCTCCGCCAGCTTAGGGTTCGTCTTGGAGGCCGAGGGATCAACCGCCGTCGCAGCCCTCGAAAGCCTTTCCCTACGATGCTTCATCCCCTCTGCAAGCAGCGTTGTAACATCCTCAACCGTCTTACCTCGCGTTCGCAGTCCCGTCCTCTCCCTCCCAAGTTCCGTATCCTCATTGATAGTCCTGAACACCTCTGCTGTACCTTGATAGATAGTCTTGTCAAACCCGCCTTCTTCGTGGAAGGTATCTGCGATTTCCTCCATCTCGCCGACCCAACGGTAAGCCTTGGGTGGCATTTGAACGATGGCATTATTGACAAAGCTGGAAATCAGGGGTGTCTTCTCGGCGAGTTGGTCCTGCAGCGGCTTGAGTAATCCCAATGATGCAGCTGTCGTAAACGACTCGATAGCAAGAGCCGTCAATCCCTTTGAAATCCCCCCCGCAAAAAATTAGCCAAATCACCCACTCAAGCATAAAAATGATGAAATACGATATGCACACACACCTTCGTAAGACTTGCAAAGCACATTTTAACTCCACTCGCCTGCCCAATCTCATTTCCAACCCACTTAACCCCCAAAACCCTCTCCAAAACCTCCCCATCATCCTCTTCTGTCTCCACAAGCGTAGTAGCATCATCGTGCTCGTTGAACGCCGTCAAAGAAAGCTTCAACGGTCCGCTGAGCATAATATTGGGCTTGAACCACTCTCCATTGTGTGGATCCAACTTTGGCGGTCCTCCAATGATCGCTCCGTCAACAAAGACGATTTTCCGCCCGGCAGGATTATTAGCAAGTTGAATATTGATACCGTTGAACAGAGCAGCAATAGCACGTGCCGTTGCTGGAGATGTGGCGTTCAAATCAAGGAAGTAAAGAGGGGCAGGTGGGTGTTCCGGAGCAATGGCCGTCGAAGCAAAGCTGACAGCTGCCTCTGCGATTCTGCGAGCGGTGCTAATAGCTTCGGCGGGTGGGACGATGGAGAAGACGTAAGTACACTCGGCGATGATGTCCTCGTCGGATGGGTAGCAGTGGAATTGAGCATCGCGAGCCCGTGTGACCGTGTACTCACTACAGTATATTAGAATACAATTAGATCATGGCCATGAAACGAACGAGCTATACAGATAATGAATTACCTTCGACCGTGTAATTGGGTAGCGACGGTATAGCCGTAGTGTCGGAGCATTATACCGATACCTGTACCCATCTCGCCAGGCGTCAAAATGGCGACGGTAGGAAGGTAACGGTTGTCGAGCTGTTGCTGCTGGTCGGCCATCTTTACTGCTGTCTCTCGTAGAGGTACCTAATCAGTGTATGTGTATTCTGTATTCTGGATGGTGATGATAGTGATGAAGCTTTTGTGACAAAAAAAGAGAATAAAGCTACGAGCGAGAGAATGAGTGATTAGAACTGCAGGGTAAACACAGGGTCCTTGTTTCTATATAATCGGTCGATTGAGCGTGGGCTTGAAGTTGAATGACTTGAAGAATGAAGTTCTGGAGAACGGTATTTTAAGTGGTCCCTCCTTGCTTTATGACGAAATTCACGTCCAGCGCCCGCCCGCCTAGCTTCTTATCGATACGCCAGCCAGCTCCCAGTAGCTACCAAGCACCCAGGCCTGGAGCTCCCACCACTCCAACAGCAACAGTAATAGTAACAGGTGGTCATGGCCGTGGATAATAAGAACTGTGCTATACAGTATCCCATCCCCACGGCACGGCCCCTCAGATTTCATGCACTGCTGTGCTGTCTTATTATAAGCTTGCCCGGCAATTGCATTGATTGTGGCCTGGGAGCTTAGTTAGTGGTGTGAATTCGAGGATATCACCCTGGTATCACAGGGTATTTAAGCTTAACCCTGCATAAAATCGACAGTGGGGGGGATTTCAAAGTATCACGGCTCGCAGCCATCCCATCCCCCCCACCCGGCCTCACCCCGACGTTCCTCAAAGATATGGGGGGAAAGGAAGGCCGAAATAAGGAAATAACATTCCATTGCATTCATTCACGGGGGCCAGTTCAGATATGTAGATGGAAAATATGTTTCTCACCAATTTTAAAGAGAAAGAAAGGGATCCAGAGGGAATAATGATTATATGAAAAAAGCAAAAGGATGCAGCATGCTCTCTAGATAGACAGAAAATTTCGAAAAGGCGAAGGGAGAGAGAAAAAAAGAACACCATAACTCCATGTTGTACAGTTTAGTATGAATTGTAAATATCATAAATCTGATAACTCTCTGAAAGAGCTACCATTCTCCCCTTCCACCACCACCACCGTTCGTTCCAGTCCGTGTCGCCTCATTTCTTTTCGGTTTCCAGTTTTCAGTAAAAAATAACTACCGATAGCTTAGAACGGAGACAAGAGTCGACGCGCTGCTACCATGATCCACTATAGGAGTAGACAAAGTAGAAGGCGTGGCACTACTGGCGGCTGGGGGTTCGTTATTCGAATTGTATCGCGTATCAGGCCACTCCTTCTCCTAAAGAAGCTCCTCGCAAGTCCAATCCTCGTAACTTTAGTAGATACCATTAGTACCAAAATAACAAGCGGTATATAGAAGTTGGGTATAGATTCAAAAACTTACTAGCCATCAGGGAGGTACCGACGAACAACCAAAGGAATCTTCTTCTCATTCAGCTCCTTCAAAGCGATTTTGAGAGGATCTGTCTGTCCTTCCGTGTCAACCAACACTGGGGCATTCATACTATCAAACCCATTAGCTCCTAAATCCCATATCCAATCCAGTTCTATTCAACCTAGAGGAAACAGAAAAATGGAATTACCTGATCTGTAAAGCCCTTGTCCCCAACAACCTAGCCCTCTCGTACTTTGTCATATAAGGCGTAGTAGTCCTCTTATCATTCGGAATCTTCTTCTTATTCTCATCAACAACCCCACGTCCCTGGCCAGAAGCCATAGCAGCCACATCACCAGACGTGACAAAGTTATCAGGTCCTGTGCCGTGAGTTCGCATCCCATTCATCCCGTTGGAATCACCGACTTCCTCGTCTCCTTCTTCGGCATCGTGTTCTTCGCGATCGAACGGTTCGTTGTCCTCAAAGTGATCTTCGTCATAGTGGTCTTCCTCGTACCCTTCGTTGAACCTGAAGGGAAGATGGATTGGTATGTTAGCAAAGGTCTAGGTGGCCAAAGCTTAAAAGCGAGAAGCACTTACTCGGCCTCGCCGCCATCGCCACCATCGTAGTCAGACATTGCGAATATATGGGAGATGCGTGGATGCGCGCGAAAGGTAGGTTTGAGCCGTGATGTTGGAGGGATGGAGGGGTGACTCAAGAGCGTCGATGGAGTTGGTGAAGAGCAAGGAAGAAGGATTGAAGATGTGGAAATTTTTTGGGATGCGCGACAACTCGCTTCCCAAATGCTGCTTCAAATGTCTTGGCGTTTATCAAGCTTCCCACATCTACCACACAACACATTAACAGGGGTCTCAAGCTCCTCCACCACAACCACATGGCTAGAATTCGAACGTCGCATCGACCGGTTGTACATTCAAAGCTTTAGCAGACCAGCTAATATCGAGATATCCAATACATAATCCGGTTATTGTAGATGTTGAGAATGATAAAGTATCTAAGGAATAGTAATTCACATAACAGATCTTACACCTTTTACAGCCACTTCAACCCTCGAACCAATTATCGATATCGGCACACAACCATATAGATTAAAGCAATATAATCCAAGACTTGCACCACGCATCCATTGATTCAACCAATTAATCAATCACTCACTTCAAGTATATACCAAGGTCAATATACCTTCGAACCCCTTCACCGAATCGACAATAAACTCGTGGTCAAACAGTATCTACAGCTGTACCGTCAGCATCTTCAAAGAGTACAAAAGTACTTCCATGTACATGTTACACAGCACCAAAGTATCCTGCACAGTATGCCTAACTACTTACCCAAAGTCGAAGTATTGACACCCTTTTCAGCAAGGCCACGTACGAGACCGTGCATATCTATTGAATTTTCTTACGTTAAAAGACATACGTAGTAATGACCAAGTCAGCAGTTATCTAGCATTCCTTATCTTGTTTCCCCGCTTTGTAGATAACTCTCCCTCCTCCCCGAAAAATATTCTAATAAGAATTATAAGAAAACCACTCTAATAATATAAATTGGCTGTATTCTTAGACTAATACCGACCTGTAAATCTCGGATTGGGTCCAAAGTTGCTCGCTACGGATATCTCAGTACCTATACATATCTAACCCGGAGCTAAACAAACACGATGCTTTCAGTTTTCGGATCATTTAATATGAGTTCCTCAGAGAAGAATTCAGTGCAAAGGACCGGGCTTCCGGTACAACCCCAAATTGTATAACTCAATCCAAACCTATATAATTACTAAATCGTGGAAATAGAAACGATATATTCTAGTCACCGGAGAAACTGGTGTTGGTAAAAGCACATTTATTGCAAATTCCATGTCGTCAATGGGATCTATCAATGCTCCGGAGAAAGGCCACAGACTGGAATCAAGTAAGCCAAGTCCCTTTTGTACAATTGTAACTCCCAGACATGCGCATGGGTAGACGCAAGAGCTCTCCTTCATTGACTAAACAAAAAAACAATTTCCCAAAGAAACCAGCGAGACCCAAGAATTTACTCTTGACTTACCAGTCGATGGTTTCGAGGTTGTCCTCGTCGATACACCGGGGTTCAATGACACCAAGTTTGGTAACAGCCTAGCCTTCTCTCAAATTTCAACGTGGCTAGAGCAGTTCCATCGAGCTGGTAAACTCATTTCAGGAGTCATACACATGCACCGAATCACAGACAACAGAATGGCAGGATCAGCCGTTCACAGTATCAGCATCGTTGAAGCGATATGCGGCAAGAGGTTTGCCCCGAATGTTATGCTCCTTAGCAATATGTGGAACACCTCTCAAGAAAATATGCACCTCAAACGGGAGGAGGAATTGAAGTGCGGGGAGACGTTCTGGGCCCCTCTCATTCGGAACGGAGCTAAAACGGATCGATATCACTACTATGACCGTAGCTCTTTCGAATCCAATGTTCAGGCTAGAACGGCTGCCCGAGAAATCATTTCGAAGATGTTGAAAAACAAGCCCGAGATAACTCAGCTAGTGCACGAGGTTGTTGTCAAAAAGAAAAGAGTTGCAGGAACGAAGGCTAATATGGCTGTTGTGCGGTACCTTTTCGATTCCGGAGCGGTTGAAGACAGGAACGAAAAAGAAGCAGAGAGAAATGCGGAAAAGTATAAGGACAATGCAAGGCTAAGGGATATCTTTCTCGAAGAGGCGAGACAAGCAAGAGCAAATAAAGAGAAAATTCAAAGAGAATGGAATATGCTAAATACCTTGGTGGGTGGAGTAGGTTTTGTTCTTCTTGGGCTAGCCACGACGTATGCATACCCATTTGTGAATGGCATATTCCTAGATCTAACTTGCGAGGCAGCCATAGCCTTTGGCATGACAATTGACACACTTGCAAATATGGGCTAAATGAGAAACCTAGAGAGAGATATACGGCTAATGGAGAAGTGAGAAAATATGTGCCTTCAAATTTAGAAAGGTCGGGACGTTAGGCTTTGTGGCATCTCTTTGAAGTGTATTTTAGCTCAGAATAAATCTAAGTATACGACGTTGAAAATGGGAAATTTGAAAATCGATCACCCTAGAACACGATAGCATTTGCAATGGTTCATGATCAAGGGAGAAGCTGGACACCTCCTCGCGAGAGTCTCTACACCACGCTGCCATTTGCTTCTTTGTCTAGATTAACTTGATGAGTCATTAATTACCCAAGTAGGTGATTGTGCCTATATCGATATATATAGTAGCACTGGGCGGGTACTGGATAGCGCTAAAAAATACGTATCTGCAGCTACATCAATTTGATTATCATGATGACAATGATATCATTCTCCAAACTAAACTACACCCCAAGCACCTAGTCAAAACATAAACCTCATATGCACTATATACAGTATATCACAAAGAAGCACCCACCTTCTATAACATCAGTACACCCAATCTACCAACATCCAGGCACCTGTACCTACTATGATAATCATACAAAACCCTCCCCTTCTACTTCTCCTTCTTCTTCTCCCCATGCTTACACTCCCCACCATTCTCATGCGAATGCCCCGCTTCACTCCCACTCTCACTCTCCAAATCCTCCTCCCCCCTCTCTACAAACTCACTAACCTCCTCCTTCCCTTCCTCAATAAACTTAACCCTAACCTTCCTAACCCCTCTAACCCCTTCCCCAACCTGTTCCCTCAACATCCCCTCAATCCTCGCCATATCCTCCAACGTAACCGTCGCCTCCTCCAAAGCAACCGTAATATCCACCAAGAAATTCTGCCCACTCTTAATACCCCCTACTGACTTCACCTTCCCAGCAACACCAGGTTTAACACCAGCAAGTCTTTCCGCTTTTAACGTATTTTCCGCAACTTTTTTGATTTCGTAACACATTTCGTCATCGATACCCATATCTGCCAGTTCGAATAATGCGGCACGGGAATTCGACCAACCGGCTCGGATGACCATGAGGGAGACTAATAATCCGCCGACGGGGTCGAGCCAACTTGCTCCCTGGAGGATGTTGCTTAGGGAAATGGAGATTAAGGCGACCATTGCTGTTAATGAATCGATACGGTGGTGAACGGCGTTTGATGCTAGAACTGACGATTTTCGTTCTTTGGCGATTTTCATGGCTGTCAAAATATACACATTAGTTTCTCTATTTCACTCCCGCCTCCCTCTTTCTCAAAGGAGAGGCAATGTAGTATGTATGTGTGGAAAAAAAAAAGACTTACTAGCACGATACAGCCATTCTTTGACCAAAATACTCCCACCAGCCAACCAAGCCGCATTAATATTCGGTCCAATCTCCACATGCGAATGCCCATGTCCAGCTCCATGATCATGCCCATGGTCGTGTCCGTGATGATGATGTCCATGATCATGCCCATGATCAATCCCAATATGACTATGACTATGTCCCAACCCTTGCAAAAAGGTCGGTAAACTCTCCCCCGTAAGCTGCGTATACAGCACCTCCACGCTATTCAACCCCATAGCCAACCCTCCGAACAGTAATAAACTACTAACACCCAAACTCCCCAAACTCTCGACTTTTCCGAACCCATTGGGGAACATTTTGGTGGGCGGTTTGAGCGCCCAGCTGACTGTTGCTAATGTCATGAAGTCTGAGACGAGATCTGTGAGGGCGTGCATTGCGTCTGCTATCAGTGCTTGGGAGTGGAAGTACCAGCCTCCGAATCCCTTGGAGATGGCCATTATGACGTTGACGAATAGACCTATTTACAACCGATAAAAATATTTATATTAGAATGTATAGTTCTATAGCTTAAGTTTTATCCAAGGGACTTGTTTTATGGGCGAAAAAATGTATTTACCTATCCTCGTAATCCGAACGCCGGCATCAGCCTTGTTTTTGCTGGTAAGGAACACATTATCGGCAGGACTATGATGATGGTGATGACTAAATAACCCATGCGAATGTCCATGTGAATGCGAATGCCCGTGTCCATGGTCGTGGTCGTGGTCGTGATCGTGGTCGTGATCATGATCATGATCATGCGAATGCTTCGATGCCATCTTAGCTATCCCAATCCGTACCGGATGTCCCACCGTTGTCGGTCTCTTCAATTTCGTAGACAACAATTGCTTGCCGGTTCGGCTTCTAAACGCTGTAGAAGAAGAAGAAGAAGAAGCAAGGGAAGAAGCAGAAGAGCTTAAAGTAGTGTAACTCGTAAATGAAACGTGGCGCCAATGTTGGACAAAGATCTCCGTGCGTCGATGGTGCTGTTTGGAGCTATAATGGTAACAATTAAGAGGTCTGACAGCGCCCACCCGTCTCAGCGCTCGATAGATACAAGAGGACGAAGATGCCGACGCTGCGAGATGCGAGAGGGAATAAAAGGAAGAGAGAGAAGAAGAGGAGGAGGTCGGAGAGATGGAGAGACGACAGGCATTTTGAGCGTACAGCATAAATGGTAATTAAGCCAATGGATAGTGGCGTTTTTTCCTTTTATCTGCAAGGGAAAGCAAAAAAGTAACCTATAGTTACTCTGTTAGGGAGGGGGGTAGCGGCACGCACGCACACGCACACACACGCGACCAATTGCAAGGACACTGTAGCTTCAACTTCTTATTCTTTTTTTCTTGGTAGTGGTGGTGCTGATGTACGTGTAGGGGAATGGTTTAATTCTGGGGTATGTAAGAGAAAATAACCCGGCGGGGCGGCGGGCAGTGCTGTTTGCGAGCTTGAATCAGCTGAATCCTGGTTGGCTGTTGGTGCGACCGGAATCTGGAAAGGACATCTGCAGGCGATTCAGAAAGATGCGGCTGGGCAGCTGGGGGGGTTCTGAAGCCACCTAAGCTGTTACGTGCAGTACACCACTATTATAGCTTATCGATCTTGAGGTTTACTGGTTTTATAGTGGAAAGTATCAATTGAGGACGGGGAGAAAGTTCAATTTGTCTGGGCTGATCGAGTTAATGAACGCCAGCCGACGGGAATAAACTCCGAATCGGCTCACTACTTCGAGAACACCAACCAGGATATCGACATATCAACGTATCACTAATCACAACTATTACAGATTCGTCGCAGGGCAAGATCGTATACTCTTGTATTTGGATTGAATTTGCTTTGCTGCTATTTACCAGACACTATCGTCCTAAAAGTCCTTCATTGTCACTTTTTTGAGATAGAACTACATCCGGCGAACGCGCACGTACATATTCACACCTATCTGAAGAACAAACTAGAAAGAGGAAAAGAGGGAAAGGGAAGAAAACTCGTCAACCATCGTGAGAAAGATAATCACTTTTTTTTTTGAGACTGTTTCACCGAGCAATCGCCTCCGGTTTCACAACAGTTGTAGCATTTGCGGTAGATGGTGGCGGAAGCGGTGGGAATGCCACACCGCTCTTCAGCTTCTCTGCAAATGACTTATTCAATTCTGCTGGGACCCCAAAGTACCCAACCGCCTGGTTATCGAACGGACCACCAGCTCCGGAGGTAGCAATATGATTGATATATCCATCGACCTCATGACTGTCACTGCCAGAAGAGGATCCGGAACTAGCACCTTCAGGAATACTCTTCTTGCGAGCGTGCGCGTTATTATCATAGTCAGATAGATTGGTCAAAGCACTATCCATAGAAAATATAGATGTTGATCGACCACGGTCGTACCCCGGGTAAGCGCTAGGAAACGGGCTCACAATTGGATTCTGCGGTTGGAGGTTGATACTGCTAAATGAGCCTGAGGTGTGCGGCGAAGGGTTGCCATAGAAGGCACCATATGGATTATTGTTATAGGCGGGTTGACCAAACCCGGCTCGTGGCGACATATTTTGAATCAACTGCGCCGCAAGCGGGAATGCCATATCCGTAGCCGTAAGACCTCCCATCGCCATTTGATGAACATGTGCTGCTTGCTGCTGCTGCTGCTGCTGCTGCTGCTGCTGCATCAAGAATGAGGCCTCCAAAGATCGGATGCTGGAATAGTTTTCGCGAGATTTATGTCGGAAACTAATCATGCCTTGCTCCATCTTCGCAATCGAAGCAGAAAACTCCAATTCAATCCCCTGCCTTCTCTGTTTCAATTGCTCCCGTTGCTTAGCCTTCTCTCGCTCCTCTGCGGTGGCCGCCGTCTCCGTCTTTGCTCGCTCCAAGTCAGCTCTCAAATTCGAAACCCTTCGAGCAGCCTTTTCCCTCTTGGCAGTAGCGGAATTGATCTCGTTCTTAATCTCCAAAAGTCGACGGTCGGCTTGCTCACGCATGGCAATCGCATCCTTCTCAGAAACAGTCAAGTTCTCCTTCTCACCCTTCCACGATTTCTTCTTATCTTCCCATTCCGTTTCTTGGTCCTCCGGTAGTTCCTTTAAGGTCTGTAACTCCATTTGGATGTTTTCCGTCTCTTCCTCCGCACGGCGGACAGAGTCTCTCAAAGATAGTGCTCTACGGCGTGCACGCTCGTCTCCCTTGTCTCCAGACCCTAGTCGAGACTTTAGAGAGTCGATCTCACTACGCAGGCCACTTATTCGTCGAGAATTCCCTTTCTTCGAAACTTTGATCCGGCGTTTTTGCTCCTCCAGATTGCTGCGCGAGGCGTTTAAGCTGTTCTGAAGAGTAGTAATGGGGGATAAGGGGCGTTGGGGTTTGGCGGGGACTGGTTCTTTCGGTGCATCCACATTTGCGGCTACAATTGTCTTGTTAGAAAGGGGAAAAAAAGGAAAATGCTACTGAGCAAAAGATTGATTGATATCTCTCACCTTGCTTGGACGTCGTGCCGACGCTGGCCGAGTATATAATTTCCCCAGTAGTTCTCCTAATGAAAGAAATGTCATACACGGTCGTCGGCGTGAGTCCCGAAATCTCTGCAGTCCACTCTTCTTCATCCCTTGTCCGACTAATCGTACTATCCTCCCCTCTTCCCCCACTCGCCATTGAAATCGTCGTCTGGGGCCATTTAATCCCATTCAACTCAACTATAAACGGAAACCTCTTATCAACTCCTTCTTCGTCATTCGGCGTGTTCGGCGGATGATAATTCGACCCAAATTCAATCTCATTCGATCCTATCCTCGTAATCCAAACTTTCGGCTCGTCGGACCCATAAGTCGTATCCGATAATGTAATTTTAGAATCACTAGCATTCGCAGCATGTAACTTTTCAACTTCTTTTAAATGAACAATAGAACTAGCAAGCGCCGCCCACAATGGTTGTTGTCCTCGAACCCAAATTCCTAGCCTCCCCTTCTTTTTGACGGTAGTCGTAGTCGTGGTGGCGGTTGAGGTAGTCGGACATCCAACTTCGGGGTCTTTCGGCGCATTTGAAACAACACTAGATGCAGAACCACCTTTAGCCGTCGATGTTGCAGATGATGACGATGATGATGAGGGATTTGAAGACGCAGAAATCGACGAAGAAGATGTTGTAGGGTGAGAAGCAGCATACTCGGCAGGGTCCCTCAATGTCAGCCATCTCCTAGTAGCTTTCATAATACCCTGGGCGACGATGTGAACAGCCAGTGCACTTCTTATACTACCGGGGGACGCTGATGAAGGCGTAAGCGTATTCAATTCATTTCCTGCATTTTGAGAAACCGGTATTCCAAGATGGTGTGCAATTTGAGAGCGTTCCCGTAGTATCTGTGATATACCGACAACCGATGCACAGACGGCAGCATTCCTCATCGCCCCGCTATTACCAGAACCCGTAGAACCAGCACCTAGGGACAAAGCAACGACAGCCTGGGCAAGATCGACAAGAAATATCCTAGCACTGGGCCATAACAGCATCGAGACCAAAGCCATTATTATATCGGATATGATGATCGTCAGCACGGATGGTCCACCCTGCTGGCCCTGGAAAATATAGTTTGAAATGGCGCCATAGTTGATCGTCGGTGAAGAAGGGTTCGGACCGAGAAGGGTGAGATTGTGGGGGACGAATGATAGGGAGGCAAATAGGAGGTGAACCAAGGTGAGAAGTGTAGTCGGCAGTTGTAGCAGGATGATGAGAAGCATGAGGGAATCTATCAACGGCCAGGAGGGAAGAATTGTCCTGTAATGGCTGTCTGCGCCGGAAACACTGGTACCGGACTGGTCGAGATCGATCATCCGCTTCTGAGGAGTCACAGTCCCATTCATTCCGCCATCTCCATCCAAATGCAAACGAGCCATCGAAGAAGTAGTCGAAGGGTCCCCGGAAGAGATATTCGCCGCCATCCCTACGCCATTAACACCGAGCTGTCCCTTCGAAGCGGAAGCAGAAGATGAGGATTCCTGAAAAGTCGATTGCTTCCCGTTGTTATTACCGTTATTGTTGTTGTTGACACTATCCTCCAATGACGCAGAACCATGAGATTGACCGGTAGACGAGGCAGAACCGTTGGATTGGTTGCCGGGAACGTTTGTATTAGCATTGCTGGAGGCTCTAGAACGGGCTTGGTGACGTTTCGGAGGAGCTAGACCGCCATTTTGAGAGTTTCCTGAAGAATTCTGGTTATTGCTCGACCGCTTCGTGTTTGAAGACGTCGAGCCGCGAGGCATAGCCAACAGTAGGCTTTAAAACAAAACAACAATATATTGTGGAGGAGGGAGGGGTGCGTGTGATATGCCTCCGTCCTCGTGGTGGGTGGTTGGATGGTTAATTATTTTTTCGCAGGCGTGGGATTTCCGTGGCGGTGGTGTGGGTGGTGTGAGAAGGGTGTGTGTGGTGAAGAAACCTCGTGGCTAAACGGGTGGTGGTTAATATTCGTTCGTTCGATCTCTGTATGAAATTCCTCCCTCCAATGCCTAACAGTCAAAGCAAGCAGTCCTGTGAATCCCACCACCATGTAGCAGATTGTGCATAAATCGGGGCACTTGGATGTTCGGACGGCGAATTGGAATGGAAAGGGAAAGGAAAGGACAGTGGGGGGGTGGGAAGATGTTTAAGACCAGCAGCAGAAGAAGAAGAAGAAGAAGAACAAGCAAGAAGCATGTAGAAGAAGAAGTAATAGGAAGTAGTATGTATTGTATGTATGTCAGAAGTGAGATGAGTTTTAAGTAAAAAAACGAAGGAAAAAAATAACCCAGCAAGTTGCAAGCAAGTTAAGTTAGACTTCCTCTCTCCGAAGGAAAGAAAAGAAAAAAAGAAAAGAAGGAAAGAAGGAAAGAAGGAAAGAAAAATGAGAAGAGTGTTTGTAGCAGCAAGCAGCCTTATTCGGTCAGGTGCAAAAAACGACAAGAACGACAAGCATGGACAAGCCTCCGTACGATACAATAATCCGATGGTTGAGCCGGGATGACGGTAAGGTAAACCAAGAATTGACGACTTCAGACTTGGACTTTGTGTATACTTCTTTGTTCTTGTTGATGTTTAAAAAAGAACGGTGTGGAGAAGGAGAAGAAGAAGAAGAAGAAGAAAAGGAAGAGGAAGAAGAAGAAAGGGGAATACAACGGCGGCGATATCTCGTTCGGTTCTCCCGTCAGCTTCGGGTTCGTCAACATCCGCACGCCGTGATTAACAGCGGGCCCGACTTTTTGATGGTGATCCAATTCAATTCGATTCGATCAATCAATCAATCAATCCATCAATCGGATTGGATTCGAGTCAATGGATATTAGTTTAGCTGCTGGGCTGGGCTGGCTGGGCTGGGCTGGGCTGAAGAAGCTCCCGTGCATGAACAAGCAGAGGTAAATGCGAATGGGTAAATGCGGATGTGCAGCTGTTTCAAGGGATGCCATGTTCCCGTTCGACATTAATATTACTTACATGTATAATAATAATAATAATAATAAATAAATAATGATTTCTAACAGACGATATCGAGTAGTCTCAGAGTGTAAATACTTCCTCGAGTACTTATATAAGTACTTGTAGCTTATATAAGTACTGTTGTAGACTGGAGAATAAATGCAGAAGAGTGGATTCTCCTCCCTTTCGAAACCGGGGCGGACCAGACAAGGTATTAATATCTTATTCTCACCACACTTCACTCCACTCCACTTTAGTTTAATTTCACTTTTGATTCTTTTATATATATACAGATCCTTACGAAGTAAAGTAAAAATAAAGAAGGGGATCGGATGGATGATGAGGTGGTGAGGAATGCACTATCACCATCTAGGCAGAATGTCCACGCAAGAGGGTTCGAGATATCTCCCCATGAATGTCCGATGCATCATCATCACCATCATCCTCTATAAATACTTATAACTTCTATCCCTTACTCGATCATTTACTATACTACCATACTACGAAACCGTTACCATACGAGTATAGTATAGTATAGTTGTCTCCTGCATTTATAACCCAAACTAACCCAGCAAAGTAAGGAACTCGCATGAACCAAAACATGATAGTCTAACTATCCCCAAAACAAAATATACTACGACTCTGTCACATCACGCTTGCCACCCTCGGAGATATAATATAATAAAATAGACTTCATTCATTCATTCGCATTCACACACACACACACACACGCCGGCACCTGAACCGGGGAGAGTTCGAAAAAGAACACCAAGACTGCCTAAGTAATTAGCCGGAGCGGACAACCGCACGCACCATCTTGCAAGCTTGCAAGGCGTGGGGCCATGCAAATGTTACTACCTCCCATGCATGACCATGACTTAAAAACAGGGCAAATCCTTTCTTTTCGACCATGAGAAAATAAAATAAAATAAGAATCCCACGATGATAAACGATATACGCACGTGCACGTGCAAACTCTCAGAAGTACTTTCTGATCAAGTGGAGAGCGAGAAAGAGGCGAGCCATGCAATGCAAGTGGACCTTGCAAGTCTTTGCTTGTAATGCATAAATTTAAAGAATTTCCGGCCGGAATTTCCCCATGTAAAAAGAGAAATTCATCGCCATCTTTTCATGGAGCGTTATTTTATTATTTTATCTATCATATCACTCTTGGTTTAGTAAGCTTAAACAGTTTTTTTGTTTCTTAAAGGAACCTGAGAGCTCCCTGCGAAAAACAAAATGAGATTTCACGATACTTACTAAGTAAGTATCTAAACCTCAAACAGATTGATGAAAATATCGCCATGAATCCGACTCGGAAAACTTGGGCAGCTGCCAAACAATACGCATTGTGTCACCATAGTTCAAATATTAAATCCCAGTCGCAATTTCCCTCTGCTTATATCATAGTTAATCAATCAAGCTTTTCTTTTCTTTTCTTTTCTTTTCTCTTCAAGAGCAAAAAAGATGAAAAAAAAAAGACTGTCACCTTCCTCCCGAGGTTCAACCCCCCCATCCATGCATCCTCAAGTGGGGAACCGAAAAGAAAGAAAGAAAAAAAAAAAACTCGACAATTTTTCGCGAAGAATAATTGAAGCAATGCGCAGTCGAAGGGAAAGAGGGACCCTTGTAAGTATTGACTGACTTACAGTTTTTTCCTCCGTCGGTGTGGGATGCAGCTTCCGCATCAAGCGGGAAACCCCAAAACCGATAAACCCCGCTTGCATATCCTCTCTTGGCAAGGCTCCTTTCCTCTCCTCTGCTTCTTTCTATCATGTGCTTTTTTTTCTTTCTTTCGATCTCTGTTTTTTGCTCTCGGAGTTTTTAAATGGAAGATGCCGTTGATTGTCTTTCATACGTCTGTACATGTACGGACGCAGATTCCTGATAGCCGGTCGATGACATCTAGAAATATAATAATCACAAGCATCTCAGCAGACAGCGCTTATTAATATAATATATCCTTAAATTATGATTATTCTATCAATAATCGCGCTAACTACTCACTCATACATGTACACATACATACCTCATAAGGGTGTGTAGACGGGGAAAGAATAGGATGGTAAATTAAATTAATCAATTACCGTGAGCTCTTTGATCGTCGATTGCCATGCACCAGCCAGCATGATACTAGGAAATGCCCTGTATACCTCTACCTATCCAGTAGAACAAATTCATGCACCAATCCAATTCAAACTCTCTCTTGAAAAAGGAACTCTGTGACCGTGTGCTTTGGATCATGCCACTGTGTATGCCCTCCATACATACTTACATAAGTATCTGTACCCCGCACCGACGATAATCCAATCCAGTTCGATCAAGAAAAATAAGGAACTCAAGAGCGCTAAGCCTGTTTTCATAGCATAACTAGGTAATCATCTAAGGTTATATCCGAATTCAAACACTTCAAACCACCCTCGATAGTATATACCAAAGTATATAATACTAAAATATATGTATTACAAACCCTCGTGACAAAAAAAAACAGACACAAGAAAAAGAAGCACGCCGGGCGCCACCTAAAAAAGCTTGATCCATGGTTCCCGATAGGCGAATACGAAAGGGAAAGGGAAAGGGAAGGGGAAAAAAAAAGCCTCTTCCATCATTCCCGAGTGTTTCCCCCCCCAAGCTGCAGCATAAACGAGGAGGGGGGAAAAAACTGGTTGGCTTGCACTTGCTGACCTAACCTTTTGCTGCCCAGAATTTTGTCAGCATAGTAGCCCTGGTAGGTACAGTACTTGAAGTGAGTACCTGCCGGTATTGTAGCTTATGATACAGGTGGATAATCCGGGCGTTGAGTTTTTGCTTGTGAATTCCAACCGGGGTAGCTTGAATGCTCGTGATCCCACAGAAAATATATTCGGAAAATAAAATAAGAATAAAATAGAGATTTGATCACTAAATGATAGATCTATTAGATCTATAGAGCTAGCTAGCTAAATAATTGTAAAGTTACATACATGCCATCGATATCGATCTTCATGTCAAAAAAAGTACAAGCTTTCGTACAACCGTCTTCCCGCTCACCGAGACAAAAAAAAGCTACCACATTTGATTAAGTAATTTGTGTTCCACAAACCTTCACGTCCGCTTATATAAAATGTTATTTGAAATGCAAACCCTTCCAAAACCACACCTTTCAAATGATCGAGCAGTATGCAAAAATAAGAATAAAAATACGTAGAAAAAGTCCATATGTTTCGCCACTGAGAGAGAAAAAAAAGGCCAAGCAGGAAAAGAGAAAAAAGGATATGTTAATTAGTAAAGAAAAAGGCGTCTCATCGTAGCGAGCGAATTGTCAGACTCCGACAGAAATAAAGCATGGAAAGAAACGAGCGAATGGGTAAACTCCAAAACTTGCAAAACCGAGACTATTAAGAACCCCTCCAATATTATGCAATTGCTCCAAGAAAAGAAATCTAGATATTGTTGCTGCCCCTGATCCGTTGAGTTACTTTCCATCCCCGTCAAGAATGATTCCACCAGTGTTCCTATGCCTCAAACCCGGATCGATGGCTGCAGGAGGTAGTTGTTCTAACGTCGACAACCCAGCATCCCTAGAGTCCTGTATCTCGTCTCGAGTTGATGCATTGCTCGTTGGGTTCTGGAATTCTGGGGAGATCGGTACACCTAATGGGTTGCTCGAAAGCTCAGACCCCGGGGTAGGCGGCATGGATGATCTTTGCGACCTCTCAATGTCTCGCTTGAGTGAGAGAAGTTCCTTCTCAAAACGCTTGCCAAAGACGTCGACTTGAAAACTGTTAGCTTGGAACACCACCGGGGGTTGATTTCAATGGGAAAAAGACTTACTGTAGTAGGTAGCACCGTTATAAACACTCCACAGTCCTAACGCCGACACAAAAACACAACTCAAGGTTCTAGAATGGAACCACAACGGCACAGGCAGCATAGTCAGAACGGCATAGGAGTATTGGATGGACATGAACGCAAACTCCTGCAATGATTCCGGCAAACTTAGCACGAATTTCCCGATCCAGGTCTTGGAGTAACTTCTTCGCAACCAAGTGAATGAAGTTGGCCTTCCGGCAGCAATCTTGTCCGCTTTGCGTACTGTTATGAAGAAATGGTAGCTAGCCTGCCAGAAGATGTACGGTATCGACGCCCACCCGATCATCTCGAAGAGACCGAAACCGCCCTCCTGTCTCATTCGTTCGAGTGCAAACATCTTGCCTTGCATCGCATTTTGGTGGACGATTGAGTGCAAGACGACGGGAGGCATGAGATGGATGAAGAGGGAGGTGATTTTGTCGAGGGAATGGAAAACCATCGAATTCCTCCACATGGCAATTGCCCAAGCGTTGTTGCCGTAGGAAAGACAGTAGGCACTGATGAAGAGACGGCGGGAATTTGGGAAGACCCATATCGACAAGAGAAGGAGGACGTTGACAAAGTAGCAGAGATCGGCGAGGAAGTAGTGGTAGCCACGCTTATGGTAGGTATAGAAGCGGATAGGCATGAAATACGCCATTTGGAGAGTGTACCACCAATGCATCATACCTCTATTAACAACGAACAAAAAGTATTGTCAGTTATAACCATTTCTTCCATAGTAGCAGACTAAAAGGGATTCGGACGTACGGATAACCACCAAGGAGGTAGCCGCTGATGAAGATATTACAGACACCAACGACAAACGATATCTTTTCTCTGATGGTGACAACTTTTTGATCTTGCCATCGCTTCATCAACTGGTCGATGTTTTTGCCATAACGAGATCTCAACTTGTCAAGCTCGACATCTTTCTTCTTAAGGACTCTCTCCTTTTGTTTGTCGTAGGTTTCCTTAACATATTTCCCCTGTTTTTTAAACGTCTCGCTCTGGGTATGAAGAGTTCTATTCCACTTTTCGATTCTCTGGTTTAGGGCGAGAGTTGGGAGGGCGAGGTTGTCGAGGAGGTCGAAGAGGGTCAGGCGATCAACCTGGGCGGCACCCTCCCAATCTTCATCTCTAGAGGAACCGACGAAGGAACCGGAGCGAGAGTGGGTGGGAGATGTAAAGGAGTCTTTCTCGGAGATGGGAGAAGACGGTGGAGGTGAGCTAGAGGCGCTTTCGACAGCCATGTCGTTGGAGTTGGACTCCGTAGAGGCCATCTCTCTGTGTGTGCTCTGTGTGTGAAATCACAACTATGACGTAGTCGGCCGTATAACAGTCTGTTTTATTGATGTGCAGGCAGATCAGCCTTCTCCAGGGCCGGAGTGGAGAAGCGAGAGGGAGAGGAGAGGCCGCTATAAGCAAACTGGTAGCTAGGAAATAGTCGTGGGGTGTATGAAGTCTGAGGTTATAATCAGGTATCAGTGAGTGGGGGGGAGAAGGAAGGAAGGGATGGATCTATATAATATAAGTGGAAATGGGGATGGGCAGACGGAAGTTGACACGGTTTGAGGTGAGACCTTGTTGGGGATGGAAGTCAGCCAACCAGCCAACCAGCTGGCAGCCGAACAGTACATGAAATGCTCACTTTTATATCGGGATTCTAGATGGAGAGTAGCATCATGTACGATAATGCAGCATGCAGCAGACTACCTACCTAGGACCTAGGTAACCAAGGGCTGAGTTAGTGGGCCACGTCGCGCGAGGTTTTTGATTTCTCCGAGCCACCTTCTTTCGACGACACCACTTATGTTTCTCGAGATGATTCCCATGAGTAGTACCGGATCCTCTTTCACGTTATTTAAGTATATTTATATCCTTCATGATTCAGTACATACGATGAGTGAGATTTGGTGTGCATATGACTGTGTAACAGAGTCGGGGCCGCGGGGCAGATGACTTGACCAATTCAACTCACGTTTGGCGTCTGGTCGGGCTGATTGGCTGTAGACACTACTATATACAAGTCCCGTGACGTCTTCCCCTCGTTCCCCTCTTCTCAGAGGTAGAAATGCATACTATGTATAGAGTAGTAGATATAGATACGGGGTCTGTTAGTCAGCTAGTCGGTCACCTCAAATGCCTAGGTTATGTAGCTTAAGCTTGAGCTTGAGCTTGATAGCTATGTCTAAGAGCCCGATCCAGATGCAGGGGCCTGACCCTTGCAGCCTGTTTCTTGTCGCATTCCATTTTATTTGTTGATCCAAACAAACGTCGGGTTAACTCAACTCAACCGACCTCGCACCCCATCACCGCTTCGTGGTTGTACTACGCAACTTCTAGTGGACACCGCGACACCAGCTTCACGATAACGCACTCTGGTTACTACGACTACCGTACAGGAACAGCGTCGCAACACATGGGGGCCGAAACCAATTAATATTCTTTCCAATTCTTCTCAACCTTCCAGACCATCATCATTCCGTGTATATCCATCTTATTTAGTATCTCACGGTCACCACTACGTACCCTTGGCCCTGCCGCGAACTTCCTGCATCTATCCGTCAAGCATCTTCACCCGGTATCCCGCATCTCCCGCGTTTCAGATCTTTGAAAGAAAACATCAGTGGATATGTCATCGACCGGAGGTCCTGCTGCCTCTGCAGCTCCCGGTGCCAATGGTCCTCCTCAGACTCCATCCACCTCAGCACACTCCACCTCTCAATCTTCAGCCTCTCAAGCGCCTCCTACACAAAATCTAAACAACATTGTAATCGAATATCTTAATAAGAAAGGTTACAATAAAACCGAGGCTATGCTGCGACAGGAGATGGCTGCCGTCGATGGTTCTATCGCTCCTATCCGTCCTAAGGAGGAAAAGTTTCCCCTCTACGATAAGACTTACTGTATGTTCTGACCTATCTATGAAAGACGCGACTTAGCTGACATATTGTGCTTCTAGCTCGTCTCCTCGCCTGGATCGATAACTCTCTCGATCTTTACAAGGTACGTAACTCTCTAGGGCCAGTCAACTACCCCACCACTGTTGGTTGGTTGGTTGGTTGGTTCATGAATTGATGAATTGGATTGTTGGTAACGATACGTATATATTTTTCCTATCACAGACTGAGCTAAAGCGCATTGCATTCCCCGTCTTCGTTCACTTGTACCTTGGTCTGACTCGCGGGAACCTCATCGCTGAGGCCAAGAGTTTTTTTGACGCCTACAGCGAAGAGTTTCGCACCAAGCATGGCCATGATATCACACAGCTTGCGGCCATCTGCGCTCCCGTTCACGTCGAGGAGAACCACACAGCTAGGGTGTACACCGAAAACAAATACCATGTAACCCTGACCACTGTCACCCACGGCTTGCTCATGGGCTATCTGACCGACCAAGCCAGCGCTGGTGCTGGGGATGTTATCATTAACATCCTCAATACTAACTGTCAGCTTTACAAGGTCGACAAACAGCCTTTCCTTGGGCTTGTTGGCGAAGATGATATCCTCGGCGACAACGAGGGCATTTTGGGACACGTCAGCAAGGACGGCCCTTCTGCTCCCCAGAAGGACCTTCCAGCCATCAAACTTGGCTTGATGCCTATGGATAAAGATCTCGCCGAAGACGTCGAATTCGAGCTCGCTGCTGAAGATGCCAAAGAGAGGGAGCGTCGGGAAGAGATGGGGGGTATGGGGGGCCCAAGCTTGCTCGAGACTTTTCAGCAACACATCAAACGGGAGGAAAGCGAGGATACTCCCATGCGGGAGGATATCCCTCTTCCTGCGTACAAGCAGACAGATATTGACGCCGAAATCAAGGCAGTCAAGGATTACCGAGATAAATTTTGTCTCTCCACCATCTCCGGACACGCCAAAACCCAACAAGGTGGCGAGGGCCCTCCCTTAGTTGGAGCCCTCCCCAGTGTCCTCACCTACACTTTCCACAACACGAACGATGGTATCCATCGTATTGCCTTTTCGGAAGACACCACTCTTTGTGCGACCTCCCATGCAGAGTCCTATGTCAAGCTCTGGTCCCTCAAAGGGGAAAAGTTGTGGTCATCGAACCCATCTGAAAACCAAAACGTTACAACTACGAGACGATATGTTGGCCATTCCGGCCCCGTCTATGGAATGTCATTTTCCCGTGATGCTAAACTACTCCTTTCTTCGTCCGCTGACAAGACTATTCGTTTGTGGAGCCTGGTTACCCACACAGCTTTGGTGGCATACAAAGGCCACGCGAACCCTGTCTGGGATGTCAAATTCGGTCCCTTCGACCACTACTTCGCGTCCGCTTCTTGGGACCGTACTGGTCGAATCTGGGCGACTGAACATATCGCCCCGCTTCGTCTTCTAGTCGGCCATCTCGATAGCGTTACCAAGGTTGCCTGGCATCCTAACAGCGCCTATGTTGTCACCGGCTCCGCTGACAAGACTTTGAGAATGTGGGATATGCAACAGGGTAGCTCCGTCAGGTTATTCAATGGCCACACCGCCCCAATCCGTTGTCAACAGGTTTCCCCCAACGGGAAGTACTTGGCCTCGGGTGCTGATGATGGCACCATTAGTATCTGGGATATTGGTATGGGTAAGAGGATCAAGACTATGCGAGGGCATGCCAAACTTCCCATCTGGTGTCTTTCTTGGGCTGTTGAGGGTCAAGTTTTGGTCAGCGGAGCGGCTGACAACACGATCCGTGTCTGGTCGGTTGGTGAGGACAAAGGTAACAATGCCTCAAATGCTAATGGAACCGTCGGGGCTGAGATGGTTATCAATGGCATTGGTGGGATCCCTGGTGACCCAACCGGCAAAGTTGACGTCGGGACCGGTGCAGCTGGAATGGGGGTTCATGGTGCTAAGGGACGAAAAGATAAGAAGGAAGTTGTCGCCACGTAAGTTATCCCTTTTTGAATCGTTGATGAATGGATCTAATAACTGATTATCCGTGCACCATTTTTTAGAAATGATCATCTTGCCGTCTACCACACCAAGAGGACCCCAATATACACTGTCATGTTTACCAAGAAGAACCTGGTTCTAGCCGGCGGGGCCTACCTCCCTTGATATAATTGGACCTTTTGTTTGAGTATCGATGAACCTGCCCCTTTGTTCGAAACGCTGCTATCTCATGAAGCTTAGAGGCCTCCGAAGTGTTCGACCGCCTACTGAGCGATGTGATATTCGTTCTTCTGTCTATTTTTGATTGGAGCCTGCATTTTTGGGCGTTCTTGTACCTTCCCCTGTTTGAATTACCGTTGAAAAAGCATAATTGTTTTTATATTACACTAATGAATAATGAATCGAGGATTTTCGATCATATCTTCCTTCCCGTCCCCTCCGCTAGTTTGTACTCATCGTTGCGTAGTGTGAAATCGCGCTTAGAGCCGAGCCGCATCCTTTTTTGGGACCCAAAAATAAAAATGCAACAAATCCTTTCAATCTTTTTAGATACATCTGCAGCAAGGCTACATTTGATTCTGAACAAGTACAATGCCGAAACGACCACATCCACCGCCTACCAGGCGGAAAAAGACGCCGAAGGTATATCCTCCTCATATCAATTGATCCAGCTGAAGCTTTTAGGGATGCTAATATTTTTATAATTCACCCTTCCTAGGCGCCCGAAACCGCAGACGAGTACCTTGCAGGTACGTATTGCGAGTATACAAACCTAGGAATACAATTGGATCACTGCTAACACGAAAAACCCACACATTATAGTCGCCGTTGAGCTTGAAGAAAGTGGTGAAAGGTGGAGGAGCGGCGATGTTGCTAAGGTATTTCCTTCTATATTTTTCTCTCCTTTTTTTTTTAAAATATAGTTACCTATTTTTGATGGACAAGCAGTTTTTAACTTTTGTATAGGCTGGCCGGTTCTTCGTCCAAGCTATCACTGCGTACGAAAGTACCCTGGTCCGATATCCAAATAACTTTGATGCCCGCTATAACCGGTTAGTCGTCACCATTTTCCCTTTTGCAAAATAAAAACAAAAATAAAAATAAAAATAATAAAGCGATTCCCGAAAAGAAAAAATGTATGTAACTCTATTCGAGTGATACACAGCTGACATACGAATAATACAATAGTGCCCGTTTATTATACACTCTGACTCAATTACCTCTCTCCCCAACCTTCTTCCCCACAACTTCGACACCAGAAGCTCGTCTCCTCGCCGCAGCGGAGGCACACCACGAATGTAACGATTTAGAGCAGAATAGTTCTGATATTCTATTCAATTATGGACAGACGCTTAGCTCTCTTGGAGAATTCTATGCTAATAAACCGGAGGAAGGAGATGGTCCTTTAGAAGGAGGGGAGGTGGTAGGAGGGGAGGAAACACTTGCGAAAGAAATCGAAAGGTTATTATCATCTAAACAAGCGTTTGAAAACTCATGGAGCGTTTTACAGCAGTGTCTTGTTGTTCAAGAGGCGGATTATAAATCTACTTTGGAACAATCACAGTCGTTTGGTGGTATTCAAGATGGAGGAGATGTTATGAACCGCGACGAGGAAGACGACAATGACGATGATGAAAACGGCGGAGTAAAACTTCCATCAGTTGAAGAACGAAGAAACTCAACCGCAAGTTCTCAATCGTCGAATAGCGGTGGTGGTAGTGGTGGGAATAACACCACCCAATGGGCCTCAATCCTCGAACCCACCACCAAACTCTCGATCCTAGATACAGCACTAACAATGCTAGAAGTCCAAACCTCCATCCTAACCCTTTCAACTCCCGCAACAGCAACCAAAATATTCTCAAAAGAGTATTTAGAACAAATAACCATCCACGCGAACACAATTCTCGAAAACTACATCCTCCCCATCGCGGCGGGGTTACACGAAAAAGAAGGAGATAACGACGACGACGAGTATTCGAGATTAGGACTAGAACCCAACGAAATCTCAGAAAAGGAAATGGAAGCTACACTTTCCAGAACGAATTTCCTAACAGCATTGGCAGAAACAAAATACTATCTGGGATTAAGTACACTAGAAACCTGGGAAGATGAGGTTAAATCCGCCTTTGACCCATATACACTCTACCCCCCACCTCCCCCATCAACAACCTCACTATCCCCACAACCACTAGAAGAATACAAAGGAATAATAGACCTCACAACCTCCTGGATGGCCCTCTGCGACCGTTCAACAGCCTACACCACCCTCTCCACCACCATCCTCCCCACAAACCCTTCAAAATCCTGGAAACTCTTATCAACAATATCCCCCCCTTCCCTCTCCTCAGCTACAAAACTTGCCCCGGAGAAGGAAAAACCGGGTATATACCTCGCCCGTGGAAATCTAGAATTATTGAGGAGTAAAATCCCCATAGAAGCCGCTATGAAGGGGAAAGAAGTGTTATTGAAGAATGCGGGGGTGTATTATAGAGGTGTTGTGGCTAGTGCGGGGAGTAGTTTGATCGGAGCGGTGGATGGGGTTAAGATTAAGGAATTTGTGGAGGAGGCTAGGGTTAAAGAGGCGGTTATAAAGTTGGAACATGAGGGGGATTGGGAACCGTTGAAGGCGGTGGTTAGGAGCGGTGTGGGTAGGGAAGCGGTGTGGAAGATTGTGAAGGGTGCTGTGGAGGATGGAGTGTTTGGGAAGGAGACTTTGGGAGTTATAGAGGCGGAGATGAGGGGGTAATATTGTTTTTCTTTTTTAACATCTTTATGTAAATTTACCATGATGCTATACATTTTGAAGCTGCACTTTTTTGATATTGGTTTTATATTGTGTCATATGATTATATTAATCTAGGATTGTTTTCATCTCGTAGATTAAATGCTGGACAGTGAGATATTTGGGAATACCGATGCCATAATTCATTGATCGATGATACAATAGCAACAATGTAACAGTCAGTCAGCTGCTGTGTATCTGTTCATTACCATTGTCTATAATACATAAACCCTAATGCCTTCCGTACCAAACCGACCGCCTTTCCTAAAAAATGCAGAATCCCATGCCAGTTATTCCCACCCACCATAAAAATGAAATCCATGCCTGAATGCAAAAATGGGAGAAAGAAAAAAAAAACATATCTTCGAGAAACGCCATGATAACAAAATAACACAAAGGGAAGGGGAAAGTAGTAGTGAAAATGCAATTCTATGGGAAAAAAGGAAGAAAGAAAAGGCTGTTAGCTGATTAGTGCGAAACCCCCATCGTAGGCAAAGGGGACAGGGAGAGGAGGAGAAACAGGCTAGAAAAGCAGGAAATAATTCAGTTCGTTAGTAATCCAGAAAGTAAGGATAGGGATACAAATGCGGTGTCGATTCGTTATTAAAATGAATATGAAGAAATGAAAGTGTAGAGTTTCGGGTCTCTATCAAAGGAAAACCAGGGGAATCTCTCACGATTGTGATAGAGAACTCGAGATAGACGGCGTCTTGTCATTTCTCCCGATAAATCCTCCTAAGTTTCGACTTTCTCACAGACCCTCAGGTTTTGTCGATGGAACTTAGGATGAAAAAAATAAATAAAAGTAGAAATATTGTCAAGCGAAAGAGCATTATCCGTGTAACTCCGGGAGGAGAATGATTCCACCCGGAAGCATCGAGAAAGAATGGAAGTGCGAAAGTAAGAGGTAATAAAAAGACGAATGTATGGGTGCCATCCCATAGAAGATTAATTAGAGACCTGCATAAGCTCAAAGGCGTCGAGATGTGAAAAGGGAAAGGATTCTGGGAACCTCTAGATCCCGTCTTCATTCTCGGCTTCATCCTCAGCCTGAACGGAAAGATCGACCTTCTTTTCTTCTTCTTTATCTGGCTTGCTCATTTGTCCTTTAGCATTGGTGTTCTCTTGCATACTGATCATACATTCGGCGCAGAATGCCTTGGGGTTGCGATTGCAACTTTCGCAGAGCCAGACCTCTCGCAAGCAATGGCTACACAGCCCACGAGGATACTCGATCAGTGCAACACCGCGAAGATCCCACCAATTGCATTCCGGAAGAATTGGTGGTCCAACATTGGGTGGGAAGATGCGGCGAGGAAGAGGGCATCGAAGCATGCGCTTCAAAACGTATTCTACCTCTGAAACTTCGATGGTGAGGCCGTTTACCGCAGGATAAGGAGGTAGTATTTCGAGGTTATCTCGGGGGGAATTCGGCATAGCATACTTATAGAGCTGGAAATTTCGCTCTCGAAGACAGTAACGGAATAGATAGGCCAGCCATCCTTCGTCAGGCGTAGCAGGTCTAGGGTTAGGGTGGGTCCAACTTTCTTGAAAAGCCCAATTCCTTTTTGTCATCCTGTGGAGCGAATATCGCTGTTCGCTAAGGTTGTAGGAACTAAAGTTAGTAACGGCTTGATCAATGGCCGAAGTGCAAACGAGACTTGTGGAGAGGTTCATGTCATCGATTTGCAGTTGCTGTTCATGGTCGGCACCGGTTCCTGGGAAGTAGAAATTTCTTCCGGAAAGAGGATGCTCGATTCGAGCCTCCCAGGGCATCCGAGGCATTGGATCCTCGTTCACGAGTTTAGGGAACTGACGTGTGCCCTGCGATACGAGTTGTTGGTGAACTGTGTGATGAAGTCGCATCTGGGAGTAGTCGTCGATCAAGTTATCGGGAACTTTATCAAGGGTCCATCCATCCCACAGGAAGGCATTACGTGAGTCGCAGTATGAATGACAGAACATTAGTTCAGTTTCGATGCCGAGGGCGCCTGTGATGCAAAGCCAGCGGGCAACGTTATGTTGGAATGGACAGGTCTCTGCATGGCAGTTGCCTGGAGTCTTTTGCCAAAATTCTCGCTCAATGGACAGTTTACCGCTATTCCCGAGGAATAGCTTCTCCAAACGAGTGTACCCAATGAGCCCAGCCTTCTCTAGATCCTCGATGTTGGTTGGAACCGGGCCGCGCCAGGCTTGTGAACCGATGGGTGATTTGACAGTTGGACCGGCTTGGGGAGCCAGGAACGGTAGAACTATGGCGGCTGGTGCATCATCTTGATCCCAGTATTTCCGAAGTTTCTTGAACAAAAGCCTTTGGAGGAGTTCGAGAATTTGTTCAATATCCAAAGATGCACAACCCTGTGCCCTGATGTAGTTGAGATGAACAAAGCATTCTGGGAATCTATCGGTGCCGATGAGATCTTTAGATCGGTTGTACTCGCCCCAATCGACGCCTTGGAAGGTCTGAAGAATGATATTAATCATTAAATCCGCCGTGACCCCTGTGTTGCTCAAATCGAGATACGTAAGACGGTCCCATTGATGAAGTGGTTCCTCAAAGAAGATGATCCGGTCAGGTCGACTAGGACTCGAGAAAACACGCAAGAATTCTCGAATTCGATGGTCGGGGGCGGATGGTGTATTCGAGAAGTCTAAGCTTTCAGCTTGTCTTATCAAGTAGTGCTTGACATCCTCATAGACACTCGGGCATGTTCGACGTAGGTTGATAATATCGACAACATCCGGCAGATGCCTTACGATATGTTCGATGATCAGATGATTTCCGAGTACCTCTGCACCACGATGTCGACAAAGGTTGGCAGGTTTGATCTGCTTTTTTGTATGTGTTCTGGGAACTGTATCTTCTATGTCGGTGTTGTCATCTCTCCCATAAGAGCGTGGAGAATCGCTCCAATTGCAAGATGACGATGGAGAAGGCAATGCCATGTTTGGCAATGGTGGGTTTTGACGGATGTACGCACAGTACAGGGGTGGTGGTGGTCGCAATTGTTTCGAATCGAATGATCCTAGACACACAGGGAAGCCGAGAGGAAGACCACAGCTATAACGATTGAAGGAACTTAGGAATGTATGTAAGTACGTTTCGATTTCTAAGGTGCGAACGAATGCCGAAAGAATCTAGATCTATGACAATGATGAAGATGCTGAACGAGAGAGGAAGGGTGGAAGGATGGAAGGATAGGATGGGATGTCTGGAGGGTCTACGAGGGTAAAATTTAGATGCAGATGGAGGTGGTTGTAGATGGAGGAAGGGAGGTGAGGGAGAGTGTCATGAAGATGGCGAGGGTCTGTCGACGTGAAGGGAAGTCGAAGCAACAACGCCTAAATCGGGCAGCGGGCAGTCTGTTACACACCACATACCACACACACATACGTACAAAAAAGGGTGCGCGACGTGCAGCACTGCACTGCAAGGTGCTTATTACTATTAATTACTATGCCAATGTTGTATATACCTAATTAAGAGAGTGCTCCAGCTTGGAATTGAGAGCGTATATCTTTTTTTAGCGACCTCGAGAGATCATCCACCTCTTCAATTAACATTTTCCTCTCTTATAAACTTAATAGCCGACTACTTCTTGCTATATTATAGGTAAGCCAAGCACGAGTATCGTCGAATTACACAGAGCGCAAATGATTAATAGATACTAAATGCAAGGCCTAGCTCTTTCCCGTTTGTTATCGATAGGCCAACCCGATTGGACTGCCGGGGGCCGCTTCAGGGGACCTCAACTGGCGGATGTCCGTCTTCGATTTTAGCCTAAACCCGACCTGGTTCATCCGCTGGCCGGGGTCTTGATCTTGCCTCTGCGGAGACTCTGCAGCCCGACGGTGGACGACCGGCTATATATCATCCTGCAGCGCTCTTGCTTTAAGCTTAAATAGACCCGCGGTCTGCGGTCCAGGATTTATATTATTTTTCGATGTCATTCAACTTTTTATCTCTTTGGCTTTATATATAAAGGATATATATACCTTAAACTTTAATTCTATTCTATTCTATTCTACTATAACGATATTATCTATATAACACTAGAAGCGCAAGCATGGCTGACTCTGGTCCATTATATCTGGGGTTGGATCTCTCCACCCAGCAGCTCAAAGGTATTATATTAATAATACTTCCTTCTTTCTCCCAACCTCTTATGATTATGCTATACTATATAAAAGTAACCTGATGCATGATGATACTAAAAAATACCAGTTCTCGCTGTCAAATCAAACCTAGAAACCGTATTCGAAGAAGCCGTCTCCTTCGACGACGATCTTCCCTCCTATGGCGTCCGGAAAGGCGTTTTCGTCAACGAAAAGGACGATGAAGTCTTCGCCCCTGTCGCAATGTGGATCGAAGCCCTGGACCTTCTCCTCCAGCGTATGAAGAACAAAGGTTTTGACTTTTCCAGGGTCAAAGGCATCAGTGGGGCCGGCCAGCAGCATGGCAGCGTGTAAGCTTTTCCCCATTGCATTGCATGGGACCCACCTTTGTTGGATTTTGACCTCGAAGACAACGCACTTACTAATATAAACTATTCAATTTGCTACTTCAGATATTGGTCCGAGGGTGCAGAATCTCTTCTATCCTCTCTGTCGACTGAAAAATCCCTTCTGGAGCAATTATCACCAAAAGCTTTCAGTTGGAAGTTCTCTCCAAATTGGCAAGATCATAGTACTTCTGAACAAGTTGCTGCATTTGATGACCGTGTCGGTGGTGATGATTTACTCGCCAAAGCCACTGGCTCAGGTGGTCACCACCGTTTCACCGGACCTCAAATCCTTCGTTTCGTTCAACTTCATCCGGAGGAATATGCTGCTACAAGTAGAATATCTCTTGTATCATCTTTCCTAGCTTCTCTCTTCCTCGGAAAAATCGCACCAATAGATATCTCCGATGTATGCGGCATGAACCTCTTCAACATCGAAACAAAAACCTGGGATGACAGACTCATTTCTCTAGCTGCATCTCCATCCGGAACAGACCCCGCAGCTACAAAAGTCCTTTATGAGAAGCTAGGAGAAGTAGAACCCGATGGTGGTAAAAATTTGGGACCGATATCTTCTTACTTTGTCAAGAAATGGGGGTTTCCTACCGATTGTGCTATTATCCCTAGTACGGGGGATAACCCGTCCACCATCCTCGCATTGCCACTACACCCTCAAGATGCTATCGTTAGCTTGGGAACTAGCACCACCATCCTGATGAGCACAGAAAAATACTATCCTTCCCCGGCATATCATATGTTCAACCACCCGACTCAACCGGGATTATACATGTTCATGCTTTGCTACAAAAATGGTGGTCTGGCACGAGAGGAGATCAGAGATGCCGTCAACAGAGCCAAAGGTATCCACGACCATTCTTGGGCACAATTTAACAAAGCTGCGATCGAAACTCCAGTACTGGGAAAGACTTCTCCAAACGATAAATCAAAACTAGGGTTTTACTTCCCGCTACCGGAAATCGTACCCAATGTGCAAAACCCTGGGTTTTATAGATTCGAAGTTGATAACACTTCGAAGAAGATTGAAGAGTCGAAGGGATGGGATGTCACACATGATGCAAGGGCTATCGTTGAATCCCAGGCGTTGAGCATGCGCATTCGAAGTGCCCCTCTATTGGACCCTAAAAACCCACAACCTAGAAGGGTATACCTCGTCGGAGGTGGTAGCAGGAATAAGGCTATCGCTCACGTCTTGGCGGACGTACTAGGTGGTATTGAAGGCGTTTACAAGTTGGACGTAGGTAACGCCTGTGCTTTGGGAGCGGCGTACAAGGCTTTATGGGCGGTCGAGAGGCGGGATTCTGGGGAGTCGTTTGAAGATTTGATTGGAAGTAGGTGGAACGAGGAAGGCAAGGTGGAAAAGGTTATGGATGGATATAAGAAGGGGACTTGGGAAGCTTATGGGGATGTTGTGCAGGCTTACACGGAGGCAGAAGCAAAAGTGCAGAGGGGCGACGTCAAAGGTGATACCTCTCTGATATAAGTCCGGGGTTGCTATTATCATCAAATTTGCGAACTAGAGAGTTACCAATCATCCAATAGCTATAGATCTTGAATTATAAAAGTTCATTCATGGTAATATTGACCGAGGTAGCATATGCTGCCTAAGTAATCGAGTAGATATAGATAGTATTTACACTTTTGAGGCTCCTACCTGTGAGCCCTGATTAAGATAAAACATAGAAGTAACAAACACCGACTTTTCCTTCTCCCCTTCCATGAATATTCCCGAAAGTCCTCTCGTTATGCATGAAAACGTAAATTAAAGAACCCGACTTAAAATCCCACAACTCCTGTATAATGTCGCTAGAACATGCAGTTAAAGCAGATATGAGTAAAACAAATGAAATTGGAAGACACCCGGATGTCACCGTGGCCGGAAAGCAGCGAAAGAAAGAAAGAAAGAAAGAAAGAAAGAAAGAAAGAAAGAAAGAAAGAAAGAAAGAAAGAAAGAAAGAAAGAAAGAAAGAAAGAAAGAAAGAAAGAAAGAAAGAAAGAAAGAAAGAAAGAAAGAAAGAAAGAAAGCCAAACTAAAAGAATGAAAAAGAAAAAGGGTGACATATACCATAACAGACTTCAGTCAAATCGGACAACTATAAGTTCGTCCGCTTTTCTAAGGTTTCCTAACCTGCCATAAAGATTAAGTGGTTTGCATTGATCGCTCCTATCTTTTGCAAAGACCACCCATCCACAGCCAACCGCAATTGGAGCACAGTCAACTGTAGGATTAGGAACCCTAGCCCTTGAGCTTCGAGGACGGAAAGAAAACTCTGCGGCCTTCAAAGCATCTGACGAGCTCAAAGCATGAATCGACGATGTAGGCTGCAGCCACTTGGCGTTCTTAGCACCTTGTGATGAGACGTCGGCGTCATTCTCAAATATAGAGACATTATATAGATTCGTGACGATGCTAGGTACGCTTCCGATGAGAGTCAATCCTCGTTGTTGGTGGTAAGCATGAGATCCTCGGTATCCAGCTCTCATTTGCTCAGCGTTAACCCTAACCGTTGAAATAGCAAGGCAGTCGTGAAGACGATTCGAAGCCAATGTTGTAGTGTCCATTGAGATGGGGATATGTTGTCTGGAAACCTTTGGAGTTGCCATGAAAGCCGGACGCCAGGCGAGACCTGTGACAGTACCATCTGTGAGGATACTGGCATCTAATTTCCACAGAGCTGTTGCTTGACGGTGTTGGATAAAATCATTATAGATTTCGTCGTAACGGAGATTGCAGCACAAATCGACCGTGACTGTTTTACCTTCAGCATTTTGGGTCTCCGTGGCCTGAAAGAATGTGAAAAGTGGCTTGACACTCTCAGCAGCGACAGAATCCCTAAGAGGTGGCATCGAAAGGTCTGTTTTCTTCAACGATGCTCCAGTTTTGACATCGACGATTTGTGCAGACGAAGTGAAGCTGATGAATAAATGGCATCCAGCGACGTCGGCTCCCAGGGCCGAAATTTCCTTGTGTGCGAGATATGCGAATGTTGCTAATGAATCTGCAACCCTATCCACGCCTGCGATTTCGTGGACTTTGGGCCATGTTGGGATGATCCGATTGAAGAATGCGATGTTGTATTTATTCTTCGCCCCCTTCTTAGAGTAGACGAAGTAGTGTTCATTAGCGTCAAAACAGCGAACCTCATCGTCGATCGTCCAGTTGCATATAACTTGTCCAGGATTTGCCGGATCGAGTGAAATGATAACCAACGATTGATGGATGGTGGTTGGCGGGTTAGAGGATCGTCTGTTCAAGAAATCCCTTATCCTCTGAGGGACGCCACGAGGATTGTCCTGCAATTGAGTGGTAGTCCTTGGATGGCTAGCAACCATCATGAAAGGAGGCAATTGCTTCTGTCCGGTCAAAAACTTATCGCCTCGGTCAGCGGTCCTCGGGATGAAGATGTTCCATTTATTATCTTCGTCGGGGTTGACCGAATCAAACAGGGGATCAATTCCGATGAGGTCGATGGAAATTTCCTTCCTACTCCTATCAAGGCATTTAAGGACCAGCTTCGACTCTTGGGATTGTTCGCCTTCAATATGTGAGGGTGATTGGTAAACGAGTGTATTGCCGACGACACCCCATCCCAAGTAGCTTGGGTCGGTGCTCCCTTTTGCCACGATAAGTTTTTCGACTCTGGAGGGGTCTTTTCGTATCCATCGCGAAGTTCTAGCGATGAGTCGGGTTAATTCGACGTTTCCAGCCCCCGGACTAGAAGATTCTGGTACTTTGTCGAATAGCCTCTTAAGCACAAATCGACAAACAGAATCATCTGTGAAGAGACGGTAGAATCCTCTGGAAACCAAACGACATCTTGCAATATCAAATAGATCCAGATGGGGAACTATCAGAGTTGCTACATCATACGGAAGCTTTTCCAGGAGAGTCTTAGAGCCAGATGTTGAAGTGGATGTCATTTTGGCAGCTGTTGAATGTGAATGACAAAGGCAGCGAGGTGAAGACGAGAGATAGGCAGGATAAGAAGAAGGAATGTCGCCTATGTCGGTTCAAATTTAATATGTTTAATGAGAGCCTTGTAGACGTGTCTATACCGTATGAGCTGTTCTCCTGTTTAAATGGTATAGAGTGCCAGGGAATATATGTTATCCACACCCCAAACTATCACAGCCTGGGAACTCGGAATAACAGCTTATATCCCTCTACAATATCCAAATAAAATCACAAACAGAACCAATGGAATGGTCGACCTGGTCCATGCATAAAGGGCTGGTAAATGGCGTCGAATTTGACAGGGGTATAAGTACCGACCGCTGCTGCTGTTCAGGTCATCATCCAGGGTACTGGGCAGGGTGGTTCAGAGAAATCTGTGGATTTCGACCTCGCGACTGCGAACAGGAAGTGCGTTGGGCTGTTGCAGTTGGCCGTAATTGTCGTCTGCGCGAATAAAGCTCTTGGCTCCGGCTTAATCGTCGAATTGGGCGCTGCCAGATGCTGCCAGTTTGTGAGCAATTGCTGCAGGCTGTGGGTAATATTCGAATTGGAGGTTGAGATAATACTGGCTAAAAATAAAGGTATTTTGTATTGTCGTCCAAAACGAAATTTAGCATTCGGCTTAATGCTTAACTCGACTGCCAGTCGTTCAGGTCGAATTCGAACTTTGTATCGTCCAAAGTATCCGCCCAGTGAAAATTAAAGTCAAAGCAAATATGTAATACCTTTGGGGAAATACACCGGCCGTAAAGCTTCTTAAATACGGACGCCATGGGGATTCACTCGCCGGATTATAATTAAGAATTCGTAAGAAATGTCGCACTGTCTCCATTTACTTTTTGAAGAACTGTGGCCGAAACAGTCGCCCATCTTGTGTTAACTACCCAGGGAAGGGGGACAGGCTAAGGGAAACAAGGGCGAGCTCTCAAAGTCGCACAGAACATCCGCGAGAACCATGCGATATGCTGGCTAGTCAAAAGCAAAAAGGGTCTTTGCATGCTCCATGATGAAAATTTTTTCTCCCCTCTACTTCACATGAGAGGTCCAGAATCAGGCTTCAGGATGCGGTCCACTAACTACGGTCTACCTGCATGAGGGTGATCAAAATAGCGTATAGCGTCATCAGCTGCAACAGTAGCGAAAGTCTGGGGAAAGGAAAAACTTCACGGAAAGTTGGTGTTTTGTGGGGCACCAAGCTTTGTCCTGTCCATAACAGGGGCTGGGATCGAGGAACAAGGCGTCACCTGGCCTGACCCAGAACCTTTTTCCATGTCAGATCTGACTTAAACCTTGAACTGTCGACGGTTGGAACAGCAGAATGCCGGCGCATTGGGAACCAACCGAGCAAATTTTTCGCATTCAAAGGGGTCAGCTGGAGGAGGCGCTCTTCTGCTGGGCTGCGTTTGGAAGCATCCTTAACCCAATACAATGGGACATTTAAGCATTCGACTGGAAGGTTTTGGTTTTTTCTGGTGCCCGAAATGAGGGGCAGAGGTCACCGGGCCAGCCTTCGGTTGCGTCTTATTACCTAACCTTTTGTCATTTCGTGGTGAAATCGTCCCCTTTCACCGAGGAAGTCCTGTCTAGCCCGGTGGCCGACGGTGGATCTGTGGTGCTGGGTCCAACCCTGGCGGCCACAATCCGCCCTATTGGCAGCTTCGTTCTGGGCAAAGATGTCGCGAAATGACGTGCCACCTTAGTAGCTAGCAAAATAATACTTGCGGCTTCCGTGTGAGAGCTGAATACGGGCAACCTGGCCACGACGTTGAAAAGTGCGAATTGATCCTTCTCAAAAACATGGCTCTCTCTTCAGGTCTTGCGGTGCGGCCTATGTAGAAACAGCAGAACGCAAAGAACATCTCTAGACCAAAAACATGACATACAAAATTGATCACATTTGGCGGGTTCGAGGGGAAGAAGCTGTAGCTACCAAGGGCATCCAAGAAAGCTTCGGCAAAGTGCCAAGTCTGGGGTAAACCGTCTCGATTTGCCGGCCCGAAGAGATTTATGCACCGAAAGAGCCACGCTTCGAACTCGGAGAGGTTCAAGGTTGGATTTTATGAAATAAACCAATGCAATGGGTATCGACCCACACCGGCTGAAAAACGATTGAAATGTATATTTAAAGCCATTCTTTGAACATCACTTTTCCCAGCTGTTTCGGTGGTTTGGATCTAAGGAGCTGCAGGTTGAGCTGTAACCTCTCCGACTGCGATCTATTGCAGGCATTGCATCGAGGCATTTCTTTCTATCGATATTTTCCGATGGCATAATGCCTAAGCACTTATGTGCATTTGAGCTTGTGGGTATACATGCATTGATGATTGGCTTAGAGCCAGCAAGGCGTCTAAGCCTGATCAATTAGCTGAAAGATATCCATTAGTGGCTGAGGCTTAAATATAAATGCCAATGTTAACATCAATTGACTCTGAATGGAAGATACTTACTTGATGCCGAGTGCGGCCTTTTGAAGGCTGATAGCATCGAGTCCGATGTGCTCCGACAGGTTACGTTGGGTAGAGCAGCCCAGCAATTGGTAACGACATGGCAACACGGAAATCAAAATTCATTTTCCAACGGGCCAGCTGGTGCTAGCTTTGTTAACGTTTCGACCTCCACACCGCTGGAGACCAAGACCTAGCCGACGACATCACACCTCCCCAGCCATGTGCCCCTCTCTTCTTCCAAGGTCTCTGCTTGAGACCCTGACGATTGGGAGAGCTGCATGTGTACGGCCCACCTCGCGTAGTTTCTCCCGCATCGTTGTTCCAAAATCATCACTATTTCAGACCGTTCGCCCTTTCTCTTCGCGTCCGGCCATACGAGATTGGGTCCCCACTCCATATGTTCATGAAACAACTGTAAACATACATATCTCCTGATATCGGATATAACTCGATTGAAAAGTACTAACCAATCATGTAGGCTGGCGGTTGGCACACCTATGACATTTTCTCCCGGTTGCTCAAGGAAAGGATCATTACGTTGAATGGTCCCGTTCACGATGGCTTGTCCGCAACCGTAGTGGCTCAGCTGCTTTTCTTAGAAGCTGATAACCCAGATAAGCCGATTCATCTTTACATTAATTCTCCAGGAGGAAGTGTAACAGCAGGTAAATTCACTGGCCTGGATGCTCCCCAAGCTTGATATCTATATCTGTGTGACATGATAGGCTTCGAATCGCCCGTGGACTACTGATAACAAGAAAATTAATTTTTTAATATTATATTTTAGGTCTTGCAATTTATGACACAATGAATTACATTCAATGCCCCGTTTCAACGATTTGTATTGGACAGGCAGCGAGTATGGGTTCTCTGCTGCTAGTTGGCGGGGAGAAGGGTAGACGCTTTGCCCTCCCTCACTCCAGTGTCATGCTCCACCAACCAAGTCCGTTTTCCTTCCTCCACTCCTATGAAATCTTTCAAATATCTCCTTTCTTCCTCCTTTTCGATCGTATGCTGATTGCCTTCGTGCAGGTGGTGGTTACAGTGGTCAAGCAAGGTATGGGGTTCAAACCGTCTCAATAAATCTCGGGTTTCCACCTTATCTAACATTTTTAATAGTGACATTGCTATCCATGCTAAGGAGATCCTCCGGGTACGAGAGTCGCTGAACAAGATATACCAAAAGCATCTAACAAAACCCCATACTCTGGATGAAATTGGTATGTCACGACTATTCCTTTTTGATTTTCGTTTCAGCTATGAGACTCATCTTGCGACAAAATTTGTATTTGGAGAGCTAATTCAACTACCTTGTGTGCTTTATAGAGAAAATCATGGAACGAGACCTTTTCATGTCAGCTGAAGATGCTCTAAACATGGGTCTTATCGATGAAATTCTTACCAAAAGACCTGGTTCTGGAAGCGAGTCGCTTGAAAAGAAGTAACCAAGCTCCTTTTCCAGTCCCACGTTTGAAAACGGAAAAACCGCCTATCTGCTCCATGGATGCCACAGGCTCGAACCCCCAGCGAAGATTATCGGCACGGCTTTCAACAGTTGATGCCATGAATCATTGTATCACTTGAGACTAGATCTTGCGAAATGTCTCACGGTCGGATAGGAATATATGGAATACGCCGCGTTCGTCGACAGCGCGAGACCCTAATCCTTCCTGGTCCCTACCTCAAAACTGGGAGTTAGGAATTCTAAAGTGTATTTTAATCACCACTGCCCTCTTACCATTTATGTATCTTTATCCCCCTCTTCTAGACTAGGAGAGGAAAGATATATCTTGCATTTAGGTATCACAGAACTATCATTTTTCTGATCGAATATGTATTTGTACGACTTATGAAATAGAGAGGCACATGGCATTATTATAGCAAAATTCTGTCGTCCCTTTCCGCCCCAAGTGTAACGTTACTCTTTCTAAGGGAAAGTATGAAAAGATAAACACCTACCCACCCAGCTTTTATCATTACCGTTATCTTTTTTTTTGCATTGAAAAGGAGCCCCGCGACTGCTTCTTCCTACCCATCAGGATTTAAGGCTAGCATTCAAAAAATCGAGTTGCACATATTGCGATTCTCGATAAGCCCGCCGATCACTGCATGCGGGTACGGCTGCGGCTTGCGGATGTGAAGGGATCGTGTAGCTAGCTTCCCGAGTAGCTCCCCGGGCCGCACTGCATCTTTGCATATGCATATTTTTCTTTTGTTAAGAAAAATGAATCGAACTATTTCTTTTTTTACTCAAAAGTTGACTCACGCCGTAGATACAAGATACCAATCCCACATTCACATTTGCATTCGAAATCATTTCGTCTGTTTCCATCCGTCGGCTATATATATTATAAAAAGGAAGATGGAAGAGCTTAGAATTCTAGAAGAAGAAATAATTGCGCTGGTGCCTGCCTCGACAATTACCTCGTGGTTCGACGCTGGTCTGATAAAAACAATAATAAAAATAAATAAAAGGGGCCGCGTTTTTGAATACGGGTATGTTATGTTTCTTTTTGAACTGCTTTTCCAAAGTTGGTCGGCGACATCTCGCAGATTCGATGCTGAGGATTTCCTTTTTTTATATATAGGTGAGTCTTTGGGGGCCTTACGTAAACGATATATGTAACAAAAATACCACAGCGCTGTAGCTGTGCAATAATGACGTTCAGATAGCTCGTAACTTACAAAAAGGCAGAGAGATCACTTGATAGTTTCCCCCCCTTTCTTTTGGAAGCATCTTTATCTCGTCGCTCTTATAAATTTATAGAATAAATCACTGTAATAAAGTCTGGGAGAATATATGAGGCTCAACCGTAGTATCAATCTCCAACGTGAACAACGCGCGGCCGCCAAACGTGCTCCTCCATAGCTCTATGTATAATATATATCGACCCACGTGATATCTTTCAACTTCGGAATTATTCCCATTTTCCAGCACGGCTCACTAAATAAAGTACTCGACTAGGCCGTTCTAATGGTCCTAAAATTAAGCGATTTGGCCAAAAATTGAGCTCGCTGTGACGATGAATAGTTCAGTCATCGCAACTTCGAAATGGAGGTTGATCTGTGCAATGATGTGATGCAACTCGCGGATCAACATCCTCAACCCCATTAAAAATGATCTCTACGCGCCGTAACTACTTAATTATTACCTAAGTAAGTACCTACTTAAGTACTGTGCCGGCATGGGGTGTGTTTTGAATACCAGTGCGATACCAGTTGTAGGAAATATATAGGTTTGAATATCATTCTAATGCGTATTGAGGGCTAAAATACCGGTTTATTTCAGTAGTGCTACGATTAATCGTATTGATACCGTAGCCCTGCCGTAATAATAACACCCCATTTGTCGGCACAGTAGCTATGTGTAGGTCTAAAGACCTGACTAGTACCGACCACTATATATGCTATATTGACCTTAACCAGGCATCTTGCTCTTATGATCTTACATACTTACCTAATATAAACTTAATATTGTCATGTCGCGATATCGTAATAAAGTGGTATACATTCCACGACGCATATATCCTAAGAATATCGAATTGGTCGATCATTTCATTATCGCCCTTGTACATGTATTCTAAAGCTCTGCAGATATCTCTGGTTTGAACAATAATTATAGTTACTATAATAGACAAAATAGCTATGAAATGGAACCTAAATCTTCTCATGATCAAAGGTATACTACAGCTCGACTCCAAACTTCGCATTTCTTTTTTATTACAAATTAAATTTGGTAGAATAACTGTCACTTAAGCCGGGACCCGAGAACTTACCTCGAATACAAGTACTATAGAATAATACAGATCAGTTTTTTTTTTGATAATCCCATATATCAAATGTATTATCTATTCACTAGCCACGGTCCTGCGTTATCTCGTAAACCAGAATTAAGATAGATAACCAGCTACGCAGAAACTCAGCTCTAAACCCGGTTCATAAAGAGTATCATCAGGGAGAAAAAAGTATATATTTTATAAAAAAAACCCTCATCAAGAAACAGCCAACCTTTTTTCCTCGCGAACACCAACGTTAAGACACTAACAAGAAATAAAAGGGAAACGGAAAGAAAAGAAAAAGAAGAAAAAGAGGAGAACAAGCCAAGCTAGATGCACATAGAAGCGGAGAAGACCAAAAAATATGTCGCCGTGAAAACAATAGTTTGGGGGGAAGTGAAAGGGAAAATAACAACAAAGGCCGCCAACGCGAATTTAAAGATACCCATGGCACCCAGGCAGGATGTAGAACGGGGGCGGCGTGGGCGATTGCCCTTCGATGATAGATTTTCTATGGATTTATGTTAAAGTCCGGCATGGTTCCACCACCAGCCTTGATAGCCGTGCATCTGCGGGTTGTGCAGCGGTTGTTGAGGAGGGACGTAAAACGGATAGGGATAAACAATGGGACCGGGATAGCGCTAGTATCCCTGTGCCATTGACTGATTAGGTGGATAGTGTGGTTGATACTGCTGTGGATGCTGTTGCGGGTGCTGCTGGGGATGTTGAGGATGTTGTTGCTGGGGATGCTGAGAGTACTGCTGTTGGCCCTGCATCAACGGTTGGCCCTGCATAACTTGCGGCTGTGGCTGTTGAGGGGGGAGTTGTGATGTCCCTCCTGGAATTCCAGGCGCAACCGGCCCAGGTATTGGTAGTCCACCGGGAATAGCTCCGTTAGCTGGTGCGTTCTTCCTATAATCGCTGAACCAGGCGTGCTTGAGGGCATCCTTCGCACTAATTCGCATCTCGGGCCTTAGCTGCAACATCCTGCTCAATAAGTCCAAACCAACGGGATCGATCTGCCTAAGGATCAACCGCAGATCTTGTGTGGCATAAACGTGGAAGTTATTCCTATACTCTGGATACTGCGAAATCTGTGGCCAGGACCTCTCCGAAGGTGTACCCATCAACCTGAAAATCTTCTGCAACTGGTCCTCGTTGGTAGTTCCCGGGAAAAGTGGACGCCCAGTATACATCTCCGCCATGATACAGCCTGCACTCCAGATATCTATGGAAGTGTTATAGGTTCTTGAGCCGAGGAGGACATCGGGCGCTCGATACCATAGAGTCACAACTTCATTGGAAAAAGTATTGACGGGGATACCAAATGCTCTAGCGAGACCGAAATCCGCGAGTTTAAGTTGGCCCTTGGCATTAATAAGCAAGTTCTGGGGTTTCAAGTCTCGGTGGAGTACTCTGTTCTCATGGCAGAAGGCTATTCCGCAGAGAAGCTGGTACATGAAGCTTCTGATCGTCGCTGGATCCAAGGCACCACGGTCACCGCGGGAGTCCATATACTTTTTCAAATCCTTGTCCATATGCTCGAAGACGAGCATTAACTTATTCTCAGTGTGGATGACGTCGTGAAGTGAGACGATGTTTTCGTGCTTGAGCTCCTTCATAAGGGAAATCTCACGAATTGCTGTCGATGGTGTTCCCTCTTCACTATCGAGGTGGATTTCCTTGAGGGCCACAAGCTCGCCGGTTTGGCGGTTTCGGCCTTTGAAAACCTGTGATGGTGGTAGTGAACAATATGATTAGCCGATTGCGACTTTGGCTTTTATGGTGTCGTTTGTTGGGGGTTTGCAAGGCCGTCAGCTTACAGTGGCATAAGTTCCCTCCCCGAGCTTTTCGAGCTGCTGGAACGAACTCGGATGTCTTTTTTCCATTATTGCTTAGGATAGAGTAATACGGACTCCGAAGGATGTACTGGCAAATTCGGTGATGGTGGTGATTCGAGGGTCGGACTTGGGTCTAGAGCGAATCGGAGGAAGGAAGAGTCGTAGCTAGCTACCAGAACTATGGAACGAGGCGGCAAAGGAACGGAGGCGGAAGGAGAGAACGAGAGGAGGGGAATACGATGACGATAGATGTCCTATCGTCTTTGTTTTCGAAGTCAAATGTCTCCCCAAGATCGGTGGATGTTGGTGACGTTGATGAGCGGTGATTGTGGTTTGCGAGATTAATGGCGGTGTTATCGACGGATGAGCGAGGTTGAGGTTGAAAGGGCAGCGGCGCCCGCCTTTAAGCAATTTGCCCGCCACTGCTTGGCTTTCCGAGCTAGCTGTGGCATGCAGGATGAATCACCACCACAAAGCCGTACATGCTCAGGACTAGACCGACGGATATTACTACTAGTTATCACCGCAATCAAATCTTGACCTCTAAATTCTAAATTTGGCCTGTTCAGTCGCTGCAGAAGCTTAAGATTGGCTGATTTGGTTATGGCGCTAAATGACGCGCTAAGGCACGACCTTGCCAGCCCTGTCCTGCAGAAGAAAACTGGTCTTAGGTAGACTAAAAGGAAAGAAACTAAGATACCATTCATTCATATCCGCTATGCCATTCGCAGGAGAATATATAATATACATAATCTTGGGAGGTAATTTAATATTAAATGATAATAAGAAGCTGCAAGGCAAAGTAACTTCCAATCTTGCCAAATATGCATAACGATCGCTCGACAGGGGAAATCCCAATCTGACAGAATACAATATCCTCCGACATCACAGGAAATCTGATGCTTTTGCTCTGCCCGCGCCTCCACCACGTCCGCTATCTCTGGTTGACTCCTGTCGGTCGATATCCATGCTTCCACGGTCTCTCCGTGGCGAAAACGACCGCTGTCGACTATGATCTCGGGCTCGTCGAGACGGCTCGGGGCTGCGATCTCTCGCACCACCTCGTTTCGGCGGAGACCTATCATCGTAACTAGGACTTCGTCGGCGGTGGTTGTCCTTTCCTCTAGCTGGCGGCGGACTTCTGCTGCGGCTTGGACTCGCGCGTCTGTTCGTCCTCTTCGGAGGCGACCTCGACTTAGAGTGTGACCGACTTCGGCTTCGGCTCGAGTAGCTGTCGTAGCTCCGATCCCTACCCCGGCCCTTGCGGTCACCATCATCTCGGCCAAGCTTCGAATTCTTCTTGGCCTCCTTGGACCTCGACCTAGACCTCGAACTGGAATAACTTCGGGACCTCGAACTATAGCTCCTACTACTCTTGCTATAGCTACGGCGCTTCGTGTTTCTTCCTCTGCCCGGGCTCCGACTATCGTAACTCCTACTCCTACTACGGCTCCTGGAATAGCTGTAACTTTTTGCACTCCTTGCGCTCCGGCTCCTAGAATAGCTGCTTCTAGTGTAGCTAGAGCTTCGAGATTTGCTACGCCCCCGATCGCTCTCATCGTCGCTATCCTGTCTCGGGACGGGCAAAGCAGGTACAGCTTGCTTTGGCAAACTTTGGAGAAACTCGCGGAGGCCTTCTGTAACCGCTCCCATCCCAATGCTAGTAAAGTAATTGATCGCAAACCTAGTGTTTCTGGGGTTATCACGGGGGAACAACCCTGCGAAGCTCTCAGCAAGGAATGGATCATTCAGCCGTTCGACAACCTTCTTCATTGTCATCTGCTCGGCCAAGTCTTGAAACAAGATCTTGATAAAAATACGGGAAGAGGAGGTTGTCTCTTCCTCATTGAGGTGGATAATATTTAAGCTCTGCCAACCAATGGCGTCATTCGCAAGCTGGTGACCGAAGAATCGAGCAATATTTCGGAGACGATTGATCTCATAACGGTGGATAGTTTCGTAGTAGTTCGTAAAGGATTTCTCAAAAAGGTCTTGCCAGAGGCGGTTGAGCTTGCAGAATCTTTCACCGATGTTGCCGTAGAATTTCGCATAGGTACGCTCCTGCGAACAACACTCAACAATCATAGAGACTAGTTCTGGTTCCTGGCCAGGCGGTAATGTGATTTTCATGAGCTTATGGCAGCATTCCTCAAAGTCGATAGAGGACATGATAGTAAGGTATATTGTACGTCGGAGGTTGACAAGATTAGTATTGCTCTGATCTTGGATAAGAAGTTGTTTCTCTTTCTCGTCTTGCTCTTCATCCGATTCTTCCTCATCTTCCTCGTCCGACCCATCCTCGCCTTCGCTACCGGATTCCTCCCCAAGGATTTCCGCTCTTGTACGCTTGTAAAGGTTTTCGTGTTCTTCGTAATGGGGGTCGAATTTGAAGACGTTGAGAGTATCTTGGGATTCAATAGAGTCGTCACTGACATTGATCTGGTGGGTGATTTGGTCCTCTTCCTCCACGAGATCTAACTCCTCACGAACAATCGGGTTGTCTTTATATTTATCCCTGCGTACTTGGAACAACACTTCAATCATGTACTGGACACGTTTATCGATCGAGGATTCGTGAAGGATATTTCGGAAAGCATCGTAGATTGCTTCGTTCGCCTTAGTCGACATTTCTGCCAGATAGGCGCCAACTTCCCTCATGAAACCAACCGCGATTTCAACGGAGTCATCAGTTGCGTTTTGCATCAACAGCAACATGAGAATTTCCAGGGCTAGGACCTCGTGTGCGACTTGTTGATTGACCAGATGGGCGATGAACGTTGTTGAAGAAAGGCACACTGCCTTGTCGTTTCGCTTAAATGCCTTCCTGAATTGTATCACTAGTCTCTTGACTAAAAGCTCTCCGACCTGAGGTAGTTTGGTATTAATGATAGCGGTCATTGCAGCATAGACAGGCGTGTATGTCAAGGCTGCAGCTTGGGCCTTCATGATTGACCGGCAATAAAGTCCCCTCCCACGGATTAAATTTTCTTGGAACAGGTCAGGGACAATGCTTTTGATATTAGAGGTGTTGACCTTGTTTATAAGGCCATTGATCGACTTCTTCAGCTGTTCCCAGGCCATCCGCTGGTACTCCTTCGACGTCTTGTCCGTAATTTGCGATTGTAGGGCCCGGAGACGTGCTGGAGGAATATAAGTTCCCCCACTTCGCATAGTGAGCAACTTCTCATATTCGGCTTTTGGGTCAAAAGCTGGTTTTGCGGGCTCATCCTTCATCGCAGAACGCGCCTCAAGCTGTCGGATGCGCTCTGCGGCGCGTTCAGGGTCGACGTCCGGCAGACCAAAGTCATTGCGCATACGACGATGCGGTGGAGACCGCCGCCGTTCATTATCGCGTGGAGGAGAAGTCGGAGAGCGGGATGTACGTTTACGTTTCGAAGATATCGCCGGTGGAGGAGTCGGCTCTCGTGATTGTGGCGAAGGGAGACGAACAGCGGAGTGAACGATGACCTGGCCGCCGTCCATCTTGGAGATTCGTAGAATGCCCGTGCCAAATACTCAGGTCCCTACTGCCAGGACTGCTCTGTTTTCCGGCAAACCGCGATGGTGGCGCTGGTGGTGATGGGGATTTGATAGGGATGATGGATGATGTGCGTGGAGAGTCAAGTCAAGTCAAGTATAGAAAAAGTCGTGTGGTGTGACGCTCGCTTGAAGAGGCATCGCCATCTTAGTGCTGCAAAATGCGCTGATTCTGGTGCTTCAGCGTAGAATTCATCACCAGCAAAGACCAGGATCAAACGCGCAACGTCGCCTAAACAAACCAGTGTCGGTGCAGCTGGGCACAATTATCTCCCCTCGTGCTGGTTCCTGACATAACCAAGTCCTTATATCTAGACCACTCACGCCTTGCACCTCCCATAGTTCTACAATCCACCTGTTCTGCATCCTCCAAGCTATATTCAAGATGGTATCTCACCTCAATTTCCCTATTCACTACGGATTCATTGGTGCTTTGGTTGTTTGACAGGAGTAGCTAACGTGCCTCGTGCGTATCATAGTTGGACAAAATCGCTGGCTTAGCCATGCTACTCATCGCGTCTACTGTTTTCCTCTACTACACCGTCTGGACTCTCCTTACTGTACGTGATACACCCCTATGCGGTCTCAATTGGAGAGCTTGTCCTTTTGGCACTTTGTAACCCGACTAACAAACAATTGTTTCCTGTAGCCATTCGTCGATGAAGACCATCCGATACAATCGCTGTTCCCACCACGTGTCTGGGCCATCAGGATACCTGTTATTCTCCTCCTCATCATCAGTGCCGTTGTAGGAAGCTTCTTGAGTGTGGTTATGATCAATTCCGCAAAGAAGAAGAAGGCAAAGAAGGCAGCCGCCGCTGCGAAGAAGACCTCCTGAGCTGGGTGAGACATTTCGAGATGCGAAAGATGTGGATATGTACGAGACTCCAACCCGAAAATCAGGTCGACATGCGCTGGAATGTGGAATTATTGGATGATTTGTAGATATCTTACTGGACAGGACCAGCGGGCCTGTTGCAGATTCCGACAAAAGAGATACCATAGCACTTCTTTGTTTTTTTTTGTTTTTTTTTTTTATTCCGTTCTGTCCCCCACAGGATACCAAGTATATCGGATGGTTCAAGGGTGGTTAGCTGCTCGTCAGGAACAGTACATGTCTGCGTCCTAAGTACAGATGTTCGATCGGGACCTGTCAAGCTTCAAAGTCTTCGCGGATGAAACCGCCAATTGCTGGTGAACTAACGACAAACGACTGTTACAGAGAGGACAGTTCGATACAACCGGGGTACTCGCCACCTGACATTTTCGTACTAATATAACCAGGAGTCACCTCTGCATGCATTAATTTATTCCATCGACCAAATTGAGGTGATCCAGCGCAGCTGTGCATAAGGCGACCCCCCGTCGGGATGTTCTGTGTGGACCCAGCAAGGTCGTGCAGACCGCGCTAAGACAAGATGGGATTAATTAGCCAACAGAACACCGCTTTCCACGTCGCGCGTGTCTTTAAAAATATGTTCCAGAAGATATTGCCTGAGAACAATGTGACGCTCCATTTTTTCCAGTCTAATGCATAAGATGATAAGTAATTGGTATGTTGGGAAATAACTCTCCATAATTACCGACCGATATATATTATTCATTCATTTATAGAGGGGCATATCGCTCCCCCATCTTTTTTCCCCTTTCCACACTGCATCCCATCTACACTAGTAGCTAAGTACCTATCTACGCACCAGTATCATCGGTCTCAAACTTTCTTGACCGGGGTAAATTTCCTGAGCTCTATACGACTAGCCAGCTTGAACGTAAAAGGTGTCGCCATGCCGTCACGAACATCTACTTCGACAATCTCAAAATCCAAGCCCCACGGCCAAGTACTGCTACAGGGCGCGAACATCCTGCCGCCATCGCCATCAACCTCTCCAGACTCTTATCTCCTGGAGAAATACCGAAATCAAACGTCACCCCCGGCCAAAAGGTTTCCCCTCAAGAATCTACGTAGGAAGATACCGCAGCCTAATTTACACGATGCTGCATCAATCCCTAGCATACGTCAACATGGGCGTGATGGAGCCGACGACAGAGAATCTCTGAGCCTTGCTGATCTGCAGGCCAAAATCGCCATTCTCACTAAGAATCTTAACTCAGCTGAGGCTGCTTTAAGAAAAGTAGGCGACGAGAGGGAAGAATGGAAGGAGCGGTGTAAAACATTGGAACAGAGAGCTCGCACCATAACCAAAGAAAACAGGGATCTTAGGATGCGAAACGCGGAATTGGAAGCCGAGATAGCACAAAAGAAGACAATTGTCGAAGAACCTAAAGATAGCGAGGAGGAAAAGCAGAAAAAGAAGCGAAACCGGACCAGCGCTAGCTATAGCGAAGAACTAAAAGCGACCAGGGCTTTGATCTCCCACCACTGGAATATGCAAGCCGAACAAGCGACAAAGGCTGGAAAGGGCACCGAATGGTGTGACTGTGTCCCATCCAAAACACTTAGAGCAGTCTTAAAAGAAGGAAGCAACAAGAGATCACCACTGTTACAAGCAAACGGCTTCGAGGATGTAGCAAAGGGTAGCCCCAGTGAACTAGTTGACAGTGAAGACGAGATTATCGACGACCAGAGGGGACATTCGCAATCAAGACGCCCACAGGCAAACCCTGAGGTCCGTGAAGATGCGAGACGGCAGCGAAAGGATGCCTTGAAGAAGAGGATCAAGGAAGTTCGGGGATATGTCGAAGGACTGAAGAGAGAAAACGATATCCTGGAGGGTATCTTGGTTAGCGACAATCAAGGAGCCCCCAGTGAAGATGCACCGCGACCACGAAGAAACGACCATACGACGAAGAGGAAGCATTAGGAAGCATTGCATTGCATGACATGACATGACATGACATATAGAATTGGCGTACCCCTGTTATATTGTATCATAGACCTTTTGTACTTACTAGCGCTTAGCGTTCTACACGGAACTTTTAATATCAACCCTAATGACAGCGTTTTGAATTCGATTTTTTGAAAGCTACAGATGTACCTATTTATGAAGATACCTAAATATAAATGACCAGCTTGTGTTGCCGACGTTGGATGTTTGAAGCCGAAGAATGGCAGCTGCCCCGGCTTTTGGTAGACCATCCGCTCTCTCTCCTCCTCCCAAACCTACAAGTACAAGACGAGGTACTTCACCACAATCACCAGCCTCAACCAACCACCTATCTAAACAAACTACCGACCACCGTTTAGTAATTCATCTACTCAAGCTGCAAGAGTCTTCGATTTTTTGAACGTCCAATCTTCCTTGACAAGTATCTTTTCCTTCCCTCTATTACATCTTGGTACTTGGCTTTGCCTCAAACTTGCCGAACGTTGTCCTGTATCAATGAACATCCACCAACATGCCCACAGTCGGTAGCCGCCTCGATAAGCGGCTTCTGATTCGGGAAATCGAGGGCTCGTACCTCGGACCATCTTCCCGTCAGGGCATCTATGGTAGTAGAAGCTTTGTCAAGAACCTCGATATTGTCAATGAACTATATGCACATTCCGGCTGTGTCAACGCCCTTACGTTAGTTTGTACCTCGCCAATTGCACCCGACGTAATATATTGAATTACCCAGAGACTAATTGCCCTCTTCACCGAAATAGTTGGTCACAGTCTGGTAATCTACTGGCATCTGGTAGCGATGACACACATGTGAATATCCACCAGCGAAGTAGCTCCGAGTCAACATTTAGCCATACTCACTCGATATCTACTGGTAAGTTCAATTTTATATTCCTACACCCATCCATCTCGTAGAATAGCTCCACAAGCTTACATAACACCGGTTAAGGTCACACACAAAACATATTTTCGGTCAAGTTTATGCCTCATAGCGAAGACCGAACATTGATCTCGTGTGCTGGAGACGGAGAAGTCAGGGTGTTTGACGTCAACTACACTGCATCCTCGATAGATAGTACCAACTCTAGCTTTGCCCATTCTATACGTCAAACTTCGCGACTATCCTACGGGGAGACCCATACTCGCGTTTACCGTGCCCACCGCGATAGGGTAAAACGAATCATCACCGAAAACTCACCCCACCTATTCCTTACCTGCTCCGAGGATGGCGACGTTCGACAATTCGACATCCGTGCCCCTTCAGATCCAAGTCGCACGAGACTCGGACGATTCTCTCGCGATGATGATGATTATAGGGACGGGCCCCGACCCTTGATTTCATATCGCAAATCCCCACTGGATCTAAATACGATCTCGGTTGCTACCTCACAGCCCCACTATCTTGCCTTAGGAGGCAGTCATTTATATTGTTTCCTTCACGACAGACGCATGCTCCGACAAAAAGACAATGAACCAATCTGCGTCAAGAGGTTTGCGCCTCGCGAGGATGAGCCTTGGGCTGATAGGGGCAGTCGGGGTGGCCATATCACAGCATGCAAAATATCAGACTACTGCCCGAATGAACTTATTGTTAGCTGGTCTGCGGGAGGCATTGGAGGCTTTGACATCCACAGGTCACCTGACGCCCTCGAAGCTGAGCCAAAGAAGGAATCATCAATTATCGAGGGCGTTGGATCCAGAGTGAAAAAGGATTCATCCGGCATGGTTAGAAGCTCAGCTTCTGGATCAGGTCAAAGAAAGCTGAAGCGTAAACGAAATGCAGCAAGTAGAACATCTTCTATGGGCTCAGTGGAAAAGGCCTGGCGAGAATCGGTGAGCCCAAGAAGAAGCCGGCCTTCAGATGAGGATGCTCAAATTGGAAATCTAGAGAAAACGGCATTCAAGATTGCATGCTCATTTGTGGAGGCCCGGAGAATCCTCTACGGAATCAAAACCCCAGCTCTTGCCACAGAGGTAGTCAATTCACACCCTGAAACGGTCCTCGACCCGTTTACTAAATGCTTAGATATGATGGACGACTATATCACTAGCCACGATACGAAAGAGTTGGTGGTGGCTTCGTCTTCAACTCCCGCTTCGCAGTCCTCCACGGCCGTCCTCGAAACCACTGTGCCCGATAACGAACAATCGCTCAGAAGACGTAGGCGGGAAGCCCGACGCTATGTTCAAGCAATGGGGACATTAACTAAGGTACTAGTTGAGCCACCTGAGGAGAGCCTATCTGGAAGAACTGCCCTTTTGTTTGATAGTATTGATCTTGTCAATTCCGGGATGTCCTCTTGGGCTTATGACTACCTTGCCGTCCTCGTCGAATATCTCAAGTATGGAGTTGCGGGTGTCGAGCGATACTGGAATGTCACCACACATGATAGTCTTGCTGAAAAACTAAAGACACTGTTGGAACCCGCATCCGGTGACGAAGATGAACTTATCGACAGTATTGACCCTGACTTCCCCGGGTTTTTGACAGAGAAAGCAGCTACACGAAGCCTCATGACACATATTCTAGCACAGGAACCCGGGTCGACATCTGTTCCTTGGGAGACAAAACGTCGTTGGGGGTGGGTGCACGCACGTAGCATTCTAATGAAAGCCGGCGAAGGTATTGACTACTCATACATGGAGTCTTCGTTCGGTGGGCTTTCAGATCAGCAACTTGAGGTTGAAGATAGGATCGAAAAAGCATTGTTAAGCCCAAACAACGAATCCGAACGCTCTGTTCGACAAACCATAATGGACGTCGTTAGGGAAGATGAAGAATCAGAATCATCAGAATTCAGATCTGACAGCGACGAAGGCATGGTTGATAATGACCCTCTCATCGTTATGGATGAAGATGATATAGAAGAAGAAATTGAGGTCGGCGACGAGCCCGCAATCGAATTCGAAAGCTCTTCAGAGGAAGCAGGCGGTTTGGACACAGTCGAAGCGGCGAGAACCTCTGCAATCCTTGACTCGATCCTTAACATGTCAAACACTGGTGACGAAGACGAAGATGAAGACGAAGACGGTTCCGAAGATGAAGACTACGACGACGAAATGGATGAAGACGACGACGATGAAGAAGATGATGATGACGACGATGACGACGACGACGACGACGAAAACGACGACGAAACGAACGCTACTCTAGATGACCCCGAAGAACGACGACGAGAAAGACTACGGAATACAATACGCATCAAGAAGGTTACGAGGTACAATCGGAATAAACTACAATCCCATGCACCTCTTGAGGAGAATATCCGATTGTACCGAGGCCACTGCAATGTCCAAACTGTATTTAACCCTTTCTTGATCCAAAGGCATTTCGGACACACTAACGACAAGTTGTATGTAGGTCAAAGATGTAAATTTCTATGGTTTACAGGACGAATATGTCGTCAGTGGCAGTGACTGTGGACACGTCTTCATATGTAAGCGGTGACCAATAGGGTTTTCACGATAGAGCTAGGAACTTTAGGAACTAACTTCAGCTGCTTACAGGGGACAAAGAAACAACGGAACCTGTGCAGATTCTCCATGGGGATAGCTCCGTCGTCAACGTGGTGCAGGGCCACCCAACCGAACCTATGCTAGCAGTGTCAGGTATCGACGACACTATCAAAATATTTTCTCCCGATCGTCAGCTCCAAGACTTAGCCCGAAAAGGCATTGGGATGTACAACAGTCAACCACTTGCGGGACGTCAGCGATTTAAGGACAGGGAGACAATCATGGGCGACAATGAAATCGCTAGACAGAACGGCCTCAGCGATGCAGTTATTACGGTAAGCCTTCGGCGAGCCCTCCGAAACCGCATTGCGTTGAGTTTTGGGGAATGGGTTCACTTGCTCGGTGCTGGAGATAGCGATTCTTCTGAATAGAGTGTCGTTCTCTCCCTCACTTCGAAGGGCTACCAAATTTCCTATTTCAATAAGGAACGGATTCATACCAGTTGTTTTTTCTTCTTGTTTTTTCTTCTTCTCTTCATATCCTTTTCTTTTCGCAAAACTATTAGCAACTAGTTACAGAACATTATTTCATAGGAGAATATGCTGATTCTTGTTTTCCCCGTGTTCTTGTATCTAGAGTTCTATGATTGCGCAGCTTGCGAGAAGTCTACATCGACGCCAAATGGCAAACGGTCCGGGAGGTGCTGTCGTCAATCTTGATCAGCTGGATAACTGTACGGTATGTTGAGAATCGGATATATTATGCAGGCCAAATGTCTTTTCTCGTCGGCTCGCATATACTAACGTTACACCACAGATAATGTGACCTCTGTCTCGCCGCAGTTTGGGAATCGCTTGGGCTCTAGTTCTACTATTTGGAGATCGGACGATTTTTTTTCTTTGAATGTTATTCATTTTTAAGGGTTAAAATGCTTCCTTTACATCATTAAGCTGTCGGTGTCTTTTTGGTGGGCACAATTTGAAGTATTTTAATGGGAAAAGGGACTGGTTTTTGTATATATATCCTCATCGAACTTTGATATGCTCGCACATTCGGAATCATAAGATCTATAAGACTGCACCCTGAACTAAAGCTACGGGCCCTGTATCACGATAATAGGATAAAAGATAAGGGTTTTTGTATCCTAGGCTGAATCAAAAAGGAAAATAAGGACTGCACACCTATCTGCGCTCGCGGAAACAATTCGTCTTCCAGCTGCATGCTGGTGCTGGTGTTTAAGATACGCTTCCCGATTGCCGTTACGTGAAAGACAATCGTCTGCAGTCCCCTGCATAAGTTGATTATCGAGTCTACTTACATATGCACGAAAGCTAGTGGTCCGTGTCAAAGGAAGCACAACAGACAAACGCACTCAATATCCTGCTTTTTTTTCCTCCTACGGTGCGGGGAAAAGTAGAGGCTGATTGCCATTGGTCTATCTCTTACCATCAATCTAAAGTCAAAGGAGAAAAACCCGGAATGCAACAATATATGGAACCTATAGATATTAATTAATTGTTTTTTTTACCGCGCTAGCCGGAGTGTGTAAAATTGAATTTGCGGCTTTTTTCTGGTTGGAGGTAGACGATTGCGTGCATGAAGGAGAGGGAATATCTGTACGACGGTTCTGCGGACGTAGCGGGACAGTAGGCTCCTTTGGATTGTTTCGTGATATCATATCTGAGATAGAGCTGGAGTTTTGGGCTTGAGGCCTCAAGCAATCTGATACCGAACCCGTTTATGTCAGAAAAGGAAACCGCCCGAAAAGGGAATAGGAATTGAGTAGCACAAAATTCTAGAGCTCGTCAAGCTAAGTAGAGGGCAAAAAAAAAAAAAAAAAAGACACCATAGGCACCGCATCATTAGCCTAGGTTCATCGTTAACGTTAATGCCATTGCTTTCCGACGCTTTGCTCGTCTCTCGGGTCGCGGAACAATTCAACCTCAAGCTCTTTTCCAAGGATTATCTTTACTAGAGATGATCTAGCTTGGAAAGCTGCCAATACGGAAAAACGGCGCCAGACCCAGTTACATCATGGGTGGGAGGCACTTTAGTTGAAGCGAGGGCATCAGCAAATTGGGGGCCCCGGATCGGATTTGAGGCCGTGAGGGTGTCCTGGATATGCATTATCTCGTCACTACAGCTGCTTTTAAGGTTGCAGACACGGGTACGGAAATGGTACATCATTCGATGGAGCGGTGATGCACACTAGTCCATCACTTGTAGAGAACTCTCGGTCCAAAAGCTCCATCTTGGCCTTACTGTCTCCGGTGTATTGCCTGTGGTGCTAGTTCAGAACCGTAGAGCCTACTCTGGCAACTTCCACCCGTCATAGCCATGAGAGGAGCAATATCGAGGTGGGAATCTTGTATATATGGAACATAAAGTCGGACCACTTTTTTTTTTTTTTTTTGTTTATTGAAGTTTTGTCGTCCCGCTCTTGTCATCCGTCGATCCAAGCTTGAACCATTGCATTGGCATCAGCAGAACCATTTATACCGTCATTCGTATCGGCTTGGGCCCAGCTACCACCCTCGCCTTTAAGCCTTTTTTTTCAAGTTTTTAGTTAGCTCATTTCCGAATACCATATTTCTTTCTTCCAAAGCAACGTGGAGCCACAGCAGACCAAGCCAAAGCTGTGTTGGATAACGGTCATATCACCCCACTTCTAGATAGCTACTTCGAGCTAGCTCCCCACCTTGGCCTTGCGCTCCTGCAACTGCAACCGCAATAAAATTTTCCCACCTGCTATAGGCCAACCAGGACAACGGTGCAGAGGGTATTGCTGGGCGGCTACCAAAGTTTCGAGCTCGCCTGCCCTGCGTCTTTTGAGATAAAACCCTTTAGCTTTAGTCGGACCTAATTATAATCATTTTTGGGGGTGCCGGTGCATGTCAACCGGTTGAGCAATTGTCGTGGGAGAGATACAGGTTGTCCTGTATATTGCGACAGATATACTCATAGCGAAAGCGAAAGAGGGTGTGGCTGCAATTGTCAGCTTCATCTAACACCACTGCAGCAGCAACAGTTTCGATCTTGCCTTGTGACTGGACTCTGATTGGTATATCACATTTTGCAATTGGTTTTGGAAGACCCGATTTCCTCATCGCCCCTCCATAGCAGCAGCAGCAACAGCGAGCAAGCGAGCAAACGGTTTGCAGTCTGCAGTTCACGTTCGGGTGCAGCCTGCGTTTTTCCTGCACGTCAGTCCGCCTCCCTCCATTCCCCCCAAAAATATTTTCGAATTCAGGCGCAGAAGCAGCAACTTTCCCGTGCTTATCCGGCATTCTATAATATAACCAGCAGGTAAGGAGGTTAGTTAATTCTTTAGTTACAGTATAGATAGGTAGTTGGGTACACAGGTCAAGCACTTACCCAGTGGCCTAGCGTCAAGCATCGAGACGAGGTGAGTTACGTTACCTAATTGCCTGCGGCTGGTTTCGTCTGATGTATTTGGAGATATCTTGCAAATGCAAATCGATGCAATGACAATGATAATAACCTGTGCAAGTCAGCCGCCCTTCTAGAAGCTACCGTTAACAGTGCTGCACCTTCACCGGCCCAGCCAACCAGTGGCGAAGAGGCGTCCCGGCTAGGAGAGTAGTAGCGAGCGATCTTGCTGGCAGGTGGGATCGATTGTGCTGGATTAGATTGCATTCAGTCTAGTTGGGTGCGGTTTAGTCCCTAAAGTAAGGAAGAACCCCTCCACGGCGGGCCACCAAAACTCAACTCAACTTTTGTCGAATCAACGACAACGTCACCCTGCTCGCACATATTTACCTAGCTTTCACCTACTTACAGACACTCTCTTATAGTTCCCCCCCTCCCTCCAACTACCAATTGTCCTGGCTTCATTCATTCTGATTCAGATTCCGATTCGATATCGATTCGATCCAATTCAACTATCATACTTTCCTTATTTCCCAAGCTCCAGCTACCAGTTTTCCCACAATGGCTCATTTGAACGCCTACGCCTCCAAGGACGCCCTTGCATCAGCCCTTCTCGCTTTCATCGTCGAACGTCAAAGCCAGGCTATTAATCGCCACGACAGATTCCAGGTCGCAGTCTCCGGTGGTTCTTTGCCTTCCATTCTCGCTCAAGCTTTGCTCTCCGAAGAAGCTGAAGGTCAAATCGTCTGGGATAAATGGCAAATCTTTTTCGCAGACGAGCGAGCTGTCCCACTAGACGACGAAGACTCAAATTACGGTCTCCTCAAAAAAGAATTACTAGACAAGCTCCCTGAAGGAACTGCTCAACCCACCGTTGTTCCAATCGATACCGATTACCTCGATGACACCCAGGAGTTAGCAGACCAGTACGAACAAGCCCTCGTCCGCTACTTCGCTCCACGGGACAGCGTCTTGAAGCCCATCTTCGACCTCTTGCTCCTCGGATGCGGTCCAGATGGTCATACTTGCAGTCTCTTCCCCGGCCATGAGCTTCTCCGCGAGAATGATGCTTGGGTAGCTCCAATTGAAGATTCTCCAAAGCCACCACCAAAGAGAATTACCTTGACATTGCCTGTTATTAAGCACGCTATCAAGGCTGTCTTCATAGCCACCGGTGCAGGCAAACAGGATATCTTGAAACAGATATTCGGTGATCCAGAGGGAGGACTACCATGCACCTTGGTCAACCATGTTCTGGAAGACAAGGTCACTTGGTTCGTTGACTACCCTGCTGTCGAAGGCGTCACTTATCACAAAAAGTCTCTACTTTAGATGTCTTATCTCTTATTTGATACATTTTCCTTCTCCCTTCTCTTTCTTTCTTCCCTCTTCCCACGGGTTCACGCTTTAGCGTAAGGGTTTTCCATATGGAACAGCATATTTTTTTTTGTTGCTGCCTGGTTGATCTATTTGTCCAGAGTTTGGTTTATCGTTGAATCTCCCTTCGCATGTCGGTATCGTCTTCTTACTTTTCTTTTTGTTATTTCTATTCCGGAGGTATTAAACAGAGAGGAATGGTATCATCATACCCCCCTTTTCTCTCTGACTCTCTACTGTAGTTAAGGTGCGGCTTTTTCTTCATTCTTCATAGAAACAATTTCCTACACTATTCTTCCAACCATTCTTTTTTTTTTTTTTTTGCCCATTTCATTTTTACTGTTTGGTCTATGGGATGGGGGACTTGACGTCTTTTCAGTTTCATCTTCACTTCACGCCACCCTTTTTTTTTTTTTTTTGAAAACCTTCAATTCTGATCACGACGTCATGTATTCCCTTTTCCTCTTCTTCTCATTTATCCTTTTTTTCTTTCTTTCTCTTTTTTCCGTTTAAAAAAACCTCACTTGTTATGAGGAGCAGGTGGCTGCAAATTATTATTATCATGATCATGTCTCTCTTGTAACGAAATGGAACGAATTATAGACGGAAATTTAAATGGGACAAAATTATTCATTCCTGGGATCGATTCATATATGCATACCGCCCAAAATGATTCGTAAATGATATATGTATACTACTAGGTAGTGACTTAACCTCGTAGTTGATCGGGGGGCGAAAAAATACAGACTCTGCATAACCATGAATCAACGTTGCAACTTTGATTTGAGTACGTAAGTATGTATATATAGATACTTAATTATTTTAGCGTCGTCATGATCACGAGAGTCGCAAAACCGGTTAAACAAATCTTATTGTAGACCTTTCTTCAGTAAACATATTAATTAAGGACAATCATATTTTAAATTAGGAAATCTGGGATTAAAACTGAATATGCTTGTCTCGTACCTAATCCCACCTAAAAAATAATATGCCCTCTATCTCTATTCTAAACTAACTCGAAGTAGCATTTGGATATCAATAACGGAATTATCATCAGATCTCCTATTCGGCTGGGTCAAAATGAGATTGATAGATCTGTGGTCCAACTGTGCTCGTTTTTGGACACACATGAATGTGAATTCTCTAACGGAAGGTATGGCAATCAGGGCGTTATAAACGTGCGTTTCGATCTCCTTTGCTCTTGTTGAAGAGCCCTTTTGACGTTTTTGTATGAGACCCGCATTTTGGGTTTTTGGTATCCTGATTCCCCTGCGGTGTTTATTTAGGTTATCGTCGGGGTTATTAATATCGCCGGGGTTGCCCCGATTGATATCTTTGGGTGCCTGTTCGGGTTCTGGTGAGGGTTTGGGGGGTTTTTGGGTCGTTGGTATATCTCCGGGCACTAGTTCGTCTAGGTCATCCCAGAGCGTTCGCGAGGGACTTGGATCTGGCCGGCGTGTCTGTGTGGGATTTGGTGCTCTTCGAGATGTTTCTGAAGGATCACTTTCCGGATCACTTTCAGGGTCTTCTTCAGGGTTTTCTTTAGGGCCTTTCTTAGGGCTTCCTTCAGGGTCTCCTTCCGGCTCATTAGACTCACGCCCCATTGTTCCCGAAAGCACAAGACGGTCAAATCCCGGCTTTGAAAGATCCGCATCTGGATCAGCTTCCTTCATGATATCGTATCCTTCCTTGATATACTTTTGTGCCTTCTCATTGAGATCAACCAATCCTATCCACTGTATGTCCCCCAACCCCATACCACGGTTCACCTCCTGTTTTGCATACAGATTCCAAGCGAGATAAGTGATATCGCCAAAGTTCAGAGTCTCGATCGCGATATCGTCGTTAGGACGGTACCGCTCAACAATTATCATTCTATTCGCCCTTGACATCAAAAACTTATAGGGCGCCTCGGCGCTGCCCTTGGGGTTGTATAGAGTCACTTGAGTAAAGTCATCGACCAACCTGCCACCTCGAGTGGCACCTCGAAACATCGATGCGAGAGCACTATAACGGCTGTCCCCCGAAACCATGTGAGTGTTCAGGCCGGCGTTAGTTCCTACGATATCCCCACCCCATCGGTAATTGTTGCTTTCGACGATCAAATCCGCATCGTCAACATGGATGGTAATTTCTTCTTTCTGAGCTCTTCCAGCGATCCCAAGGAATTGAGCACCTGTTCTGGAAAGATCAATGAAGGGCCCTGAGGCTTTGATATCGGGCTCTGGTGCATCTATCTTCTTAAGGCTTTTGGTGAACCAAGTAGGTAGACTATCGTTGATATTTTCAGAAACGTCGGCACCTTGAATACCGCCTCCTCCACCGCCTTTTGGACTTCTGGCAACGAGGCCCGAGCGAATGCCTGGGGATACCGTGACTCGACCGTAGGCAATGGGTGGGTTATAAGTAATAGCCAAAAGTAAGGATAGTAGACTTAATTTTAAGTACTTTCGAGACATGATTGTAAGAAATTAAAACTGAGTAATACATGACTTTGGAAGAACTCGGGAAATGGGAGAAAGGCACGCTTTAACAGGGACACACGTTCATTATAGAGGAATCAAATCATGGCCTGGTTGATAGACAGGTCTCTATAATCTGCCTAGAATCAATTATAACGAGGCAGTGTTAAGTTATCACGGCAAAGATATTTCTTCTGGCCTAGCGTTACTGTTAAATATATATATCTAACCCATGCATCCCAGCATGAGAGAAAGGCTTCAAAGCATGCGTGCCACAAACCGTCCCAACGAAGGCAAAACTGCGTTGTGACCTGTTGGAATTCCCATTTGGCCACACACACTTCACACGAGATCCGCTGCCTCTTTGGCCCGCCAGTCGGAAAGCTAGCTTCGTTTAAAACACGAACACCAAGAGCCCCCTTCAAGAAAGAAAAGAGAAAAGGAAAAAAAGTGGATATATCTCGCGAACATTCCGTCTAGGGGATGCGCAGTTCGAAGGATGAGCTCTAACACCAACATCTCCTTCGCCGACTAACCCCGCCGCTCCCTCAACTATTATCTCATCTTTGCGACACATCTCCGACACGTTACATACCCACCCACCAATCCCATCGCCAAAGTCATGGCCCGGAGGATCGTCCGAACCGCCACCCAGCTGGCCGTGTTATCTTTCCTTGCTTTCCTACTCGTCTATCTTCTCGATACTCGATATAGAGTCCTACCCAATGCAATCCATAATAGATTACCTACGCATCACGACCAACAGATTATAACCGATATCGAGATAGCTTCATGCTTTAAGCTACTTAGTGGGTGTAGGAAAGATAGTCCTTGGTATAGAATTGAAAAGGACTTATACCTCGAAGAACATCTTGTTCGTCATGCTTTTGTCCACGTTATTCGTAAACACGAGAAGGAATTAGTGGGCGATGAACCTGTTGTGTTGGATATCAAGGTGTCAAGGAAACAACCAGCTGCTGTGAAGGATGGCGAGGTTTGGGAACAGAGAACTGGGGGTATTTGGATCCTGAGAGGAAAATTGAGGCACAATGCTGTTACGGCTGTTGAAGTGCTGTTTGGACCAGATGCTGAGGATCCTAGGCTCGATTGGCAGATCAAAGACACTCCACTCCGGATTGGAAAAGAGGCGAGGTTGAGTGTGAGAATTGGGTCGCCGGATAGTACAGCGGAGAAGCACAAGAAACCTAAGTTGAGAATTGGGAAATCTGGGAAGTTCAAGATTATTCAAGTTGCTGGTATGTCTCGACAATCTTTTTGGTGGGCTCGTTTTTGAGATATATCAAGATCCAAGGCTGATATCATTTCCCAAATAGACCTACATCTATCCACTGGTGTTGGCGACTGTCGAGATGAGTACCCCGTTATGAAAAATACGAAATGCGAGGCAGATCCAAGAACATTGGAATATGTTGCAAAGTATCTTGATGAAGAAAAGCCGGACCTGGCAGTTCTCACCGGCGACCAAGTCAACGGCGAATCCTCCCCGGATGCCCAAACTGTAAGTTGAGCTCCGCTACGGCTCTATCGTAAACCCCCCATTAACAAACTTTGCGTAGGCCTTGTTTAAAATGGCAGATTTGTTTATTAAACGGAACATCCCATATGCTACTATTTACGGAAATCACGACGACGAAGGTGATTTAAAGCGTGCCGAGCTGATGAAATTGACACAAACTTTACCTCTATCGCTTTCCGAGCCGGGCCCGGAGACAGTGCCCGGCGTGGGCAACTATGTAGTGCAAATTATGTCCCATAAGGCAGACCACCCCGCCGTTACCTTGTATTTCCTCGACAGCCATTCGTATACACCGGATGAGAAACATTACCCCGGATACGACTGGATAAAACCCGAACAAGTCAAATGGTTCGAAGATGAACATGAAAGCCTAAAGCCCAAGATCAAGCAATACTCTGGTATTCATTTGCAAATGGCGTTTATCCATATACCCTTACCGGAATACACGCATAGCAAAAATCCATTTGTTGGACAGTGGCGTGAAGGAGTTACTGCACCTAGATACAACTCGAACTTTAGCAAGGCGCTAATGGACGCTGGCGTTGGTGTTGTTACCTGCGGTCATGATCATGCGAATGATTACTGCTTGTTGGAGAGGCAGGAAGGACATCCGAAATTGTGGATGTGTTATGGTGGCGGCGCCGGATTTGGAGGGTAAGTAGTTGGAAATATCTGCCTGCCTTTTTTTTAAAAGAAATTTACTGACGGTTGGTGTGGAAAACTTTTTTATTTTATTGTTTTAGTTATGGTGGCTACAATAATTACATTCGAAGGATACGAATGTTCGAAATAGATGCACCGTCCGGGAGAATTACTACCTGGAAGAGGACAGAAGTCGAAGACAAAGGCAGGCTCGATGAGCAGATAGTTGTTGACAGTGGAAAGGTCCAGGAATCGTAGGCGCCGTTTTTTTTTTCGCCTTGTGCAATTAATTACCTTCGCATGTAGAAGGAAGTTTGGGCTTGCATGATGACTATAGTACTAACGTTACCCTCTCTGGATGGTTACATCGGGGAACTTTTTTTTTTTTTTCCTGTTCCGCTTCCCCTTCCATCCCCTTAGTTTTTCTTCGCAGTTATTTGGATAATGGGGTATACGGCGTTATTTATCATGGATTACGGGGTTTCCTTACATTACACAGCTGGGCGTAATAATATTTATCCCCACTATAGTCATCCAGCGGAGCGGGGTGGCTTGACATGCACCTCTGTACACGTACATACACAGTAGGCTTGCTTATTATCCTAAAATATCTTCTATTTTGTGATATCAAGGCCGAAAAAAAAAGAGAGAGAGAATGGCATATGTGTTTAGTGGACGAGCGCATGCATAATATTATCTAAATTGACGAAATCGAAGCCACTCGACTATGCAGCTGGAAATTAACCCGGCGGAAGACGAAAAAATAAATAAAAAAGAAAGAAGAAAAAAGGAAATACTTATAGAGAGGGTTTGATTCTGTATTACCGAAATGTCAAAATAAGCTTCGAAAAGAGCAAGCGCACGTGGGTGGAGAGGTCTATCAAAAGGATAAGGCTAATTCTGCCGATCCAATATCATATTCCCAGGCTATAATATGATATGCTCTGCTGATCACAGCGTGGGGCCTTCCCGTTTGATCGTCCGTAGTACGAGGGAGAGTTAAGAGAGGGAGAAAGATAGAAAGTCGAACGACTATCGTGCAATTTTTATTGGACCTAATGTATAGGTCTATGGATATATACATACATGCAAGTTATAGGGAGATAAGGAAGGAGTGTGCCTTCTTGTGACGTTATACAGTCGAATCTTGCATATTCAGGAACTTAACTTTTTTTGAGGGAACTTTTTGAGGAAACATTCGGTAGAACTAAGAGGTAACAAGGTATACATGTACTATGTAGGATATGGATATAAGGATGAGAAAGAAAAAAAGAAAGAAAAAGGTGTTTACACAGCAGTCTTCTCGTGGCAGTTTCTTCTTTGCGGACACTCTCGCCTGTGCGACGGAAAGGGGTTCTCTGTCTTGAACGGGACGTCAAAAACAACACAGTCGATACATGTCGATCCAACTACAACCCCGTTTACACTAGTTAACGTTTAACATTAATGTCCGACGGGGAATCCTTAAGGCTTCGGATGGAAAAGATGGATCGAGGAGAAGCCGGGAAGAAGAAGAAGGGGGGGAAAGAAATGTGCTCAATTAAGACATGGATCCTCTTCTCGCCTGTTAATTAAGAGTTTGTTGGCAAAAGTAAGAGAGTTCAGCCTTTCGGCTCTCTCGCTCTCATCTCGTCAAGCTAATAGGTAACTAGCTTCGAAGGAAAATTTTGGCCGGAAAAATGAATCTTAAACTTCCCACCGGCAAATACCTATCTATACTAACTGCATACATGTATGTAGTATGCACATGCATGGGAAGGGAAATTAATATAAAATGAACCCTTCTACTTTTTCTTTCTCGCTTTTTCCAGAGCCTTACAAGAGTAAATGTGATACAGACCAGGATTGGCTGGAAATGTCATTGATAGCGAACCTTACAGCCTTAATCCCTGGTTCTCGGGTTTGTCGACAGTCCTTTTCTTGAACTGCCGTTGGTTATAAACCCGGCCTCTGGTCATGTCAGGCTGGTTTACGAGCTAGGCCTATAGGTTAACGTGACACTACATTTGTAGGGATGTATGAATCTAGATGCTTGTCAAGGGAAGGGAAAAAACTGAAATAGGGTCCCCCAACGGTCGAGCCGTCGCACTCAAAGAGAGAAAAAACTTGATCATTTCATTTGTAGGCTGGTGTTGCATGTTTGATGTTTATGAGTACTAGTACTGTTAGCATATTGCTCTATGGAGTATCGGCTGAGAGGTGTGAAAAATTATATTAATAGTAAGAAGCAGATAGGTAGGTATGTAGGTAAGTAGGTGAACAGAATTATATTCTCTTCCAACAAGAAACCAAGAGAGCTCCCTTGCCCCAAATCGACCAGTAATTTTCCCAATTAATCAATTGATAAGAAAAACAGAAAGGTAAGAAAGCAGTATATTCAACCGGAACACCTGACGCAAAAAAGTACAAGCAGCCATGCAAAAGATAAAGAGGTAGCGATAAATAAACCCTGAGAAAGGAGATGGTATATGTATATAGTACGGACGTGGACACATTACAGCAGTCGGATATCTAGAAAAGAAAAAAAGTGATATCATCCTTTTAAGAAAAGTTTCAAACAACGCCAATGGTTCTTTTGTGTTAATATAGAGATGTATTAGATATTACCCTATATGAATACTAGTGATAATATTGCGATGAATGAAACTGTTGATATCCACGTCCGTGGCCGTGAACTCAACGGTGCTGCCGACCCAAGCTGTGCCTCCGCCACCGTCGTATTGACAAAATTGGGACCACACCCTAGGTTTATTAGGTTGGCCCCGGCAGCGTAGGTCGAGGAGATTGGTAATGAATTATTCACCGCCGCAGCAGAGAATATCCTCATTGTCTTTTGCAAACATGTCGAACAGGTAAGCTGTGCTCCTCCCGGAATTGGAATTCCCAGTGGCATAAGATAAACATAGGTATCAGCGGAATTCGTGCTGTTGGTGACTGCATCCGCGTAACAGAATCCCGTCTCGGATCTTTGGCATCCAGCAGCAAACATGACTCCGTACGAAATAAAAGAGGCATATGATTGGATGACAGCAGGATTGCGGAGCTTGAAGTCTGCACCGCAGTTAGAGGCATCGAGGAGAGCCTTGCCTAGGTCATTCATAAGGCTGTTGCAACGACCCGAGTCGGCACTGCAAGACTTTGTGAGAGCCTGGGTAACTGGGACAATTCCATGCTTGGTAATGTCGAACCACGACTTGGAGTTCTGTGGCTTGATTGTTAGTTAGGGTGACATAATTGAAAATATATATAAAGAAATATGTTTACCCACCTGCATAAAAAAGGATAAAGGCATGCATTCGATGAATTCGGTATTATTCAAGAAGTTTTGGAAGAATGCTTGACATCCAGGTGCGGTAAAGTTGTTCAAGGCGACGCTAGTATCAAAGGCACGTGGGAAAGGTGCAACATATCCATCGCTATCAGAATTTGCAGTTGGTGTCGAGGCTGAATTCCGTACTGTCGACGGTGCATATGTTGCTGTTCTCTTTGCTAAATCCGGAACTATGGTTGTTGGAGCGTCTCCGTTGACTGGAATCCTTAAAGATGCTTCCTCCTCGAACGGTCTTTGACTGGGGGCGGCAGATGTGAAAGAGAATAAGAATATTATAAAAATTGTAAAATATAAAGAGAACGAGCTAAACGAAGATTTTTTGAGAGAGTGTCGGTCCATGTTGGGCTTTCTGTTGGTTGTTTGTATATATTTCTATAAATGAATGTGGGATTCCGAAGGAATCAGAAAGTGATTGAGTGATTGTATCAAGTTGGTTGTGTAAAATTAATGAGTCCGAATATCGTTAATTGTGCATGTCAGATGATAAACCCGAGCAATTCAGCTAAATTTGCAATCAAAAGGTCGTAGATGCAAAGTATTTGGAAATCGTCGTTAAGAGGCTTCGAAGGAATCTTGGTCAATTGATCAATTTGTCGTGAGGCTGAGGGGTTCAATCGGATGGTCGAAGTCGTACAGCAAAGTACCCCTCTTGATCGATGTCTGAATGTGCAAAGATATATATCTGACGAGTATATGGAAGAAGAAGAAAAAAGAAGAACGATGATTCGAAAAGTCGTCCGTTCTTTCTAACTTCTTGTCGGAGATCTGATCTTTCGTTTGTGTGGATTGTCGCAAGTTTGAACCTTCTAATTGTCCTGGTGGCACAAGTACACAAATCCGGGCTGTTACGCGACTATTCGCTCTCAACTTCTCTTATGCAGGCAAAGGGATTGAAAGGTTTGAACGCAGGGGAGAAGAGGAAATTGAAGAATCGATGAAGAGAAAAAAAATAAAAAGAACGCAAGAGGTCGAGATCGCTTCCCGTCACAAAATTGGCGACTAAACGGGCACCCGTTGTTGATGATCCCTCACATGCTGGTAGCCAAAGGGAAGGGCAGGAACACCTTTAGGACGGATCACCACCTTTAAAGCAGACATGGGCGGATGGTGAGATGGGCCGTGCTGCAGCGCGCGGAAAAGCAAAATTGTGGATTCGTCCGCTGTTGGCCCCATCTGACCCCATTGGCGGCTGGACAAGCCAAGCCGTAAAAGGGGGAAGTAACCTTGATAGTGGATATTACAAGCAATATTTGGGACCAGGGTGGTGGGAGACCTGCAAGGCCTCGAATGTTTATCGCATGTTGTGGAGGGAGGTTCCCTGCAGGGTTCTCAAAAAGGAACCTGGACGATTCAAAGGGAGAATTAGAAGAAGTCGAATTCGTCAGGATTAAGAATAGTAAGGTACCTGTTAGTCAGAGTGCGCTCTTCGATCTTCGAGTCTCTCTTGGTCTCTGCTCCCGCGGATTCGTTCGTCGTTCTGAGATTAGCTACGCTGGAGTTAGCAAGCATCCCATGCCAATTTCCAGAGATCCAGCGCGGTGGGGTTGAAATTTAAGCTCGATTAGCTAAGGACAGGAAACATATTGGTGACATTCAACGTCGCACTACTCTGAGCAAGTGGGTAATGATAGCCCACGACACTAACCTCAATTTAAAAATGGATCTAACTAAACCGAACAGAGACTTCGATGGTAAATGTTCTCGAAAAAACGAAGACTCGGGCCAAAGAAAGGCCAATTTCTTTTGCGAGCCAATAATATTAGCCGCGATTGCCAATGCTCTTACGACTCAGTGGCTTGGCTTGGGGAAATTATTACTTGGTAGTATCGTGCTAACGATCACACGAATTCGAAGTCGCAATTCGATGTTGTGCAACCAAATTTCGAATACGTCTGCATGCGGCCTTGGGATGCCAATTTCCTCATGCAGAAGGATCCCGGTACACCGAGCAGCTCAGCTCTCCATGAAAATTCATGAAATGTGACATCTTGTCAGGCGCTTCCCGATATCCATCACAGTGGTACAACGTACTAGCGATCAATTGCATTAATTGCAAAACGGGCAAGTTGAAATCCGCACAATTGATTAATTTCCGACGGGCTGGACTCCTAGGCAAGACAACTTTGATAGCTGAAGCCGTTGGCTTGGTATTCTTCCTTTCGCGCTCGGTTTCTTCCTGAAAGGCCGAGAACCGACGTCGGTAAATTGATTAACAATAGCTGAATATTCGAATAGCTTCGGGGCCGGGGTCGCCCTGTGATGTCGAGAGTACCAATGCAAGTTGGCAATCGAAGACTGTATTTATCGCAATCGATTTTAATCTACATGTGAATGAGAGATTCCAATTTAGGTATATACCATGAAGTGATATCAATTTGATAGGTACAATGGCGCCACTGATCAGCTGAGGGCCAGGGGAGGAACTCCGAGTTTTCTCTCTCTTTTTCTTCTGGGACCTGGATATCAGTTTGCCGAATGTGATAATCACAATGATCTATTACATCACAATTGAATCTATGTTCCCAATTCATTCTGAGATATGAATAAGATTGAGAAATATAGCAAGGTATGCGGAATTAAAATGTGGGCTCACAGAGTACAATTGAAGATAAGATATATACTACTAGTATACTTTGCTATCGATATAATTTCGAAGCTACGAATGTTATTTTTGAGGTTTGACTTGATTACTTTGATATACGAATTATCATATAGCATACACCCCAATAGCCTGGTACATAGAGAGACCGCTCGACATGCATATGGAAAATGTCTCTTAAGTCAGCTGCAGGGGGGCCCACTGAGAGTTTTTCAGGCCAACGAGCTTACGAGTGCTCTGGACCAAAATAGTCAGAAGTCTAGAAGTCCTTCAGGAATCGGGTCTTTTGGACCCGACCCAAGCCAGGGATGCCAAGAATCTACATTCTACAGGTAAGTCCTTTCCGATAGGTTGGCGTTCAATTGTCCAATATCAACCTTCCTCTCTGGCTTGATCAATATCGCCTTCCTTTCATTGTTTTTTTCCCACCCTCTCAATCGACTGATGGTACACGATCGAGATTTTTTTCCTCTTTCTTCCCTTCGTTCAACCACGGCTCAAATAAGCACACCAAACTTTGGTTCACCAGGCTCTTTCAATTTTGAGTTCAGAAGAACCTGCCGTTTTTCGCATGTGGACATTCGTTTATGGAGGGGCAGACGCTAACCTTGAGCAGCCGGACTCCGCCAAATTAAATTATCTGCACCCCGCGTTTTTTTTCTTCTTCTCTCTTGTTGATTAATTTGAAGATGGTAAAATGCCTCTGACCTGAACTTAAAAGATGGATGTTCTATTTTAGTATACAAAAAAAAAAAGTGGTGGTTGTGTCAAAAGGCTTGACTGACCCGCCTGTGCACAAATTAATTTACTCGCTTCGACATTCGATATCCGATATATATCAAACAAAACAAAAATACCTTGCCATTACTTATTTTTCACTACTCTGTATTGATACATAGTACTTACTTGTAGATTGAAAGGGAAAAGAGGGGGAAACGTGGTTACCTTCTCGCTTGCAATTGACCGGGTATGTATGTCTCTCTCCTTTTAGTGCTTGATCGACTCCCTTACTCGAGACGTTTGGAATGCGAGCGATTGGCCAATTTAAACGTTCACAACTGACAACGTCGTTTCGTTTCCGTCCCCGCCGGGTAACGTAACGTAGCGAGAATGTATACGGATGCCTCGCAGGCTCTTCCCGCAGTTTAGTCTATAGTTTCCGTGGTTTATAATATTAGTAAATTTTATAGTTTATGATTATGTGGGCTTAAGGCACCCGGTTCTTTGGGGTTTTGGGTTAGATGCGGGATTCCGAAATCGCATAGACAGACTCGATGTGGACGCTTAACTTAAGGATTCGGCGGCTAGTAGAGTATTGTCGAAACATGTCCTGAAATGCTCACTTGGTTTCAATTGGCTTTTCGTAAACTAGACTCCACGAAGGGGCTAAAGGTTTCAATGTTACGATCAAGAATAGAAACTCAATGATCGCCTGAAATATGTGGATTCCCTCAAATACAACGCTAATAGACTTGAAAAAAAATATATACTAAAATAACTCCAATGAAGAATCTATCAACATGATCTCAAAACACCATACGAATGCCCCGCTTCTCCAAAAAGCTACCTACTTGTTCTATGTATAAAAATAAGTGATACTTAAACCGGCCGCGAAGATAAGGCAGCCTTACTAAAAAAACATCATAAAAATCATTTAAGGTAAACCGGGATACCGTAAACGACGGGCGCTGCCCCGTTCAGATATCTCATCTTGCAAGCACTTCTGCTTGTTGCCGTAGCCAAGCACAAAGATGATGTGCCCTGGTTACTTTTCTCAATTGTACCCTTATCATCATGCTTAATCTTGATCTTTGCCTTGCCTTTTGAGGCCTTCTTATCCTTCTCGTCCCTGAACAACCCCCAAGATTCGAAAACCTTTGATGAATATTTATCGATATCTTTATCCGTAACGTCCCATAACGTAACCAATACTGCGGGGCAACCACCCTGCAGGTAATTTACCGGCATACCATATGGTTCGAATTCGCCAGCATCGGTGAGCTTCCCGCTGCTACAGCCCATCAAGAGGCTGACAGCGCAATTGTTTAGTTTCTTCACTGTCCTAGCTCGGATATACTGTGCCCCACTACCGTGGCCAAAATAGAGAAAGAGATCCTTGTCCTCGAGATATCTTGCAAACTCCTTCTCTGTTGGGATTTTGCTGATAAGCCCTTCCCAACCAGTCATAGATCTTAGCTCTTCCTCGTAGGTCTTTTGCGTATTTGTAAGATCTAGTGCTGGGTTTAGAATATAGCCTGTATTTGCTCGGTTGATGTACAGCCCCGCTTGATTCTCATATGAGAAGTTTTGAAGGAGAACTCGATCACGCAGAGATGCAAGCGATGGCAAGCGTGAGACCGAGCGTCCGTCCAAACATGGTAGTGATTCCCACGGAAGGACATGAACTGATTTGTCAAGAATTAAAACGGTGTGTTCATCAACTGTCGCATCTTCGTACTCTTTGATTGCTATATGGTAACTTTCAAGAGCGTCGGTAATTAAGACGATCATATCGTCCAAGTCAATTTCATCTGCAGCATTTTTCTCTCCGTGGAATTGCAGGATGTCGATGATCAGGTAGATTAGATCCTGGATTGGATCCTCCAAATCAACACCATCCTCTGTTGGATCGCCGATGCCAAGGAATAGTTCAATGACCCTCTCGTCCAAGGTAACGATTCTGTTGTTTTTCTTTTTATTTCCTGAGTTTCGCGAAGGTAGGTGCTGATTTAGGATTCTGACGAATGATGCATTGAACCTCGCAATAAGTTCCGGGTGCCTCTTATAACCACCAAAGATTCCTCTGTATCCTCGCAACCAATTGTTCTCGATGTTGACCAAAAGATCATGAAGCTCGGTATCAAGGGCCTCCCTCTCCTTCCACCATTTTGCTCGAATATCTTTCGTAATCATATCCTTGGCAGAATGTGTGCTGACGTTGGCGCGCTTAACAATATCCTGGAGCGTTGCTAGTCCCCTTTCAAAACCAAACTGCTCTTCATCATCCATGCTCATGTCTTCACTAATCATGAGGGGGACCCTGACCATGAACGGTATTTCGCCTGCCTGGTACCGAGTGAAAAACAACTCTTCCCGTGATTCACCTAGCGAGATAGAAACGGCAGCCCATGTTGGTGGAATAATATCGACATAATCCTTCTGGAAATTAAGGAGAGAAGCTGTATCAATTTCCAATCGGCTTTGTGGAAGGGTGGGCCATCTGAGGTCATCCTTCTCCGCTGATTCGGCCTTTTCCTCTTCAATAGCACTCTTCTCTCTGGCAAGTGATATACTTCGATAAAGCTCCAGGGAATTGATTGCTGGAATCGTCTTCCCCATTCCTGCATCAGATGTTATTGCAGCTAAGAGGCAAATGACTTCTCCCAACATTGTCGACAATACATTCAGTGTTGTGGTTGGACATATTGTTGCAGCTAGTGCTTGGATAGCCAGCATGTTGTCGCGAGCTTCATGAAGAAGGGCTGCAGAACGGCTGGGCGCTACGAGCTCATCATCTATAGTCGCAACCGTTTTCTTTGGTGTTTTCTTTCCGGGTTTTGTCGGTGCTGTTTCAATAGTTTTTACTGATGCGACGCTGGGGATGACTATCGCTGTTTCTTGAAGAGTATGGAATTCATCATCTTCATCAATAGCGGCCAATGCTTGCAACAACGAAGATCTCGCAACTGCTAATCTCTGGGTAACAAGTTCTCGAGACCCAAGAGATGAGTTTGCGGTCTCACTTAGTAGCGCTTGCGCAAGGTCCCACTTTTGCTGAATGGCAAGATTTACAGCTTTCAAGCGCAGGACATCGTCTCTAAGTCTGGTTAAACCCGCACACTGATTTACGGTAGCGGAGTCTGTTTGTGGTTTTGTTTTGGGGGGGGCGGTCTTTGCAGTTGCCTTTGTGGCTCTTCCTCTGCCTTTTGTCCCAACTGTTGGCTTTCTCCCCTTCGATTTGACATCCATTTCCACCATCTGTAGGTTGGCAACCCTGTAGAATCGTTAGTTTAGTATTTATATGAATACGAATATGTACTTACTTCTCGGTGATGTCTCCAAATACAGCCCCCTCAGGCTTACTAGCGTTGCTCCCCATCAGGGTTTCCAGAGTCTTCTCCGCATTATTATATGCGTCGAGCTCCATAGTCCATGACTTGTTCTTTCGGTACATTATACCTAAGGTGCAGTCGAATGAAACGAGTTCTTTACCCTTTTCGAGGAGTTGCTCCTTTAACATCGTTGCTTGACGTAGCTTTTCTTCACCCTCTTCCAGCATGCCGAGGCGGATGTGCAAATCCCCAAATATGGAGAGTATATGAAAAAGCAGTGATTTCGAATCGACAGCCTCAGCGACAAGCCTTGCTTCTTGAACATAGAACAAAGCCTCTCTCTGCATGCCTTGATGAATGTAGAGGGTCGCAATATGAACGAGAATGTCGTATATTGAACGAACAATTGGCCAGAGGAACGGGCCGCTCAGTGCTGCGACGGTAGTTGTGTATGTGACGATCCCCAACTCTGCTTTGCCGTTTGCAGAAGCCTGACCCTTATGTTTGGCTAATGCTTCGAGGCCCGCCCACGCTCTCTGGATAAGCTTCAAGCTACGCCGAGCTAACGCAATAGAAGTGTTGATACTGCCTTTGTCCAGAGCGAGTAGTGAGGATACATAACAAGCCCGAGATACTAGACGGTTTAGCTCGACACGCTTTTGCATTTTCGCACCCGATGCGGCAGCCGCGAAGACAGCAGGATCTTGTTCAACCATTTCTTGGGCAGCGCCTAGAAAATCCGTGCCCTTGCTTAGGTTGCCCTCGCCAGTTGAGATCAGGTATTCAGTGTATGCAAGATTCCACTCAAGTTTCGTGGTAGTGGAGACATTTTCTTTTGTAATCCAGGCATCAGCGTCTGCCAAGATGGAGCCAGATTTGCCAGAGAACCCAAGTCGAAGATATTGCACGCCGAGGGATATAGTACACCCCACAAGCACTATATTATTAGTTGTTAGGATTGTAATTTAAGAGTAGAAAATCGGGTATTGCTTACCATCAACTGAATAGTCAAGCATCCTATAAAGTCTGAGAAGGAGCTCTAGGGCTTGCTTTCTTGCCATAGCATATCCCTTCATGTCTAGGAAATCGACAAGGAGTCTCAATTTTTCAACCATAAAATCCCCATTAGCAGAGCACTCTGTCAGCTGTTGGCGAGATGTACAAGCTCGGAGCAGCTCTTCCCAGCAATTGAGGCCGTCAAGAAGGCATTCAACTTTCTGGTCGTGGTCTGAGAGGTAGGCTACACAGATCGCTAACGATAAGGTCCCGCATTGATATAGAGTACTACCACTCAGGGCACTTTGGCTTGGGAGCGACTTAGTAAGCTCAAAAATCTCGCTTCTGAGATTTGCTACCAGCTGGACAGAATCTTGCATTTCCTTCTCAGGAATTTCTGGGAGGATGGATACTAGTATCATTGCGCCTCTATGGTTAAAAAGTTAGCAGAGCAGAACAATGGGATACGCTAACAGCCAGATTCACCTTACTTTGACCGAATATTGAGGGAAATTCCGCTATTCGAGAGCAGCTGACAAAGAGGGGAAAATACCAATTCATAGGACTGTGGCAATCCTGACCCAAGGCATGCTTGAATCTGAAATAAGGCTGCTAAGTATCTAATGTCATCGGTGAATTCTTGGTTATCCCAGAATCTCAAGCCTTTCCCGGAGTCGAGACAACATTTCACATATTGGCTAAGCGTTTTAGCTATCGCTTTTTCCTCTTCATTATGCAGGTCGTCAATTTGCCCCTCCGCAAAGTGGTCTGTAATGTTATCGAAATCTCCAACCGTAACGTGAACCTTCAATGCAGCGTCGAAGCTCTCCATTGCCCGAGAGAGATCACCGAGCCCCACATACATAGCTCCTAGCCGTTCGTGTTTTGCTGCTAGATTCCCAGATATCGCCTCATCTAGGGGTCGATTTTCGAAACAGGAAATCGACCTTTGATATGCTTGTATTGATTTCTCTGTTTGGTTTTCTTTTCGTAAGGTTATAGAATGCTGTTGATAGAAAACTGAGACCTTCTCAAAAATATTCTGCTTTGAATCAGTTGAAGGGGAGTCTTCATCTTCTATTGCTTCATCAAGAAGTTTTCCAAGCGCAATGATCTCTTGTAGACGTTGGTCTTCGAGTTCCCACCACGAATCTATGTCGCGGCATCTCGGGGATTTCCGTGAAGCAACTAAGAAATGATCAACGGAGGAGATAATCATCTGTCGGTCCTTCGAGGAGCTCTGAAGGTCGAGAATTCCAGCGAGAGCACATCTTCTTGCGAAACTAATTGCGCCAAAGCAAATCTCTACACATCCTTTACTGACATTTTCAGGAATCGTGCTACCCGTACTTAGACAGTTTGAAGACGCCCGACGGAGTTGCATAACTTCTACAAACAAACTCTGGAGCTTCTCTTTACTTCCCGACAATGGCTGAAGAAGTATTTCAAGTGCCTTTTGTAGATCTTCTGCCGCCGTTGATTGAACAGTCCCCGCTGCAATTGCTTTGAGTATACTTGTCGTCAACCGCACAGTGCTCGAGTTGACAAGGTTTTGATGCTGCCTGGGGCCCAATCGGGACATGAAATCTTTAAGCCATCTTGGGGCTTCATCCCAAAGCTGGGCATCTTCCGCAGCCGCGGTTATGGCAGTGCAGCAAGTTAAATATTTGGATTCGAAACTGCCTAGTGGTATGTTCCCCCCTACCAGTTCAGCGAGTATTGGGGTGACAAACGCCGATATCCTTTGATAATTCTCTTTTGGCGACGCTCCTAGCGGTTTTGTCCGAGTTACCAATATAGAATGTGACAATAAAGACCATATATCGCCAATCTGAGCTGCAGGGACAGAATACCCTTCGAGCTTAGCCGGTAGTACTTTGTATAGAATACTGAGAAATCTCAGTTCCGCAGTTAACCTTGCTAAAGTGCCTTTGGCGGGTTCCGTTTCCCGCAAATTCGATAATGCGGATGCGCAAGCATATGTAGTTGTCGCCAGGGAGTCGAACTGTTTAGTCGCCTTTATATGGGAAAAGTGGTAGAGGGATTCAATCATGCTGTAGGTATTGTTCGGATGCTGAAGGATCTTTGGCAGTTTCTAGGCAAAGAAAATAGTTTAGAACTTTGAAACAGATTAAGTTGAAAAGTAGCTATTACCTGCAGCACGGAGGGCTCTGGTTTGGCGGCCACCAGGCGTAGAGCTATTATTTGGACACTGATCGCGAGCGCCAACGATTCTTGCTCCTTAGGAGCTTCATTCCAGTCGAACACCGACTCTACTGTCTTCTTTTTCCCGCTATCCGTCTTTGATGCACACAGGCGTAATTTTAGGCTAAGAGCTTCTTCCAAACCAATGTCGTACTTTCCATGTTGTGCTAACCGGTTCAAAAAGTTCATATGAGCGGACTCCAGGGTTCCGGGCTTTAGACCGCAGTCGCTCTTCGAGCTTAGGTATGATATAGCGTTTCTTCCGCATTCTATAACATTATCCAAGGTCGATTTTGAAGACGTGGCCTTCGATTTTCCGTTTGCGGGTTGGGATGCTGCATCTTTCAGCAGTTGCAAGGCACTGTTGAGAGCTTCTATCGCTATCCTTGATCGTTGGTCATCTGTGATAGCTGTCGAGGAACTTGCCGAAGCCTTTGCCTTCAAAGCTGGGATGGACTTTGTTCGAACGAGTTTGGATGAATTGGATGATTTCGGGAAAAGGAGATCGTGCAGTGCCACCGGGATGGACGGTGTGCATGAATCCAATGCCGCTAGTCCCTTGCGTATGGTATCGTGAGGTCCCGCAGCTTTTGTGACAGCCATGTCGTCGAATGGGATGTTGAAAGAGTTGATCAGGAGTAAGGATGTTTCTAGAGGTCGGGATTTAGAGTGCTATAGCAACATGATCGAGGCTGTGTTTCAGGGTTAATTACTCGGACTGTCGTTACCGCTGTCGTCGTCGTCGTCGACACCTGAAATGAAACAAACGCGCAGTGTCAAGTTTGAGGAGACCAAACGCGGGCAGTCGTTCGGGCAGTTGTCCAGCACCCTGGTCTCCACAGCAACAACGTCGAGGACAACACAATGTCGCCGATCTCGTGATGGAGGCTGACCCGACCGTTTGGCAATTGCCCTCAACCCCAGTAACTGTGGCATGTCCTTGTATAATCTAATATCTTGTCTCGATATTAACGAGGGATATCGAAGGTACCTTCCAGTGTAATTTCCACTTCAGAAGGCTATATTTCGGCATCATATAACTGTACGATGCATACCGCAGTGTATTTGAGCAATTGAGAGATTTGCCCATTTCGCCAGGCTAATTCAAATGTGCTTTGTATGTAACTTTGCCTGCTATCCTTTGTAATATATGGTGCGGCGGCGGCGGCGACTGTCAATTCAGGCGGCAATTTAATCTATGTCAAGCAGATACATACCTCATACGTATTTCTTATGGGTAAGTCGGTATGTATCTACTTCTTACCTCTTACTCATGCGTATGTAAGTATTGTCCGTATCATGTACTTCACCCCGGAATATGCAGACAGGGATTGTATTCATTCCGATCTGACAGGCCAGTCGACGGCTCTGTTGCATGTGTCTGCTTGTCCTAGGTATTGAATTGCACTTGCGCATGCATGGACCTTGCTGGCCAGTTCTTTCGATCCGTATCACGAACCAGCCATCCTCCGAATAGCTTCCGTGCGCGCCCCCAAATAGTCCAATTTCAAATAATTGCAATTACAATTGACAGGTGAGTTTGCAACATTTGATCCACCTTTTAACTAATAAACTCAATGGCCCCGCATCTGATGCTTAGCTCTCTGGGATTATGCACCAGACATCCCCATTTGTCCTAATATCGCCAACCCTGTCCAGTAAGCTAAGTAGTTCCACGCAGGTCCTTGCATTCGGAGCCCTTTGCCAATCCTGTCGCACCCGCAAAGGCCGCTTGTGATACTGGATATTGCCTGAAGCTCTAGCCAAATAGCTACCTAGCCCTTTTTCTTTTTCACAAAATTCCAATACTTCATTTCGCTGGAGACATCCTTCAAGGAATCGCCATCTCCAAAGTACCCTCGAATTCGAAATCACAAAAAAAACGCGCAAGGCCTATCTGCCTGGGGAGATGCTAGCTACCGATCCCAGCAACTAAGAGGGGACGCCGAACGTTATCGCTCTCCCGCACACGGAATCTCTGCCGGATGGACCTTGTCGCTACATCCCGTCTCACCGTCTGAAGCACAAACGCTTCTCAGGGAACCTGCATTGCCCGCACTCTGGTTCGGAACCCTAGCTGGAGCCGGGGTTAGGAAGATCGGCGGAGACCAGGCCGCCGTCCAACGTGCATACGCATAAACCGCTGCATACATAATGGAGGCGACCGACGATGACACGCTCTACGACTTGGAGAGCAATGGCCGAGGCAGTGAGTCTGGAATTAGTATGCCAACCAGTACTTCTGAGGAGAGCAGTGCCCAGCGAACGAGCTACCAGTCCCAGCAGTCCCATCAGTCCCATCAATCTCAGCAATCTCAAAGATCCAACATGGAGTTACAGCAACCATTACATGTCGACTACATTCTCGTCGCCGAATTCTCAATTGACAAAGGGCCGACGATGGAATACCAGTATCCAGCGCCAATAAGTGGTGATGAGCAGTATGTTTCCTAGTGCTCCTACGCCAAGATATACTTCTGAAGCTCACATTTTATGTGATCCTACACAGCATGTTAGCGGAACTAATGTTACCAGATCAAACGCACCGACGGAACCAGGATTGGACGGTATTCTTCCTTCATAAAGAAGAAGAAGAGACAGAAGACGATCCGGGCCAGCAACCTCTAATCTATGTTCTTAATCTTGTCAATACAAAACGTGACAACCGAATAAAGAGGCATGAGACATTTTCCTGGTAGCACATATCTTGAACTTTGCTAACATACTTCAAGAGGCGCAAAAGTGAAAGCAATGGCTATTTGTACAAGGCATTCATTTTTACACATATATAAGGTTAACCACCTCACTGTCTTCCAGACTTTATACATATATACTAAGAACCCCAAAGCCAATTCTCCTACTAGCCCTCGAGGAATATTTTAAAAAACCGACACAAGAAACACTGGCCGAAATATTTGTCGCAGTGAACACTATGGACATGAGCTGTGTGCCTCACCTTTCTGTATTTGAGAGACAGATTCTGGCAACTTCGGAAAACAAGGAAATGTTTCTCGAAAAATTCGAGGAGATGATGCCGGCTGCCCCAGATGCCGCAGGTGAACAGGCTGTAATGACACCCGAGGGAGGAACCCGCACAACCTATTTCGAAATTGGGCCAGGCAGCCAACGAAATAAATTGATAAACGGCAAGCTCGGGAAGATACGGGATAGCCATGAATATGAAACGTCGGTTACATACAAAGGTGTCAAGATTCCCATAAAAGTCCCCGTGGCTGTAATGCCGGAAACAGTTGGAGATGTACTGCCCCTATTCGTTGCATTATCGTCGAAAACATTTCTAACAATCTTCGCAGTTTTCCTTAATTCAGCTTATCACAACCTTTTCTACACCGCACTCACAAAACCCGCAACCATTCCCTCTACATCCTCACCTTACTACGAATGGGCCTTACACCCATCCCGTAATAGTACTCGTAAATGCATTACTCACACAGAAACGAATCGTATTTCTTGGCCACGGTAGACCATCCGGTGAGGTCGCTAACCACGTCCTAGCAGCATGTTACCTAGCGAGCGGCGGCGTTCTGAAGGGTTTTACTCGTCATGCCTTTCCATATACCGATATTTCTAAAATTGAGGAGCTTCTCTATGTGTAAGTATGAACCTCCAGCTACGAAATAAAACAAAGGCTAAATTTCTTTTTACTAATCTTCGTATAGCAATGGATTCATCGCTGGGGTTATCAACCCCATGTTTGCGAATCAGGCCCGTTGGTGGGATGTTCTCTGCGACATTGATACCGGTCGAATAAGGATATCTCCGGAGCTCAAACCCCCTCCCTTGACTGATGGACTCTCTTTCTTCAACCTAAACCCAAACATGGGTGTTGCTGATTATGTCAAACATGATACGATGGATAACGCATTCATGGAGGACATATCGCATTGTATATCCTCGAGGTTTGGAGAATGGGCCGTCAGGGCGAGGTGGAGGGACTGGGTGCTACGGTTCACTCGCATGGCGACTGCATTCGAGGAAGCGGTGTACGGTGCATCGGCTCTCTGGATCGGACATGAAGAAAACCATGTTATTAAGGGCCATGGTTATGTCTGGGCGGACGAGGCCTTGAAAACTCGTGATTTAACAGCAAATGCGGCCAGAATCGAAGGGTGGAGAGGCACTAGAAGCTATCTCACACTTGTGCAGGTATGTATATATCTATCACAAACGCATTGAGAAAGATTTCCTTGCTAACACAGCCTAGGAATCTGCGCAACTATACCAAGCCAAACCTATTAAAATAGTCGACTTGCATCACCAAATCGACCGGCTGAGGGTTCTACGGCTGTCTCACGAGGATTCAGAGAAGATATATATGGTCCTGAAACACTATGTCGACGACTATGAAGAAATTAATCAGGTATGAAACTCCATCAGTTCATTCCATAAATGGGTTTCCTAACGTATATTTTGCAGCTTCTTTGCGTAATCCCCGAAACTCAGAACGGCATCTTTCCCATCGCTTTCGGTCTCTTCCATCCAAATCAAAAAGTTAGGTTCGCGGTCGTTGAGCTGCTCGAGAAAATCAGTACCCATATGGCAGGCCGCCACTTTTTCAATAACATGAATCGCTTCCAGCGCCTAGCGTACATTCGCCTAAAACAGGAGAGAGAGAATAGTGGAGGTTTCAGTCCTGTCGCTACAGAAGCTGCAAATGGTGTAGGTAGCTTTTCAACTACCACAACGCCAACCACAGCAGCTGGCGTTCCTAGGTTCGCAGCGTTTGGACCGAACGGTAGAGGTGGACCGTGATTTTCCTTTCTCTTTTCTCTTCTTTCTTTCGAATTTTAGACTTTTCATGTGATTCCTTGCTAGTTCTTCTCCCGTCATTTCAGAATCGGGTTGTATCTCAGGTACTTGTAGCATATGTGCGACTGATAGGTCCTTTCTTTTCTTCTGTCTTTGTGCTTTTAGCGTGGATCATTATGGTTGCGTGTTTCTTCATTGCCACACGAGCCTTGAATATTAACTACTTGTAATTAAAGGGAAAGCTTTGAAGGAGACGAAGGTCATTATCAGGGAAACGAGGGCCGTTATTAGGATCATAGAACTAAGATTGTCCCCTCTAGCTAGGTCTTGTCTACTACACACAACCTCAAAGATTTGCAGTGGGAACCTCTGCTTTTTTGATAGTGTCTGTTCTCTTCAGCAGCCAATCTGCAATATTACCTGAAAACTCCTTTCGGTTCTCCGGCAAGTCCGCGTGCACTGCAAAAGCTGATGGTTAATTCCAAAAAAGACTTCATATAAGATTTGGAAATGAAAAAACTTACACTTATGATACCATCCATCATATTCCTTAAACTCCTTATCCTCCGCCTCCAACAAAGCAAAGAATTGTTTGCTCGCATTGAAGTCCGTAACTTTGTCGGCATTCCCGTGCAAGACGATGACTGGCTTCTTCTTGTCAAATTTCTTGACATACTCAGCCTCCAAAAGACGTGCGCCCCGCTCCAACATTCCTGACAAACCTGCTAGAGTACCGGTATCATGGCATAGTTTATCTTCTGCAAATGTCTTGCAAACAGCTGGGTCTCGGGAAACATTGTTGGGGTCGAGCTTATTCAGCATCTGGAAATTCGGCATCACCCGCGATGCTAGTCTCCCAACCATCAAAACAATAGAATTGGGCTTCTCAGCTGGAGATAGAGCAATGAATGGCGAGAAGGCCGCAAAACCGGCAAGTGTAGATCGCAAGGAGCCGGAGTAGGCGTATGTCAAAGTCAAAGCCCCGCCAGCGGAGTGGCCGACTAAGAAGACTGGTGGTCGAGTAGGTTGTGATTCGCTCCATGCTAATCTAGCAGTGATTATTTCATCAAGGTCGGCGAGAACATCTGCGGTTCCGCCGGTAAGTCCCCAATGCTTCTTTTCCAGCGATGACTTTCCCCATCCACTAGAGCTAGTTATCAGTGAATTATTCTAGAAAAGCGATAAACCAATATTATTTATACCGTTGGTCAAAGGCATATATATTGATGCCCTGAGTTGCAAGATCTGGAAAGAGATCGTAATATGCGCCGCAGTGGTCCGAAAATCCATGTAGGAAAACTACCGATGCGACTGGAGCTTCGGGTGTCTAGAACCCGCACATCAGTCACTAGGATCTAGAATCTGGGGCAAACTTCCAACAAACATACCTTCCACTCCTTCGCGAAGAGCTTGTGTCCATCTTTCAGGACGATTTCAGTTTCCTCGGTAGCGATAGTAGCCATTTTTGAGGAATTTTAGGGAAAGGATAGTAAAAAACAAGATAAAACAGAAAGCACCTGTATATCTATAGGCCACGCGGCGAAAACGATGATAATATATCTGCAAATTGGTGGAGCTGAGAAGAGAGTTCGGTCGTTGGAGAAGCGAAGGTTAATGCAAGGGCTGAGAGGTTCTTATTCTGGGAATCTACGCGAGCTTTTACCATTTAGTGTTGCGGCATGTGATAGTTGGATTTATCGTTCGCGTTCGGTTGTAATCAATGCGCATGCAGGTTTGCATAGAGCCTTGGATAATGCTCTGTTAGATATCGATTTCCGTGGATTCGAATGGACGCCAGCTCTATCCGTCGTGGCTGCCTTTCCCGTCAAACTCTTTGAACAGCGATGTTTCAAGTTGTCGTGCGTAACCAGATAGTTTCCACAACCATATCTGGACTTTCACCGTCCGCGGGGAGATCAATAAAACGTTCTTTCGGACGGGATCTTCAATCTTTAGCTGTTTTTTCAGCTCTGCCGCTCTTGTCCTTCCAAGGAGGAGGTGCATTTTATAGCTAGGCACAAGTTTGCCTTTGACTTCAATTAGCGTCCTTGATCTGGCGACATCTAGGGCTTCGGCAGTAGATTGCGCTTGAATATCTTCATCCATCACTACTTCGTCTTCCTTCTTTACCCCCAACCCTTCTCCTTCTCCTGCCATTACTGTATCCTCCTCCTTTTCTTCTTGTAATTCCTCTTTCGCCACTGCCGTAGGTTCGGTTTCAATTTGAGGGGCAAATTCTTCAGCGATAATCTCCCCGGAATCTGCATTTGTCGACACCTGGAAGTCAGGATCTCCGTTCTCCCATACCAGCAAGCATCCAATCTGCAGGTCCTCCCACTTTCCGCCATCCCTATTGGCACTCATGATCCATCTCTTGCTTGCTTCGACCTCTTCATAAACCCGATTGCGTAGTTGCTTCAGAATAAAATCCTCCATGTCCAACCTCCAGACTGCCGACGTCACAAATCGTGTGTCCTGTAGTTTTCTCCATCTTTTGCTCTTCAAAAACTCAACGTGCTGGTAGTTCCCGGCTACGTATTTTGATACTCCTGTGACGACTTTGGTCTCATCTCGAGATTTTATACCCATAGGAAGCAGCCATGGTTCATTAGTCTCGGGGTTGACGAAGGCATGCACCTTCTGAAGAAAGAATGAAGGGAATACACGTCTGTAGTATCCGTCCTGGCGGACTGCGGTGATCAATGTATTTGCTGGTGACAGGGTTAGTATCTTAGATAACTATCAAGATAGAGAAGTACCAGTATATTCACCCACCATAAGGATTCTTCAGCAACTTCCAGTCCTCCTCTACCATTTCCGACGGATGGCGTTTCTTCAACTTCCTTGGTTGCTTGAATCTACGTTTCCACGTCTTGCCGTCCATTATTGGTGATACAGGCAATCCATCCTCTCCGTTGCTCTCTCCAAAATCGAAGTCTTCCTCTCGGGATATGATATCGTCATCGAATAGCTGCTTGGGGTCTTTGAGTTCCAAAGCCGAAATATCCTCCAGAATCTTTAATGCATCTTCATTTAATTGCTCTGAAGATTTGGAACCATAAAGTCGTCGTTGAAGCACTGAAATCCGTGGTCGACATGGCGCAACGGCTCGAAAATACACTGACATCAGTGTTTAATTATGCCTTCGTTGAAACCGGTATAGTACTTCTGTCGAATTGGATTTTTAGTGAGAAAGTATTATAAGAAAGGAATAGGTAATTTTCCATGGTGCTATGCCTGTCCCAGATAGACTGGCGAATTGACATCGGGCCTGCCAAGCCTCATCATTGAAAAAGATCCAGGCGCAAAGCTTTTTCGGATTCAATTCGATATCCAACTTCCAACACCCCACCATATACCCGATAAATTTAAGCCTTCGTTCTCGATAACATTACATTCAATTAAACCCCGGGGCGATAATAATATAACTACTACAATGTCGCGGTCATTGGCTTCCCTAGTCAACAGACAGTCAATATGTTCGAGCTGTCTTCGAAATTTCCGAACGACCCGGCCAACCGCCGTTCTGCTACGGCGCAACAATTCTAGCACGTCTCCGTCGTCGAGTGACGATATCAGCGATATGTTCAGCGAGATGGAATTCCCTAGTCCGAGAAAGATCAAGCCTATAATTGAGAGATACAAAACAGTTTACCGGCAGGCACAGGTACTTTACGACCCTATATCTCATGAAGACAAATACATTTAGATCCTAACGAATTATGTCTTTGAATAGAACGGTGCAATACTTTCACAAATCGAGCAGCGTGCAGAAGACGAAGAAATATTGCCCGAAGAAATGGGAGCCGGACCATATATGCCTATATCAGAACAGTTACGGGTACAAATGAGAAGAGTACTATATCCTCGTAAGAACGACGTCACTCTGCTCAACCAAAAGCCCAACTCACTAACGAAATGTTCCTCAACTCAGTTACCCTTGTAACGGCATACTCGAACCCGGACGATCCGAAAACATGGAACGGGATGACTATTTCTTCCTTTAATACTGTGTCGATGGACCCGGTACCCTTAATCTCCTTTAATGTCAAATTCCCTTCGACAACCGGCCAAATGATCCTCGACAGGGAGCTATTTGTCGTCAACGTTCTATGTCAACATATCAATTCCGCGAAATTATGTGCACTATTTAATTCACGTCCGCCGGTAAAAGCTTCTGAACTTGATGCGGGTGCCGAATTGCCTCGTCGCGATGGATCCGACGGATTAAGGGCTGTTCATGAGAACCCGACTGCGTACGTCCAAAGGCAGATGGCGCATCAAAAAATGGAACCGAAATTCAGGCCGCTTTCTGGGCCATTTAAAGATATGCCGGTTTACAGGACTGGTTATGGTATTCGATTAATACCTAATGTGCTGTTGACATCGCTGGGATGCCAGCTTAGAAAGGTTGTCTCCGCTGGCGATCATAGAATAATTATTGCAGAAGTCATGGATGTATACGGTGCTGTTGGTGATAGACCTGCAGAGCGGAGGAGGTTCCATTTGCAAGGTGAGAGATTAGAGAGGGAAATGGCACAGACATACCGTAATGGTAAATATGTCAGACATCGGACGGAGAATGTTTTCGATGTAAGCATGGTTGAAGCCGGCCAGAGGGTGCTGCTGGACGATGCATCCATTGACTTCAAATTTATGAAGAGACGGAAGTCTGATCTTATTAGTGAAATTGAGTAAGTGGATTCGGTTATCATGATTGGTGGTGGCGTACGGCGGTACCTGTACAATAGATTGAGCTAGCAAGGAGTTTCTCTTACCTGTATATACTTCACTCCCAAAATCTAGAGATATAATATTGCAAGTATACATAGTATACATATCAAGTTTCCACATCTCGAGAACCTAGGTAGCCCCAACCATCAGCGCTTGCACCAGTTTTGTTCTTGTCCTCTGTTGACACATGGCAGCTGCAGAAGTACGGTGAAATCAGACAATGCGATCTATTACTGCCAAAGCCGGATATATTACACCAAATATTTACAAAGTAACTTATTTACAACATATCGTTCGCCTGTACACTAATTCTTCCCATCATCATCAGGCCTTCCTCCCTCCGACGGCGTTACATTCCCCACATTCTTCCTTGCCCGTCTGGCTCTCCTACCGAAATCTGTCAATTTCGGTGCGGCATAAGTACCACTGATCAAACCGAACAGATTTTCTTCTGGGGCCTGTTCTTGCGGCGGTTGTTCTGGAGCCTCGGCTTCCACCTTCTTCCTCTCAATCTCATTCTTCCATACCTCTACATCTCCTTCTTCCATCATTCCACCATCCTGCCAATGTTTATCCATATGCTTTATGGCATCTTTATCACCTGCTTCCTCAGCGATAGCTCTTGAGGCATCAAATCCTGTTCCGAACTTTTCACGGAACTTCCTCAACCGACCGGCTTCATCTTCTTCGACATTTGCGAGAGACTCTGAAGTCGGATTCCAGAGGATGTGGTTTCTTACGTCCTTGTTGGAGCGGAAGACACCTTGTGGGGAGGATGTAAGTTGTTTGTAGGATGAACCGTCCGAGAGGATGACGATTTGTTCGAACTGGTACCGTCGGTCTGGGCGGCGGATTTCGGTGGCAGTTCGGTGCTGGGTTTTTGTGAGGGTGAAGGAAGGGATTGAGCGGGATTTGAGGGAGGTAGTGGTGCTCCGTAGGATTGGGCGGAGGGATGCTGTCGACATGGTGGGATGCTAATCGATGTGCGCCTATGATGATATGTAAGAGTTAGTATGGTGGAAAGGGTGATGGTATGGATCAATTGAGTGCTACTAGTCTGTACCTAGATAATTATTACGATAGCGGAGTAAGAAGTTTTTTGTGGGCCGCAAGGACTTAGGCCGCGATAGTCTGGGAGGTCTTTGGACAGGGTTGGGATTGAAGCAATGCAAGTTCAATTCGTGATGCGGCTCGAAATGTGAAAAATATTGCAACAAACTCAACACCACCCCAAGCGAGCTAGGGAGCCCAATGCAACGGGTCCTGCCGGCTCTCATCATGTCACTGAGATAATTTGCATTCATTCTTCGGCTTTACTAGAACGTTTGTCTCATATCCCTAGAACGTTTGTCTCCTATCCCTCGAAGGCTATTAACCTACGCAGAGTTATGTTTTTACAGAGAACATCTCGTAACTACTACTTCAAGTACAGGCTAACTTTGAGCTATATATAATATATATACGCCCATACGTACAAGTACAGGTCACGACCCCTCACTTGGCCACATGAATTCATGAAACGTATTTCGAATTTCAATAATATCGTTGCTCCACTCAGGTATTATCCCGTAAACCTGTATCTACCAAGGTTTTTTTTTTTTTTTTTTGTTCCTTACATTATTAGAGTGTTAAATTACTACCGACAGGATGTCCAGGGCTACTCGTAGGTCGGCCCCAGCTGACGGGTACCATACATGAAAAGTGCCACGAGGATCTATAGATCGATCAAATTCGACTGGCTCACCAGGAATTTTGTATGGTGTTCCACGTGGTCGGAAGCAAAGGTGGAAATGAAGTAGTAAGAGTGGTCGTAATCCTATGAAGCCAGGCATCACAGTTAACGGAAATCCAGTAAGAAAAATAAGATAAGAACAAGAGTAAACTAAAACAAAGAGAAAGTCAGGGTAGGGTCCTGATCTTACCTCCTGATACCTCACGTTCAGCCCATTGGGGCCGATTGGGTGTCCAGCCTCCTTAGCCGCAGCCTCGAGGTTCTCTGGTAGTAGCTGCTTCTGTTTGTAGAAGTTGTCACCAGTACCCTATGAAGTAGTAAATTATTAGTATCGAAATTCCAGTAAGTCATACGGATAGGCCGAATGGTACATACCACATCGATTAGTACATCAAGTGCGCCCTTGTGAGACTTTACTAGCTCGGTGGCGTCATGCTTCTTCCATGCTTCCTTGTCATCGCCGAAGTAGCCTGCAAAGGCCTTCTGGCCCCATGGGCAGTTGATTGGATTCGATATCGGTGCAAAGGCCTAAACGCATAATTCCTAATTAAAATAGGAGGCTTTGCGGGGTAGAGTGCAATGGGTTACTTACGCTCACACTCTTGAATTTTTGAGGGTATTTCAAGTACTTCCTCATTAAAATAATTCATTAGCTTCTAGGATGAATAAAAAAACTTTAGGGGCTGGGGGGAAACTCACCAAACTTAGAGCGCCGTGCCCACCCATGCTGTGTCCCATAATGCTAACTCTAGCTGGATCCAGTAAGAACTCCTTTGGTAGAGCATCGTACAGCTCATCAATTATGTAGTTCTCCATTTTGTATGTCTCGCTATATGGTGCCTTCGTCGCATTAATATAGAAACCCGCGGCTCGCCCAAAGTCCCCTACCAACCAAACATCAGCATTAATGTCTATTGATAAAGTTTGGAAATGTGCCTACAAGAAGCATCGTCGCCTTCGTATCTCGGCTCCCTTGGAGAAGTATCCGGATATACAACCGCAACCCCGCTCTTAGCAGCCGATTGTTGAAAGAATCCCTTCTCCGCACCATTGTCACCAGTGCAAGTTAAGCCGGCGAGATAGAATATCCATGGTACTTTAGTCCCGCTGACAGCTTGTGGCGGGAGGTAAAGGTTTAGGTTCATCTTGGACCCGATGACGGTGGAATTGTGGGATAGCTTGAGCAGCTTTCCGCCGAAGGAGGCGACTGTAGCATTGGTTTCGAATGACATTTTGGTATGTTTTATGTACCGCGGCGTGACAGGTTGTTCTGGTGTTAGCAATGGATTTCGGGATTGATTTCTTAAATAAGCCCTCGATCCGACTTAATTATAATACTCCGACCGAATATATTTCCAAGTAGGTAGATAGCGTTTGTGGTTGATCGTCCTTGGTACTAGCTTATTCGCTTGCTTTACTACCCACGAGTCGTCGTCTGTTTGGTGCAGAGCTTTGAGTATAGATGATACTTGTTTTCTACAACTAGGAAATGGATTGATGTGAACTAAAGTGAAGAGCAAGATGTTTATCGCCGGTAGTTATTATCCTACGGGTTTCGTTCGCGTCCATTCGCGGATCCGATGCCACCAAATTGGGTGACGTTTTGGGGCGACCCCGCCAATTGCAACCCCGCCATACCTGGTAACGCCAATGCGCTTTCGGCCCCTGCCGGAATCGCCAATGCAAAGAAAATGTTAAAATACTCCGTCTGAGATATTAGAATGCTGGTCGAATGCGTGAAAATGGGTATCATCTATGCTCATATAATACATTGTATAGTACACCATATCTCCTACTCCGGTCATATACTCGAATATTTACAATTTCCCCTGGTATGTAGATGGAACCATGGAATGAAAAGGATTACATAAAGTAATCATCTGCTGTGATCTTCTTCTTTGGTCGAGGAGTCGCTTTGGAAGCGGGATCGTCTGAGGCTGTCGGTTCGGAATAAGCTGTCGGACTTGCCAGAGCTGCGAATTTCGCTTTGGCTGTTTCTTGCTGTTCGATAAGCTCTCTCCGCCTCTGAGCCTCCTGTTGCCATTTGGAGTCTTCCTCCTCGATCTCTTTCATCACTGTATCCAGCCGTTAGTTTGGCTGGCTTAGAGAATTGTTATCAAGCAAGCTTACCTTCTTCCCACTGTCGGTCGTCACGTTCTGACTTCCCTAACCTCAGTGCCCTCTCAACCTCTTCGCCATCAGGGGCCCACTTCCCTTTCTGTATATTCTCAATAATCTCCCGTAAGGTTTCGATCCTAGCGTCTGACCGTCGGATAAAGACTTGCGACTCCTGCCGTAAAGCCATTATGTTAAGTGATTGTGACCCTACGAACAAGGCCAGAAGGATAAATCCCCATGCTGGATCCCATTTCCGTTTGACCGTTTCTTTTGAGGATTTAACATTAGATTTAAAGAGGCCTTGTGGAAGATGCTGGGACCACCATGTCGGAGAGAATACTCGCGGAATGAAAGAGTTTACGGAGAGGTGTCGACGGGGAGGTTCGTAGTATAAGTAGTGAGAACGGGATAAAGGGTATGTAGCGAACGGTGAAGTTGATTGGGGCCGGATTAACCGCCGGATTATTGTTTGTGGGATGCGATTGTTCATGGCGATGCAAATGCGATAATGTCTTGAAGATTTGAAGATTGTATTTCGATATCCCTAAGCTCAGCCAGGAAATTTTCGGCCGATGGAAGGACGGAGATGTGTTGTGGTACAACACAAAGACTGATCCAGAAACGCTCACTTCGATTGGCGATGGCTTTTCAGAAACCTCATCCCCAGAACTCAATTCGCTGCCAAATGGCTTAGTTTTGGTACCAATCGAATGCTCTAATCATTTTGAGCAAATAGTGAACTATGCTCAAGAACGGCTGGAATTTTGAAAATGAAAAAAGTCACGGGATCAGGAGATTCTTTGTCGCGCCCGAAGATAGTTGCTAGGTTACGTCGAACTGAGATATGTGCTGGCGTTGTTGTAGCAACCACACAGCAACACATTTATTCGGCATCTATCGCTGGACTTTTGCGACAGCCAACCGTCTCACATATATTCTCGTCGCAAGCCTGCATCGAGCGCCTATCGCATCGCACATCATACATATATCCATCGCATATCCGATATCGCATATTGTGCATCTCCAACAAAATGGTAAGTCTTCCATATATCCTCTTCCCATTATCGGAAATGAACCTCGGAAAGGACCTTCTCTAACACCGTCATGCTTGTGTGTAGTTCCAGACACCCCCTCGAAACGTGAAGCCCTCGCCGCTGGGCTTCTTCTCCCCGACTTCCCCATCGAATCGTCCGTTTCGGCCGTCAGGTAGCCAGTTTTCGCCTGGAAAGTCTCCGGGTGCAGTAAATAGCCCACCGAGTTCATATAACCAGCGAAAGGCGACACCGAATGCCATGAACCACTTGACACAACCCCAGATTCAAGAGCTGAGGGAGAGCTTCCAGGTGCTGGATAAGGATGGCGATGGGGTTATAAACAGGGATGACTTGAGTGCTATGCTTAACAGTTTAGGTTGGTTTCTATAAGGTGGCATATATTCAGCATCCTGGGAAGCTAACAAGTTCTAAAGGACAAGATCCAACTCCAACCCTTTTATCGACATATTTCTCCAATGTTCCGACACCGTTTAATCTTGCATCGTATTTGACGACATTGACGACTCATTTATCTGCATTATCACCTCGAGATGATATATTAGCTGCATTCTCCGCATTTGATGAGAATGACGATGGCGTCGTTAATCTAGACCTTTTGAAGGAAGCTCTATTAGATATGGGAATGAGGGAAGATGAAGTTGAAAAGGCTTGTAGAGGGTGGACCAATAAGAAAGGACTCGGTATGGGAGGTGACAAATTTAGATACAGAGAGTTCGTGGATACTGTTTGCGGGAAGGCAGAAGTGCAGGAGTAGTATAAGATCCATCAATGGCTATTTCGATCGCCGGAATCGATTGAAGAAGACTATTTGAGAACTGGAGTTCTGGTTACGCATTGTTTTAGGGGCGTGGCGGACTGCTTTTTGACATGCATGCCGAGGATCGTTTTGGTTTTTTTTCTATTATTATCATTGTGACGGCCCTGGTTTCTGGAGTGTAATGATATCTACAATCGGCTTGGATGGATGCATACATATCATTATGATTGGAGGAGTTCGGTTAACGTTCGAGATTTGGTAGTATAGCTTAGCTAGTTCCCCAAACAATCAATTTCTAATGAAGTCCCACAACACGAACATCAGCACTTTGCCGCTTAGTAGTATAAATCTATTTGAATCACAAACCCAAGGATTCCAATACGTAATATGGTATCGTCTGATCCAGGCGTGGGATTCGCCTGCTCTTCACAGCAAGCGTCAGTGTTTTTTTTGGGGCAGTGTGGTGCAGGCGCCGATGGTTGTCGTGGCAATGGACCACACAGGGTTCTGCTATTTGGGCCGGGGAGTTGCGGTGCCTTGCTTGGCTTGGCCCTCCACTAACGACCAGCCCAAGCTACCTGTATGTACTGTATACTCGGATGCAGCTGGAGCCTCCATTCCAAACTCCGCTGTCAAGCATCTTCCCTTACGTTTAGGCTAGCGGAACATAATAATGTTTATGATTGTTAGCTCACCCGTCTTCTGCTCATATTAGACAGTAGCCTATTCCTATTTCTTTTGTTCCTGGCCCTTTTCTACTTTACATTTTGGTAGTTCTTTGACCGACGGTTTTCGACATAGCTCGACGGAGAGGTATAGTACAGAACAGCGCAGATTCCGCTGTGAAGTACTTACATATAGGCCTACCTCTTACCTACTTCTAAGTACCTACTCACCTCATAAAAACGAGCATCATCCGATTGGGCTCCACGCTTTCTCTCCTTTCGCTGGCCATCTGCACCGTTTGTCTCGACAGCGTCGTCAGTTTATTGCATTTTCGTCCATCGCTCTGGCGTTCCCAGCAAAAAAAAAACTCCATCTAGATCGATATCAAATAGTATTGTCTAATATAGTAGTATCTGGTTCTGTACAGCGACTACCCAACCATATCTTGCGGAATATCGTTGAAATTTCTGAGTTGGGAATTGAATCTTCAGCTGAGCATTACCGTAACCGCCAAAGGAACCATTCCAGAGGGAGGAGCCCGAATCTTTTTGTGACACACATCCCGCCAACGAAGAAACCGGACGATTCTGCTGTGCTTTTGGCCACCAGGAATTCAATGTCGACATCCACATAAAAGGATTACTACCAGGCGAATACTCTGTTGCTACCAACAGCTCTAATTCCGAATACATCTCGATCACTACGCCAACAACAACAACTCCCAACATCTCCTGTTGATCGCTCAACACAGCGAAAGCTGAGCCGTCGCCATGGCGGACAACAACGGGCCGCGTGGTTATCGCGACGGCGTGTACTTTGTTGACGTCAATGCATATGTCCTGCCGCCTCTGATCGGACTGCCCTTCCATGATATGCGGCTAAATGGTACTTAAAACTGAAAACCAATCCTATTGTTTTATAACATAGTATCATTATATGAGTTCAAATCTAACGAATATGAATGTTGAATTGTAGGTGAAGGGGCGCGGCACCGAGGCGATTCTAATTACTACAGACTAATAGTTGTCCATGCGGTCTTTATGTGTCTAGCCATGCTAGTGTTTCTCCCATTTGCAATCTTCCAAGCTAGATTCAGAGCATATCGAAACCCCAGGAAGGCTATTAGATCCCATATATTCTCGAACTGTTTTACCCTTCTTCTCCTAAGTATTGGATTTGCCTGTGGTGTATCTGCAACTGGGAAGGAAAGGGCATGGTCCAATCCGCATCATATCATTGGTTTAACTATCTATGTTGCTATCTGGGTGCAGGCACTTCTCGGGGCCATTGTGCATCATAGGGGCAAATTCAAGGTCACTCCGCATCTACCTCTTAGGACTATGGTGAGCTATACCTCTTTTTTTCTTTTTCTTGTTGAAATAAAAACTTGGATTGCATTGATACTAACGAGAAATAATTAGCTCCATCGCTGGCTTGGGCGGGCTGTCTGGCTACTGAGTCTTGCACAAATCCCTCTTGGACTCACCCTCTATGGATCTCCCCTGTCGCTCTTTATTTTATATGCTGTCTATGTTTTCCTCCTGTTGATGCTATACTTTACATCCGAGTTCTACCGGGGCAGACAACATGGGACGGCAACAGTAACGACGGAAACAGCTTTCGATTACCAGACCTCGGAGAAACATGGGCACCATGAAAGCAAGGGATTCTTTTCGGCTGGAAATCTAGCCAAAATCGGTCTCGGATTCCTAGTCGCGAAGAAAGTAAAGGACCATTATGCCGCCAGAGAAGATATGACGGCCGATCAAAGTGAGCTTAGTAGCAGACCCGGTTATCGGCCACCACCAGGAAGACGTGGGCATGCAGGGTACGCTTCCAGCGTTGGAGTCACCAACTCTGAGGTCAATGGAGGTTATAATCGCACAGAGCTGACCGGGTATACCAATGGCACCGGGTATACGTATGGAACTGGTTACACAAATGGCACAGGATATACCAACGGTACCGGATATACGACCGGCACAGGGTATACCAACACCGAAGACGTTGAATCCAGGATGTCACCGCCGAGGAATTCTCATGGCGCTGTTAAAGCTGGTTTACTCGGTGGTATGGTGGCGGCAGGTGCCAAAAAGAGGGGTGTTGATACACGCCCGGGGTCGTCGTCTAATGCAAAGCCAGGTTTCTTCGCCAGCCTTTTCAAGAAAAATAAGGGAGTCGATGATGGTGCTTCACCGAAGAAGCTTAAGAAAGGTGGTTTGACAGGTGATGGTGGTTGGTTCGATAGACGTAGGCGTAATCGTGAATCAGGCATGTCTGCTGTTCAAACCGAGGACTATACAGACTCTGAAGACGATGAAGAGAACAGAAGAAGAGACGGAAGCCCCACCAGGCGAGCCGCTGGTGCTGCTGCTATGGGGGCTGCAGCTGGTATGGCAGCAGCGCATCATAGGGATCGGAGAAACAATTCGCCTTCCACAGTCACAGATTCGTACTTCACAGACCCAAGGCCCGGCGAACGGGTTAATTCGATGCCGGAAACAGGCGGACTGCAAGCACCTCCACCAACTCAGAACAATTACAACAATTACAACAACTACAGCAACCACAGGCTACCGATTGGTCACTCTGGCGCGGCTGGGTATGACCCTCATAATATTCATAATGATCAACCTGCATTCACAGGTGTACCTCCCCCTGCCCCTCCTTTCGGTAACTCGCCAACTCTCGGAATACCACCTCGGCCACCTATTCCAGCTACGTCGACCCGCACCCACAGCAGACAAGATTCTGCGGAATCACGTCCTAGAGGACTGGGATTTATTATTCCCCCGGAGGACCCCAGTGACTCTGAATTATCCATTGAACCCCACAATCGTCCTTCGGGTAGCAGGTCTTACAGAATACCTCAGACCGTGACTAGTGGTAGTGAAACTGGTTCAGAGAAGACACAAGAGCACTATATTCCGCAAGCAGCACTTCAAGTTCGAATCAAGAAACAAGATGGGGGCAAAACTGTTACAACTATTAAGCGAATGCCTAACAGGGAGCGCGCTAGTGTAGATTCTAGTGCTTTCAGTCCCGGCCCATCTGGTAGGCAGAGTAGTCGGAGCGTAGACCGGAGGAGAAGGGACAACGATTACCAAGTGATGGAAGAAAGAAGAAGAGGTGCAGATAGCCAATCGGATCGAGAGATGACCGACCAAGAAGAGCTAAAGAGAGAACGCGAGGCTAGAAGGGAAAGAAGGCGGCAGAGGAGGGAAACACATGAGTACAATAATTACTATAGTGGCGACGAAATCCCGCAAGCCTACACATAGAATTGAGGTGGGCGGGCACGCGAGGAGACTTCGTTGAATGCAAAGTGGCTTTGCCGCCAACCCCTCTATGCAACTTTCCCCTTTGAACTGCCTCTAACATCCTTTCCATATACAACTTTTTAAACAATAGCGACTTCTCATTCATGACACACACACCCACACACACAAATGCACAACTTCTTGCACATACATTTCCACATTGATCATTCACCAACATTATGGAGTTACATTTCTTCAACCCGTTATGCCTTACATCATTATGCTTTTTGTACGCTGTTATCTGAGTTCATGATGCTTTTGAAGTTTTCTTATCTATTTTGCTTAGCCTGCATTTTGCATGATTGATTATTACTGTATTTCTACCACAACTAAAACAAATATCTATTCCCTTTCCTATAGCCATATGGCGCTTTCATACTACGAAATGGACCCGAAAATGACCTGATATCCTTAGCTTCCTCTGGCCTCGGAACATCGTGCATGAAATTGGAGTCTTAGTAAGGCTAGGACTAAACAGTACATGTGCTAGTTACACAATAACGTCCATACCCGTATGTCTCAGCAGTCACACGAGGACAGGTGGGAAACAAAGACCCCATGCTACTGATGACGGTGGTACCCCGTATTGTTGTAACCCCTGCACATATAATGATATTCGTTGGATCCATGGAACGGCTGCCAACAAAGCAAGACACAAAGAAACACCACGCGACGGCAGGCCTCTGCATGTGTCTTTTGAAGAGGGGTACCTGCAGTCTTTCATTGGTTGTTACCCCGCCCTTGTGTTTCTTGCTTCAGGCATTTAGATTGCAATTGGCACCGATCGCGGTGTGGTTCATGATTCGTTCGTAAATTTTTGGCTGAAGGAGACCATGGAATGTTGTGTTTTTTGTGTTGTTGTAGACGTATAGATGGATATTGATGGATTTCTTTATTCCATATTGTTTTGAAAGCCTCTTCGGTAATCTATTCGTTGATTCTATTGGGGAATTTGAAGAGATATATCGGATACCTTTCTCTTCCTCTCCCAAGTCTTGGATCTCAGCGTTGGCGCCTCTAGATTTCCATTCGGCCTTCAACTTTTCTACATTTGATATCTGTAGTATTTCATGAAATAGATCTGAATTGATATTGCATTGTACGCCCCTTGTGGGATATTAGAGTATCTAGTTTCTCGATCACTATCAAAAGGATATTCATTAGGATATAAACAGGGACTTTCAATCAAGGAGTCGAGAGAGCATGGCATTTTTTGCCAATCAGGAGGATATTCCACCAGTGAGTATATTTATATATCCACCATCTCAACCCATAAAAACCAAGAGTCGACAGAATAGTAGTTTAACAACATGACTTCAAACAGTCTCTCGATTCATTTCCTGGTTCACCAAAATTTCTGAACTACTCCCACTCTACAGAAGAAGCTGATCCACAAATCCCCCCCCTAAAAACTCCAACCAACCCGCTTTTCCCTTTGAATCTTTCAACCGACTTAACCCCAGCTCTTGACGCCCTCGGAATCGATATTGATTTCGAAACCTCAATTTCTCATCATCGCCCCCATCTTTTACAAAATAAAATCCAGTTTCCTGACAACATAAACCCACAGCATAAAAGTATCATAGAGGGTATGCTAAAAACGAACTGGAGTCCTGGTGATCTAGAAGGACAAGAGCATTCTATAATAATGATGGATAATAGCGGGATCCCGTCGGATTCGTCACCACCGTTGGCGAGTTCTACTCCTGTACCGCTTTCTATCCTCCATCCTGATGAAACGGCAAGAGGAGGAGGAGCACATATTTCCGCAAGAGATGAAGATGACAATCGAAGTATCACATTCGAAAACATCGAGTTTGCACCCGAAGACACCACAGAGTTATCTCATGACATTGAGTTTGAAGATAAAGGAATACTAGTCCCAGTACCAACTACACCAACACTAGCACTTGGAATCCGAAGAACAGTAACTCGTTCACAAAGTACTGTAAAGAAAATGCCACTACAACGAAGAGAAGAAGACGAAGAGGATATAAACCCCATCCCACAAACTGAACCTCGTCGACCCGTTAAGGGGATCTTAAAGACACCGATTGTACCACTTGGTGCTTCGGGCTTGAGGAAAAAAGCTGGTCAGAGTACGGGGAATACGCACCGAAGCTGGGGGTGGTATGATTCTAGGAGCTTTAGTCCCTTAGATGGTTTTGAAAGTCAACCGAAGAAGGGTGCCAAAGCGGGGAAGAAGACAGGTGGGAAGGGAAATGGGAAGAAGGTGAAGATTGATGAAGTTGTTGATGAGAGGATTTTATCAAGTGAGGAGAGCGAAGTCAGCCCGAGTGACCCGGAGGGATGGAAGCCGGAACCTTGTTTGATCGAAAGTACGGACGAAAGCGAGGCAACGCCGTCCAAGAAGCCAAAGGACACAAAAGGGAAGGGAGCGGGGAAGAATTTGAAGAAAGGACAAGAATCAAGCAATAGTAAAGAGAAGGAGGAGCCGGTGCCGAAGAAACAAGGAAAACAACAGACCGGGGGTACCCAGAACAAAAAGAAAAAACAGAAGGCCAAGGATGATGAAGCTTTTAAGCCTAGTAAAGGATCCTCGGATGATGAAGAAGAAGAATATAAAACATCAAAGCCAAAGGGTGGGAAAAAGGCCGCCAAATCTGAACAGGTTGCGAATAATGAAGAAGAAGAAGAAGAAGAAGAAGAGTCGGAGGAGGTGGCTGAACAAAAAGAAGAAGAAGAAGGTGGGGAAGAGGGTCAAGGTAGTGATGAAGAAGAAGAGGGGACTGACGAGGAAGATGATGAAAGTGAATGGGGCGAAGAAAGAAACAACAAGGCCGGGTCTGGATCCGGATCCGATGAAGATGAGACAACCGGCAAAGGCAATAATCAATCTGACGAAGAGGAGGCAAAAGAAGATGAAGATGAGGAAGATGAAGATGAAGACGAAAAAAAGAGTGAACCCATGCAACTATACTCGGGACGCACACTACGAGCTACAGAAACCATCACGGATACAAACATTACTAGGCCATCAGCTTCGAGGTCTCGCTCCTCGAAAAGTAACGATAGAAGTTTGATGAAGCGCATGTCAGTTGAAAACCAGAGGTCAAAATTAAGAATCGATGGCCAATACGGGCTTAGAAGGGCCCAAGCAGAAAAAGCATTTGAAAGGCAGGAACAATTCAAACGTGATGGGTCTCTACGTGAGGTTCAACTCACTGGGATTATTGGGGAGCGAAAGAACCCGCTATCTCGTGTTTCGCCGGTAACTGACTTTAACAGAAATCCATATACATCTACGCACAGAAAGAAGGAAAAGCCTAAGGAAGATGACAATCAAACAGGGGATTGGGATAGGGTAGAAAAAACCAGCCGGGACAAACCGCCAAAGACATCCTTAAAAGTTGGCAGTACCTGGAATAAAACTAAGCACGATGGCAGAACAACAGAAGAACAGATGGAGAAAGTATTTCCAATCACGCAAGAGGAACTCGAAACCGCTATCGCATCTTTGAAGGAATCCGATGAGGCTCTCAAGAAAGCACTAAGCCAAGGGAGAAAGTATCGTCTCCAACGACGTAGAGCAAAAAAGAAGAGAGATGCCTTGCGACGTAAAGTAAAAGACCTGGAAAGTAGGTTAGAGGCGGCAGCCAATGAATGTGCTCAGCTGGAGTTAGAACTAGCCGCGAAGAAAGGTAGATATCCGCATATCCGTTAAAAATTTGAGGAGGAATATCGAGTTGACAAATTCTTTTTGAACAGCGGTTGGGTATGACCCCTTGTCGTACTGTTATGCAGATCCCGAACCCGAGTTAAACACGGAGATTCGCCGTCGAATGTGGACGCCCAAGAGCTACCGGGAAAAACAGCTGACAATTTTCGATGTTAAAGAAATCGGAGGTGCACCACTTGAAGTCCAGACGATCACGCACGCTCCGTTTTGCACCAGACTCATAAAAAATCCATTCCGCCACGAAGATATGTACCAAAGGCGTGAAATAATTAACACCCTAACTTTCCCCGCAAACGTCATGTTGCTTGATCACAGCACCGACTATTACTTCGTTTGCTGTCTTTGTACAAAGGTATCACCGGTCAACCTCTTTTACTTTCAAGATGAGATTGTTTGGTCATCGTACAAATGCCTCGTTTGTGAAGCACATATGTGCTGCAAGGCATGTGCACGCTGGACTGCACCTGCGTCTTCGGCTCGGTTCCCCGACACCAATAAAGCAGCTGAACTCTTGAACGGGCATAAAGGGAAGGGAAACTATGAAGCCTCGTTATATTTGAGAGGAATATGGTGGGACTACGTTCATTCGATAGATCTGTGGCCACCTCGAAGAAATTTCAAAATATCCAAGAACGGTCTCGATTTCATGATATGGGAGCGTAGAACAAAACTAGAAGGTTCTATATCCCCACCCCAGATTGACTATTCGATTGGATTATTTGATAAAGTGGAGGAATCTCCAGAGGGAAACAATACAAACAGCGGATTGAGGTCGGTAGGAAAAAGGAAAATTGAATATAGTCATCAAGAGGCATTACACGAGAGCAAACGAAGGAAGGTTGAAGAGATTCTTGAAAAGCGTCGACGGGCTCGTCAACTCCCATTTCCGGAAGAAATTGACGGCAATTACGACGACGAAGAAGAAGAAGGGGAAGAATACGGGAACGACGAAGTCGAGGTGGTAATAGAGGACGAAAATTGAACGAGAATGATCAAACGTCGCAAACGGGCTAGTGGTAGAGTGGATGAGTAAACATAGTAACGGATCTAAATCTAAATATCATGATATCACCTATAAACCCAAGTATATATATAGTATAAACCCAAGTATAGTATATACCCAAGTAGATAAAAGGGTATCGATCGAGACTAGTTTGGCAAACAATGTTATAAACAATGATTAAGAAATATACATGTAGTTAACTAAATGCCATATATATCACACGAGACCAATATGTCACGACGGATAGCATTCTATTAATATCCAAAGCCGCTTTATTTGCATATAGCCATACAATAGACTCATACAGTAGTAGATATTAGATATCATCCGAGAGTGGACTTCCACACCGTCGCCCCCGTCATCTGCCTGAAACAACAGAGCGTTGCATTTTGTGCGTTGTCCTGCCCGGCCAACATCGAAGATGCCCCTTCGAGACAACCGCAGCGACGAACAATGCAGAGACTCTCATGCAGCCAACCGGCAACATCCACGCTCCCATCAACAAACCTCACAGCTGTCTTCTAGCCTTTAGCCTTAGCCTTGCAGGTCTCAGGGTGTATTCCACTTGCCAGCGGACTCCCTCGCGCCTCCTATTTAATTAATACCTGTCAACATCGGTCTTGATCTCTCTCTCTTCGACTTTCGGCCTCCTGTGCTATCACCATCATCATCATCATCACAAACGGCTGATGCGAGAAAACTACCAACTGGACGACCCCTTGGACAGCGTGGAGTAGCCGCTACAATGGCATACTCGGCCCAAAAATCCGCTATTCCGCCCCCTTCACCATCGCCTTACTCTCGTCTCCCGACCCCAGCAAATTCCCATTTCAATCGTCCTCAGAACTCACGGTCCGTGTCTTCCTCCGCTTACGGCTCTTTGCATCCTTCGCCGAGTCGCCCGACACTCCAGCCTCATCACAATCCGTATGATTCGTTTGCGCCGCAACCATGTCCTACTCCAACTCCAACGTCCAAATCCCCGGGTTTCGGCCTTCACAGGTCTGCCAGCACCATCCATTCCAGCCACAAGCGCCAAACTTCAATTGCTGAGAAAGCAAAGATGTTCGAGAGGCTTGATGATGGGATGATGAGGTCACCAGGCGTCTCCGCCGGTCCGGGATACGGATCAGGTGCTGGTAATCTAAAAATTCCCAGTGGTCATGGTACAAAGAGAGACCCTTTGAGTAGCGTCACATCTCCTACCTCTCATAGAATGCCCTCTAGACCTTCCTCTTATGTTGAAAGCGGCAACCACCAAGAGTTTTTTGGGGATGTGAAAAATCAAATCTCGGGTTTGCGGCGACCATCTCAACCGCTTAATATCTTGCCGAATGGGCTTGGAGACCGCCAGGCACAGGAGTATGATAGTCAGGCTAGTCTGGTAACACAACCTTCACATTCACCAATGCGAAAATCTTTGGGTCTTTTGAGCGAACCCTCGCCGGTTCCCCTGCAACCTAAGGAAAGTATTCGAATGGACGATTCCCAGCTCATGCCGCCACCTCCATCCTTAATACGCCAACTTTCGGCATCCTCCCATCAAACCCCTGTTACTGTAGAAGCACCTATTCAAGCCCCTCTCAAGCCTCCGACTCCGACTCCACCATCCCAGGTCCCCACCCCGTCCCCTAGGAAGGGAAGTCATATCAGAGCCCAGAGCCATGTAATAGGACCAACTTCGAAACTGCCTCCTAGATCAACTTCAACTCGCCCGATGGATCCACGACCAACATCAACTGTTGGGAAAAAGGTTATGGGCCCACCACGACCACCGAGTACTCTACATTCTATTCCCAGTGCGCGTCCTAGAGCCGTATCTCACAATGCCGCTGAGGTCAGGCGTATCGCGACACCCGCGAACGACCTACCCCTCCCAAAGGGTACTCGACATGCTTCTGGCAGAATAATTGCTCCTCCACGTCCTACTTCTACTCGTCCAAACGAACCCGTTCCTAGTTCTACTGGAGTGCGGCGTCCCACAGTCAGTGGTAATCGTCCGAGGCCGCCATCTAGCCATATAGCGGCGCCTCCTTCAGGTTATTCTTCGAAAGGTTCGGACACAGAATCAAGTATGCGCTCAGAAAGTGTAGCATCGACCAATTCAAATACCAGTTCTGTGCGCTCGGATTTGACTACCCGCCCCAAGACAGCAAATCGACCCACTACGGCCCATAAGACGGCCCAAGAGCCACAAAGCCCCGTTCGTAGCCATAAGAAAACCACGTCGATAATGGCCGCAACAAAGCCATCTAAACCCAGTTTTAATACTTTCAAAGTGGAGTACCAACATGCTGTACTCGCACCAAAGCCTTCAATGGCATCTCTATTACACCAACAGCCACAAACAGCGACGTCTTCTGTCCAATCCACCGAGGTTTTTCATGCTCAAACTAGACTTCTTCAGTTGGCCATCCTTCACGCTAAAAGCTTCAACTCAACTACCGCTCTTAAAACATCGGCACATGATAAACTTTATAAACGCTTTTCTAGTATCCGTAATAAAAGCCTTTCTGTGGCCGATTCTCACCGTCGAGAACAAGAGCTGGTGGATTTACATTCATTGTCGTTGGTACTGAAGAAATCAGCTATGCTTAATACCGGGTCAGGTCATCCGAAGGATAAGTTATCAAACAGCCCTGAGGAGGCTATTCAGGTTCTCTCAGAGCACCTATCTAAAGTTTTGGGATGGTTCGCCGAGGGACAATACGAAGGAGAGTACACAAGGATGACACGGATTTTTGAGGAGTGGCTATCGCTTCCTGATGAGCACGAGAAGAAGGTTGACGGATTGGGGGTTGAATATGCTAAAGATGTTCTTCGCGTAAAGAGAAAAATGGAAATGGCCCTTAGAGGCCTCGAAGGTTGGGTGGTTTTGGTGGTTGATGGAGAAAATTCAGAGGAAGGAGAAGAGCCGCTCGGATTGAAGAGTTCGCTCGGGCGAATCCTTAGCGTCGCAGTCGGACGACTGAAGGTCGGGCTCGAGGAGTTGTCGGCTATTCAAACCGTTGAGAAGACTGTCGTCACCACTTTGAGAAAGGAGCTCAAGAAGAAGGTAGGCGACTTGGTGGAGGCCAGGAAAGGGGTTGATTTAGTGCAGCAGAGGAAAGACCTTGCGGCTTGGACTCCAGCATGGTCCTAAACCTTCCAATTGATGCACGGGATTACAAGTATAACTTTACGAACCACTCTAATTTCTCAGCTTACGGTTCTGCTATGACAGATATACTTACCATTTCGATACCCTACTAATGTTTTATTTCTATCCGTCCTTTCTGGGAGCGAAGCGGGACTTGAACGATTGTACTAATTCATTATTTCCCGTTTTTTTTTGTTTAGAGGTTTTCTGGAGCAAGTGTACGAGCCGCGGGGCTAGTGTTTTTTGTTTTCAGTTTTTGTTCTTGTCTGAATCCTATTCTCTGTTATCAATATCTGCTTCTTAGCGTCGTGGGAGGCCCTTTCTTTTCTTTCTATTCTTTTTTTTCTCTTCGACGCTCCCTGCACTACACTTCCGGAATCTCTTTTCAAAGACCAGCTTCATGTTACATTAAGATTACACAAATGAGACCATTAACTACAAGCTTTCTACATCCACATGACATTAATTTGAGCACCAAGCCTAACGAAAAAAGACGCCATAGAACCACCGTAATAAACGCCCAGAAACCTCCATTCATATCGCAAAGTTCCAGTACTAAGAAACGACAACTAAGTTAAACCTCTAAAGGACGCAATCGGTGAATTATGCTCCTCGAATCGCAAAAAGCTGGTTCCTCCACGCCCATCAAGCGCCATATTCTGAACCGGATGCATCAGACTCCGTGTAAGCGCTCTCCGCGTCGTCGTCGTCATATTCGTCAAGCTCCTCTTCGGACCCTTCCTCGAAATCGTCCTCAGAAACCTCGGAGTCGTCATCAGAGTCCAGCTTTTTCTTTTGCTGCATTTTAGCAGCACTAGCTGTCGCTGCAGCGCGCTTAGGTGGTGGGCCCTTCTTTATCGTTTCTTTCTTTGTAGCGGCGGCGGAAACGCGGCCACGGGTTCTAGCGCCACCTTTCTTTGGTTTTTTGACTTCTTCCTCTGAGAAATCCGATTCTTCGAAGTCTAGTTCGGATTCTTCTTGATCCGTTACATCGTCATCGGAAGGAGGTGTGACAGCTTTCTGTTTCTTTGGAATGGGTTTGGATGGCTTGGACGATTTCTTAGCAGGTTTGGAGTATTCCTCTTCCTCTTCATCGTCATCGTCGTCATCGTCCGATGTAGCAGCCTTGCGCTTCTTTGATGAAGGGGTAGCCGTTGCGCCGTTTCCGTTTTTTGAGGTAGTTTTAGGTCCGCCAGGAACGTTAACATCTTTTATAACCGACCCAGAATCCAGCTTTGGCGCTGTGGCAGCTTTCGCGGCAGTAGCAGTAGCCATTTTAATTTAATTTATAAGAAACGAACAAAACAAAAAGGGCAATTCGAATATAGTAAAGCTATAGATGGGAGTATGTGGAGGGAAGCGATAGAGGCGAGAAAGAACTTATTATGGCCGCTGGGGATAAAAGATGAAAGAAAATGGGCGCGCTGGGGGTAATTGGGGGAGGCTGGCGCGGATGGTTTGTATCGGCGCGCGGACATCAGCCCATCTGGTGATGCCATCCCAACACAACAACGCACATTTTCCAACAAACTCAGTTCCGCTGAGGCACCACGACGAGGATTTTGGGAGAATGGTTATGCCGCGAAGCCGAATACGTTTCTCTAATTCTACATGTATATATAATATCTCATCTATTTATGTACATACATCAGCATCCATGCCGAAATTATTTTACTTACAAATCCTTCCATTGCGACTTCCGAGCCTCAAGGTAATGACCACTTTCAATAGCCTTTTTTATTCCATAAAAGCCGCTGAGAGGCCAGGTTTCCTTGAGCTTATCCTCAAGCCCCTTCTCTTTGGCGGTATCCTCGATTCCGATTTTAACCTTATCGTAGATGGTAGGTAGGGCCGTCGCACGGTACTTCTCTCGAAGTGAATCATACCACTTCTTATCAAACATCTCCCAAAACTCTGCTTCATTATAGTATGTCTGCGCATATAGCCACTTCATCGCCCCAAGCTCCTTCAGTTTGGCTTCAAGATCTCTATTCGCTTTTATGAAATCCAAATGTGAAGGGCAGTTACCCCACACTCCAACATTCAACATCTCCTTCTGCTCGCCAGTGCCCTTTGTGATCGAATGTGGATGAATGGTCGGTGCCGGACTCTGCTTAAGTGGACACAACCACAAAGGCCAGATCCCAAGGTTTTTATCGGTGTATTTCACAAACTCTTCGACGTTGTCATAAGGAACCGCAAGATCTTGTACTACGTATCGCTTAGATTGTCCGCTCGCATGTAAAGCTGTATACATCATTCTGGTGTGTAGAAAGTCGTCAAGCCACCATCGTGTAAAGACGTTGAATGGGAACTTGAAGTATTCAAACGCCGCGTTTCCAACCCAAAATCCACCGCGGTCGTACCTAAAAAGATATTCTGCGATAGGAATGATTTCGGTTACAGGCGCTCCTTGGGCCTTTTCCAACATTTCTTTGACGTGGAGATAAAACCACGGATCTTTGGCGTCACTGAAGCGTTGGATTGAGTTGTTGGAAACAGAGTCGGTCATCTTTCCAGCAACTATAGCGCCATTTGTTTGAGAGTATAGGATCCCATCGACATAGTCAGAAGAGCTATTATTAGTAAACGATTGAATGGTCTCCGTTGCTTGCCGTACACTTGTTACCGGGTGGTATGTCGCCTCAACATATTTTGATGCAGGGATAAGTTGGAGATTCACCAGCGTTGTTACTCCTAATGTGCCTAGTGCTCCGGCGCCGCCCCAGAAAAGATCTGAGTTTTCTGTAGGCGAGGCGGTGATGATTTCACCGTCTGCTAAGACCATCTCAAGGGAGTTTATGGTGTGGTTGAAGAATCCATGTTTGAAAGAGCTGGATTCACCAGACGTCCCATTGTAACCACCACCAACAGTGATCCCAGGGAATTCCATGACTACAGGTGGTATCAATCCGTGTTTTAGCGTAGCCTCAACGAGCCGATCCATGGGGACATTCGGTTCCACAAGTGCCGTTTGAGAATCTTTGTCGACATGTAATACATTCGATAACTCCATAGTGCTGACGACATTTTTCTTCGTCGTCTGTCTTGTGCTGTTTGTCGAGCCATGAGAGATCCGGAATGTTTGTTTTTGATTGTAAAAATTGCGTATTACGCTAGATATTGTTTGTACAGCCTTGTTGTGGCGGTCTTGAGCTGGCTGAGGGGCCAATGCAAGGCTGTTGAAAGGCCTTCGGCAGTTCCTGCAGACACCGGCATTGAGGGTGCTTCGGCTGATGAATTTGCGGGCCGACCCAGAAACATGCTGTCTCAGGGCTGACATGGAACTCATTCTGCAGGGTAGGAGAATCGAACCGAATGGTCTGACCAAACACGTGGGTCGGGTGAGTGGTAATTAATATATAATATAATATTCGATATTACTTTTATTTTTTATTTCTTGTTTTTTGGGTTTTGTTGAGTAAGCAAGGAAATGAATGCTATCGATACGAACAATGGGTATTAAATATATTAGCCGTGCATAACAATGGCGTTATCCCAGAAGGAAGATTCACGGCTCCTATCGTCTTACATACCAACTAGGCTACGGCCATGTCACGGCTGTGTATTCCAGGGCAGGAAGCTAATTCCGACATGCGGGTGTGTGGCAGAGAACAACGTGGTCGAGGTTGCGGACCTGGCTCTGAGTTTTTGGGGTAGCACAAGCTTTTGAACCTCAATTACCGAATTAGATGCAACAATTCGCAACGCATTGCACGCCTTGTTTATCTTGTCTCCCAGTTGATCATGACAGTCCATGTTTTAATATACAACATAATTAAGTAGTACTTATATAATAGTCGGGTTCTATAAAAGCATGACAATAGCGGCGTATAATCAGATACAATGCTCTCTATTCATCCACGATACCAATCGCGTAGAATTTATTTTAATCCTCGTACCTGCTACAAACAACCTAAACACCCACCACATACTTTCGATTCTATCCTTCATCGCAATGCCTCGAATACGCTCCATCCTAAGTCGTTTAATCAAACGAACTTCCAAAAGGGATACAACCATAGATGGAAATGCACCTACAGCTACACCTATAGAGCCCAGAGCCATGCACAGACTCTTCAATGTCATGGAACTCGTCGAAAACATCCTCTTTCAGCATGCCTGTGGCGATGAGGATGCTCGAAAACACGTCATTACTAGTTGCAGGCTAGTCAACAGTTCCTGGAACGATCTCATCTCTCAATCCCCAGCGGTTCGTAGCCTAACTTGGCAATACACTCTATATTCCAAAGGAAAACGAGTCACCCCTCACACCCCATTCGCGTCACTCGAACGCTACGTTAGCGACAAATGGCAGCTCCTACAATGCAACCTCTCTTACATTAGACGAAATGGAACCGGCGGTGAACCCTACGATGTAGTAGCCAGACGGATTGTTGGCATGTACTTCAAACCAGCGACGGACCTCAGCCCGACAGTCGACTCTCCAATCTTTGAGCCAAATTCAAAGATACAATTCCTCAAGGTTACGATATATGGGTATAACAATGGCCGCACTATCTTTTTGAAAAATGGGAAACTTCGAGGGAAGGGTAATCTTACTATTTCTCGACTCGACGGAATAATCCATGACGCTCTCTTGGTTGATGGGTATGATCTGACAACTCCAAGCCCGAGGATTTGTATCCAGCTTTTTTGGACGCCTCCGATTCCTGGTTTATCGAGTGAAAGGAACATAAATGGTCACCGAAAACCCCATTCAATCAGCTGCACGGTTATTGTGGTGCAGGTGCAGAATACTCGCGTTTATAATTTTAAATGAGTTTTAGAATTTGATGTCTCCGTTGTTTTATTGTTGTTGTGGGTTTAAAAGGTTTATTAGACCTCATGGTTATGAAATAGAAATGTATGATAATTGAATGGGCAGGCAGACGTTTGGGCCTGCCTTGAAACTATAACACTAGATGGGTAGATTAAGACACAGCGTATTTAATTTTGTCCGAGAAGCTATATTTGGATACAAAAGTATATCTGATACTACAAGTCATATTGAAGCCGTACGCTGAGACATCAGGGTAAGAATGAAACGAACTCATGAAACACTAAATGCTAGAAAAGAAGTGAAAACAAACACAAGATGACATCCAAACGCATACACACCGATACTGGAAAATGCTAATATATATCATGAAAGGGGAATAAAAAATTAAAATAAACTGTAGAAAAAACAAAGGAATGGTATTCGAGAGGGCAAGGCCGATCCTAGCGACTCTCGCTAAACTTTCTTTTTCCATATGGGGGTATTATTATTTTGTAGGTATTTGCATATGTTCAAACAGAAGCAATCGTCCTTTGTCTTTAGTTTCCAAGTTCGTAAACAGGGCCACTCGGACCTTTGAAGCCACCATATCCACCGGCTGCTTGGTTTTCCTGATGCGGCGGAGGAGATTGTGGGCTGCTGATTTGATTTGCTGGTGCTTCTTGAATACCCTGTGGTGGTTGCTCAACCCCCTTGTGACCATAAGGCATAGCAGCGCCACCGAGTTCCGAAACATTCTGACCGTATGGTGGATATGCGCCTTGTTGCTGTCCCTGTGGTTGATAATATCCAGTAGGGGCTTGGTGCTGTGGTGGAGGGGATTGATATCTGGGGTCTGGCTGCTGGGCATATTGAGCCATCTGTGGTTGGGGGGGGATTGGGCCACCAGTATACGCCTCTGTTGGTCCGGTGGTCTTGGGGCCATCGAGTGGTGTGGTTGGCGTAGACTTGCGCTTAGCAAGGCAGTACCAAACGATAGCAGCAGCAACTATAGCGATTCCACCAACAACACCACCAACGATACCACCGATGGCAGCACCTGAGAGCCCTTTATCATCGTCGTCGTTGTCATCGTTGTTGCCTTTGTTGACGCCTCCAGTTGTCACGGCTCCTCCCTTTGAAGTGACCGGGTCGAAAGAGAAGGTCGCATCAGTATTTGTTGGATCGGAGCCGCCGCCAGTGGCTGTAAAGCTGCCAAATGTTCTTGAGCTAGGGTCGTTGACGATAGCAGATGGGGTACAGGCGGTAAGACCGCATGCGTATCCATCTCTGCAGCAGCCGTATTCTACAGATGCAGGGCAAAGGTAAGAGGATGCAGAACAGAATCTAGTTGTTCCATCATCTCCGACGGTACCGGTTCTAGTTCCGTCAGTGATAACCTGACCAGGGGTTCCAGTCGAAAGTGGGGGTTCAGTTGTTGATTGTTCGCCTGAGTCTGAGGTTGTGGACGCTTCCTCAGAAGTTGTAGATTCCTCTTCCGTTGAGGTTGAAGAGACTGACTCATCAGATGGAGTCGGGGTTGGGGTTGGGGTCGGGGTCGGAGTTGGGGTCGGGGTGTTGTTGTCGGTAAGGATTGGGAACAGGTCGGATGAAACGGAAAGAATCACTGAGGAAAGAGATGCCTCGATTTCATCGATATTTGCAGTGAAAAGTCCTGGGTTTTCGGTGAGGGATCTGATAACTTCGGAGACTGATAGAAGAACAGAGCTGACACTGGCAAGAACCTCTGGGTCGGTGGCAATCTGCTGTCGCTTCTCGATATCTTTCTTTGCTTCCTCAAGATCGCGTTTCTCGAAGACATCCTCCACAGGTCGGTTCGGCTTGTGATTGAGAGAATATGTATACAACGGAAGCGCCAGTAGTAAAGATACTAGCCAAAGCCTTAAGGAGATCATTATTACGGTGATATATGTCTACCCCTTAAGTGGTAGAGGGTCTCTTTTTTGTTCGCAAACGAGAAAAGAAGGTCGGATTAGTGCGAATAAGGGCGGAGAAATTGAATACCAAGATCGATCAACTCCTATTTTGTCCTCGGATTGCGATATCGGTTACACCAGAATTGAAGAAAACTTGGAAAGAATCTGGTTGAACCAGCACAAGGTCTTAATAAGAGAGATGGGGCCTGACTTTGAAAAAGAAAGATAAAAAGTTGAGACGAAGGGGAGAAAGGAGAAGGAGAAATTTCTATCGGCGGAGTTTTTTGGGCTAGACCACACTTTTGACTGACCAATTCGTCGGGTAATGAGGACGCCAGCATCAGTCTCGAGGGACTCCACCAAATGGAAGTTTCGTTTGTTCAGCGCATTTAATTCGTTGGCCGCTGTTGGCAGGCCAGGGACTGGGCTGGTCGATATGAGGCCTTGTGGGGCTTCATTTCACGATCAAGCCGGGGAGAGACCCAAAAGAGACTAGGTCCGTTATAGTATTCATTTCACGATGGCAGCCTCAGCCGCAGTGCCAAGAGGCCTCAAAGGGCGCATTCGTGCATCTTTGATCCCTCGAGTCGAACCACATGCCTACGGCTGAACGGACGGAAAAACAGTACAGGGGTTCCCTCATATGTGCATACACAGTATGTCTCGTGCTCAGTGGTATCGCCGTCTACGTGGGTAAGAACATGTGTGTAGACATTTCAGCTGTCAGAACCAGATATATATACCTGTATTATACAGTAATATATAAGCATCCATGGGCTTCGGTCGCTGCGCTGTAAGTACTGCCTTTGCCTCAATGTTTCTTGTAAGCATTGCATTGTCATAGTATTATAATATATTAATCCTCGTTGTCTTGGACCTGGTCAAACATTACAAAGATTACATCACATTTCGTTCAGTCAGAAGGAAGTACAATAGTACAGTAGGTACTTCCCTAGGTAGGTACCATGGTGGCATTACATAGTAGATGTACTGTAACCGTTGCTCGGCTGGAACAAGGCAAGGCGGGGTTAACTGGAATGTTGCTGGCCGAAAACGCAATCAATGGGACTATTTGCCCTTATTGGGTCGTCGGCCTAAATTGCGACAAAGGCAGCATTGGCATACAAAACTACTCCGGATCGTCGAGTACTAGTACCTAAGAAAATACGACATCTGTACTTAATGATAAGAGCTCTGGTCAGAACATATAGCCTGGGCCGAAATCCGATATCGATCGAACACACAAGGGCTTTGTATGTGGCAGCCTAAACAGGAAGTTGACAAGGCTGAATATCGGTTTGTATCAAACGCTGCAGTTTCCCGATAATCTTGCATTTGTTCGTATTTAATTGCTTTTGAATATCGATTCTTGGCTGCAACACATTTTCTTGTTGCATTTTTCTCTCCGTCTCTCTCTTTGCCCGAGGCCAGAATACATAGCTCACATGCACAGTCTATCAAACATCTATATAAGTATACGTTGTGAATCGATCAGGAAGTGCCCTTTTAATTAGACTAAATACTGTGTTAGAAGAAGGGGGTCCGTTGATACAGTGCCAACATATTAATTGCGATTTCTTTTCGAGATGATGTATATTCCAACATTCGATCTGGACCAGAACAGCACAAGAGACCGAAATTTGCAAATTTGCTAGTGATTCTGATTCGAACGGTATTGAATATAAGACTGATGGGGAATTTGTACCGTTTGAGAGCAAAGGCCTCTACAGCTACGGATAATACCAAGCACCTAGGTATCTCCTGCTAGGGGGGGGTTGTGGCTAGGGTTTTATGGTTTCTAAGATAATCTTTAAACCGTTCATGCATTTATATATCAACAAATATCTTGATTGCTTGACTTACAGGGTCACCTTACAATAGTCTAAGACAGGGTGTACCATCACAAAAAACGGCAGGTTTACTCTAGGGAAGTTACAGCAATACTTACTTAAGTGCCTAATATAATAGTTGAGTCGTGATTGGTGGTGTGAATGTGCGCCGTACGCCCTCCTAAAGTCGTTTCCCTTGTGATGCCGTCTCTGGGCGCCCCCATAGCTCCCCTCTCCACCCCGATTGGGCGAGAACTAGGAGATAAACGAATAGATACCCAGGTCAATGTTCAGTTGTATTCGTTTTGGGCTCCCAAAGACAGCCATCTTCCAGGCACTTCCACTTCACCCATCACCCACCTTCCATCATCATAATCATCATCATATCACCATCAAATCATCATCATAATCATCATTCCCATAACTCCACCAAGTGGATCTGTCTAGCTTCATCGTCTCTTTCCACATTTCTCCAGGGAATAAAACCATTTTATGCAAAATGTCATCTGTCCCTCCCAGAGACCCACTAGCTTCCACCAACCCAAATTCCTCTGCCCTGAACCAAAGCCACCTTGTTTCCAGGGCCCCCGAACCTTTAGGGGATGGGGGCTCGTCGGACTCCCTACGTCATAGCAAACTTCCTCCACAAAATGTCTTTCCCACCTACAAACCTGGTGAGTCAAGCCGACAGCTAGCCCAGGCTGCCCTTCAATATGGAAGCGAACATTCCACAGACGGTTTTGGCGAGGGCGAGGTAACGCAGGGTTATAACCCTGGATCCTTGGCTTTCGACCCCTCCCTGTCCTCAAGTTTTAGCCTGGGTAACGAAAGCATCGAAGGTCAAGCCCAAACCCACGACGATGAACTTGATGCAGAGGGCTCCGTCCAGGACGAGGGAAGTTTGGACTTCCGCCCTCCCGCTCTTCCGCTTGGAAAAAGAAGAGGCCCAAGTCTTTCACCTACAAGCCAGCAAGATGCCAAAAAGCCCTGTAGTGAAAGCAGCCGTGCTCGAGAGATCGCTTCGCAATTAGAAGCACCACTGCCTCCAGCAAACACGATCTTAGCAGCAAACCAACATGCTGCTGCTGCTGCTGCTGCTGGCCCTTCATCTCAGGGCCCCGGCGTTTACCATGGTATCACCCTATCCCCAGGTGGATTTCAACCTCAGAGCCAACGACAGCTGTTACAAGCCAATCTGTAAGCACTACGTCCATTTCTATCGTTGTTCCTAGAAGTCTTGGTAAACTATGCAATCGATTAAAAATATGATTGCGACGTATTGGGCTGCTTACTAATATCGAAACTCTCTTTTATGTTAGTTCGCATTGTTTTGCTGTAATTGGAGAGTTGAAGGAAAGGAACGGGCTCCTTGAAGTTCAGCTTTGCAATCGAAACGAAGAGTGTAGGCGACTAGTGGCTATTATTCGGAAAGTAAATGGTTACGCCGACGAAGCGAAAGTATGCATGAAGAAGGATGGCGATGCTATAAATCGGATGAGGGATGTGTTAATTATCACAAAGAATAAGATGGAGGGCTGGTTGAATACACTTGAGCCACTCGTGGTTCGGGAGTCCCCGGCTACCGGATCCGGAGAAGGGAGTACTTCTACTGGGGGTGATATGCCAGTTACTCGTGTCGTCACAGACGTCGCGAATATCATCCACAACTTTGAGAGGACTCTCATCGATATCCATAGACGGCCCGTGCATGAGATTTACGGACAAACCCCGCCCCCGCCGCCGGTTCCACCTCTCTCTCACTCCACGCTTGGCCGCCTCAACATCAACTAAGTACTTGGCTATTTTGCCGTAGTTGCGGCTATGATTCTCGTATTCGCATATCTCTACAACTCTTCTGTCCTTTGTTCCCACTACAAGCTCCTCGACACTCTTCAACACCTCGCCTCGTTTTCCTGCTTTAAATACACGCCCTGTTAACATGGCATTCACATTCCGATACTCGTTTTCGTTGATATTTTCCTCCGATCCTAAACCCGGTTATTCTTCTCAAAAGACTCCCTCGAGTCGCCATGTATTATTCTTCTTTTTTTGTCTGGAGCCTTTATGCCGAGACCACCCCTCTCCATTCTTACAACCAGTTGTGGTATACATATTGCCTCTTCCATATACTCTCAACTACGTTTTCGGTTAACTGCAGGATAATATCATCCCGCAATTAATTACATTTTAGCTAGCGAAGATAGGAGATCCATTAAAATGCTTTGATTCCCCACTTATCCATGAATACTCGTAATCTATCGATGTGGTCGCTTGAAGATCCTTCAACAAGCTGTCCAATGTACCCGTCCGGACGTACTAATATAACACAATCCTTAGATATTCCTTTCGCTTTCACTTCATTATTGTAAGGAAAGTTGCTAATTTTAAGGCCCCTCTCTTGACCAAACACCTTAACATTGTCGCTCAAGTCACCATAAACGTGGATTTGCCAATTTAGACCACCTAGCGGATCAAAGTTGTCTACTCCGGTATCGTCGAAACTAACCCAAGGAAGCCGATCTCCGGCGTATAGGTTGGAGATATGGTTACCGTTGCTTATGGCACTATCCCTGTACTCTATTCTTATCTGTGAAATTGTTTCAAACAACGTATTGTCGAGTAACCCGAGACGGAAGATCAGAGGAGCAACATTTCCCATGACCAAAGTACGCCATACCCACCCAGTAAAGCCTCTGTCGGTAGCAATGGAAAAGGATTTATCCGTGGTGTTCACAAGGCGCTCGGCAAAAGGCCGTCGCTCGCTCTGGTATGTGTCTAGGATGTCAGGGTTGGCTTTTCCTGCTAGTACGGCAGCGATCTTCCATGATATGTTAGTAGCATCCCCGAGACCGGTGTTCATGCCTTGTCCGCCGACAGGGCTGTGAACGTGAGCTGCGTCTCCACAAATAAACACCCTTCGATCTCTGAACGTTTCAGCCACTCCGTGATAGACCGTATATGTGGAGAACCAGTGAACTTTGCTGACTACTGCCCCAGTATTCTTTTTCACGGATTCTTCCACATCTGAGAAACTAAATTCCCGATTAACCGACTCCTCTGGGGCCCATCCCGCAAGCCTGATTCTCCCGTTAGGCATTGCGAAGAGCAAACAAAAGTCGTTGGCGTTGAAGCAGATGTTGACATTTTCTAGTCCAACAGACACCTCTCCTTCAACGTCTGCCACAAAAAATCTTTGAGCATAAGCCCCTGGTGTACTCTTGATATTGGTATGAGCCCTGACAACTGAATGCCCTCCATCGCATCCGAGTACATAGGATGCCTCGAATTTTTCTTCTTCCCCTTGTTTATTCTTCAATGTCACAGTTGCATATTCATCATTCTGTGATAGGCTTGTGACTTCAACGTCCCTTTCAACATTTACTCCTCTTTTTTCCAATTCTTTAATTAACATCCGTTCGTTTAGGTCCTGCGGATATGCAAGTACAAAAGGGAACTTTGATTTCCCACGGCCGATACTATTAAATTCGCGCCGTACGATTTCTTTCAAGTTCCCAAAGAATGCCATATTTTTGACGACTCGTCCTTCAGATACGGCCCGTTCTGAGAGTCCGAGCATGCGATAGTATTCAAGTGTTCGGGCGTGGACTACAGTTGCTCGTGATGTGTCCGCGGCTAAAGCGTGTTTGTCGACGATTCGGAACGGGGTCCCCAAATTAGTTAGCCAGAGGGCAGCCATTAGACCCGTGGGGCCTGCGCCGGCTATTAGGACTGGCTTTTGAGAGGCCATGTTAAGGGATGTCTTTTCGGAACGGAAATCGCTTTTGGTCAGATGTTCCTGGTTTCTGTGTTGTTGGTTCGAGATGCAACAAGTTGCAAATAGTCTCGGTCTTGGTCCTTGAACTTCAGTCTTAGGTCGTCCGATACACCGATGAACGTTGATTAAGAAGCAATTCGACAGCGGATTTCTTGATGCTGACACTGACTTTAATAGACCAGATGAACTCGTTTTTTGGAGTAGCCTATTCATTGTGATATATATATGTATATATTTTAATATATTTACTTCGGCGACATCCGCCATGCATGCCTTTTTATAGCATGAAGTTGCATGTGTTCCCTAACATAACGTCATGCTTCGGTGCTGAAAGCGTTCAAATTAAGCCCCGATAAAACGGCTGCTAGGAATGAACCGATCGGTCAAGTTTGGTGCCGTAGGCCGAATTCAGCGGTTAGGCCTGTGCTACGATCGAAAGTAGCTTAGAGGACTGGAGACCAAGAGGTGCCCAGCTCGCCAGGCCGGGTCAGGAGATACCAGCGTTATAAGGACATCTTTTATGCAATATCTTTGTGTACATGATATTGGTCTCTAGCGGGGTAAGGCAATAGCTACCTTCCATTGGGAACAGAAAATTCTACTGATTAATCTTCGTACGGGCTGGAAAGCCGACGTTCAAATTCCACAGATCCACCTGGGCATACATTTTAAGATTTAGCGAGACCACATGTGCAGTTATTGGTGTAACTATATACGCTCTTAGGTATCTTATTTTCTATCATTTTCTATTACAGTTTGCGAGTAGCACATGAGCTTGAATTTTACTCATAAAATAAAAATAAAAAAATATTTGCCTTACCCTTTGCGACTTGTTGGGGTTTGTATACGTAGTAAGTATGTATCCAAGCATATATCCTCATTGTATAACATCTATTTATAGATCTAGCAACGATTGATTGCAATGGCCCGACTAGCTCTTAAGCTCTTCAGCATTTACCTTCCTGCCACATTTTCACATTCCGAACTACCATTGCTCGATCTTCGCCATTTCCCCATGTCGGATACCAGCTATCTGCTGCGCCCCAGAAGTCAGCAGCTGCACGCGGGCTGGCATCGATCCATGGTTTGTGTATGCGGCTATCGGGGAAATAGCCATCTAAATTCCACGAAAATATAATTCGTTAGACAACATTATCCTCCAATACTGAGAAATTCTACTAATTCATTTTGATAAGGGTAGTACTAGGTAATCTTACTAGTTGCCCCAACCTGAACACTCAACGAAAGATAAAACGGCTGATCAAACGGCGCATTATTGTTCCCGGATCCCGCCCAAGGGTTTGGATGTAAGGTCCCGTTATTTGAGAATTGTCCCAAATTCCATAGCGACTGTTGCAGGAACCCGACCCAGAGAACCGAATATGTGCGTCCGTTATGGTAGGTGAATATATAGTCTTTCGTCCATTCGATGCCAAAGGTGTGAAATCCTTTCGTAAAGTCAGTGTGACGGATTTGGCGACCGCGAGTGGTTTTCCAGAATCTGTCCGCGAGACGGGAGACACCTAGTTCTTATATATCAGCGTTCAGACGACGAAAGGTATAACCTATGGGGTAATTACCCCAGTGTAGTGTTGAAGTGAAGATATCGCGTCCCCCGGCCGGGTAAGTTTTATCATTCCCTCGCAATTGCATGATATCTATTGATCCGCTTCTCGGCCACTCGCCATAAGTATTATTTGCGGGAATTAACCTCATAGACGACAAGATCCAATCTCCCGCCGGCATTTTCGCAGTTACTTCGACTCTTCCGTATTTAATCTCTTTCGATAGTTTCGTGGAAAGTCTCGCAGATCGGACGGGGTTTATGATATTCCCTGTAGTGGAATTGCTAAATGTTGCGCATGAAGCATTACGAGGGCTTGTGCAAAGGCCCGTGGCGGTGAGATTGAGATTATAACCATCGTTTATTTGGGAGTTTGATATAGACGTCGTGAGGTTTGTGAGGGTGGGCATGATGACAAGGCCGTTTGAGGATGTGTATGCATTTGCTTCATCGTTTGTAGTCCAGTCGAAAGATCCAATTCTTTCTTTTTATAAGCTGGGAAGGATTCGTAGTGTTTTGGGTAATTTACTTACTCAAATCCATCGATCTGGATCTCTTTCTGCCAGACATTTGTGTCTATTGTATGGAAGCTGTCGTCTAAAACCAAACAATACTATGGAAATTCGAAATACATTTTTTAGTTTCCTGTATCAACTTCTTAACTAGTTAGAGGGGTTTAGACAGTCGACGAACTTCATGACGTTTGGCTTTGCGAAACCCATCAAAGCATAAGTATCCGCTGACCAAAAGGCCGGCGAGAAAGAAACCGTATATTATTAAGCTGCTATTTCGTGTGTGATTTGTCTATATATGCCCTCAAAGGAAGATTACTAAGTATTAGATATTCGGTTGCATTTTTTAATGAATGACACATTTAAAATCAAGGGTAATTTAAACACCTTCTTGTCATGCAACCACGGCTGTGGGTATACCCCTCGAAGCCTATAGCTTTTGAATTCACTTCTCTGAGTCTGGGGGGCTAATTGACTCTGCGCAGACATTTTTCTTGGACCTCGAGCCTTAAACGACTAATCTGAAAATATAGTAGAGGGATGAAAATATGTTGGCGTACTCGATACCCCCGTTTAAGTTGCTAGGGTATCATGGACTATTATGAGTTTTTGCACTTGTATGTTGAACAAAGGGTACAAGACTTACCTTGTACCTTGGACTAGGAGTTTCTTCCTGGTTTTCAGGTATTTCCAGGATCGGTTATCATGAACCTGAAATTTCGTGGGATAGAGGTGACTATTTTTTTTCTTTGTAAACCACTCCATTAGAAACACAGCATTTAATTTATTTTATAGTACTGGTATGCCCAAGTCGGATTGGAGACCAGGCAGTCCTTCTAGTCTGCAAAACCATACAATTCCCGTCAATGCTGTCGCAACAACGCAAACCGTTGTTGTAGTTTGCGCCAGATAGCCCGTTGCAATGACCGTGATAAGTCGAGTCTCGATCGGTTCCAGCTTGATCGACAGGAATTGACTAGGCACTCCTCGTTTAGTTCTATAATTAGCACTAAGGTCTATAGGAGGAAGATGGTTGATTTTGAAACCATTGATGCTGATATCGGGTCGGGCTTCCCGAGATATGGCCGTTGGGTGTTGGCATTGCAGTGGTATTGTCAGCTCGGAGATATCAAATATCGATTGATCAATATTAACAGCCATCGTGATTAGCCGTTTGGTATTTTAAATAAACGGGATCCCGATAGCCGATCCGTTCGAGACAAATGTCCGTACGCGTAAAGAGCTGCATAGTTATCGCATTCGCAGGTGGTGCGATTGAGAGTATTCTAGCAAAACAAGTCTTCGTCAAAACGTTACACAAATGTTAAGACATTTGATGCATAGCAATCTGAGCTCATGCGGGCCAGTCATGGACGCTGATATCCCGGATTGAGCTAATTGGTAGTTGCTTCGCAGCCGACGGATAGGCCGCTATATGGTTGCGAAAGGACAATTTTGAACAAGATAAAGAGCTTAAGAGAAAATTTTAAAACCGGATCAGCTCTCCAGCCTCTTCAATGACTCGAGCCGGGGGTGTTGTGGTACAACGGTTCGGCTGATATGGTTTTTTTTGGCGGTTACACAACAGCAAAGACACATGGCGGGCATAGTTATGCAAGCTTTTCGGCTTTAATGCATATTCCTAGGATCCTCTCGAGGATATTGATTCCATTGACAGGGGACGGTTAGGGAATATGTATTTACATGCTCCCATCGGGAGGGAGACTACTGGTGGCTCGGGCCGCATTATCGTGATATCTCGCGGTATCAAAAGGCTGACTTGGATTCTACGGCTGAGGCGGTTGCACATGCAAGGGTATACTCAAGGGATGTTAACCGGAAATATTGTGAAAGAATTTTCTTTACATTGCATTGTTAAACTTCTAGGTTTATTTTAATGCATAACACCAATTAGCAACTATTTTACAAGGTTTGTGCTTTATTTGTTCAGGTATACGCACTGGCATGAATCACGTTGGCCAAACATGTTGGCATGGTTTATGGGCTTCGAGATTCAAGGCTGCTAACCGGTGTCTTTCTTTAGCACGCAATGCAGATCCCTGAACTGAGGTGAGTTTTAATATAGTACGCCTTTTCTAAGTATTTTGTGCTACATTGCTACATTGCCCCATGAAACCCAACCATTCGGTCCCCCCATCCGGTCCTTCGTTCTATACTGGTGGCCCCAGGGGTCCCCAGAGCCCCATGCATGGCCCCTAATTCGAATTGCCCCCACGAACTTCCGAGAGAGCAGTTTCCGGAATTTAAGATAGTTAAGGCAGATTAAGTAACCTCCGTACTTGAACTCGAACTAGGATCGAAACAGATAGAATTAGTTGACTTGGTATGGCAATTTTAGCCAACGGCTTTCTAGTACACTTACACGCGGAAGCCACCAACCCAACGGGATACGCAATACCGAGTTCTATCAAAAATTTCATTCTAGAAACCACATCGCCAATAGAGGAGATGAAGCTTATCTATTCCGAAACTGAGACTTCATGCCGCTTACGGCCCACGGCATTTAGCTGAGGTTAGAAATCATATTTGCTGTTTTGAAAACTTCGCGCGAAAGAAATGGAATGAATGGTAGTACTATGGCCTATCAGTGTGTAGATATCTCTATTCGTGGCTACAGGGATCGGGGTTTGAGTTCAAAATAGGGGCATGGATCGTAATTGCTTCGTTGCGTGGATTTATAATTTAAAGGGATTTGAATGAAGCCAATGTGGAATAATTCAAGTGATATAGCCATCCAATATCAATAAAACTTAGTGTACATGGAAGAGACTTGCAGAAATATGGAGACTCTTCCAGTACCAACCTCAGTGACTGCTAACGTATCTAATTCTGGCGGTTCTATACAATCCCATTCAAGCTCCACAGAAGGTTCTGAAACTCCTAGTATCTTGAAATTCCAAAGAAGCACAGAAAATTCCCAACTGGTACGTTTCATTCGAGTTTGGTTAACTTATATCTGAAAAGTAGTCTTGCTCTAGCTCTGAGAACTAGGACGTTTAAGGGACGACATGATGGACTTGAACTGATAAGATTTACATACTATTGCAGATCGCAAACCATATATACCAATGATTTAAGTCGAGTCAATGGACAAATACGGGACCTGGGGCAGTACCCTCGGTGTGTGTTCGAATACGTCCGTATGAATACGCCATAGAACCGGTACCCGCCGATACAAGGGTCCTCGAAGCGGTTAAAAAACTTGACGTAAAAGTTGCATTTTTGATGAGATCTAAAATTACAGAATTTGTATTCCGAACAATAGCAGAGGGGGATGCTGAGTTAGTATTCCCAAGAGAAGGGGTCCAAGTACAAGTTCTGGAATCGTTGGATAAGATCATAGATTCGACAGATATAACCGTGAGGAGGTTCCAGTATGTTTGTTTCCTGCGACAAGAGAGGGCGGTTTTACTGTGGCACGATAATACGAGGACGATTTTCAAGCATGCGGAGCAAATAAACATAAAGATGATGTCCCTGGTACGTTTTCATCTCCACCAAGCTGACGAAGCGTATTAAAGTGGTTTAGTACTTACAGGACATGCTCAGCTATGGGGCCAAGATTTGACAGGTCGGTTGCACACTAGCTCAGCGGTTCTCGAGTCAAGATCATCCAGGACATCGGTATACTCCATACGAAGCGCTTCAACTTCCAAACTACCGTGGCAGGTCGAAAGCTCCGATATGCCAGCTATTGAAGGAACGAAGGAGGCAAAAGTCGAAAATCTTGATATCGAGAAAACCGCGGCAGAGCCATTTGATCGCCCGACCATTTACACGAGCTCTATATACACAGGAGTCGCAGTATTTATTATGACAGCCCTACTATTTGGTGGTGCTCTGCGTACACTAGTCGTAGAAACCGCTATTGATGGTCAATATATTCGGTTGGCTCTCGCTGTGACGTTGCCGTTTTCTGGATCGTTGGCTCTGGTATGTAATTACTCCTAGTTAATCAGTCTACTGAATTCACGAACCTATTGGGATTGGATACAAAACTTAAGATAACGCTTCTATCTCAATATATATATTGTCTAATATATATTTCTGTTCTGTATAGTTCTTCTTCATTATCATAGTCACCGATATATGCCAGCTCGTTGGGCCAGTTCGGTCTACCACGACGAATTCTCGGTTTTATTCTGCAAGATCTCCATCGTTAGATCAAGCTTTCCGGAAAGGATTTCAACCCCCTCATATAACAATACAAATGCCGGTATATAAAGAATCCTTGCAAACGGTCTTGCAGCCCACAATTCATAGTTTGAAGCAAGCCGTATCACACTACGAACTTCACGGTGGGACTGCGAATATTTTTGTCAACGATGATGGGATGCAGGTAGGTTCTAGGAACATGGTTTCAAGATAAACTTGCGAAGTTTTAACTCTGACAATAAATTTGAATAGTTGATTGACTCGGCACTTGCTGAAGAGAGGAAAGAGTTCTACCGGGACAATGGCATCGGGTGGGTGGCGAGACCAAAACACGGAGAGAATGGATACCTTCGGGCAGGAAAATTTAAGAAAGCTTCCAATATGAATTTTGGTCTTGAAATCTCCAATAAAACCGAAGACATTCTTAACGAGTTGATTGACGCAAGGCATAAAGAGAGAAACGAACTTCTATCCAGTAAAGAGATAGATGATTTGTATACTACGGCGTTAGAAAGGGTCATCGAGGAGGATAAACGGGCATGGGCTTCTGGGAATATCAGAGTTGGGGAAATTATTTTGATCGTCGATAGCGATACCAGAGTGCCAGCAGACTGTCTGATATACGGGGCAGCCGAAATGTTCTTATGCCCGGAGGTCGCTATAATCCAACATAGTGCTGGAGTTATGCAGGTGGTGGAAGATTACTTTGAGAATGGGATTACCTATTTCACAAATCTTATATACTCAGCAATAAGGTTCGTTTGTGGGTCTGGAGATGTTGCACCGGTAAGTTGATCGGCCCTCGACGTGAAACCCTGTCCAAAATCAAATGCTTGGGGACTACTTAAGTAGATATTAAATGTACCCAAGTACTCTAAAAGGCAAAAGGAACTAACTCGGAATATTCCAAATGTTAACATCTAGTTCGTGGGACACAACGCTTTCCTTCGTTGGCAAGCAGTCCAGAGCGTGGCCTTTCGGTCTGAAAATAGAGAATACTACTGGAGTGAATCCCATGTATCAGAAGATTTCGATATGGCACTTCGGTTACAGGTAGCTGGAAATGTGGTTAGGCTTGCGACTTACCATGGCTTACGAGGCTTCCAAGAGGGTGTATCTTTGACGATATACGACGAGCTCGCGAGATGGGAAAAGTATCACGCCTCACAAACAGACTCGCACAACTCCAAAAAGTATTAACGTAATTGAATTTTCTAGGTACGCATATGGCTGTAACGAATTGGTGTTTAATCCTATTCGTACTTGGCTTTGGTGGGGCCCATTCAGCAAGCTCTTCATACAATTCCTCAGTAGCGATATCCAACTTTGTTCCAAGATATCGGTATTAGGCTATATTTTTAGTTACTATGCGATAGCAATAGGATTGCCTTTCGGCGTTTTGAACTACACGCTTCTTGGTTGGTATAACGGCTATTTTGATTCCTTCTACCTCGATAGTTGGAAAGTTTTCCTTTCCCTAGTCGTGGTTTTTAGTTTTTTGGTAGGCTTACGACTCAAATATCCCTTTACAAAACTGCTGCTCAAATTTATCTATAGGGAAACTTAAGCTTAGCTGTACTTCGCTATCGAGTTGGTGAGAAGTCACTTTTAGCAGCCCTCATAGAAAACTTCAAGTGGATGCCCGTGAGTATAAATGTTGCAGGAAATCCGCGCTTATGCATATGGCTCGGTTCAACTAACGTATAATATAATGACGAATCCCCAAAGATGTTTATTGTGTTTTTTTCCGGCCTCTCCTTCCACATCAATACCGCTATATTGGCGCACATGCTCGGCATTAATATGACCTGGGGCGCAACGGCAAAAGAAAAGGCGGATTCGAATTTCTGGATCGAAGTCCCCCGCATATTGAAAACTTTCAAATGGATGTACTTGACCATGGGGTCAATTGCAGCATTCATGATATACTGTGGGTGTTTCGCACCTACTGATTGGCGGATAAACGAGTTTACTGCAATTGTTCCGCTTTCAACTATGGTGGGGGGACATCTCATATTACCGGTGTGTGTGAAGTTCAAAATTCTTTCCTTTTTCTGACCGCTAATACCTTACATACGTAGTTTGCTTTGAATCCTTCGCTTATGGTCTTCAATTATTGATCGAGCCGATTGATCCAGCATGTAAGTTGCTCCAGCTACATTTACAAGGCTGGATAAAAGGTGCATACGCTAATTTAGGGTGTGTAGCTACCTGCAGTAACTAAAGGTATCAAATTGCTAGACATAAAGACGGTTCTAAATCTTATTGCGCGGATCTACATGGGGTTTCAATTATATAAATTATCTTCGTCGCATTATAATATTAGGTACATACGTTAGTCTCCTTGATTTTATGATTGTTCTGCAAGTCAACTGTAAGTACAACCAGGAATAGATAAATGGAAAGAACTTAGCTAGCTAAGGGGGTAGGAACACAGTTTTTATACGATTGCATCCTTAATTGATTCTCGATCGTATGTCTTGTTGTTAATCCAACCCTCCAGTGACCCCCTCCGGGTAGCAAAGAACGCCATCAAATATATATATTGTGCACAGGAAACTAGTCGATCAATATTGCAATGTAAAAAGCTTTACTAGGCAACTCCAAGATAGCCTATACAGTGGCCTCCCTAATAGCATCCCTCCCTAATGATATGGGGGTACGTCTAGGATCATATCCTAGTGTTCTTCTTTCAAGAATTGGTTCGATTGCTGAAATGTTCGAACGTTCGTTACACCAAAAAATTCAAAAGAATTCATCAGATGTCAGCTGTGAGCATGGCTAGTTGCCTTGGGGTAGCCCGGTTCGCGCTCGAGGATACCTTAGCACAGCAGATTCCCTTTGGGTCAACTAATCCATCCTTGTTCGAGTTTAGGATAGTAACATGCCAGTTGCATGAATAATGCATTATTCGGAGCTCCACCAGATTAAATAATGTCTAACATCCAATCAATCTAAATATGAGAGAGACCCTAACTAGGGTGCACCTAGGATAGCGCCATTGTACTACAACGCCACACGGGAATCCCGGGTCTTTTCTACGGCTCGTCGGCAAGTCTTGACCTACCTTAGTCCGGAAGGCTTTGTCCAGTCTCGAAAGCCCCCAGACGGGTTTATGAAAGAAATATGAGAGGAACTCAGCCGTACCAGTATACTTTGTTTTTGGGTAGGACAACTCTTTGTTCGGCGAGTGCGTCGGCTTAGGGTCGAGGCTAGGCTTCGAGGCCTTGTAATGTCTGATATTGGTTATCGATATATATCTCGCCTACGTAGCTATCAGTCCCTAGTTTTGAAATCTTATATTCAAACCTAGATCTAGGGAAAGTACAAAAGCCTCTGGATTTCACAACAGATTAGCCATTCTATCTTGCAAGACATTATCCAATATTCATGATCCAGATGTGCGCTTTTTAACCAATAGATATTTCTAAACATTAATGCATTGCTAAAAATTGATATTTAAGATGAAAGCAGTGGCGATTCTTACCATTATGAGCCTTTTGCAGCTTGGCATTGTCCTCGGAATGCCGGCTGCTCGGCCGCAAGATCTTACAGACGAGTTTTTCAATGGATTGCCGGATCCCGAACCGGCTGGCGCACCTTTTGGAACCGGTGGGTACTGCCTCAAATTCTACATATACCAAATATATGGATTATCGGCGTGGTTGACAGACATACTTTTGGATATACAGAAACCAGTGGCCCAGCCGTCGACAGATCTGCAATCATCGACGCTGCAGTGGCACAGGCTACGGCGTTAGACGCCCCAGGAGCCGATCCTGCCCTTACGAACAATCCCGACCCAACGGAGCCGGGAAAGTTGAGAAAGAGATCACCAAGCTCGGACGCTGTCACCCCTAGCGGCTATCACTTAGTCTTTTCTGGTCTCAATGGAGCTACCCAAGCGCCGTCGTATTTGACCTTCAAATCAATTCCCACATATGACCCAAGCCTCTGTGCTGCAAAATGTAACTTTATAAGCAACTGGTAAGTTTGAAGGACTTCGCAAGCGTGGAATCTACTATTTACTTTTCCCTTTCTCTCTCTTTCCCTCTTTCTTTCTGTAATTCTTTCTTCTTTTTTTTTGGAAATATTCTGACAATTCTTGCTCCCAAAAACTCAGTCGATTTTTCAATTTATACATCGAGATCAATGCAAACGGGCAAATTATCAGGTGTTCGTTCTACAGTATCAGAAGCACAGCATCTAGCGCTATAAACGTTGGCCAATGGCGGAATGGCTTCCACGTCACAATCAACAACTCTAATGGCTATGCTAAGTATCAGCCGTACCCTCCTGTTGACGGGTTTACGGTCGAAAGCCTTGGCGGCGCCATAAATGGTAGACGTTTGGCCCCTGGCGACCCGGATCCATACATGGGCTATACATCCATCGAAGCGGTATTTCTCCCCCCAAATGGCCCAAATCAAGGCTATGTTAATATATTATCTAACGATGCCCGAATCTAGAGTGATCCAAGCATATGTTCTATAGCTTGTGAGAAAAAGACAGCTTACAATTCTCGGCATCCAAGCTCGGAGGGAACATATCGTGCTTGCAACTTTTTCAATTTCTATCACTTGTATAAGAATGGGGAAGGGTATAGGACGATTTGCTCTTTCTATCTTATTCCGTTTGATTCTTCTTATGCTACAAACCATGGGTATTCGTCCCATGGGGATACATATACGATTGCTGAAAGCTATGGATACACACGTATTGTCCAACAGGGGGATGGCGGTATAGTTGTATCTTAATTTATTGTAGACGATTGATTGGCGGCTGGCTCTAGTTACTGGATCTAGATTTTTGGAAGAACTTAATATGGTCTCAAGCAAAGGCATCTATTCTTGAGAATTTTCATTTCTAAATACCGTTAGTTACTACGCACATGTCCAAGTAAAATCAAATATTTCTAAAAGCGGCTCCCAGACTAAATTCTAGAACCGAATTAAATTAATCAATCAAGCATAGCTTGACTGAGTCTATCTATCCCTGACCTAGTTTCGTACCCAAACTGATCAGCCTTCGACTCCCGACGTGTTGTGTGGTATTTTCTTTTCCCAATTCCCGCGTTGTCCCGTTAGCTACCTCATAGAATAAATGTTTTAACGAGACCAGACTAAATGCTGAACTGAATTGGAGGCTCCTTCACTTAACAACTTTCCCCACGGTAGTTACATCACTTTTCATGAAAGCGAAGGTGATCTGAAGGGAAAGGAAAGAAAAAAGAAAGATTCACTTTACGATAAATTGTCCACAGTACGCTCGAACACCGAAACCCTGGTCCACAATCGTGGTAATTAGAATGTCAATATCCAGCACCGAAGAGTGGATCCATGGGCCGCCATCTTATATTTCGGTTGGGCTTGCACCTGTCGACGCTCACTCAACTCCAAACTGGCAAATGGGACGTTCTTTCAATTTGGGGCCGTTACCAATGTTTGCTCTTCAAACACAATGGAGGTCCGCCTTGAGTATCGATCAGAGCGTCGTATGCACGATGACGGAGCGGAGATTGGGATAACTAGGACATTGTAAGCCCCTTCTTACGTGACGCCAATCCGCCGCCGCGGCCTGTGATGACAAAGATTATAGGCACCTAACGTGCTAATCATCGGTTGTTAAAATAACTAAGTGCATACTAGGCGATAGACTCTATCTTGATAGGCTGCCTGATGCATGGTTAAGATATTCCAAACTCATAAAATCGAACAAAAGAAAAGGCCTACCCCCCAATTTGTGGGAACAATGGGGCTACACAGTATGCCACCTGCTGTCCCCAGGTCCCTCAGGTTTCATCCCCTGCACTGTCGTTGGAATAAGACCGGAAGGATGCCTCGACGTTATGGGTTGCCGCCTTCAGATAATATTTTTATAAAAAGGGCAGCAACAGCGAAGGTAGAAATCTGCACGGCTTAGAGTCTTGCCCTGGACCCGGCCGATAAGATCATAAGACGAATCAAAAGCAGGAGGTACACACCTCATACACGTTCATCCTCCCTGGGCGGATGCATACGTGGAATCACAATGGAAGTGGATGATCTACGGTTATATCATATTCTTATTTTTGACTTTCATAACTACCGAATCCACAAGCTTTCCGGGTGCATGGATTCCACCTGCTCGGGTTTGCAAAGTAAGCAAAGCTCCTTTTCCCGCTTGGCTTACTTAGCTAACAACACCCTGTTAAACGGCACTGCATCATCCAGGCAAATGTTGTTATTAATGAGAGCCTCGTAAACCGGGGCCACTGCAGCATAGTAAGAAACTAAAGCGGATACTTTTTTTTCTTTCTATCCAATGTTTCTTGACTCCGACAAGGGGAAGGGAAGAGAGAGAGAGAGAAGAAAAAAAGCCAATCGGTCCGCCTAGCGCTCTGAAATCTACCCATTGGAGCCGAGGGGTTTAGTATAGGAACAATCAAACAACGTAAAAAGAAAAAGATACTGAAGGAAGTGAATCGTAGGTATCTTGTACTACTACCCTCGCTTGGGAGGATCGATGGTATCTATCTTTTGAATCACAGGTGTTTGAAGGAGGTAAGATGGCGATGGTAACATATCATGGACATTTTATCTGGTGCCAAAACGAAGGTTTTTGAGGGAGGGATACTGCGGGCCTCTCCGTTCGCATTTAGTCGGATTTCTTTCCTTTCTAGAACCTTTTTTTCTCATTTTATATCTGGAGGTTAAGTCAGTTGGCGCCCTGCTGACATTGAAGCTGATGATATGGGTGACATGTTTCAAGTTGACAAGGAGGTTCTGGGGCTCATGCTCACACTGCTGGACCGTTTATATTGCGTCCGCTTTGACCCGTCCCTGTGAACGCTTACAAGGCCATGTACCCTAAAAGCTACTAGGCATGCATGCGACCGACAGAGATTGTAGAAGCCAGCGTCCAGAAATGTGTCGACGGATGACATGACAGAATATCCACGGAGACACATCGACTAAAACGCTTTCGAGCAATGCAATACCTACTCCTGTATGGCTGCTTGCGCTTGGCTCCAGACCCATATACTAAACCATCACGATACCGCTAGCTGCAGGTGCGACTTAGCTGAGTCCCACCGGCCAGTTCGGAACATCAAGGAACCACTTGAAGGGATTTTTTATTTTTATTTATTTTTTTCAAGTCTTTTGTTCACCTAGCTTTTCTATTAAGTTGAGCCGGTCCGAATCTGCCAGTTCCAAGATGACCGAGGAAGCAACCAAGTCGTCGACAACAGGTCGCAGCAGCACCAAAACCAGCAACATCCATTCCATCTTATCTGACAACAGGACCAACACATTTTTAGCGGCCTCGTCCGAACACCACCACAAAGCCCTGAAAATTGGCGAAGCTGGAGTACCCTCCTGGTCCTCTCCAGACCTGGGGAATACTGTTGTACCTACAAAACGTATCTCGGATCAAGAGCGATTGCGCCTACGGCATGCTGGCTTCTTGCCAGCGTATTCAGAGCCTGCACACAGCCCAGAAAAAGATATCCATCAGGAGTATTTAAAAAGGCGGAAACTTTCAGTGGCTCCACACTCCTCCCCCTCAAATACCATCTGCTTTTCAGAAGATCACAGGGACGAACCCCTCAGCTTAATCACAGAAGATGATACTCCTATGAGGTCTTTCCCAGTTAGAGAATATCCTAGAAGACTAAGCATCGCCTCAGTTTTGACTGCTGATAGTGGTTCACTCCCAAGCGTGGTATCGCCGGCGACGACTACCAGTTGGGCCGGACTGGCATCTTCTGCATCTTCGACAACTACCGTCAACCCTCCCCAGTGGCCCTTTATGAGCGAGCTGTACCAGCCAATCAGTCGTAGAAGTCCAATATCAAATACTGCCTCAGCAAGTACTTCTGTTGGGTCCCACCCTCGGAGGGAACACCAAGCCTTTGACGACACTGACCTTAAAACTTGGGAACTCGATTTTGAAGTATCAACAGCCCAGAGGAAAACACCACTTACAAGAAAAATTCCGCGTCGTAGGCATTTCGACACCACCGCTGCCACAGACGACTCTGGTATGACGCCTATCGGTAACTTTGAGCATATCGGTAGAACTGGCAAACTTCACCCACTAGGAGAGGACGAAATGGAGGATATAGGAGAAAGACAGACAGCGTTATCAGGGGAAGATATACAAATGGGGTCGCATCATTCATTAGAGGCATATAACGATCTGGTATCAGATTTACAACATAAATTATCCACCAAAACATTAGCTCTGGAGGCTCTGCAGAAGGAGCACGATCGTCTCCTAGGTGCCTATAGTCGGCAACAAACCCGGAGCGCAGCAATCCAAAAGAAGTGCTCGGTAGCGGACACCGAAATCGTTTCCCTTTCGGCTGAGCGGGACCGGCTCCAGGAAGCTCTCGACCAGTCGGAATCACAAGTTCAGGAATTGACAGAGCAGCGCGACAGTATCAATAGAAGGCTGGTTTCTAGGGTTAAGGAATACTCCAACATCATCCAACTAGCGTCGCAGATGGAAAGCCTGTCGGTTGTGGAACGAAAGAGGTGGAAGGATAGAGATGCCTTACTAAGGTTGAAAATAGAGGAACGGGATCAAGTCATAGAAGATATGCAACAGCGGCTCACGGTAGCTATGGCCGCTGATGAAGTAGGAGGACCTAGCCGATCTCCGAGATCCGATACGGATCCCGACGAAGTTATCATGCTGCGGAAGGAAAATCGATTGCTAAAGGAAAGGGCTGAAGAACTCGAGGCTTCTGTCGGTGAAGCGAAACAGGAGGTCCAACGGATGAAGGAAATCGGGCGGATGTTGGTTGCACCGGAACCAGGAGGACTTTGATTTCTCAGTTCATCTTCCGCCTTGGCTTATTGGACTGGAAATAAAATGAAGAGGATAGGAGGTGGAGAGAGAACCGAGGGGATGAAGAATAAAAAAAAAGAAAGTATAGCATTTGTCTTTGGGGTATTGTATAGATGATCGGTTGATCGTGAGACTGACTCAACGGGTGTATTGAATCAGCTCAGGATACCGGAACGCCCCAAACGCCGGAGCCAAATATTACCAGCGGGATGAACACGATTTGCCACCGGACAGAGTGGTACGATAATTAAATTTAGCCTCGTCGGCCTAGAGGGGGTACGCAGAAAGCCCTAGTTCCAGGGAATTGGGAAGGAGAACATCAAAATAAATCCGTGAAAGGCTCACGACATCATGCATCAAAGCCTCCTGTCTATCAGGCGGGTCGCGGTATGTTGATTCGAGCCAGCTGACGAATAACCTTGATTTTGCCACGGCTAGACCCTGTTTTGGTGTGCATATGTGGGTGATGGCATTGACTTCCTGGTATTTTCCGAGAAGTGGCGAAAGTCTTCGACATCCCGGAGGTCTGGGAGAGGCTATAGCTATAATTGCACTACTGCTAAGAACCATCCACATGAAAATATGCTGTCACCGACGGTCATTTCCTGTTTTGGAGATTGCAACAAGGAGCGCTGATCAATTTTGCGTTGTTGGTGTTGCAAGTGAGGATACCCCTGTCTGGTGGAATATTGTGGCTTTACCAGAACCTTCTTCAGGCCTCTTTGACGACGGCTTGGACGCCGGATTCTCCAGCTCTATGAGGCTTCATTGTGCATCGAAGCATGTAGAAATTTCTTAGAACCAAGTTTGGAAGAGACAGGTCATGGGACTAATGTTGGTTTAATGCAGGATACAGCGTCATGGCGTTTTTCTTCCAAGGCACGGTTTTCGGATTTTATTTCCAAGATAGAAAAAGTTGATTATTCTTTTTGTACAGTACCCATATTTAGCAAGAATTATACCCAGTACGCTATCAAGACTAAATTCCAAGAAAATGCACTGATGATGCAAACGCCTTTTTTAAGCAGGTATGTACGTAACAAAGGAAAGAGAAAATGGAATAAAATTCAAGATGATTAGGTTTCAAGGAAAAATCTTGCGTTCCTTCTCGGTTCGGAAAATCAGGCGATTGATCTATGTAGCAAGTGGAGATAGTAATAATAAGGTAGGAGACGAAGAGCTGGTAAATCTCAACGCAAATGCGCCTCGTCCACCAATAGATGTATGTTAGCTCTTTTCCCTAGAATGTATAGTCGTCGTCGTCGTCGTCGTCGCAGTGCTGGCTACGGTGGTAGGATCGATTTTGCCAGAATGTCGGAGGCGCCGGAGCCTGTAGATGGGAGAACTAGACCGATGCTGAAGACTTTCGCCCTCCTTGGTTATCAACATTTTTTTGCTTTTCCTGGTCAACATCTCCATCCGTGAAAAATGAAGACTGGTTTCCACCTGACCCTGATCCACCAACTGACGCTGACCCTGTACTCGCACTTGCCACCGTGCTTCCAACTTCAACCGCTTTTGTATTGGCGTACGTGTCCAATCGAACCCGAATCTGGCGACCTTGGTACATGGTTCCATTGAACATTTCGCATGCCCTCTCTGCTTCCTGAGAACTTGCAAAGAGAACGGTTGCGTACCCACGGCCTTTGTTATTCGGCTTCCGTGGAACGTCGCAGCGGATGATGTTACCAGCTGGACTCAAGAAGGTCCTAAGATCCTTCCAGTGTGTATTGTAAGGCAGGTTGCCGATGAAGATACCACGGCTTTCAGTTTGGACCCCACCGTGGCTCAAGTTGACTGGGACGCCAGAGGCATTATTGACAAAGACTGGTGTAGGAGGAATAGCAACGGGCTGGATAGTTGAATATCTGTGGCCTCCGGGGTTCGCAGTTTGGCCGTATTGCTGGTGTGGCTGCATACCAGGAAATCCTTGAGCTGCTTGGTTACTCGTGGATCGAGAAGGTGCGACAGAGGTTGGCGAAGCCATCGGATGGTTGTATGGAAAGCCGCTGGCAGATCTGGGATTATAGAAAGAAGGGTAAAGTTGGTATTCCCCTTGACCGAGTAGAAGTGGTGACATGTTATGCCCTTGTTGGTGCATAGGACTCTGTTCTGTGAGTATAGATGGTGTCAGTTGTACTTGTATAGGGAATTACCAGGCACAGATAATGCGAATTCAAGAATTCTAGTTGTAAATACGAGGATAAAGGGGATGAGACTCTTAAGCCGTAGTTTACCATACCTCGTTGCGACAAGTAAGGCATCGTCGAGTAGTTCATACTAGACGATGGAGAGCGAGGTCCTACAAAATGGGACAACGGATATGCTGAGAAATGCTGCTGAGGAGGTGAGAGAGTCGGGAACCCAGATGGAGGTCTTGAATTTGTGGGTTGGTTTGGAGTGCTGCGTCTGGATGTATTTTTGCTGTACGGTGAGGAGGAGGATGGAGTTGAGGATGATGATGATGATGATGATTGGAACCCGAGTGGTGAGCTGTCTTGAAACCGAGCGAGTTCTTCTTGAAAAAGATTATGGTGCTGTGCTGAATGGAAGGCAGCCGCTCGTTGCGCTACCACGGCTTGTCGTCGATACTCCTCCACAAGATTTTCACCATCACGCGTCAACGGTGATGATGGCGACGACACTCCACCATCAGCAAAGCTTAACTGTTGGAAATTATTACTAAGGCCGCCTCCATCACCATCTGGGTTCACTGGCTGTTGCTGAGATCGAGAGCGCTCCTCTTGGTGACGGATGCCAGCATTGTGAGCCAATGCAGTATAGTGGTGATAAGCCTGGGTCGCGATCCATTCGTTGTATGCAGCGAGTTGAGACGGGATGAGATTCAAGTACGCCGAAAAGTTTGCACCGCTGTTGGTATTGTACTCTGCGGGTAGCGGAGGGACTGGCACGTATTCTGGAAGCAGACTGCCGTCGGGAGACGACGTCGGATTCGGCTCCTGCGTGAGGACGGGGACAGGATTGGCCTCGTTCCCTAACTTGGCCATCAATGCCCTTCCATGCCATTCGAAGCCATTCGAAGCCATCCAGACGCTCTGGGGAGAGACGATTAAGGAACAGATTTTAGCACGTTGAGAGAGCAAACAAGGGCTATGGGAATGGAGGATTCGGGATCAAAAGACAAGATGGAAGAAGAAAAAGCCTACCTACAACTTTGATCGCCTCATCCCTCTCTTTGACGATGATATACCCAAATCCCCTCGACCGCCCGTCTGCTGTGAGATATATCTCTACTCGCTGAATATTTGGTGTTATTTCTCGTACTAGGTCTTTCAAATCCTGCCATCTTCCCCTCCAAGGGATCTAGAGAAATAGTTCGTTAGATCTTCCAAAGAGAGAAGGGGGGGAGAAACAAAAAAGAACAGAGATGAGAAGACAGCAAAACAAGAACAAAATCGCAAGGGATTGGCAATAAAGAAGGCTTCCACAAGGGAAGTGACCATAGTTGATCCCTCGTAATATTTCTTGACAACTGAGAGGAATTGTTATTCGGGGAGGCGTACATTTCCAACGAGAATTATGTACTCATCCGAGTTTAGTGCACCGGCTGGTCGCTGCAGGACGTTGCCCATGCCTACCGTGCCACTTTCGAGCCGATGCCGTTAAGTCTCACTTCGGGTGGAGAAATGTACTAGGGAGAAATATAAATCAATCGAAGGTCGTTTCGTGACAAAATTGTTCGACTTTTTGATATTTGAAGTTTTTAAAAATGGGGACCTCTTTTAACGGTTTTTATTGGACAAGTACAATGAAGAAGGAGGACAGCCTTTGGAAGTGCCCAAACATCCTTATGTGAGTTCCTTTCGTCTACGTCTCCAAATGCAAGGCCAACTACCAGGTCTAAAATTTCCTTTTAAGTATGGCGCTCACGCAGGCAGGGACTGGATTTACTTGTCCGGCCAATCAGACAAAGGAACTGGTCGTCCGACTGCAAAATAGAATTGCGACGACGTGGCTCTATGACGAGAGCGGCGGTTCCCAGAAAGGTCAATCGTCCTCGTACGGTGAAAAAATTCAAGCCGTTAATCGATGTTGGAGTATGGAGTGTGTGTTTTATATAGTCCTCATACTAGTAGTCGAGGGTTCCGCCACCGTGAGCAACCCAGCTGGAGAACATGTGTGGAATCCTTGGTCGAGCCAGACCCTTTTTTCTGAGCTATCTTTATGCACTCCTCTAAAGGGAAAACTTAACAGGTCATTTTAGGCCAGGTTTGACCTGCTATCAAACTGCTAACCCTGCCCTGCACGCCGACGGTGTGACCCGATCGTAGGACCGTGACCGCATCTGCTACAAGCGGATAGAGCTTGCCCCAGGTGGCTGAAAAAGCGGCCCTGTAGATCGAAAGTGTGGCAGGATCATTTAAAGAGGCGAAAAGCCTCCTGGACTAAAGAAGCAGTAGTCATCGAGGCCGCGAGGTGCTATTGGGGGCGTGGGCATCCTTGGTGTGAAAATGCAATTGCAAACGGACGACGCTACATGTACAGGCTTGAGATAGAGCAATCGGGTCACTCCCGTCTGCAGACTGCCATGCTTTCCGGGTGGCAACTGACATAATCACTTCGACAACTTGGTTTTGCTCATTTTTCAGCGTCGTCAACATGCAAGACCGCGGTTCGGTCGGTGCGCTCTGATACACATGATGCAGTCTGCGGGAAAATAATCCAATCCATTTAATTACTGGCCGAGTTCTTAGGTGGGATTAGTTGATTAGCTAGTCGAAGTCTTCTTCACAGGTTTCGACAAAATAAGACATTTGTCAGGGTGGTTGTATGTTTAGCAGGAGTCGTACCAGGCCTGGCTAACGGATGTTGGAAGCTTTTTTGCTGTTGCTTTTTGATGAGGCCCATTCCAGTAGCGTGCCAAGAGCTCTAGTGCCGGAGCTTCGCGAAAGACATGGGCTAGACACCACAGCAAACCTGCCGGTTGTGTGGCCAAGGCCTCGATCGTTTCCGAAAAACCTGATCCAGGACCCCTAGATACCAAGTTTCTGTGGAGAGCCACAGACCTGGGTCCATTGCGTTCGTAATCCAGTAGCCAAGTACATACGAGGAAGGACGGGGTTGCCTTGTTAATTCAAGCATGTGATTTGATTCGGTTCCATTCGCATTCCAGTCCTGCAACCCAGTGCAGGGCGGTGTCTGAATCGGATATGGCGAATCCGGCCGGTTGTCTTAGGCCTTAAGCTTTGGGGACAGCCTCTAGGTAAACTCTGACCTGTTGACGTTTCCACGTTGGAGTAACCGGTATTAGGGATGCATGATTGTGCTGACCTTAATTGAGCCCTTGAGACTTTGAGACTCTGGCCTTGTATTCGAAGCTTCTTAGCCTTTGATGGGTATGAAGTACTAGTAGGTATATATCATTAAATTGTGAACTTATATGTGTCAGCGCGCCAAAATGGTCTCTTTCCCATACCATTCAGCATGGGATTCTATAGAAGCCCATATCCGATGGAACTTTCCTCCCGAGAACTTTAATCTAACATCGTATGCACGAAAAACTGGTAGGCTTCTCGTCGTCGACGACCCAATCGGCGGTTTTAGTAATGCTGTAGTCTGGCCTGGTTGCATTTGCCTCTCGGTCTTTAAATCGGAGACTATAGTCGTACGTACGTATGCATCGAAGTTGATGCATGATGCATAAGGTGGAGGTACACCGGCATACCGGTAGTACTATAGTGTGGAAATTTCGAAGAGGTATCAAAGCTAGGTTTATGGTCGATTCGGGATTCATAACCATGGGTCTATCGAGATTATTTTTTAGTTTTTCTTTCTTTCTTTCTTTTTTTTATTTTAAAAAAAATAATAAAAGTATATCCACAATAGGTAACGTCGATTATATATCAGCACTGACTTATTTGCACAAACTACTCAAGTTGGTAAAGATGTGCAAAGACGCTACTGGGGTATTCCATTGGGCCACCTATTTATCTATTGAATGGCTGCTTCCCCGAGATTTGATTCTAGAACTTGTATGTGTCGGGATTGGTCTAGAGTACCATTGTCTCTTTAATTTTATATGTATCCATACCTCTCTTCGGATTTAAGAGAGAGGGTCTGGTTCATAATTACTAGTTGAAATACAAGGTATCAAACTGCCATGCTGTTGCCGTAAGAGCTTGCTGGGTACTTTTCGTATAAAGCGTACCTATGATGAAAGGGTATTCTTCTGTCCACAAAGGACAACTACCTTATCCCCCCACTTGTTTAGCTATCTTTCTAGGTATATAGCCTACAAGTAATTACTTTGAAGAGATTGTCATATTGCATTATGACGGTAAGACCAACCTACTAGTTATGAATTGCGCTACAGTACAGTGCCGCCTGTGGAATATATATATCTTTTTTTGTCATCTAATGTATAACGCCTATCACGGGCGGTATTGCATCTGGGGATAACAGATACCCACCGCCCCATTCTAGATATGCGAAGCAGAAATATAATACATTTAGAAATGAAACCATAACTCCCCTACTGACCGAAACGACTAGAATGAACGGTAGATGGCGGTGAAAAACGAAGAGACTGAGAACCTAGACAGTCTTCTTTAAGGATGCAAGTGAGCGGGTGAATGAGTGAATGAGTGAATGAGTGAATGAGTGAATGGAGGTAAACTTGGAATATGCCACCGTCCAAAAACAAACCCCGGACTCGAGGGTCCTTCCAGACCAGATGCTACAGAGAGTGCCTGCTTCCAAACCAAGATATCAAAGGGACTAGTGAGGTCACTTGAAGAAAACCATTAGAGGAAGAGCCTTTTCTATCCGAATCGTTTGGCCCTAGCCTCGGCCTTCGCTTTTTCAGATGGGTCGGTTAGGACGCCTGTAACAGCGGGTTTCGGACTATCCTTGCTCTTTTTTGGTGGCTCATTTTGGATACGGGTTTCGGATGCTCTCTTTTTGCCTTTATTTTCACCAAGAGCAGAGTCTAAAGCCTTGATTGTGGTGTCTTTGTTTGAATCATCACCATCTGCTGCAAATCGTTTGGCGCGTTCTGCGAGCTTGATGGAATCAGTGACAGGCACTCCAAACCTAGCTGCTCTCTTTTTCCGTTTCTCGAGTTCTGAATCGGTATTCGTAGTAGCTAGGCCGGCAGTGAAAGACTCGACGGGCTCAGGGGCCTTAGGCTGTTCAGACTCTTCAGGCTGTTCAGGCTGTTCAGGCTTTGCTACTTCATTGGGCGCCGGGGCTTCGAATTCATCTGCAAGGCGTTTGAAAGTGAATTTCTTCTTTTCTCCCTCAATTGGAGCGGCAGAAGCTGGTTCCGGGACGGATTCTGGAGGAGCTGTTGTGTCTTTTTTGGTGTCTTGCTGCTCGACTGGCGTTTCAGTAGCTGAAGTAACTGAAGCTACAACCGGAGCTTCCTCCTTCGCAGGCTCGGAAGATGATTCTGGAATCAAGGCCGTTAGGTCTCCCGAAGTCTCACATGGCTTAGATATTGGAACATACCTCCATTGGGTGGGTTTGAAGCTTTAGTAGCATCATCAGCAACTAGACGCGAGACAAGTTCGTCTTTCTTGCCGATGAGTGGTAGCCCACGCAGGGCAAGCTGCTCTTTCAGGTCAGCGACCTTAAGTTTGTTATAGTCTGTCATAGCTTGAAATACAGAGTTGGCGACAGTTGGGGTTAATGACGGATGTTGTTTTATTGTCGGGAGGATTCGAAGGAGTCGAGCTGCGCTGCCAACAGCATGTCGTTGTCTCCCAGCGCGCGTCGCAGGCGAGCCAAGAATTTGCCAAGAAAAATACATCACCTTCCAGATACAACACAGCAACACATCTGGCCTCGGCTCTGCCTTCAAGCACTGCCACAAAAGAAGGCTTGCCAACTCATCACAAGTGTGTTTGGAACAGCCACATTCAGCGTCAATGCAAAATCACCAAACCTGCTGTAAAACCGCCAGGCCGAAGAGCGAGCATGCAATAATATTCGATGATGTCAACCGGACACTCCGACCAGTTAGGCTTGTGCTTGCGGAGACAAGGATATCCACCAAGTGGGGCGTCTGGACTTTTGATCATGCGATTGATGAACTGATCATTGCAAGCAAGTACCTACTTGGGTAAAAACCAGGTAGTTAGCTATGAGATGAGCTCAACCTCGTGGTGTCGAGCTCATCTGCATCTGCTCAAAGAGCAGGTCGAGCACAAGCTAGCTATAACGAATGCATGGCAAGACAATGTCACGATTGAAACGCGAAAAGGAACCTTGCATCATCTTCACTATCGGTATGAAGCCTACGTAGCTCATATTTGTGTGCTGTGAAAGTCGGCAACGTTCGTATACGATTCTCGTCAACGAGATATTACATATATACTCTGGGTTTGAGGATTCGCATCCCTCCTGGATTGGGGTTATAACGCGTACCAAGGATACTCCACATACGGTGATAAATGTTGGATATTCTACTGTGTATAGCGCAAGTCAAAAACTCGGTACCGTCTTGATGGGTTAACTCACGAAAGACGAGTGCTTGGCTCTCATTAAGGACACCACCGTTGTCATTCGCCAACTTGAAGGGAACAATGATAGCCAGTCATTTGAGACATCCTCACTATCCGAGAAGCATCAGCCAATGGAGGGGGACCGTTAAGTTGCTGATGCCTGTCAATTGGGGGACCAGAAAAACCTTTCTTCCTTTGGGCCCTTCAAAGGCGCTTGTGCGGGTGGTACCTTCAAGACATTCCAACGTTTTCTTTCGGGTTCAAGGTTTTGCTTCGGAAACCTCGATATATTACCTGGCATCAGGGAACATAAGAGATAGAGAAGGAAAAGAATTTTGCTAGCTATTTAAAGGTTCGAGAATCGGACTTCCTAAATTCCTCCGAGCTAAAGAAGCTCACGAGATACCGGAAGACCCGCGATGGGGAGCTGGATAAGCCTTGTTCCTGCGGTTTGCCTTATGTACTAGCGACGCGTAAAGGTCGAACTAACAACATGGACTTCCAGACTCGGTATTTAGGAACAATTATTTTTGGGAGCAAAATCCTGTTAGTCACCTATCGGTGAAAGCGTGGTTGGCTTTTTGACTGTGCAAGCCCACAAACCACGGCCAAGGGTCAAAAGCAGGGCAGGCGCGCCGGTTGGAAAGTCGCTAGACTGGGAGAATTCGGTTCATGCCAGCTGAGGCGAAGCTCTGGCCCCCGCATGAAGTAGAAATCTCTGCGTCCTAGGTGCGACTGTCTGAATTAATGCGCTGTCAGGGAACTAGCCAGATTGAGCGTCCCCGATTATAGCCTGCAAAATACTAAGATGCGCAAACCATGTACTAATACAGGAGGAAATGGTGCGAGGCTTCATATACCGACCGAGAAGAGGCTCGACATTCGCGATTTTACTTTGTTTTCGTTTTTTTTTTGCTCTTCTTCTCCTCACGAAATTCGACGCATGCTCAAGGACCTCTGTTAAGACATTAAACGATACCGTTACCAAAGTCAGTCAAGTTCTATACGAATATACGAAAAAGGCTAGCAGCGTTTGTAGTCTCCGATACAAGACAATAATATCGTTCGTTCGTACCAACGGGTCTTCCTGTTATTGCCGTACTTTGCGCCGCTAACGACGACTACTCAAGTTAAACCTCCTCTTCTTTTCCCCTTTACTGAACGACATCTACAGCGAAATCTGCTTTCCCCTAATTTTGATCTTCGATTTTCCTCGACGTTCCTAACGATATTATTTCCTTCCAACGATATTACGACTTGATTCGAAGCGGGTCTTTCCCCCGAAGTCGACTACACCTTTTGCCGCCCTTTTGCCTCTGACGACCACCCAATAAACCCCATCGGATCCCCCCAAACCCCCTCCAACATCCCCTTTCCTCCACCGAACTAAGTCCCTTACAAGCAAACATCAATTATTCTAAAAGCCACAACATCGAGTATACGACCCTAAATTGTCACCAATATCATTTGCAATATCACTTTTTCGAAAGAGTATTATATTGCCCGTTTTTGTCGGTAAGCCTAGATGTTTTGAGACTCGTTAAGCATTAAGCGCCCCCCCAAAAATTACTTTCATTTCCCCGCCTTCCTATCCTTCAAACCAATGTCTGCTGGCCTGATTCAAAATCGTGGGGTTGGGGGAGAGAGCTCTGTTAAAGGTTCACGCTTTCAGTCTCTTGTAACTTGCCTTCACTGCCAATTGGAATCTAGACGATAGGAAACCCGCTGCAATCACAAGCGAATACCCAAGGCCAATTGAAGCCACTCCGACGTCACAAGTCTTCTCGCCCGGCTCTTACCCTAGTCATTTATTGCGATTTAATCGTGGCAGCGTCTTCCTATATAACTTCCCAGATATACCAAAATACCGCCCAGCGCCGCCAATTATATCCTAGCCTTGCACTAATCCATTGAAATGTTTAGTTTTTGATAGATAACCAATCGCCATACTCCCAATGAGTTCCTAACTAAACGTAGGAATGCATTCTGATAAATTCCCGTTAATTCAAGTTGCGAGATAACATACACCTAACTCGGGATCCTCATACTCACCTGAGTATTTATCGATATCGAATTCCCAGTTCGCTCAATGTCAAATATATACTCTCCAGAGGCTCCGGCCTCGACTTCACAAAATCAAATGTATTCCGGGACAGGGCAATCTTTCGCAGAAAGAGCGAGGGCGAAGAAAGCGGCTATGGAAGCGCGATCGCAAGTTGCCCCCCCTCCCGGTTTGGCTGCTCCATCCACTACTACAGCGGCGGCTCGAGGTCGTTCGAGGGTCCCATCTCCAAATTTCTATGCTGTTCCAGACAATAGAAGGCACGGTGGACCTAAGATACTGCTTCCCGTCGCCCCATCTCTCACACCATCATCGTCTATTGCATCCCCTACTTCTGATCCAAGAACCCCATCCCCGCCTCCTACCTCAAGGTCGCCTTTTTATCAACTCCCAAATTTAGGTTCGAATTCTTCGAAATCGACAATGCATGAAGGCAGCAGCCGCTCGAAGCCCACATCGAAAACATCCTCCTCTACAGCAAATTCCTCATCGACTGTTGTAGCAGCAACAGAGAAACGCCCGCAGAATATTATCCGAAAGAAAACGAACGCTCAGACGACAGACTCTAAGATGGCCATGCGCACCGGATCGACCACTAGTACAAACGCATCCTCTGCAAGTTTCACAACATCTACGTCAGCATCCCATATGGGCGGAGGATATGGACAAAATTCATTGGTTTTCGGAATTTCTATGCCGCCGACATCATATACATACGGCTCAAGAACCCACACAACAACGGGGACCCGCCAGAATCCAAGGACAATCGCGCCGCCCCCTGGTTTATCGACCACTCCGAGCGCAAGCATCATGCAAAGGACAAGATCGGGGAGTGGGAGCCAGTCGTCTGCAACTTCGACGCGATTGTCTGTTTCGGGGATTGATTCCCAGTTAGCCAGCCCAAAGGCAGGGGTGATCCCACCTCCACTCACTATTCCAGCTGCTGTTGCAGAGAACTACAACAGTAGCCCTTCTACCGAAAATTGTGGATCACCTGGTATGTTCAGTCATAATTCTACACCCACATCATCTTCTACAAACCCCTCTTTATTTCAGTCTCCGGGCTTTTCCCCACCTGTTAGAAGTGCCCGAAATTCGAGCCCGGCCAGACCGTTGATATCGAAATACGCAGGTGTAGCGGCCGCCACCGACAAGCTAGGAAAGGCGATAGCCATGAAAAAAAAGGATGGCGAGGGAAATACTCCCGAAGGCCCGAAGCAAACCAAAACCTCATCGCGGAATTCCATGATCCCTACAAACTCTGGTATTGCGTCTCTCGCGGCTCCCAAAACCAGGGACATTAAGGCGCCGGAGGCGACCAAGTTGGTCCAGCCGACTAAGCATTTTAGAAAAACCTCAAAAGATTTATTTCCTTCAAAGTCATCTCTTTCAGTTGGCTTCGCAGGCTTTCATATCCGTAAGTCCTCCAAAGACCTTACATCAACATCCGCTTCATCTTCACAAGTTGGTCGACCACCCCATTCTCGTCAGTCGTCTCGTGATTCTTCAAATATCCGATCTCCGGGCGAAGGCGCCGCAACTGCCGCTAGCTATTTCCCTTCGACATCCCCTATTCCAATACCTGTCCCATCTTCCTCTACAACTTCTTTGAGACTTCCGCCTTCACGGCCATCCCGAGATGGGGCTCCAGACGACTTGGAAGGATTCGGTTCCGATGTCCCCGTGATCCAGAGCGGCATTGTCGCAACCAAGGACTCAAAGACTAAGGGACAAAAAATGAAAATCATTACTTCTTCCTCCCTTCCATATCGTTCTGGGGCACCCTTCGGGACTGTGAATGGCTCTACATCCTCAGTAAATTTAACATCGACATCTGTTCCAGGACAGTCAAAATCCATGCGTTCACCCACGCCAACTTCCGCAAAAGCGACTAATATCGTACATGGATTTACCTTTGCCACATCATCACCAGCGACTAGCTCTCAACCCACCAAAGGAACAGGAAGTTCTCCTCGTAAGCTAAAGAAGGAGGATAAGAAGAACTCTGGTGACAAGAATACATTGGCCACGGTTACGCCCCCTTCTAGACCTAGTCTATTCAGCAGAGGACGCACAAAAACTGTTCCACCTCCAGCGGCTTCTGCAGACAAGGAAAAGCCTCCGAGTCAAAGGCGACTTCTCGGCCCATCCGCGGGAACGGGACACGAAGGATATCCTCAATTCAACAAACCAGTCCGAAATAGAAGCTCAAGTAGCGGCTCGATTCCAACGGCTCCAACGAAGGCACAGGCGGTAGTCTCCACGCCGCCTGGAAGTTGGGGGAGGGCGGCTGGGGCGGCTGCACTCAAAAACGCGCCAATTGATTCCTTTCTTGCCCTCCGACTTGAACCTGTGGTCATGAAAGGGGGTGCTATCAAGCCACCTGGGGGGGTCGAGATGGTCAAAACAGGAAGTTCTCAAAGCACATCTAGTTTCTTACAAAGGCCTTCTACCAAGAATGAGAGTCAAAAGAGTAGTCTTGATCTTCCCAGGGCAGAAAGTAGTCAGGGACCCAATAGCAGAGACCATAGCGTGGACATACCCCGAAAAATCACTAACGATTTTGCTGGGTTCGACTTCGGTCCCGATGTCATTGCACAAAAACATCTCCCAGTTACTATTGATACATCTAGCCATTCCCGCCCTAGTACCGAATCCCCAATTTCCGCAATCCTTTCACCAACAACCAAAATTGGGCTGAGCAAAACATCCAAATCAACTCCATCCATAAGGGACGAAGAAAAGGAATCGAAGCTGAAACAATCGAAGCGACTTATCCCACCAGCAGTTGGGTCGACTTCCCAGCCTGCTCGGCGTTGGAGGATATTCTCTAAAATACAATCAGCGCCTGGCCTCGTATCAACGTCAGATGTTCCTAAGGATACCTCGAAACCAAAAGTTACCCCGAAACCTGCCTCCCAGTCCCTATTGTCGAGGCAAGAGGCAAAAGTCGGCGATGCCAACACGGGGGGTTATATTCGCGGTGTGCATAGCCAACATGAGACTATACACAGCCCACCGATTCGAAATCAAAACCATGAGATACCACGGCTTGTAGCTCCTCAGAACCCACGGGAATCGGTCTTGCTACCAGACCGCCCTATTATGCCCCGGCTCGTTGCACCCCGAACTCCCTCTCCCGTCATCAGCGTCACGGCACCACCCGGGCTTCCAGCCCCCCAGAAAACTAGCAACGGTGGCCCTTCTACTGTTGGTCTCACTAGACCACCTCCCGGATTGCCAATTCCAGCGGAACTTCGGCCAGTAGTCTTTGCCAAATCAACCACTCCTACGCAACCGTCTAAGCTTGGAAATAGCTCTGAGACTTTGAATATGAGCCCTGTGTCTGCATTGACAACTTCTCCATCAAGTATAACTAAATCGGCTTCTTCAAAAACATCGACTCGCCCATCACCCGCGAACCTTCCCGTTCGGAATGTCATCCAAGAAGCTGTTGAGAAAACACAAAAGCTATCTGACGTTTCTCGTGATGATGATGACAGCTACGATAGTAATGAGTACACTGATGAAGAAGACTACATTGATGACGGGAGAGAAGAAGATCGCGCCAAGGAAAATGCTGTCCCACCTGTCAGTGCCGGTTTTGTATCAGTAATATCCCCACCCGTGACTCCCAAATCGGTGACACCAGAGCCTGCCGCCAGCCCTAGCCAGGGACCTCGGCGACGCCTTGACGACTTTGCCCTCGGCCGAATCCCCAAAGCTGGTAATGTCGAGGGGTCTTCTATTAGACTGCCAACATTAGCAGAAATTCTCCCGCCCCCACCGAGTTTACGCGCCCGACAGCAACCCTCGCAGCCCATCATGATCCATCCGCCTCGCCGTATCGCCCACCATCCGGTAGAACAAACACAACCAGCTAGCTCCGAAGATGAGGACGAAGATGATGGCGGCGAGGGTATCGACTACATAAACACACGGAAGATCCCCCTCTCCCGATTAGCGCCTTTAGTCACCACCGGGTTGTCCCAATTTCAAGTTTATAACACTACCACTCCACACAGAATTTCCAACAATACAGATGACTGGTCGGAGTATGACGATTTTATCGATGAAATGAGCGCGGCTACTCCACGGAGCAAAACACCATCCCTCGGGGCTCCATTCCCAGAAATTGTCAAATTCAAGCCGGATCTTCGGGACGAAATTGAGCCCACACGCCGCCTTAAGGACTCTCCAACTTTACCCTCCGCTTCCACTTTCGGAGATGTTACTAAATTTGCACCTTCGAATAAAAAGAAGTTGGTCCTTGATCAAGGCAAGCTCTCTCAAGGAAGGCCTGTTGCTGCACGGCCCTTCTTTTCTCCAACCCTTCCTACGGCACGAAGCTCTCTTTTCGGCGGCAGTATCAAGGAACTCAACTCCCAGCGCTCGTCTTCAACTTACAGCCAAAGGTCTTCCAGTAACCAAAAGACAATTGCATTCGCCGATTTCATCGCAGCCTATGCCGAAGCCGACAGGGGTGTCATGAGTGTTATTGATCCACTCGACAAAGCCAAATGCCCGCCGCCCCAAGGGAGAAAAGTGGGCGTACTCTCGCCGATGTCGTCCGTCACAGATTTTGAAGACGATTCTTCAACAGATTCAGAATCCTACCGGGAAAGTATCATCTCAGCAATGCCCGGCACTGAAGACGCTCTCGAGGGCGAAATGAAAGTTAGATTATGGGCACTGATGACAAGCCGGTGGCTTTCTTTTGGTCGTGTCCTTGTTTCACCCGCACACGAGGAAATCAAATTATCACCATCTGGATCCGCTAACAAAAGAATTCTTGTTATTGATGGACTTGGAAATGACGATTGGTCCTTCTATTGCTCACTCAATTACCCTAATGCCACCGTTTACAACCTGACACCTTCTCCAGCTATTTATCCAACATCACCGGCCAGTGACCAACCGAATCCAACCAGCCCGGCCGATAACCTGAACAATCATCACCAAATCCACCATGTCTCCTTCGCCAGTCCCTTCCCCTTTCCGAGCGGCTTCTTCACTGTTGTAACATTCCGATTCCTGCCTTGCACATCCGACGCTCTTTGGCCGTTTATCATATCTCAATGCATGCGCGTTCTAAAGCCTGGCGGGTATCTTGAGCTTAGTGTTCTTGATATCGATATGGTCAATATGGGGCCTAGGACAAAACGCACCATTGATGAGATTAAAGTTAACCTGAGAAAACACCAGTCAGGAAATGGTTCCGACTGGCACAAGAAGACACCGTCCGAGAAGGCTCTAAGACTCATGGCAAAGCGTGGCTTTACGGACATCACCCGATGCAGAGTAGGGCTTCCTACCGTAGGAAACGTCGACGGATCGAGGGAGGAGCAGGCATCCATGCAACAGATTCTCAAGGAGGGCAACTCGCCAGAAGAAGTCGATATGGGCAGCGCCGAAGGTATCAACCGAGTCGTCTCTAAGGTCGGACGATGGTGGTATGGCAAGTGTTTTGAAAACATCGGCGAAGAGGTCCAAGGCGAAACGCTTCGATACAAGAAGACTCTATGGGAAGATAAAACTCTTCTCCGGGAGTGTGAAAAGAAAAAGACAAATTTCCGAATGCTTATTTCTTTTGCGCGAAAACCTACAAGTTAATCATTTGCGTCTTACACCTACCATACTCGAAAAACAAAATTTTCAGCATCCTTCGTAACACATTACGAAATGACGATCACGATCCTAACGAAGTAACGATACTTACTCGGCCCAGCCAGGCAACAAGTTTTGCTTCCTCGGGTATTGCATCAAACGACAGAGATTTCACCATAATAGCCCTTCTCTTCATGCTCTTACGAGTGACTATTTACAAAACATCATTTATTCGAAAAACGATTTTCCTTCATAAAAACCATTTCACTCGTTGGATACCCATTCGCTCAATATTGTCGTCGCTACAGCCTACACCCGGAGTTCCTGCCGTGAGACATTAAGTCTATGAAATACATGTCTTTTCCATCTGTTTAAACTACTTTCTCTTGATATTGATATCAATCTTGTTTTTTTACACTTTTTATTGTTTTTTCGTCCTTGTTGTTCATTTTCCAATATATATATATATTACGTGTATCCATAAAACACATCCACAGATTCGGGGGGGGTCGGCTTACGGCGCGGAAAGAGTTTGGGTTTTTTCCTGTAACTCCTGCATTTGTTCTTCTGGGAAGACAGTTTTTCATTAATTGTTTTATGGGATGGCGTAATTTTTTGGGGAACTTTGTTTTACAACCTGCATTTCGTCTCATATCTTGGAGAATTGGGGGTTTCTTGATTCTGTATTACTAGATACACACAGGTAAAATGGATATATGTCGTTTCTACTCTGCCCTACGGGGACAAAAAGAAAGAAAGCTTTAAATCGTAAAAAAAATTAAACCCTAGACTGTTTAAAATCTATTCGCGAGCTGGTGCGATCTCGTGAAATTTCAACAGGGTCAGGCGCCGACTCCAGAGACCCACAAACATTTTAACGACCCAATACCCTCTCGCTACAGTTCTATGTATCCAAATACAACTACAACTTCGAAAGCCACATGATCATTTTTTTCACGTTCCATATACGATCCCGTTTAGGAATTTTAAGCATAGTTCATATCTCATTTCATAAACTCATCAGGGTATTAAGTACATCATAAACAATCTTTTGAAGTTTTTTTTAAAAAGATGTTCGAAGAGAGAAAAAACAAATGCAACAAAAATAGTGGGAATGAGAGAGAAACACCTTGATATCAAAACATCAAATGAAGTACAAGAAGTAAAAACCAAGAAGGGGAGAAGGATGAAAGGATTTTGGGGACTCCAAGTTGTTTTTTGTTCAACATGTGAACAGGAGCTTCCATACGGTGTGTGCATCATCAGGAACCGGCCCACCCGGACACCCGAATAAAGAAGAAAAGGAAATCCACCAGCTGAGCGATGAAACAAGAGCGGGAAGAAGGAGAAGCAAGAGAAAGGAAAAAGGAAAAAAGAAACCCCGCCATCAACTCCGGACCCGGTAGCCTGTGATCCTAAACTATGACCCCGATATTATTAAAAAAAAGTATTAAAACTTAATGTATGAAAAGGCAGTGCAACTCGCGTGATCGACTTTCCCCCCTCCGCACTCTCTGAAACATCAGGTGCATCCGTGACATCGGTCGAAAACGTTGTGGTGAGAGACGTCTAACAATCGATCATCCTAAACCGTTTGCTCAAATCTTCAACACTCGGCGACCCCCACGACCTCCATCTGCCCATACCGCACTTATCATCGGTTTCGATATGCCTAATCAGCCCCCTAATGGTAGCAAAGGATCTACCACAACCATTTCTCCCCGAACAGCGGTAAGATTCCGACTCATGATCGCGGGCAAGATGGGTGTTCAGTCTTTCCAAAGTCTTATAGGTTTTACAACAGATCGGACATTCGAATTTGTAGCCATTCCAGGAAAGATTCGTAGCAAGTCTCGATTGTCGGAGTCTGTCTTCCCAGTCAGAGCAGCCATCATCTGAGTCCTCAGAACTATATGGACGATGTCGGCTCTGGCTGCGGGCGCGATAATATAGACTATGACGGCTTCGGCTTCTGCTAGGATTTGGGCGACTTCGGCTTCGGCTTCGATCGTGGCTCTCATGGTGACGGCCTCGCTCGTAGTCACCGGGTTCCCCACAGTTGAGATACTCCATAGACCTGCTGTCTATATACTTGAATACAGGTTCAACGACTTCACAGCTATCAGCAGAGCCCTTCCGCTCATAGCTGTATTCAATAGCATTCTTGGGGTATCCATGGTATGGGAGGTAGTAACGAGGTCTATCAACGTCGTTGATGACCTTCATAGGTTTTTCGAGGTTATCGTGTTTATTGAGGAGTTTCTTGAAGTCTTCTTCCTTCTTTGCCTTGCTCTTGCCGGCGCAGGTGCCGATTTCGAAGTGGATTTGGAGCGAACTGTGTGCTTCGAATGTACGTGGGCAGAAGGGACACTTGATCAATTTGTGGGCTTTGTGCTCAATCGACTCGAAGTGCTGCGCCGAGGGGTTAGATTTAGTTATTTCAATGGATTTATTGTTGAGGGGGTGTGATTGACTTACGATGAGTAAATGCTCAGCGCTATTGTGGTCGCGCTTGCATTGAATGCAGTAATAATGGTTCTTGCTGACAGACAAATGTCTTGAATACGCTTCGTCATCAGAAAAGCCTTCCTTACAAGCAGAGCAATATGGATGCTTCTTGAGTCTGGCAAAATGGTCCTTGAGTTCCTTTTCAGTCGTATAGAAAACATTGCAATCCCAACAGACATGATGGCTACCGGAAAGGTGCTCGCGTAATTTGCTCTCGTCATCAAAGAGCTTTTTACAAAGAACACAGAAGGCATGCTTCTCTAGGTAATGTTCGGTTAGCTGCGCCTGCGAGGCCACCGAAATGTTGCATTTTACGCAGTGGTAGTGGTTGCGACTGGTCTTGTGGTGGTTTTCTAGGGATTTGCTGTCATGGAAATGTCGCACGCAGAGTTTGCAGTAGAAGTGGAATTTGGAGTCTAGGAAATGCTCCTCGAGGGCATCGGTGGATACGAAGTGTCGCATACACTGGTTACAGTATGTTTCTTTTTGGACGGAGCCATAGCCACTTAGGCTGAATGTCGCATGTGGCTTCCACCGCGACAGAGACATCGTTTTTAGATTTTTGGTGTTGTGTGTTGGATTTGGACTACTTCGTACTTTGATGCTTTAACAATATAGTACTGAAGTACGTATAGTAAAATCTAAAAAGGGATGAAGTTCGAGGAGTTCTAGATTTTAAATGTGCGGGGCAAAGGTGCTTTTAACTAGGTGTGGTAGTTGTTTTCAAGATGAAAGAAAGGATCGACCGGTTAGTCTCACGGACCGAGATGGTGGGCAGCGTCAGCTTTTAAAGTACTTAAGTTGGGGTTGACGACGATATAGCTAACGGTGGGAGCTTAACTACTATCAAGCTATCAGTGCGTACAGCAAACGGGTGATCTTGTACGAGGGATCCACGTTGCGGATATGTACTCTGTATCATGTATCATCACTCGCTTCCTGTTGCATGTTGATAAACTCACAGGCGTCAGGCCGGTATTAGGCCTTTCATAGCGGCTTAAGTTCGGTAAATGCATCGCTGCATGCCTCAGCTTAGGATTTGCTCTAGCTCTGACTCCGCCCCTTACCTAACAAAGCTTAATCATCCACCGAAAGAAGCAATCCCAATCAGTATATAGGGCTTTTCAGAACCTCATGAAAAAAAGAGACTTCTCCGAATCCTTCGACTCACTTGTTTTTTTGAATGACCAGTCGCAAATGGTGGGCGGTGACTGCATCACACAGCTAGCGGTTACTGTTTCGGGAATGGTGGTGTGCGCCTGGCATGCATGGTCCATGAAAATGCACGGATTGTTGTTCATGCTGGACGCACAGGATGACTCCATGGCGCATGCCAGGACTCACCAGCAGGCGTACTTCGCGCGTGGTTTTTTCCCAGGAATCCACTTGGATTGGTCCAGCTGACCGGATTCCAACATTTGATAGGGCACCGCGTTTGTCTTTTACAATAACCTTAAAGGGGGGTTGTGCTGTCGACATTAAACCACCCTGAAGGCTTTATCGTGTATGAGAATTGTTCAGGGATTCAATGACGATACCGTGCGACACAGTAAAAGTTTCAACAACCCGTCTGCCTCCAGCAGGAGAACTTTAATCCCAAATGTAAAAAGGCACAGATCCTGTCGAGGTCGTTTAGTTGAAATTGTGGCATTTCTGAATCCGGAAGTTGCCTGAATTGATCTTCCAGCGATTGATCTCCTTGTGTTACCCATCAGCAACTTCGCAAACAACACAACGCTCCTATTACTATTATTTTAAGGTAGCTATAGATCTAGCTGGTTAACTATTAGAATCAAGAAGCCAGAAGTAATCGAAGAGAAAGTAAAGTTTATTGTCATTGTAAGAATTTGAAGTAAAACCCGTGAGAAACGGCTAGTTGATCGCCATCTGATATTATGAGTGGCCTCGTGAATATTATGGACATTAAAAATCTTGTTATACATGAAAAAGAATAATAAATCAAAAAAAACGCTATCTAACAGAGTGGAAAAGTTTACCCCGTCGGTTTTCGGCGCCATAGGCCTGATTCTATAAAAGCATTAAAAACCCCATCCCAAACAATTGCAGTTTTTATATATACGGCACACGCCATAAACAGCGAGTTGCAAGTTATTTAAACCTTCTCCTCAGGTGCGTTAACACCAACTTGTTGCACCTTCTTGTTCTTGTCCGCCTCCCTAGCAACCTTCAAGTCTTTTTCCTTTGGAACTCTTGCAAGGTAATACATGCCGACGGCAGCGAACAAATTGAAAATGATGTAAATAGAGAAAATGACCCAATTCCTCCATCTTTGAGAGTATTGAACGCCCAGACCGGACAAGAAAGCATTGGTGCTAGCAGAAGGGCAGATCTCGCATATTTCAGTGGAGGATTTGTTGATAACTGCGACACCAGCGATCTTCTCGAACGCCCCAAGGTAAGAGCCACATGACATACCCTCAGGGGCATTGACACGGACAAGCTCTCTGGCATTGCAGACGATATCGGTATTAGCAAGACCAGTGGCAAGAATTCCACCGACGAAGTAAGTGAATGGAGAAATATAGTAGACTAAACAGCGATCTTGTTAGTATTCATTGAAAATGACGCGAAAATGGAAAGGCTACTTACGAGTGTATCTCCAGATGACAGGAAGGGATTGTGGTTGAGCGATGACACCGCAGAAAATGAGGCAGATGGAGAACATCAAGTTTCCAATGTTTCCTCCGGTTTCTGTAGAAATAATTAGTTGGGAGCAGCCAAGGGTTTAAAGTTATAGGAGGGAACCTACCTGCGAGTTCAACACCGGCGATAACCATGGTACCAAAGGTAGAAGTGAAGAGATAAAACGAAAGGCAGTAGAGGAAGAAGAGACCACCACGCTCAACTTCAGCACCAGTTACAATTGCGTTCTTGTACATGCCGGTTGGGAAGTAGAACGAGAAGAAGACCAAAACAGCGGCGAGGGTTTGCCATGGAAGCTCGACCAAAAGATTAGAGACCATGAAAGCAGTCCACTTATAGGTACGAGAAGGACGCTCACGGGCCTCATACAGAGCTCGCTGTGTAACGAAGTGAGGCATAAGCTGTTGAACCAACTGACTGAAAGTGGTGAGAATCAAGAAACTGTCGTATTGAGACCGTTAGTTATCATTCAAAAGACACTGTCGGCGGATGTTGACTTACATCGAGAACATCTGTCCTTGCAATCCAGCAAGACTAGTTCCAGCATTAAAGAAGGAGAATCCAACAAACAACGCAGACAAAAGACAAAGAATCAATTTAGCGTAGATGTACGAAGGCGTTCTCCAGTATTGTTGCCAAACACGAATGAAGACATAGTAGAGCTGAGTCTGGAAGGAAACGGCGAAGTCATCCTTGCTGCTTGCGAGGTTAGACATTGGGCCTTGGACAATTTCATGAGGAAGTTCCTTTTCCATGCGATCAAGTTCTTCAAGAACCCCCTTGAATTCGGAGGACTCGCGCCAGGCTCTTGGCCAGTCAACCTCAGAGTGGGATCCGGGGGCGGCACCAATGACTTCCAACATCCACTCAGCCGGGTTCGCATCTGATGGACAGGGGAAACCGCCATTGCTTTCGAAGTAGTTGATCAAAGTCTCAGAGTTGTTGCCAATTTCACCAAAGTAAATTTGCCTTCCACCTGCTGCTAAAAACAGGAGTCGATCGAATTCTTGGAAAAGAACAGCCGACGGCTGATGGATAGTGCAAAGAATAGCCTGGCCGTTTCTCGCGAGTTTCCTCAACAGGGTACAGATAGACCAGGCAGTTTGGGAGTCAAGACCGGAAGTAGGTTCGTCCAAAAAGAGAAGCAATTCTGGTCGGGCAGCCAATTCAACACCGATTGTCAATCGCTTTCGTTGTTCGACATTGAGACTAGAAGAAATACTGTCAGCTCTGCCTTGAGAATAAAAATAAACATTAGTGAGGTTAAATACCCAGTTCCAGGAACACCGACGACAGCATCAACGAATTCTTCCATCTCGAGAATTTGGATAACTTCTTCGACATAATCAAGTTTTTCCTTTCGGCTGAGTTCTTGTGGCTGTCTGAGTAGGGCTGAAAATTCCAAGGCTTCTCTAACAGTAGAAGTTTCCAAGTGAAGATCCTGTTGCTGGACATATCCGGTCTTGCGCTGGAAGGAACCGTCTCGTTTTTGGCCGTTCACGAACATGTCACCAGTAATGACACCAGTAGTCTTGCGGGAGGCTAAAACGTCGAGAAGAGTTGTTTTACCAGCACCAGAGACACCCATAAGTGCAGTAAGAGTACCAGGCTTGACCCATCCGCAAACATGATCTAGCAATCTTCGCTCACCACCCTTGACAGGGATATCATAGACAACGTTTTTCCAGTGGAAGATAGAAGTTTGCTTCTGGATGGCTGCAACTGAGATTTCCCGCGTCATCACGGCTCCGAGCTCCTGCTCTCTAGCCGCTTCCTTTGGTTCGTTACCCTCAACATCATCCCCGCTCTTTTTAGCAGAAACTGGAAGGCTTCCTTTCTTGAAGACCAAAACTTCGCCCTTGGATTTGGCTGCAGTGATCTTGTCAGAGGCGATGATGTAGACTGCACAGAAAAAGAAAACATATGCCCTAAGAAACCCCGGAATATTAGTATAAATTAAGCGCACTGGCGGCGTTACAACAAACTTACCAGATGATACCCAAGTTACGCCACAAGTGTGACTTGAAGTATTGGAAGGAGACATTGATGTATTGGTCGCCGCTGACAACTTCTTGGCCGGCCACAGCAGATGTGGCAGAACAAACACGAGAGTTCCCAGTTGCATTTTCGTAACCAGGTCCACTGGGGATATAAGCTGCACAGGGGAAGTCTCTTCCACTAAATTCGTTGACCATCAAACTCTCGAAAGAGTAAGAGATAGGGTTAACATAACCAATCCATCGAGCCCATCCTCGCATTTCAACGACGGGAATGGCAAATCCAGTGTACATGATTAAACCTAAAATGAAAATAGCAGCGGGCGTCATAGCTTGATGGAGCGTTCGACTGACGGAGGCGATTGTTCTGAAAATCATAGACATGGCCATAGTGGTTGAGAACGAAAACAACAAGAAGATAAAGAAGGCACCAGGTTCTCTTCGAAGATTGGTCATAAAATAAAGAATCAAGTTGAAGACAATTGCAGACGTGATCTTTTGAGGCATATCGACGATCATGGAGGAGACGGCTTCAGCGCTTGGGCGGTAGAGTGCATATTTGTCCTGTTTTTCAACGATTGGTCGTTGAGCGTATAGAGTTAAGATTTCTAAGGCGCTGGAGAAACCGTTGAGAAGGACCGCAAAGAAGAGAAGAGAGCCACGAGCGAAGAATGAGCCAGTATCAATCTTTAGATTGTAAAAGACGGAGGAGACAATCAAAGCCATAACACCATTTCCGATGATACCAGTCAGGGTAAGAGAAAGGTCACCCTTTAGTCTTTGGAAACCTCTGGTCATGCAAAGTCTAACTTGCATTGGGTAGCTGATCGTATATGGACCGTTTGAGGAAGCACCAGAAGACTGAACAACTTTGCGGACTTCCTTGAATTTTTCGACATTGTCGTGACCGATGGGGTTCTCGGCTTCGAAAGCAGCAATTTCATCCAAAAGCCTCTTACGGGCATCGCTTTCCTTCCAACGCTGAGCGAACTCATCAGGAGTTCGAGGTACCCTGTCCTCAAAGCCCGGTTTGATACGACGCTCAGCCGGGTTTGTGAGGGAGGTCAAGAAATCTGCAGTAGTAGCACGTTCCTCGCATTCGAAACCCATATCTTCGAAGAACTTCTGGGCTTCACCAGTAGGACCGAAATAGATTTGACGACCTTCGTATAAAACAATGGCTTTGTGAAACTGGTCATAAGCACTCTGCGAAGCCTGATAGATGGCGACAAGAGCCGTGCTACCAGTGAGCTCGGCACTCAAACGAAGAGTTCGAATGAATTCAAGGGCATTGGCAGAGTCCAGGCCTCTAGTAGAGTTGTCCCAACACTGGATAGGTGCACCACTAACAGCGACTTCGGCAATGGAGACACGCTTTCTCTCACCACCAGAGACACCTCGGATAAAGTCGTTACCGACATTTGTGTCTTCAGTGTGCGAAAGACCAAAGGCAGCCATGACAACATCCTTGACATGCTCAGCATACTCATCGCGGGTAATACCACCCATTCTGTTGCTGGGGGCACGAGCGAGAGCGGCAAACTTCAGGGTTTGGCCGACTGTAAGCTGGGGGAAGTGAACTACAAGAGGGGATTAGAACTGAATATATAGAAAGGTGCACTTGAGGGGTTACACAGGACATACCGTCAGTCTCGGCCTGGTAGATAACCTCTCCTCTGAAAACCTTGTGCATCTTGTCCATAGGAATACCCTGGTAGTTGATAACGGTATCATCGGAAAGGTAGTAGCCGTAGGTATCACCAGCAATGGTCTTTAGGAACGTGGAGCAACCACTGTATCACGCACGGGTTTGTTAGCTCTAGATTGAGAAGAAAGGAATAATACATCCGTGGTGAAATTATATTTTTGTCTTACCTGCCTGGTCGACCCAATACGACACAAAGCTCGGAACTCTTAACAAGACCTTCAAAGTCTCTCAAAATTTGAATCTTGCGCTTGCGTCCGAGCGTAACGGCGCTCTCCAGATAACTGTAACCGATGTTCCCAACATTCTTTTGGTAGTCTGTGGCAGAGCCAAAGCCGTGCGCATTAAGGTTTCTGAAAGAGACACCAAGTCTCAACGAAGGATACTTTTCCGGATCCTTGGCTGTCAAGCTGATGATAGACTTAAGCCATGCTTTAGGGTTGAACTTTTCGTGTCCAGGTTGAAGTCTTGGGTTTTCGGAGCCAGTAAATGGATTCTCGCCTTCGAATTGACTGTAGCGAGTTTCTGTTTTGGTGAGACCATGACCGTCGGCATGGGACATAGTCCGGCTGAGCCTTCTGGCAAGCTCAATCACTCGTTCTTCATCACCAGGACCGAATTGGGCTTGATGGTCTTCACCTCGACTGTGATTTCGGCTGCCCTCAGGCGAATCTTCAACCTGAGTGGCCGAGCCTTCATCTATTGACTTGCCCATTTTCATCTAAACTTTTCTCTCTTTGCGATAAGGGCAATTCAAGCAAGTAAGTTTTAAAATAACAAGTACCCTCAGGTACGATAAGCACTCAAGCGACCCAGTTCTGTTTCGATATCATACGATAACGGTGATAAACGAGGGGCAGTTGCAGTTGAGGAATGGGATGTGAGGTATGTATTAATCAACTGAGAGGTGCCGGAACGTGGTGCAGTGCAAATGCGACAACAGGCAACACACGTGGGATTGTTTGTACTACTGCTCGTCAACGGTTCCGAATTCACGGTGGCGGCGAATTAACAGTACTATTGTCGACGACGACGGCTGAAAGGAGGGTGAAGGTAGAAACCAGAGGGAAGGAAACGGAAAGAAGGGAGAAGAGTCAGCTTATGAATATTACTAGACGTCGTATTTGTAGTCAAGCCCAGATATTTTCAAATTATTCCGGCAAGTCGACCATCCGGGAGCACCAAAAATGAGATATTACGCCAACATCCAATGGCGCTGAGAAGCACCTCAAAGGCACATGGGGGGGTGCGAAATCTGGGTCAGATTTCGTTCTGCCGGACCCATGGCCAGGGGATACTTAGTATTTGGGCAAGGGCGATGGCCTGGCGCTGGAACTAAGCCAATCCTGGTGCACTAATCCCGCTGTGCTCACGGACTTTCGGAGGTCAAAATTGTCACCCTGCCGGCTTTCACTCCTTAAAATTTTTTCTGTTCTCATGTGCGTGTTTCCTCTCAATAAAAAGGCCCCACATTCCTGGGGTTTTAAGATTACTGATGGGTGTGCGGTTCATGCTAGTTAAGTTATAAACGCTGATATCAAAACCTCGACAACTGCTGTTCGCTTTATATACATACTATCTATGCATCTTCGAACGTCGAATAACATCTCACGATCTCTGTCCGACCTCAGCGAACACGCAGCTTCTGATCACATCGACGTTTCTTCGGGACTGAATAGAGCCCCGAAGACCTGGTTCCACCGCAATTTAAGTTTCACGTATGTACATACATAGTAAGCACCTTCGCCCTTTGTTCATTCGTCAGGGACGTCATAAAGCTTGCACTTGGCTGTGCCAAAAGGCTTTTCGGATGCAGAACGTTCCGAATCGAAGCTTGGCTGGCCACATTCAATACATGCATACGGAGCACAATAGACACAAATGCCCCTTTGCGCTGCCATGCCCCACCAATCTGCTACGGTGTCGACATACACAGCATATGGATCTAACATCCAATCTCGGGTCCTGGATCATTCCTTTTCCTGTGCTCCCTGAAACCTGCCTGCCGTAAAATGCAATGTTTATAGATAGCTGAATCCTTATAAATCCAATAAGGCTGAGGCTAATTTGTCTGGCCTCGTCATGACCCGGATATACATGCTTCCGAACAACACAAAAACAACGAAAAACAAAATGCTCCATGCCAAATTCTTAGTTCGTAGCAAGCGTTTCTCGGCGTCAGCCTGTACACGCCTGTATGTACCATACATGTCGACATCTGCCATTTACCATTTGCCTTTTGGGCTTTCGGCGTTAGGGCTCCCAGCCTGCCGAACGATAATTGTCCGGAGACTAGCCCAACATCTTTTTTTTTTTTTTTCCCCTCCCGTCGTGTGATCCTTTCCAGGATAATCGAAAATTCCACATGCGTATAGAATATCATCCCCCTGTTGGGTTAAAACAGGATCATTCTTAATCATTTCTGCGTACTATATGTAAGCATATACGGAGCTTTTATACTGCATAGTGTGTAACACTGGGGCATATGCGTATCTATCGAGCTCTTCGGAACCGATAGAACCTACCAGCATCCCACCAGTTCGGTCTGATATCCGGAGTAGAGTTACTTGATTTCGTAATATTAATCGTTCCATTCCACGATATATCGGTGCAGACCTTCGGATGTACATTTCAGTGCAGTATCATAGTTCTCGTTATTACGAGACGCTATCCTTTTTTTTTTTTTCACATGAATTTCACATTGGATTTATCACATATACTACATTCTAATCTCTCTGACACCCATGTAGACATATCCTGTTTTCTCCTTCCCTAGATCTAAACCTCTTTATGCAACAAGTGTCACCGTCCCACTTCCATCATTTTGTGCAAATATCCAATCTCAATGCTATATTTTTCATCAAACCCCTTAACCACCCTTTTTGCTTCAGTCCGTGCTAAATCCAATGCATCATAAAGCATCTGTCCAGGAGTTTTATGCGCATTCCGCACATAAGTGCGATGTGCAAATGTAACCAATAACCTTCCGATGTTTTCAACCTCCTTACTTGGTTGGTCTGGTTGAAAAGGAGGCAGACTCGGGGTTGACGCAGATCTCTGGCGGGTCGTATTATGACCGTGGCTGAGACTGGGGCCGTGGTATTGATGTGAATGGTTCCGCTGATGATGAGGGTTATTGGAATGGTGGGAATGATGATGATGATGGTACCCAGCTGTTGGGGTCAAAGGTCTGAGTTTCCCATCTTTCGACACTATCCTCGATGTCCCCAGGTAATCCTCTTCATCACTGGTGTCAATAACAGACTCCGTAGAGGTCCAGTAGGAGTTCATAACAGCATGTTCATGATCTTGTCCATGCTCTTCCTCTCCCTCTTCCTCGTCTTCACTAGGCAATAGATAATTACCCATTACGAATATTCCCTCTTCCAGCTTGCGTAGGTTTCCGGCGACCAATCCTTTCCCCCATTCGGTGTAGACCCCGACACCGGTTCTAATATTCTCCCGTGGCCGTGAGACCCATCTGTCATAGTTCTTCTTCACGGATTCTGCCCGGGCTTCTATGAAATTATCCACCACCGTCAAGCCGTTATCCACAGCAGCATCGAGTGGATCCGGCAGAGTGGGTGCATTTTCCAGGACTCGAGCTGGAAGGTGGAAAGGGGCATACTCATTAAAAATCCGAAAAAGTTGATACGTTGCCAGATGATCCCGGGCTCGCGGGCGCGAAGAGCGGCGGTGATCGATGTTATCGGCCGATGCCATAGATTTGTGCCAACAAGGTCGCTTACTGCGGGCTCCGCATATGCGCACCACAGCTGCACAGTCAAACCACCGTCAGAAAGTCGAGTCTATATATTGGATAGAGATGTTTTGGAAAATAGAGGCCGGTAAATTGAGACACAAAGAAAAACGTTCAAAACATTCCTTAGTCAAGGGCGTGGGTTCAAATACTCGAGCTATCGATAACGATCCTAGCGAGATTTTTACATGCGCCTCCGAGTTTCGATTTTTGAAATGCTTCGTTTAGCACGTGAATTGGCGAGAGCTATGCAAGCTCAGCTCTGACTGGACAGTGGCGTATGCTCTTGGGTGGCAAAATCGTCAACTCTAGATTGTTGGGATCCCTTTCATTGTTGTACAAAGAGTTGGAGGCAAATGGGTAGCGTCGTTATCGACACCATGCAAAATCGCCGGATGCATCAGCTGGCAGCTCAACGGCCGGCTGAAATGTGGTGATGTTGCAAGATGACATAAGCCTTGTGCAAGGTCACCGTCCTGGACAACACAACTTCGACTGGGGCATCTTGTTGTATTATCTCGGGCCTCGGATAGAACCCACCAGATTCAATCTTCACTGTTCTGACCTGCCTGAATCAAGTGATCTCAAATCGATCCTTACATTCCAGTGACGAGCGAAGAATTTTAATTCTCGTATCTTATTTTAGCTTTCTGGCTTCCTTATTGTATACGCACATGTAAACCCAGATAGTGTACTAACACTATACTAAATTTAATTTATAAAAATTCAAAAGAATGACGGCTCCAAAAAGAATCTCGCTCTCTGGAACCAATGGTGAGGTAGATACAATTATCGTTGCTAGTTCCAGTTTATCCTAGAATCAGATCGGACACGTTCGAACTTAGGCTAATCCAAAAGATGATTCCCAAAGATTGGATTTCACCATGGCGTTTCCCTCAAGGAGCAGATTGTCCGGCAGATCGAGTTATACTATGAAATGTTCTGGAATAGCTCTAAACTCGACCGCGAGGGTGTCCACCGCAGAGCTCGAGAATACAAGGAAACAATCCTAAAGCTAGTCCCGCACATCCACGAGGAAATCGTTGGAATTGCAGAAGGTGCAGGTGTCGACGTTCTCGATATTGTAGCTCTTAACGTTAGGAGTGAAATCGTCCTCGGGGAGTTCCAAGATGGCTGTACGAGTATTAGCTGGAAAGTTCCAGACGAGGACGGGAAACCGATCCAATATCTTGCACAGAACTGGGATTGGATTAGACCTGTGCAGGAGAATCTTGCAATCATTACACTAAGCCAGCCAGGCAAGCCGACTATCCAAATGATCACTGAAGTAAGCAGACGATATCTATCGATATTTGACATCTCCAGCATCTATATCATTTATTTAGCATCTCTAACATGTTATCACTATAACAGGCCGGCATCGTTGGTAAAATCGGCTACAACAGCGCTTCGGTCGCCGTTCTTCTAAATGCTCTCCGTGCAGCGCCAACGGATACTAACAAATTACCAATCCACATCCTCCTCCGACTATGTCTAGAGTCTAACAGCGCCTCGGAAGCGTACTCGCAAATCGAGAGGTACGGTGCCGCCTCAGCCCAGCATATCCTTTTAGGTGACATGTCCGGCGCGAAATGCCTCGAACTGTCACCCATTAGAAATCATTGCATAAGTCCAAATGACAATGATTTTCTCGCGCATACAAACCACTCTATTGAGAACACCGCCATCAAAGAATCGTCTGAATTTCCTGGTTCTAAAGAGAGATTGGCGCGGACGTACGAAATTGTGAAAACAATAAACCCTACGGATTTATCGCCACAGATTTTAAGGGAGACGATCTTTAGCGATATCGAAAACGGCAATTTTAGCATTTGCGCATCAGAGAATGCGTGCCAACCAAAGTGGATTCGAATCATGACTTTATTCAATATTGTTATTCGCTTGAAAGAGGGTTGCCAACCGAGCGCTGAGTTAGCTTTCTTTAATGACTCCGCGGATTGGATTGGCCCCCAAAATATTATGCGCCTATAATTACTTGGTCTAAATGGGATTCGGACTACGAAGAATAAAAGAATATGATTGCTTCATTGATTTGTCATTATGTTGTTAATTATTACCATTGGAGATTAAGATATAGTACATGCCCAGGTCAATCCGGTTCTGCTCAGTGAACCTATAAAATAAAAGCGGCCTATCGAAGGCCATCCCAAAAACCAAATTGGAATGAGAAGAGAATAACCCCAAAGGATAGATAAAGCCATGTAATGCAGCAAACCAGACCCACAAACGCCTTTTCACAACCACCTACTCGGCCATGAGCTCTTCGTCGTCGTTCCCCGGTGTACTAGGCCCCCACCCCATCTCCCCTCTGGCTTTTCTTCCGTCAATATCACTCTTTCGAGCCTCCTTTTCAAGATGTAAATGTAATTCTTTCATCGGTTTGATCATAAAGTTCGCGTATTCCTTTCCAATTTCTCTCTCCCATGTTTCAATCAACATGTTTTCAATAATATAGTCGCAGGCAATATTCCTGGTGATTCGTGGGGAGGCTGCTGTCTCACTGCTGCCAAAAATAGATGAGAGTTCGTAGATATGATCGAGGCCAACGGTCCGCAGGAACGCAAGTAGGTTCTCAATCAGTTCTAACCAAGTATTAGCATTAGCGTACTTCCTTAGAAGCAAAAACGGTAGCTGAAATGGGAATGAAACTCACCATATCGTTCCTTGATGTCCAAGGGCTGATCGTCGAAATAGACATCCCGCCGGAACTTATCCGTTAACTCAACAGAATAGGCGATTTCCAACAGCGGTCGCAACAGCACCCCGATCAATCCACACATCTCAATCATCGCAAACAAGTCCTTCCTCCCGAACCTTGCCAGCCACTTTCTGTGGTCTCTGACACAGTCTTCGGTGTCGATAAACCCGGCGCTGAAGATCAAGGAGAAACACCATATATTCCAGAGCGCCATCCTCATACTATGGACTTCCTCTCGGTTTAGGGCATCTAACATTTCTCGCCGTAGAAGTCCTGGGCATCGCCTTCTGATACGGGATATTAGGCCATCGATCACACCTAGACAACTATTGTAGGCAGACCTAAATGATTCAAAATTTTTATCATTGGGAAATAATATTTGAACGAGGCTATAAGCGCTAGGGTTGATAGCGCCAATGAGAGGCATCGTATTTGCGGAGATAAGATCGTTAAAACGGGTGCTGAGCAATCTTGCTGACATAAGAGACTCTAGTGATGGCAGATGGGAAAGGATTTTTAGAACAATCTCATTGGGTAAAGATTGTATGCTTATCGAAGTTCTTCTTCGTCTAGGGACGGCTTTCCTGGGAATGGTTATTGTGGATGAAGAAGGACTAGCAACTGGTTTGCGCGATATCCGAGGAATATGTGATTGTGTATGTAATGAAGTGGGAGGTGGTGTTTTAGATCGAGATTCAACAGATGTGGATGTGGAGTTTGAGGTGAAAGATGGTGACGACGAAATGGTTGACCCGGACGAGAACGATGGAAATCCAGAAATTCCAGGGTGAGATCCGCTAGGGCGCAGAGGGAGCGGCGTATATTCTGAAGATTTTGGAACATCGTCTGCAACATCTGAGAGGGGCGAAACGGGCGACGGCGAACGCTTATCATTTCGATCATCATCATATTGCTCTTTCTCCAACCACGCTATTGTTTGTTCGATTGTTTCTTCTAGATCGTCATTTGAAGAATTCGTGTCCGGTTTGATAATTCTAATAGGAACCGGCTTCCTTTTAGGAATGAAAATGCGGTCGCCTGTTTGATCCATCGATTGGCCTCGGCTTCGAACAACTATGGGTGAGAAAGGTGTGTTCTCTGGCACGAGTGAGAATGAGCGTCCCTTTATCGGTTTCGATGCTGGTAGACCAAACCCTTCCACATTCCTAGCAGGCGACACATCTCTTCGAGCTGGCGCTATCGGAGTTTGTTCGGGTGTGTCCAAGAACGCAAAAGGTTTTGTTTGTGGAACGATAACACTCGGGACAGGCTTCCTCGTCACAATTGGAGTTTTTGGAGTCGGCGACTGGACAATGGGGCTCTCCAGTTTTGGTGTAGATGGCCCAGCAGAACTAGGCATCGCGGGTACAATTGGTGTAAATGTTTTGCATTCATCTGGTGGTGTCGTCGGACAATACATCGATTCTGACGGGGATTTGGGTGAGCGTAGACGAATATTGGTGAACGATCTTTTGGCTAGATTCAAAAATCTCGGTCGCTGTTTCTCTGCCTTGCATGTACACAGCTGGGCGCACTGGCAGCCTGACGATAAGTCCGGGAAACTAGAACGGGCGGCCATTTTTGCGGATTGAATATATCGTTTCCACCTCCTGTGTTCTTTATGTTGTGGTGAAGCAGCGCACTGCTGCTGCTTTTGTCGGTTCGGCCGTTGATAAGAATATATGTCAGAATGACTCGCGATCAACGAGCGTGAAATTGGTTCCGAAGAAAACTGGGATACACGGCCTGATTATATTGTCAGAACATGATCCCCGCGTTAAACTAGGATTCGTCGGAACTCTCGAGCGATGACTAAGTCGTCAAGATGGCGCGAAGCTGGTTTCAAGAAGAGGCAGGCTAGGCAAAAACGTAGCAGCCTCATTTGTATTTTTTAATCGCTTCAAAGGTCGTTTGTAGGCATACGAGCCTTTTTCTGCAAGTGAGGCTCACACTTTTCTGATTGCTGACAGTTTATCCAAGTTGGTTCCAAGTTCTTGGCCCATGCACTGGCAAACTCCGTTTGGGCCGTCGAGCTCAAACACTGGCTAAAAGCACCGAAGTGCTATAGCGAGGGTGAAGCATTCCTCTTGCCCTCTGCCACGGAACGGATGTAGGCCTGTCATTGGCGGGGCGGAAGGCAGGAAAGGTGCCTCGAGCGTCAGCCTTCTGAGATTCGACCCTCCCACGAAGAGGACCTAGACCCGAATCAAGACTGGTCTGTACCACCCGAATTCCAAATGGTGGGCGAACAGCAGCAGGTGCTAGTGAACTAGACACCCTGCTCGCGCAGCGAGCGGGACGAGACAGGTAGGCAAGAACACTGCCACTGCACTGTTGTTTGGCTTGTGTGTCGGGATGTCGGTATTGTATGTAATCGTAATCGTAATTTGATCCTTTGGTTTTTGGATTTTTCCACGTTGGCTCGATCTCAAGTTTAGCGTACATCTTTGTTCAGAGGTTTGCGGTAGACGTTCCCATAGCCCGTTTCGATTTTAGGTTCTGATGAGCGGCGGGGGTAGCCTATTCTGTCGCCTAATTGGATGACGAAGCCGTTGTGAATTCTCGTCTGCAGAATGTGCCCTCCACAGGCACCCGTAAGTCGTGCATCTGTGTATCGATAATCCTCCAAGGCAACCCCCATTCTCACTCGTTTTTCGTTCAAGTGCAGCTCCGATTCATGCCGATGATCTTCGCCAGCAGCAATAGCGGGCTATCTTTTTAAAATATTTACAAGAACCGTTGCTTTCAATTTCAGATATCGTATTCAAGACGCTCATATCGTATTTCATAAAAAGCCGTTGTTTCAAAATCAAGAATCTCACATACCAACACAGCATGCTTCACTACTGCTTCCGACAATTTCGCCAAGCGGCCGGGTCACGGACGGTGACAAATTCTGGGATCAAGGATTCAACCTCATGCAATTTATTTTTTTCATCTTCAACAGATCGCGGGAGCACAACATAGTCATATAGCGCGATTGCCATCACATTTTAAAGAAGATTGCGCACCATCATGATTCCACGTGCAGACACATTTTAAAGAATACTCCGAGCTGAACTTATGCTTCCTTGTTTCGTTTGCTTCGGCGAAGAGGGGGCGAGATCTCAGCTGAAATGGGCTTCCTTTTCGCACTTGTCTTACTCAGACTACCGATCGTCTCCAAGCCGTCGGTAACAGACTTTGACAGTTCGCCGTTGGAAGACAATATGTTGTCCTGCTTTGGTTCTTGTTTGACAACACCCTCCTTAGACCCTTCCTCGGTCTCTTTTCGTCTCGAGGGCTTTGTTGGTGTTTCTTTGTTTCGATGGGTTATCCCTAGAGCAGCTTCCTGGCCAAGCACCCATCCCACCTTCTCAACGCTTCCTGCATTGACCACTTCGTCTTCAGATGCAAACTTTCGACAGAGTCTTCTGACCCTTTTGAAAAACTCTGAATACTCTTTTGCATTATATGCAATATTTCTGTCCCACCCCGTAGAAGTACCCGGTTTGTCCATCATTATCCATCGGAAAGCTTCGTCTGAAAACATTGGGATAGTTTTAGGAAACACAGAGGATAAGATTGCTGTTGCTGTAGCTGGTCCAATACCCTTGAGCTTGATCAGCACCTTCATCATAGAAGATACCTGTGCCAGGGCGTCGTCGTCGTCATCGTCTGTTCCATCTGAAGTAACCTTGCCGGGAAGTGACATGTTAAGAGCTTCATTTACAGTTGACTCGAGCTCCTTGGCCGGGTTTGAGTTCACCAGTGGTAGAATTGTTGGACGGAATTTCCCTCGTTTTCTATAGTGCAATCACATGTTAATGATATAATAGCAAGGGTTTCGTTGTCGATGTATTCCCCCTGGTTCGACATACAATTTCCAAAGTACTATATCCTTCACCTGGGACGCGTTCAGATTTTGTTCTCTGGAACCACCCTTCGCAGTTTTCGCTTGGCTAGCGGAGTCCGAAAGTCCATCTCTCCAGTCATCAATCTCTTCTAGCGTCTGCGAATCATTGCTCTTCGCTTTTGGTTTATTATTTGAAACAGCTTTGAGGACTGAAGAGTATCGTGATAGAATCGTCTGGAATTCAGCTCGCGAGATAGTTGAAGGAACGGGTAACGAGGCCATTATATCCCGACCGAACTTGCACTGCATATTATCGAGTTTTGCTGAGAAGATGTTGGAACTAACAAAATCTGAAAGGCGGATATTCACAACTAAAATTTAAAAATAAAAGAGGTAGGCCAAGCCTAGGGGCTCCGTGTGAACTCTAGCTGGTTAACGTTGGGATATCGGGGGGATCGAAGATGCTGGCCAGGCCTGATACACTACGAAGCTCGCCTTAACGTGAAGCAGCGACAACACGCAAAATACCACATTAGAGCCGTTACAGCTCGCTATATTAGCTCTGCAGACACCACCTATTCCGAGCGAACGGTAGCATTTATAATTAGGTCTACGAGTTAGATTCCGAGACTGTGTCACAATGCAGGAACTAACATTTCAAGTATTAAATTAATATCCTAGACGGTAAGGTTGGCCCTCGCTGTTGTAAGGCGACCGGAAGTTCATTCCTAGTACTATAGTGGAAATTTATTCGTGGGCGGGTGATTAACTCGCAACTGTATTGTTATACAGTCGAGTATACTAGTATGGTCGGTGTACATATTTAGCTAGCTCACTGATCATTCCAGGCTAGAGGCTGAATGATACATCGTACAGCGCGTAGTTGTAAATCGATTGCATATCAGGCCTCTATATACCAATTGCCAAGTGGGTATTATGGACCAGGCTCTACTATAAGTCGACAACAATCTGCGGCTTGCAAATTACATGCTTCCAAGATCAAAAAATGCCTCCTTCAATAATGTAATAAAGACAATTGTCTCAAACCAGACTTCGCAAATAAGCCGTTGCATTGAAATACACGACATGGCTTTACCTAAAATTAATGTCGCATTGCCCAAAATAACGCCAAACCATCGAGTGAAAAAAATAAAGATCGAGGCACCACTGAAAGACTAGTCTAAAACAAGGATTATTCAGCCCCGACCGTAATCGCTTTATCTCAATGCCTAATCATATCAATCGCATCGCAAAAATGGAAATAATCATGGAAACCATATAAAGTTTACGGATATCCTTGCACAATATGCCAGACAGTGGTGAGGGCAAGGATTTTTAGTCGTCGGAAAGCAGATCAATCACCTCAGTGACCTTTTGTTTCTTCAGACTGCGTTCTGATTGAAAAACGACCTCGTCATCGTCGCTGCCACTATCCGCCGCCGGGTTCCTTGTTGCCATGGATGAAGCTCGCTCTCGTTTTATAGCCTTCTTTTCATCCTTATCTCGTGCCTAACAATTGATAAGAATCAATTAGCTTTTGATTCAGTTTCATTCCATGATGTAGCCTTTTATCCCTACTCTGTATCGAAGCAGCTCGCGACGGAGCGCTTCAGGCGACATTTCGTCGATGGTTTGCCTATCCCCACCCCTAATTGAAAGCTCAGGGGACGGTGAACGGGGGATCAGACCTTCGCTCTGTAGGTATGCTAATGATGGTATTGAAGTTAGCGCCGTAGTCTCAATAAAAGTTTGGGGAAAGAGGTAAATTCTGGGCAAAATACATTTCTTCGCATAGCGGAAAGTAAATACGACATATGGACGGTCGCTAGGATCTAATCGTTTAGTTTTGAGAGAGGATGGCGGTTGGTAATCAGCGGCCCCAAGTGACGTCCTATGAGAAACTGCTCTCCCTTTCAGGGACTTTTCGTGGACGTCCTTGATACTCAGTTCGTCATGATCGCTTCCCCTGCCTTTGGTTGCTCGTTTTTCTGCTCGGTGGATCTTTACTTTGAGGGTGCCTATATTTTGCAAAACATTTGCCCGTGTTTCCATTTCATCTAACTTCTGGTCAACTAGGCAGTTTTAAAATTCCAGAAAATTAGCATATTACAAGGTTATCTCGTCACCGTAGCCTCTCATACGAGCCACGATTCATATCTTAGTCAGTAGCTAGCAAATTATTTGAACTAGCGCAACTTACTCGTCTCAAGTTTTGAGAATCTCATCTCCCGCCTCTCCAAGAGACCATTGACGATCAGACCTGATTTTCTTACTACCTCAGTTGTATGCGTTGTAGTAACATTTTTGATAATACTCCCGTCGGCGTATATCGAAAAATCATGCCGTTCCGCAGTCGATTTACTGAAATCAAAGTTGAAACTGAATGGCTTATCATCCTGCGAAACGATACTGCAAGTGACTGTCGAGCCCTCGACTTCAGTACCAAACTCTTCGGCGCGGACACCATCAATATCGATGCTGCAGGTGATTCCTTTGAGTGATGGCATTTTGGGGGTGCCGGGTGTTGGGATAGCAAAGCGTAGGCGAGCTGCCCTTGACCGCGCACGAGTCTTGTAGTAACTAGGCTAAGGTGTATGGTGATGCTAGGTGTTTCCAGGCCAATGCTGGCTACGAAAACGATGATGCTGTCGGCTGAGATGTCGTGTTTTAATCAAGCCTGGTCCTGTAAACCAGCAACACGATCAAGTCTTTGAAGTTGAATTATCGCAGCCTTCTGTTCACGCTCGGCGCGTTGTTATGGAACCTTGTGGTGTGGTAAATTTAGGTTTGGAGGTCATGATCAGTTACCCCAGAAAGGCGACTCCATGGCTGCAGCTGGATCCGAACAAGTCTCAATCATATCCGCAGAGCCTCGTATGCATCTCTGGCCAGGTGGGTACGATACTATAGGCCGGGATATTGTCTAAATTCGATTTTATAGTTTCGCTTCGTGGAATCATTCGTCAACGTGACTACTTAGTATGCATACGTACATAGCTATAGCTATAGTGTACGCTTTCCGTTATACGATATATGTCGAACTGTCTCAAAAGAGCGCTTTGGATACAGATCACCACTCCAAACTTTCTATATAAGTATTACCTAAGTGATTAATACGTTTAACCTTGAAGGTTAAAGCTAGGACCGCCGGGCCCAGAGCATCTACATGCTACAAACTTAGATTCACCAGCCACTTATAAATCTGGATCACTAGCAGTTCGTGTGGACATAGAGCATGTGGAACTTCCACCATTTCGTCTGTCAATATCGATAGCACTGCCGCCAATGTGAAATGGACATCACAGGCAATTCTCCGTTCCCAATCTTCGACGACTTCGAACTGGCGCATATGATGAACGATGGCAAACTCGACCTTAAAGAATTTCTCCAGCCACGACAGCGATATCTACGAGGGATTTTGCGTTCCCCGAGATCATGGTCATTACGCCCCATATACCAGAATGTCCGGACGGTGATGGAAAACTCAGGTCGATCACACGTTAGCCTAGAACGTAGGCGTCTTCAGAACATCAATGACTTGCTCGAGCGAATTGCGAAGCTAGATAACCATACCGCCTCGATATACACCGCTATCAATGACATTTTCCTGACGATGCATGCTCAACAAGGGTCTCTTGAAAAAAGATTAGCTGTCTTGAGGAAAAACCCGGCGAAGAACGAGAGGCGGATGCTAGAGCTGAAGAAGACATACGAGGCTAGTTGGAAGAGCCTGCGGACAGATCTCAGAGCTCAGAGGGACGTTTTGGCAATTGAGGAGGATCTTCGGAATTCATTTATGAAAGAGCTCAAGACCGCTTGCGAGAGGACTGGCGGTAGCGGTAACAGTAGCTGGTGGAAGGGAAACCATAAACTTGAATAAGGAGCCATTCGCGTTGATTTGTGGAAGTTTCTCTGGCTGCTTATTCTTTGGGAGTCGGTTTAGGGATTCATTTGGTAGACGAACAGTTCCCAAGATCTTTCTTCTTCTTTTATTTTATACATTTTTTATATTTTTTTATAGTCTCGAGGCCGTATTTCTAACAGGGACGTTTAATAAGCCATGCTGTAATCTAACAGAGAAAAGATAAACTCAGAAGTAACAAGCTGAGAAGCCAAACCTGCAATGGTATCATTAGTATATACATTACAAACCCTTCCTAAGCCGCTCTATCGTTCGTAACTTCGTGGGAAGTCATTGTCTTAAATGCCAAACTCCATCGTTAGACTTCTCCGATCAACAGACTGAGATAGATAGTCCATCCTAGAGAAACAAAGCTTCCAAACAAGACCCGTCGCTCGAATGGCACAACGCTGAATGATATAAGGGCAACAAGCGGCCAGAGCTTCCAACCAGCCAGTTGAAATCTCCAGAAGTCCTAAAAAAAAACCATCGGATTAGATACTAAAGCCTATATTACGTAATGGGATTTGGAAAAGTTGTGGAGCTAATTACCTTCGCAAGGTTCCATTGCACTTGTTCCCAGGGGTTACCATTGAGAAGCCCCATGCCAATGATAAAGAGAGCAGTGTTGATAGGACCACCGCAGCACTGGTCTAGCAATAGTTTTCGGGCAATGTTGCTCTTCTTAAGCCTCGGTTCATGGTGGGCAACACCAGGTGACAGCGGTGACGAAGGTGCCTTCTCTTTCAGGGCAATATCATCGGTTTTCTTGAGGTCCCGGCGCGAATCTGAAGGGTAGGTAGGGAAAGTTCGTTCCAAGAAGGCTTGCCATTTGTAATTAGGAGGAGTAGTGATCAGAGTGAATATGAAGAAACGCAGAATGGGAGCAACGGCAAGCTCGAAAGGTCGCTGTAAAGCTCGACATTAGCATAAGACTATTACATTTCATTTAACTGAATCGAACATACATTCGCTTTCCAAGCAGCTAGTACCTGGGCGAGGAAGTTCGAAAGTCCAGATAAGAACGAAGCCTGAATCGCGGCAATTACAATGGGAGGTATCGCCATTTCTCGGCGTGATAAATATTGTGCTACTGAGACAGGTGGATGATAATATTTAGTTCTACGCCACGATCGAGAATGGCTCTACACAGCCGCGTCGGTCCGAGAATTTGAATGGTGCGCCTGATCTCTGGGAAGAAAAAGTTATGCGAGTGAGCCGAGCCGCTACGATGCAGGAAACGAATTGGCAATGGGATTGTGGTTGAAGTTGAAGACAGTCTGGTCTGTCCAAGCTAAGCACAGGCTCCTCGTAACCGGAACAGGCTGTGTCAAACACCACAACTCCAACACATTGCCTGCGGATCAGTTCTTGATTCGAATTGAAGATATATCATGAGAACTTCTCAAATAATCGTCGGTATAGGTTCAGGCGTTGAGATGGCTATAAGTCTCGCCGCCATTGACCCTCGTGGCCTGTAAATGGCAGAGTAGCATTCACTCCATCTCAGCCCTAGATCCCGGCACTTGCGACAAAGGGTTGCAAATTCGTCGTCGCAATGCAGCGAGGCGTTTCCATCGCGTAATAGTGCTTATTTACTCAAACGCAAACTCGGGTGCTCATTTCTTCGATCGCTGACTCCAACCTGTTGGTTCAAAGCCTAGAGTCCAAAAGGCTATACCAACATGGCCTTTTAAAGGGCATCGTCGTCTTCGACCGGATCTTCGTTTTGTTTCGCCGAACATGGTCCAAGAGACCTCACAAACGACAAGATTTAAATACCGTTTCCGGCAAGATTGGAGATTTTAACTGAACACGGGTCAAGGGAAGCTTCTGCGACGGCCACTACCACACCACCTTGCAAAACCGCTATTCAAGATTACAAGGCTTTGGACCCTTTATTGTACCTGACTGTGTCTTAGACCCCACACTATAAAGGCTTAAGCACGTACTTTAAATAATTAGCAAAGCTCGCTCTGAAGAGCCAAGTTCGATTCGACCAAGGCTTCCTTAATTGCATAAGTGCATATCGTTCCTGCAATAGAGCCCAAGGATTAAAATACAACTTGACAACGCATTCGGAGTCATTGATATCTCACATTTGGGATCAAGATTCCAGGAGGAGGATGGCAAGGGATATCGCGATAACTACTTCAAGTGGAGTTGTGAAGAAGGGATCAGTGGCAAGCGCGTCAGGTGGACCTCTGGCGAAGTTAAAGCGCAACCGAACTTGTTTCTGGGTACTTGGGGCTCTCATTCTGCTAGTACTGATCGGGCTCGGAGTCGGGCTCGGAGTCGGTTTAACTAGGCGATCGAACGATGATGGTTCTGATAATACCGCAGATAATGCTACTGATGGAAGAGATAAGTCAGGCACGATGAGCACTAGTCTAGGTGGTACCAGTTTAGGCACTACCGGTTTGAGCAGTTCCACTCGTTCGGGCGGGGTCAAAACTGTTACGGAAACATACAAAGTCAGACCCTCACAAACTGGAACTGCATCCCACTGGCAGCCAACGGCTGGGGAAACCTGGCAGATAACCCTCATTCGCCCGCCTAACAATACCGACGAAAATGTCGCTGCCTACGACATTGATCTATTCGACAACTCACTTTCATTTATTGCAAGTCTCAAATTGAAGGGTTACAAAATTATTTGCTATTTTTCCGCCGGCTCGTACGAAGACTGGCGGTCAGATGCGAAGAACTTTACCAGGAAGGATTACGGCGAAGCTATGGACGGCTGGGAAGGAGAATGGTGGCTAGACACGAATAGCGAAAATGTCCGCAACATTGTGTCGAATCGGATCGCCCTCGCACAGTCCAAAGGGTGTGACGCTGTTGACCCAGACAATATCAATGGGTACCAGAACCCCACCGGTTTCAATCTCACCGAAGACGATGCTATTTCTTTCCTTAAGTTCATGGCCGATGAAGCACATGGCCGTGGAATGGCCATAGGACTGAAGAATGGAGGTGCCATAGTCGACGATGTGGTAGAATATATGGATTTTTGTGTTCAAGAGTCTTGTGTAGCCTACGACGAATGTGGTCCTTATCGTGCATTCCTCGAGTATAATTCCCCAGTCTTTCACCTTGAATACCCGGATGAAAGCAAGATGACAGTTGCAGAAATATGTTCACCGGATAATGGTGCGCAGGGCTTTTCAACCTTGATAAAGCATCTTATTCTCGACGATTGGACAGAGTATTGTCCGTAGGTCCTGGGACCCCGAGCTCTATCGTGCGACATAGACCTATTTTGCAGGTCTGGATTTCAGATAAACCCTCACACTGAACATGTATCTCGGTTCAGCATTTTACTCTGTTATATTCCCTTAATATATTAGATATCTATTTAATTGAATGCATACACAAACCTAATATATAGTTAAATGTATAAGGCATATGAATTTTTATATCAATTCCTTGGCTTAATTTGGCTAGTGACGTAAAAGCACTTCAAGCACTGTTATTTAAGCAACAGCTATCAAGTTATACCTACCCTGGCTATAGCTAAATAGCCCTGTAAAGATAATTATCTGGCTGGTGTAACACCAGGTGCGTGCAAGGCGACGCACAAGTAACATTAACCAACCGTATCATCAGCCAGGCCAAGAGCTTAAGAGATAGAGTGAGATATTTGGGTGGCTGGACCGTTCTCGTCTGCGGGGGCCTTCGATTTCGCGCACCTACTGAAAATCCCTTCTTTCCGCAAAGCTTTGTTATTGCCAATTTCGAGTAATACCTAGCTACAATGACCGTTGGATTCATCAAAGTATGTGCGCATGTACAAGGATATATATATCGATAGCTACATTGATATCTAGATGCCCAGTTTAAAAGTCAACGTTCGTTGTTTACGAACGTTGGATCACGCAATTGAGTTCGGAATAACCGAATATTACATACACAATGCGGTATCTGGATACTGTACGTCTATTAGTACACCTCTATACGAATATATGCAGAACTAGTGTCACTTTTTTGTTGGATGTGTGATCCTAGCTAGTTCTCCAACGTACCAGGCAGATTTCAATGACAGGTAACGGATGAGAGAAACTCGATCGACCGGGTAGTTAAATCAACTGATAAGAGGAAAAACTCAATGTTTCGTACGACGCGACGTCCAAGATACATCGTGCAGATGAGCTTGTGCGAATTGTCAGCTGTGCAGGATCCAACCAACAGGTATGCGGTACCACTGGAACAGCATCGCTACCAGCGTCCAACGACTCGGGGAGTCAGGGAGGTTATCCGAATGTTGTAAGATTCGAATAACTACCTACTTAAGTACTTACATAGTAGGTATTTGGTAAGACCATGTCAAATTGATCCACAACGTTAACCTGTTGAATAGAAAGTTTCTGTCATATAGCATATAATTGTATACATGTACAACGGTCCCGATGTCAATATACTGGTACCGCAGTTGAATGTACCCTGTGCCACGGCAAATCATCATACGTAGGCTTTCTTGGACGGTGCTACTGCAGACGCACGCCAGACCCACCAGCGAGTATTAACGTTTAGCCAACTAGCTCATTGAATTAAGGCAGCGTGGCATGGCGCACCGGGGCTCGGGAGCTAATGTCTTGACAACCCGCCGCCAATATCACGAAAACCCTTGTCCTCTCCAGTTCCTCCATACCAAGGACTTGTACCGAAACAAAATGGTGTGATATGAGAGTTATAAGTCCATCAATAGGTTATTTAGTGACTATGGGGCAACTGGGGCCGCTTGAATGGCTAAAATGATAGGGCATCGATGGGACTCGATAAGACCTTACGAAGCTAGTTAGGCTCAGAAATGCCGGCAAATAGTATACCCCTTGTCGAGTCAGTGGAGCCCACGTTTATGGCCCAGCGAGAATTCTTCCATCTCTGGAGAAACTTGTACAGAAGATGTATCAACCATGCCACGGAGACAATCTCTCCTTCGGATAACTCGGACCAGCTTCATTGAATTTCAAACAATATGTCCGCCCCGTAAGTGCTAGTCCGCTCGGGTGCCTTGGAGGTAAATACATCCACAGTACACTAAATCGATGTCAGCGAACGTTTCGTATAGGTGAAGTTACAGTTTTTAGGCTTTGCGTCATAAGCTCGCCTTTCCCTCAACTTTGAATCCAATCTTCTATCCTGTTAGTCAATTATTCAGGGGATTATGTTTAACATAACGTTAACGAAATCGATCGAGCCCCACAATCTAGCTAGCTAGGAACAGTGAGCCTCCCTCGATACCCAACGGACTTTACACATTCTCATAGCTAACCTAGGGCTATGCACTGCAACCAATTTCATGCTAATTTTAGGCGGCAAAAGAGATCCCGGGTTGTTCTTCAACTTCGCGATGAAACAGGAAGCCAATTCACCTTAGAGTTCGAGTCTCAAGGGCCGGGTGGGCTGGATGCCAAGAAATTGAAGCAGGCCCCTCATGCAAGTTCTGCGCCGCATAAATTCAGACTTCGTGTCAAGCGACTTGGATGTCAGGATGGCCAAAACCGAAGCCCCCCACGGGGTAAATAAATAAAATAAAATAAAATAAAATAAAGTAAATAAAAACGCGATAAAACATCTTGATGGATTCAGAAAAATGATCTATGTGTATTCTTTTTTGAGATGGTCTGAATGTAAATACAAGATTGGTATACAGAAGACTGTAAGATAGGGGTGAATAAATAATAATGATAATAATAATATTGTCGTTAATTCTCGACCGCTAGTAGCAGGAGAGCCGTCTGTTAGTCAAATAATCCCGCCTCTCCAAGAGGCCCATTCCACCACTTCTGGTCAACGTATACCAATGTAAGGGGCGGTTACAATATGTTAGAGAATTAAGATTATGTTGCGCTCTGGGACGGACCGATCGCCAAAGGAGGCTTTGGAACGGAGAAGGAGGAAAGAGGGCGACTAAACGCTGAAAATAACACAAAAACAACAAACTCCGGAAGCCTGCCAACACATATAAAAGTGGGCTGAATAGATGAAGGCGCAAAGAGACCCGTAAAGAAGACCAGTTTATATCCCGACATAAAGAAAACTCGCCAATTCCGATAGCAAGTGGGTGTGTGGTATCATGAACGAAAAAGGAAAAAAAGCAATACCGAAAAGATGTAAATGAGTCGAACCATATGCCGCTTTTAGAAAGAAAAGGTCATCAGCGCCGGGTTGAGGGCGAGTGGGAATAGCAGATGAGAGACTGCTACAGTGCACTAAGATGAAGAATGTGGTTAGCGATTAAGTTTGTAACTATTATGGAGTCGAAGTCAATTTACCATTGGAAGAATTGGTGTGAAGTCTTTGATTCGGTACGAATAAGGCACGAAAGGAGCAACAGCTAGAATAATCACCCCAGCAATAGCAAGAAGAGCAAAGATCATGCTCCACTTGAATCGTTTTAAGACCTTCGGTACTTCGATGAAGAAATTCGAGTATTCAACTTCCTTACCAGTGGCACCCCATGTCACTAAAATAAAAAAAATTGGTGTTAACACTATCGATACAGGACTAGAATAATAAGATAGATAAAACTTACTATCAATCTCAAACATATGGGCAAGGAGAGCCTGAGAGACGTGTAAAGAGAGGCCACCAAGGAAGAGTGCAAGCATTGGAACCCATTTGAAATTTTCGAACACTATGATCCTGTTAGCTGTTATATATAGCTAGCCTATGTGTTTAGGGGACTTACAAGCCCAGAGAAAGGTCCTCTCGCCAATACGGTACCTCATAACGGCAAGGGCGATATTTCCAAGGCCGTTAAAGACGATGACGATAGAGAACCACACTCGCCACGAGTCAATATAGTATTTATCTAGATAACCGTTGAACCATCCGATGGCGAAGTAATTGGCAGTTGTCATGATCCATGCAGCTCCGATGGCGTAGTATGTCCCGATGTAAGAGATAATGGTGATTTTCGAAGTCATACGGATATTAGAGAACAAAAAGCGACGGAACAGTGGGGTGAAAGGTCCACGGATGAGCCAGAAGCGAATGGGATGGAAGAGTAGTTCGTTACAACCATAGGCGTACTTTTCCCAACGGGCCAGTTCATCGTAGACTGTAAGCGACACACCTTCTTGGAAACCGTCCCCGGTGTATGCCGCCAAGCGAATTGTGTAACCATTGACTTGTAATCGAAGCGACATGTCGAAATCTTCAGACACATGGGACTCGGACCAGAATTTTTCATAGCCATCCTCATCCATGTAAGAAACTTGTTGGACAGCTGACCAGCGGAGGATGGCATTGTGGCCAACAAAGGGCGCAACATCACCGTTGGAGACCGTGTATCTGATAGCAGTGTAGATCAGGTTTGTGAAGAAAGTAATGCCGTTTTCAAAGTAGTTGTGGACAACTTGCATGACGCCAGAGGAGTATTGCATAATTCCGACTTCCGGTGACCGTTCGAGCTCACTAACCGCATCCAGAAGACAGTCTGATGGAACACGGGTGTCGGAGTCGATAAGAATGATGTAGTCTCCAACTCGAATATTTCCATCGGCCCATGCACGGCCATCGGTTGTGACGACTTCCTTAAGGGCTTCTTCGTATGCCTGAGCCTCGTCATGTTGTGTCCAGTCTTCGGTACGTTCGATAGCAGCCAATCTTTCTTCGACTTTGCAGGAGATCATGAGGGCGAAGTTCATATTTGATGCCTATATCAAAAGTGTTGGCCACGTGAGCTTACTGAATATACTAATCAGAAAATAGCGGCCGTCGACGCAATAAAACCCAACATTTCCCTTTATCCTGTTTTCAGACCCTTCTCCTCATTCATCAACCGTACTTCGCCACTCTCCCAAACGAATGTATTCTCGGTCGCCCTTCTACGGCCAGAAAATCGAATCAAACAACAAGGATTTAAACGAATTTAAACCTACCTTCTTGAATTTTCCTCGTCGCAGGAAACCGTTTTCGCCATGTTTAGGACGAGCAACCCAGCCGATATTGTTATCAGCATAGAATTCTATTCTAGCCTGTCTGTCCTCCTCTTCAATAAGTTGGAGTCCGTCATCGTTGATGAAAATATTGGCAGAGCCGCCCTGTAGTTCGTATGTCGATATGGCTTGTTTGATCGATTTGATGGTTGGAGCAATGACGGCGTGAAGGCCCTCCTTATAAACTGGACACTGGATAGTAACATGCGGTAGAACCGGCGTTCTGATTCGGACCGGGGGCTTTGCAGAGTAAAACTTAGAGTTGATGGACAATTGTCGGACAGGCCCAAAAACCTGAGCGATACAACCAACAATAACTTGCCCGAAGAAGAGTGTTAGGAAGATCTGCACAGGGGTAAGCGCCAAAAACGCCAGTCTTGTGAAATCGCCATCAACAGCAATTTCAACGGCGAGCTGACGGTACCCAGCACCGAGGGTAACGATGACCAAGATGAGGGTGAGCGAAACCAAGACAGTGTTCATCAAATGGGTCGGCCTGCTCTCGAGTGTAATCTCACCACTTTCCTCATCTAACCCCTCAACATGGATGTGGTTGGGGTCTTTTTTCTCATCGGCTTCGATGTCTTCGTGTGTCCTCCAAACCAGCTCCATGAGCTCGCTCTCTATCGACTTAGCTCTTTGCACAATATGGAGCGCATCGTCATCCCAAACAACCAAGATCTGCTCATGTGCAATGAATGCGGCAAACTGATGCTTTTTAGCTCGTGGGAGGTCGTCTATTGTTGGTAGGATCTGGATACGCAGGCCGTTCATCAAGGGTACGTCGAGAGCATCCGGCGACCATTGGAGAAATGTTTTTATGACACGGGAGTTTACAGTCATGGCGACCTAGTGGGGAAAGTTAGCAAATTTTGACGACCATTACCACTACACGGCTTTGCTAACCTGGACGTTCATTGCCGCACAAGCTGCAGCAAATGGGCTTCTTCCTAGTTCCGGAGGACAAGCCATATAGTTGTTTCTATGCTTGCGAAGGACCACTCCTTCCGCCTCACCGGTCACGTCCCCTACCCACATCTGGGAGCATTGCTGTTGGAAGAGGTAGTTGGCCATGACTTCGTGCTTAATATCCTCGATTAACGCGGAAGAGCGGGAGGAACCAGGGCTATTGAGTGAGCTTCTCGACGAGGACACACGGGACGGGCTCCGTAAGCCTGGCATCTCGAGGCTACCACCAACAGCTGGTGTCATCGTTGGTCCTTTCTCAGATTGTGGGGGGGACGAGCCCTCCGGTGCACTCGCATTGGCCGCTGGAGGGGCCTTGAAGTAGTTTTTGAGACCCATTCTGGTGGCAGCTATAACGGGAAACCCTGCTGCTCTTGATTTGAGAAACGTCGTTCCTCCTAAAACCGCCCCAAGATTATCGTGATTCCTCCCTCAATTGATGCTGCAATTACGACCTAGGCGAGAGTGAAAACAAGACAAAAAACAAAATAGTCGTAACGAATGGTGGGGTGGATGAAGTGGCGGGTCGTTCTACGGAGCGAATGGCGGAGACACTTTGGAATACAATCGGCCAGGACGGGTCGCCTGAGGGATAGTAATCAAAGGGAATCTCAAGGTATATCAACTAACTGCGACTCAACTACAAACGAGAGAGAGGAGAGGGCATGCTAGTTGATATCTCCGAAAGCTGGAGAGCAAAAAGTCTAAGGAAAGGCTGATGGCGAGAAGGCAAGAAAGAAACGAAGGAAAGAGGAAAGAGGGCAGACCAGGGAGATATGGTTTAACCTGAACGATCCCAGATGGAGTTGGTGAACACTGGCTTGGGTCAGGACTCCAACGACAACTTTCGCCGGACCACACATGGACGTGTCTCTCGCCCATTATGTTCCTCCCATATGCGCAGCGCCCAAGGGACTAGCAGGGTTTAGGGGTCATGCAAGCTAAGGAGAACATCCAGATTAGCCCCCCATGGAAAAAGTTCGAGAAAGTGCATGCAAGGTAAATTGAATGAAAGCCGAAAAAGCAATGCCTTCAGATGCCCAAGGGACTCAGCCGGCGCGCAATGGACAAAAACACCATGGAAAAAGAAAACGAAAAGCTCGAATGGAGACAGGGGAGTCGTCAGGAACAACTTGACCCGTGAAGCAAACGCTGGGCTTGGCGAAAGATAGGGGAGATTAGTGCCAAAGGGCCTCCCGAGATGTCCCCGGTTCCGGGCCCCAGGGCTATCCCCAACAGTCAAGGGTTTGAGCCAGCCAGCATATCGTAACCGCTTCACAAAAGACTCTTCCTGTTATTCCTCAGCCAGAAATAAAAATAGATTTCTGGATTTTTCCTCTCGTTGACACGAACAACGATCAGGATGCAAGGCTCCTGGTGAGTCGGTATTTTCTGAGTTTTTTTTTCCCTTCCCTGCTGTTAAATACGCAAATACGTTTCACAAAGCTAGATAATTTCGACCAGCGTTTGCACTCGGGTTCTTTCTCTTTTCTTTCTTTCTGGAAGACAAAATGGCTGTTCTGAATTTTTATTATCAGACCATGACTAGCGGGGTGCTTTTAACCAGGCTTTATCCGTCGGTTGACCCAATTGAGTGATACTGTTGGCTGTGTTGTATGCGTCGACCACCAACCATATGCACGTATGTCTGTTTAATCCCAGGCTCTGGTAGTTTTTTTTTAATAATCTAGAAGCCCTCGATGACATGACAGCTAGCCGGGGCTAGGTATCATTGCATTTCTTGGTTCGTTTCCTGAGGCAATTGCGCAACGGTCTTTAACTGGGGCCTATGATGGCGAACAGTTGTTCCTTCTGGGAAGGTCCTAAAGGCGGGTTTTGACTGCCAGTTTTTCTAATACCTACTACACATAACTGGAGAACTAGGGGTACAAGTGCTTTTTTGTCCACCAGATATCAGCCTAACGACTTGACACCGACTTCCGCTTTCGCGTGGACGATTTCGTCAGGTCGTTAATTACAGGACCTTCTCAAGAAGAGCCTACCGTCGACGGCGCATCGTCAGGTACGAACACGAGTTCAAAAGGGTAGAAGTGCGGCTGCGGGTTGTCTCTAGTTCCTTGAATTAAAGGTCCGCAAGAGGGGTCCCTTCATATTAATTAAAAATACTGTTACACACCTCCCGTCAACTCGGTTTACCATTGTCAGATCTCCGCCGCATCGAGCTTGCTAGATCCGTCGACACCAACATTTACTGGCTTGGTCCTATGATTATACACAGTACGTCCATCACCAAGGAGCGATCACCGTTAATAAGAATAACTCCAACAGTTGCAATATGACGCATTCATATGAGCTGGAATGTTCTACGAACCCTCGATAAAATACATACATGGACTAATTTACGAACTCCAGCCCAGCCAGTCCAGCCAGCCCAGGGCCTTTTCATACCTCCCCGGTTAGATCAGTCCCCGTGGCGCTGCAGAAGTAGAAACCACCCAAGGCAGCCACAACGGCAGCCCTCATGCACGTATGGTGAACGTACGCTTTTCATCCTTGAGGGGTTCCCAAGCAATTTTTTTTGAATTTCGATATTTGGCAGTGGCCTTAGTTCAGCAAATTCTCAATCCCAACGATTGCTATATTTGCGCTGTGGATGTTACAGATTCCTACAACTTTTGTTTGGAAGTATTTCTCCGACTGCAGTCATTATATTATATTAAAATTCAGGACAAAAAATGCGCAATACCCCCAGGCTCGCTTGGGAGACAGCCGGTGAAAAAAACCACTTAGTTCAGTCTGATATACCCCTTTACAATATGCGGCTGGTTTGAGGCGCTTGTTCACAGCGCCAAGACTATGACGGATTCAGCTCGATATCTACTATGTAGTCAACATCGAACAGCCAACAGAGCAAATCGGGAAAATACTCTTGTTGGAGTCTCTGAACCCTGGCTTCCATACGAACTTACAGATGTGCTTTGTCAACCGTTAACCCGCAATATTTCGAAGCCAACAGATAAGGATCGCTCACCGTACCCAAAAACTAAACCCTCAACAACAGATAACAGTGCCGCTTAGCATTGGTATCATTCAGTGTGCAAGCAATAAGTCCTATGGTGTTTTATTTCAGCATCACAGCGCACGCGGTATGTCCTATCATCGACCCACGGGTCAAAGATAAAGCTTCTATTTTCGCACTAGCCAGAACTCCCTACATGTGCACAGGAAATAGAGATATGTGTGCTTCCCGTAGTCCCTCCTGCCTGTTCCTGTCTGCGGACTCGTGGTGATGTTGGACATCTATTAAGAAGGAAACAAGAAAGTCGAAAGCGGGTCCGGCCTCCTCCAAAAAACCCCGGCCCACCTCGCTTATGCTTGTTTTGGATTTGAGCCCGTCCGCTCTCCTGCAGCTGTAATTTCCTCTTGCCGACCTCATTTCCAAATTTGGCTACCACTTGATGGGGCGTGGTCTGGTGGGAATGGATAGATCCTGTCCCATCGAAAAGACGACCGAAATTTTATTATAATTTTTTTACATAACACACTAACACCGATCTCCTGTTCGCAAGGAGAGTCCCGGCGGCTGGATTAACCCCATCAGTTCGATGGTGTCAGGAGCACTGACCTTGGTTTCGGGATCGGGATGCCGTGAGTGAGAGCTCGTCACCAGGATGTTATAATTGACATGACGTCGAAATCTTGGGTCTCACTAACGGGAACGGGTATGATAAAACCTTCATATCTTGATCTGGGATGCAATATCAGCCCTACCCCAGTCCAGCCGAGGACCTTAGATGATCACCCGTCTCTTGTCCGCTTTGTTGGGATTACCTATCGTTCGGATTGGTCTTCATCGAAATCCTGAGATGACCTGTCTGGACGGTTCGAACTCACCTTCATGCTTCATGACGGCTGTGACCGCCCGCATGAGCTCGCAGGTTCTGTTGGGTATCCCGTGCGATCCGCGATCCCTTGCTGTTGTTCCTCGACCCCTCGCGCTCTTCTGCGATCACAAAATCTCCTGCCCTGTCTTCATGTGGCCTGGATAACCCACTATCCGGTGGGTTCATTTTTAATTCTGCGTAAAAATTTTATGATTTTCTCTGCGACTGAAACAATGAACCAGAAAACAAAAGCCCTGTGTGACTGTGATGTGATCCGATAGGCCACTCCTGGTATGTTTGCTGGCAAAATACTCAAGCTAGTGCATGTGCAGACAGGGCATCACACCAGCTAAGCTAGTCCCTCACAGATGTTATTAAAAATTAATTGTATCATGGCTTCAAAAGATACCTAGTCGTGCTGAATCAATCAATTATCAATGATCATACGAGGAAGAAATTTAAACGATACTGCAGCTCTGGCGCCCTCGCTTGGCTGGGGCTTCGCCGCTTCCGTCGATTTCTGCTCTAATGTATGTAACAACAGGACCCGCAAGGCTCAAACTCTCAGGTTGACCTCGAGCTCATCCTTTTTAGTCCCGCGCTTTTAACAACATGCATCATATGCATCGCCATGTGTTGATTCGAGGGTCTGGACTAAAATATCACAGCTATACCGATAAGAGATACTGATTTGCAATCGTATTTCCCGTATCCAACGATCGATCGAGGTTGCCTTTCTACCGGACCTGGTCTTATCCTACCTCGGATCAAGGCTTTTATCACCGAATTCACGGCCGTGGTGGTGCCAATGCACTCTAATACCCACATGTATGCTCCTAAAGGTCTGGATCAGCCAGCTCACTATGCGGCTGTCATGTCAAAGATGAGGGACGAGATATCAAGACAGGTGGAGACCGGGATACAGCTTGCCGCCCTCTCACTCTAACTTAAAAGGATCCTACTAGTTAGTATAACAACGTCACGGATTCTATTTCGCTTCTATTTGTCTTCGAAAAGAAAAATCAACTCATAACTAAGTGTTTTGATTGCCGAGCTCCTTACCGACATTAACATGCAATTGATTATGATTCAGTCGATTTCCTGTGCTAAGCTGTGGGCCATCGGCTTGGTGTGACAGATGTTTGAATTTATGTGGAATACAAACATGTAGGAATATGTAAGACCTTGATGTCCGGAGCGATGAGAGAGGCCGGAGGGCCTAGGGCTCTCGGACCGTCGAATTATCGAAGCCGCGGCGTAACCCTCTCAGTGTGATAGCGTCGAACGATCCCGGATTATTCATATATTATATTACTTCCCAATTGATAATCTCTTAATTTCGCTAGAAATACCGATAAACTTCAAGCCTGGATATGTGCAACAGATGGTTAATGATGGGCAGCCGCAAAGATGTACAGTATCACGGGGGCCCTTCTGAGCTCCGATGCAATGTGCGCTCTGGCCTCGAGCTGAATCCCCCAAAAAAGAGCCTTCTATTCAATTTGCATACCTTGGGTCATTCGAATTGCGAAGTCGCAAGCGGAGATTAGGACCCGGTCGCTGATATTGAGTCCTCTGCAAGCCAGCTTGTTCTGGAGGTGGGCCTCTCCCTCCAAGGCTCAGAATTTTGATGCGAGTAAATGATATCGTCGGACCTCTCGTGCATACTCCCATGCATGGGACGTGCCATCCCGAAGTGCGAACGAGAATTATCTCTGACAATTCATATACGTTTCTAAATTTTCTATGCAAGTACTATCCACCCATAGCAAAGGATTGAGAAGGAGGTGTGGAGTTTGCCCTCCATCAAATCCAGGCATGCATAATAAATGTAGGGGACATTAACGAAAATCAATGCGAGCGGAACTGTGCTGTGCACTGAAAGATCGGTGAGATGATGTTTCCAGGATACGCCCATATCATACCCATGCTCGATAGACCCAAAACCCACTGATACGCAGTGGAAAGAATGTTCTTTTGGTGTGATTGTAGTGGTTGGGATGTTGATTTCAACATTGGTTCGGGTTTCTATTTGGGGGTCACCCAGCACATCTTGCGTGGGGTGGATACGGCTCACGGTCTCATCTGCAGGCTGAACTGGCTGCTCGTTACTCTGAGATAAAACCTCAACATGATAGTGCAGTGTGCGTGCGCTGATAAGTCGAGAGTTCCAGGACCTCGTTTTCACCATCCCGTCACTGCCAAAAGTGTAGAATATCGAGTCAGAGCGAGGTAGCCTTAGAAATCGCGCAAGACGGTTTCCATCTGCATACCTCGAGCTGCAGTATTTTAAGAGCTAGCAAGGGCCCCAGTCAAGCCTCCTTGTTCCTGCCTTCCACTTGTGTGGCTAATTCACCCTAATCCAAGCGAGGACGAAAAAAATGAGGCAACAGTTGACGTCGAAAGTGGATCACCTACAGGCCTATTAAGAACTCAAGGTCGGTTTTGGATCTGAAGCTGCTAGTATGTATAACCAACTATTGACACGCAGCTAGCTGGCAGCGGTTCAAGGTTCTTTAAGTTTTAAGTCCGTGGTTTAGGGTGACATGTAACCGTGCCCCCCCACTTGCCCGACATGTGCATACTATGTATAGACGTATTACCTTGTTCTACATGGCTTTTCTAGCTCTTCTATGTGAGCTTGGATAGCTATAGTAAGAAACCGGCAATTCGATATTATACTTCAATGCACGACCCACTGTCTCATCGAAAGACTGGATATCGGCCCTAACGCTAAAAAACCACGCGGATGCTCGGGTACCGTATACTATGTATCCTGCTAATGTACAATATAATACCTAATAGAGGCTAAACAACATCCTAGATGACTAAGAATCTACCCAATCCAACATCCCGGTGATATTAAAAGCGCTTGACCCATACATAACCCTACGCATAGCAAAAGCAACGAAACGGCGCCGGAAGAGAAAAACGAAAAGAAAAAAAAACATTAAACCCGTAGACATATATAGAAACGTTGGGAAGGATATTTGGGAAACATGGCAGTGCAAACCCACCGGAGTAGACGGGTAACAGGGAACTTCAAGGAGCAAGGGTTTCTAGCTCTAAGTTTCTGGAACAAGAATATGATGGTGGAATCATGAATGATATGGTACTTGGGTCTGAGATCCCCGTCTATTAGCATCAGCATTTTTTTCGAAAAGTAAAATAGAGTAGACAAAAGATAAATCAAAACAAGAAAGAAACCCCCAAACGTCGCATAATCAGTCGCATTCCTGCCACATCTTAATGCTATCCACGACCATGGCGTGGTTGTCATTTTTGTCCCAATCGGCTGCCCAGATATATCGTGAATTCCAAAAGTCCTTCTTCGCGTTGGAACTAGCGTCGACCCAGGGTTTTTCATCAACTCCGTCTTCGAACCAACCATTGGTACCCCCGACAGCGACATTGAGAATAAGGTAAAACCTTTGATCAAAAGGAGCGCCTGGGCTTTTGCTCATCGCCCACGGGTTGGCGTATCGTGTTCCATTTGCACTGCTGAGTGGAAAGTTTCCTCGCTCCCAGAGACCCTTCGGGTCGAACTTGGTGTATAATACCTGCAATAACCGAGAATTTACATAGGTGAATATATATTTTTCCGACCACTCGATTCCGAAAGTATTGAAACCCGAGGCGTATGTGGTGTGAAGGGCACGATGTTTGACGTTTGTCATCCACCATGCATCGTGAGCACTGTCGGGGCCCCAATGAAGAGCCGAAGAAACGATATCGTTCCCGCCTTGCGGGTATCGATAGTCGTTGCCTCGACTTTCCATGATATCAATTTCACCAGAGCGAGGCCAAGATCCGTAGATGTCCTCGACGGGTAACATCCAAATGGCGGGCCACAGCCATTTCCCGAGTGGAAGTTTGGCATTTACCTCGACACGGCCGTATTTTATACTGAACGATTTCTTGGTGTTGATACGTGCAGATTTGACAGGGTTGACGATTGTTCCGTTGGTGCTGTTTGTCGATGTGATGCAGTTCTTAGGGATGTCAGAAGTACAAATCCCCTGTTTGATTAGATTGATGGTATTTTCCTGAACTATGAGTCTTTCATCTTGTAATGTTGGCTTAATATAGAGCTTCCCATCCTTAACATACGAGTTCTCGTCTGTATTGGTGGTGTATTCGAATTGACCATTCCTATGTGAAACGGAAATCTGGTATTAGCTACCAGGGAATTAAGCAATTGAAATTCAAAGAGTCGGAAGATCCTACCCATATCCACCGACTTCGACCTCTCGCGTCCAAACATCGGTGTTGAAGCCATTCTGAAAATCCTCCATGTAAACCGGACAATATTTATGCTGAATGACAGACGTGTATCCATCGTACACAAGATACCCTGATACCGCCAAACCGATAAAAATCCCAACTAATGGGAAAATTGTTACCCATTTTTCTTTCGGATCCCTCTTATCCAGCCAAGGTTTCTCTACTGTTCCCTTTGGCACCCGTCGTGAATGGAAATATCGTTGTTGAGGGCTCAGTATGCTGGGAAGCGCCGATGAGGAACCTCTGTCGGAACTCGGTCCAGAACCATAGGTATACGGAGTGACGCTCCCTACTGGCGTTATAGGATCCACGAATGGAGAAAATTGCGACCTGTCCGGGTCCATGGTGGTGATGATGTAGAAAAGATATGAAGCTTTGCTCTCCAGGAACGTATCTGTTTACTCGAAGCACGTCGCTGGATCGAAAAGATGGGTAGGGGCGACAGCGGTCTTCCCCAGCGCACTTGAGGCCACCAGAAACAAGGGAGGGTTTAGAAAAATAAACGGATCGAAGCGGGGTTAAAGGTGAGGAAAGTCTGTGTCTGAAGCAATTAAAAATAGATAAAGTAGAAAATAACTATCACCAAGTATGAAAGAGGGTTGTGCCTAACTTAGATCATCAACTAGATGGGCTTAATCAAACCCATTGGGTGACCGCGGAAAGCTCAAGGAGATAGTAGAGGCCTGGACGATGATGTTGAACGAACAAACAATCACACTCACTACCAACGACGGCGTAACTAACAGGTATGTACAGTGCAGGTCTGAACTGGACTGGACTGGACTGAACGAATGAAAGCCAGCCAGGGGATAAGGAAGAAGGGAAGGTGGCTACGAAAAAAGACCATGGCTGAAGACCGCCAAGAGAACGGCACTTTAGCCTAGAACAGCACCAACGGTGTTGCGTTGCGTTGCGGTATTCCCCGGGTACCCTGAGCGGTTACACCGGGCTTCCCTGGTATTGCGTTGGGGATCGGCCCTAGGCCAGGGGTATTCCCGGTGCCAACCTGGGCTTGTGCAACAGAGCAACAGAGCGTGCAGCTGATAAAATTTCCGAGATTGTTAGATGGCTTTGATGTTGGTTGGGTTGGGTTGGAGTGAAATGGCGGACGGAATAGTGGGAAAAAGGCCGTCCAACAAGGTTTTACGCTCCCACGTGTCTTCACCACCGCCCTCTGAAGAATACGCTAAAAGAATACTGCGTAACTCAAGGGGGAAAAAAGCCAATGGTTAAATTGTACACGCAATTTCGTCGGGAAGTTCTGCTCGTGTGCTCCATCATGGCTTTCCTTGAGACCTCCTATTTCACCGACGTCTTCGGCATGATATTCTTCTAAACTCAAACCGGCGGCTCCTTTTTGTTTGACGATGATCAATTAATCTCAAGGTGGATATCGGGTTCTCTGGTCGTTAGCCTTCTCCGTCCTTTGGCGAACGGTACCATTTGGAAGAAAAGGGGGGACTGCTGCAAGATGCCGCGCGCCCGCTTGTTCGGACGCTCAATGCCATGGCGCTCAATTTCCCGTTGTTTCTAGTTCTCTTATCAAGAAAGTGCGTACACACTAAGTGTGCGTGTGTGTGTGCATGTGTGTGAAAAGTCGGTCCTATTCGACCCCCACTATGGATGTCTATAAAGCTTAAAGGTGTGAGGATGTCAAAAAAGCCAAAACTATAATTTTTTGATATCCTTGTAGGTACTTCAAGAGTATAATTTTACGCTTAGGTTACACATGAATACTTCCTCTTGCTATTGATGTGTTATCGCTTCCTTTTCAGGTGAGGCTGAAGCACTTGACTTATGTCTCTAGCCGATGCAGGGCATGCATCTGCAGCTACGGGAGACACAAATCCTGTTATCAGAAGAGAGGAAACCCATATAGGCACACTGCGAATCAACAAACTGGGATCGATTGACAGGCATCCGGTCCAAAAGAGCAATGATAGGAACCGCTTCGGCTGAAAAAAGAATTAGCTCTAGGTTTTATGCATTTTATGTCACCGACACATTCCTGCGACTCTTGCATGAATGCTCGTGTCATATCCAACGCATGCCGCTCTGCAACCTGTCAACTTTCATTTGCTATAAAACCCAGGTTGTTTAAGATCTCGGGGTCTTGGCTCTTCGGGGCACAACCTTTTGCAAATCTTAAATTGGGAATGGAGGTTCTGAGGCTGTTAAATATGTGATGGTAAATATGGACTCAATCTAATATTACACTCTAATATATGAATATACCGGGTGTCAAAATCAATCAATTGGCTGTTTAAAGCCTCATGTGGTAGCACAAAGTCCTGCAGGCCCGAGCCTCCTGGTCTCCTCGTGGCTAAAGGTATCGCATTAGCGCTATGCAGATCCATCCTCAGCCTTATCTATACTCTCATTTCACAGCCTTATCTATATTCTCATTTCACACCAGCAAACTCTCTTTTCTATCAAAGGTTATCAGTCCCTGTTGCTCCTTTCCCAAAACTGAATTAATTTCAGGTTTTCCCTTTTCCGTCAGGAATGTGGTATCCAACACGCACATGGTGTGTCTTATTTGGATTCCTTAGCTTTAATTAAGCCCTTAAAACCCACGAGTTAGAATGTTCTCGCCTTCATGTGGTTGACTCAGGCGTTTTGGGTGGTTGAGTTTCCGGCGGCTGGTTGATCGGCCCGTCTGATAATCCGGGTTTATATTCTCCTTACCTACATAGCACCTGTCTTCGACGCCAAGTGTCTGGTTTGAAATTTGCAGCAAGCGCTTAAGCTGGTAAGATATTCAGCGTAATTCTAAGCAATGCAAATATCTAGTTATTTAGGTTTATTATAAGTTATTAGAATACTGGCTAATATAGTCGCTTGTGCAATTGTGAACATGCATGCGTCTGTGGGCGCAGATCTGCTTGGTTGGAAAGAGAACTAAGTATGCATAGTACAATTTGAGTACCAGATACAAGCCATTGAAGGTACTTCGGTTCTTTATATACACAGGACCGATTATTCCATTTTTTACCAGCGGGCGAATCTGTACCTGTTTTAATGTTTAATTGAGATTAGTGACTGCCAGGATCTAGGATGTGTGTTGACCCTGTTGTAAATTTGTAGGAGCTTCGGCGTGTGTGGACTACATGTAGCTAGCGATGAACATGAGGACTACGTACTGAACCACACTGTAGCTAGATGGTTCAGGGACGATGGGTAGCGCTTGTGGGAAGCCGGTTCCGGCAACTAGAGGCTAAAATTATGGTCCTTGGAGTTCGCTCGGTTTATGTTGAAAATTTTGCACATTATTTTAAAGTCCGATGTTCAGGACAGGCTCAAACATTTCAACATTCGAACACTCAGCCCTCTCTAAGAAAACCTCTTGTAATTAGTTCTCCTCGTTAACTTTTACATCAGTGTATCTTTGTTCTATACTAGCGTTGTAAACTGAACTCTGCTAAGGTAACCCCGCTAAAGCCTAGAATATCCTTTCCCAGAAGACCTGGTTGTGAAATCAGCTTCTGGCCGTAGAAACCCGGTCAGCGAACATGTTATGACATCTAAGAGTAAAAAAAGAAGCGTGCCTTACAGTGTCTTCTTGAAGAATTCGATGACTTCTGAATATCCCTTTTCATAGGATTCCCTTTCGGCTTCGTTCTTCAGATTGCTACGGGCACCCATCCATCCGTGGATATCATTGGGATAGATTTTACCGTGGCTACCATCGTTGCGACTATTGAGGATGTTATTGATTGCTTCGGCGTCTCCCTTGTCTTCATGCATTGAAGAAAGACAGAGGTGCGGAACCGGGAAGTCTGAGAAGTCTTTAGGATCAAGCATGGCTGGGTGGGCCTGTGCAGAAGCTGCGAAACCGCTGGTGGCATCTTTGGAGATGAAAGTTGATGCCTTTCCGCCCCAGCATAGACTGGATTATCAACGATAAATTAGTATAAACTAAGCACCTTTCTGGAAGAGGGGCACCTACCCGAAAATGCCCCATTTTTTGACTGTTGGGAATTTCACTTTCAAGCCTTCGAGAATATTCAATGCGTTCGTCCTGGTTTTTTCTAAGTTGGCTTCATTCTGGAAGAAGCTACCAAGAGCCTCCTTCCCTTCTGGCGATTCAAATAGTTTGACATCCATGGGCTGTAAGGCATAACCGCGTAGGCTGCTATTTAGCATTTCGAGATACGTAGAAGCTCGATAAGGTGAGATCTGACCTTCCCAAAGAAGAAATCGGGCATAACAACGACGTGACCGGGGTCAGTAAGGGCGAGAATGTCGGCGCCTTGTAATGTCTGTTTGAAGTATCCGAAGATATCGTAGACAAAGAATATACCGGTTTCCGGGACGGGTTGCGGGGCCGCAATGTCTACAATCCATTTATAATTTAGTTGCCAGCATCTATCGCGTATCTCGCCACAGAATATAGACCTACAGCAGTTGAAACCGTTTACATCTTCATAACCACCTTTCTAGCCCAGTCCAAAGAATGATGTTAGTATGAATCGACTATTGTACAATTGTACGCAACGGATCTGGTATCCGGTTATCAAGATGTTACACACTTCCTTGTAGGAGTCCTGGTCCACAATTGGTGGTAGTGTTTTGCAAGCCTCGCAAACTTTATCCATTGTAGATGTTATTTTCGATGCTAGATGGCTATAAATACAGTGCTGGAATGTGTAGATGCTGTTACAACGAGTGCCGTCGGTGCTTTAGGGGTTTGTTAGGGGTTTGAGGGGATATGCTTGAAAGATGGCGGGGTGAAAGTCCCAGCCGAAGCACCCCGCTCATCTTCCGTCCTAAGGAAGTGTAGCCGCGGCAAAAAAATTACGTGACATCATATCAGGCTAGTCCAAACGGTATCACAATGCCCATATATGCATATACGTATAGTACTTAATTAGTAGGCTTACGTAACGAGGGTGCTGCACTAGAGAATTGTCGCTCGTCGATAGGCCTTGAATTCAGTACTGGCGGGCGCGGGCTTTCGTCTTAGGAAGAGCTAAGGAGACTATCATGTCAGCCGCATGGCCTGAGGTACTTACGCATCAGGTTGCGGTCGGTGGTCGGGTTTGTATCTGCCGACTTGATAGGATTGTTTCCAAATGCAGCCGTTCTCATTGGTCGGGAACGGCCACGAGATAGTCACCGTACGGGCAAGCCAACGACGATACTTACGTATGCACAAAAAAGAACTCGACGACATCAAAAAAGCTATATATTCGCCGAGATTTGACATCGCTGATTCAATTGATTGCGATTGGAGCTGCAGCTGTAGCCATAGTATATACTCTTTACGTCAATATCCAACACACCCCAACACATATCTTCCAACGGAAACGAGCGAAACACTTTCAGATAAACCTTAAGACCACAAGATAAATCTATCTTCACGTCAAAAACATGGCTCTTAATGGGATGCTCCCGACCTCAGACTATGCGGAGGACCAACCACTTTATCACTTCATCCTTACCACACATGTCGTACATAGAGTTCTTCCAATTGGAGCCTTCATTTCATCTGCCATTCCACTGGCATCCACTTTCATACTCCGTCGGGCAGCAGTGCATCCTCTCACAGTGCTTCTGCTGAGATCAAATTCTACGGGTGCCCTTGTGTCACTGGGATTAGGTGGTGCAATGACCCTCGGCAGGATGTGGGGCAGGGCAGATATCGAATGGAAAGATCGCAGTTGGAGGCTATTGAGGAATACTGGCCAAGCCCAACTTGACGACTTTTCCGCGGCTGGATTGGTGGCTGGCGCCTTGCTCGGAGCCGCGGGGAGGGGCCCACTGCCGCTTTGGAGGGGTGCGGTTGGAGGTGCAGGGCTCGGGACTTTGGCTGGGACCGTGGCTTTTGTGGTTTGGAAATCGACATTGGGGAAGAAGAACGAGCAATAAGCTAGAAGCTACCAAGCCTTGAATATGTATATAAATATTGGATTCTGTTCTTTTCTGTTTATTGAGCTTTCCGCATTTCATTTACTCCATCTTCTGGCGCTCTTGGCGTCATGTGCTTGGGTTAACCGCTGACTTTTTCTTCTGAAAGCCTGTTTTGAGCTTGAAACTCTCCTACACGATTTACTCTCGATTCTTTGTCTATAGCTGCCTGTTGTGCCTACGCGAATATTTCATCGGACTTGTGATACAGTTTTAATGGGAAGATATTCCTCAATTTATAATTATCGGGAATCAGTTAGGGTAGAACTGTACGTGTGACCGTAGTGAAGTCAACCCCTGTAACAAAACATAGATATCCGGAGCCAATTAACCTAGAGAAGCAAATGAAAACGCCTGGTCCAAACTTCGTCTATCGGGTCATGAGCAATGTATTAAGATGTAGCGGTGATAGTTCTTAGATAAAGATTATTTCTTCCTGGATAGACAGAATAGCTGCTTTAGTCATCCTTGATCTAGAAAACTTTTGCAAACGCATTTATGGTGAATTGAGAACTTACTCTAGGCCAAATGCATTGTTTTGGGGAGCGGTGGGTGCGGTTCCTAACGCAGTAACATATGCCTAAAGAAATCCAAGTTATTATATGGGCGAAGCAAAGAAGCGGGGGGCTATTGGAAGGGATTTACCTTGGACAATCCTCCATCGACGACGAAATCAGTGCCATTGACGAAGGAGCTTTCATTGCTAGCGAGAAAGACGACGGCATGAGCCTGTTCAATAGCTTCACCGAATCTTCCACTTGGGAAGTGGACTTCTCGACGGAATCGCTTCTCAGCATCGTCACCAAGCCATTCCTGGAGGAGAGGGGTGTTGAGAGGTCCCGGGCACAAGGAGTTGAATCTGAACCCCTCTCTGGCGTGGATCATAGCCAACTCTCGGGTCATGGCTAGGACAGCGCCTTTGCTTGCGGTGTAGGCTAGCTGGGGGGTAGCCGCTCCCATTAAGGCGACAAAACTGGCGGTATTGATAACACTGGTGGCCTTCTTTCCATGCTTTCTGAAACTCAAAACAGCGTGCTTAGAACCGAACCAGACTCCCTTGACGTTTATATTTTGAGTGAGGTCCCAAATCTTCTCTGGGGTCTCGACTGCATCGGCATCCTGACCGTGCATGATGCCAGCGTTGTTGAACATGACATCGACACCACCCCACTCATCCGCTGAGGCTACTAGGTTTTGGACCGATTCCTCGTTCGAGACATCGCAGATGACGTTCTTGATCTTAGCATCAGGTTTGAAGTGACGGACGATAGCAGCAGCTTTTTCGAGAGCTTCGCTATTGATATCGGCCATGACGACGCTAGCGCCTTCCTTGACGAAGAGAATACATGTTTCCAAACCAATTCCGCTAGATCATACGTTGATGTTAGTAGAGGTCTCTACGTGAACGAAAAAAATATGGGAGAAAGGGACCCTACCCAGCAGCACCAGTCACGATACAGTTCTTTCCAGCAAGTCTTCCAGCCATTTCGTCCTTTGGTCTAGGAAACTATACGAGTGTGTGTGTGTGTGTAGGTTTGAGCTTTTAGTATTTGTTACCGACAATTTAAAAGTTTCCTGGGCCGACTCGAAGAACGGTCGAAGGCGCGAATTTATATGGTCTGCAAATGTAGCAAGGTGTCCAAAGATAAGGTTGAGATAGAATTTTCCGAACGGAGGGGAATTGATTCAGGGTCTGTTGCTGAACTTAAAGTCCGGTGAGCACAGGAGGAGAATCACACTAAGGTATTAAATGCTCTAATTTTGGTGCGAACTTCTACTGAAGTAGTTTAAAGGGCGCCAGCTATCGAAAGCACGAACTCCTCTCTCTCCTCTTTCCTCCTCCTCTTTCCTCCTCCTCTCTCCTCTCTTCCCCTCCCCGCAATGCAATGCAATCAATCACTTTCCGTCACACGGACAGTTGTTTGGTTGATCCATATCGCGTTGGCGTTTGGCGAGAGTTCTAGAGCTGGCCTATCCAACTGTTACATACATTCTTTCGCCCCAAATCGGACCCGGCAGACGGTTTCTAAGTCCCGTCAGACGTACGCGCTAACTAGCTCACTCATAGAGTTCCCCACTCTACCACTCGATTCGTCCGATAAAGCAATGACTGCCTGCTATTCCGACGCCGGAATCAGTGCGAAGCTCCAACTGCATGCGACCAGACATGGTCCGGCTACCCGCCAGGGGTGCTATCAACCTTATATTTCCAATCGATGGGCCCTATAGCATGGACAAACTACGACCGATGCTTGAACTAGCAGTCCGGTGACCAGACTATGCATTGCATTAGAATGGAATGCATGCAGTGAGCTCTTCGAAAGAGTATTGGACCGGTTGGTTTTGACGAGGCCTGCTACTCGACCACCCGGCCTTGGATGACATAAATATTGGGTATGAGATTATAGGTATTCAATCCTCCAAGAATATATATATGCGTGTGCAAGCTATTTTCTACACTGCAGATGTATTTATATTGCCTTTGCCACTCCGTGGCTCTTGAAAGAATCAATGAGATCTCTCCGCCGCCATCTTTGTACCATTGAAATTGTGACCGACCTTTCTGGAAACAATCCGCCGCTGTTTAGGAACCCCACGGTGGGCTATATGGGGGGTTTTGCACAAATATAAAAATTCCCGGAAAAGCTTCTCATTGTCTCAAATCTGATGGACTTGCGTACAAGCTTAGCGACGGGGACTTTTAGGCTTGGTCGCTTCTTTCTGCATGCACATGAACACAACCATAAGCGAATCACTACCAACAATGCCTTGACAGGATCGAAACAGAAGGAGTTCTCCGATTCATGCTCTCTTTTCGAGCTTGAAAACCCCGTCATTCGAAACCTCAAAAAAGTCTGAAAGCTGGCCGTGCGTAGGGCATGTGCCAGCATAGATAGGCAACAGCCCAACAAGATGTCCATCCGTAGCACGTTACTCGACCTGCATAGAGCGGAGCAGAGAGAAAAAGCGGGGGGGTTCTAGCTCATCGCTTCAGGAAATGATATTTGCACCGAGGTGCGACAGGACGCAATGACATATCGAAATGTTTAAGCCTTCCAATATGCACACCATAGGCTGTCCTGCATATGAAGGGCAGCCCCACACGATATTTCCTGTGATATCACTCGAGTGATGAGCGATTTGACCTTCGAGGCTAAGTTGGAATCCGTGGAACTCAACGTCTCGTGCTCAAAGGATATCGTCATTCCCTCATCCTTCCTTACCTTCCACTCTCCATTCCCGTAGTGCCTTTCATCGGTGTAACCGGGTTATTTCTCTCGCCTGTACTAAGAGCTTGGAAGGTGCAACCATACCTTGTCTGAACGGGGTCTAAGATAGTGAGGTACTTATGTGCGATAAGCTACGTACCTACCCGTTCTAAGGAGCCGCTTGGAATACTCAAAAGAGGTAGAGTAGCGGTGGTTAGTAAGTAGTACTTAAGAGACAGTATCCGCGTCTTCGTCACCGAAACTTTAACCAGCTGGCTACTAGGTTTGAAAATTTTCATTGTCGAGGAAAAGCTTAACGTTGTACTCCGTAATCGAAGTAATATAACATTGCGCGCGCACAGAACTCGAATATCCCCGTCCGCAGACCCGCCGCAAACCCAACCACAGCTCCAACGTCTTCCCCTCAACATCGCCCTTAGATATCAATACAGCAAATAAACCTCGGTATCATTCGGAATAGCCGTAAAATCTGTTGATTCTGTGGTCTCACTGGCACATCTGTGCTAAATCGCATACCAACCTACTGCACTAGAATCCCAAAGTTTGATCTAGCTTCGAAAGTTGTCTCAAACCCTCCTAATTACATTGGATACGACAACGAGGAACATCTGGGCCTGGAAACTCGAAAGATGACTACTGCGATAGAACATACGGCCGAGGCCATAATTAAGGCTCTGGAGGAAAACGGCGATGACAAGGTGAAATTAGCTGGTCTCGATGTCGACGGAATCTTGCGCGGGAAAATGATCTCGCTGGACAAGTTCAAGAGCATCATCCACGCCGGATTTGGTTTCTGCTCAGTTGTATTTGGCTGGGACATGCATGATCAGGTAAAAACCGGCTCGCCGCCACCTGGCATATTTGAAGGCATGGTGTACTGATGGTTGATAGACATACTTCAAAGAATTGTCGATATCTAACCAAGAGAACGGATATCACGACATAATTGCGAAAGTCGACCTCAAAACATTTCGACGAATCCCATGGGAAAACAACGTTCCTTTCTTTTTGGTATACACTGAAATATTTTTAACAGCTTATTTAACTTCATATGCTCTGAGAACTAATGTAGTCGATAGGTCAGTTTCTATGATCCAGATACAGATGAACCAATCGCACCTTGTCCAAGAGGGCTTCTGAAATCTGCATTGGCAAAGTTTGAGAAGGATAACATGGGAGCAATGGCTGGAGGTCAGTAGATTTGGTGACCTTCCTGCCCAATCTTAGTGGTGATTTACTGAAAAGTGTAAGCAGCGGAATACGAGTTTTACCAGTTTTCGGCATCACCAGATAATATCAGATCGGAAAAGCCGGAATCAATTCCCTCCATTACACCCGGAATGTTTGGGTATTCCCTGACACGTCCTGTCCTCTTCCAGGAATACTACTATGGCGTTTACGATACCTGTAAAGCCTTCAATGTGCCACTCGAAGGCTGGCACACAGAATCAGGACCTGGTGTATATGAGGCGGCATTAGCATTCACAGATGTTGCAGAAATGGCCGATAGAGCATCTCTATTCAAGCTGACTGTCAAGGCTCTGGGCGCAAAGAACGGAATAACACCCTGCTTTATGGCGAAGCCAAAACAGGGGCTGCCCGGAAACTCCGGCCACCTTCATGTTTCCATTGTTGATAAACAAACTGGAAAGAATTTATTTGCCAGAGAAGAGAAGGATCCTAATCCCCCATATCCAGATGTCGCATATGTCTCAGATCTTGGTCGACATTTCCTCGCCGGGGTTCTCGAGGGATTGCCGTACATGATGCCCCTATTCGCTCCAACCATTAACTCATACAAGCGTTTGGTAGAGAATTTTTGGGCCCCAGTAACGGTTTCATGGGGTCTGGAGCATCGTGCAGCGTCAATCCGACTTATAACCCCGCCCACAGCATCGCCTAAGGCGACAAGACTGGAAGTTCGAGTCCCAGGTGCTGATTGCAATCCGCATTTTGCTCTAGCAGCTATCTTAGCTTGTGGATATAGGGGAATTGAGAAGAAGTTAGAACTTACCACACCACCCCTTGGAAAAACACAGCCAAGCGGTGGTGAGAGACTGGCGAAATCTTTACAGGCCGCTACTGCAAAATTCATGGAGAAGGGCAGCATTGCAAGAGAGGTCCTAGGAGATGCGTTTGTTGAACATTTCGGAGGGACCAGAGAACATGAGTGTCGACAATGGGAAGAAGCAGTTACGGATTGGTGAGTCTACCCCCTGGTCCCGCCAAGTCTTCCAACTTCTTGTGCTTCATAGCCAAGAACGTCTATCGCCTTGTTTTCTATCATGTAATGCATCGAACCTTACACAGCCACACTGCATCCACGGGATGTATAAGCCTTGAAGACAAGCTAACACATGCACTTTCGGCTCGATTACAGGGAAACGAGACGCTATATGGAAACCGTCTGAACTTAGTGAACTGCAACAAAGCACATACCCACCTCTATGTAGTACCTAGATGTCTCAACACTTCGGCTGTAAACGCCGTATGCATGTTTTAGATGTCGAGCTTTATTCAGCGTCCCTCGATATTCATAGCACTCGGCTGTGCACCAAACCCCTACCATTTTGAGGGCACCGTTCTCTTGTTTTTCTTTGCTTATTACTGATATATCCATGTGGCTGTGGCGTTATTAATGTTAGACGACTGATTACGAAGGTGAATAATATTGGGAGGTTCAAGACCTGTTTCGTCGAATCAGCTCTCTTCCTGTTGACTGGCCTCTTATGGCGATAGAGATATACATGTTCTTTATTACTGATGAATGCTTATATCCGCGCCCCTCCTGTAGAAATTCGAAGCTTGATACCCCTTTAGAAACTGTGCATCAAAATAGTGCAGCCTACCGAACTGTGGCATCGGCAAGGTGTCGAGCTTCATGCCACCCTGCAAGCCACAGGACAGGGGTGTATTTGAAATAGAAATGTGGGACCTGCATGCAGCTTGGGTATCTCATATAAATCTCGTGATTAAACTTGCTGATGTAACACAGTTGAGAAGTACGACTGCATGGGTTGGCCAGGGGGTCGAAGTGGATTATTCATGGTTTAGCTGCCATGTCACAAAAAAAATGCATATCCGTGCGCCATTTTGGAAGGTTATCTTGTAGAATTATATGTTCCATAAAGAAAAAAAAATCGAACGCAAACGCCATTCGCTGAAACTTCCGGATCAGATCAAAAAGCAAAATGTTATATACATGAACAGGTAATATTTACAAAGTTTAATGACAACCAAAGAACACCGGCAAAACCCGCAAAGTATAGTATAGACATGAATGAAAATAATAGATAGAAATGATTTTTCTAACCAATGAAAATCTCCCATTGCCACTCTGCACACAGACCGACCCAAGATAATCGGCCTCGGATTGACGTCTCATAATCCCATTCGTCCATCTCCAGACCCTTGACCCTGGTGCCTGGAGTCGGACTCGATCTCCTCATATCCGGACCTGTAACGCTACCGGCCCATATCATTTCTGTCTGGCTTGGAGATCCGTTGAGGTCCTCGTTGAGTTTCTGGAAGTCGAGGAACATTGTGGGGTCTTCAATTCCGGTTGGAGCTGGAGTGCTACTGTTGGAAGAAATGTGCGAGCGGATAGTATAATCCATATCAGTGACCATAGATACACCCTGTTTCTCGCCCACGTAGCTGTCCCTTCGTGTCCAAATTTCCCTGACAATGTCCCAGGCTCGGTCGATGTTGCCGATCCAGAGTCTTTGCATCAGGTCTGCCCATCGCTTCTCAACCCATTCCCGTTCTTCCTGGCCGACAGCTTCGCATCCTGCTGCGAGAAGGGGGAATGCATGGACGATACATGTCCTAGAGGTGGTAGGAATCGATGCGATTGTGCACATGACTTTTTCGGCCAATTCATGGGCCGAGGGGGACGGGATCTCTGGAACTGCTTGGTGTAAGTAGAGAAGCGTTGCCCATCTGTAAGCCTCAGCGGTTTGAATACAATGGTCGATATTTGATGTTTGGTCCTCGATTGGTTCGTAAATAGCATCTGGCTGCCAGTTTTCAATGGCTGTCTTGAGTTCAAGTGCCATTGTGATGATTGTGACGCTATTCTTCTTGCTTTTCCTAACACGTTTTGCCAGTGATGCGCATCTTCCAATCAGTGGGAATAATGTGGTAGCACATCCCATCAGTGGGTCGATCTCAGACGACATCATCATAGGGGCGCTAAGGAGTGGTGAGATAGTCTCAAATGATTGAGACTCATCGTCATTATTTGAAGTGAGGCGGGCGAGCACATCGATGTAAACCCAGGTATTGTAGAGAAATCTAAGTCTTGAGATCTCGGTGCTAGTAATTGGGTAATTCTGATACCTGACTAGCGCTTGATTGACTAAGACTTTTGCTCCGCGCAAATGTTCAATTCCAGTAGAGATATGTCTGTCCCATTCCTCTGCGAAAGCTAAAGCGAGAGTTGTTGCGAATGCAGCTTCTGGGAGTATATCCCCGGTGTTCAGGCCTGCGGCGAGATGTTTGATGCTGTGCTTCATGTGTTCCATACCTTGCATTCTCATCTCTGGCCTGCAGTGCGACATGTGGAAGGCTGTCATCGAGTAAATTGCGTGGCGGAGAGCGGGAATCTGGGTCGCAAGCGGCCAGATTAATGTCCTCCATGGATTTTCTGTTGGGCCGTCTTTGATCGACATGATGCCACAAGTTTGTTTATCGAAATGCATTATCAGCATCTCAGAGCTGCTGATATCAACACGAGGCCTTCGAAAGATATCTGACAAGGTCTGATAGTTGGCGCTTGAGGAATCATCAGAGACACCCCAGCCACCTTCGAGGAAATTTCTTGGAACCTCTTCGACTTGGTCATCATCTGTAGGCATTGTCATTCCGAGGTCCATGCCGGTAGGTTGATACGACATGCTGCGTACGAATTCGCCATACTCTGGTAATGGTATTGGCCTGTTCAATATACTTCCTGGAATCAAGAGATCCTCTAGTCTCGGGGAAATAGATGCTCTCCTCTCTTCGTCCATGTAAGCAGGATGAGATCGAGGCACTTCAGCCCCAGAGAAAGGTGGGTTTTGAATAAAGGTATTATCGAGGTTCCCGAGCGGGTACATGCTTGAGGCGTAAAGGTGGTGAAGAGGTGGTGTTGGAGGAGAGTCAAATTGTGTGTTTAAAGGCGTTAGGGGGAGTGGTGACTGGAGAGGGGAGTGTATGGAACCCAAGGAGGCCTCGGACAATGCGGGGCTAGAGGGCCCTGAGGATATCCCTCGCTTTGGCTTGGCTGGAAGACTCGAGAGGGCTGCTCAGTTGAGTTATGTTAGCTTCAGGGCCAGCGCCGTTTCTGAATTTCGTAACATACGTTTTGGGCGAGATTTTGAACCCTTCCCAGTTAGATCTGACTCTTCGAATGCCCTCCATTTGAAATCCTTTTTATACCCTCCACAAGGAACACCTCGTTTCTCGCCTAGATGCATTCTTTAGCAACTTTTTTATTCTAATATCTAGAAATAAAATCCATAGAAAACTTACATTGTAGGCAAGTCGGCTTTGTTTCGTCGCATTTCAGTCTCTTTGCTTTACAGGTTACACAGCCTATACAATTAAATTCCAATTAGCATCTGGAATAGTGCGTTGTAAATGTTGCATTTTTCTCCCATGACTCGCTTCGGGTTTGAAGCGGATTCGAGAGCCAGGGAGGTTAATTTCTCGAATGAATTGGATTCAAAGATGGATAGGAAAAAGCCGTACCGTTCCTGCTTTTGCTTTGTTTTGGCTTCGTTACACCAGCAGTACCAGCGACGGATTGGCCTGCTCCGCTTGTCGCCAACGTCCCAGTTTGCGAGTGTGATTTTGATCTAGCGGGTGGCATTTGCGAACTTTCGGTTTCTGAAGGGAAGGGGATGGAAGATGGAAAAGCTGAGGAGGACATTTCGAATAAGTGCGGCTGCAGTGCTCTGGAATGGTCTAGGGTCACCGCCATTGGTTATTGTCGGGTCGGGTGGGCCACTAGTGGCACTAGCGAGAATGTTTGTGGCGAAGATTTGTAGATGTCCCAGATCGCAGCTTCACAGGAGCGAAAGTTCTAAAAGGGAAAAGGTCTTGTATCGAAGTTTCGAAAGCGTTAATCTAAGTGCTCGAGCGAGATGGACCGTTCGATATGGGTATTGTAAGATTATGAGCAGAGAAGTGGATATAAAAAATATCGCTAAAGGCTCTGGCTGCTCTCTTTAGCACGTTTATACTCCACAAGGATTGGACCTAAATGTTAAGAATAATTGAGGTATTCTTTGGGTTATATACTCAGAGGTATATTTAATTTATTTTTATAGAGAGAGAATGAACCCAGAAAGATTTTCGGGATAGTTCTCAAGGGCCTAATATATTCGTCTTCTGGGAGCTCCAGTCGAAGCGCTTCTGCGCTCGAAGCAATGTTAATTGCAAGCTCGTCTTCATCCTCTGGCGGGGGCAGGGGGGCAGGGCTACTGCATGATGTACCAGCAGGTAGAGGGTTGTGTACTCGACGAGGGTGGAGACAGCCCGCCAAGCCAAGCACCCTTTCATTCTCGAGCTAACTAGCGTTGCAGGCTGGTCATACTGGCAAACGTCTTGAACGAATTATTGATCAAAGCAGGGTTGCTTTTTTGTATATTTATTGTGTAAGCCGCACACGGGTTCTGTCTCGAAATTGCTTTTTGATTATTCGAGAATGAAAAGTGGGCGGCGTTGCCTAAAAGCTCATTAGTGTTTGAACAGTTGTATGTCATTGGGGTTCTGCACATACGGCGAGTTTGGGACCTTTCCAACTTGGTATGTGCTGTCTGCGTGTATCCGATCACAGTGGACAATAGTGAAATTCTCACCTTGGCTTTCCTTCATATCTCGGATTGTGGCATGGGCAGTGCGCACGTCGGTGGTGCGACAATTACGCAAATTCGTTCCTCCCAAGTTGCGGCGATGCTCATGTATGTCTCCTTATGTCATTGGTGCCCAACAGCCCTACCGGGAACTCGCTTCTCCAGTTCCCTTTTGATATTGATATAGGTCATTCGCGGAGACTTGGAATCCCCTCGAGCTCTCTAGATGTCGTTGTCGAATTGGCGTACATTCTCTGGTCCCGCCTTCCTGTTCCTTCGGGTTACCGATTGCGGATTGGGAGGAAAGCGACATCGCGTGCAACCGATAACTGCTCAGTTAAGCAAGCTAGGCCATGGTATACCATGCCGATAGGTATCACCACGTCTGCAGTCGCAGTCTTCTCGTAATTACCCGTCCCCTGTCGATCTAACTTCAATCATCCCGCGCCGGTCTGATTAGTCTTTCCATGCCCACCCTCTGGATTATTTTTCTATTCCGACCTCCATAGCTAGCCCGAAAAAAGAAGACGCAAAGAAGCTTCGGTACACCTTCTAGCGTTCGTTCTAAAAATGTCGCTGTGGGGCCTGCGGCCATGCATATGGTTTCTCAAGCCATCCGACAGGGGGGTGGGGAGAAAAAAAAACATGCAGCTACGATTCGCTACCCTTCCTCTTCGATCGATTACACAAGAGTGGCACATCAGAAGGGAATTGTAGCCGTGAGAACCAGCTTTGATGAGAAGTCAGAAGGTGAAGGTTTAGGCGACCTAAGAGATACATTGGGGCTATGAACATCCCCTTTGATTGTTACGTACACCTCTGGGCTTTATTTGGAATATCAACTGAATTCAACCACGGGTAGCTTCAAGCGATTTCCACCGGCACAGACCAACAGTCGCTTGAAATTCGCAGGCTTTAGCGGTAAGGCTGTATCATCTTCGGGTTTTCCGAACTAGATGTGAGACAATTCTGGGAAACATCAGGAATGATAACCAGAGACTCGGAATCGAATCCTTCATCCTGGTTATCATGCAGATTGTTAATTCAAGAGCTCACCACCGTTATGTAGTTCCTTAATTCGAATTTATGCTGATTAAGAAAATATGTTAAAACTTTGATCTTGAAATGATTCAGAAAGGAAGGGAAAAAAAAAAACCGGAACGGAGGGGGACAAGGGCTGACCATGTAGGAACAACCTTCGATAGCCCTTCTAGAAGGAATGGAAGAGGGTTGATGCAGTGGGAACAGCCAGCCGTAGAGCCATGATTGGTGCAGCTGCACGCACCAACATGTACTAGTCCAAAAATAGGCAGTCGAAGCGAATGTGCACACTTGATCACAAGCTCATCAGCCCAGCCCAGGCAGGCTAGCTTTTGGTGGTAGCTTGAGAGCTTCGATAGCACCAACAAGATGGTACAGAGTAAACCATACCCTAGCGGGGATGCTAAGCTAGCTTCGCCATCGAAGCTATCGTTGCTTTGCTGTGAACGCCAGCCCATTACGCTAGAGAGGTTTGTGTGAGGCCGTAGTATCCTATTAATATTCGTATCAAATTAAAGAATACCCAAGGTAAAACCCCTCCCCACAAGGCGGGAGACTGTCTAGGGTTGAGACCCCCATGCTGGATTAAGATGCTTAATGTATGCGGCAGTAAGACCAATTCATCAAACATGTCGATTGTATTCTCTCCGACTAGATGCAGGATAACCTCCCTCTGGAAAGATTCGGCGAAGAATTCTCAGATGCATGCAAAGAGCTCATGATCGATCGACCCGACGCAGCCCTATGAACCCCAGTTTTCCCGAAAGGTTCATTTTGCGAGGTTAGTTCGAGATAAGAGTAGCCTCAGATTGGTTAGCTTCCATTTTAGTTTTGTGTAGCCCCAATCCCCATCTGCGGGGTCCAATTTCTTGTGCTATGATCCGTATATTCTGCATGGTTTGACGGACTCGAGCAAAAGCTGTACTTTCGGAAAGTGTATGTCAGCAAAGATGCCTCCTCACCACCTAGGAGAGTCCAGGGTATTCTCATCCGTGCGAACTTAGTTCGATCAAGCCAGGCCTGTTGACATTGCTTAAGGCAGCAAGGATCAATGCATTTCATTGTCCTCGAGGCGCTTGCCCAATTCGTTGGCGGTTTCGCATCATGCCGAAGCCACACCTCAATCGACCACTGCGATCGTTGCTGAGTAAGGGTTCTCGCGACCGATTGTCTCCACGTAATATATTGAGGCTTCGTCCGTTTGCCGCGTTCGCCAAGGACTCGGAGCGATATCGCGACACGTGCAGGAGTGGAACCACCATTTTGAGTCTGCCTTCCGAGGCAGCTTAGCCATAGGTATTTTCTGCTGACGTAGCAATCAATATCAACTTGGAGGCCTGGGCGAGGGCCGTGAACCTCGAATTCTCTCATTAGCGCCACGGATTACCCCTGCTCCCCGCGTTTGTTTTCCGTTTAGGAGGGGTGTTATCCCCTCCATGCAAATGGCTAGTTGAAGTTCCAAATCATTTGTCCAACCAGTCTTGGCGTTATTGGCGTCTCGTGAAAGCTTTCCACAATCCAACAAGTCTCAACTTTTCCCTTACAACCTCCTTCACCAGACGGCTGCACACTACATTGCGCGGATGCATTGTTAAGCTTTGAGCCCCCTAACTAACCTCGGAATCATTCCCAGCACCCCAAATATAGATTTCTTTCACAAGAAAAGAAAGATGGGCGGGGGGCTGGCCGTATATCGATATAACGTTCGATATATACATTTTGGGAAAACATTTCAGACATTTATGCATCTAATGCCAAGTTCTGTACATTGCGGCGGTCGTATCTTGCAATCGTCCCGCATTCTGCATATCTTCCCCAGTATACCCTTGCATTGTAAAAACCTTCTTTAGCTTTAGACATATGATAAAATATCGAACTTTCGATACTTTACATTGCATTCGGCGGAATTTGCCTTGCACGCTAATGCAATATCATTCGGCTTTCAATTCCTCTTATTCGGACTGTTTAGCTATTAGTTACCAGCTAGGGTAGGCAAATACGGCATGTCTCTACCCCTCTTTCGGCCGACTGGTAGTTAACCTTCTTGAAGCTGGATCGATATCTCAAAATTTAAGGGATGCTCTACACGTGCTCGTGCATGAAATGTGGAACAGCACCCGTCTTGGAACTAGACTGCATAATTGAGATGTAACGTTTGATATAGGTCTATTCAGTTATAATGCAATCTACTAGGCAGTCAAGATCAGACGTGTTCATAAAAACGCGGCTCCTGATTCGAGGCAATAAAAAACCATACATACGGCGATTAAATAATTTGGAATATCAGATATAAAGACATGGAGGCATGGTATGTAAATGTGGGGTCCCTGGTCGCATATGTGCCAATAAAATACCCCTTGGCTCGCGCCAGAGATGTGTGCATATCTGTGTAGCCCTCACCAGGGTAAGGACCTTCGCCAGCGGAGCGGAATACCGCGTCATTTGGCCAACTCGTCCCTGTCCTAGCATAGCCTACCTCTAACTATCCCGCACGAGGCGTTTGTTTCCATACACAGACCCACTCGTTCGAATGTTTTCGGAATATTTGCTAAACTACAACTCGAGCCCATAGTTGTTGGTTTCCAGAATGAGCATGATCCGACTGGTCACCTTGGTATCTCACTGGTTTTCGGGTTTGGAGAGTCGGGATATGGCTTCCCGGGATAAAGAATAATCAATCGGTGTGAAAATAGGGATGGGGAGATACCGGAAGTCTCGAAAACCACCAGCGTGCACGCCTCCAAGGAAATTAGGGAATAGTTTTTAGGCTAGGGGCTATTCTTTGAGGCGATTTTACCATATTCACTAACAAAATTATATTCTCCAATCTTTTTCATGGTGCCTTGCCTAACCAATGTTTGGGGATATATCCATATCTCTGTATGAAAAGTGGAGCCATTCAGCAGGTACATGCACGAGCGCGGTTGGCCAAAGCAAGGAAATGAATATCGAGACCGCGTAGAGGCTAATTCGGAAGGCACAAGTTTCTTTTGCCTGGTCATACTAGCTGTGGGGCAAATAAATCCCTTGACAAAGTTCCAAGACAAAGATGGGTGGTCGGGGTAACAATGCGCATGCAATGTGTCCTGGAGATAATACTATCCAATCGTAATCTAACTGGCTGAAATTTCGGAATCGAATTGACCCTCATGCTCAATTCGGTCCCCACCTCTCTGGCCACCTTATTAAGCTACATGGATGCTGATGGGTGCATCTGGTTGCATTAGTTAGCACGAAGCCCCAACAGATCACTTCCACACTGAATCGTATACATATCTCCCCACTCCTTTTACCACTCGTTTCGTCTACTGAATCAACCAAGCTTTCGGCCCTGGTAAAATATTTTATCCCGACGGTTCGTTTCTTAACAACGACTGTCCTGCACAGCCCCTTAGAGATATTTACTTTGTCACGGTGATACTTGGTCTAGAAGCAGGCCGGCGCCGCGGACCCGAAACCCTCTCAATCTGTCGAGATTATGAGGAACCACAGTGCCAGAATTCTCCAGAGAAACCGGGCATGCAATGTTCGCCTTCCTTTCTTCGATCCTAGAGATTGGCTACGGTATACGCCTCACCATCTCCTTTCTGCCGCCTTTGAATCCATCAAGCTTATTGGCCGACAAAAGGACCCCTTAAACCTTGGAATTGGCGTAGAACCCGCGAGGGAATGGCAAGGGCAACTACAGATGTAAGTACCTCATGCTCCAATCAGCAGGGTCCCGCATATGGGCATGCTGCATGCACAGCTCCAGCCTCTAACAAGCTCATTGAATGTACCAAAAGGTCTCAACTTGTACCTCTATACGCCTGCATAATCGCGTGGTCGGATTTCTATCAATAGAATCGCAGTATTGAAGCAGATCGATTTCTCGAGCACATGGACACCGTTTACCTAGTCCTGGTATTATCGGTCCAAGCTTTTCCAGCACTTTTAAAAAGTTTGAACGGCTACGCACGTATCCGGAAGGATCTATCTTGCAGCTTACGAATTTCTTCCGAACAGGATGTTCTTTACATTTTTGGCTAAGCTGCTGTAGCTAGGGCCGTCCGGGTGAAACTATTTTGCAAAGTGCAGCGTGCAACGTTCACCTAGTGCTATACTCATGAGCAGTGGCCTATAAACAATGGATGTATTGGAGCTCAGACCCAAGTAGGGGGATAGCCAGTAGTCTTTTTAGTCTAAGAGTTTATAACTCGGTTTGAATTCTTCTAGTCTAATACCTTGTTCTTTACACATCTAATCACAGCATATGTATAATATAATTGCTCATGGCTTTATATTTGGGTATCAGTTCTACGGAAGGTGAGTTACCCACATCTTCTTGACTTAACTTTTTCTAGCTATAGGCTGAAGTGGTCGTATAGGCAGAAACTACGCGCAAGGTCTTTAACTAATCTCTCTGCTAGATCGGAAGTACCCCTCGAATATACCAAACACCAAAAGACCCAGCCTTGATCACAAAATTGGATACCTACTGTTATTTTGAAAATAAAGTTTATTGTGTTGCGAGTGGGAATATAACTGAGGAATGGGCCAGCTGAGGGCGGCTAGGCCTAACCTAGGGCTGCGGTCTGGATGCTTGGGACTTAGCTTGGGTATGTGCAATATTTGACCTCAATCGAATCTGTAGGTCCTACGGCCCACATCATTATATTGATAATCATAAAGTTAAATATCCGCTCTCAGGAACAGTCGATCTATATGGACTTGCAATCTTCGAATCTGATCGCGATTAACAATCTCTTCACCCAAGCAACGTTCCGCCTCGATCATGCATGTTCGAACTCTTCAGCCGGAGCTTCCCAGGGGAGATCCATCTAGGCCCTGACATCATTTTTCACTCAAGCATTAGCCAACGTTCGCAGATATGTGCATATCACTAAGCTTCTGTGACACCTATAAGCCTTTAAGCCAAGCCGAATTCCTCTCCGAATCGATATCTCATACCCCATTGGCCTAGTTTTATCAGTCCTTTATTGGTACGATAAGAAAAGAGCAATTAGTACTCATACAATGGGCGCGAACTAAAGTTTATGCATCAGGGATAGGTTACACGGATCTGGGTTTTAGTTTCCTGGCTGACATTGCAGCTAGCTGCAGTGTTGGTAATGGTATACAAATCCACGGTACGATATGGTGCTTGGTATCTACCGCTAGTTAGCAGGACCGGAGATAAGTTCAGCTCAGCTCGAGGCCGGGAGACTTATCGCTAAATGGGCACTAAGTATGGCAAACCTGCGAATAGTGGAAAGAACATCACATACTTAACCTTTAGCACAAGCAAGGGCTTGTACGATTCGAGGGAATATAATAAAAATAATTCGTTCCCTTTTTTTTTAATTCTCAAATCCCTTTGAAAATATTTAACCTTCTTTATATATAATTCAACATACACTTGTGGCCTGGACGGTGCTCTAGGACCGAGACTAATCCAACATAGATCCGGAAATACAACCGCCCCTTCAAAGCCCTACTGGCGAATTAATGATCAACTGATATATACTATCTACGGACCAAATCCAGGCGAAACATGCATCGAGATACCATAATTTCCAGTCCGAAGGGCGAAGAGTTCGGTGTCTTCGAAGAAACCTCCTCGCTGGACTCTGATGACCTAAAGTTAGCTCGTACGTTTATTTCACATTTATCTTTTCATCATAACCAGTCGACTTTGCAAAATAGTTATAAACACATGCGCTTGCATGTATGCACATACACTTAACAGTGGTTTAAACTTATGTACATGCAAATATCAATGATTCCGAGGTTTCCATATTCCGGGGAGGCAGGCTGAAGGGGAAGACGACGTAAATCAATTAATTCGAACTAAAAATGCTAAAAAGAGAGAGAAAAAAATGTGAATAGAAATGGGCTACAAATCGGAACTCAAAAGAGCATTTTCTTTCCTATCCGTACTCGCCGTAGGCTTTTCTATCACAAACTCATGGTTCGGAATATCAGCAAGTCTCGTAACAGTAAGTTGATTCAACCATATATCCCATTTACACACACTCTCTATATATATTCCACTTACAGGCTAACCTGACAGCTTATAGGGTATATACTCCGGAGGAACCGTGGTGACTGTCTACGGCATATGTTTAATCGCCCTGATATCCACATGCGTCGCTATTTCCTTGTCAGAAATGGCCTCAGCAATGCCAAACGCCGGCGGCCAATACTTCTGGGCCAGTGAACTTGCACCGCGGAAATGGTCGAATTTCCTGGCTTATATAACCGGGGGGGTCGCTTGGGCCGGTGCAGTATTCACATCGGCTAGTGCGACGCTCTCTGTTGCGAGTGCTCTTGTTGGAGTATATCAGATCTGTAACCCGGAATTGTAAGTTCGCAAATTCTAACCGTTGCATATTTAAGTACTTAGCATTGTGCATAGGTATTCTACAGACTGGTATATCTAAGTAATTAACATATTTATATATACTCTAAAGTACATTTAACCCTCTTCAAACCCAAGGAAGATGGCCAATCTTCATAGCCTACGAGCTACTCAACCTTTTCGCCTGGTTCTTCAACTGCTACGGGAAAACCATCCCACCAACAGCTCAGATCACCCTCTACACATCATTAATCTCAATGATCGTGATCACAATCACCGTTCTCGCAAAATCCAGCCCCAAGAACAGCGCAGAGTTTGTATTCGCAACATTTAGAAACGAAAACGGCTGGTCTTCACCATTCATCGCTTTCGTCGTAGGCCTAATAAACCCTAACTGGTCGTTCGCCTGCCTCGACGCCGCAACCCATCTAGCAGAGGAAGTACCCCGGCCGGAAAAAGTCATCCCCATCGCTATTCTAGGTACAGTTGCTATTGGATTCGTTACATCGTTCGTCTATAGTATATCTATATTCTTTGCGATAAAGGATATAGATAACGTCTACCTTTCTCCAACCGGGGTTCCGATCTTGGAAATATTCAAGCAAGCTTTACAATCGACTGCGGGAGCTGTAGTACTAGAAACTTTGATTATATGCACCGGAATCGGTTGTGTAATTGCCTGTCATACTTGGCAAGCTCGGCTGGCTTGGTCGTTTTCTAGAGATCGTGGCCTTCCCGGGTCGAGATATTGGGCTGTAGTGCACGAAAAATTGGATGTGCCGCTGAATGCTCACACTTTGAGCTGTGTCCTTGTTGCTATTCTTGGGTTTCTATATATTGCATCGTCTACTGCGTTTAATAGGTGAGTGACAGATACTTATATGTATTTTGCTACGATGTTTCGTTAGATTCGATGCCTTAAATGTTACTAACTTTCGCACATGGAATTCGATAGCATGATCACCGCCTGCATCGTTCTCCTCTACATCTCCTATTCAATTCCAATCGCACTACTTTTATTCGTAAAGGGACGTTCGAATCTCAAAACTGGTCCATTCTGGATGGGTGTATTCGGTCGAATCTCGAATTACGTAGTCCTGTTTTGGACAGCCTTTACATTCGTTTTATATTCATTCCCATATTACTACCCCGTAACGGCGGGGAGCATGAATTACGTCTCAGTGGTATACTTTTTGGTATTTTCCTTTCTCGCAGTATATTGGATGGCACGGGGTCGAAAGACTTTCCGGTCTAAAGAGGAAAGGGATGAAAACGCTGCCCGTAACACATTGTACCTAACAAATTCTCACTCCGAAGGGGAAAAGTAGGGCTTAGGTTCGTCATCGATCTTGTAAAAATTGTTCTAGATCTCTCTGCCTGAAAGATAGTACATGTACTTTTGATAGTAGCTACAAAAAAACAAATTCCTCCCAAAAAGGGCCTGGAATTTCCGATCAACATCGTACCTAACTACACTAGATACCCTAAATCCATCCAAACTAAACCTTCACACCGAAAATTTATTTCTTGATGTACATATCAACATAGGTGTCGACGTCAGTCTCGAGCAACTTGGCGGAATCGTTGCCAAGATCGATCAAAGACTTAACATGTTGCTCGGAGAAGTGAGGAGACAGATGTCTCTTGTACTTCTCGAGGATGACGGGCTTGGCCTCGTCACGTCGGGTGCGATGACCGAGTGGAGCATCAACGGCAACTTCCTCGAGGACGGTTCCGTCCTTGAGAGTGACGGTGAGAGCGTTGGGGATGGTTCGGAGGGCAGGGTCATGGTAATCAGCGGTGTATTGAGGATCCTCGACGCAAGAGATACGGCGTCTGAGAGATTCAACGAGTTCGGACTGAGCGGCTTCGGATTCATCTGGGTAGTCAGTGGTCTCAAGACGATTGTAGCACAACATGACGGAAACCATGTACTATTTTTTTCAAAAAAAGCATGGTTAGCGAAATTATCCAAAACCTAATGAAGAAAAAAATTATCCAGTTGGTCCTACCTGGATGCAGTGGTCACGATCAGCAAAGTTTGTCATTGGCTTGTGCTGCTTGTCGATGATGCGGACACAGGCTTCGTGTGTTCGGATCACAACGTTGTCGATATCTTCTGCGGACTTGCCCATGGACTTGAGGGTAGCAAAGATCTTCTTCGCGGCCTCGACAGCGGTTTGAGAGTGGAATTCAGCTAGACGAAATATTAGCATATGTCACCATACTCATATCGATATCATATTCATATTGCGAATATGATATATTATAATAGGATCAATCATACCTGGATAAGAGACCTTGAACAACACATTTTCCATAACATAGGTTCCGTATGGGCGCTGGAACTCGAACTCCTTGCCCTTGAAGAGGACATCGTAGAAGCCCCAGACTGGAGCAGAGAGAACGGTTGGAATACCCTTCTCTCCCTGCTTGACAATCAAAGCAAGGTTAACAGCTCTCGAGCATGCGTCACCAGCTGCCCAACTCTTCCTGCTCATGGTGTTGGGGGTATGTCTGTAGGTTCTCAAGCTCTGGCCGTCAACCCAAGCTTGGGAGATGGCGTCCACGGTCTGGTCCCTTGTCAAACCGAGCAAGCGTGATACAACTGCAGTGGTTGCGACCTTGACGAGTACGACATGGTCCAATCCAACCTTGTTGTAGCTGTTAAGGAGAGCCAAGCATCCCTGGATTTCGTGGGCCTGGATCATGGCCTTGAGAACATCCTTGATCTTGAGAGCAGCCTTACCCTCGGCCTTGTAGGTTCGAGAGAGCCAGTCGGCAACAGCGAGGATACCGCCGAGATTGTCAGAGGGGTGGCCCCATTCTGCAGCAAGCCAGCAGTCATTGTAGTCCAACCAACGGATTTGAGTACCAATGTTGAATGCAGCACGGATAGGGTCCAGCTGGTAGTCAGTTCCGGGAACTCTGCTACCATTGGGGACGACGGTTCCTAGAAGTTACAAATTATACCGTTAGACTAATATATTGGCAGCAGGGTTTTTTGGGTTCGTAACTAACCGTCGACGACAGGGCCGAGGAGCTTAGTGCACTCTTTGAAGTTCATGGCCTCCATACCACACCCAAGGGTGTCAAGGAAGACCAATCTTGCTGTGTCATACTACAGACGTCCCATTTAGCCAGGATGCGCATTAAAAAAAGGGTATCGGCATAGCCATTCAAAAGGGATTGCACTCACAGCCAACTCCGAGTTGACATCATAGTTGTGAACATAGTCGGCGATATCAGTTAGGACCTTGTCCGCCTCGTGAGAGGTAGCTGGAATTGGAGCAGACATGAGGGAGGCTCTGGTTGAGAAAGCCCTGGGCAACTGTGAAGTAGCAGCAACAGCTGGGTTTCTAAATGATGAGCGGGCGAGGAGGGCGGGGGTACGACGGGCGGTTGAAGCGAGTGAGGTCGAATACAAGCGAGTGGACCTGAAGCCTGAAATGCGAGGGCAAGCGCGTCTTCCCACGAACATGGCTATCGTCAGATACTGCTGAAGCGCGTTAACGGCAATTGAATCTGAAGATGGAGTATATCTCTACGGAGCATAGAATATTCAATCGGCCCCGACCTGACGTACCTCAGATTTTTTATTTTTATTTTTTACTTTTAGGGTTTTGGGCCGAGGTAACTTGGACTGGAAAAGGAAAGCACGCGGGGCTTCGGGGCGGGGTATACTATTATAGTAGCTGTATGCTAGCAGCTAGTCAACAGCAGAAACGACAGGCAGACAGGCAGAGGGACAGAAAGACAAGACCTCGAGAGGCGCTCCGAGTCTAATCAGTCAAGCATTCATTTTATAACTTCTGCAATCAATACCGAGTGCCGGGCGCTATACGACATCCGGCCGGACTTGCGGAATTTGTATGGCTATCATCGGCACAACATCCATACAACACTCAAACCGCTCGGGATGAATATTTCGGGTTCGGACATAATAACAAATATGGAGGATATATAATAGTATGTAATATGGCATTGCTTTTGGTCATCGTATAAGTAATCGGAGATACATGGTAAATTTAAGTCATCGCATCCTAATTTACATCCAGAGCTCCCCTTCCTCCTGCTCCTCCTCCCTTGCTTAGATTTACTTAACCAACTTTTCGATGGCCTCGAGCGACAAACTCTTTGGTCGCTGTTTATAGAATTGTTAGAAAATGTCTGAGTGCGATTTAAATTTTGGGCGTAGATGTCAATATTATCACTTACCTCAATTGGGAGACCCAAAGCACGATCCCAGATAAGCTGTGCCAATGGGCCGATACCTCGCGAAACCGAGAAACCAACGGTGTAGTAGAGTGTCTCCTTGACACCGTAATGGTGCATCAACACACCAGATGCACTATCGACGTTCGGGTATGGGTTCTTGGTCTTTCCGTGCTCAGTGAGGACGCCTGGGGCGATCTCAGAGTTCTTCTTGACCAACTGGAAGACAGGGTCCTTGACGATCTCTGGTCTCTTGTCTGCGAATTCCATGAGGGCCTCGAATCTTGGATCAGGCTTGCGCAAAACGGCATGTCCGTAACCTGGAACGACTTGTCCGGAGTTCAATGTACTCCAGAGGTAATCTTTAACGTCCTTGTCAGAGTACTCTTGAGGAATCTTCTCCTTCATGGAGAGGATCCATCTGAGGACTTCCTGAGCAGCTAGACCGTGCAATGGTCCGGCAAGACCCTGGACACCGGCACTGTAGCTGAGGAAGGCATCGCTAAGAGCGCTACCAACCAAGTGGGTAGTATGGGCGCTGACGTTTCCACCCTCGTGATCTCCGTGAAGAGCGAGGTACAATCTCAAGAAATCAACGAAACCGATATCATCGGCCTTTCCAAGCATAGCTGCGTAGTTGTAGGCCCAATCTTGCTTGGGGTCAACGGCACCTGGAAGTGCGCCGCCGCCCTGGTAGGTGTTTTGGTAGACCTTGGCGGCAATTGTTGGGAGCTTCGCAAGGAGAGAGATACAATCATCAAAAGTAGGCTCCCAGTAATCGGCTTTGTTGAGACCCTTCTCGTAGGCCTTTGCGAAGACCGAGTCGTGGTTCAATGCAGAGACAGCAATGGCGACTTGTCGCAATTAGCACCCGCTTTCACATAAGGTGTTCAAAGAAGCTTACATTGTGTCATTGGGTGGAGGGTGGTTGGGAAGTTGTCCATCATCTTCTCAACGAAAGTTGGAAGGGAGGACTTCTCAGCAAGCTCTTTGCTGAAATCCCTGACCTGCTCTGTAGATGGAACCTTCCCGGTAAGAAGGAACCAGAACATGGCTTCGGGCAACATCTCCTCTCCTGTAAGACCCTTTGGAAGGAATTCCTGGCACTCTTTGATGGTCTTTCCGTGGAATCGGATACCCTCATTGGCATCAAGGACCGAACCCTCCCAGATCATTCCCTTGATACCACTATTTTAGAAAAAAAATAGACGTTAGCCAATGTAATAACTACTTCCGCGCCCTGATGTAACGTACCGCATGCCGCCGATTGCGTTCTCGACCTTGACCTCTCCCAAAACTTTATTGCCATGTTCAGTCTTGATTTTTTTAAGGTACTCGCGTTTCGCAGGGATGACCTCCTTGAGGGTAGTTTTGAGATCTGGTTGACCAGAGAGATATCGACGACCGATGGTTCGACTTGAGGTCGAGAACACGTTCTATGACCAGTTAGCACCGTGTGTGGTTTTTTGTGGAGGGGAATTGAGCGTTATCATACCGAACGCACGAGGCGCTGAAGAGTTGGCACTGCCCTTGAATTAACAGCCATTTTGAAACTGGAGATAAAGATATTAATCAGATCGCGACTGAAGTTTAGAATTGGGAGGGTCGATATGGTGGGAAGTTCTTCAGCTGAATTCAGTTCCTGTGATTGTGGGGGACTTTTTCTAGGTCGGACAGCTTCCGGTTATAACCTCGCTCCAAAGGAGCTCGGCTACCCAACCCGATTGCTTTCAATCAGATGCTGTTTCTGGTCGACCCAAACACGTTAACACTCTCCCAGGGCGTCTAACTTTTCTGACCTTTTCCCTTTTTAATTTTTTTAATTGAATATTTGCAAATCTTATTTTTATTTTATTTTTTTTTCCAATACGGAAAGAAGTTATTTCCACCTTCTTAGTTTTGTTGAATTGGATAACCTATCGATATCACGGTGGTTTGAAGGATAGCCCTTCCCGCTTTTTGATATTGGGGAATGTAAGGAATATGCCTCCTTGCCTCGCTGCTGTAAAAGCTTACTCTAAAAAATATGGAAAATTAAAAATAGAAAACTCCAGAGCTTTATAATTATAGAAACATAGAAAATACTTTATATCCAGTACTGGCCTGGATGGATTCAAGTTATATATCGATATCGATCAACAGCTTAAAGTTCAATCGTTCTCTTTCAGACCCGGGTAGTCTCATTCCTTAAGGCCTTTGAAATCTACAGGAGATATTGACGCCCAAAAGAAGATCAGTCGAGACTGAAAGAAGATATTAAATACTATTGGCTTGTATAAGTTTATTTACACCAATTGCAGTGTTTGGTTGGGTTCTTCTGGAGCGGAAGAATCGATGATTAACAAATTAAAGCTTCAACCTCGAGTCCGGTACCTGGGAACTATCTGAATATTGATACATTTGCGAACATAGGATAGAGCCAATCAAGATATGAATCGAATTTCATTGAGTTTGAGCAGTTTGAAGCTATACCTGTAATTGATATTCATCTATGTCGTAGTGTATAATCTATATTAATATTATTGTATCCTCCTCAACTTTGGCTACGAGGCAGCCTCAACTTGTGGCTGTGTAGAGCCATCAAAACACAACATCTCAACACTTCCCGCCACATGCAAGTCGTCGCTTGACGATTGTAATAATATGCTTATGGAATATATTAAATCGTAGGCCATACATAACGCAGGAATATTAACCCCCCACAGAGGAGTTATACTGTAAATAGAGATATCGAGATCCAATGTGGAAATTAGTATCATACAGTATTAATAAGCACCACCCCGCTCCCTTCCTACCGACGACAAGAGTTTCGAACTCGTGGTCCAGATGTGTATATGTATGCATATGCATATATGCGGCACAGTCAATCCTAGGCATGACCCCAGCTCATCGATCTCGTATTTACTTTGGCTCCGCGTTAAAACTTCGTCTGGAGCCATTGGAGCCACTGTGCAACAGGCAGCCCCGCGCCTGATTTCTGATCGATCCTTCATGTTTACTTAAATGGTTTGTTCTCCCTAATACTAGTTATATATACTCCAAAAGCCGCGCAAGCCCTTAAGTTTTCATGATTCCAAGCTGACACCGCTTCCAGCCCCCCCGACTATCTTACGATACACCACCGCACGTATGTAAATGACAGTGTGTGTACGGCGTCACAAGACACTGCGGATAAAATATTGCGATCAAACAACAAATCAAACCATATAGGTATGTCCCATTTTGAAATTTCATAGCCATATTGATGTCTCCTATCGTATCGTCACCCGATGCCTTCTTTTGCGCATTCCATTAGCAAGGTAGAAAGGGGTGAGGTATAGTGATTCGGCGGCGAAGATGACCGGCGCCCGCACGAGGAAAATAGACACCACCGAAGCGAATTTTATAAAGGCCTCTGTTTTCCAGACATACGTCCGGATTTCATTAATTGAGATCGTTAGAATATCTCAATTCTTGGGATCTCCAGATTAGAATCGGTGTAGGGCCCTATTACCAGCTTTGATGTATTGACTTGCGCTTTCACGCCCGCTATATAATATGACAAATTTAAGATATGTCATACTGAGTGCGAGGGGGTGATTAAGTCAAACGGATGCACCGGTCTGACTTTGGTATAATCCCGATCAAATGCTAACTTACGCTTTGTGAAAGCCTTATCAAATCAACCTCATGAAATCTCCAAAGATTCCACTTACTAAAAAGGACAACTAAACACTAGCACAAATTCTATAAAAGGAAAATGGCAGGAATAAATAACTTTCGCCGCGAAATCTACACAGTAGGGTGGTTATGCGCCCTTCCGATCGAGCTTGCCGCCGCCCGGAAGATGCTCGACGACCACCACGGAAACATCTCCCCCAAAGACGCCAACACCACCTACATGCTTGGGCGTATTGGGAAATACAACGTTGCCATTGCTTGTCTACCGAAAGGCCGCATTGGGAGCACCACAGCTGCCACTGTTTTCACACACATGAAAATTGAATTCCGGGCGATCAAACACTGGTTGTTGGTAGGTGTGGGAGGCGGGGTACCGGGCCCGGGGGATGTACGACTTGGAGACGTGGTGGTAAGCTACCCGACAGGAAGTTATAGTGGAGTGGTGCAATATGATTCAGGGAAAAGTTACCCGGATGGATTCGAGAGGACGGGATATCTTAACTCCCCATCAACGGCTCTATTATCCGCTTTAACAACTCTCCAAGCGAATTGGCTCTTAGGGGAGTCGAAACTTTTGGAAAATGCTTCTAGGTTAGACAGCATACCGGCCTTTGCACGGGGGAGAGCTGGCCCGGACAATCTTTTCCGAGCTGACTATCACCATGTAAAAAGAATTGGTGGCTCGAACGAGACCAATGTTACCTGTGGAACCACTGGGATCTGTAGCAAACATAAAATAATCTCCAGGAAACGTCGAGAACCCCAAGATGAAGTTATCGTACACTACGGGACGATAGCATCAGGGTACCAGGTCATCAAAGACAGCAAAAAGAGGGACGAGCTTAGCGCTTTATTTGTCCCGGATGGTGTTCTATGCTTTGAGATGGAAGCCGCCGGTCTAATGAATGACCTCCAATGCCTCGTTATCCGCGGTATTTGTGACTACGCTGATTCGCATAAAAATGAACGGTGGCAACCGTACGCAGCAGGGATGGCAGCAGCCTATGCCAGGGAGTTAGTTACTCTGATACCCACAGAAGAGGCAGCTAGAGAGCTAGAGGTGCTGGGAGAGAGAGTCATCAGTACTCCTAAATCTCTAGTCTCTCGTTCCGAAACGTCGAAAGCTACACGACCAAGTTCTACAACAGCGAACCCAGCAAGTTCGAGCTCAGATATTACATCAACTATCACAGGGTCGAAATTCAATGGGCCCACCTACTTGTTCGTTGGTACTAAAGGATCGAATATCACGGTATCGAGTTCCGCGACACCAGAGACCACGACACCAAACCCCGAAGTATCAAACAAACCGAAATGCAAAAGGAGGCGAGGTTGGGTGGAGGAAGAGGAAGAGGATGAGGAAGATGACGGTTATAGTAGTGACGACGAAGAAGGTATTTTTTGCTTCAATTGCGGGCGCCCTGGCGTTATCGCTCCTGAATGTGAATGCCGTGGCCGGAGCAGACAGGTACATTGCTATAATTGCGGCCGTCCTGGAATTATAGCGCCTGATTGTAAATGTCGCGACCCATGCTACGACTGTGAGAGAGCCTATCGATCGGTACGATAAACAAATGGATCAAGATAACTCGCTAACAATATTCCGGGGTCTAGGTGGTGAGGAAGGTCACTGGCAGGGGGATAAAGAGTGCCGACTAGGGCCTAAACGTTGTAAATCTAGTAGTAGGTCAAGATGTAGGCGCTCCTGGTTCGGTATCTTGCTATCAATATGCTACGTCTTGCTAATTCAAACTATTGGGCTAATAGATGAAGAATCTCCTTCTTCAAGGGGCTGGCCCCGCTCCTACCGTCGGGGCCCCTCTCAATCTCGATATTGGGAGGCTTAGGTTATAATAGACCCTCGGAATACTTATGGCACTTGTAGTTGTTGGAAAGTGATACCAAATGTTAATGATACCTATATCTTTCTTTGTATTGTGCTTGAGTATTATGCATGTTAAGACCGTTGGGGGGGGGGTGTCTAATCTAGTGTTAATTTGGGTACCGCGATTCCTGTACTGTTCCTACTCTCGATCCGGGACGTAGTTTTATCTGAAGCATTTGAATATACCTTCTTTCAAGAATATAGCTAATAGAGCTCGGGTTTCAGACAGAGCCGCCACAACGACATTGGTCGTGTGGCTGGTGCAGCCCTGCAGGCCTGTGCAAGTACCGCTGCGCTGATGATATATGATAATATCCAAAATGTTAGCCATTCGACCGACATTACTATAAGATCAGTCCATCTACCGCCGGCTCGAGCTGCTAATATTAATAACTTAACCTCTAAATTCCCATTGGTCTTAGACCCCTCAAAGCACGGATCACAGGAACTTAACCATAGGATTTCGGTCCGCTCGGTAGAAGGGAACTTCGGTAATATCATGATAAAAATATATTAGGATTCTTTTTTTTTTTCCCGTTCTATCTTCATATCTTATTTACCATTATTAAAAAAAAACGTCCCCTCCCCAACCCCGCAGATAATACCGACCCCTCCCGCTACGAGTTGCTAATTAGCCTCAAGAGACCTGCAATCTTTGAATCCATTGTCGTTCCAACGGAGAATTCAACCAATCCTGAAAAATGCAGTGTTAGCATATACATATTATATCTCGTGTTACTGACGTGTATATCACACGCGCAAACATACCTTTGCAGAACTCCCAAGCCTTGTTCGTGTCCCTGATAGGGTAATCCACACGCGGTGGTATACTTGTCGAAATTCCGGGAAACCGATCGGTACAGACGGATTTTAGGTTGCATACAGACCGTAAACCTTCCGCGCCCATAAACCGACCGTATCCTAAATATTCGGAATAGAATGGGTTAGCGTTGTGAGACCCCCCTCAAGGAAAAAAAAAAAAAAGAGTATGTAGTGATTTTCATACCAGAGCCTCCCACGCCGCCGAACGGCATCTGCGCGAGGTAGAAGACAGCGAAGTCGTTCACAGCAACCATTCCACATCTCATCTCATTCGCAACTCTAGCAAGCTCCATCTTGTTGCTTCCAAAGACAGAACCTCCAAGTCCGTACTCCGTAGAATTCGCGATTTGTATAGCATGAGTGACATTTTGAGCCTTCATAATCAAGCAGACCGGTCCGAAAACCTCCTCTCTAGCAATCTCCATGTCCATGGTCACATCGACAAGGAGTGTTGGGGAAAAGTAATGTCCTTGGGGGTATTTGGGGTGAACTAGTCTTTGACCGCCAGCCAGAAGCCTTGCACCTTGCTTGACGGCATCATTAATCATCCTTTCCAGTCTGTCGAATCCGAGTCCAGAGATAACAGCGCCTACGTCAGTGTCCTTGGGGTTGTCCAGAATAGATCCGACTCGTAGTGCCTTGATACGTGGTTCCAAAGTATCGACTAAACGATCGTAGATTTTTGGTAGAGCGATGATACGCTCTATTCCGATACAGTTCTGACCCATACTCTGGAATACACCGCGGATAAGAACAGAGCTGAGCTTGTGGAGGTCCTTGACGTCGTCGAGAATGATGGAAGCATCCTTCCCACCCAATTCAATGCATAACGCCGGTAATGTCTTCGAGGCCGATTTTGCGACTAACTTGGCGACAGGTCGCGATCCGATGAATGTGATATGGGAGATTCCAGGGTGGGAAGTTAAGTGATCAGCTACTTCAGGCCAGCAGTTGACGCTCTAGTTCGGTCAGTAGAGAACAGCTTGTCTTGTTTACAGGGTATTTCTTACAGCTACAAGATCCGGATTATGCCCACAAGCTGAGATAGCCCGTTTGACGATGTCGACAAAGAATGAATTGCTCCATGCTGTAGCTTCTGAACCTTTGACGATAATTCCGTTACCAGCGAAGATGGAGCTGACAATAGGACCGAGAAGATTATGGAACTATGCAATTAGTCAGTACTTATTCTAATTTCGTTATACTTTTCGAAAGGTACGGCCATAGCATACGGGATAACTAAGTATCTCTGTTAGTCAAAATTCAAATCGAGCAATACACAGTGGGGGACTTACTTCCAACTAACACAAGCCGCAACAACCCCCAACGGCTCATACCGAACCTCAGCCCGTTTATACATCATCAAGAAAGGAACCCCACGTGTCTCCGGCTTCAAAGCAGCCTCACCACTTTTAAGCAACCAATTGAGTTTTTCAACAGTGACCAAAATCTCTCCCAAAGACGCGTCAACCTTCGTTTTACCGGAGTCCAGACATGCGGCCCGAGCGATAATATCCTGATTTTTTAGAATCCACCTCATCAAAGTACGGAGTACCTTGCGTCGCTGCTTGAAAGTAGTACGGGCCCATTCCTTCTGAGCTTCGGCGGCTTTCTCAATTGCGGTGTCAATATCGTGTGCGGAGGCGGGTTTTTGGACTTCGAGCAGACGACCGGTAGCGGGAGAATAACATTGGATGTGCCCATTGTCGGCCTGGTGGATGATATTAAATTACTAAACATACCAAAGAACATTTATCAATGGAACCGTACCTTGATAGACGGCTTTACAAGCTGTGCTCCGACATATCCTTCCTCCAACTGGGATGGAAGGGGGACAATGAAATTTTCGTGGTCCGTGCTTTCGGAGTTCCAGATAGATAGAAGTAGTAGGGATAGCAAGGCGACTGATAGCGAGGCAATTGCCTGATACGAAGCCGGTAGAGACATGATCCACTCGAGTGGAGACGGATTAAGCGTCGTCGTCGCCATTGTGTCTTCTCCTAGCTTTGCGCAGCAGGACAAGTTGTCTGGGCAGGTTGTAACTTCAGGAGAAGGTTGTGTGTGTTTGACGTTGTCACAGACCACGCATGCCAATGCCAACTTCTTTAGAGCGCTGGCCACTCCAAACTGGCGCCACAGCAGGCTGGCGAACCAGAATTCAACCACCACCAACTCAGGGAAATTCACAATATGTCAACGACTGAATAAGAATATGGCTTGTAGTGTATATGGGGTATCATTATTTTAGCCACACCAAGGTGACTTCATTATTGTAGGAAAGAAAGAAAGAGAGTGAGAGACAAAAAATATATAATACACGAATCGAAATCAATACCGTTACATAGCCTCTGTAGTTTCCTATTATGGACAACTAAAACAGATAGGATATATCGATACAATATAAGAAGGAAAGAAGAAGAAAAGAAGAAGAAGAGAGAAAAACCATAGAAAAAACATCCTTCAATGACTCCTCACTCCTTACACAGCAGGAGGAGGCGACCTCGTCACCGGTATAGTTATCGTCGTAGTCCTCGTAACAAATTTCGTAGTCGTAGTAGTACTTTCAATCTCACTGCTCGTCGACGTGCTTTCTACTTCACTACTAGTAGTAGAAGTAATTTCAGCCGCAGCACTTGTAGTAACAGCAGTGTGCTTCTCGTTCTTCGAGACTCTAACGGCACTCGCGCTGGTTGGGACTGCATCTAAAATCGTGGTTGTCGAAGAACGTGGATACCAGAGACCGATATCACCACCATAATGGCCTTGTAAACGTCGAGTTAGTTCATTGTTAATCAATTAAGTACTTAGTTGTAAACCAATCGGAGTTTCCCCACTCACCAATTCCCCATGCTGGGTCCAAAGATTGGCAGTTCGCTACAATAGCAAAGCTGCTAGCAATATAGAATCCGAGAGTTTGGTATTTCATTGTTTCTGAAAAAGAGTCGAAGCTGAATGTTTAATCGAAGGATTGAAGAATCGATCTTTTTAGGAGAGGAAAAGAAAAGAAAAGAAAATCTCTTTTTTTTTTGATTCTAAAAGAAACAAAACAAAAATGTGCGATACCAGCTCGCGATAGAATGGAAACCAAACCGGTTGGGAAAGATAAAAAGAACGTGATGAGGATATGATTCGGAAATCGATAAATCCGGGACCTACAGAGCTATATTATATAAAAATGCATCAGTCGAAAACGAAGGCGACAACCAAAAGAAGCCAACCAACCAACCAGACAGACATACAAAAAAAACAAAAAATCGCAGATAGAAAACGGACTAAAGGAGTGACCGATAGCTGCTCAGCTTAACGAATGAAAAAAAGGAGTTTCGAAGGAGGCTAGATGTCGACAGCCAAGCGCATCAAGATCTGATCTGAGATAGTTCGCCAAAAAAGAAGACTTAGTCAGTCCAAAAAATAGATGTCCTGAGACCTGCATTTTAAACAGAGTCATTCTGTTTCCTTAGTCTCGTCCCATCCTTCTAGTCTCCCTGTTTCTTTCGGTTCCAGTTGACATGCGCCTGCTAGTCCTATAGAAGCTAGTAAACATGCGACATGCGAATGCTCCAGATACATGACCTGTCGACAAAGACCACCTCGAAATGGCGAAATGGCGAAATTCCGGTACCTGCATCGATGCGAAAAACGTCAACGGAGAATTAACAACTTAGCAACTCCATTAAACTATTTAGCGCAACTTGACAGCGGCTGCACCAGTCTTGCGCAGCCCTGAGTCGCAAACTGTTTGAAGGGCCACAGTCTGAAACGCGGGGCCCGCCAAAGCTTGAGGTTGAGGATTGGGAGAACACCGCCACTTTTTAAGTTCGATAAAAGGCGCGAAGAATCAATATGCCCCGCCAAGTTTCGGAATTACATCATGAAAGATGGATTTTTTTTAACGATGCGGAAATCAGCGAGGACCATACTAATTTACACCTCACTTTTTTTGTCATATAAATATTAAATGGCAACCAGCGTCATCGGCGAAGTATTAACTTTTGACAGCTGTGGCGGCAGAGGTGTTAAAATCCAACATTATCAACACAAACTCTTAACCCATAGCTTCTTTCTTAGTCTGGGGGGACACTCTTCTTCCTGTTGCATTTTATATACAGATTACAGGATGATTGCTCTTAATATCCTCTGATGTCATAAGATTAAAATACTTTGAGCTCAAAAGCTCAAAGAACTACTAATAAAATACAGCTGTAAATCCATATTTCCTTACTAGAAAGGGATAGTAATTAATAGAAAATGAAAGAATCAATTTTCATTCCGGTGATTCCACCCAGGTTAGTCCTTTCTCCTCTCCTCAACCACAAGCCGCCAGTATCGATACAAATAATATATACCAAACCATCACAATCCCATTATCAATTGATCAAAACGAAAGAAAGAAAAAACCATGAACCTCTTCGAAGTCATAGATCTAGGAGGTATACATATTACCAAAACATCTTACCAAATATCCCATTCATCCATTCCTGAATATAATATACTAACAGCCATATCTCCTACTCCAACTATAGACGATGACAAACCCCAACAAGCCATACCCCCGGACCTAGATGATGAAAACGATATAATCATCCTAGAAGACAATCATGATAATCAATCCATATCACCAGAACCAATCGACATTGACGAAGCATCCGACAATAATAGCGACGACGGTAGCAGCATAGACGCATTCGATACAATCTTCATATCAGACGACGACAGTGAATCTGACTCTGACGATGTGATTTTTGAAGCTGGTGTGTATATATACACTAAAAATCGCATTCCCGGTCTCATTACCATCTAGTTTATAATTCCGAGAACAATTCTAACCTATGACCCCTTCCTTTGGAATTAAAAACGTATATGTATAAAAAGCCCGTACCACACGTTCTAAAAAACCTCGTAACCGCAATCCCACCAAACGACCAAAACCCGGCCACCCAACAGAAACAAAAGAAACCCCCATAGACAAACTAAAAATCAACGGTCTCTTCTTAGAACCCCAAACCAACGTTCAAATCCGATACGGCGCCGTCCTCCAAGACAGATCGACCCTAGGAAACGGCTACTTTATGAGAATCAAAAAGTTATTCAACCGTATAGAAACCTACGCCAACAAAGACGGTACAGAGATGACCCAAACCTCAGCATGGGTACAAGGCCCTCTCTTTCGACGTCACAGAGAACTTGACGGTATTCTTCCAAAAACAGCCGGAGAAGTCGCTTTACTTCGTGAGAAAGCAGATGTTAGAGCTTCGGATGTTGTTAACATCCGTGAGCTCGTTCTTACTAATATATTGGGTCGTGATACTGTTCGAAAATCTTACGAAGATGCGAGAGATGATGCTTACGGACGGCTTATCTGTCGTTGGAAGGCAAAGATTAAAGATAATGTTAATGGTAAAACGGGAATGCAGCAACTTGGTGCCACGGGGTACATTAGACGATTAACGCAGGCAGAGGCGGATCCTGAATATAGGATAAGTGATATGGAACTCTCGCGAACATGGCGACCAAAATCGGCGCTCAATAACAAGATACCAAAAAAGGCGACACGTTCTGATCCCGAAGATACGAAACCGTTTGATATAATCCCTAGCATTGACCCAGTTATCGTTGATGATATTGAATCAGTTAGCACCACATCCAATGCAAACCCAGTCATCATCAATGATATGAGTGATATTCGTATCGTCAACAATACCGAACCAGTCATCGTCATTGACATGAACGACACCTGCACTACTACTAACATCGAACCAATCATCATTGACGACATCACAATCTCCGCCGTCCGACCCATACAAGCCGGAAACCCCTCAAAGCCAATACTAATCGAAGACAACGCCCCAGAAAACAAAAACATAGAATCCAAAGACTGCATAATGAGCCACGAAATTACACGAAACCACCAACCCCGTCGCAGATACACATTCGGCGATGCATTCTGCGGTGCCGGTGGAGCAACCTGTGGCGCCGTAATGGCAGGGTTTAAAGTAAGATGGGGCGTCGACCACGACGAAGCAGCCATCAGCTCGTGGCGATCGAATTTCGGTTTTAGTATAGGATACCAAGAAGATGTTCACGAATTCGTCACCAGGCATGAGAACACCTACGTCGATCTTCTGCATTTATCACCGCCTTGTCAATTTTTCTCCTGGGCTAGAACTATACCAGGTCAGAACGATGAGAAGAACGAAGCAAGTTTCTTCATCGTTCCGAATATATTGAACTCCTGTCGCCCTAGGGCTGTAACCGTGGAGGAAACAGATGGTTTGATCGGATTAAGTCGTTCAGTAGGTCATTTCAAGTGTATGCTGGGTGATTTTACATCCATGGGGTATAGCGTCAAATATGCAATCTTGAATGCCGCCTGTTATGGAGTACCATCCCGAAGAAAACGTTTGGTTTTAATAGCTTGCTGGTTGGATCTCCCATAATCCGAATCTATCGGTATCGTTATTGTCAACTAACAATTACCATATTCAACTAGCCCAGGTGAGACGCTCGCCGATTTTCCAAACCCTACCCATTTCTATAGCTCGGATCCGTTCGAGCCAATGCCGGTAGGGTTAAAACGGGCTGTTACGCTTCGGGAAGCTATCGGAAGGATCCCACGACACGCCCCGGATCACGATATAGAGATACTCGAAACTGTGGCTCCGAGTTCATTAAAACTACCACCTCATGAATGGGATCAGCCTTTTCGGTCCACGATAAAGTGCGGCGGCGGAGAATATAACTTACACCCCTCCAGAAACAGAAAATTCACATTGAGGGAATTAGCATGTTTGCAATCCTTCCCTATAGATCACCGGTTTTCCGGGAAGAAAGGTGAAAAGATGAGACAAAGTAAATATCATACGCCGGTATGAAGTATCCTTCAAGATCTTGCTAATGATTATATCTGTTTTACAGTTGGAAATGCATTCCCTCCTCGTCTTGTTGGAACAGTAATGGAATCAGTTAGGAAACACTTAGAAAAGATTGATGAAGAGTGGAAAGGTGGAGGTATTCTGTAAACCGCTGGCCCTACTAATAAAACCCACTCCGTAACTACCATTCTGGAGTGTCAGGGCATATGCCCACTTTCACAAAAATTGTAACAACGAAAAAATGAAAAACGAAATCCCCACAACCTAAACCGCGAGTTATTGCCTTGCCTCGGGGCGATGCTCCTAAAACAAAGAATCACAGGCATACACGTAGATCGGAATATCACAGGGTGGGGTTGGTACAGAGAAGGGGAGGCTAAGAAACAATAGGGTGAAAGGAAATATCAAAATCAAGAGTTAGTGCTCCCTAAAACAGCCCAGTAAAAAAGAGTAACGATACGAATTGAAGAGTCCGTAGAATTAAGCCTTAAGAAATGGAAACAAAAAAGAAATATTAGTAATGGGTATTGAATGTGGTCTTTACAGAGACCTAATAGTCGGGGACGAAGATCTGTAAAGTTCAAATCTCCGAAAACCCTCAGAAGCCGGAGCTTGGTAGGAATAATTCGAGCTGTGGAGGAGGAGAAATAGAACGCTCTCGCACAAGTGATTCGGGCTCTGGTAGTAAGCTCTGGGTATCAGGTGGAGCCGAAAAGATTCGCCGTTTGAATATTGGGAAAACATTCTTGCTCAAGCGCCGAGTCGCTTTTGATATTGTCCCGTTTGACTCAGTGCTAAATTTTCTTTCGGGTGCTTCTTTCGTGTCTGAATGTATGACGAAGGAGCTTCTAGGAGAACCTTTTTTAAACTCGAAGAGCCCAAACAAATTACCCCGGGATCTGTCCTTCTTGGGGTACTTGGGGACAACTAAAATAGGTTTCTTCTTGCGTCCCAGTTTCATGCTCAACCTGGACCTATTCTTGTGGACTGGTAATTCGATCTCGCCCGATAGAGAGATAGAATCAGAAGTTGGCAGCACTCGGAATGACGGTGTACCAGGAGTTGGAGTTGAATGTGCTGTGTCGACAGGTCGCGAGAACTTAAATAGATCTAGGACAGACTGTCTCTTTTTCTTGATTCCATGTTGGTCTTGCGATATCGTCTTGCCGGAATTCTTTGCTCCAAATGGTCCCAATGCTGACTTCACCATACGAAGTGGGCGTTTTTGCCAACCCCGGTTGTGACGTCGAAGGGATCCTTCGAGTTTTATCCCCATTCCCTGCGTATTTGTCTCACCTCGAATAAATCCTAGAATGCCAGATAGCGATCTTCGGCGACTATTTCGGGGCGAGATATTTGGAAGATCGGGTACGCTTTCGTTTGGTGCAATATTCTCTTTGTTGTCATCAGAAGCTGCACTATCCACACTTCTAGTACTATCATATCTTTTATCGATACGCTCAACGGTCTTTCGAACGTGAGCAAGTTTACTACTGCTCGTCGACTTTGTAGCTCCAATTGGTCTAAAATTCATAGAATTGTTGTTGCGGTTTGACTAGGTCATCCGTTGGTGAGAAAAGTTCAGAGGAAGGATAGTGGTAGGGTCACTTACATTCGCGCTGCTATCAAGGGGGGAATCGAAATTGTGACTTGAGCGGCTATCTCCAAGTATTGATATACTCTGGGGTACTAGAGGGGAACCCAAGCCACTGTTTTGCAAAGGTGTGCTCGTGACGATCTGAGGATCCTAAATTTAGATAAGGGTGAGGATTTTGTCTACTATTTTTTTTTGGTATATGGCCCGTTATACTTACTGAGAAATCAGGAGAGGATAAAACAAGCTATCATAAAATATTTAGTCATCTTCAAAGAGTTTAAATAAGTCCATTCAACTGGGTTAGGTTGCATACCTCGGCATCATATATTTCCTGCGAGCCACTCGTCTCGCCCTCAAAATTTTCAATAAAGGGCGGATTGGTCACAGAGAAATCTTCTAAGTGGATAGAATCAGAACCATTGGAAGTATCAAGTATTGGTGGTGTGTGGTGACTAGATATGGAGATTTCATGTCCAGAAATATCTGGTGGTGTTACTAGCTCGTGCTGGGGTGTTGCTTTCTGGGCTTGAGTGTCCTCGTATAGGGCGTTGGGGTCAACGTCTCGCGTGCCGGTTTCAGGTCCCTTTTCAAAGTGTTCCTTTAAGGATCGCCCGCGTACTGGCTTGAGAGTATTCAGGAGTTGATATGAAGGTGATGTTTGATACTTCTTTTCGACCCGAATAGGGCGAGGAGCTTCGAAAGACGAGATTCTTTGTTGCACAACAGATGATGAATCTGAAATCTGTCGAGGCCTTGCAATTTCAATGTTTCCACTCACAGCATGAGAAGCCCGATCTAAGTTCAAATATTAGCACCAAGTCCTCTCGTAATTTGATACATGCAAGGGGTTTTGGCGTACTATTTCTCACGATGTTGGCGGTAATGAAAGATGGTAATCCCTGACGGTATTGAGGTAAGGAAACCTGAGAGGGAAGCGAATTTAAACTTCTGTGGGATTCATTCGACTTTGCCATCGACTTAAGGCTAGTCTCGCTATTTTGTCTTTTTCCGAAAAGCGAAGAAAGACGCCGAAGCGGATTACGTCTTTTCTCCTTCTCTTTCTTTTTTGGAGGCTCAGTCTTTGGTGATGGTGGCGCTTTGGGTTTTTCATTCGGGATCAATTTTGACATTTGCATTCCAAGACTGGTATCGAGGGTTCCACGACCTGTTGGTTCGACTTGTGAAATCATAGCTTCACGCTCTTTCCACCATGCCATAACAGTTTTGGGTCTAAGCGTGGAAGCTCTCTTACGCATCCCAAAAGAGGGAGCACGTGGGGGACTTGTCCGAAAGATTGGACGAAGCCGAATGGGTGATGTGATTGTATCCCTTCCCGCGACCTTTCGGCGTCGGGGCAACGAATTATAACCCATTGAGTCGGAGAGCTGGGGCCGGCGTAGACGCCGGTTTGGAACCGTTAGGCTTTTTTGAGGACCAGAGAGCTTCTGATCGGCACCCGCTGAACCTATAACCACTTTTCTTAGTTTGGGAACCTCTTTGGCTCAAAATCATACGGGGTTGAAATCTTACTAGGAGTGCTCAATTCAAGGGCTCGCCGGTGAAAAAAGTCCATACCTGGCAGGCTTGGTGGAATAAACGATCGAGGTCCAACGGCAGCAATCGATTCACCAATGAGAGAATCATTAATGAATACTCCGTAGATCGATTTCCCAGATACAGTTCCAGATCCGATAGGATAGTTATCATAGGAGCCGTCGAGAATTGTACCAGAAGGTTTATCGAAAAAACGGCGGGTATTGTAGAATACATCAAATGCAGCAGTATATTTTGCATCGAAGGGATCCTCAATAGCATGAATGAGCTCTAGATTCGAGGTCCAGCCCGGTGGAATGTTTCCATACAGGGATTGAAGACTAGATTCTGGATCCTCGCGAAGCGGGCACGAAGAGGTTGTAGGTCCGTTTGAATCATCACTTATGCTCTGAGACGTCTCAATGGAGTCTCGAGCTATTCTTACGGTTGCCCTTGAGCTCGAAGGAGACGGTGTGGGTAACCTGATTTGTGGCTCTTCATTTGCTATATCGGCTTCCTTAGCCGTGGATGTAGTAAATTCAGTTCGGGATTGCTGGTTAACAATCGGGGCGAAGTTTTCCTTTCGTCGTTCGATAGACAGGTCCGTTTGAGCCTCCACCCCTTCTTCGGGCGACTTAACAGTGCTGGAGGATTTGTTGCGCTGACTTTCATATTCCTGACGGAATTCAGTTTGTTCAGAGCCATCAATATCAGAAGTCTCAACTCGTGGTATTGGCCTGGTGGCTGAAACTCGGCGCTGCTGAAAGCCAACGGGGGCACGTTCCCCGAGAGGAAGATATGATCCGGCTCCAGGAGCAGCTAAGGAAGCAGTTCGAGTAGGGGGACGAGTATCTTTTCCTTGTGATTCTTCTATTCTCCCCACTTGTACGTCGGAAAGTGATCGTCTACCACCTTGACCCAAGGACTTCGGATACATCCTTGACATCGTGAGAAAAAAGGTATATATTGGTAATAGGCAACTTTGAGGGTATATAAGTATATCCTATCTGACAATATAGAATAGCGAGTTCGAAATCAGAGGATGGGGAGATGAAGGGAGAGAGAGAAGGGAGGAGGGAGTCCGATAGCTCATTATTATTTTGTGATGATATTGGAGGCAGATCAATAATGCGTTGTTTTTGTTGTCAAGTGCCCGGGGTTTCGATCGAAATGGCCTGGGCCGGGCGACTAGGTGGTTATCTCTATAAGCGGCGTGCATAGCCATACTCTTCAACAATATGGCTACTCAAGTAAGTGCCTATAGCAAGTATATAGGAGCGGACTGTGAGTAAGATACAAGCCGACATCCCTTTGAATTCTCAAAAGTAAGAAACCATTGCATTATATCATGAGCTTCGTAAAATATAACAAATGCAATACAGCAATTATATTATATAGGTACAACATACGTATACAACCATGAAATATTATAAAGCCCCAAATCAAAATCAAACACGCCCCAAATTTTCAATATCATTAGCTCCATCTACTTCATTAGTGTCGGACTTCTCAGCTTCTTGTCTGATACCAAAGCTGACAATAAACCCAATTACAGCGATACCGCCAAAAACACCCCAGGGTATCCATTCACCGTGATGGTTCTTGTACTTAGTTCCAAGTGTGAATAAACCTCCCGCGGCAAGTGGGCCGAGTGCTCGGCCTGCCGCTGATAGCGTCTGTGCTAGTCCGTTGACAGATCCAAGGTACGAAGGATTAGGAGCGCAGTTCGTTATCTACCAAGCAGGCCACATTTGTCAGCTTACAAAAAGTACTGTAAGGTTTTAGTTATCTTCGTTGATCGACATACCAAAATCATTGCACATGTCAAAGCAGTTATCGAAGAAACCACCTTGAGCGTCAGTGCAGCCCCTAACTCAGTCCATAGCAAGGGAGTCCCAATCGTAGACTTATAGCCAATAAAGGGCATAATAAAAAATGTCGAAGCGAATAAACCAAGAGACGCCTTGAAGCTCCATTCGTTCCCGGCTTTATCCTGAAGCCTAGCGAAAAACATAACTTGAAAAAATATTGTAACAACGCCAGAAAATCCCAAAGATAAACCAATATCTCTAACTGGAGTATCTCGCCCTATGGGTGCAGGAGAAGATACGAAGATCGGGTATAAGGCGTTATACCCAACCATAGCAAGATTAAAAATCGAATAAGTAGCTAGGAGGACAATGGTCGAAGGAGTAAGAATCTGTTTCCAGGGAACTGGTTTGCTTGAGGTAAAGAATCCAGTGAGGTCGCTATCATCAGAATAATCGTCTTCTGATTCTTCCTCTATGGCTTGGTTTGTCCCTAGCAACGGTTGTGTCGGATCATTTGAGGGCGGGCGGTCAAGACGGGGCCGGCTACCATTTCTCCTACGTCCACTTTTGAGGTATGTCGGTTTCAGAGCGCTGGTGAATTGCCAGAGCCAGGAGAATAGGTTCCGTACTCTCTCCGTAAGAGGCGGTAGCTCCCTCGCTTCGGCGAGACTCTCATCCAAGAAAAAGATACAGATGATAAAGTCTAGCACCAACAAGGCGGCGGATGCGAAGTTTGGGAGGCAATAAGGATACCTCCGAACTAGGCTGTACTTAGAATCCCGGGACGAGGCAAGCAACCCCCCTAGAATAGGACCTAAGATACCACCGATACCGTAAACCACAGGCAAATACGCAAATGCTGCCGACTGATTTGACCGATCAGTGATTTCTCCCAGCACTGTGGAAACGACACCTTGGTTCCCGTTCACAGCACCCATAATAGCTTGTACCAATACCGCCTGCCATAGTGTCGATGCAAAGCCCCAAAGAACGAAGGCGCCAGCGGTAAGAATTGTACCACAGAGGATGACAGGTTTTCTGCCTACCCTGTCACTGAGATGGCCCCAGAAGAAATTTGCTGCGAGAGTTTGTCAACGAACGGTACCCAACCTAAAGGTATCTCCCAGGGAAGGTCACTCACTCACAAATTGTGCCATGGCAAATGCACTGGCGATCATACCCACGCTGACACCAACATTTTCAGGTTCCACCCCAGGAAGCTGTCGGACCATTTCAGGAAGGTATGGACTTATGCTGTTGAGACTTATCTGCTCAGCAAGTGCGATTAATGCCAATACCAGCAGCTTCCTGGTAGGAATCGGGGTTGGAGATGGAGATGGAGACATCCTATATTGTCCGAACCGTGGGTACCGGGCTCTTCCTGTGCGGCTGTTTTCGTCTGATGCCGATCCAGCATTTGAGGCTCCAGAACTTGTTGGATCGTGTTCGCCTGATACTCGGGACGAGTGCCTCGATGTTTTTGGATTCCGTGTAGGAGGTTTTCCTGAGCTTGTGGGAGGACGGAGGTGTGATGGAAAACTTTGGTAACAATGGATGGAATGGCGTCTAAATGCATCCAGAGCTACCGCTGGATGACTGGGTCGTCGGGCAATAACATTTTCGGTCTGATCGGGAATATTATAATTTGTATTCTGTCTACTGCGACCACGGATACGACTACGCTTACGATTGGAAGGCCCGCGATTGGTGGAGACCGTGGGGCCTGGATCTTGCTCATGGGGGTGGAACATTCCTGGCGAGTCTTCCTGCCCTGCATGCCCCATGTAGGGCAAGTTTGAGCATGCACAATGCCTAACTCGTCCTATAAAATGGTCAGGGAATGAGAGGAAAAATGACAAAGAGGGAAGTCGACTGTGTCTGAACGTATGTACGAGTGAGTACAAGGCAGCGAGACGAGTTAATGGGACGGTCTGGACTGAACGAAAGAACTCAAAACTCTTTTTGTTTCTTGGTGTCGATGTCCTGTAGTACGAGGTGGCACGAAAATCCGGAGATTACTGCCGACCAAATTTAATTCGATCGTCTTTGCTCCCTTATGATGACGGAACTGAGTCTCGACCTCTTGCGCTGGGCTTCCAAGGCTAGTCATATCATGGAGCTTTGGGGATGATGGAATGCATGATGCATTATGCGTGTCCTAGCGGGGGTTCCTTGATCTGAACTCTGCACGCTAGCTTGAGGCGTGCCTTGGCAGCCGAAGCTACCCACAACCGATCAAGGTTTTATTGGTCCATGTACTGGACGAAGTCTTGGTTTCGAATTCAAGATCTATAAAATTCTCGACTAAAGGTATATATGCATATGTATAATGGTACATTTATTGAGATGCAGTCGGACAAAAATCAAAAGTTAACATCAACGACCCCACTAGGCTTAGCCATGCAAATCTAGAGCATCTACTTTTATTTACCTCGATTGAACGGGAACCTCTTCATAGACAAAATACATCGATATGTGCCATATATGCCAGCCAAACACAACATCAGTAAACTTTTAAGAGCTTTCTGTATAGTATAGTATCAAAGATGAAATCCATAACTCATACAATAACTTCAATTCAGTCCAATGGAATGCCTTCGAACTCATCATACCCAAGCGCCAGGTTCATATTTTCTACAAATTCAAGTTAGCATATATTCAGCCATGCGAAGAGGTTAGGTATAGCAAACTTACGCAAACACTGGGTGGCTGCTCCCTTCAGCAGGTTGTCGATAGTCGCGCAAACGACGACTCTCTTGCCCGAGCTGTGGACCGCAAATGCTCCGATCTCAACCCCATGTTTTCCAGATATCTTCTTTACGCTGGGTGCCTCTCCAACAACCTTAACAAGCTTCTCGCCAGCATAACGGTCTTGGAACAGGTTCCTGATCTCTCTAGAGGTCATTTCCTTCTTGAGCGGGATGTTGACGGTGTGATGAATTCCCTGGAACCATACTGCGACGTGTGGCATGAATCCAACATCAACGCCGAGTTGTCGGCTGATTTCACGCTCGTGAATATGATCTGTCAAGCTGTATGCCACCAAGTTATCCGTGAGGTTCTCAACGTCGTTCTTGGGACTAGGTTTGGTTCCTGCTCCCGAATAACCGGAGACACCAAAGATGGTTGGGGATCCTGCAATGTTGTCAAGCAAGGGGGAAATGGCGAGTTGCGCAGCGGTCGCATAACAACCTGGGTTGGCTATTCTGGTGGCCTGTGCGATCTTTTCTCTCTTGATCAATTCGGGGAGACCGTAAGTCCAAGAGTCATCAAATCGATAATCGGCCGAGAGATCCACGATTATGCTGGAGCCAGGCTCTTTAGCACCTCCTCCGGAGACAACGGCATCGACAAAAGGCTTGCAAACACCGTTAGGAAGGGCCATAATCCAGGCATCCACTTCACCATTTTCTTGCATTTTCTTGATATCTTCAACATTCAAGTTGGAGTAGTGGATATCGGCCTTGTCATATCCTTGGAGACGTTGTCCGGCAAGCTCCCTTGATGAGACGTGGCTCAGCGAAAGGTATGGATGCTTGTTGATAAGAGATATCAAGGCTTGTCCGGTATAACCACGTGCACCAACTAGGGCCACTTTCTTCGGTTGGAAATTGGCATCCTTGTTCCTGCGCAAGGGAGGGTTTGGGTTGGTGTCCCCAGGAAGGACTCCAGCGTCTGTGGAATATGCCCTACCCTGGTGTCGGGGAAGGTAGCCACGGCCGAAGGCTCGGGGTCGTGTCATAGTGGAAAAGGCTCGAACCTGCTGCTTCACACCTGTGACAGGGCTTGAAACGGGCGATTGTGCCGCTGTATTGTAGCCCTGGCTCTTCAACCAAGCAGCTGCTTCCTCCAATCCGCCCTCGAATCCATACCAGAAAACCACATTCTGGCCCGCCGTAACACTGCCATCGGCCTTGTCGAAGAACCAGGTAAGGTTTTCGTCGGAGGTATTCGCAACCCAGGCGAGTTTTGGAAATTCCCTCTTGATGTTGTTGAAGACGTTATCAGCGACGTTGGAGAGCCAGCCGTGCTTAGTCACTACAAATTTGGAGAGGAATGCCGGCTGTCCTTCCTGGGCAGGTGGGTGTACAATTGCCAAAGCATCTAGAGGCTCGTCTGCGTATGCCTTGAATGGAGACGATTCGAGTTTCTGGAGGAATTGTTCAACGGCAGCCTTTGGTGACTCGGCAGAAGCGAAAGTAAGGTCTCTCTGAAGAGCGGCGGTTAGTTTCGCGATATCTTCGAACTCCGAGATACTGGATTTCGCCGTGAGCTTGTTTCCGCGTCTGATTAGAGTGCCAGCACCAGTATCCGTGAATAATTCGCGCTGGAGGTCCTCAGTGGCGATGATAGCGACGGAAGAGGTTCTGGGCAAATCTCCCAGAAGGTCCTTGATTTCATTGATCTTTAAACGGGTACCGTATCTAAACCACCATTGCTTGGATAACTCTTCGTATTCCTCATCCAAGTTGATGCTAGATATCTTCTCATTGGTTTCCCCGTTGAACAGAGCTCCTTTCTCGCTGAGGTAGACGATCTTGAGCGGTTGGAGGGACCTGGCGAGCTCGCCAGCTGCTATATCTGCATTTACATTCAATGTTTGGCCGGATGGCGTCTCAGCCAGACTGGTAAGAATGGGAAGGCAGCCAGCGGCTATTGCCGCCTCGATTGGCCTTTTATCGACGCTGTTGATCTTGCCTACGAATTTGTACTTGTCTTTATCCAGATAATCAGCCGTGAAGACACCAGAATGGATTGGGCGAGCTCGGACCCCGAGGGCTTCGAGGGCCTCTACGAGCTTTAGGTTCTCATCCAAGAAGCATTGCCTCGCCACCGCTAGAGTTTTCGCATCCGTGATTCTGATCCCGCCTTCATACTCCGGTTCGACACCGGCGGCTTCGAGCATCTTGTTCAGCTGGGGTCCGGCGCCGTGGACGACAACGGGGTAGAGGCCGACATGGTTAAGGAATGCCAGAGCGGATGCCAAAGCAGGGAGTTTTTCCGTGATAATTGCCCCTCCCACCTTGATAACGGCGAACTGTTGGGATTGAACCGAAGTAAAATGTGAGAGATATTGCTCAACTTCCCGCTTAGACCCGATATTCGAGAGAAGCTGGACAACCGTATTCCTGGTCTCGAGTGAATTGTTCTTAAGACTTGCAGGAGACGTGTAGTTCCTTCGTTGGAGTGCTACGTGAGCAGAGGCAGCGAGGGGCCGGGCCACATTTATGGAGTTGATACGGGTAACATTCAATGGCCGTCTGACCAGCCGCAAAGCGGCACGGGCAGCCTTGGTTGGAAGTGCCATTTACACGACACGTTCGAACTGCTGATGCTGGAGAAGGGTAATGGAAAAAACGCCTTTTGGGTGGTACTTTCTATCGATTAAAAGTTCCTGGCAATCGAGTGCTTGAGAACGTCGACTGTGGCTACGGATCCGGATTAATTTTCTTTGCTTGCTTTGCTTTGGCGTAGTGAAAACCGGGCGCCTGTTCGCAGCGATATCGGAAGCGACACAAGGAACGAAGGCAGATCAGAGCTGGAAGTACCGCTTGAACGACTCCTTTTCTATACAGCGGTGTCGTCGTAATTGTCGTAGAGCCGAAGACATAAGAAGACGACGTCAATAGAGAAGAAGAAGAGGGAAGAAGAAAAGAGGGAAGAAGGGAGTTATACTCCCAAGTTAACTTGGTGGTGGGTTTGAATAAGGTATGAGTCGTGGTCAATAGGCGGCGAATGTTAAAATCTCGAGCTAACCGACTCGACTCCACCTCCACAAGATATTCCGCGATGGTAGATAATACATCCAAAACTAGGACCGTTTACTTTTTTGCTTAGCTCATGTAAGAACATGGACCTACGATTGAGCCGATTGCGAGTGAGTCTCCACCTTGGTGCGACGGAACTCGTCTAGAAAAAAAAAAAATTTTCCCTAGACGCCGCTCGCCTCATCCGTTATTACATACTTATGCACTGCACACTTATATCACTCAATGCAAGAAGGATGTAGCATACATACATACACATACACACAAGCACGGGGGCCATGGCGCAGGCACATGGTTCCTGGCCGATGGGACTATCGATGGGGAGGGATGTTTGGTCAAATAGCGCCTTTTCCGAGCCATTTACCCAGAGTTAGGCCAGCAATTCCAACTTGCCACCATCTCGCCATGGTTCTTTGGACAGAAATTGCCAACGTGACCCAGTTCGATTCCCGCTTTTTCGGCGACCATGGCCATGGTCATCTACACTATGGACTGTCCAAGGTTTCTGCTTTCTTTCCTTTTTTTTTCGCTTGAAACAAAAACCAGGCGGAGATTTTCACCTAGGATAGTAGAAGAAGGAGGAGAAGGAGGAGAAGAAGTTGAAGTATACGGTAGAAGGACGTTATATTAGAACTGGGGGGACATGCCAGCTATCACATACATAGTCTGGTCGAAACCATCACGCTGCACACTCCCTAACACCACCGGGGATATCGATAGTTATATGTGATGAAAAAGCAACCCGAGAACCCTAAAAAATCACTTTGGAGGACAACTCTCAGGAATTCGCATCCTCCTCCAAAGGAAAACATGCAGGAGGGAATATTTTTGACCTTTGTAGAGTACAGTAATGGCAGCAAACAGTGAAAGAAACACCCGTGCACAGCGAAAGGGAAAGCAAAAAGAGAGATCTCCCGGAATCACAAGGAAACGCAGACACAACAAAGAAAAGAAGAAAGAAAAGGGAGAAGGGAAAAAAGAGTAGCAAGGAGATTTTTCATCGGGGAGTGGCATTCATCTATTAACTCCCCTGCAGTTCGTGACGATGATGATAGTGTTGATGATAAGGGTCAATGGTATAAATCGTTCAGCATGGCAAAAAAAAAAAGACAAAATTGTCGTTCCGATCATTTGGCTCGTGCCGTTAGCATTTCAAGACATGACCAGGTTTTTCCCCTCGTCGCGAGTAAACCAAATGGGGACGCTTCAAGCTATCCGGATTTGGGGGCTCCCTAAGACTTTGTAACGACTATGGATTTGGAGAGAGTTCTGGTTAGTTTTGGGTGCAATATATGTTTCAAGGGGGTTAGAATGCCTTACCGATGGGAATGACAATGACAGCGATAAGAATGATGACACCCAAAACCAAGCACATTCTCATCTTCATGTCCTTCCACCACATTTGTTTTCGCACTCTGTTGGCGCCACGCCTAAAGCCTTGCGCGGAGTCGGCCAAATCATCTATTAAATATTTGGTCAGCTTCCAATTGCTGACATGACATTCCAACAGAGGTTGTCTGTAACAACGTACTTGTTTTGTTTTGTAATTGATTCAAGTTCTGTCCTCTTTCTGTTGTCTTGTTGATGTTGTCCCTCATAATACCAATGGTGTCGTCGATTTGCTATAATATTAGAAACATGATGTCAGTAAGCCGTTAGGAAAAAATAAAAATAACTCTTGGCAATAATCAGGGCTGAAAGTTGAGGTTTTTGATTTTTTTTGGTGGCCTTTTTTTCCCCAGGTTTTGCTTGAGAAAAGGAGTTTCTAACAAACAAGCAGCCTTCGAAAACTGCCGTTTGAAGTTGATGCATGTATTGTTCGGGTACAAGCGACCGTCGTGAGGTGGATTTTGAACCTCCGATCATGCCCCCAGAGAAAGAAAAAATAAGCCAGTTCCCGTCGGTACTCGGAGATCGGATTTTGGCGGAAATGATGCGAAAGGCACAAGGAGAGATGTAAACATCTTGTTCGCCCCTTAAACGAAGGTTGCGATATCGACACGGACATCCGACGGCGTATATAGGGGGAAAGAGTGGGAAAGATATGGGAGACCTACAGCTTGGATCTGAGCGGTCCTGCTTTGTCCATTACCCCCCTGTGGTTGAGCACCGTTGCTCGGGATGTATGGATCGTATGGCTGTTCCGACATATTGAAGGTATAATAATAATAACGATGATGATGTGGTTATTGATGGGGTTTGGGAAGAAGGGAGGGCTGAAGTTGAGGGGGGGGAGGATGAGGATGAGGGAAGCTAAGTGGTTAGCTTGAGGGAAGCTCGGATCTCGTAATAATAAAAAGGTCGGTCGGGAAGCTATTGGCGAGAGAGAGCTGAGCTGAGCTGTCGGAAAAAGCAGAGCAAAGTAAGACCGGAGTCGCCTTGTAGGGACGATGTCGGGATGTAATCTAGAAGTGTGGGTAGGTTTCGGAGTGAGTACGATGCGATGAGAGAGAAAGAAGGTTGAAACGGAGGGAAAGGGAAAAGGGAAAGGGAGGAAGAGGAAGAGGGAATAAGAAGAAGAAGAAGAGGAAGAGGAAGAAGAAGAGGGAAGGTTGGCACAACACAAATACCAGAGAGACCTGTGTTGTAGTACTAACAGACAGAACATCCAAGGCAGAAAGCAGGCAAAGCATATTCTATTCTACGATACTATTCTATACTATACTATACTATACTACACTATACTACACTAATGTACATGTACATTACATGTATACGTACATGCACAGGTACAGGAAGTCCAGTGTCAAGAAGGAGAAGGAGGGATAACATGGACGGATACAGGAATTCCGGCGCATCGAAGTTCCCGCCGCTGTCCGTACTGCTCGACTGCGTAAGCTCTCGCCTGAGCGTGCTATTTTAAGCATAACCTCATTTATATTCCTTCCTTTGCCTCGACTCCAAACAGACTAAACTACTTTATACAAACCGTAAGATATAATATATATATAAGTAGGTACTACGCTTCCCATGATCATCTTGATGTTCAGACTGATCTCGCTACATCCTTGTCTTCAAGTTGTAACTGATAGATTTGATAGTATGGATATATTCATGAAGTGGGAACATGTAACATGGAGAATACGTAACGTACCCGCAATTGGCTGGGCCGGTTCCTGCAGGGCCCCTGTCTCACGAAAGGGGAACCTCTCCACCACCACCACTACCACTTTACTCTCCACCTGCTACCTACCACCGCGTCAAATCTAACCTGTCCCAAGCATCATCATCATCATCATCATCACTATCATCATTGACACTATCATCATCTCCATCGCCAGCCAACTTGCTTGTGTACCTACTACCTCTTTATCCTCTATTCAATCCCTCGTTTGATACATAGTAGGTAGTAGCAGTAGCAGTAGCAGCAGCAGCAATCGTAGTTACTTGGCTGGGACACTCTCGTTGACATCTGATATCTTGTCTTGTCCCCTCGCTCGTTCAGATCTGGGCATTCATACACAAGAAACATACACAAGAAACTCGGCCTCTTGTATGTAAGTCAGCTAGCCAGTCAATAGGTACTTAGGTACTTAGGTACTTAGTGCCTGCAACCCCGGCCTTCCCTTTTCCCTTCCCTATCCCCCCCTCAAAAACATTTCATTTCCAGCGACATCCAAAAAACTAAATCCAGTTCTCTTTTCTCCTTTCCGCCAACACAGGTGCTGTGGAAACTTCAGGTTCGCCACGTTCGCAAACACTCTCTCGTTTCGTCCTCAATCGCCGCGTTTTCGGCTGCCATGAGGTTTTTTCCCACTAAAAAAGCCGTCGGATGGGCCTTAGTCCCTACCCTTCTCTCGACTTTCTGCAATGCCATTGAACTAGACGTCAACGACAAAGGTACCCCCGGTCCATCCTCACCCTTACCATCACCACGATTCAATATCAGCCTCGTGAATTTCGTATACATATTGACACCTCGATTCCAAATCATCCTGTAGATTCGATAAAGGCTGCTGCCAAAATCGCTGCCGAAGGTCTGGTAGAATACTATCATGGCGACGAACCCGGCCAGGTCCAGGGCAATTTGCCTCAGCCGTACTACTGGTGGGAGTGTGGTGCTATGTTCGGTGCCCTTATCGACTATTGGTATTATACCGGTGACGACCAGTTCAATCAGATCGTCACAAACGGGATGTTGCATCAGGTTGGAACCGGTAACGCCTTCATGCCTCCAAATCAAACCCAGTCCCTCGTAAGTCGACCACATGCACATACATACTACCTACCTACACACCTTCTCGTATAAAAATATCGGGCGTACTCTGTTTCTGACACAAAAAATTCAATTGGATTTGCATTCATAGGGAAACGATGATCAAGCTTTTTGGGGAATAGCAGCCATGATGGCTGCTGAGAGAGGGTTTCCAAACCCTCCTGGTACATCTCCTCAGTGGTTGGCTCTAGCTCAGGCCGTTTTCAACTCCCAAGCTGCCCGGTGGGACTCTGCGACCTGCAACGGTGGACTCAGATGGCAAATCTTCTCATTCAACAACGGTTACGATTACAAGAATACCATTTCAAACGGCTGTTTCTTCCATCTGGCTGCGCGTCTCGCAAGGTACACCGGAAATGAGACATACGCCGATTGGGCCAGGAAATCATACGACTGGACCAAGCGAGTCGGTCTGATAACCAGCGACTACAAATTCTACGATGGTGCCTCCGTCGATACCAACTGTACGCATATGGATCGTATTCAGTGGACGTATAACGGAGGTATCTATCTTGCAGGAGCTGCTTTCATGTACAATATTGTAAGGCATTCTCTTTCAATATTCCTTTTTCAAAGTCAATACTAACATGAAATCAAGACCAACGGAACGGGATATTGGGCCGACGAACTCGGTGCTATCCTCGATGCCCAAAAAGTCTATTTCAGAGACGAAAAGATCATGTACGAAGTCGCCTGCGAACCCTACGGCAAGTGCAACATCGATCAGCGTTCGTTCAAGGCATACCTCGCCAGATGGATGGGGGTCACCACCCAAGTCGCTGCTTTCACCCGAACCAAAATCATGGACTGGCTCTCGCAATCAGCAGCCGGAGCTGCCCGAAGCTGCATCGGTGGAACAGACAAGCAAACCTGCGGTGCTAGATGGACCCCCGATGTCGAGGCCAAATGGGATGGTAATTTCGGTGTCGGCGAGCAGATGTCCGCTCTGGAAATCTTCCAAAACTTACTCGCTCCCAGCTATCGCCCGCCGTGTACCGCCAACACCTGTGGTAATAGCACAGGCGACCCAAGCGCTGGTACGGGCAATTCTCTGCAAACTGGTAAAACCAACAGACCTGCCACTACTGGTGATAAAGTCGGCGCTGGTTTCTTAACGACACTCTGTCTTGGCTTGCTGCTGGGTGGTACATATTGGCTTATAGTCTGATAGACCCAACCTTTGTCACAGTCTACCATCGCCATTGGGATAATAATTATGTTAAGGAAAACCAACGGATTGATTTTCCAATGAAAAGTAGGTATCTTCGTTTTCTGTTTTGCCGGTCTCTTTTGGTACATATGCAGGCTTGTTTCTTTCAATTTTTTGTTCGTTTCTGGTCATTGGCATCTCGGAGCGGGAAAGGGAAGAAACTTGTAATCTAGTGCTTTTGTATTTTTATCTTCGTTTTTTAACTTTTTTTTTATTTTTATTTTTTTTATTTTGAGGTTGATAATATCATATATCTAAATCTCGATCTCATACCTGCTCCAGCTCGCCTCGTGCATGCTTAGTACTGCATACCTCCTACCTAACTTATATCGAACGGTTAATGATCCCGTCGGGCCAAGGGAATGTGTTGGTCGGCTGCCGTCGGTTTCCTCCTACGAAACTATACTCTAACGAGCCGAGGGACCGGCCGTACCATGATTTTAATTTCTAAAGGTCCCAGCCCGAGGAGAATATATACTTACTTACTCAATTCTCTCGAGTATTATTTTCATGGTGAGAGGTTCCGCCTCTGGTTAGCCTGTCTGCTGTATAACATCATCATTATCACCATCGTCATATCCCTCCAGATCGTATGTAAGTCGTAGTCTTTTTCCTTCATACCTACTCCGCAACCTCGAATACATCCATCCATCCTCTTCGAACCTCCTACACAGAGTAGCTTATAAATCATATAATCGCAGTGAATACCTAGGTAGTAGTGAAAGTCTACCGAACAAAAAAAAAAAGATGATCCGGGGTAAAATTTCCACTATCGCCTCCTCGCCGCTGAAGGTCGTCCGATCAAGAACCGCACTGATCAGAGCTTCGTATCCCGTACGAATGGTCTCTTCGCTGCATCACGCGCCCACAGCGGCGGAAGAAGATGCTCGGTTCAAAGCAGACATCGAGGAAGTCGAAAACTGGTGGGCGTCACCGAGATTCAAGGGTATAAAACGAACGTATTCGGCTACGGACGTTGTTAGCAAACGGGGGACTCTTCCACAGACGTATCCGAGTTCGCATCAGGCGAAGAAGTTGTTCAGTTTGTTGACCGAGAGGGCGGCGGAGGGGAAGCCGGCGCATACTAGTAAGGATATATATAATAAACCACTAGATTTCTTAATGGTGAAGGGTTACATTTTGCTTACACCGGGGTTTTCTATATAGTGGGCGCAATTGACCCCGTACAAATGACACAAATGGCCGAAAACCAAGAGATCCTATACGTCTCTGGCTGGGCCTGCTCGTCGGTCCTAACCACAACGAACGAAGTATCTCCAGACTTCGGTGATTACCCTTATAATACAGTTCCAAACCAGGTTCAACGGTTATTCAAAGCCCAACAGTTGCATGATCGAAGACATTGGGATGCGAGACGAAGCATGACACAAGAACAGAGAGCGAATACGCCTTATATTGATTACATGAGACCCATTATTGCAGATGCTGATACGGGACATGGTGGGCTCAGCGCTGTTATGAAGTTAGCGAAGTTGTTTGCAGAGAATGGTGCGGCTGCGATTCATCTTGAAGATCAGATGCATGGTGGGAAGAAGGTAAATACGCCGTACTATTTTATAGCCATACCCTCAAAAAATTCAGTACATAAAACTTACATCTCTTTTGATTTAGTGCGGCCATCTCTCAGGAAAGGTTCTAGTCCCAACTGGAGAACATATCAACCGCCTACTCGCCACCCGTTTCCAATGGGATGTGATGGGATCCGAAAACTTGGTTATTGCCAGAACCGACTCCGAGTCTGGCAAACTACTGTCGAGCACCGTCGACTTCAGAGATCATGAATTCGTTCTCGGTGTCACAAAGGATACCAAGCCTCTTGCAGAGGTTCTTGCCGAAATGGAAGCCAACGGACGTAGCGCCGAAGATATCAATAAGACTGAACTCCAATGGGTTCAAGACCACAAATTGGTGACCTATACCGAAGGTTCGTGAAAGAGGCTTATTTTATCATTGCCAATGTATATTGAAATTGCTAACCCACACGGAAACCAAATCTAGCTGTCAGCGAAGAAATGAAGAAATCCGGAATCCTAGAAGGCGAAATCAACGCTTTCGTAGAAAAGGCGTCGAAGATGTCAAACTACGACGCAAGGAAGCTTACAAAGTCAATTTTGGGACACGATATCTTCTACTCATGGGATATCCCACGAACCCGCGAAGGTTATTACCACTTCAAAGCCGGTGTTCCAGCCGCCGTCAAGAGATCCCTCGCCTTCGCTCCATACGCCGATCTACTCTGGCTCGAGACCAAAAAGCCAGATGTCGACCAAGCCGTTGGATTTGCCAAACAGATTCGGGATATCCATGAAGGGAAATGGATGGTTTATAACTTGAGCCCCAGCTTTAACTGGTTGGGTGAAGGTTTTAACGAAGAGAAGTTGAGGAATTTCATCTGGGATCTAGCTAAGGGCGGATTTGTCCTGCAATTAATCTCGCTCGCAGGACTTCATTCCGGCGCCACCATCACCTGTGAGTTTTTTTCAAAATATCCTTAAAAAAACTAAAAGACAGCTAGCTAATAGAAATGCAGGTGAACTCTCGAGACGATTCAAGACAGACGGCATGTTGGCATATGTAGATTTGGTTCAAAGAAGGGAGAAGGAACTCAAGTGTGATGTCCTTACACATCAGAAATGGTAACTTCCCTTATTTATCCGGCTAAGAACAGCGTCTTTAGGACTATCAACTGACTGGTTTTTTAGGAGCGGCGCTAATTATTTGGACGGTATCCTATCTTCAATTGCAAGCGGGAGCTCGAACACGAGCTCTACAGGGAAGGACAGCACCGAACATAGTAAGTCGTCGTCATATCCAAAATTCATTTAATCATTTAGTCCAAAAGAAAACCGATCACTAATCCAAAAAAAAAAACGATAGGCTTCTAAACATACTCAAGCAACATACGTTTCCGAGGAACATCATGTAACATAATAAATAAAAAAACAATGAAATGCTAAAACATCAAAAAAAAACAGAAGATGCAATTGACCAGCACAAATACATCAATCAATAAAGTCAAAGAAACCCCACAGTGAAACCTAAATCTAAACCCGATGAGTATCAATCCACTCCGAAAACGACAACATCTTAATCCCTTTCCTCTGATTATACGTCCCCTCAACCTCCCAAAAACACCCATCCCCTTCCCCAAAAACCAACTGATACTTCAAAAGCTTATTCTCCGGATCCCTCTCCAACTCCTCCCTCAACCTCCTCGTCTCCAATACCTTCCTCTCCAACTTCCTCCCAAACTTCTCTTCAATCACATCAGCAATTTTCTTATACGTCACCGTCTCCCCAACAATATACTCCACCCCATCCTCCCCCTTCCCAGCAAGTCTTTCAAACAAAACCTCAGCCGTAACCCTCCCAATATCCTCCGCAGCCGTCAAAGTAACTTTATTCTCCCAACCACCCAGAGCAGTCACAACCCCTCCTTCCCTATTAACAATCCCAAATGGTTCATAAAACACAAAACTCGTAAAAAGCCCATTACTAATAATATTCCACTTCATCCCCGCCGATTCATCCCTCAAAACTTTTCTAATCCAATACTGTTCCGCGAAAAATCCGCCTCCGGTGGTAGGTCCCACGACATCATAATCCACTCCAAACTGCCAGGGTATATAATACTTAACCCCAGCATCCCTAACCGCCTTCGTAACCTTCGTAGGTACTCCGGCGGACGCGAACATTCCGGAGGCGTAAACAACCGCAGTGAAGGGTTTAAAAGCGGCTTTTAGTTCTTCCGGTGTGGATGATTCGATGTCGAGGGGTAACCATTGAACGTTCCATTTGTGGAGGAGGGAGTATTTCTCTGGATCGGATTTTTGGAGTGAAGAGACGGTTTGGGGGCGGGCGAGGACGGTGAGGGAGGTGAAGGATGGTTTCGAGGGGCTTTTGTGGAGGGCGTCGATGATTGAGAGGCCGAGTTCGCCGTGGCCAATTACTAGGATTGAGGGGCAGCGGTAGACTGTCATCCTTTCTTTCTTTCTTTCTTTCTTCCTTTCTTTTCTTTTCTTGAAAAGATGGAAGTGGAATCCTGCTCCCTTATGTTATGTGCGTATGTCCCTCTTTTGTATGATAAGCTAGACAGGTAACCAGCTAGCTAGTAATATCTGAATTGAAGGTTGCAGCTTAAAAATGATTATCGATATCTCAAATCGAATTGAAGATGATCCAGATCTCAAAAGAAGTTGATTTCGAATAACCCTCCCCCCAGACTATTGCAATGTCGTCGTAGTACCCGTCGGCTCGGTTAATGCCAAATCGATTTAGCAGTTAAGTCGAAGTCGTATCCAAATATATAATATAAAGAAAAAAGTAGTAGTATAGTAGTAAACCTAAAAGAAAAATGCCAATCGAATCCAATCTCAGTAATAATAATAAAGTAGTATAATAAAGTGATAAAATGATAAGATATAATAATAATAATAACAATAAAAGCCCCAGACCGTTTGACCGTCCAAAGCAGCCAGATTAAATGGTAAACATCAATATAGACCCGGAAAAGCCGACGGTATGGTTGAAAAAACACAAATCCGTTCAGAATCCCCTATGTCCATCAAATTGTTTCATTTCTAATCCGCGCCCCAGGGAAACTCCCATCTTTATGTAAGAGAGAAAAAGAAAAAGAAAAAGAAAAAGAGAGACACCCATATCATAGAAAAAACACACACATATCAATCGGTTAAAAAATTAAAAATGTTAGGTAACATTTAACGTGGAAAAAAAAAGACTAAGAAAGACAACCAGTTCCTGTAAGTCCGGGAACGGCTTTCGGATTTCGGATCTCCAGAAGGTATCAACTGGACCTAATTCCGTGCCAATCTCCGTCATAGCTAATAAATACAACAAGAGAATTGTGTTGTTGATTGACAATCTCCTCTCTAAGCTCCCTAGCTCCCCTCTATCCTGCTCGAAGCTCCATGCATAACCGGTGGCATGTAACTTTTTTGTTTTTTTTGTAATGTAGCTCTATTTTACTCAATCGTAAAAAGGTCTCATTTGTCAAAAGACATTCTCGTTGCTTAGTCTAAATCCCCATGGCCTTAAACATATCATATCACGGGGATGATAATAGTATAATCAATAAAGAAAGTCATCATTGTGTTTATACGTATGTTTGTCATAGCTTTAGAAAAAAACCTCTTGAAGCACTCATGATTAAAAAAAGTGAAGAGAGACATAATTGCGTGTAGGGTATATGAAACAGTAAAGGAAAAGAAAAGAAAGAAAAAGGCTACACAACCAGGGAAAACGCAGAAGATGAAGAATTTAGAAGAGGGGGGAAGAAGAACCTCGATGTATCCCAGTCTGCTTGCTTTTTTCAATTCTCAAATCTAGGGCAATTGAATTACCCCAGTTTGAGCAATAAAACGAAAAAGGAAAAAAAGCAGAAGGCCAGAAAACGAAGCTGTAGAAGCTAATGACCCAAGTTTATGTAGCAAAGGCAGTGTCGTGAAACGTAAAAAAGAAAAAAAAGAATTACGGAAACAAAGGTGAATAAAACGGCGGTACAATGGAGTAATCTACCATCACCACCACAACCCACCACAAACGGAAGTTCCAATCGTCAAAGCGAAGTGCAAGTTGCATATGGATTTAGAAGGGAAAAAATGATCAAAAAAGTGATCTATCATATCAACCCGAACACTTCAAATCTTCGACGCTAGTCTCCCATATGTGGTGGGGTTAGACCGTTGACCTCGATGTTCCACGACGGTGTCGACGTCCAGCCCTATTGCAAGTAAGGCAGCTGATAATGATCATGAGGAAATCGACGATTCCTGGAGATAAGAAAGTTAGCAAACTGTCCCGTCCGGGGAGAAAGAGGTAAAATCGAATTATGTAAAAAAAAATGCAAGCTTACCATTGACGACGGCGGTAATGGCACGTCCGATAGCGGATATAACGGTCATAATGGCACGTCCGATAGCTCGGAGAGCGTCAGCGATCTAAACGAGACGGGTTCTTTGGTTAGCAAAAGCTTATCGAACAGATATAGACATGGATTGGTTGAATTCGAGGGGTTTGTTTATCTTACACAGCTAACCACAGCACCCATTTTGAAATTTGTAGAGGTTGGAGGTATTCGAAGTGTATCTTTTTTTTGATTTTAGAGCTTGCGCTTGTTTCTGAGCTGAGTTGCAGTTGCAGTTGTAGGGGTGGATGTTTTGATGAAGTAGCTAGTAGATGGAATAGCAGGGTTGAATTCAAGCTGTGTGATGGTGAAGGATGTAAAGGTCTCGACAGCTATGTCATATAGAATATAATTATAATTTTATAATTCAAAGTAAATATTTACGTGAGAAAAAGGGAACCAGTGTTGATTATATACTTCTCATAACGCCGACTTTGTTGCTATCATATACAGGCTTTTTGTCCTTTCTTTCTTTCTTTCTCTGTGTACATGCTTAAAGGGACTCAATACATCATCATTACGGTATCAAAAGGAAACTTACAGTTGTGTATATACTACGTAACATCATATGAACCCAACTTTGCAAGTGTTTTTTTGTTTTTGTTTTTTTTTTTCTTTCTCTTTCCACAGCTCTGATTTTCGGGCGTTTCCTGGTCTGCGCTCTTGAAATCAATTGTGACGTCATTATGCCTCTTTTGGGTTTGCAACAAGGTCAACACGCAACACATCCAGCCTTTTAACTTTGGTGGAAATGGGTATTAGCTAGACAAGGGTTATTAGCGTCTTGATAAGGCGAGCAATCCCTGTTATTATAAGGACGTATTTAAGGTATAATTCTCACCGTTTCTAATCGGTAGATCCTCCTTCTCGAAGCCTCTAAGCTCTAAGTCTACTACGAAAATCCCATATCGTGTCGGGCGATTTCGAGCTTATCATTCTCATCTGATGACTTCATTTGAGAGAAGATACGAAACCGTATTCGAATTCACCTGGGGAATACACTTATAAATGCCACTTTGCATTGTATCTTCTACCCATTTATTCGAAAGAAACTACCAATTCGGTATCGATAATCTCCTAGACAAGAGGGATCAAGTAATGCGTACCTTTTACTACACCAATAAATGGTGTGATACTATCACAACGGGACTACGGTATTGATATGATTAATCATAATACTACCGACCTAAATTGGTATTTTTAGCCTTTAATACGCATTGGAATGATACCTAAAGCTATATATTTCTTATACATGATTGATATTGCACTGGCATTCGAAATACACCCCTTTCCGCTATAGTAAGCACATAAGATTGACCGCCACTAAGCTAACTCGAAAATACCAGTTATATACCACAAAACTAAAAGCACTATACTATCGCTTCTTAAGATCATTTCGACCCGTCTATTACACAAGTTATATTAAAAAATCCGTCGATAATAGACATAATCCCCATCCTTCTCTACCCTCCAAGAATCTTTAGCAACGATCTCAAGATCAATATTAATTATAATTATAAAACTTCAAACCACCCCCCAACGTCACTAGCGTCCCCAAAATTTAAAAAAACTTAGTATACGTATCATACCCAAGGAAGAGATCCAAGCTACCACGTAGCCAAACCATCGTGTATACCTAGGTATGTATATACATATAAGAGATCTCGATTCATTACTAATATAATGCAATAACACATATATACATTCCCCAAAAACCTACGTCGCATCATGCGTCTACAATGTATACAATGTACAAGTCTACTATACTCCAAATCCATAAATCCCCGTCCGCAAGAGTCAACCCTGCAAGATCTTAAGATCCGCCAATCAACCAAAAAAAAATCACATACATACCTCGAATAATATCGTTTTTAATTTTAAACATCTTCAACATTCCTCCGGTGGTGTAAGGCCCGACAATTACTTACTTACTTACTTACCTACTTACTTACTTGTACAAAGTGATCTAGCTATAGGACAACTCATGCATGCATGCGTGTATGTATGTATGTATGCTAGATGGATATGTATGTATGTATGTATGTATCCAGTATGCATAGGTGTTAAAGTAAGTTATTCGCTCGATTGGGGGGAAACCTGCAGGTTCTTTTGATTGAAGCTAAAATTCCTTTTCTAAAAAAACTATCCTTAACTGGTTGGCTCGTGCTTACGAGACTGGATCGCGCTCAATATGCAATCTGCATGCTGACTTTGAAAAAAAAAAAAAACACACGCCTGTTCTATTCAAACATCACACACACACACGCACACACCGTCCTACAATCGAACAATCAAAAAAAGATGAAATGAAATGAAAATGAAAAGCGAGAATGGTATGGTATAGTATAATGTGAAGAAAAAAATGTATGTTGATGATGAACTATTGTGACTATATTGCAAAATCACAAATGTATGGTTCCCTCCCTCCCTCCCTCGATCTAAGTTAAGGGGCTGGGAAGGAAAAAAAAAAAAAAAAGACAATAATGTTAAATGTTCCGCTTCAGTCTGGAATTGATGTTTTTTTAGGGTAAAAATGTAAATGAAAATGGTATGAAGATGCAGGAAAGGCGATAAGGGGAGAGAAAAAAGACTTCAGCTTATCTGTAAGCTGTTTTTGATGGTATATAGAACAAGAAAGCAAAAAAAAGGTTGTGAGAAGAGATCTGATGAGATACAAAAGAAACAAGAAAGAGAAAAAAAGACAAATGGAACAAGAATATCTATATCTGGGTACGATATGACAAAAGATATCAAGAAAAGATGAATAAAGCGAAACAAAAAAAAAGAGATCATGACCCTCGCTATTCCCTTCAACGCCAGAAGTTTTTGTTATTTCAAAAAACAAAAAGACAAAAGGAAGAAAACAAATGAAAAATGCCGGTATCGACGACCATGAAGCCGAATGACAATGATGGATATATAATAAAATATCAAACAACCCCCCGTAAAACCCTTTGTGAAAAAAGTGAGAAGAGAGATATAAGAAAATCGAAATAAAAAAAAACTCGCTGTCAATTCCCGACCAGCAAAAGGAAAATGGTATCAGCGTACTCAAAAATCACTCTAACCTGACCGACAAGCACAAGCGAGATTGCCAATGAAGTTATTGACCATATCCGTGATAAACATCCAAGTCCACATTCCCATAACGGAAATCAAGAAGATCCAGAACCGTGCCCCGACGAACTCATTCCTCCTAACATCCATGATCACCTCGTTAAGGTAATCCCCGAGGAGATAGTCAAGACTGAGTTCCTGCTGATCATCCCCAAATATCTCGGCGATGACATCTCTCTTAACTTCCCCATCAACTGGCTCTTGAGATTCATCGTCGAAATCTGTTGTTGTGATGATTACCTCGGGTTTTGGAGTATGACAAATTGGAATAATTGTTTCCGCTGATGATGTAAGAGATGATACGGAAAGATGGTCCGGCGATGGTAATAATTCCCCTCTATATCCTTCTCCTTCTTCTTCTACCGGTGGAGGTGTAGGTGGTGCGGTAGGTGGATCCTGTAACATAGGCCTGGTAGTCTCCTGGCTCACCAAACTCGGCATCTCATACATCGACACCTTCCGACTGGGTGCCGCAGATCTCAGACCAGGTTGGAGTTCTTCAATCATGAGCGTAGAAGTCGAAGTCGATAATCTGGACGAACAACGCGTGGTGACTTCTCCACGTTCGGAACGTATTTCGCTAACCTCCGCTTCTTCGGCTACGATTTCCGCTTGCGCTTCTTCCTCTGGATCTTCGCTAATGACTTCATAGTCCTTTATTGCGTCGTTCGCTTCTTTTAAGACGCTGGAGAGGAGGAAGGAGAGACGCTCAAGACGTTCGTCTTGGTCTTGATCATCTTCATCTTCGTCCTCATCTAAACCGGCTATGCCGGCAGCCGCTCTAGCCAACAAAAGTTCTTCATCTTCGTCGAGAAGTCGCCGACGATGGTTGATGTCGTCGTCATAGTCGGAGATGAGGGTTGTCGGTGAGGAGAGTTGTGTCAGATGGGATTCGTGGGATTCATATGACTGCTCGGATGAGGAGTTGGAGACATCTGTCGATGTCGAAAGGGGACGTGTTACAGCTGGTGAGAAGTATTCTATCGATGAAGGGTTTGTGAATTTGTCTGTTATGACGGCTGATAGACGGTCGATGGCTCGTCGTGTTCTGCATCGCAAAGTAATAATGATATTAGTACGAAATATTCAGAAGAAGGAGAGAAAAATGACATGACATCGGAATGAGTGTGTATTTTTTTTAGAAAAAAAAAAAAAAAAAATGGAGGAAAGCATACCCATCAAGATTATCTAATAAATCAAAAGTCCCTAATAACCCCTCTTCATGGTTTTGTAATTCGGTGAGGAGGTTGGAGAGCTGGTCCAGCAACTCGTCCCGTGGTGTTTCCCAATCGATATGCTCCATCATCATCTCCATTTTTGTCGGCGGCTAGCTGATGAACCTGCTTTCAAAAACAGCTCCCTCCCAACAAGATCTTATAGCTATCCGTAAGCTATCAGATATAGTCGGATCTAATCGTGCGTAGTTGCCAGAAACAACCAGCGAAAATAAATTTGATATCCTTTTTTTTTTGGTCCGTCGGATCCGGTTCTAAAAACGGAAGTGATATCAAGAGTAATTGATTGGAGAGTGATTAACGATGTGTCGTTGGTTGTTGAAAATGGAGCGAGAGAGGAGGAAGAGGAGCTGAGAGGGCATGCACGGGCGTTAAATTAAACCAAAGGGAAAAATATGGAAAACTGATTGACCTTGAACTACCCCTCTTTTTGACAAAAATAGGAAAGAAAAGGGAAGTTTAAAAGAAAAGAAAAAAGTCCGGGAGGTCCAAGATTGATGGCCACGAGGGGTTTGGGGGTATAAAAGGCAGGGAGGGGTGGGAAGAAAAGCAAGAAGGAAGAGGAGAGTGCAAGGCAATTATGAGGATTTGAGAGGAGAGGAAGAAGAAGCAGAAGCAGAAGAAGCACAACCGCAGCAGGGTAAACGAATAGGCGAGCCGGGATGAACAAGAATGGCTGATGGAATGCTTGCTGCAAGCTATAACAGACCGTGCAGCAGGAAGCAGAAACTCAAAAGTCGGAGGCTAGAATAGAATAGAAAGATAGATAGATAGATAAATTTCTTTCACCGCCGCATAGTTAGTAACTTTTGAAACGGATATCGAGGCTGGGAAATATCAGAGGTCGTATGAGGTTTATGCTAATTCAAGAAAGATCGGGTTAATGCCAAACGAACCACAGCATTAGCATAGCATTAACATTGGAGTCTACTAACGGATAACTCCACTTCGTATGTACGCCCAGCTACCAGATTCTCCGTTCTTGCAGCGGACTAGATCCGCGAGGGAATGGGAGGTTCGGTTCAGAAACGAGTGGTAGCACGACGATAACGAACTAGAAAGAGAGCAAAAAAGAACCAACTGAAAGGAAAGCCGAAGGAAAGGAAGGTAGCCTGACGTGGAGGTGCCAACGCACGATGTAGTCAGGGTTCTCCCGAAGAGGATAGTCTCTGATCTGGGGGATGATAATATAAAACAACGGAGGAGGACGAGGAGGAGGATGTGAAGTGGAGATGCAGGTAGGCTGCGGCACCTGGTGGACAAGCTCGACTGCCAGTTGGCCGACCTCGACTAGCTTAAGCAGTTAGACCGGTTTTCTCTCCTGCAGGTTGGCTATGTACCCAAGTCGCTAGCCTTGCCTTGCCTTGCTTTGCTTTGCTTTTATCGTGGTACGAAACCGCAAGCTTAAGACAAGCCCGGCAGCATCGGAGGATGGATGTATGTAGGTGGATGCATGTATATGTAGTGTTCAGGGGGGGGAGAGGAAGACGCGCATACCTGTAAAGTATAGATACTAACAACCCATAGACGTATCGATGTCGATATGTCGATACCTCTAATGATAGATAAGTAGTAGATATCACTAACTATCATGACGAGGAAAGGATCAGGATCAGGATCGAAAGTGGCGACGGAAAGAATCTAGTCAGGTTGACTGGAAACGGGCGGTTGTCGTCATGCTCTTCAGGCCCTGGAACCTCCCGCTCTCAGTTTAAATTTAAATTTAGATTTAGATTTAACACGCCGACAGACATTTTAAATATAATTAATTAGTCCGTGCGAATGGATATCTCCAGATTCAGATAGTAATAACTTAGATATTACAAAAGATCGAAGACGGAAGATTTAATTAATATCGCTCAATTGCAACCGGGACCCCCTTAACTCGGCATGTCCATTCTTTTCCCTCCCCTGTGCTGACTAATCTATATCCACCAATACAGTATATTCACAAGTCAGATCTAGATCTAAGTATCTAGAGCTTCAGAAGTAAGCACCATGGACAAGAACGTAGACATGTATACGATCATAAAATATTAAATTCCTCTGTAGACGCATGTATGTTAATCTATCATGCAAGATTCATATTTTTTCTCTCTTCCCACCCCTCCCTCCCTCAAGGAAAAAAAAAACCTTTTCGCGCCGCATGATATGTACGATGGACTTTTTTGCTTCAAGTGCAACCTTGCATAAAAAAAAAAATAGCAGGCACCAATCAATCCATCGAATCAAATCAAATCACCAGACCTCATCTCTAAGAAACAAAAAACGTGATCCGGGTCCCCACATGTCATGTCTTCCTTCTTACCCATCAATCAATCAATGCTCATTGGGCGGGGTCACCTGTTAACCTTACATGCTCTTTAGCTCCATTTGTCAAACAAAACCAGCCGACAATACCATGACTTTTATTTGAACATTCCATCGACAACAGATACCACCCCCCTCATGATTGAATAAAAATTTTTAAAAAAATAGTGCGATGCACTTAATTAACCTGCTTCTGGTATTAATTAATTAATACTATCATCTCATCTCCTCCAGCTTTTTTTTGTTCCTTTTAGAAGTTCGATTCGAATATACCCCCATCGCGTGGATATCCCCTCTTCCCCCCAATTCATCATCCGATGACCTTTTCTCTTCTTAACCCCGCAGTATAGTATAGTATAGTATAGTATAGTGTATTAGTAGTATCAGGAATTTCGGTTGATCCATTTCCTGCATACCTATTGATGCACTGTGAAGAGAAGACAAAAACCTTTTTCCTTTTCTTTTCTTTTCTTTCTCCTCTTCTTCTTCTTAGTTCCGATATAGCTATAGCTTGCAATCGGTAGCTAAGCTGCCTGGCTAAGCTAAGCTTCCCTGCTTTCTACCGAAGTTCTAACTTCCCCGTCTACATCACTCCCCATGGGCTGTGTCCCGTTTTTTTCTTCTTGATCACGAGCTAAAAAAATATATCAATAAAATCATAATGAGAGTATAAAAAAAAAGAGGAGTAAATGACTTGTCATGCATTAAAAAACAAAAATCTACAAATGAGAAAAAGACTAATGCATGGTCCGGCCCGCGTCTAATCCTCCAGTTTAGCTGACTTAGCTAACATCGTAACATCAAACTAGCTCTAAATTACTTTTCGATATCACAAGCCAGAAATTTCATTCATTCAGATGCATTAATGCCTACTAAGACATCCCATCCTTTCGGCTTTCTCCCAATAGCTCGCTAGCATGTACATGTCCTTAGCTAGAAGACTTAGATAGCTACCCAGCCGAGTCCAGGGGTGGAGGAAAAAAAAGAAGAACAAAAAAGGACCTGTCAACATGGAACATATCGATATCTCATCCAATCCGCTCATCCATCTCTAGCTATAGCTCTCTCTCTCCCTCTAGCTCTAGTCTGCATCCCGAAAATATTCAATTGATGGTTCTTGATGAAACATATGTAGGTTGCATGCAGATCGGTGGAATCTATAATACACCTTCTCTGATTCGACGACGAGATAACTACTAGTTCTAGGTACTCACTCACATATGTCTTTTTTTTAATCTTTCAATGCATTTTTGTGACAGCCTTCATTCAGATCGGATCGGATCAGATCTCATATTTTTTTTTTTTGATTCCCCTCGTGAAGCACTTGCTAAAATGTACATTTTGCAGGAAGGGAAAAATATACATGATCTATATTGAACTAGCTATCGAACACAAGTATAAGACGGAATGTGACTGAAGAAGGACCGGGGGGGGAAGAAGAAAGAGAAAAGAAAAAAGAAAAGAAAAGAAAAGAAAAGAAAAAAGAATGAGGAAAAAAGGAAAAGAAAAATGTAGGATGTAAGATGTAGTCTTTATCACTAATATATCGTACAGTACATGTATCGGCACCGAGTTCCAAGAAAAGACGAGCACAAATCCGGAGCTCTACAGCAAGGGAGCGGCAAGAATCGAAAGGAGAAGAAAAAAAAGCTCAGTCCTGACATGTGATGACGGAGAATGAGAATGAGAAGAAGAAGGAAGAAGAGGAAATATATAAAGTGCGGAAAACGTGGTAGCCAGACAGAAATTGTAAAAACACAAGGGTAGTAGTAGTCCATAATAAAAGTAAATATTGGTAGACGCCAGAAACCCCTCTTATGTACAAATAACAGGGCTAGCTTTCCACCGACGATATCCCATTAAGTCGTAGAAGAAGCGTATGAAGGTATGAGTTATAAAAAATCAAACACAGCAGGGAGATATAAAAGCAAAAAATGAAAAATAAAAAAAAGTATTCTATCGTGGAAACAAATATCATGCAAGGAGTTTCGCTTCTCTGGCGCAAAAATACAATCGGTATGCAAATCAATTTGCTCGATTCTCAATATCGTTCTCCGGTCGTTATCTTCGTTAATATGTAAATGTGTTTCCAGACTTCAAGTCGGTGCGAAGAGTCGTCGAGGTGCTGATTCTTTACTCAACACTGCTGGTCGATGCGGCTGGAGTCAAAGGCTTTGCTGGATCCTCAACTCCATTTGGTACTCCACCTGCTCCGCCCTTGCTGAACCATCCACCCATCCTATTGATCTCTCGTTAGCAAAAGCTTCACAGGATTCACGACTTGTTATTTTTTTCTTTTAGAAAAACTTACCAGCTTGTACGGTTCCCAGAAACATTCCTTGGAGTGGACGGCTTTGGTGGCGCGGGGCCTTCAACGAGCCTCAATGGCCTCAATGTCTTACCGGTCATCTGTCCACTCAAAGTGTGGTGGTTAGGATCGTTGGGATCCCTAGGAGTAGCCTCTCCACTCTCCGAGGAGTTCGATGAAGAAGCTGGACCCCTAGCACCAGGCGACAACGGGCCGTTTCCAAATCTCGGGCCGGTATAGAAGGTTGTCTTGGCAGGTGGGCTGCTGTCTCCGTCCATTCGGTACATGGGGTTAACCAAACTGTAGTTAGCGGGCGGCGATGTAGGGCTCTTTGTGTCGGACTGTGACCTCCTATGTCCAGGCGTGAAAGTAGAGCTAGTAATGTGCATCGTCTGTCTTCTAGTGATTGGGCTGATCATATCATCCTCCTCGACACCAGTGCTTCTTGGCGGTGGTGGCATGCTGGCGCGGATTGGTGGGCGCTTGACAAAGATAGACTTGGATCGTTGTGGGATGACTGGTGGTAGGCTCTCCTGTGGGACCGGTGGAAGTGCCTTCTCATTGGCCGGGGTCCGGTCAAGAATGTTCTCCTGGTTGGAGTCCAGCAGGCGTTCAATCATAGTATTAATATATAATGTCATCGCCTTATTCTGATCCTTCAACGACTTGATCTCATTCTCAAGCTTCTTGTAGTCATCTTGTTCCTCCTTCTGGCTCGCCGACTCGATTTCTTCCGCAAGAGTAGAGCCGAGGCTTTCCTGCTTGGTTTGCGACGACGAATCGGAATCCTCGATGTGTTGTCCGAGGAATCCATTCCTAATGTCTCCGTTCATGGTCGCCTGTCCAAGCAAGAGCTGGAAGCTCTCATTTTCGTCCTGCAGCTTCGCGTTGCTCTTACGCAACTCGGCAAGCTGGTCGGTGGCATCCTGGAACTTGCGTTCCTCGAGCTTCAAAGCTTCCGAAAATCGGGTCTGGGCTTCAGCGAGCTCGATTCGTAGGGATTCAATTATCTTATCTTTTTGTCCTGTGCCTGTGGATCGTGGGGAAACGATGGGAACATCTTCTTCTTTAGCTAAGGGGTTCGAATTAGGCACGTGATCTACCAGCAGCCGGGTTTCGGCGAATAGAAAAACAGGACGACGAAAAAGAAGGTTTGGAAGGGGAAAAAAAATTAGAGGGGAAGGGGAAAAAAAAAAAAAAAAAAGAACTCACCTTCGACAGTATCCGGAACGTCAGAGGAAGGTTTATCTCTCGAGTTCAATGCTTGCTTGAGTCGCTGAATGATTTGAGTCTGCGCCTCCTCTTTCTCGGACATTTCGTCCTTTTCGGTCATGAAGGCAGTTCGCTAAGTTAGGGAGCTTCCGTTAGAACAGAACAGCACAGCACAACAGAGCAAAGCACCGATAGTGTAAAAGGGAAAGAAAGGCGAGAACGATTAGGAGTAGGGACATACCTCAGCTTCGAATAGCTTCTCCTGATCTCTCTTCGCACGTTGTAGTTCCTTGAGGTCGTTTTCGAGAGTTTCGGCAGCATCGGTCCTACCGGCGAGCTGATCCTCGAGTTTGCTCTGTTCGGCTGAAGCTTCATCAATCCTTGCCTGCAAAGCCTTGATTTGTTTCGCAAAGTCTTCCTCCATAGCCAAGTTCTTCGCTTCGGTCTCTGCAACCTTCTTCTTAAGGTCTTCCATCGCTACAGCGTTCTCTAGTTGTGAATCGGTAAGGTCGGATGTCGGAGAAGTAATGATGGTTGATCGTCGAGCAACAGCTTTAGCGCTGAAGGGACTACCAGTCCTGGTAGCAGGTGAAGTAGTAGTAGGAGTTCCGGGTTTCTTATCGGTAGTAGAATGATGGATGGTATCTCTTTCCTTGGAAGGGGTATTTGATCTGACGGAAGGAATAGAGGAACGGGCAGCACCCGGAGGTTTATAAGATCGGGCAGGGCTAGACGTTGTGGGGGTGGGTGGCTGTTTCTTGACGTTCGCGGTAGCCATGTTTGGAAGAAGCAAGAGCTGAGATGGAGGCTATCTTGCAGGAAGGTCTAGCTCATATATGTAAAGGGGTGTGTGTGTTTCTGTGTGTGTGTGTGTTTCTGTGTGTGTGTGTGAACGAAGGACAAGCCTGAATAAGGGAAGCACAGGGAATAAGAAAATTAGCGGGTTTGGAAAAGAAGGGTAAAAAAGGGTGTGGGTGATGGTGTGGTAGATACTTTAAACGGGGGAGGGAAGAATTGAAGGAAGATTAGTTAAGAAGGGAAGAAGAAGAGTAAGTAGTTAGGGGGACAGGATGGGATGATGGATGGGATGAGTAGGGAAGAAGGGAGAAGAAAGAAAGAAAGGAAGAAGGAAAGGAAGAAAGAAAGAAAGGTAAAACAAGGACCAAATTATGCAGCGTAGAATTGAATCGGATTGAATTGGAAACCGGGTCTGAAGTGTGCCTGTGCTTGCAGTGGATATCGTTGCTATGCAGGAAGTTCAACAGTCGAAAGAATTAAAAGAAGAATAGGAACAAGAAACATCCCCGGCTCAGATCCCTCACTTTAATCTTTGACCACCAGGGACTTCCCGGGAAAATCAATTCTAAACTTTGGATACTTACACGGAGTAACTGGCTATTCAATTAGCTCGGAGGTATGAAGTAGTAGTTATTGGCCGTCGGGATGTAACTATGTAAGTACTAACAACGGTGAAGTGATAGGAAAGTGGTGATGCTCTCTCTCTCTTTCGGTTACCCCAAAAAAAGTAGAGCCACGGGAATGCAGGTTCTAAAGCAACGAATGGACGATTAAAAGAATCGAACGGGAATGAAAGATATATTAATTTAAACTCTCAGAGGGAAAAGAAAAAAAAAAAAAAAAAAAAAGGAAGACACTAATTAATATGGCAGATCGAGATCGAAGAAGCTCTATGACCATTACTCCTCCTCCTCCTCCTCTTCCTCCTCGCAGGACTACCACTACTACAATTGCTACGATTACTCCAATTCCGACTACTGCTACTTAGCGATAGCACCAATGTATGCACTTCATTTTGGGTATTCTACCAGAAGCAAGCATGTCAAGCACCGGGTCTCTTTATTCGGGACAGACTAATTTACTGGCATCGGCAAAATGGGGCAGTTGCAGCCCAGCCTGGTCACCTTCCATACAGCCATCATGTCACCGCCTACCTAACCGAAATATCGCCAGTTCACCTCAATTCCAGAAATTCCTTTTGTCCAAAAATTCAGGAGAAACCGGCAGGTCTACGGAGTACTTTCTCTCTTCGGGTACATAACTGGTCCGAACACACGCCTAGCATTGCTACGGTTAGTACAGACTTGGGTACATGTACCTGCTTATACATGTCCGGTACAAAAATACGAGCTACTCCGAGGACGTCTTGAGTTTTGATCAAAGTGAGACCGCCCGATTCAAAATCCGACTGTGAGGGAGAGAGAGAAAAAAAAAAAAAAAAGAATTAGCTTTTCATGCCAGGCACCCGTTGTCAATGCCCAAACATGTCATGTTGGACAACCTGAACTATAACCAACGGGTAACCTAAAAAGAGCCCCTGAATTAAAAAACAACTGGCAGGAAGGTACAGCGTAAGGTAGGGACCGGCAGACGCCGTTTGCGTCGAGGCAGCACACTGTTGGTACCTGATCGTCTGTTCATGTTGCCACCCAACCAACCACACCCGTACATACCTCCTCGTAGGTAATATGTACCCACCAGACCACCCACCGATGGCGACAGACGAACGGGTACATACGCACTACGGAGTACCAGGTATTACACTAAGGAAATCAGTTCTAGAAAAGAAAGTGGGCGGTGAAGCAAACAAGCCACATCCATCCAACGTCATGTCCAACGCATCTGCCCTGGCTGGGTGGCGGTCAACCACATTCGAGGTTGACTATCGATTAGCCTACCGCTAGATGACGTACCGAACGAAAATAGAATGTTCCAATTCCGTTTCCTTTCCCGTCCCTTTACTCTTGTCTCGTCTGTCCATTCAGCTGAAACCGCCGTCGCAGTACCTGCTGATGCACACATATTTTTCGACGTGTGTGCCTGCAGATGATTCACTCTAAATTCGGTCCCATTTCCGCGGTACGGCGGCGGCTGCGTTGAACCACGTTTCGTCTACAGATGCTAATCCTACAAACTAACCAAGAACATCGGAATTCTCAACGCCAACCTGACACATCAGCCTTTATTTCTTTTCTGCTCGCCTCGATTTTAATATAGTAACAAAAATCCAGATCGATCTCTCGGAAACCACCGCATTCTATTATCGTTGACAGGATAACTAACGAAATAACAACGGTTTCATGAAATAAATAAAAAATAAAAAAAGATATTAGACTAAACAGTAACTCGAACCGGTATTGATAGCGTGTTTCAAAATTTCCAAACGGTCTGTGTATATGTGAGCTGGTTACAAGTTTACATTCCTCATATGATTCCCCCTTCATGCCGTCCCATGTGTAGGATCACGGGGGTAGAATCCAGAACCTGATCGAATATTAAATTCCCCATATACAAATCCTTTACCCTTTCGACAGGAGTATCATAGATACCGTTTTTGAACGTGTGCGCTGGCCAAGCTTGAGTATGTACAGATTTATGTCCCTTAATAAATTCCCATGAAACTTGGATGTTATAATTTTAGCTAGATGGTTATCATATCTAAACCAACGGTTTAAAAATGCATTCGGGTTTTTATAAAGCATTTATTAAAATTCTTCACCGTATCAGAGTTCTAATATTTATTTGATGTCGGGTACAATGTTAGAATACGGCTGTAATAATATTATCCGCCTATATTAAATACCCAGGTATATAGAAGGAACAATAATATGGGGTTTACACGGCCCGGAACCACTAAATTAAGTTTCGAATCTGGGGTATCGAAACAAGCCCATTTAACGTTTTTTTTTTTTCCTTCTAGAAGTTCGGCTATCTACATGCACCGGATCTAGAATCAATAATCATTCGAATTATTTATCCGTATAAGATGCGTCTGTGCTCTAAAATACCGGAAACCCTGTCGCGCCACCACTAATTGCAATAGGATGTATGTAACCGACCCCTAGAATCAATTTCATGACTTGAAAGCCAATGCTCCAGTACGAGAACTTCTATAGATCTGTTGTTGATGCCCAAGTCATTTAATTCCTCGAAGGGTTGATATCATGATTGTGAAGTCACTCATGAACCTTCGCCAAATTTTGACTGAACAACTAATTCTAATTCTAAAAAAATACCATCCGCGGTCTTCGTCTCCTTTTTGCTAGGTTATTATACTAATATAATAGATCTAGAAACTCGTACCATTTCATTATAGAATCTTCAAAGCTCAAGAGAAGTCGTTTATAGAGCCATCGTGAATGCTAGCTCCCTGGTTCAAAACTCACCCTCATATTTTATATATGTCAATTCAACTCATATAATATGTACAACTGGCTGTATACATGAGTGATTGCATTGCTGGAACGGGCGAGTTTAAAGAAGAAGCAGGCCCAAGAACACGTACTGCAGTAGTACTGGTAAGCCATTGCATGGAGTGGTTGCCAACATTATCCTCCACAAATATTAATATCACATCTCTTCTGTGCGAGATCATATCCAATGAACATCCCCAGTCTGCTTTTTGGTTTCAGCTTGGCTCTGTCTTTTTTCGGTATGTGTGCCCACGCAAAGCATCCAAAAACTTTCAGGTTTGCGACATTTGGCCCCTTCCCGGACATCACAAAGGGGAGGCATTCGAAAAGCTTATCTTCATTCCTTTTACTTAACGAACTCTGATAACTTTTGTTAAGTAGCATCGTTTGTGCGACCCACCCTATTGTGCCATATGGAAAGAGGTTGGTGATTGACAGTATATATATACCTATATATGTGTGGTAACTAAGTAGGCATTGGGGCGGTGGAAAAGAAATGTACCTGCTTATAGAAGAAACCAACTGCAGGAATATCATGATGTCTATTTCAATTATCCTGCCTCCTTGGCCATTTGTGACGTCTGGGAACGAGACCAGGTCGACTGCTTTTTTTGTGGATCTAAGTTGTATATGCTATATAATCTAGACATAGTAAGTGTTTCTTCCCTCGAGAATATATAAAGTAGGTAAGCTGGTGTATCATGAATTCTTAGTGGTATAGGTAAATGTTGTGATTCGATCGAAAAGAATTGGTTAATCTCATTATTTCGAATTCGAATGTGTCGGATTAATTGATGGGATACAGTTGCGCCACTGTGACTTCCCATTACATTTGAAAATTGAATTCTCAATTTCCACCAAGATGTTGTATCTTCATGGATCTCCTCTTGCTCGTTTTTGCTAATTAGCCCTTCTCATTATATGTAATTGAAGATATGTAGAACTTCACAGCCGGTGGAGTTATTATTTAACGCAAGTGGGAACCCTTGCACAAAATCGCCAACTATATCATCCTTCTTTTTCTTGGGCACCTTAAAATTGCGTTTATAAACTTTCAGTATGCATCTTACTCGTCGAATAATAACTGTAGTTCTTTAGGGCCGTCTCCCTATATACCCATGCATCAATGTGGTCTCGTTCCCAGTATTGATGTTAATATAGATAAATGAGTAGCAATGTAGAACGTAGTATCGCACCCACATGACGTCAGCCCATTTCGCATCCACAGCGACTTCATCTTTGTAGGTTATAATTTTGGTTTACCTAAACTCTCACTTCTAGTAAATCTGTGTGTAGGATTTTATATTCAAGTTTATTACTCTGTAGTTGGAAAGACGAATGTCGAGACCTCTCACCCGTTGATCATAATTAAGTAACCACCGGTAGTTAGTTGTCGGTGGGTCTATACAGAACTAGACATCAGTTCGTCGTATTGAATCTTAGTCGAAGTCAGGTCGACAGCTTCCCACTCTCATAATGTAGGAGGCTTGATTTGGGGAATATTATTGTTGCTCAGCTTTGATCTACCTTGAAACTCAATTCCCAAATGCATTGAAGGTCCGTTGTTCCTAGCTATATCAATGCCGTAAGACCAGGAAACGCTTGTAGCCGAGTATACTAACATCATGGTACGAACATGTCAACGAAAGGTCGCCTGGTTAAGATACCGACGGGGCGCTGCATATATCACTACAGCTTGCACCAAGCCAAGTATATTTCAAACTAGCTCCTTATATACTTATTCATAGACACCATCCATAGTACAAGAGCCTAGAATGCGAGAAGTCAACGGTTTAATTTATATATATGTCGAATGAGAATCAATATATTCATCTCTCGGCTCAGTAACACGCCCAGGCACCAGTACTCTCCAACATGAAATGAAAATTCTTGGAAGATAATTTAGTCCCCTCAATTAATCACGATATTTCTTAATACCGTCTTGCAGAATACCCAGGTGCATTGGTTACTTGTTCGTCTGGCCAGCTAGCTGGGTAGCGCTTGGGGAGCAGTCGAGTATTGGTAGTTTTATTTACTGCCGTTTTAGTAGTTACTTTAGGGTCCGGACGTCAAAAGCTTTAAAGCCGGAATTCTAAGGTCATCTACTTCCGTTCGTAATGCACGGCATATATGGTGCACTTCTATAGATCTAGCCACCGCGCATATATAGCCCATTATATATTTCACGCAGAAGGACAAGCTACGTCTGTATACAAAGCATTTGATCCCTTTTAATATTATGCAACGGTTTCATTCGAGATCTCTTCTACCAATCGACCTGTACTATCCCTCCGGAGCTCCCTACAGGAAATTAAAACTCGGATCTTCTGGTTGAGACCATTAGGGGACATAGCGCCATAGTATTATACATCAGCAATTGGGAAATCTCTTTACTCAAACCGGACTTCGATAAAATCTCCATGGTAATAGCGCTATAGCCTTAAAGGATATTGCTCTCTATAAAACCTTTCCGCAGTCTCAAAACTTGAACCCAACGGTCTGGAAATATTTCTCTTCTATAATCTTGAACGCCCGCAATGTAACTCATCTACTGATATAACGTATCATATATATATACCCACGCACACTGGCAAACCTCGCAGAGGTTTAGGATCCAGGACTGACGACTAAAGTATCATCATCGTCTCCTTTTCACCCTCCCTACCGTATACTGGACAAATAGCGTGGGGATATCTGAGAATATATATATCGAAGTCGCCGGGTCCCTTCGAAGCTTCGTCACTTAAAGATTTTATTTCCATGAGTATACGGTCGTTTAGCTTTTTTTTGTGGGTTATAAAAATGACTAGAAACCATATTCTGCGTCGTAGAATGCTTCGGCTTATGAGATGGTATCATACGTTTGGCTCGAGACTCCGCGCTCGAGGTGGAGTCATGCGCCGGTATTCGTTGCTAGGTGCATTCTGTGCACATGCATATGGACCAGAAGCTCCAAGATTATTGAGATATCGATCTGGTGGGGTTCAAGCGTTCTCTAGGCGCTCGAGGGTTAACATCAACGGTATATAAGCCGTCGTTATAAAGTATTTAACTTATTGAGGGGTTACCAATGTTGAAGAATCCTCCATTGCGCTCGACCGAAACCATCGTAGACTGTATTGGCGTTAACTATAATCCTAGAAAGGTTGAATAACCTCAAACAACTATTTAAAGGAAACTATTTCTGTAAGATGGTGTATATATATATATTACTTTATTGATATATGCATGGCTGAATCTTTGCTTGGGGTCAGTACTAGAGTACTAAGTGACCATTTTTGTCTTGTGTTTTGTAGGTAGTTGTACGTAACTGGTGTAACCAAAGTGACGATGACGCTGATTTTGGTTTTGGTAGTATAATAGTCGGGTGCACGAGGTGGAGGCCGTACGGCGACAGTGTTCAATGACGCTTGTAGCCTAGGTAATGTGCTACGACCCGTCGGCCTTCATGACCATTCCGAGCTGTTGAACATATATATGAGGGTCTTATAGCCCGATCCGAATGAATTCATCTACTGCGACCGCGCTGAATCCGAGATAAGATTATCCCCTTGGATATAGCCCTATAGTTCATTTTTTATTGTCGACCGGCCACATCCCGGGTAGCCGTTGCATTCGCGAAATAGCGAATGGACCATGGGTATTTGTGGCATTCTCCATTGGTCGTCACTGGTAAAATCTTTTTAAGATATAATGGTCGTCGTTTCTAGTGACATATTTGCTGTTAGGGTCTGATTTCCTAATAATTTCGAGGCCCAGTATACGTATACCTTGGTCTTGTACGAATAAGAATATGTCGTTAACGCGTTTTGTTTGACCATGATTCGAATATTCGTTCGAGAGATCGTCGAATAATAGAGCAAGCGTCACTCCATCTTACAGGCCTAGCTCATACTCCTTTCTGGTTTCGGAATAGATATTTAGTCCATTTCTGGCGGGTCCGAGTCAGGTCCTCGTATCATATATATATTCGACGCTGAATCTAACCTAAATTGGGAACGAGACCAACCTAGATTGTCAATTCTAGGCATTTGAGTAGTTGCTTCCTCCTGGTGTGTGTATGTCGAAGTGTACCCCGTAGGTCAGAACGGCTACCGTTTGGGGGGGTTTTTTTTTTGAAGTCAGACGTGTTTGAGAGAGTAGATTGAATTCATGAAGTACTTGAGGACCAATTTCTCTCTGTGTTCTTATTAGTAAGCCTGAAGGTTTCGTTCGAGGCATCGTAGAACCTTTCTAGAAGAGGCCAAGCGTTCTGCATCTGTTTTTACTGATGGTATTCGAAGCCAGCGTACTACTAAAAGGGTTCTGAAAGAAGTGCTTGTAGATTGCCTCTGGCGCAGCATGCAGATGAAGAGCCAATATGTTCTTCTATAGCTAAGGTTGTAGTAATTTTGAAGTTGCGTGATCCGCTGGGAGGACCCTATATGTGTCGTCCTTAAATCATGAAGGGTTGATGATTAGAAACGTGATGCTTTTAATGGCTTTTCATATTTTTCCTTCTTTGTTTCTATTTTTTTTTTTTTTGCAACATACCGGGCCTGAAAGACCCTGGTAGGTTGGGGCTGAATGAAAGCTGAGGTATATGAAAAGCTCTAGAGGAGAAGCTAGTGAAAGGATAGTGGTGATAGAGCAGCCATGGTTCGAACGAAAGTACAAAGTGCTTTATCGATCCCCTATCAGAAGTTGTTATGTATATACAGGAACAGTATTGCTGTGATTCCTGGATGAGACGGGTTTTGTGACCATAAAAACAGCCATTTTAGATCGCGTCTGATCGATATGTTGATGGAATTAGGGTTTGGACTGTGGGAAGGATGGTAGAAAGAAGAAAGATTTCCTCTGAGATGGGGGGATGGCTGCCATATATACCTGGGTAGGCCTCATAGAACCCTGGAGAACTTCTGAGCTATACGGAATATATGAGCGCTTGTTCTGGAGGGTTTGTGAAGCTGTAGCGACTTCCAGAACATGGTAGAAGTGCAAATATTAGGATATAGGAGCATGAATATGTGAGAAAGGTCTATTCCTAACACCAAAACGCCTGGGCATTATACGATCCTATCCTACAAAAGAACAATACAGAAGCTTCTAGTATACATAGCTTAGTTGAAATGGATACCTTCTTTGTTGAAGGTGTAAAGTAGACTATACGACCGTGGAAATACGTTAGCGTATCTACAAGCGAATTGAAACCGGTGTTGCTTTGTGGTATTTCGGGGTTTACATACCTGAGGAAATCACCCTGGTCGCATTTTGCAGCTCTGCGATTTGCAAGGTCGGTTTCTTCGAGGACCTTTTTAACTTTCGACCTCACCAACTCTGCAACTTTGCCTCTATACTTCCTTTTCCCTTGCTTCTTTGCGCCCCGACTTTCATTTATAATCTCATGGTAACCTCTCGGCAAGTCATCATCCTCGACTCCTTCCAGTCCTTCCATAGCATCATTGTCCGCTGCCACTTCCTCAGCTTCTCCACCCATTTCAACATCTCCATCGCCTTCCTCCGTCTCTAGAGGAATGTCATTCTGTGCACACCAAGTCCTGTAGTTTCTTTCAATAAGTGTCTGCACTGTTGACAACCCAAACACCGCTGAAATTGTCTTATTCTTCCTGATAAACAATATTCTCAACATTCCATCCCATTCTTCATACGACACCGTCGGCCTAGGAACCTTAGGTTCAATTTTCACAACCGCAGATTCAACTTGTGGCGGCGGCTTAAAATTCCCCTTCCCAACCTTCATCACATGTGTAACCTTCGACCACATCTGCACGTTCGCAGATAACCTCGAGTAAAAAGCATCACCAGGTTGAGCCGTCAATCTATCCGCAAACTCCTTTTGAAACATGAGTACGCACATCCTAGGCGGTGTGGGTAATGCTAATAGTTTAAAAACCAATGGCGAAGAGATCTGGTAGGGTGTATTACTGATGCAGACGTCGAAGTATGGAAGCTCGGTTTTGATGACATCGCCGAGCAGGATTTCGAGTTTTCGTTCGACGGGTTTGCCTTGTACTCGTTTTGTGAGTTCTGCGGCCATACGAGGATCCATTTCTACAGCGATGACTTTGCGGGCGTTTTCAAGGATTTTCATGGTTAGGTTACCAGTTCCGGGACCGACTTCGAGGACGACCTGGATATATTCTTGTTAGCCATTTGTATTCTACTTTTTCTTTATTTTTTGGTTGATGTGGAATACACACATCACTCTGCTTCAACGCCGCTTTATCAATAATCCTATCCACAATACCCGGATTGATAAGAATATGCTGACCCATATCCTTATTCATCTTGAAGATGTTATGTGCTACTTTCGCAGCAGCAGAGGCAGCAGGAGTGCCTGAGTATGGTTTCCCACCGCGACCATTGGGTGCACCGGTACCGCTGAAATTTCGCTTCTTGGTCCTATCTTTCGGCATGATTATGGGTACTATTATTCGACGGGAGAGGAGGGATGAAGTAAGGATTCTATCCTGTGTCGTGGTACGTAACAGTAATACGGAGGCTGTGGAGACGAATGTCATGCATTGGCGCTGGGAAATGGAATCGGTGGGAAGTTTGCGGGGAGTGAAAGCTTTAAATTCTCTGTTTGGAGCTGGCTGGCTGGGTTCGCTGGAAATATTTTTTTTTTATGCGGCAGCTAAGCGATCGAGCTGCACAGGATCCTTGCACTAGGTTAAATCGTGAATTAGACTGAGGATGAGGAAGGAGATATATTTTTTTTAATTTATTGATGGAGATAACATCATTGAATGTGGATTGAAGGGTCTCGAGATTCCATAAAAGCGTAGAAGGTCGGACCTCTATCATATTCAATTAGAACATGCTTTCTTAAGCATTCACGAATTCTAAACCTCACGTGACGCCGCATCCGTGGCTAGTGCATCCTGTGGCTAATTCAAGGCCTGCATTAAGACTAATTCGCGACCCATCCTGCATCTCAACTTTCACGACTTTCACCTTCTCCATCACATACACCTCCACCACCCCCAAAAACCCGCCCAGCATGATGAACAAAAAGTCCTTCCTCCAAATGGAGGCGCCGGCCAACTACGTCGCAGGTCTCGGCCGTGGTGCTACCGGCTTCACCACTCGTAGCGACATCGGTCCGGCACGCGAAGGTCCCTCCGAAGAAGCCATCAAAGCAGTTCTTGCAAAGCGCGCTCAAGCGCTAGGACAGGACGCTACATCTACGTTCTCGAAGGACAAGAAAGATGACGATGACGATAATGATACGGAACGATACCAGGATCCTGAGAATGAAGTCGGATTGTTCGCTGGCGGTACATACGATGAAGATGACGATGAGGCGGATAGGATATATGCGTCTGTAGACGCCAAAATGGATAAACGACGGAAGATTCAAAGGTTAGCATACCCCCAGCCCCCATTGCACATCCCCTCCTTTACAATTATATATGTCCAATTCTCTTCTCTTTATTATCAATCACTTGTCCCTTTTTTTTTTTTGGAAAAAAACGTTATTCATCCGTAAATAATTTTCCTCTCTCAAAGAAACAGCCTTGCCGACATATGATTTTTCTACTCTAAACAGGGAAGCCCGCGAAATCGCCGAACGAGATGAATACGAACGTAAAAACCCAAAGATCCAACAGCAATTCGCAGACCTAAAACGTGGATTGGAAACCGTATCGGATGAAGACTGGGCAAGTCTTCCCGAGGTTGGGGATCTTACAGGTCGAAACCGAAGAGCAAAGCAAAACCAGATCAAACGGTTCTATGCCGTTCCGGATTCCGTACTAGCGGGCGCACGAGATCAAGGTGCAATGGACACTACAGTTCAAGAAGACAATGCAGACGGGACGATGACCAACTTTGCATCCATCGGTGCAGCCCAAAAGAAAGTCTTTGGCTCGAGATTAGACCAAGTCGCCGCTTCAAGTAACGACTCAGCAGGAGGATCTACAAATGTTGACCCGAAGGGTTATCTTACCAGCTTAAACAACAGCGTCATCCAATCAATCACAGAGCAGGAAGTCGGCGACATAAAGCGTGTACGGTCCCTCCTCGACAGTGTCGTCAAAACCAATCCAAAGCACGCACCAGGCTGGATCGCAGCAGCAAGAGTTGAAGAATACGGTAACAGAATCGTACAGGCAAGGTCCATAATAGCCAAGGGATGCGAGCACTGCCCGACAAGCGAAGATGTCTGGTTAGAAGCCATCCGCCTAAACGAGTCTCAAAACGCCAAAATCATCGCCGCAACGGCGGTCAAAAATCTTCCGAAATCAGTCAGACTGTGGATCGAAGCTGCACGACTGGAATCAGACCCCCGTGCTAAAAAAAGGGTTATAAGAAAGGGCCTCGATGTTATTCCACAATCTGTCCAGCTATGGAAGGAAGCCGTGAATCTGGAAGACGACCCAAGTGACGCTAAGATTCTACTCGCACGTGCAGTGGAGTTGATACCCATGTCCGTGGAGCTCTGGCTCGCCCTCGCCCGTCTAGAAAGCTACGCAAACGCCCAAGCAGTCCTCAACAAAGCCCGTAAAGCCGTACCATCGTCTCACGAAATTTGGCTTGCAGCCGCAAGACTGCAGGAACAAGAAGGAAAGGGCGATGGAATAGTCTCACAAGTCATGAAACGTGCTATCAAACAGCTTTCGGATGTTTCTGCTATGTTGAAGCGCGAAGAATGGATTGCTGAAGCGGAGAAGTGCGAAGAGGAAGGTGCGATCTTAACCTGTCAGGCTATCATTCGAGAAACTCTTGGGTGGGAACTCGACGAGGACGATGATAGAAAGAAAACCTGGATGGAAGACGCACAAAACTCCATCGGACGCGGAAGATATGAAACTGCCCGGGCAATCTATGCCTATGCCCTTCGAGTATTCTATAATAAGAAGTCTATATGGCGGGCAGCTGCAGATCTTGAAAAGAATCATGGTACCAAAGAAGCTTTATGGGCTCTCCTCGAGAAAGCCACAGAGTCTTGCCCAACCTCTGAGGTTCTATGGATGATGCTCGCCAAGGAGAAATGGCAGTCAAAGGACGTAGACGGTGCTCGCCGAGTTCTTGGTTTAGCCTTCAAACAAAACCCTAATAACGAAGACATTTGGTTGGCAGCCGTTAAACTTGAGGCGGAGAATAAGCAATTTGATGCCGCTAGGTCGCTGTTGAAGACTGCTAGGAACGAAGCAGGTACTGCTAGAGTGTGGATAAAGTCGGTTGCGTATGAGCGGCAGCTAGGGGATATCGATGCCGCATTGGAACTTGTAAACGAGGGATTGGAGAAATACCCAAAGATAGACAAGTTATGGATGATGAAGGGACAAATCTACCAAGGAGAGAGTAAACTACCGCAGGCGAGGGAGGCTTATGCCAGCGGTACCAAGGCTTGTCCATTTTCGGTTCCACTTTGGATACTAGCTTCAAGGCTAGAGGAGGCCGCCGGCATAGTTATCAAAGCGAGATCGATATTGGATAGAGCAAGACTAGCGGTTCCGAAGAACCCGCAGCTGTGGTGCGAGTCCGTCCGAGTGGAACGTAGGTCAGGGAACATCCAGCAAGCAAAGACATTGATGGCAAATGCACTTCAACAATGTCCCAGCTCCGGATTACTATGGACGGAGTTGATTATGCACCTCGAAGGTAGATCGCAGAGGAAATCTAGAATGGTGGAAGCCATCCGAAAAGCAGAGAGTGACCCGGTACTCATCGTCACCATCGCAAGAAATTTCTGGGCGGAAAGAAAGTTGGATAAAGCTGCTGCATGGTTCGAGAAAGCCATTGTGGCGGACGCAGATCAGGGAGATACATGGGCGTGGTATTGGAAGTACCTATTAGAACAGGGAACAGAGGTATGTCGATCAATTTCATCGAAAATAATATGAGATTTACTAATATATAATTCGATTGACACAGACGAAACGAGCAGATGTGCTATCGAAATTATCGGTTACGGAACCAAGACACGGTGAAATATGGCAGACTATCGCGAAGGCGCCACAGAATGCAACGAAGACACCGGAGGAGATATTATACATGGTAGTTGAGAAGTTGGAGTAGGGGTTGGCGGGGAGTGTATAACTGAGAATGGTGTTCATCTGATATTTTGCCCCGGTTTTGAACATCTATGTTTCTTCGTTGATCTTCTATTATCGTGTACTATATATACAAGCCATGTAGTTCATATACTGCCACTACCGCCCATCAGGTCGGTCACGAGACCGTTCGTACTATTCTTGTTGATACCCAAGTCTCCTAGTTAGGATCCAATTCTCAGTTATGTGGTAGGTTTTCAAATTCTCAATACATCATAGTTACGGGAGGGCCCTAGGCCTAGGGGCAAAGCTTGAAGTAAGAAATTAAAGAGTAAATTTTAATATGTACAAGCACAAGGCTGTAATCCCAGCATTTCATGCTTCCAAATACTAATATATATATATATCCAATGAAAGCCCGATTTTATGAACAATAAGAAGAGTCTATGCCATAATGATAATAATTTTGTGCTTCCCCGGCTCATTTTTGATTTCCATCCCAAGAGGCAGCAATTATGACTTATGTTCAAAAACGCCGCTCAAAACTAAACCCCAATGATAAAAGAGCAATATGGATGATGGACTTGAGAAGTCGAATGAAGACCCGCTCAAAGGCACAAAAAAAAAAAAAAAGACAAGAATATGGAGAAGGGGAGGAGGGGGTAAAAGAATATCAAAGAAACCATGCCTGCTGAAAAATCGCTTTTGTGGATTGCTTTTGTTGCGCACCTCGTCCGTAAGCATTATCAGTAATTAAAGAAAAATGCTTCCATCACATTAAAAAAAAATTTCAAACCACCCAAATTTTGTGAAATGTATGATTCGAAGCCGAGATAAGAGGGTGGGGGGAGATATAGAAATTGGAGGATCAGATCAAGCGTATGTTCCTGGACACTTCGATCGCCAGTCGCTGATCTTCTTTTCCACACGTTCGGGGATCCAACCGCTAACCCCAAGTTTCCTCCACTCGTCGTAGGTCCCGTCATTACGGAGCCGGCGGCCGTAGTTGAGCTTCGGGGATAAACCACAGATACCGTCGCGGTAGTACCATTGGATGCAGTCCTTTTGTTGGGTCTCGCATGCAATTCGGCCTATAGTAATAACCGTTAGTATTCTGATTCGGAAATATACATCTAAAATGGCTTTCTGGATGCCGACTTACAGTTCCTTTCATTGAGAATGGATTCCTTTTGCCACAGCAATACACCTTCTTTTAGGACGTTATCTTTGTTCCATTCGGTCTCCTTCCAACTCCTATTATCCCAACCAACCCTTCTGGCTGACATCATCATCGTCCCATCACTATCCTTCTCAGCGATTCGGGGTAATTTCCTGGCGATAAAATAGTCGAACATATCCCTAAACAGTATATTCTTATACTGCTTCAAATCTTGGCTCCTAGCCTCTCTAGGCATTTCCGAAAACTTCCATTCTTTGAAACCACCTTCATACTCTTCCGTCCATCCTTCAGGACGCCATTTATCCATCCCATTCTTCTTGAGCATGTATTGTTCGAAATCCCAGATTTCCTGCATATCCTCAGCTAAGACGTGGTGTAGCGTGCCGATTGCAGAACAAAAGTTAGACTCGTGGTATGGGATCGACCACCACGTTTCACCCTGATACCATGGCCACTTATGTTTAACCGTTACACCTGCTCGATCAGACATTGCCTGGCCGAGAACTAGATCTCCACAGCAAGACGACGAAGCGAGTTTTGTGTAATTGCGTTCTAGGCCGAGGAGGAAATCTTCGTCGAAGAGCTTATCCTGGGGGATGAGCCTACGTATAGCGGCTTGATTGATGAGGTACCCGGATCCACCGTGACCGAAGGGGACGTTGTTGAGTAGCGCCAATGAACCCCAGTATACAGGGGAGTGGATAGGATCATGTTTACGGGAGAGGTCTAGGAGGTAAGGAAACCAGTTGCTGGATATTAAGCTGGTGTCACCATCGATGAAAAGATAGTAAGAAGCGCCAGGGAACTTTTGGTAAGTTTCGATAAGAATTGGAACCTGTCAAGTTTATCGTGTTAGCCATTTTACGGTCCCGTAGTTGTACATAATCATATCATGGACACTAGTCGTTTTTGAGACTCTCCAAGTATTGCTCGTTTTGAGAATCCTATGAGTTCGATATATGGGAAATGGAGTATTCCGTACATTCTTGAACTTATCCAACGACCAGCCTCCCTTCAGATCTCCCATCTTGCCATCAGAATCCGAAAGCCCATCATTCTGAGCTTGTACCTCCTGAAGCTGTCTCCAGTACTTCAAGCTGCTCCCGGCCTCGTCCGCAGAAACGCGTGCCAACGCATCTGCAACCTTCATGTCACCAATTTTCGACTTGAGGTCGGAATAGACGAGTGTATTAGGAAAATTCGGCACAAAAGTCAAAAGTTGAATGGGAACTCTAGCGTGAATAACCGTAGCACCGGTTTTTATCGACAGGACGATATCATGCATCGGAGGACCCCGGACGGGGAGATTTGTATTCTTCTGAAGCACTGCATTTGTTCCAGAGGGTCCGACAAGGGCCGTTCTAGTGACAATGACGGTCTCTGTCGCAATTCGAGGTCCAGGATCATATCTAGGTGGTGGGTGACGACCAGGCGAGCCGTATTTGAACAGATAGTAAGACTGGATACACAGCACCACCAGGATGCAGACGAGCAACGGAGACCGTCGCAAAGAGCTTGATGCCGGACTGGCTAACATGGTGCGGTCAACGCCGTACAGCTGCCGACTTGGCTTGGCACTTTTTTTTTCGTCTTTCTCGCTTTTTAATTAATTATTTCTGGAAACGAGCGGAGTGAAAGGATTGTTTCGTTTCTTGGAAGTGGGACTGGGACGTTAGTGGGTAAATTTAGCCCGGGATATCGGCATCGGAGTATTTGTCGTCGCGAATAAGACTAATGGGCCGACCTGACAGAAGGTTTTTTTTTTTTTTTCAAAGAGGTAAACGAAGGAGAAGAAGAAGGAGAAGAAGGAAGAGAAGAAGAAGAAGAGTAGGAGAAAGAACAAGGGGATCAGAAGGGATATAAAATCAAGCAGATGACAGCTAGCAGGCTGTAACAATACGGTTGGAGTGATAATGTTACTTGGCTGGTCCTGTTATGTTGCATTTGACATGTATTATCGACAGGAGGTGGTCTGGTCTGGTCAGTGGTGGGCCCTGCTTACGAGTCGACTATAACAGACACCAAGCTAAGCTAAGTTATCGGTTGATACGGTACAATACGATACGATTCGATGTCAAGAACGAGAGTTAGAAATGAAGAATGAAGACCGGGAAAAAAAGAAGTCAGGGAGATATTGACAGCTACAGGTCTGCCAGGTGAGAAGAATGTTGGGTTTAAAGGGCCTGTGTATGTATGTAGGTAAGTACTATACTCCGCCGGTGCAGTGCTGTTACTATAGCCCTATGGTATACCTTAGGTACCACCACCACCACCACCTGCTACAAAGTAAGTAAGTAAGTACAGCCTCATAGCCTCATCCCATGTTAACATCCATAGCGCCCCCCTCGAACTTTCCATTCGGTGGGATTCCCCTGCCCAGACACTCGATTCCGAGTTTGCAGTTCGCCATGCAATCCCACGCTTGCATGTACTATTTACGGAGACACAAAACACTAGGACAAATCCGAAGTACCAATACGCACACGCCTTTGGAAAGAGAGAAAAAAGGGGTGTACAGGTGGGTAGCCTCGAAGAACGAATCCAGGCGGGCATGATACAAACCGCCCGATATCACGCTTTCCTGCCACCCGTGTCGTCGGTTGACAAGATTTTTTCTATTTCATTCTTTTCAAAAATTTGTTTTCTAATCGACCCGACTCTGACTGGCCTGGAGATGTTTCGTATCCATCATGCAAGAAGCGTACATATCTTAGGATCCAACCAGAACATCACCAAACATATCAATATACCGAACGGTCGGAGCAAGTCTCGGAGCTACCCTTTGAGATTGGCCCTGTTAATCTATCCAACAGGCTTTCTTATACACGATTTATTGGGTATTCCATACCGTTGGCACCCTCCGTTGAGCCAAGGATATCAGACCTCGTCAGCCAGATCTTCCCACCAACTGAGAAAATTTTAAAATAAAAAGTGACAGAAAAAAAGAAAAGGAGAAACGGGAAGGGCTGTTTCTGATGTGGTCCCAAGAAAGACCTGCATATGACTTGTAACATGCCTTCCCGAAAAGTAATTTGAGAAACATGTGAAATATCTAACCCCCTCGAAGGTCTAGAAATTGACAAATTTGAAAAGAAATAATAATAAAATTTAAAAAAAAAAATGAGAAGCTCGAGCCCTAGCATGGTATTTTGGTGGTGGAAGAAAAAGGTTTAAAGGAAAGAAACTCTGTTCTGATAACGTATCAATAGGTATATGCAAGAAGCTCTGAACCCGACATAAAGATATAACAGGGTGCACGTTCTCTTGAATTGAATTCAAATTGGTTCCGTTCTGTAACAAAATTTTAAAATCAAACCCAAATCCCGAAACTCAACCTTAATTGCAATCTAAAAGGGGAAAAACAACGAGGCCCGCCTCGTTTACGTAGGTGGCGAAGGGTTGCGGGCACAATTTAGCCATTCGGTTCGCACATGGATAGTTGATATCGACTTTTCTTGGTTGGATTTTCTAGGATTTCTCGATAGCGACCTTGCATTGGAATCAAAGCTGGAGGTTAATTATAAGTATACTACTTAGGTACTTAGGCCTATCTACTTCGTTAGCATGCGCAATCAACTGGTGCCAATGAGAGCAAATCCGAGTAAGGATTCCAAGCGAGGTTTATAACGTTATAACGTTTACAACGTATGATATTGCCCTATACCCATGTACCATGGTACCCAGACCTGGAAGGTATGGTATCAGGATATGAAAGCATAAAAACCAGAGTGGACCAAGATATATCAGTAGATGCAACGAACTAAATACTTGAGTAAGTATGCGGTACCGGTTGGTATCTTTGATCTACCTCACTAAAAGGCTTCCTTTTATGACTATCCCATTTATGGTTATGGTTCGTGTATCACGTCCCTTTATGCCAAGTTCCTTCACAGGCTAGCGAATATCTAAAGTACTAGTTGGGAGTCCAACATAGAATTTCTTCATTTCGATATATATCTCACCACTAGTCTCGGTAGTTGCCTTCGTCTGTCCGCGTGGACTTCCGTTTTCATGCGCAGGAAGGATCGAGCCCGAGACGTCTAAATTTATAAAGGCTCAGCACCCTCTACCTACGTTGTTTCCCTCTAGTATCTACTTAATCAATTGAATGATCTCGTACAGTACGAGCTGGGTGAGCACGAGACAAGATAGTGAACATATTCCACATTTGATAAATTTTGTCAATTACTTAAAAACCCGAGACCAAGTATTCGAAACAAGTGCACTTATCGGACCGGGTCGACAAAATCGGGGATGAAAGCTGTCGTTGCTAACAAACCTGTTGCACCTGTATGCATATAAAATTGTAATCTAGGTTATATATCACTGCCCTGACCGTGTAGCACAATGCCCTCCCGAGGCTATCGAACGGTCAGTTAAATTGCCACTCGCCTTTCGTGGGTTAAAATGATTAATATTTAAGACTTACTGGCGAAAATTGCCTGAGCTTCACGCCACCTTCCGATAAAACGTCTGCCGTCTATAGCCACATGTTAGTAGACATATTTCTGAGCATATGATAATACTAGTCAAAGCATACCTTATTATCCATACTATAAGCTTGGCTATAAACTACCTCTGATATTCCGACCTGTGCGATTTTGACACTGCACGTTAAACACGGGCAACTAATGCAACATTTAGCATTTCTCTATCAAATAGCCCTATTAAATGAGGAAACTTCAAAACTCACGTATCACAATATAATATTGATCCCTTCCCAATTCTTTCTCTCCCTGCCTCTAGCAATGCATTCTCCTCGGCGTGTAGACATAGGCATGTCGACAAACCCGAACCCCCCGCAGACGCACTATTACATCTGGAACCTACAAAAAGAAATCACCAAATTATTAGCCAGATCTTCACCATTTGATACTCTACCGAGTAAAAAGATAGTGATACTTACACCCCCCATCATTGCAATTCGTTAGTCCCCTGGGTGTACCATTATACCCGGTACTAATAACCCTCTTCTCCCTAACCAAAACACATCCAACCCGTCGTTTCATACAATTACTCCTTTGAGCTGCCAGATTCGCCAATTGCATAAAATATGCATCCCAAGTAGGTCGTAACCGTGTTTCGTCGACCAAATCTATTGATCTCAGGTTTTCGTAGAAGGTGTCGATGGATGTGAATGAGTTTAGAAGGTGTAAGGTAGCGCGAACGAATAGAGGGATTAGACCGGTTTGGGGGTCGAACATGTGCTTATCTGCCTTTTCGACAAATGTTTCGAGGGTCGGGGTGGGTAGAGGTGGGTTATATGTTTTGCATCTATAAAAAATATAGAATGTATAGGTATATATTAGAACTTCATCGAAAATGAAAGCATCGTGTAATAAATGAAGACCATACTTTTCAATATAACGTTTCCAGCGCACCACAATAGGCGCATCCACACTGACAAGGATAAAGAATGGCCTTTTCAATAGGATATCCAGCATGTCTTCATTTAGTACATCCGTCGTAACGAACTTTTCCTGCCATCTTTCCGTCACATAGTCGAGCAACTCCTCGACCGTTGGAAACGTGAGGTTTCCATTGCCTGGGAAGTTCGTAACTACGGTATCAGTGGCAGAGCTACCATCTTCCTTAGCTATCGGAGTAGGCGTGGGAGCGGCTAGTCGCAGTATTTGAAACCCGTATGTCTCGACAAGGAACTTCGCGACAGTATGCTTGCCAGCACAGATAGCTTGTGGTGATTGCAACAAGTTAGATGCCTTCGTAGCCTTAATTATAATCCTTAGAGACACTTGACTTACTTCCACATAAACCAATAAACATTGTTGCCAGAATAATCCAGTACTGAATTCTATATTTAATTTATTCCAAACACCTTTCTTTCTCTCTCTATTGACACAAAGTAGAACAAAAGAACAAAAGTTGTGGAAGTCAAATGCAAAATTGTGGAGAAACCATGGCCATGCACGAATGGAATGTAGTTTCGTGTTGGATCGATCTGTGCCCGCCACGTTTTTTTCGGCCGACAAGCGAAATTCCACGCCAGGCAACTCGCTCGAGACTCTATCTTTGTCGCAAATTTTCTTCAAGCTTCAAAAACCCGCATCTCCAATCGATATCCCCATCCACCTCATCAACCCCCACGCGATCGTGGACCTCAACCGCCCACCATGGTCCGAAAACTCAAGCATCATGAGCAGCGGTATGTCTCGATGCTCTGTCTCATGCCGTAGGATGCTATACTAATCCATCAAATCTAGGCTCCTCCGCAAGGTCGACTTCTTAACATGGAAATCCGACTCCAACCATCGCGAGCACGATGTCATGCGCCGCTACCACATCCAAGATTCAGCAACATATCACAAGTACAACAAACTATGCGGTTCAATCCGACAACTAGCACATAAGCTAGCACAGCTCCCGCCAGAGGACGAGTTCAGGAGGAAACGCGAGGATATGCTACTAGAAAAGCTCTTCGTAATGGGAGTGCTGAACAGCAAAAGCAAGATGAGCGATGTAGAGAATAAAGTCAGTGTGGCGGCATTCTGCAGAAGGAGATTACCAATTATTATGACGAGATTAAGGATGGCGGAGAATGTCCCGGCCGTAAGCACCCCTCCCGAAGACTGGGTGGATTGAAACAGTAAAAAACGGATGAAGGCTAACGAGTAGGTATAGGCTGTTAAATTCATCGAACAAGGCCACGTTAGAGTTGGTCCAGAGGTTATAACTGATCCGGCTTTCCTAGTTACGAGAAACTTAGAGGACTTCGTTACATGGGTCGATTCCTCGAAGATCAAGCGCAGCATCATGAAGTACCGCGACAAGGTCGACGACTTCGATCTGTTGTAGTAAAATACCTCGGTATTATGCATGCTATGTATCACGGCCGGCAGCAGGCGTTGGCGTTTCAGGGATTGTATAATATGCACCAATGTACAAAAGCGAATTTCAAGTTCATTTGACCTTCAGAAATACATTCTATCTTCTCAAGAAGACCTTTTACCGATACATCAATTGAAAACACACTCGCTAGCCAAAAGAATCCGCAAAAGCTATTGGAAAAACTTCGCTGGCCGTAGTAATATCAGCGAAATACCAAAGACGAAAATGGAAAGTGAAAACTATTAGTCCAACAGACCCCATAGGTTCTGAATTTTTGGTTTCTTTTGAGCCTTTTGATGAGCATCCAACTTCTCGAGGATCATTTTCATCAGCTCTTTCTCTCGCTCTCGGATATCTGCCTCGTCTAAGAACCCACGGTTGCCATCCGGAGCGGTATCCAAGTCCTCTGTTGGGATGTATGTTTTGTCCGTGATAACACCGGAAAGAATACACATACCCTCCACCTTTTTCAGCAACCAATCATTGTATCTAAGTCCATCTCTCCATTCCGGCGCGATAGCCTTGTGGCCAACGTATCCACCGACAAGGGCGCCCGCGACCGCACCATTGGTATCTGCGATTATAAGTTAGAAAAACTCGAAGCCTTGATCAGAATTAGGAGCGTTTCGAAGACTTACCAGCATCCCCACCCATCATAATCAACTTTGTAATTACACTCTTAAAGTCATCCTTCCCCAACATTACCCTCCTCAGACACCACACCGCCGACCCTAGCGCAATATATGTGTATCCCAGTCGTCTATCATCAACTATCATCCCATCCTTCTTATCGTTATACATCTTTTTCGGGCTAATCTTGCAATAGGCATCGTACTCCGCCCGATCAAAGTTATACTCGATCTCATTCCCTTCATCATCCTTCAAAATATGCTCCTTAGCATACGCATCCGTCCACGCCCATGCATGATCAAGGTAACCATTGATCATCTCTTCAGATGTCAACTCCCCTTTCAACAACGCACGTATAATGCCAACAACAGCTACGCAAGAAACCAAGCACCTTGGATCCGCATGGGTGACTATGGCAATGTCAATGGCGGCCTGGTATGTTTCCTCCAGTGTTTTATTGATAAACATGGGTGCAATAATCGATGTACGCATCACAGCGCCGTTTGCGGCATTGACACACTTTGTATTTACCCAACGACCCTTCGAGACTCCTGCGGGATCGGAAAGGAAGTTCGTGTGTGTTACTACCATGCCAACGGTGTTACCAATTCCAAGGGGTAGTCGATCAAGCGCACGAAGTCCCATTGCGATCCACGTGTGTAGGCGGGAAGCAAAGTCCTTTTGTGTCAGAGTTCCGTTGTTATGGAGGTATGAGAGGAGAATTAAAAGCATTTGGTCGGTGTCGTCGGTCCACGCTCTTTCTTCAAACCTTGCTCTGTGTCTATCGACATAAAGAGGAGTAGTCGGTTCAGTGAGCCGAAAGTTGGCTTTTGGGTATGCCATCTGCGACTGGATTCCGCTCAGGAACTCTAGTTCGTCGAGTTATATATATTAGAATTTTAACGACATCTAGGATGAAAAAAATGGTTAGGAATATAATTACCTGTATAGAGCCCAATTGTATCACCAAGAGCATTTCCGATAGCAACTCCCTGTATCTTATCGACCAAGACATCGGTAGACAGGCTAGCTGGGGCAGCAGCTGTAGAAGATGTTGCATCCATTATTTTTGAATTGTATGACTGTGAATAGAATCGAAGAGATAGTAGAAATCAAAATGGAAATGAATAGACCTGGATCGTATTCCTCCGGAGCTGAATATAATTATAGGGTAATATCTATCAATATCGGCTATAATTGGTCTTTTGTTCTACCAGACTCGTGGCGATCCTGGAATCGACTAATCGTGGATACGTGGAGGGGGTTTTTGTGTTGTCGCTGTTCAAGATCCAACAAACTGGGGAAATCGTGAATCGAATTCACCGGATGGCAGAAGGTTTCTAGGAATTTGGTAAAGGCGGGATGGTGCTCTTTTTAACCCCTTTCGCCGTTATTCGTATTCGAAACTAAGAAAAGAGAAAAGAAGAATGGGAACAGGGTCTACGTAGAAACCTAACGTTGAGGACATGCGGAGGGCTTCACAGTCATATACTTTTTCAATGTCGCGTGTAGTAAAGAGTATTGGGGGTTTGAATCATACACGATCGAAGGATCCAAACTGAAGCCTTGTCACGGACGGGATTTTGCAACTATCGATAGCCAAGAATTAAAGCCTTTTTGTGCCTGATGTGCAGCCTTGGTTATGGTTTTTAGTCAATCTTAACACGTTGTGGAGGCGGGGTTGTGATATGAGTGTTCTTCTCTTTTGGGAATTCGAAGATTCACTTGTGCGCTTTGGTAGCCTCACATTAACGTTAAGATCTAAGTGTGCATTTGTTCACAGCCTGGCAGTAGCAGCAGCTATTTTACGTCCGCCTAGATGGCCGGATCTGATCGAGGCTCTTGTATTTGGGATTTTAACCTCCACAAATGCCTAGGTCATGAAAAAAAATTCCGGCACTTTCACGTTTGTGAGACGCCGCACCAACGGGAACGGAACGAGGCAGATCTGGAGCAGTTTGCGATACGGATACATGCAGACACATCAACTAACAATCTACACATGTCGATACCCGTCTTGCAGGCATGCTAGGTCTGAGCAATAGAGCAGGAAAAAAAGCTTGACTCACGCCACCAAGTCTCAGAATATTTGGACGACTGTACCTTTCGCCATAGGAACGACGCTACCGTTGCCGCTGGTACAGGCGCCCATGGCGAATTGCAGAACAATCAGTTAGCACCGCATTGTCAAATGCGGAATCTCCTGCAGATAGACCTTTCACCAACGGGTGGTTAATATCTTTGACAGTTGTGTGGAGATACCCGCCGACGTCGAACGTTGTTTTTCTGTGGGCGAATCTGGACGTTGAATCAGGAGAGGATAAGAAACGTTAAAATGTTTGAGATTTGGCAGGAAAGGGTTTCAGGACGAGCAACCGCTCACTCTGATTAGTCGACTGCCCCTTTAGCTCTCCCCGAGTAGCATGCGAGATTTCTCTTCATTCAGGAGATGAAGAACAAACATCATTTTTTGGCGGGAAAAAACTTGTGAGCTCACAAGAAGGTTCCGAATTTTTGTGATCGGATCATATGCCGTTCTGTTGGAGATACGGAGAAGAAATTACTTCGATATTTCGGTTCGAGATGTTCCATGCCGATGGGACCTGGGCTTATTAAGTGTTACCAAAATTAACTCTTCCACTTGGCACGAGATTCCTTTGGCTGCAGGTACAAGTTTGTTGTACCAGGCTTAAGTCCTTAGCCTTTTGTTCTGCCAACGTAATCCAAAGAATTTTTTTGGCTCGGAGACTTCTGGGTGGTGGCTATGGGCAGGTGCCGGGCTTCCCAAGCTGAGAAACCGAGCGGGTGACGACAAATGGGGAATGTCTGGTGCAAGGGGTCCAGCTATTTTTTGCATCAAAATCGACCAGGGCTGGTTCCCCAGAGATGATGGAGGACCCAAGCGAAGTGACTTCAGACATGCGTGGGAAATTGACTGTGATGTGACTTGACATTTTGGTTTAGGTAGGGATGCAGCATGTTTGAATAGATTGATGCCTCGTAGATGCGTTCATACGCATGTCATCGGGGGAGGCCACGCATGCCTGTTCTTGATGATGCATGTATGATATCGTGAGGAGGGTCCACAAGAACGTTTTGGACGGTCGAATATCCCGTCGATGCTATACAAGCTTTTCCACAAGGTAGTATTCGAAGGAATGCTCAAAGCAAGCTAGCATCTCGTGCAGACGGCGAGAGAGCCGGAGACGCCTAATGATTGGATTGCGCCAGATGGAACTCACTAGGATTGTCAAGTACTGGACTAGTTCTCGGGAGGGAAAAGGTCGCTAAATCGAGTACTAGCAGCCCTAAGCCAGAAAGTGACACTCTCTTCCAGGGTCAGGTCCAAGAGAGGCCCCGGGATATGATATTGCTTCTTCCTCCCCTTTGTACGGAGCTTCACATTTTTCTGGCCAAACCCATTTTCTCTTTCTTGTTCGTTCGTTCCCTTGTTTTCCACTTCCCAAGCAACCAAAATACCATTTTTTTCTTTCATTTTGTGTATAGAAACATTCGTTTTCCTTTTCTCTCTCGTTATTTCCTAGTCGTTCGTCCATTTCCTTTTTATAGTCTCTTTGCATTTGGTGTTTCAATCTGCACATATTTTCTCCCTTCATTCGCCTGTATCTGGACTTCTCTTCGACGGCAGGCTCCTGGATTGTTGGAATCACCGACAGTTGTGCTTCAGAATCAATTGTCAGACTAGAACTTGGGACTCAGAGACAGCTTGGACTTCTCTTGGGCCACTTTCTCCTTAATACTCTCTTACATCAGTAAAGTAATAGCACTAAGGGCTGATTAGAAGAAACTTACCATCTCAAAGACCTTCGCCCCCCAATTCTAATCAGCAGGTTGCGAGCCATCGACGCATCAAAACAGAAGTCACTGCCTCACAAAGACTCGGGTAACTGCAAGCCCACCTGCCCAATCCATTCATTTGCATAGGGCTGCCCTGTGAGGAAGAGGAAGAAGAAGAACGAAAAGCAACAGAGTAAAAACAGTTGCTAGTGTCGCACACCCGTCCCAGGACACGGCCACACCGCTTGCCCACTCGGACCTGTCGTCTATAAAAATCGCCTGCCAAGCTTTACGGCTGAGCACAGCTTTAGCCTTTTTTTTTCCAGTGGAACCTTACCAGGTGCTTAGCTCTCCTCCTCTTTTATATATTAAAGAAGACAGGAAGTTCTTTCTGTTTGTTCAGGGTTCTGTCGTACTTTATGATCGTTTAGATCTCTTGGACTTTCTTGTGAGTTGTGGCATTCGACGTTACAGATCTCGATAGTTGGGTTTCCTCGACAGCAGTTCCTTCCCCTGTGGAAGCCTCCCCTAAACCAACCTCATCCCGACATACATATCCACCTTCGACATCACTGCATATAGACGAAGAGCTTGTTGGTGGATCTAAGCCATTTCATCCCTCTCTTTTTCCTTTTTATAAATTTTTTTATTTCTTTTAAACTACTTACACACGATAAAAAATAAAAATCAACAACGATGTTACGACTATCTAGAGTATCGCTCTTTTCAGCACTTGCACTCTTCGGTGCCCTGCGGGTCCAGGCTGCCAACGATGTTCTTTCAACAAGTGGATTCGCATCATGCGGTTCCGGGGACGGCGACATCGTCGTCCGAAATTTCAAGGTCGAATATGACAGATCGAATATGACCGTCAAGTTCAATGTTGCAGGAGAATCGAAACGACAGCAGGAGGTCATCGCAGACTTGGTTGTTACAGCTTATGGCAAGGAAGTTTATAGGCAATCTTTTGACCCTTGTGAAAAAAATATTGCCCTGCTATGTCCATGTACGTGACTACAGACAACATCCTAGATTATACTCGAATACTAACTAGGTGATACAGTGCCCGTTGGAAATTTCTCTGCTGCCGACACCCTTCCAATCCCTCCGGAGTTCGCTAGCCAGATTCCTGCTATTGCATTCACGATTCCCGACCTTGACGGGCTGGCTAAACTGGAGCTGAGATCAAAGACTAATGGAACTGATGGTGGTCAAACCCTCGCTTGTCTTCAGTCTAGTGTTAGAAACGGAAAGACTGCTGAACAACCTGCCGTAGCTTGGGTCACCGCCGGTATTGCCGGGGCTGCAGCTATTCTTGGATCCGTCTCGATCATTTCTTCGGCTGCCGGTCTTGGAGCCGGTGGTTCCAGCGGTGGTTCCAGCGGCCCTTCACCAAACGTTGTCGATGTTGTTCTGTGGTTCCAGTTCGTTTCCACTAATGGCATGTTGAGTGTCAACTATCCTCCAGTCTACAGATCTTTCGCAAAGAACTTCGCCTGGTCGACTGGCTTGATTCCCTGGAATGATATGCAACGTAGCATCGATCAGTTCAGATCTAAGACTGGAGGAAATGTTACCAAGTCTTCCTTCGACCTTTTGAAGAACACAACTTTGATTTTTACTTCTGGCGACTCGGACTCAACCCTGAAGAAGCGTGCTGTTGATCTCTGGGGAACTCTTCTCAGGAGGGCGCCAGTTGAACTTGAGGCTAGCATCAATGGAACCAATCTTGGTGCATCAGCTCCCGCTACCAACGACGACCAAGACAGCGGATTTATGAAACAAGTTCATGGAATTGAAGCCTTCGTCGAGGATTTGTCTATTCCAAACACTAATACGTTTATGACCGTTCTTCTTACCTTCCTGTGTGTACTTGCTGGTACCGCTGTTCTTATTTTGCTCTTCAAGGTCATTTTGGAACTTTACTGTCTCTGCGGAAAGTTGAACAAGCCTCTTGCCAGTTTCCGAAAGAGGTATTGGACATTCCTTCTGGGAACCATGGTCCGAATCGTAAGTCATCTCGTCCCATAAACGATTAGCATTAACATACTAACACTTTTCTTTTCAGATCCTCCTCATTTATGGTATCTGGGTTATCTACTGCCTCTATCAATTCAAGCAGGGAGATTCCTGGGCCGCTAGCCTTCTCGCCGGTGTCACTCTCGCCATCTTCACCAGCGTTCTAGTCTTTTTTGTTTTCCGAATTACCAAACTTGCCAAAAAGGCCAAGAAGCTTGAAGCCGAAGGTGGTCAACAGCTCCTTGAGGACAAGGGTAACCTTCGCAAGTACGGTCTTTTCTATGATCAATACAAGTCGACTTTCTGGTGGATGTTTATCCCATTCATCATCTACCTTTTCGCCAAGGGCGCAATCATCTCTCTCGGTAGTGGAAATGGTCTTGTTCAGTCCAGTGGTCAACTCGCCTGCGAACTTATTCTCTTCGCCTTCCTTGTTATCGGTCGCCCTTTCAACAGCAAGGCCGGAAACGTCATCAACATCTTCATTGCTGTCGTCCGTATCATCTCTGTTGCTTGCGTCTTAATCTTCACCGAACAGCTCAGAATCTCCCAGACTACCACCACTGTCACTGGTGTCGTCCTCATTGTCGTCCAGTCCCTCCTTACCGGCCTCCTCGCCATTCTCATTGCAGTTAACGCCATCGTAATCTGCTGCAAGACGAACTACTACACCAAGAATCGCCACAACCGTGAGAAACTCGCCGAAGAGGCTAAGATCAGGGAAGGATTCAACCCACACGACCGACGAGCTTCTATGGGTCCCGGCGCCCTCGGAGGCTATAGCGACGGCAAGGGCAAATACCAACCTACTCCTACTCGTGACGAGTTCCATTTGGATGAGATGTATCCCCCACCACGTGGTACATACATGCCACCGCCACACGATCGTGATGGCTCACCCGTCCCACACCCACACCCGTACGGCAGGGACGGTCACGAAAGGTCGTTCAGCAGTGAACGCCAAATGGACTATGTCAACCACAGCCGGCAAAGTCTAGTCGGAAGTGCGGCTCCAATGAGCCAACAACCAACATTCGATAACCGGTTCCCGCCAACATCTTACGATGAGTATCGCGGGAACCAAAGATGGTAATTATAATACCGCAAAAAAAAAAAGAAAACCAGAGTTACAGATTGAGTTCCACTATATCCCTCGGCGTTCTTGGTTTCCTCTTCCTTATACCAAAAAATTCATTTTTGCATATTATTCTCCAGCAGCAGAATACTCTAAATCTCGCACAAGGAACAAAAAAGGGGGATCAGTTTTTCTTTCCTTGCTGCTTTCACTTCATACATTTTTCTGTCATTAGCATTTTTAGCGGAGTTTGTTTTTTTTTCATCAATATTTTTTTTCCTCTTCATCATCATCATTGAATTCATAATTTATAAGTCTTACTGTTGCATCCTTCCAACCTCACCCAATGCCTGAGAAAACATAGCCCCATCGTGTACCACCCTCCACCCGTACTCCCTCTTACTTCCCCTTTCTTTCTTTTGTACATTGTACTTTTTTTTAGATAAACCAAAAAAGATTTAATACGTTCCCACCAAAAGATTTCCCTCAACATTAAAAAAGGAAGAAAGACCGCCTTTCATCTAGACTCAAAATAATTAAAGAAAATAAGAAACCCGATAAGCCACACCCGTCTGTGCATGTACAGCCCCAAGGCCAGTCGACGGCCACACGCACGCAAACGTCACGTGTTTCATGAATACGCCGTTCCAAGACGGATGTGGCCCCTGCTTTTGGATTGATTAGTGCACTGCCCTTCAAGCCCTTTAGGTAGTTTATGCTCAATACGTCATACCCGCCCGGGAATCATTTTAAAACGATAAAAAAAAGAGCGTTAAGACGGCGGTTTTTTCCTCTGGGGCGGCGGATGGTACTGCCAGATACAAAAGTTTCGTGGGATGGCCCAGATTGCTTGATTAATGGTAGTATAGGCGCCCGTGGGATTGGGGCATCGTATGATATTACATAGGTAAATTTATTGCTTCGAGCTAAGGGTTAACGGTTTTGGTACAGTACAACTAATGGGTAGGCTTAGTTGGCTAGAAGTTATTTTCTCCCTAATATATCGAGCATGCAGGAACGTTGGCATGGGCAGCGAGGTTGTTATACCCTGTTCCGTTAGAGGAATGGGAACACCTCCAAGTCTTCGTTATCGAATGTTGGTCTGTCGATATGACAAGCTGTTGTATCCGTGGTCCAGGTCCCAGTTTTTTTTCGAGCGGGATTTCTGATTCCCTTTGTGTTGGTTTTGTGGTACTTAAATATTACTTATTTAAGAAATACAACATTAACAGCACATATATCGAGATAACGAAATGATCAGCGTCATCAATCCATGGGTATATGTGAGGAACGTAAGGTATAGATTCTAGTCTAGAACCCGAAGTGGTATATATACATCTTAAGCCATGTAGATAATGAAGATCAAGTAATCTAAATTTAAAGCGTTCAATCAAGATACAATAGTAAGCAAAACCTTATATCTTCAATGCTCTAAACCCTTAGCTCGCCTGTGATCAGCTAAACTGTAGTCATTGTATTATCTAGTTATCTTCACCATCCTCATTGCGCTTAACCTTTTCGCTTGTGCTATCGTCAATATTTCTCTTGACCTTGTAGTAGCCATCTTCTGGAGTAGTATTCTCGATATCGATACCAGAATCTCCAGTTTGGGGCGTAGGCTCCGGTTGTCCAACAGTAACAGTAACCGTCTTCGCCTCAGGTGCTGGCTGAACCTCAGGTTCGGGATAAATGGCCTGGAAGGGGACACAACCTCCAAATGGACCGTTCGCTGCGAAATTTTCACATCTCAATACACAAATATTCTTCATATTGCCGTATTGCGCTATGCATTTGACATTTCCTGGGATTCGAACTCTCAATGTGTGGCGCTTGTTGTTTCCGTGGGCCCAAACGGACTTCCATTTCTCCTTGCCGGCGCCTGGACCTGGTTGCATGTCGGTTGCGAGCCAGGGGCCGAACTCTTTACCGGTTCCGGATTCATCCAATCGACATCTGTGGCGAACAAGTGTCAAAAACTATTATTAATTATATGGGGGGGGGGGGGGGGGTTGTATGATTATAAGAAAGACATACCTGAATGGACCAGCTCCGTCAGCGTTAACTTGCCACGTAGTAATTTGGATCCATCCACCAGGGGTAGCCTGAGCGATCTGCCCTACAGGTGCGCATTTTCGTCAGATTTATATACAAAAGTTGAATGATGCGGATAACTTACTTCGCTTCGCATACTCAAGCGTCTCCGCCCCAGTCTGGACATAACCTCCGATAGGAACCGGACCCTGAAAGAAGTTATAATTCACGAAGGAGCCGTGATTATAACCCCTAGCCGGTTTAAGAGGTCGTGCGATGATTTTACCATTAACAATCTGGTTTGTTTTCAGATAGTAATCTTCGATGCGTTTAAGAGTGGCGCCGCAACCCTGTTCCATCCATACACGATGTCTCTTTTGCTTGTGCCAAAAACTTTTACAGCAGGGTGGGACAACTGGATCGCTAAAGGTGACAACATCGTATTGTCCCGGGTTTTGGTGGGCTCCGTGGTTTTTCACCGCGATGCCTTCCTCGTGACCCAGTTTCACACCTCTTACGAGACTGTAGTCTCCAAAGGCTTCGATAAAACGAACGTGGGCGGATACTACATCGAGCTCCGAAATGGTAGCCAAGACGGCAAAGGCGACTGCTGGAGAGAATTTGAAAAGCATTGTGAGAGATAGACTAAAGTCAGAATATAAGGATCGTAAATGGAAGCTTGATAGGCTTTCCTGCAATGCCGTTGAGGCTAGGAAGTTGGGTTGAGAATGAATGGAGCAGCGAGAGCTGATGAGGAAGGAGAAGGATACCGGTACAAAAGAGGGCAGTACGTGGGTTTATATAGAGTTAATGATATGATGCATGTACTAACCCATGAAAACATGAGTTCATGGTACTCGACACATTCAGACGTAGAGTCGACGGCATACCCGGGGTAGCCGCATGGCGATTTGCACATCCACAGCCAGATAGAAAGTGTGTAAGTACGCATGTGCATGAGTCTAGACGTCTGCACAACCTAAATCAAATGACAATGCTCTCTCATGCCATACGGAGCAAGATAGTTACTCCCATCCTTGTGGCTAAGTTGAGCCGAGATAACGAAGCCCGCTAGACGATCAATGCATCCGCGCTTTTACAGGAAAACTGATCAGACTAGATGAATAGGATGTACCAGATCATCGGGCCTATATAGCTTTGTTTCCGAGTCAGTGCATGCGCAGGCTCTATGGCTCTACAAGGCTGCTTGGCGTCTGTGAAAAGGTTGTGTTGTCGAAGTGTTATTTTCAGCGGTTTTGTGTCACCTTGGCCAAACGGACGCTGGCTTACGGATATCGGATAAGGAGACCAGATAATATATAGAAAAGAATAAATAAATAAAATACATATGTAATGTAAGTAGTTATAATATAACTTCGAACATTTAAGACATGTCTCACATATGCAGGTTCTATCACCTTAAGTGTGCAATGCAGGCATTGATTATAATAATGTCAACTACAAGCGACTAGTCAGTTCGAATCTGTACCTCCATCCTACACCGGCACTGCACCGTTCCGCCAAAGTGGGGCTCCACAACCCAAACAAGTAGATGTAATATACTTGTATAAGTACTACTTGTTTTAAGCAACTCTTAGCGCAGCTAAGTTCTTAGGTCCACAAAGCCTGGTTGGAATTGTACAGATGCCTGGCAGCTTCGAACATATTGCATATTGGAAGCTATTGCCAGCCTCGGATATCCGGAAATGCAGACATTTATCGGAAAATATAGGCTGTCTCCTTAGTTAGTCTGGGACTAACCCCCAGTAGGTCAGTGGCTGGGGTGCTATATTACATCTACAGCCAACGTTCCACGATCAAGACATTAGGTGGTAATAAAAAGTTGAAGAAGAACGCCCTTTGTACACCCTTGCTGGCCCCACTTAGGTTCCACAGCCAATATAATATAGTCTTAACTAGTTTTCGGCGAGATACCCGACACACAAGCAGGTAAGGTATTGCTTATATCACCCGCTCTTAACTATTCTTGTGATCGCTGAACCGAAGTAACGGCTAACCTCGAAACTACAGGATCCTAAGACAGGAGGTTTTCCAGTAACGGGACGGGACAGGATAGACAGCTGGTTCGAGCTACTGAAAAGAACTCTGCTTGCGCTGTCGGAATTAACAAGACTATTCTAGAATCAACACATACATGACGAGAGTTTAGCGGTTTGGTCAACTGCACGACTTAACGGCGACGGTGGACATATAAATTTAGCAAAATAGCGTTCTCTTGTGTATGGATCTCACCGTGCGGAGAGGTTTAGTCCACGCACTAATACAGAATGGAATATCCACATGACATTTTCCTAGCCTGGAACTGTTAATCCTGCCTAGAAGGAACAAGGGAGGGGGGGTGAAAGAAAATAAAATGAACAAGTCAAAAGGAAGGCATTCTCGAACTTAGGGAGAAAGAACAGAATCTCCAACATAATTCTGCCTCGGCCCTGATCCACTGAGGCTGTTCTAGCTCTTAGCCTAAAGCTAGCCATATATTTACTTGTTTAATACGTAGGTTGGCTTAATTATAAGGGGTTTTTGTTATTTTTTCGGCTTGCGAAGATACTCGATCAAATGATATGTGATATCTCGTGAAAAACAGAGTAGGCACTAAAGCAAACGAGTAAACTCTAATCTGTCGGTACCGAATGGTGGGGCCGAAACTTTATGAATGTATAGGTTGCTAAGTTAATAAATAAGAGACGGCATTAGTTTCAGACACTAGTCAGAATATATCTCGTAAACCAGAATTAATTGCTGCTGTAATTATCTTGGTCTTGGTTTTGTTGGACTTAGGATCCGATAAGTGTACATGTAAGCTCTCAAAGCTGGGACTACGGTACTGCTTGAACGAGAAAAAATATGCGGAGACCCTCTCTGTAAACCACAGTATCTTTATGAGAGTGGAGATCTTGCGAATCATTTCGGGTCGCTATCTTTCTTCGCATGCCCCTCATACCCCTCCTGTCCCTGTCCCCTTCCACTTGCCATTGGAACCCTGAGAGTGGTTCGATCTCGCGTTTTCTTTAGCTTCAAATCTGGAATCGCCTCTGGAGCTCTGGGCCTTTCTTTGATTTTTGGCTCTTCCAGCCCCTTCTCGGAATACTCCTTCGGAATTCGATCTCCAGCACGTTGTTCCCTTGAGGCATACCCATCCTTCGTGGCTTGTTCTTTGGCAACATTATCCTTCCCAATTTGCTCTCGGACAAATTTACCGCGCGTGGCAGCTTGATCACCGACTCTAGGATCGCGACCAACAGTAGTACCCATACTAATCCGTCTCATCTTCTCTATCTTCGATTCAGGTGTCCTAATAAGTCTAGGCGGCTCGGAGACCCTTCTTTGACCACCTGAAATTTTTCGATGCTGATCTCGATGGATTTCGCTCCTGATTTCCTCATCGCGAGCTATACCGTACTCTTCTTGGGTAACACTTGTTCTGATTGAATCCGTGACATGAATCTTTGCCAATGATCCGGCGCCGTAGCGGAGTTCTTCAACTCGTCTTCTGGCTTTGGCGGTGTTCTCTCCGGCATCATCGATCAATCGGTCGAGATAGCGGATTCTTTGTTCTAATGCGACAATGTCGTCCTTCGCGAGACGGGTTGGCCAGGGTTTACTCAGTGGGGGCGGTGGAGGTGGAAGTGGAGTAACCGGCACAGTCGGCTCGGAAATGTGGGTCTCGGTGATTACACCGAGGTCTATGGTGGCGTTAGACACTGACTCAAGATTCTGGGGTATAAAATCTTTGATAAGATATAATCCTTACCAGATAAGCGTGCACGCTTGCGATCACGTCGAACAGGGAGTGGCGAACCCGACTGGGGTGGGGTTTCTTGATTCATTCTCAAGGGTATTAAATCAAACCGCGTCTAATAGCTGTTATGACAATGAATCTTAGCAAAGAGGCTCTCAATGGAAGGACCTAGTTCTAGAATGGGCTATCTGGGGACTATAGTAGGTGGTAGCTTGTTCAAAGATATCACTTGGTACCAATGAAGGCTTTCTTGGTGTCGAGGGCCTTACCAACTAGACTAGACCTTACCAACCAAATTGAAAGGGAAACAAGGAGATCAAGAACAAGAGCAGATACTTACAACGTTAGCAAAAAGGAGGTATCGATATGCGCCGTATGAGAAGTATACCCTTACTTTCTCGCGTTCGAATGGTAGTGGGTCGGTATGTTAGATGAAGAAGATGCAACGTTGACGTTGATGTCGATATCACCAAGATGGGGATATATTATACCCTCATATCAATATTAATTCCGTGGCTAACAAACATTTACTCGGCACAATCTTCTAAGCAACCAACCCCTCTATAGCGCAGCGAGATACGAGCCTTGTATGGAGTATACAGTATATAAGATAATATTTTCGACACAGATAGCCTGGACAAAGTTGTCTCCGTCGCTAGACTCCTCAACTGTAAGTACGATCTAGATCTAAAGATCAAGATGCTCTATAACAGACCATTAATTAGAACCAATCAATGTACTTATAATTACTATATATTACGTCCTAGAAAACTATTGATTTTCTCTGTATACTGTTTCCTTTATAATAATCCATAGCCTTTCTCCACATGCACCCAATACAAGACTAGCCTCTGAATGAACGTTGACGAGACAAATGAATGTATATAAACCACCTTGAATTTGATTGCCTATGCAAATCTAAACAAACCCTCCGATCTAAGAATAGAGAATTCCGAAGCCTTCAACTTATTTATATATATCAGCCTTAATATTCGACAGTAATTCCTCTCCAAATTCAACACATACCCAGAACAAAAATACAACAAAGTCACTCGATTCCTATGCCAACTTGAAACTATATAGACTGAGATGAGACTACGACGGTAGCATCATATCAAAAATTCAAGCTACGGGGCTGTATACGTAATTTATTCCTGGTCGCTTATATACCTACTTACTTAGGTATATATAATATCAATACCAACTACGAAGAGACTACGAGGCCTTTACACTGTACACTGGCGGTTTAGATAAAAAAGTAAATTAATCCTAAGCTTACTATACTGTACTATACTATACTATCACAAACATAACGAACACAACTAAATTTAACACAATACAATCGAAAAAAGACATAAGTTTTTTATTTTTATTTTTTTTATTTTTTATTTTATAAAGGATTTCCCAATGGTAGTATTAACCCCCAATAATTGGCCCAAAAAGACCAATAATAGAGCTAGAGGCACATTTGAATTCTATAGAAGAGAAAGTAGTCTCGGGGCCGAAGGAAGCAAAGAAGGGAGGAAGGGAGGAGGCAGAAAGAAGCCGGGAAGGAGAGCTGAGAATCTCGTTCCCGTTACAAGACGTATCCATCCATTCTTCCCACCGTACACATAGAAAAATAAGTTCGTAAAACGTAAGCGTGCGAACGAAAAGGAGACATTTTCCTCGCGTCAAGGAGAAGGGAAAGAAAAAAAAGAAAAAAAAGAAAAAAAACAGGGTAACGAACAGAAATCGCTGCAGGAACGTAAAAGAGAAGTGTCGTCAAGAAGAAAAGATGCCCGAAACGCAGCTGATAGATTAATAAAGTACCAAAAGAGTTGAAGCGGGGTGGAGAGAAGAAAGTAAGTTGAAAAGGAAGAGAGAAAAAAACGCCCCCAAACTCCGTCATATCTCATTGAAGGGCCTTCTCTTTGAAGCTTTGTATGCAATAAATAATAACATCCTCCTCTTTTCGCTTCGTGAAGAGAAGGGGATCGAGAAAAAACAAAACAAGATCGTGGCAGAAAAAGGAAAGAAGAACACCGGACCCATATGTATACTATGTTACAAATCTTCCACAAAAAGAGACGCTCCAATGCGTCGTTGTCTCTTGGATCTTCGAGAGGACCGATCGATAGTAAGGGGTATTTAATCCGTTACTCCGCCGCCGACTGCAGTATAATCAGAGGGACGAGCCCGCTTCGGCCTCATGTGTCGATACGGATTAACTGGTTTCCTCATGTACGGGCTATCCTCATCGGTGGGGAAAGGCTCGCTAAAGACCTTTCGTGCCTGGTATGCGGCAGCACTGATGTTGCTGACATTACCCATACCAACATTGTTATTCCACCCCTGATTCTGCTGGGCCATCATGCCGTTGCCCATATTCATGTTATTCTGGCCCATCCCCATGTTCATATTTCGCTGCTGCTGCGGTTGTTGTTGCACGCCCCATTGCTGGTTGTTATTGAATTGTTGCTGGTTGTTGTTGTAAGCACCGCCAGCATTATTATAATAGCCGTTGTTCGCCATATTGTTCATGCCGTAACCTCCTCCTCCGCCGCCACCACCACCGTTGTTCATGTTGCCGTAGCCAGACATCATGTTATTGTTATAACCTCCGCCGTTCATCGCCATATTGTTTCCCATATTATTTCCCATGTTGTTTCCCATGTTGTTTCCCATGCTGTTTCCCATGTTGTTCCCCATATTCCCCATGCTATTCCCCATCATTCCCATATTCATGTTATTGTATCCACCGCCCATATTGCTATTCACCATCCCATTGTTCATACCCATATTCGTACCCATATTCGTACTCATATTGGTGCCCATGTTCATGCCCATATTATTCATGTTCATGCCGGACATATTGCCCATGCTGTTATTGTTGTTATTGTTGAAACCCATGCCGTTATTGTTGTTCATCATATTACCCATGTTATTATTATTGAAGTCAAAACCGTTCATGTTACCCATGAAGCCATTCTGAGAGAATCCCATAGAATGTTGTTGACTCTGGTTCTGGTTCTGGTTCTGTGTTTGGGTTTGCACGACACCGTTGGTGGCGAGGCCAACATTTTGCATGGCAGGAGAGTTTCCAGTGTTTGGGATGATGGATTTCTGTTGGGTTGGGCTTGGCTTTAGACGTTTGGATCCAGAGTCGTTGGAGGCGGCACTAGCAGACCTCTTCATGCTCGCCCCATCATCTTCAGCAGATCGTTTCTTCGGGTTGGATAGTGCTGGGGCGGTGTCAACTGGTTTCGCTGCTTCAAGTTTCGGAGTACCTGACTCTTTCTTGATGCCAGGTTCGGTCTTTACGATGACAGCCTTAGCAGGGGTAGGCGACTTTGATTTCTCCTTTTCCTTCTCCTCCGATGCAGCCCTCTTACTATCTAAATATTCCTTCACTCTCTCTCTGGTTTCAGTATCTGGAATTAAGCGGTCCAAGAGCACTTCTTTCGTATCACAATTTGGGCAGACAAGATCACTCTCTACCAAAGCGTTTTGTATACAATCATCGCAATAAGTTTTCTTGCAACAAGGTGTCTTGACTGCGTCCTTGAACAATTTGTTGTCAATCGGACAAGCTAGGCCTTTCTCCTCTAGTATCTTTGCTTCAGCAGCGGCTTCACCGGTCAGACCGGCCGCCTTAGTCTTCTGTTGGAACAGTTCCCACGAGGCACGATCTGGCTCCGCTACGACGTATTCACCATCGGCGTTAACCATGACAGAAACAGGCTTGCCATCATCTTCATCTGTGATGACGGGCTTCTCAACTGTCTTTAAGAAACTCTTCGGGATTCCGGTCGTCCGTTTGACTCTAGGCCGACCGTCGAAGTTCGGATCCGCATTTGTAGGGCATTGTTGGATCCAGTGACCTAGTCATTTTGTTAGCGAGTGTCTTCGACTATCTAATGTCACACTTGCGCAACATAGCACAAGTCCAACATTCAAGGGACCGATAAGCTTACCTTTCTCTCCGCATCTATAGCAAACATAGCCAGTCGGGGGTGGGTGGCTTGGTGCAGGTACATTCTTCTTCTTGAATCCTCCTTGTCCGTGAATAGGCCGGGCACTGTGCAACACTGTTAGTATCCGCTTTAATCCCATAAGTAGGTAAGGAATTATACTTACTTGGCCATCTGCTCTTGGGTCTGGTTCCATTGTTCGCTGGATGCTTGGAACATGGCCGCAATTCTCTCTTCTTCTGTTTGTCCTTCGGCACCTAGGCCAGGCACTGCCGAAGGTACGGAAGCAGCAGCAGGTTTTGAAGGACCGCCTGCATGTATCGTATGTACTTTCTTCTCTACCCTACCAGCACTAAGGGCTGCAGTAGGCATCTTTCCAGTAACATATCTCTGGGCGGTTCCTCGACCAGGCTTTGCAGGCGGCAATCTACGAGCGATAATTGCAGTACCTCGTGGGATCATTACCGTATCATCGACGTATTCTATTTTTAAATAAGAAAAGGTCACGGGTTAGTTTATATATTGCTTTTCTACTATTATACATAAAGAAACGAAATAGTCTAATCTCGATATAGGCGTTGCTCATATCCCTCCAGTAGTGAGTTTCCATCGAGTAGACTTGGATTGAGAACTCACCTTCATTATTTTCCTCATTGTAGATGGCAAGGTCGAAGTCGGTTCCGTCGCCGAGCTTGTGGATGGCAATGATGTCTCTCTTCGCGTCAAAGACCGAGATCGCAGTTCCGTCGAAAGGCAACCTAGTAGGCTCCTTTTGGGATTTGAACTTGAAGAATATTGACGAAGACATCGTGGGTTATGTTAAGTGAACGTGCTGCCTAAATAGGTTAGATAGAGGGGGTGAAAGATTTAGATCCTTTTCAGAACAATTTCTACAAGGAAACGGGAGAGAGAGAGAGAGAGAGAGAGAGAGAAAGGACAAAATGGCTCCTTTGTGGTGTGTCTGTTATCGCCACTGTCGTTTTCAAGGGAAAGCCTCCCCGACAGGACTAAAATGAAGTACCGGCAATGTTGTAGCCGGATTCGAGGATAAAGCCGATCGTTAGCTTGATGGAGGTTCTTATACCAGACACCACGATTCGAAGTGACGAACAATGAATTGTCGAGACGATGCTAAGAATCTGAGATGGCAAACGAGTTGATGTTGGAAGGAAGAAAATATAAAGAAGCGATGACGGGCTCTGAAGGACGAAGACTGAATTGTGGAGCCTTTCTTTGGTCCAGAGCGAAGGGGAACTCTTCCTTTGTGGTCGGATTTCTTGTTCAAAAGTGAATCGATCAGTGATTTCACTACTTTCGCAGTTGGCTGGTTGTCTAGGGAATAACAGATTCTTGATCGAAGGTCTCTCTTAGATTGAAAAAAGGGTATTGTTCGACAGCAGAAGACTGATGACAGATACTGTTCTTGTTCTTCTTCTTCTTCAACAAATGGAAACAGGACACACTGATGCGAGAATACAGGTTAGGTTATCGAGATGACAGGTCTCGTCTACAGGTTGCTTTCGATACAAAGTTTTTTTTTGGTAATTGGCACAGGAAAACGGATACAGAGAATGGAAAGGCTCGAGTCTCGCAGTAGCAGTTAGAAACACTAATGTTCTTCTCTTTCTCTCCTTTTTTAAAAAAATTCTTGCTTTTCAGGCAAAAAAGGGCAACAGAGAATCGCGTTAATCAAACAGCCGACCGAAATCCACGAACGGTGCGAGATATCGTTGCAGTTGTGTAGGAATTGTGTGAGGTTGCTTCGTAAATCTTCCCGGAACCAAAGTTGTATTCGGTAGGTGAAGACTTCGAATAATATTGAATGTACGTTTCTGGACGATGAGTTCGTCTGGGCAAAGTGATTTTTGCTTTGATGGTTCTGCTGAAACGATTTCTCGGAGGTCCTAGAGTGAGTTTATTTCCACGCGGGAATTTTTTAAAATTAGGAGGCAAAAGGATATTATTAATAGGTGGCGAGATACAGGTCCAGCCAGTTTGCTTAAGATCACTAAAGAACAGGGAAAAAACGAAGTAGCTAAAGAGTAAAAGGAGTCTATTCGCAGGATCTGCCGTAAGGAATCTGTCGAAGTGCTGGCTTTGGTGTCTTGTTGTCGCGTGAGCTGTTTTGATGGAAGTGTGGAGAGGGAGGTTGATGTAAAGGAGATGGTTGAAGAAGAAGAGGGAAGAGAAAGACCAAGAGACTCACAAATTTGAGCAAAGCCTGATTTGGCAGACGTTTCTGTCTCGATGACTAAGCCACCACCAAAGCCAGCGTCCCACAACGTCGGTTCAACACACAACACAATTACACAGCCAGCCCGAACTGTGAGCCAACGGTATCACGAGGTTGAGTCTCGACCTGCTTCAGGGGACACAGATAGTCCCGAGGTTATTGGACATGACGGCAGGCGAATGACAGTAGGTATTCCACTCTTTGGAAGTACACGTACATACATACATAGTACACAAACTTCACATTCTCTAGGTCCTTCCCCAAGTTCCTTTCATTCAAAAAAAAAGTTTTTATGTTTTTATTACTTGCCCCTTCCAACGCTTAGGCTCCAATCTAAGCTCATATCCCCAAAGAGAATGTAACAGATACGGTATCAGATCAGACCCATTCCTCCGCTTATGGAATGCTGTACGCGGGTGTGCGTACGGGTAGTGCCTCTTTCATTCGCGATCGTTCCATCCGAATATCTACCCAATTTGTAGCGATTGGTACCACGCACTTATCATTACTTATATAAAATCATTCTTGTTTACAATTCCACAGGACGAGTTGGCTAACTGATACGATATATATCCGTAAGTAGATAGTATAATTAATGGTATACTATGGAAGACAATGGAAAGCACATACAATAATATAGCTCGGAACAAGGCGAATCAAGAACTAAAACGATATCAAATCTGAAACAAAGAATAGTATGGAATCAATTGAAAAAGAAAAGAAGAAGAAAAACGCCGTGGCTGTGTGTAAAAATATCGAACCCGAAGATAGAAATAGACGGAATAAAGCGGAAATCGAAAGCAGAAAACAGAAACAGAAAGATGAATGTAAAAAATAATAATAAACCAAAATCGCTCTCGTGAAATAAAAATTATCGTTCGAAGGGTAAATGAGCGTAGCGTAGCAGCTTTCTCGAAAAGCGGTCTGGTGGGTCATCCGAAGATAAGAACCTGATCGTTAAAAGGTCCAAAGAAGAAATAAATCAAAAATCGCAGCAGGTGATTAAATGCGTAACCAGATGTTGAAAAGGGAAGAAGCCCAGCCATATCCTCAGTCCTTTCGACTTATTATATCCGTCGGTATCGTGTCCACCTTTTGTTTTTTGCGGGGGGTCCATAAACTCATTGATATCCGAGCCCTAAATCCGAAGGGCAAAAACCTGAAAAATAAATTAAACCACCATATAGTCTTAATTCCTATTCGTGAATCTTGAAAACTTAAATGTCTCCTTGATCCTGTCCATCGTGCTTCCGTTTTTAAAGAACGGTATCTTTTCTCGTATCGATGTCGTCCTAACGTCGATTTTCTGCTTCATCCTATGTGTCTTTTCGGAGATCTTCTCGAGGGGCTGTTTTCTCCACGACGGTTTGACGAGCGCCCTGTCTGCACCAGCAGGCAATAAGTCGTCGGTTCTGGGCTGTGCCACGTCCGGGTGGGTAACTGATTTATACGGAACTGTCAATGGGGAAAAAGGATTAGTATTAAAATTCCGTAGTTTTCAAGATCGTCGTTTCAGATTTATCTCAACTTACCGTTTGGAATTCTATTCTCTACATTCTCTGTATATTCCCCCACATGCCCCATATCTGTGGGTGCGGGCGCTCGACTCCTCTCCCCCTTCATCTCCTTTTCCAATTCATTCAGAACAATACTTAAAGTCGCCGAACTCTTCCTATCTCTCGCCGCCTGTTCGCCCTCCTCTTCCTCCTCATCAAGATCGATATTGAAGGTCCCAGGTAACGGTCCACCAATCTCTTTCTTCAACTCGTCCATTCCAATGTCATGAACAACCTCCCCGCCATGAATAGTCGTAGCGTTACTAACCCTCTCCTTTCTCCTCCCCCGTTCCCTTTCTACCTCTTCCTTCTCAGCAGCTTCCCTAGCCTCCCTAGCTTCTCTTTCAATCCTTTCCTTTTCTTCAGCAAATGCTGCAGCTGCAATTTTCGAAGTAGCATTCACCGGCATCGGTGCATGAGTTTGTAATGCATGTCTTCGTTTTAGATTGATACTCGATCCACTGCTGCTACTTCGGCTGCTACCCCGACTCACCGATCGGCCGACAAATGTCGGACGTCCTTCTTTGGGAGATCTTAGGCCTCCGGAGGCACTGAACGGTGAGGTGAATTGTCGAGGGGTTTCATAAAGCAGTTCGAAAGTAAGGTTTGTGAAACGGCGCCCGCTGAGATTTTGGTGATACATTTTTTATTTTTATTTTTTTATAAAAAAAAAAAAATGTGATAAATGTGGATCTGATTCGTCGAATAAATGAAACAGAAAAAATAAGAGTGAGACCGAGAGGATGAGGGAAATGATTCCTGCGGGTGTCTGCGTGCGTGCGTATGTGTGTATATTCCTTTATCGTTCGTAGAGGTATTCTTGTGTGAAATCAAGACGGTTTGATGTAAAGTAAAATAAAAAAAATAAAAAATAACAATAATAATGCTTTTGTAGACGTGTTACGTTTCCAATAACTGCCAGTGGGATTTTCTCCAAAAGTTCTACCAGCTGCAGTTCAAGTAGTTCGAGCTTCTTGCGCTTCTTGTTCTGTCCGGGGGGTGGAATAATCCAGTCGTAGCGGTGGGTCAACGTGTTTCAAGGCTGTTTCTCGCGGGGAAGTGTCGCAGGATGCGCCCACCAAGCACCAAAAAAGAGGTCTGAGTCGAACGAACAAATCAAAGCAAGAGGTAGCTTAATACGCTAAGAAAAGTGTCAAAGATAGATGCAATTGGGTCTATACTGCGTTAAAACAGGGAAAGAGAAAAAAAAAAACAAGTGAATGAAAATGAATGACGTCTAGATAATCGTGCGTTAGCTGTTCAGAGAAAGAAAAAAAGACAGACGTATACGTAAAAGGACGTTATGTTAGTGACTAGTGGTGGTGGTGGTGAGGAGGGGAAAGGAAGTCGCAGTGGGTGTCGCGAGAGGGAAAAGGAAAGAAAGAAAAAGAATGCCAAATATTAATGTCAAGAAGCAGAGGAAGCAGAAGCAGAAGCAGAAGCAGAAGCAACGTAAGATCGATCTTCAGCCACAGCAGAAACAGGCTGGAAAGGACTTTTAAAGAGAGAAGAAGTAGGAAGGAAGGAATAAAAGGAAAGGAAGGTAAGGGTGCGTCGAGCACTAATATTAACAGCTGCTAACTCCTCTCAGTCTTTGAGATACTACCTGGTAGTAGATGTAAGTAGTTACGGCAGTGAGCGACGCGAAACAAAAGAGACATCCATGCACAAAAGAGAAGTGAGTGTCTATGCACAAGGCGGCAGGTGGGTGGAAAGGAATGAATGAATGAATGAATGAACGAACGAAGTAGACACGGCCATGTGCTTCTTTGCATCCGAAAATATTTTTTTTTGTTTACATCAGAAGAAGACCGGGATTCTCAGTCTGGGTTTCACTAATATTAAACACCAGAGAACCGGGAGGATCGGGTACAGGATATACCCTTGCAATCTGCTCTGCCTCGCAGACTTTTCATACATTGCGATCGAAGGCAGCAGCGATAGCTACTATGTAAGTAGTTACTGGTGTCAATGTGCGATACTTTCCGTAAGCTAGCCGTTGATGCTAAAAGCTCCGTGGACTAGTACTATATACGAGGCTACGTTCCTATTGATCGATTGTAGTTATTTATTTACAGCTACTCCATCTTCAATTGACGCTACTCTGTACCGACTTACGTATACAACTAAGTACTTATCTACAAATGTCGCATGCGCAATATTAATATCGGCCCAAGTCCAGCGAAACGGCTATTCTATTCTATTGTCCCCATCGGATTCCACAAAAGCCCTCAAAGAGTCCAGGTACGAAAGATTAAACAAAAAAGCTCGGGCCTGGCTTGGAGAACCAGATCTCGATCCAAGAACCTCTCACCTTTTTTTATTATATTATTTCAATTAATTAAATTTAATTACTTCCTCGACTGGTAAAACATCAAAACTCACACGTACTGTCATATTAAACTTCTAAAAAGGGCCCCACAATATGGAATCACCGAAAGAAAGGAAGGGAAAGAAAGAAAGAAAAAAAATCCCTTTCCTTTCCAGAAACAGCAAACAAATTAAACATCAAAAAATAGAAGGGAAGTGGGGCCACCCCCGAAAGAGTTTCCTCCCCTCCAATTCCACGATCGTAATGTGTGTAATTCTCGCCTCAGATTTCTCTTTTGAGCCGAAATTGCCAAATTGACAGCTCTTGTGTGTGTGTCTGGGATCCACTTTGGCGTTCGTGTGATGATGATGCATCATCCATCACCAACTCTGTTTTTTTTTAATCATATCAAATCGGGAAGAGATGAGAGAAACCGTTCCTTGGCCATAATCTCGCGAATGACCACGAAAACAACACATCGTGCATGAAATTGTATGCATGTCGCGCCTGCACATGCATTTGCCCCCCATCACTCACCCCAGGTTCAGGTGCAGGTCAGGCGGATGCAATGATATGATATGATACGATATGATACGATACATGTCCATCGTATGTCAAATCCCCAAAAGGAATTGCATTGACAGCTTACCAATATGGAGCTTAAGCTACTAGCTAGCTAGCTAAGAAGTAGCTACCTCGAAAAGAAAGCGGAGCCGTGGGTTTCCCCCCCAGAACTCTAAAAGCCATTGGCGACGAATAGATGATTGGTGTAGTCAAAAACCTGAAACGTCGAGTGCAGTTGAGAAACGTGGATCGATAGAAAGCGATGGAATTCGGAAAGAAGCGAATCCGATGTCGCAGGTTGAAAGCATTCCAGGGTCCATCGAATTCGAATTCGAGTTTGAATCGACAGTGATTTTAAACTTATAAAAAAAAAAACTAGGTTGAATGGCATGGTGCATTATCCCAATTATATTTCCGGTATTAATATACAGAAAAAGAAGTAATGATATTCGATAAACTGAGAGACCAAATTCAAGTAGCAAAAACAACCGTCAGGCCTGATACAGAAATCCAATTAATAACTTTTGTCTGTCATACTCCAACAACGCTCCCATCAACCTAACCAATCAACACACCTGCAACCTTCCTTTGCTCGAGCTACCTACTTAGTACTCCAAAAGTTCTCATAAAGTGCTTCCTCATAAGTCGTAAAGCCATTTTCTTTTTTTCTTTTTGTTTTTCGTTTTGGTTTGTTTCTGTCATTATAAAGCGTGAATCGTCATCCAGGGGAACGTTCAACATGAAGGGGGTGTGTGTGTTATATGGGTATAAGTATATGTTATATATAGGCAGACAAAAGTAAGGGATGCAGCAGCTTGCTTGGTAGCTTTTTAAACTTTTGTGAAACAGAAGCTTCTCGGGAAGACCCGCGGACGGCTGGTGTACAAAGGTTATACAATCTTATGTTCTTTTTTCTTTGTGCCCAGCCAAACATTGAGGCTGGTAGACATGCAAGATCATGTACATCAAAAAAAAGGTGTGCGTTTGTATTTCTGCTTCTGCCGGTCGTCAATGCATCGATCATGAAGAATTTCAAGTCAGGGCCACTTCCCAAGTGACCAAGAATTAGTCTTAGTAGTCGTCTTGTTCTCCCTTTGAAGTTTATGATTAGTTATTTTTTTGGTTTTTGGTCCGGTTTAAGCGGAAGAAAGAAACAGACATCATCATAAAAAAAATGAAAATAAAGGAGGGTAGTATAGAGAGTTTTTCGTACGATCTGTGTATGCAAAGAATGAAAAAGAAATCCCTTATTTAATGTCAATCATAAAATATAAGCAAAGCCAAGCAGAACAACAATAAAATAAGTTTGGGGAATATCGCGACGCTAGTCTAGAATATAAAGGGCAAAAAGAAAAACGGAGACAGGCCGGTGCGTTTTGTCGCTGCAACCAAGTGGTATAAAAGAATCAAAATATCTAAGTGGTGGGCAATTGGGGGAATCAACATCAAGAAGAAAAAAAACAAAAACCAACCGACTCCAAGAGGAACGAAATCTGCAAAGAATATGAAAGGAAAGAATAAAAAGCCAAGCCCGATAACACCATTTTGTTGAAGCCCATGCGGGGGCGGGGTAACCGATGTGATGATACAAAATGCAAGTGTCTGGTCGCGAGAAGCGGAAAAAAAGAAGAATCGAAGACTAAAAGAATGATTTAACAAGGGTAGGCCTAGCCTGGCTTGAAATGTTGAAGTGATTAGTAACGTTAGTTGGATATTACAATTAGAATACTGGTATTCCAAAAGTGAGGGGTAGAAGTAATGAGTCCCGAAATTGAGAGGTTGTTCCTAAAAAGGAAAGAAGGGATGATAACTCAATGGAGGCCGAAGGTTTTTGACTTTATTTCGGTGCATCATTGTCATGGAATTCTGAGCCGGAGCCGACATGTTCTCGGAACCCGTCTGCTGCGTCCTCGTTCGGATGGACTGTGACCGTTCCTTGAATGGTAGCAGTTCTAACCCGACCACTTAATGGAAGTTGATAACGAAGAAACCCGCGGATCGTAAGATCGAATGTATGGACCATAGCACGCTCCCACCGTTCACTCCCGCCAACTTCGGTTTTGTTTCCGGGTTTCGACAGCCGGACTTCCCCGATGGCGTGAGCCGGTTCTTGTCGGAACGGTGAACCATCAAAAGTCAGAGCAGAGTCGAAGTTGAAGATACGCCCTAGCAACATGGTTTCTTCCTCCTCAGCGGGGTCGCTAATGGGATCAGTTCCCTTGTCAACACCATCGAGAGCACGCACACTCTGATCGTCGAGAAGGTTATGTTGAGGTTTCTCCATGTTGGGTCGTCGTCGTTGAATTTTGGCACCGAGATTACCCTTCAAAACGTTCTTCCACCAGGCTTCCTCCTTGTCCCCACCGTCTATGTCGTCCTTTGGTTTATCCTTTTTTGGTTTGTCCTTGACATAAGGGCTCTTGATAAAGACGTTGACATCCATGGTTGCGATCGAAACTGGGAGAATATTAGGGTTCAATGCGAAGATATCCATATTGAACATCATCTCCTGTTTAGTCGCAATAACATCAGTGATATTGATAAGCTTGACATCCTGGAGCGGCTTCGTGGTGAGGAAAACGAAGCCCAAGGAGCAAGCGACAAGTGAAACCATGGCGAAAACCGCAAAAATACAACAGGCGAGCCGAGTATACCAATTTCTCTGTCCATAGTCGCGATCACGGCGGCGTGAGTTAACACTACCGGGGCGTGACTTAGTAACCCCGTTCCTGTTCAAAGGCCAAAGTGGTGTTCGCTCGTCTGCATCGCCTTCAATATCACCCTCGTACATCGAGAGGTGACTACCTTCTCGTCGTGCTTTGGGTGCTATAGATCCATTTCCACCGGTGTGCTTATTACCGTATGTCCTTGGAGACCCTGGCCTAGAGGAAGCTCGAGAGCTACTAATATGATGAGGGGTCCTGAGAGATTGATGCGAGTTCTTATGCTGCGCATATCTTGTCAGTTGAGGGCCACTTGAATCATCAAGGTTTGGGTTGGTGTATCCGCGTCCTATATGGCTTCTAAGCCCGGACTGGCTTCCAACACCACCACGTATGGAACTGGAGCCTACACCATCTGAAGTGTAATAGTCATCAGGAGGTTGGCTCTTATACGCATGACCGGTCCCGAACTTCATATTCCTTCGATTTCTACCTTGAGTGTTGAGCGCTTGGCTACGAGGATCCGAAAGCGAAGTGACGCTAGAAGTTCGCGAATGCCTCGGTCTTGTCTTCTCGGCAGGATTAGACTCGTAGACAAATGTTTCCTCGCTATCAGACGATTCGGCGTCATCTAGGGTATCATTAATCCTTTGTTCAAAGATGTCCGCCTTTGTGGTCTCTGTGTTGGGTTGTTAGAGATGTCTCAGAAGTGGATATATAAATTACTTGGAACGATGTACTTACGAGCTCCAGGTCCAGGGACTCGTTTGGCTTTCTTTCGTTTCTCCTTCTTCGCTGGGCGTATCGTCTCTTGACTGGCTTTTTTAGATAGTCTGACGGTAGCTGGTGGATTCATCTGCTGAGGGATCGATGTAACTGTTTCGATTTCAGGGGTCAATCCACCGCTTAAATCTTGGGCCAGCGGACCGCTTGTAACTGTCGGTCGTCGGGAAACTGCCCTTGAAGGAGCTCGACTAGCAGGTTTTCGATCACTGAGGTTGCCTGTATCTGATTCAGACTCCTGAGTTGTCGTTCTGCTGCTTGCAATACTAGACTCTGACGGACGAGTACTCATGCTAGAAGTCTCCTGGCGTCGTTGTTCCGCCTCTAGAAGCCGAGCATCGATACTTCTCTCCCCCATCCCGATGGCAGGAGTACTTGGTAAGCTGCTTTCGGTAACGGTTTCAAGCAACGCTGGGCTAGCGATCGGCCGTGGCGGTCGCTGTCCATGACTGTGAAAGTATGAAGACGAGCCTTCGTGTGACTCGTCACCAGAGGGTCCTCGGCCCGGGCTTTCTCTTCCTCTAACAGCCATAGATGGTGGTGGAAGTGTAAGCGTCGAGTCCGGCAGTCTTCGTGGAGAAGTTAAAGAGGAAGAACGGTTCATAGGAGGCGGAGAACGTGGGAGACTTAAACGTGGGGATGTCGGCCAATGGGGGACATTTGGGTGAATTGGCCGCTGTGGGCGAGGAGAGAGGGGTTGTGGAGGTTCCGTAGTCATGGCTGGTTGTTGATTCGTAGTCGTACCGCTAGTAGGTGCTTGCGCAACTGCAGAAGATGATTGGGATGCTGCAGAGTTCGCCAATCTCGCAATTGATGTGGATGATAATGACCTAACCGGTGACGGAGAGGCTTCCCTGCGAGTCTCCCTTGCAGCCGAGACCCTGCGATGCTTCGGAGGAGTCTGCTGCGATGTGGGTGTAATTACAGGAGATGAGGTTCGAGATGGGACGCCAGGTGTAGAGGAAGAAGAGATTTGAGCTGCTAAGTTCGCATTTGGACCTCTGTCTCCTGGTTGAGGAAATTCCACTAAACTGTTCGGGGTGGACGTCTCCTTCCGAAGATTCGTGGCACTGCTGTTCCTCGACATTGTGATTGTATTACTGAAGCCCTGGTTAGAGGCGCCCAGTATGGACTAGGATTGGGTTCCTCCACGTTAGATTGTGGGGGAATAGCACAGATCCAAGCGGGACCCCGGGGAGCACTGGACACAATCGTCTTTGGGGGAGAAGAAAAATGCTGGTCCCCGGATGCATCAAAGGTTTTTTTTTTTGTTCTGGAACGAAGATGGACGGCAAAAGTCGGGGAAGAGAAAAGCACAGAAGGAGAACAGAGAAAGAAGTGTTCTAGCAAGCGAAGGTGTACAGCACACGGGGCTTGGTGGTTGCGGCAAGCACGTCTATTTCGTCAACAAATTCCGGCCCTCTTGGTGCGATTCGTTTCCTTCCTCTTTGGTGGGTCCAGTTGTTGACCCGAAAGGGCGATGTGATTCGTTTTCACCGGCAAGAAAAGAGTGACCCAGAGGGAATCACATTGGACGATTGATGCTATAGGTGCATGCAGATAGGCTATGCCTTCTTCGCTGAATGACCCGCTGTATGTACTGTCTAGTTGTATGCACAATTGTCAAGCAGTGGAATGCCGAGCTCAGTTGACAGAGATTTTCTTTTGCTGTTGTCTTAAACAATATTCGCGGAGATTCGTGGGGAGACAGTCGAAAGGTCCAGGAGTTCTTGCAGGAGAATGTGATGAAGATGTAAAGACCCTTCCTTTGCCCTGCAAGCCTATGGCGGGTGGCAGACGATCTAACGGGGGTTGATTCTGCAGGTGTACCTGAACCTTACTGAGAGGTGACAGTGAAGCAGACGAGCAGCCAGCTGGTTGGTCCCGTCGGGTGTGAGCGTGGGTGGGAGTGGATCGTGGGACGGGTAGGTCGAGGGGAGTGATGGAATGGATGGGATGATGTTGAGGTTGACGTTGTGGTTTTGGTGGTTGAGCTGGGTGGAAGAGAAGCGATGTGATGTGTCTCTGTCTCAGGGGTCCCGTCTAGGGAATAATGACGACGGCTGCAGCTGCAACTGGAACTTCCAACAATGCAACCGGCAACCACCATGGCCACCACTGTCAGAGAATATATATTACAAAGTATCAACCACACATTGCAATTAACGACCTCTGATCGAGGTACAAGTCTACGGCACAATCGCTTGACTTCATGGCCCGCCATATGCGAGAATGTGCAGGCCCGGTCTGTCTGAAACCACTGGAGCCATGGAGCCATGGAGTAGCTGCCGGTACATGCCTCACGAGGGCATCGTCGATGTGTCCTAACCACAGACTCTCTCAGATTGGCGATAAGAAGCGGGCTCAGTCCACAGCTGTCCAACGGTCTTTAAGCCAGAAGGGAAGACTGCATGCCACCAGCGGCCCTAATTGGCCCAGCCCGTCCAAAAACCACCATCCAAAGATGGGACTATTCACACGCCGGTCATGGGAATGAACGCACGATTGTTCACGATGGAGCCTTTACGGGAGCTTCCACCTGTTGCATGGACTATCACAAGTACCCTTTTGCGCAGGAGATGGCATCAAAAAAATGTTGCAGCCTACCAGTTGCAGTCGCATTTAATATTTGATCTATTTTACTTTTACAAACAGTCAACTGTGGGAAAATTTTAAGAAAATTATTAGCCTTCCGCGCTACACCAATCTGCAAACAGCCTCTCGAAAAAAACTGTTTGTCCCACAATTTCGCACAAGTCCATACCCATGTCGATGCCCATTTCTCACCAAAGGGATCACTAAAAGGTGGTGTGGGAGCAAGTCGTCTGTGGAGATGGCCTTCGATGAGTTGTCCAACGTTGACAATTCCTGTCCCACTGGGCGGCCCCCCTGGCCTTTCTCGCCTTTCTTCCGCCCTCTTTTCTGCAGCTTTTCTGCTTCGACTTCCTTTTTTCTTAGTGGTTGATGACGCAGGAGTAGGATTTTTTCGACCAGGGCAGTCCCCGACTAGTTTGTTTCGAGAAAGCCGCTGCAGCGGGAAAAAGCGGTTTGAAGTTCTTCCCTCGTGCCCTTCTATCTGAAATTTTCCCGGCAAGGCCAAAACGGTCGTTTGAACGAACGAACAGGTTGTGCTCGTTGGTAGCAAGCCTCAAAAACGAGGGGAGAACAGGGTTAAAGGTACACAAATCGACATTGTATATGACTTGATTTGATAAGGCGGCACAAAAGGTGGCTGGGCTACGGAAAGAAAAAAGGCGTCTACGGGTCGACTCCAGCCGTCTGTTTACAACTCAGTCATTCTCGCGGCTGCTTTTTTTCCTGCGATCCCATGCGTCTTTTTCTTCACAATCTAAAGGAAACATATGTCTCGGGGCCTCACAAAGGATCGGGAACCTCAGGTCCCTCCTGCTTCTTCCCTTCCTCCCGCCCGGAGAAAATTTCTTACGAGGGAAGAGGATGGACCAGCCGGGTCGGGGCGGTAGAGGTTCGTACCCTCGGATACACATGCCACTACGAACTCGGAACCTCATGTCCCATATTTTCTCTGGGAGAAAATATAATAAAAAATAAAAAATAAAAAATAAAAAATAAAACCAAAGGAGATGTCGGCTGAACTCTCTTAGCATTCCGATTTATAAGACCGAACGAAAAAATTTTCAATCGGAAGTATAGAGTACATACGGGGAAAAACGAATTATTTTGTTTTTTGTCTTCGTTTTTTCCTGCTTCATAAAATTCGTAGATACACGTGTCACTCCGTGGGGTTGCAAAAGCAGAGAAAAGAGTTCATCGAAAGGGAAGAGAAGCCGTTGGGGGGAAGACGACGTCCTCGACGCTGTGATGAGCTGGCAAGTGGAGGTTGCTTGAGAGTGATAGAGAAAGCAAGGGAAGTAGCCGACAGATTCAACAGACCTACGGGCATGGATTACGGATATATTCGACTTCACCCCGCCGCCGAGAAGCCCGGACCAGCTGCATCTAAGGGTCCTTGTTGAATCACAGATAACGGATGTATAAAAAACGTTAGAAGTAAACTCTGCCGTTTCTCGGAGTTCGAGATAGTAGATATGTCGTATGTCGATGTTGATATTGAAACCGAAATTTTTTTCAAGGAAAAAAAAAATCCAATGACCCTATATTGCGTATACTAATCATCAGAAGGGACGACTAACCCACATCCGTCGGCACCACTAGCCTATTTGACGCTATTTTCAATCCCTAGCTTTGAATATCATGTCCCATCGAGCTTAAGTTGTTTTTTGGCTTGAAAGAAAGAAAGAAAAGTACAAAGCAATGACATGAGAACTGGGAACAGGCGATGAGCGATGCCGACCAATAACATGCATTGCATTTTCCCATCTGCGATGTTCGTCTCCAGAGCTAAACTACTGGAACCCCTCTGCATATCCAAATGCAATGCCCCTCTTTGTATCGTTACATGGAACTCCTCAGCTCCGCCGCTGTTGTCCACATCATCGCAGAAAGCATCGACCTTAAACCATGATCAGCTTTTCCCCGGCTGCAAACTGCAAGAGATGATGACTGCATCTGCTGCAGGGCGTACGGCCGGCGGGATGGAAAGCGCTGCTAAGCTTAGCTATGGGCCAACATTCGGCGGGGTGCGGACGATCGTACAAAGTCAGCATCGGACAAAGAGAAAGAACAAGGCAACCCTCTTTGCCAAAACATGCCATACCAACATGATGATGTATCTATGATGGAGTTGATGGCATGATTGCACATCAGAATGAGGGCTTTGAGCTGCGCTTTGGGGGGGGGGGCTCCGCTCGCCGAATGAGCGTTTTTTAAAATGATCCTGTGGAACGTTCATTTTGCATTTTATGGTAGCCCAAGCGAAACGATCATGGTCGTATCGGATTAAAATTGTGGGTTTGCGGTTTATTACTATATTCGTATATTCGTTTAATAGGTAGCCGTTCCCGGCTCGTGACCCATGGGTACCGTATGGACTGATAGATGTTGAGATATAGCGTGAGCAGTCACGCCAATGTGGTCTGGCTGTCGGGTTGAATCGTAACCCATTGGCGCTGTCACGAGTTCCATATGGGTCTGGAACTTCAAGCTTATTCTGGAGAAAAGCCTTAGCCAAGCTTAACTATAGCCCACGTGCAGGAAGAGATCGTGCGATCGCGAATGGAACCGAAAAAGGACGGCGCGGTGGCGTCCTGTAGAATAATTGGAATTTGAAGAGTATGATATCATACTATTCGCGACAAGTCATGGAAAACCAAGGATTGTAAATGTGCGCACCAGAATTGATTTGAAATTTCAGGGGAAGTTGCGATATAGGAAATAAGGTCCCGTCCCTGTGACTGTGGAGACCGGTCGACCCCGCCGCAAAAATGATATATGTACAGAAAGAATAGATGGTATACTGATAATGAACCATGATTGATAGGAAATAAACCCCAGTGTCTCCCAATTGAACATCCAAAACATACCAATAAAACATTATAAGCAGAATTAAGCAGAGAAAACAAGGAAATGATATCTGAAGCCATTCCGATCCCGTGTACCCCCTTCGTATTAATGTACTATGCAATCTGAATCTTCCCTTCTAGCTTCATGTAAAAACCATCCCCCAAAAACGCCTGTCGAAACGTAAAGACTGACCAGAAATAATAAAAATACACCTAACTTTTAATGGACCCCCCGTATCTATGAAGATAGTCTATCTATATCTTTTTTTCATCACTAGCTGCTGCATCCGAAAATGGATTAGGATCTAAATTTTGCTTCAAAACCGTCCGGCCGTTGACCAGCTTCAGCCTCGGTGTACCCGGAATGTGGTACTCACTGAGTCCATTCCCGCTCATGTTAACAACTGCAGGTCGGGAGGGTGCTGCCCTCTGTCTTTCGAGATGCGCAGGATCAGGCCGCGCCATCCCACTGAATGGACATCTTCCCATATTCATGCCATCCATGAGATGCGTGGCCTCTTCGATAGGACGACCTAAGATAGTCTTTCCACTCTCAGAGCTACGTCTACTAGCGTCTGTACCATTACTACGTACTGAGGCATCATCGTCCCCCAACATCTGTTTGCCATGTAGATACCCCTCCTTCAGGGCATCATCCTCATCGATAGGTTCCTCCTCAAGGAATTCGAGGGCATCGGTGTTGTGCCAGCGCTCCATAAGGTCGTTTTGAATCCAGATCACCTTGCCGAGAGCTTTGATAAGGGCGATCTTTCTGTAGAGTTCGAGGCGTGGGTGAGAGAGGATCGCCTCGAACATGGCGTCCTGAATGAAACCGAGGCAGACACCAAGGAATACGTATTCAACGTGAAGTGGGTTCTTGCGGCCTTTGCCAACGTGCATAAGACTATAGAAACTATGTTAGGATATGATATTTAAGAGTAATGGAGTGAGGAATTATAACATACCCGACTTTGTCGAGGTACTCCCAGTATTCCATTCTTGTGCAATCGGAGTTGAGTTTTGTAAGGTACCATCGAAGGAACTAATATTACAACCGTTAGTAAATCTCGAGCTCGGAAGGACAAGAAAAGAGCATGCACAGTGCTCACCATCTTTCTGTGCATAATCTGAGCGCTGTCCTCGCTCGCCCAAGAGCTAACTGGACCTTCATCCCTGCTGTTTCTAGTAGTGAAGACACGAGCTGTGATATCGTATTTGAGGAGTTTCTTGTAGACGATGTTGACAATAGCTGGAATGAGCGCCTTTACGTATTTCTGACCTGCGATAAGGGCTGCGACATCCTCTGTTGTAGAAATCCATTGTTAGTTTATATTCTTCCCTTTTTTCAAATAAACCCGTCGAACAGAATGCGACAACTTACCAGGTCCGAACTCAAGGAAGGAATGTAAGAATTGAATTCTGACTGGGAGTGAGGTGTAGAGTTCGGTACGGTCGATATGCTCCATGGAAGGCGGTGCCTCCACATGGTGCTCTTGTTCTTGCTCGGCCATCTTCATTTTGAATGTTGTGAGTGTTTGAGATCTTTCAAGATCCTAATAACTTCGAATGATATAGAAAAGTAAAGAAAATTCTAGAGATTCTAGAAAATGTTTGAGCTTACTCCGGACTTAAGATAAGTAGTTAAGAGAGAGGCTTCTTCGTATTCGAATCGAGAAATATTATATTAGTGCTGGTGATATTCCACGTGGAGAAAACGTTGTGGACATGATTCAGCTTGCGCCGTCTCTCACTCTTTATACCCCTCTTGTAAAATGAAGCTTAAAAGGGTGACTACAAGCTTTGAGTAGTTCGAAAATAAATTTCACAAATTTCATCATCGGATTAATTAGGGACGGCGGTCCCCGGCGTGTCGCATGATTCAAAGCTCTCTTGGAAATATCGCAGGTGGTCTCAGTAGTGGTCTCACTTAAAGTTGTGAAGTGGTCTGCACCTCACCTGATACTATTTTGTGTTGCGAACGCTTTTGGAAAGGAGAGTAGGCCCCACAGTGGAGTTCCGAAGCACGCCACACGGCGTTTTACCATATATGGTCCGGCCGGACCTTGGTATTTGGGAAGCTATCATTGGCTGGTAGGGCTGGAATCGCTGGAATCGTTGGAACGGCGGAGGGCTTCTAGGGGCTGACCGTTTACCGAGAGGAAGACTCTGCAGGAAGGAGTTTTGGCTCTCATCTAGAATATACCCGTAAGGGTAAGTACCTACGATGAACCATATTCCGCACGTTTTGTGGCTTGCAAATTAATCTGCTGTTACTATGAATGAGGTATGAAGGCGAATGCCCGCGTGCGATGCCGGCAGATGTGCATACATACTGTGTACATAGCATGGCTTCGAGAACAAATGAGAGAGCTCAGATGATGTATCATGTCATGGATCATTCATTGATTTGCATGACCGCGGCAGAATGAAACCCTACCGTGTGAAGGAAGCGAGGAAGATGTTTCCGAGTGGGGGCGAGGGGAATATAATAATATCATGCCTCCTTGAAGCCTTTTCCGATCCGAGATTTGGCGATATACGAAACATGGGGGTCATGTGACCGTTCCTTCTGCGAGAATTCGAGAAGCATTTCCTTTGGATATAAACCGCCTTTCGGGTCGAGGCTGATTGATCGATACTAGATAGATAGATAGACAGATAGTACCTGATAGGCATTAATGGTATGAACGGAATGCCGAAGCTTTGCGGACAATAGCTTGTTTCGACGTACCACACTTGCATATACGCCATTGAGTATCAGCTCATACCAGTGTCATTTTCCCAACGTCATTTGCATATTACCATCCACCAAGACGGAGTATCTCCAAAAGGTGGCATCTTGGAGAGATCCGATCGTCGATCCTCTCTCATGAATTCAACCAGCTTGCGGGTTAGCGCTGTCGCACGAAAATGATGATGAAAGTTTCGAAAATGGTGATGAAGAAATTTGCAAGTGGAACCTCTCAACTTCTGGAGCTCCGATCAATATTCTTGCCATCATGCTGACCCGATACAGCCCATTTAATCTCATTATTTTTGCAATTTGAAGCCGATACAAGAATAGTACTTAGGCCCATCCGTCCGTGAAGCTTTGAACATAAGCTCATTCATTCTTCTCATATTGCAAGGCACCAAGCTCACATAAAACTCAGCACTTTGTCAGCCTTTTCCTTTCCCTGAATCGATGCTATTCCGAGCTCATCAATCTCGGGTAAAGACCATGTCTGCAATGATGTTGACGACTGCGATATCAACATTCTTCTCAACCATCCAATAATCTCGATAGCCGACAGACAAAGAGAGAGAGTTATTATTGTTCCCCACCCGTCGGACTATGCACTTCTAGTAGCATTATCGTGGGTCTCATTCCCTCGGTCAAACAAGAGTAGCGAATGCCCAGAATGCTTGTAAGCTGGAAGAAATTTTGCAGAAAAAATGGAGGGGTGTGGTGTTTCACTGGACCGGGTCGAGGTTTTCGGGGAAGAGGGAAAAGGAGCTAACGGACCCGCAAATCGGTTCAACGACGGCAGTGCTAGTAAAGCAAAGCCCAGACGGCACACGACGGCGGCCCCAATAGCTTGGACTTCAGATTTTTTTTCTCTTTGCTCCAGCCGGTGTTGATGGGCAAAGTTCCCGATCCCGCGACGGGCTACCGTTTAGCTGGTGAAAAAAGTTTCAAAGCATCTTTGCTCATTTCCTGTGCATTCACGGGGCTCGAGGTCATTTCGTTTTGAAGGATGTTAATTGAGCCGGAGCGAACGTTAACGGAGACAAACAGAACATCAAGCGATCGATCGATCGAGTGGGGACACAACTCCGCTAGATGATGAAGACACAATGCAGACTGATACACCGTGTACTTTATGGGAACTATTTTCCTAAAAAAGATTTTCTGTGTCCTCAGTTGAGAAAGTGAGAAATTGAGAAATTGAGAGGGGGCATGAGGGAGAGAGGGATGTGGGGCAGTTGGATATCAAGCGGAAGCATTTCCCTGTGCCTGCATTTGCAATGCATTTGCGGTGCATTTTCGCAGTTCAATTTTTCCGAAGGCACGTTGTTAGCGGCTTCCTGTTTAGGCAATTTGTTTACTTTTCAGGGAAAAACAACAATAATAAAAAACAACAATAACAACAACGAAAATCAAAACAACGAAACATCAACAACAACAGCAACGTCAACGTCAACATCAACACACTCCACTCCACTCCCACTCCTACTCCACACCACCATCAACGTCAATGTCAACAAACAACTGGACTGAGCAAAGGACCAAGTGAGCAATTGGCTGAGTGGTTCTAACCTGATCAAAACAAAAAATCAGGGGCAAAAGCAATTACCCTCATCCATCCTCTGCCACCATCCAACCTCACTTAACTACACTACCACAGTACTTGCTTTCTTTCTTCCCATCTTCTTTCTGGTGTTCCATACATCACCCTTCGAGAAAACAGACCGAGGCGTCGAGTCCATCGATAGCCAGGTTATTTCCCTAGGTGAGTGAACAAAGTTTTTGGTGATGATTACCCGTTCCTTCACTGCATCATATATATACCTACATATATCCGTCTCTTCTCCATCTATACATGCCTATCCGTGAGAGACTTTGGTGATGATATGGATATATTTATATATCCATCGTAATGTGGATCATGATTCGATATTCAGGGACTTCGCATGCTTCTTAATATGCATCATGTGTGTGACCTGAGGATTGATGGCTTGAATGCATCGCCACCGGCTTAGTCGAGATAGGCAAATAACAAGCAAAGAACAGTATGAACCACCATCATATTCATATTACCGCCTGTGAGATGCCGCTCCCCGCCCGCAGGTTCTGATTCTGGTTCTGATTCTGGTTCCGGTTCATCGATGCAGCCTTAGTTTAACTAGCGGCTGCAAGTTCTGTTGTCTTCTACACCGTTCCGTCCTAGACCCATCTCCTTTCTCTCACTTTTCGCCCCTTTTTTCTCCCCTTATCCCTCCCTCTCGTCTATGTATACGTGCAGGTGCCCTGCTCGAGGCTAGTCTTGGTGATAGTCTTGATCCTCGACGTTGCATGCACTCGCCAGGGCAAAGCGTTTATGTACATGTATTGTTATTTTTGTATTTTTGTATATTGATTTTTGCCGTATTCCGCTAGTCCCCCCCCATCCCATCGCGCTTTCCTCCAACTCAACTCACCTCGCCTCAACTCAACTCAAACTCTTCTTCCAACATCAACAACCTCACTAACCTGCCTCAACAGCCGCTGCCACTCTTCCCGAAACAAAACACCAACCACAAAAACTCACCAACAACCACCTGACTTGAACTCAAACTCAAATACCTCTTCTCCCGGCTTCGACGGGCTGTCTCCAATCAAACATCTTCATTTTTTATGACACGACCCCGAGAATTCTCCATTATCTGAAATCTGTACCTGAACTAAAAAGCAAGAGGAGGAATCCACGACCACCCGGTTACTAGGGCAGCTCGCTTTTTGGATAGACACATCCTTGCTGACCTTTTGTCGCGCGTTCTCTTCTCCTTCATACCGATCGGGTCGGCTGTATCGCACAACTGAGCCGAGGGGGGAAATATCATAATCAGCAGTGACCTCTGCACTGTGATTCGCCGTTACTAACGTCGAACCGCAACCACGAACAAGACCGACATCGCGCTCAGATTTGGGATATCAGCTGTCACCTCCCCTCAAACTCGGCCCTTCGAGGGTTCCCGGTTACACGCTTCTCATCGCCGTTGCCGTGTCTTGACGATTATCTCATACTATCTCATCAATTCGCCTGAACTACCACCCAATTTCTTTCGACTGAATAGTCACTTTGACTTGTTGAATCTATCCCACATAAATAAAATAAAATGGTTGTTTCTTACTCGCCACATCGACAAGGAGGCCCAACTCCTGTGGAAAGTACCCCGCCATTTACGCCATTCAAACGCGCCAACAGTGGCCTAACTTTGCTTGAAGTGCCACGTCATACCCCTTCTCCCATCCCCCAAACCCGTGTTTTGACCAGGCGACAGGGAACCTTAACTCGGACTAGAAGTTCGCCCATATCAACAAGAGGTGCATTGGAAGTCTCGACTAACAACCTCAACTGTACACTTCCATCACAATCACCCCACAATCCCGAATCAAAGATCACCATGACGACGGAACCGTTTAAGGTAAAGCAATTGCGAGGCAGGGGCATTGAGAACACTCCAGCCGTCAGCAGCCCGCTTAAGAGACGGGAGATTTCGGCTGGCGATGTTGCTCCACCAAGAGTCAAGCGTCGCTCCCAGGATGGTATCACCCGTTCATCGTCTCGTTCCTCATCACCAGCTGGCTCGTCATCGGATTCATCGAGCACCGGAAGAAGTAAGACTAGCCGCAGCTCTATTTTCTCTGGTACTGGGAGACCAATCTCCCACACACCTAGGAAGCCAACCGGTTTGAAGAAAGTTATCAATACACATCACTTCGAGAAGCCAAAGATAGCAAGATCCCGCTTGCAACCTACTAAACCTCCAGTGTTTGGTGTATCAACACCGCTCGCGCCCGGAAAAGTCAAACGCATTGGCTCCTTCGACAATTTCGTTTCACCGGCCTCTAAGGCAAAGGAACCAATGCTCCCTCAGGTCACAGTTTCTCGAATCGAGCAGATCCCCAAAGATGTATCCGCGACCCCAGCTGTCTCAAAGATCTCCAATACGCCCTTCAAGAAACCATTCCCTGCTCCATTCCCGAAGTTAGCGTTCACTCCTATGCCGCAACTAGGCAACTTTGCCACTCCTCAAATCACGAAGGCTTTCCCGCCCCAGCCTGCAGTTTTCATGTCCACTGGTTTACTCACCAAGAAGAACCGACCAGCCAACGGAAACAGCATCCTGCCTCCAGAAACACCCTGCAAGAAACCAACATTTATGACGAGAAACCCGATCATGGTCAACAATGCTCCGCCCGATACCCCATTTACCCATAAGAGTAGAGGAAAGTTGAACTTTAACCGGACAGAAAGCTTTGCTAGCCTTGCCGATACTGGGTCACCTGATGCAAGCCAGCAGAGCACTCAGCAGAGCACCCAGCAAGAATTTCTCCAAACCCCAACTAAACGCCTACACACTTCGGACAGTGCTGGTAGCTTACGTGGATTAAACAAGAGGTGGAAGACTGATGTTCCATGTAAGTTGTTGAATCTAGTCGATTTTAGCCTCAGGACTAACCAGTCAATAGTATCGCAAGAGTCAAGGTCCCCTCAGACTCCGCAAGGAAGTGCTAGCATCATCGATCTTGATGCGAGTCGACTTTCAATCTCTGGCAAGCCCTCTCAACCACTTCTTCTCAGCGATCCCTATCCCTCGACTCCTCGCTCCGCTAGAGATTTGTTTGGAAACCTTGTTCATACGCCTTCGCATAGCGGTAGTTCTCCCGATAAAATCTTCAGCGCGACCAAAGTTGAGCAAACCATGACACCCGTCATGGACCGTACCTCTAAAACATTTTCGAAAGACTGGGACCCAAATCTGGAAGCTAAATTTGCGAAAGTCACTCAAGTCGGCGCAGGAGAGTTTTCTGTTGTTTTCGAAGTAGAAGCACACCTTCCCTTACTATCATCTCAGGCTTCTTCCCAACTCATGACTCCTGAAAACTCTTCGGAGAATGGGTCGCCTCCTAACCCACCTCTGATGCTGCCTCGCCACTATGCTGTCAAGCGGGTTCAATTTCATGGTCAGCGAGATCGGGATCACCGTATTGAAGAAGTTGAAATTCTCAAGTCAATTGGCAAACACAAGAACGTCATCGAATACCTCGATAGCTGGGAAACTTCCATTAACTACAGGGTTTATATTCAAACCGAGTTCTGCGAGCTCGGTGCCTTGGATAGCTTTCTTTCTGATTACGGCAACCACGGGCGCTTAGACCCCTTCAGAATCTGGAAAATCTTTACAGAGATTTCTGAGGTAAGACAGGGACTGGAACCCCCCGATAGTTGAACCTTTAGCTAACTGAAATAGGGGCTGGATCATATCCACAGAAGATCAGTTCTACACCTTGATATCAAACCTTCCAATATCCTAGTTTCATATGATGGGTCCTTGAAGATAGCAGACTTTGGGATGGCGACAACGTATCCAGCCAGCCGTAGCCTCGAACGAGAAGGGGATCGAGAGTATCTCGCGCCGGAAGTGCTCCAAAAGCACCAATATGCCCGACCTGCGGACATTTTCTCCCTTGGTCTTACGCTCCTAGAAATCGCCGCCAACGTTCAGCTCCCTGATAACGGCCCATCCTGGCAAAGACTTCGTGCTGGCGACTTGAGCGAGATTCCCGACCTCACGCCTGAGAGTTTGATGCATAGTTGCATACGTGACGATCGTGGCTTTCCCATTGTTATGAATGACGACTCTCTCGGTGATATTGGAGAAGACTCGTCATTTTGTGCTGATAGCAGCTTCACGGTTCCTACCTCCAACCCTGACGGAATGTTTGCGAAATACACTAGCAACCCCAACTTTCGGGCCCGCGAAACAGAAGACCTTCTCAATCCGCCAAGGTATCTTGAAGGAGATAGCCTGAAGTTCATGATCAACTGGCTTATATCCCCAGATCCAGCTCTTCGCCCTAACACCTCAGAAATTCTTGGCTCAGCTGAGGTCCGTTGGATCAAAGGTCACCGAACAACTGGGGCTTTGGTGTATGAGGGAGAATGGGGCCCTGCAGAGTCTACATGCGAAATTTTGGACGATATGGACATTGGAAATCTATCCGTCGAAAGATTGGAAGAAGACGACTGGCTCATGATGGAATGAGCATATGTTCTACACCACGAAGCTACGATGAGATAAAACTCTTTTTTTTCCCTTTTGTTTCTTTCTTCTTTTTTGTTTCTCGACTTATGATCTTGTTTTGCTTGCCCTCATGATATATTTACTGCACGAAAGACTTTGTTTTTGTTATACCCCGTTTTGTTCTCATGTGGCGTGCTCTTTACTTCACTTCTTTCCAGTCCAACTGGTTCATATTAACACCGACTCTCATTCTGGTTTTGGATCTTGTCTACCAAGCTGGGCCTGTAATATTTGTAACACTCAGGAATCCTGGCGGAACGGAATCGCGCACTTGTACATTTTCTTCTTTTTTCGCTGCTCTATGCTGTTCTTCTAACTTCTCTGCTGATTCCGTTCTGATTCTCTTCGACGCCTTAAGGCTTATAACTTTTATTTCTGCTTTTGTTCGTTTTGACCAACGACGACTACGGTCTGCATTTAATCATGGCGTAATACAGGTCCTCCTCTTTTTTTCTTCCCTTTTTTCCTTTTCCTTCTCTCTCTGGGTTTGTTTCGTCGCGGGGCTTATGTTTCCTCCGCACTATTATCCTTTTTTTTTTTTACCAAGCTAGCTTCGTTTCTCTATCGCTCCTTCTGCACGCCTTTGAACAAAATCAAATAATGCATATGCCTATGATGTCATATGCCTTTCATGAACCTTTACTTAATGTTTCTTTCCGATGCATACGTAGATTGCGAGTTTACTTGTATTTGCAGCTATCACAATAAGATGATATCGGCGTCTGGGAACGAGACCAAGATGATATGCCAGTCAAGCATTAGCTAGGGAGGGAGGGAAGGGTAAAAAGCTAACAAAATACAGTGGTTTTTGTTTTCTCGGTTCATGGGTTCGATGTTTAATTTTATTTCTTTTTCTGTATCCGCTTTCTAGAAGGATTTCTAGAAGGATTTCTCAAGGTACACTGAAGGATAAAGTTTTAAATTTTATGTATGCCTGGGACGACGGCCCCGGATTAACTAGGTCTCCCCTAGTACTTTCGTCTCCAAGAAAGCGGGTCCGGGTGTCGTGAGGGACGGAGCGGCCGATGATTCGTGTGAGGGTTCTTTTTCTTTTTCTTCTTTTAAATTGGATGGCGGTTCGCTTGTGAGATTTAAATTTCCGAGTGCGATGGATATAGATGGCTTGGTAGTCAGATTTGAGTCTTGTGCATGCTTACTTACCATCCAAGACGATTAATGTACATACATTGGAAGATACAGTCACGGCCGCGGGTTTGAAACGGTTTGAGAATGCTACGGTTTTCCTTCGTGTGAAAAATTCGATCTGAACTATCAATACTAGACGGTTAGATGGGTGTATACCTTAGGATCTATTTACTACAAGTGAGGAGATCTTAAGGTGTTTATGAGTTTTGTGAAAGAAATTTTGACTTTGGCCGTAGGCTTGGTTGCCTATTAATTACGAAGGGTTTATCTTCGATGTCTAGTTTGAGACAAGATGTCCGAAAGAACTAGAAGTCTGATTACTTCTAAATGACGAATGGTTTTTATTTACTCACCACTGGTATCATAAATTTATAAGTTCGGATGTGGATACTACCAGTTTGATCGTACCCGGCACAAAAGCGGTCAAAAATAAGCATATTTGACTCTTCCATTGGCTATTATATTTATATTTACGCACACATCGGGCTTCTTCACTCATTATTCCTTGCCGCTCCCCGCACTTGACGATATATCGTCCGTTTCGAAATACCCGAGTTGTTGACAACACATTATAATATTATCGAATATATTGTTGTATTTTGAAATCAGGCAATTCGCCCGATCGGGGTAGGAAGGGTTCGTTGATCCTTGGTAGTACGGTAGATGTATCGATCGGCAATTGGTAACGCCTTGAGGTCCGTAGTTAACTAGTTTAGGGTTAGGAGAATTTAAAGAAAGTATTTTGGGAACTCCGTGGGGATGTATATTATCTAGGTACGTATGATTGTTTGAACTATTAGGAGATTAAGTTGGAGAAGGATGGTGCACCAGTGTAAAGTGTCCGCTAGACTTATAGAGCTATACAAGGGTCGGTTGCAAGTACCCGAGCAGCTATTATAGATGTAAATATATTCACCTACTTGAAGTTAATAAGAAATATGCATATAGATGTAAATCGGAAAATTGTTTTATTTTATTGTGTTTTACCGGGACCGTATGTGGCGGTGTGGTTCTCAAGAACTCTTTACCATAAGTTATAATTACTGTCATGGCATTGATATTGCATTACTGAAATGTAGTCTGGTCTAATATAGTTAACATTTTCTAGACATGCATGTCAATAACAAATTTATTACTGAATTATATATCTCTCGAACAAATTTGATGATAGAGTTAGGAATTGATGCCTAGGCGCCTTGTGATTTTTTAAGGGAAAATTATGTAAGATTTCTAGAGACTAAGATTCTATGGACTACCCAAATATGGATCAGGAGTTGGAGAGTATCAGGGTTTAACCTCACCCGGGAACATTGATTTATCACGGGCTTCGAAGATATCACTTACGTGTATACATGTGGTATGGATTAGGGCCGTGGATTCTGCTAAGTTATAATTAAGTCACACTGGAAAGCATGGAGCCAGCTGCAGCGTATCAATACTGATAGACTAAGAAGCCTAGAAAGCTTGAATGCGGCCTGCATAAATGCTTAACGGATTCCATGCGATCACGTCATAGTGTAATTTTAATTTTTGTGGCCTATTAAACCAAGGAAGCATTAGGTAATATAAATTTTTTTTTTTTCGAAGAGCAGTAGGCTCCTGGGTAGTTCACATCACCGCCCGCTGCCTTGCCATGCATGGGTGATAGCAAAAAAAAAGGCCCGTGGTAAGTATGACAGACGTAGCGCTACGTAGCACTGCCCATGCATTCTGATCTAACGCGCAAACACGTATCGCAATCACATAATATTGAGATTTTGGATATATATAACCCAAAAGCCCGATTTTTTTTAAGCTAAACCAACTATCCAGGACTCATTACTCGTAAAATGTCAGTATTGTGATTCTATATTTACACCTGTTCGCTGTGTCTTTTCGTCATAAGGCGTGTGTTAATCGAGCCAAACCGAATGAGGTTAGATTCCGCGAGCAAAATGCAGCCTAATTGCCCAAACAGGTTGGATTCCGCGAGCTCTCAGCCCTCCTTTCAGCCCAGCTCGGTTGGAAGAAAAGAGCACAGTCGCTTAGAACATTCGAAATGCATTCCGACAATTCGATTGCACCGGTTTTCTCCAAAAAGCCCATGCAAGGTTACATTTGTGGCGCTTCTTTCTTCGCGTTCTTTTTGAGGATACGCTCGAGCTCGGTTGTGGGGCATATATCAGATATGATCGGGTGGTATATCTAGTAAACAATATATTAATATGAGGGGGAGAGGGACCGCGTATATATTCAAGACGATACCGTTCGGAATCAATTGTTGAAACCAGACATCAATCATCAATCACCGGAGTGAGCTGAGTGATATTAAATCAATATGGTTCACAAGTCTTTTCTTATAACATGCCTTGCGGCATTGACCAGTATAGCGTCTGGGTCGACTACCTTAACCGCATGCACGGCTAATAATTGCCTGAGAGGTTAGTTCGCCTTATAAATTTACAGTTTCATGCATGAGCATATCATATCATATTAGGATATATATTAATATCACCTTGATAGCGATCCGCGGGTCTGCTTTCCCCACTCGTTCGGGAACCGAAGACTGTTCTTCGTACTTCAAAGCTACTGTTACTCCTGCGACTGTGTAAGTGTTTATACCTAGTACTTAACTAGTAGGTATGCAATGATGTATGAAGATAGTGTTCTAATTAGAATCATCTTAGAACTCTCACTCAAACCACCCCGATTCCGTATACTGCATCCACAAGTGTCCATGTTACACTTTCTACGACTCTCCCCTCTTCTGTCACCGACATAATTGGCACAGTCGAGACTAGCATCATCGACAGAACCGCCTCTACTACCATCGAGGAAACTGCTTCCGAGACCGTCTACGAAACTTCCATCAGTACAATTTATGTCACCGCTACCGCACGTAGCGATGTCACTGCTACTGCCACCGAACATACTACCTTCACAACCAATGTTAACACTGTAGCCGAAACCGATGTCACCTCGGTCCAAACCATTGTTGACCACCGCACTGACACCCAAACCGCCTTCGATATCAAGACCGACGTAGCCTACAGCACCAAAACTGTTATCACCGTCGTTGTCCAGACCCAGACCACATCGTACACCTCGACTAAAACAGTCTATAAGACCGCTTACGCCACTACTACCCTTTATACCACTCTCAAACGTAGAGATATTGAGGCTCGCCAGGAAACCGTGTACCCCTCCGTGATACCAGCATACGCTAGTCCCTGTACCGGCGTTGCCCAGTACACCAGCGCTTGCTCTTGCGTGGGTGTCACTCGCACCACTATCACGCTCCCAACCCCAACCGTTACCGTGACAGTCGGTGAGTCCTCGGCTGTCAGCACCTTCACCAGCACCATCATTGATGCCACCGCTACCGAGTATTCTACCGTTATTGTTCCCTCGACCTCAACCAGCACGCTGACGATCTACACCACCGTTACCACCGAAACATTCACTGACATTGACGCTACTGCCACAACTTATATCACCGATAGCACCCAAACGACTTTTTACACCGTAGCAACAGTCACCGAAACAGTCACCATTGCCACCGAAACCGTTGTTTTGACAGACAGCACAGCAACAAACCTCATCACGACAAAGACTCTAACCAACGTCATCCCCGTCACAACCATACTCACCACAACGGACGGAACAGTCGTAAAAACAGTCATAACTGCCACAATCACCAACACCGTAGTCGCCAGCACCGCCACCGTACCCTCTTACACAACCACCGTAACAACCTTCACCGCCCCACCCGTTGAATCCCAAGTCACCGTAACAACTATCACAAACACCGTCCCCGTAACTGTGACAACAGCCTGCGCGAATGCAATCCCAACATTTGCTCTCCAAGTCACTGGCGGTGGACCGTATAACAACTATTACATCAGTCAATACACCGGTTTCAACGGTGGTTTCGACATTCGTACTCTCATCGCCGTCCCATCCTTTTCAGAATCTCGTAGGTTCATACTCCGCAACGGGGCATTATACGACACAGACGGATGGGTGATTTCGGGACCCCCTGATTCAAATTACCCGTATTACTTCCAGGGCGCGCAGGAACAGAATGTTTCGGCCAATTGGGTCAAGTATCCTTGCGCGATTGTGGGAGGACAGTTGAAGTGTAGTTACGGGTCGAGGAATGTGTATTATGTTTGCCCGAACGTTAGGAATTTCCTCGATTTGGCGGTTGCGGGGAGACCAGCGTTTAATTGGTGTGATGGGACGATCATCAGTTTGAATGTTTTGATGACTTGTAAATTGTAGATAGATAGGTAGATAGATACCTGATAGTTGACTTTCTGGAAAGAGGTCGGATATAGTTGAATAATAGTTAATAGTTAATATATGTAATATACAAGCGGTTTAGTTATATAGTTTTTTTTTCCCTTTCACGCTGTTCTCGGAATAACTCTCCCTAATTATAGAATTAGAATCGATGGATC